CTTGTAGTTTAGCATTTCCTCTCAATAAGCATGAAAATTTTGATCCACCAAGTTGGTAGGCAGGAAAATAGAGGTATATTAAGCATAAAGGGCATTAAGCATTAAGCATTAAGGTGTGAGATTGAGAATATGCTTAATTAAAGGAAATTTTGGGTCATGTGACAGTACAGATCATGACCCAGAGAGAGCCACTTTTTGTACAGGCCACCTCCATTTTGTAAAATAAATGCATAATGTAATGAAAACTACTATTAAAACTTATCATTCATTATGTCTGAGGAGCTTGGATGTGTACAGAACCCAGATGGAATACTCAAGGATGCTAGTGAAATTGTTTTCACTTATTCTAGAGATTCAAGAAGCTTCCCCTGCTGTTAATCTCTCAGCTCTGCTTCCAGATATCCATGCTTCCACTGGTATTCATCCACAAACAAGTACAGTCAATGATACATCTCTACCAAAGGATCCTGCCCATAGCAAAGTACTGAAGTTGAAGCATCAAAAGCTATACAGAGGCTGTCCAATTGCTTTCAAAGCTTAATGTGCTCTTTCAGAGTGAAATTGGTGCTGAGTTTACTAAGGCTAGAGCACTTTTCCAAAGCTTACAAGAAACCTATGCAAGAAAATAAATAGTTCTCTTGAACAGACTGATATTCAGTTGTTTTTTAAGTAGACAATGTATTATTGAGTTATGTACTACAAATAATGAAATTTTATTACTTTACTTAAGCTACTGTCAACAAGCATAACCTCTTATTAAGCATGGCCTCACCTGTCCACAGTGGGTCATGCTTAATGACAGGTTTCACTGTATTCCCCTCCCCCAAGCTTAAGTAACACCCAACTTAACACTTAAAACCTAACAACCTAAACTTATCCTAAACTTTAGTAGGGTGCTCTGCCCTCCAAAGCCCCCTCCTAATGTTTTGGTCTGTATACTACCATATGTAAAGGCTGGAGCCTCACTCAAGAACACAGAACAGGTAAAGACCTGGGATTGGAGAGGTTGACCTAAGTACAGGAGCAAGTACAAAGATAATCTCTAAGTGTCTACAAATAGCCCTTTATATACTTAACTAAAGTAAGAACACAGAACAGGCAAAGACCTGGGATTGGAGAGGTCAACCTAAGTACAGGAGCAAGTACAAAGATAATCTCTAAGTGTCTACAAATAGCCCTTTATATACTTAACTAAAGTCACATGTGTAACCTCAGAGGTTACACTAAAGTGTAAAGGCTGGAGCCTCACTCAAGAACACAGAACAGGCAAAGACCTGGGATTAGAGAGGTTGACCTAAGTACAGGAGCAAGTACAAAGATAATCTCTAAGTGTCTACAAATAGCCCTTTATATACTTAACTAACAAAGCCCCCTCCTAACATCTTGGTCTGTATACTGTCATGTGTAAAGGCTGGAGCCTCACTCAAGAACACAGAACAGGCAAAGACCTGGGATTGGAGAGGTTGACCTAAGTACAGGAGCAAGTACAAAGATAATCTCTAAGTGTCTACAAATAGCTCTTTATATACTTAACTAAAGTCACATGTGTAACCTCAGAGGTTACACTCTTCCCTACTCTGAAGAAATAAAAGGGGGGGGGTAGGGAAGTGATTAATGGAGAGACAAAGGAAAGGATATAGTAAAGGGGGGGGGAGGTGAAATACAAAAGGGTAAGGACAGACAATAAGGAACACACAGTCATGAGTTTAAGAAGGCTTCAACTTGTCAAAAGGTAGGGAAGGATTAATGAAGAGGCAAGGGAAGTATAGTAAGAGGGAACACATAGTCACTAGCTTAGGAAGGCTTCAACTTGTCAATGAAAATGTATGGGGACAAGGACTTTTGACAGAGTTGGTGGAAATGGTATCCTTGAGACAGATACAAGTTGAAGCAAGCTGTTGAAGAGGAACACATAGTAACTGGCCTAGGAAGGCTTTGACTCATTAATGAAAACATACAGAGACAAGGACAGGGACAAGGAGTACACATGGTTGAGATGTGAAACTGTACTGTCAGGAACACATGAATGATACCTAACAGGTCTAGTGAGTACAGTGTTACTACAGATAAGGAGAAGACAACTGAGACATTGACTAAAACACATAGTCAAGATGTTAAACAGTACTGTAAGGAACACATGAATGATACTCAACAGGTCTAGTGAGCACAGTGTTACTGCAGATAAGGAGAAGACAACTGAGAAGGTCTTGTTTGACTAACAGTAGACTGAGTGTTAGAGGTGATCTAATCTCTTTGGTGGTGTGAGCAAAAAGGAGTGTGAAAGTTGGGGTGGATGATAAAGAGAACTTGACAACTCTTCAGTTATGCTAGCACCTGTTGCTTGGGGGAGGAAAAAAATGAATGAAACACATGGTTAAGAAGTGAACAGTCATCCTTAGGTGTACATCAGTGCTAGGAGGAGTAGAAGGGCCAGCTTGACAAAATTGATGTGCCAATTCTGAGGGTGATGAGAGTACAGGTAGTGTGTGGGTAAAACAGAGTATGTAGAGGCAACAGGGGGTCTATTCATGAGGGGGACAGGACAGGACAAGACAGGACAGGACAGGATAGGACAGGATAGGACAGGACAGGAAAGGACTAGATAATACTAGCAGAGTATAATCCCTGGCTAGGTCTGTGACTAGGAATGACACTAGCAGGAGCTTGATACCCTAGCTAGGTCTAGGACTGGAGGTGACACTAGTAGAGGCCCTAGACATCCAGGACTGAGATTGACACTAGTAAGGGCTTAGTACCCTAACTAGGTCCACAACTGGAAAAGGGACTTTATACTCTAGGAAACAGGAGGTGACACTAGTAGAGGCCCTATATGTCCAGAACTGGAATTGACACTAGTAGGGGCTTAGTACCCTGACTAGGTCTATGACTGGAAAAGGGGCTTTATACTCTAGGAAACAGGAAGGGAAGGGAAAGGGACTTTATACCCTCAGTAGACAGTAGACAATGACAGTAGACACTAGACAGTGACAGAGCAAGAGATAGCATAGTAAGGAATAGACAGTCTTGACAAACACTTTAACAATAGAGAGATATGTGTTACAGTAGGTACAACAAGCATACAACAAATATACTGTAGTTGACAGCTTGATTGTAACATCTATTGTACTAAAAGTAGACACCATCTGTCAGTGTGGAACCTGCAGCTCCCAAAGAGAATTACACTACAGTTCCAGATATTAGTAGTAGTATCAAGATAGTGCTTCCTTGTACAATTTCAGGACTAGGACAGTGGGTCCTTCTGTAGCTTGTTTCTCAACAGTGTTCCAGTGGAGCAATTGTACAGTAGCTCCTGATCTTAGTAGTAGTACCAAGATAGTGTTCTCCTTGAACAATTTGAGAAATAGGATAGTAGGGGCTTCTACAGCTTGTTTCTAAACACTAGCTTGAGATTGCAACAAGTGGCAGAAAGGTTATGAGCAAGAGCAAGTCTGTAGATAATCTGCTTGAAGTAGCACAGTAAAGCATATTCTTGAGTGGCAGAACCTTAATTGTAGACAGCTGACTAGACTCACAATAACACACAACACACATAACTCTGGCACAACTATACACACTCTTCTTGATGCCTTCTCCTAGAATCTAGGGACCAATCTGATAAGGGTTTGCTGGGAGAGGGTAGTACAGTGAAAGCATATATTTGAGTAGTGGAATCTTACTTGTAGCCAACTAACAAGACTCACAATGAGGCACAATGTGTATGACTCTAGCACAACTGTATACAATCTTCCTGACACATTCTCCTAGAATCCCAGGACCAATCTGATGAGGGTCTGTTGGGAGATCAAAGGTGGGCCAGCAGGTGGTAATATTCTCCCTATGAGCCTTCAAGAGTGAACAGGAATTCAGTATGGCATTTGTGAAGTTTGTAATTAACTAGAGTATTACTGTAGGGTACTGTAGGTGTGTAGGAGATAGTAGACATGTGGGGGGAAGCTGGGGGGGGAGGCTGACAATCTGGTGGCATGAGTGAAAGGCAGCAGATGAGAGAGGTAATCCCCAAATTTTGTGATGTTCAAAAAAAAGTGTAAAGGCCAGAGCCTCACTCAAGAACACAGAACAGGCAAAGACCTAGGATTGGAGAGGTCAACCTAAGTACAGGAGCAAGTACAAAGATAATCTCTAAGTGTCTACAAATAGCCCTTTATATACTTAACTAAAGTCACATGTGTAACCTCAGAGGTTACACCATATCAGTATTATGTAAGTGGCCAGACTGAGTTATTCTAAAAAGGGTTGTGAGACTCAGGGTTTGGATGCAGAAAGTTAATAAGTCTGTAAACAGAAACAAAATGAACAATAGCAAGTCAAGACCACATATCAGGTAATCCCATTCTTTATTACTATAGTATGGATCTTCTTTGCCTTTGATTAATTACAAAGCACACACATATGAATACTCACTATACTAGATACAATTCATTAATTGCTTTACTAATGTACAATATACAAGTACAATCTATTCACTGTATTACATCTTCCACAGAAGAAACATGCAATAGGAAAGTGAACTGCAGAGACAAGACATCTGAGGTCTCCTGCAAAAACAGGATTACTACAGCCACAACCTTTAAGCAGAACTTGGTGAAACAAGCCAGTGAAATTTAGATAACCAAGAGCAAGAGAAATATCCTCATAATAATAGTTACACTATAGAAAAGATGTACATGATCTAAGCCATAAGGCAAAAGTAAAACATGCAAAGGGATCGAAAGAAGAGCAGCGCTAACGCGCGTGTAAACAGTGCACAGTTAGGAGAGGGTGGGAAACTCTTGATAATGGACTGCCAAATTCAAAAAAAATCTTTTGCGTATGTAATCATACCTTCCATAGTGCTTACTCAAAACTTTGTACTGCATTGTGCTTTCAAGTTGTAAGGTCATCCTAGTGTCACAAAATGGCTCTGTCTACAAGAACTTTTTCAGCCTATCCGGTCGACAATTATGACGCTTCTGGATCTTCGTCTCGAGCTTCTAGACGTATTCTTATAAATCCTGATATTCTGAAAAGCGCGAAAGTTTTCGCTGGTGACGTTGTTGCTATTTCGGCTGTTCAGCATGACAATTCAACGCCGCTGGTAAGCCCAATCACGCGCCTCTTTCATGGTATATGTTCTATGCCAAAAATAAACCTTTTGGTGCAGGCTTTTGCAGTTGGCATAGTCTGGCCATCGCAGGACGTCCCACCAGATGGTCAGTAAGAATCTGTGCCATATCGAGAGCAATTTCTAAAGTAATTTATGTTCGTTCGTCAGTTGCGTGTATCTCACACTCTCATATGCTATCTGCGAGCCTGGAAGAGAAAACCAAAATCAGAGTTGTTTCTTTGACCGATAAACGGTCATCGGCTGGCCTTCCTTCATTGAAAGGAATGCGAGATGCTCACTCAGTTGTTGTTACTGAGAGCACCGACTCACGTTCGTCTGAAAATAAAGAAGATACCAAGAAACCGGACTGGCTAGCCTTCTATATTAGAGAAATCTTAGGTCCATCTCCTCTTTTCCCAATAAAACTTCGATCTCATGACTAATTTTCCTGACGAAGTTGACCTCAAATATATTTATGTTGGCCAACGGTTCCAGGTTCTATACGAAGGCCATGAAAGAGCTTTCACCGTCTTATGCATGTCTGCAAATTCAAATGCTGACGAAGAGGACGGTCTTAATTCAGCCTTGGGTTCTATGAAAATTGAAGCCTCGCCGCCTATTCTCTGGACTGCGAATTGGGATATACTGGTGCATATTAGGCAAATGGATAAGGGTCAACCCAAAAAGGTCGGTGTCACGATGCAGATTCCGCTATATTCACTATAACATTTGGATAGAGGGGTTCTACTAATGGACTGGATTCGCCTGTCATGGATGGCTACGCAAGCGTCGGTGGTCTGGACAAACAAATAAGTCAGATCCGGGACCTCATCGAAATCCCTCTTACACGTCCAGACTTATTCAGGCATTTTGGTAAGTAACATTCTGACTCATGATCTCAGATTTCCGTATATTGAGCTCGAAAATTATATAGGCCTTAAACCACCCAAAGGCGTCCTTTTGCATGGTCCACCAGGAACGGGCAAAACACACCTCGCACGTGCAGTCGTAGAAGCTAGTATCGCTTCAGTCATTGTTGTTGCTGGTGCGGAGCTTTCCTCCGCGTACCATGGCGAGACTGAGCGACGCCTGCGGGATGTATTTGCGGAGGCTCGCCGGAAGAGTCCGTGTATTGTCGTGCTCGACGAAGTTGACGCGCTCGCACCACGAAGAGAAGGCAGTGAGGATGCGAGTGGAGGCGGAGAAGTCGAGAAGCGCGTAGTGGCTACACTCCTGACGATTCTAGACGGAATAGGCAACGAAAAGGACGGACAAGACGAAAGAGTTGTTGTTATCGGTACAACGAACAGACCGAATGCTATTGACCCTGCTCTGAGGCGTCCTGGAAGATTTGACAGAGAAATCGAGATCGGTAGGAACTCCGGATTTCTTGTTTGAATGCTTTGCTAATTGACTGTGCAAAGGCATACCTGACGCCGAGGCACGGCATGCCATCCTCAAGGTCATACTTTCTACAACTCCGCATTCCATTCCCGAGGAGGAACTCCGATCCATCGCCTCCCGCACGCACGGATACGTCGGTGCAGACCTGAGTGCCGTCGTCCGTGAGGCAGGCACCCTCGCCATTAAGCGATACATGCACAGTAATGAGTCTTCCCTCGCTTCCACGCCAATCGACAAACAATCACTCTTGCTAACCTCGGAAGATCTATCTGAAGGTCTAAAACTCGTTCAGCCATCCGCACTACGGTCAATCACCATTGAAGTCCCTGCAGTGAGATGGAACGAGATAGGCGGACAGGCACATGTTGCTCAGAAGCTCCGTGAATGCGTCGAATGGCCCCTACGCCATCCAGAAGCATTCGCGCGGCTTGGTGTGAAAGCTCCGCGTGGTGTACTGCTCTACGGTCCACCTGGCTGCAGCAAAACTTTAACAGCGCGTGCTCTCGCAACTGAGAGTGGGATTAATTTCCTGGCCGTGAAGGGACCTGAAGTGAGTCTAGAACACGGCTAAGCGGTACCTTCCTGACAAGCCCGTATCTAGCTTCTTAACAAATTTGTTGGAGAATCAGAACGAGCCGTACGAGAGATCTTCCGCAAGGCACGCGCGGCAGCTCCGTCTATCGTCTTCTTCGTACGTTCCTGATTTTTAATACAAATATCCTTAATTTTTTCTCTGAACTTGGCCGCTTGTAGGATGAAATCGATGCACTAGGCACATCACGTTCTGGAGACTCCGGCTCAGGAGGGAAGCATGAAGGTGTACTCACTACGCTTCTGAATGAAATGGACGGAGTGCAAGAACTCATAGGCGTTACAATCGTCGCAGCAACGAACAGACCAGACGTCATTGTGCGTATTTTCTCCTCGTTATTTACCAGCCCAATTCCTCAACTTATAGCATTCTAGGACTCGGCGTTAATGCGACCTGGTCGGCTGGACCGCATACTGTACGTCGGACCGCCAGACCGTGCGGGCCGACTGGAAATCTTACGGATCCGTACGCGCATGATGTCGGTAGACCCTGACTTAAACTTTGAAGAGCTTGCGGATCTTGTGCGTTAAGTCTTCTCCCGTCTCAGACTTCTTTTCTTAACAGTTGTCATAGACTGAAGGATGTTCTGGTGCTGAGCTGACTGCACTATGTCAAGACGCTGCTTTGCTTACAATGCAAGAAAACATCGATGCTCCCTTTGTTCGTATTTACTTCTTTTTCAAATGCATTTGAAGCTCATTATCACGCTAATTTAGGTTCCACGATCTGCATTCTTACAAGCTGCAAAGACTGTTCGAAGGCAAATCACGCCGGAGATTATTGAAAAGTTTGAACAATGGAGGCAATCTTCCGGGTTGACGAGTGCATAGTTGGCGGAGTAGAACTCTTTTGAAATGGCATCCCCGAGCGATGCTGATCCAGACTGATAATACGATGTGCAGTCATGATCGGAATGATATCATAATTCTGATCCGGGCTATCAGACAGGGTAGCTTGAACTTGACATACTTTTACTCCGGCCCTCTCACTCACTCGCCAATCGCAAAATGACAAAAGCCCAGCGCATCCTAATCTACATACTCAGGCACGACCTTCGTCTTGCAGACAATCCCGTCTTCACTGCAGCTTCTACCACCAATGCCACCTTCACTCATCTCATTCCACTGTTCATTCTAAACCCTACGCAATACGAGATCTCTGGGTTCCTGAAGCCTGACGAGAAGTCGCCCTTTCCAGAGGCTCGTTCGCGTCTAGGTCAATTCTGGCGTTGTGGACCATACAGAGCCAAGTTCCTTGCCGAGTCACTATTTGACCTAAAGAAGTCTCTGCAATGTGTCGGGAGTGACCTTGTTATTCGAACTGGGGAAGCGCATGATGTCATCGGAAAAATGATCAAGAGCTTGAATGGGGGGGACTCTGAGGTGAAAGCTGTCTGGATGACTAGGGACTTTGCTGCAGAGGAGTTCGATGAAGAGAGAAAGATTCGGAAAACTTTACCGCCGGGTGTCTCGTTCCGAGCGTTTAGCGACGAGTCTACATTAATTAGCAAGTATGTGCTGACATACTTGCATCCATTGGGAACGGATTTAATTTTTAATATCGCAGGAACGATGTCCCATACACGGCTGCTGACCTGCCGGATGTCTTTACGAGTTTTAAAAAATCGGTCGAACCTCTACGCTCAAATGCCGGCATGCCTATTCAAAATATTCCTTCAATCCCTCCGATACCAAATGACATCCCCGCCCAACTTCATCCGTTTATCATTCCCAAAACACTGGACGACCTCATCTCCGCTCTCCAACAACCACTTTTCAATAAGCCCGACATTCCCTTACCAGCCTTCCCCGAGGGAAGTTTTTCCGCACATCCATTCAAAGGCGGCTCCACAGCAGCTCGCGCCAGACTCTCACACCTAATCTCTTCCGACGCCGTATCAACGTACAAAGACACGCGCAACGGACTTATCGGGTGGGACTTCTCGACCAAGCTCAGTGCCTACCTTGCATATGGGTGTATATCTGCAGGTCAAGTCCACGCTGCCTTGAAGAAATGGGAAGATGAATTTAATGACGGACAAGAGAATAAGGGAACTACGGCGATTCGGTTTGAACTTCTGTGGAGGGACTATATGCGCCTGTGTTTAGATAAATATGGGACAGATTTCTTTCAGCTGTATGGATTTGGCAAGAAAGGAAGGAAAGGTGGCGATGTGGAGTGGAAGATACCTTCCGCCGACCCAAGAGCGAAAGAGGCGTTTAAGCGCTGGCTCACCGGACGAACGGGTACAGGCCTTATTGACGCCGCGCAACGAGAATTGCTTCTCACAGGCTACACGTCAAACCGCACGCGTCAGAACACTGCTTCCTTCCTTGCTGCACGTTTGCGTATCGATTGGCGTCTGGGTGCTGAATGGTTTGAGAGTATGCTGATTGACTATGATTGTGCAAGCAATTGGGGGAACTGGGCGTACGTTGCTGGCGTTGGGAATGATCCGCGCGAGAATAGGATGTTCAACCCCGTGAAACAGGCAAATGACTATGATCCGAAAGGTGAATATATTCGTGCATGGGTAGAGGAGGCTCGTGACGTGGAAGATGCTTCATGTATCTGGCAGCTGTGGAAACTCCCAAGGGAAGAATGGAAGCGACGAGGGATTGAAGAGCCGCTTGTCATGATTGAATGGAGTCCTAGTAAAAGAGGCAAAGATAGCAGGCGAGGACGGGAACGTCGAGCAAGAAGAGGTCCAAGGAAGAATAAAAATATTCAAAATCCTTAGCAAGTAGCCAATAATTGGCGATTCGGTATCAATGCATTCCATTCATTATCCAATAAAATTAGGTAGATCTCCGTACTTCCAACATGATAGAGTGAAAGAACATATCAGACTAGGCCTGCAATTTCAACTACAACGGGACAATGATCTGATGCACCATAGATTTCGTCCCGAATCTCGCACATCTTGACGTTTTCGCGGAGTCGTTCACTCACCACAACTACATGAAGACTTAGTCAGCAAACCGGAGAAGGATAAGAATAAGTGACTGAGTCACGAACCATGATCAAGTCTCCACCCGATACCTTTTGAACGACAGTCAAAGCGGTATCCGAAATACGTATAATGTTGGTCGTCCGGATGCAATTCCCGCCAAAGGTCAAGGAACTTGTTCGATGATGAAGCATCCTGCTTTTCATCCTTTGAAGGGTCAAGTATCCGAGCGAAGGCTTTAGTCTCAGACTCGGTATATCCTGCCGATTTGTTCCAATTTTTCTTTGCGTGCGTTAGGTCTGTGTAACGAAGATCGTAAACAAAAGGCTGAATTGATGTTAAATGTTTCGCCTGTTGTACCTTTCTCTGTTGGTGCAACATTCAAATCACCCGCCCAAATAACAGGCTTTTTTGCATCGAGTTCTCGTATGTACTTCGTAAAGTGCTCATTCCATAACTCTTTCTCAGGTAATGTCTATACAAGCAAAAGTCAGTAACCATGAAGTGGCTATGGTCAATACTGAACTGGCAAACCTTCAAACCTTGGCCGGCATTCGTAACGTATGTAGCGACCAAATAGAATTTCTCGAATTCGGCGGTTACTATTCTTCCCTTGATAGCATCTTCATTTGGGTGACCTGGGAGGTCTTTTGTCACTGATATTGGTTCATGTTTCGAGAACACTGCTGTCCCGGCTTAATGTAACTTGTAAGTTTCGGAATGGGCATAGGACCGACAGACATAAATGGCGTACCATACCCTTTCTTGCCGGCAATCGACCAATACCTGTAGGGGTATCTGCTATCGAGGACTGGGACTTCCGATTCTCCATTCATCTTCGGAAACATGAATAAGCTACAATCGGAGAAATACAGTATAGCTAGAGAAAACATACTTTAGTTTCCGTCAATGTTAAAATATCAGCGTCCTCAGCTTCAACATAAAAGTTGAATCCCTGTCATCATCTGAAATCAGCTTTATGGTCTCTTCTTCTCTCAGTGGGAGCTAATAGATTAGATGCACCTTCTTCTGTGCAGCGGCCAATCCCGAAACATTCCACGATGCGATACGTATCGCACCTTCATGTTTCTCCGGGAACATGATATTCTCAGGTATGACTTTGTTGGTTGGTTGACCATTAGGTGCGAAGCCTTCTCTCGTCTCCCCATTTCCTGCAGTAGTAATTTTCTCATCCTTGTTCTTCGTCGCGTCCTTTCTCTTCTTAGCGAGTGCTGCCTCGTCGCCAGATGTCGGCGAAGCTTTCCGCTTTGTTGAGGCCGTGCGCTTCGGAGGCATACTTAGAAGATACGATTTGTAGGGATTTGGGAGGAGAGCTGGACGACAAGTAGACAAGCGGAGTAGCCGTAAATGACGGAAGCAAAAGGCATTCATTTGAATTTTAAATGATATTTTGTGACGCGACCTTCGACGCGTCGCGTAACGTTGTGGGCGTCTTCAAGTCGCGGAGCAGTCAGGCATCGGGTACTGCCGAGACTGGTACTGAGACTCATCTCGCCCATCACTTGCTTCATAACAGACTGTGCTCATGAATTCAGCTGATACCACGTCAATGATCTAATATCGTAATATTTTTAGTTTTCGGTAAAGAATCTATAGTACTTAAAATCTTTTCTATTCTACCCAATAGCTGAATATCTTATTTAACTTGTACCAAAAAGGCGTCAATCTCGGATGCGCAGTCCATACATCTCTTTGACTTTCTTCACCACAGCAGGATCGCCCGTGTTCTGTAGAAAGAAGGTTATAAGGCACATACTCGAGATTCGACAAGACGCCGCAAAATACAGCAACGAAACGTACCTTCGTGATCTCATCGCTAATCTTAATGCACGGCGCTCCGTTGACGTTAGCAATCTTGATGACCATGTTAAGTGCTTTACTCTTCTGTTTCCCTCCCGAGGAAACAGAACGGAAATCGTTCGTCAAGAACGTGCCAATCCCAAATGAACCTACCCCCGCGTTCATTGTAACATTCTCTTCACCGCTACCCAAATGAATATTTGATGGACTTACAGGTGATTCCTAGCTCGTCACACTGAGCCTTAATCTTAAGCGCCTTTTCATCCGTCAGCGCGTCGGAATAAATTATAGACTTCTTGCGATAGTCGATTCCCATGCTCTCATAGATCTCCTTCGCAAGAGGCGCATATACGAAGGGGTCTCCCGAGTCTTGACGAAGACCATGCCAGCGCAGAGCGCGCTCCTTGTCTTTGGTGAAGTCCTATAGAGAACCTGTCTTAGTTCGTAACTAGAAGACATGGAGTACGTCTCTACCTTGAAGAAAACTTCCGTAGAGAACGTATCTGTGAGGGCGATAAGTGGTCCGTCGGGATACACCTTTTCCCACAAATCGAGTGCGAGCCCATTAGCTCCTTCGTATCCACGAAGAGATGCTACCTGTCCTTCACGTTAAGGGAGACCTTGTGCTGATATGGCATTGCTTACACCCATAAACCATTCACTAAAGGAACAATTAACTGGCGAAACAAGACGGCTAGAAGTAAAAGATGCGTACTGTGCAATGGTTCCTATCGGCTTAATACCATATTTGAAAGCGAGATGCATCTACGGTGCACTTAGTCACTTTCAACGGATACAGAGTCAAACGATATAGTACATTACTTGTCCCGACAACTTTCCCCTTATCCGGAAACTCATTAGATGCTCGTATAAGCGTTGCGACCACCAAGTCTTGGATATAATAAGAACGTCGTCTACGCGTGCCAAATTCGCTAAATTGAATGTCTGCTTGTAGAAGCGTCTTAGCCTTCTCGTAAGCAATCTCTAATAGCAATGACATCGTTAATATACGCGTATACTCGATCTGAAATCATACCTTCTTGACTGTCATAACTCCAATCTGTATCCGCTGTGCGGAAATAAATTTCACTGAGACAAGCCATGAGTGGTACTTCCCAGAGTATCGTCTCTACCCATGGACCGACAGCACTAATCTCCAAGCGTCCCTTATTTGGGTCGTCTTTCAATGCTTTGAATTCGACATGTAGTTGTTCCGGCTTGAATCGGAACTTGGCCAGGTATTCTAGGTATGGTTCGCCAAAGAACGGACAAGTCTGACGTAGCCAAGCGATCTCTTCTGGAGTCGCGATGAGCTCATTAAAATCTGAAGCACGTCCAAATTATAAGCGTGACAATAGGTTAAATGCAGGGCAGACGAACGAGGTAAAGTCGAGATATAGCGCTCATAGCATTCCCTAGTGAAGTACACGTCTTCGTCTCTATGTGTAAAGCGGTATGTCGCTTGTACGTCAGGGAAATGGCGCAGGACGGCCTGCTGCATAGTGAGCTGGGATGCACACAGCCATCGAGTCAATGCCAAGGACACCGTGAAGAGGATAAGCAAAATGCACCTTGTAGAGGTCAGTGTCTAAAAGAGACCGAGGCATGGCAAAGTATTTTTCAGAGCCATCACGAAGGTGGTTTGCCATTGTCGTCGACGAACGAGAGTGAGTTGTGGTTTGCTAAGTTTAGGGTCTGCGCGGCACAACTTTAAGGACATGATAAGCCACCATGATATCTTAACAAGTGACAGAGTATCAGCGAAATGAAATTTAGGAATTCTGATTAGACGGGTTTATCTCCATTAAGTCAGTTTGATGGGAATTTGTAATTGATCTAGCTCACCTATCAATCTTATATGGAGGTGAAAAGTCTGTTTACACAAGTAGGAAGGTCTAGTGGCCCTGTGGGTGATGAAGCATAATCACACCTTTCTTTTCAGATATACTATACGTCCTTTCCACAATTAGTGCCGCAATAGCTCAGCTGGGAGAGCAGTAGACTGAAGTTCTAAAGGTCCCCCGTTCGATCCGGGGTTGTGGCATCCATAAAAGTTTGGAGTTTCTTTTGTTTCTTCAATGGCCATCTGACCAACCAATTTGTTTTCCTCATCATTAATCTGTGAAATTATGTACCCACCAATGAAAAACCATCTCTTACACTCGATTACCAGCAACACTGTTCGCCTCACTCGGCTACACACACTGCTTGCACGAAACAGCTGATCCCCACGGGGACTGAAGAGTAGGGCTCGGTACCGTACCGTATACGGATACGGGCCGTATAATACGACCCTTATACGGATACGGCTCGTATAATACGGTGCCGTATTTCTGAACCCAAAAACCTATACGGATACGGTACGGCCGTATACGGAACGTATACGCCATATACGGATACGGCGTAGTTGCTACATTTACCAAGGTGTAGCATGAAATGTAAGGGGCTACATCATTGTGATATTACCTCTTTAGTATAGAAATATTGAATTCTACCTATATTATGCCTTAATCTACATGAAATGTATAAAATTTGACTTATTGACATTTTGTTATGTAATTTAGTCTGTGATATTTGTCATAAAGTCGAGTCATGTGATGTACCTATATATCGGAATATATATCAGATTGCACATACTTTTACAATAATAGTGCTGAATATATTAGTAAATGCTAGTATAAGTGTCTGAACATTGAATACTACTTATTAGAGCTTCAGTATTATGTTTAGAGCAAGAGTTTCTTTCATTTAGTAGCCGTCTATCATATACAGGCGTATACGGTCCGTATTATACAGACTATATACGGTTACGGCCCGTAAAATACGTGCCGTATTTTTGAGTCAAATTTTTTATACGGATACGGTACGGCACCGTATACGAAAATGCCGTATCCGTATAATACGGTACGGGACCGAGCCCTACTGAAGAGGCGTAACTGCACTTTACTAACGATCGTACAATCCTCCGATCAGCGATCGAGCTTGATTTTTTCATAGCCGGTCGATCGGGGTCGCATGTGTTTTGCATCCGTTAATATAAAAGTAGATCACGGACACGTATGACATCTTGTGCCTGTTAGCACTTCGAGCAGTCTAATCCCGCCATGTCGTTCAACAAAGAGAAGCCTCGGGTTGGCATTATCGGGAGCGGGTGAGCTTCACGACGGGTATGATCATTTATCTGTCGTTGAGAAGTTTGATGTAGAGTCGGAGGCCTGTCCATGGCCATTGCCCTTAAGAAGAAACTCAACTTTGACAACTTCCTTGTGAGTGCGACTTTTATTCATGGCCGTTGACGGGTGCCAACTTAGGTATTGCAGATATTTGAGAAGGAGTCAGATATTGGAGGGACATGGCGAGTGAGTAACCCAATACAGTGACTTTCTTGCGGTGCACTGAAGAAAATCATGTGTGGTACAGGACAACACTTATCCAGGTTGCTCGTCTGATGTAGCCGGGCACTGGTACTGTCTCTCTTCCGAACCGAACCCCAACTGGTCATCCCTGTTCGTCCTTCAGCCTGAGATTCTCGCCTACTGGCAAGGTCTCGTCAACAAATATGGATTGCGAAAATACGTCGTTCTGAATACAACTGTTTTGAATGCCGTATGGGACGATGCTGCACAACACTATCGGCTGACGCTACGTGATTCGAAGACGGGTGAGGAGCGTGAAGAAGTAGTCGAGGCACTCGTCAGTGCCTCCGGGGGTTTCACTGAGCCGCATTATCCTAGTGACATTCCAGGGATGAAAGACTTTAAGGGTCCAATGTTCCATTCTGCACGATGGCGGAAGGACGTGGAATTATCCGGGAAGACCGTCGGTGTCGTCGGCAATGCAGCATCAGCGTAGGTCATCTCGCTTGACGATGCTTGGTGTTGATGATCTGAATAATGGTGCAGAGTCCAGCTCGTTCCGAGGATATCGGAAGATCCGTCTGTGAAAGTCATTAACTTCTGCAGAACTCCAAATTGGTTCGCGTTCCGAGTGAGTATTATCATGTATTGTACCGGATAACTGTGATAAGTTAATGCTATAATCAATTCAGGATAACTACAAGTATCCGGCTTGGGCTAAATGGATATTCGCTCACGTACCTGGCGTGATGTGGGCATACCGCACGTTCCTCTTCGCTCGTGTAAGCCTAACCGAGATCTATAAAAGCGTGAAATTGCGTTTGCTTATTCATTCCCTTCTCTTGATTAACCTAGTATGACTTATCATACTTAATTTTCCGAAATGAGAACAAACGAATGCAAGCAACGGCGCGTAAGGTGAGTCCTCACACCCTTTTGCAGACTCATTGTGCTAATGTATCTTCGCGTAGTTATTGACTAGGGAGCTCAAGAAGCGAGCACCTAAGGAATATGTCGACAACCTTGTCCCTTCATACCGTGAGTTCTCCACGGTTTTCGACTTTTATTCTCAGTCGTTTCATAATCTTGGATTATGCAGCACCCGGATGCAGACGAATCGTCATCGAGCCAGGATACCTAAAAGCTTTACATAAGCCGAACGTATCACTCAACTGGGATGGTATCGCTAGGTTTGAACCCGATGGCCTCGTTACGAAAACGGGTCAGAAGATACCTTTGGATGTGATTGTTTTGGCTACTGGTTTCCTCGTTGTGAGCATTCATCCTTACCATTCCTCGTCCGCTGCGGTACTGGATAAGCTGATTTGGACTGTACTTGATAGTGCAGGATTATGACCGATGTGAAAGGACTAGGAGGATTGACTCTATCTCAATACTTCGATTCTAAGGGCGGGCCGACTGCGTATCTGGGAACAACCGTCCCTGGGTTCCCCAACTTCTTTACAATCTTAGGTGCACTTTCTTCCCCCGTTCCTGCACTCACTAGAAAGTTAACGACTTCTTAAATGTAATAAGGCCCAAACATCGCAACGGGCCACGCATCTGTAATCTTCAGCGAAGAGGCCCAAATCAACTACATCGTCCAACTCCTTGCACCAATCCTCTCGCATTCCGCGTCTTCCTTCACCGTCCGTTCCTCAGTCACAGACGCCTTCAACGACCGCATCCAGAAGCGCCTCCGGTCGTCCGTCTTTGCCGCGTGCACGTCGTACTACCGTGCAGGGTTGGACGGAGCGGGGAAGAACGTGGCAATTTGGCCGGGACCTGTGACAGCGTATTGGTGGGAGACGAGGAAGGTTCGGTGGAGCGATTATGAGGCGAAGGGCGCTGAGAAGTGGGAGAGTGAGAGGAGGAGGAGTAATGTGATGAAGGTGCTGGTTTTGATTGCTGCAGTGCTACTGCTGGCTGCAGGGACGCAACCTTCAATAAGGAGTACTGTACTCGCCTTCCTTGCACCTGCATTGGCAAAGGTGCAAGAATTCCTTCCGCGCCTTGCCTTTCGTTAGATTTTTTTACTTTTGGATTGGATCGTAGAAAATCTACATCACAATATAAATAGATGGAAACGGTTATTCATTACAGCATACACTGGAAACGGAGGTGTTCTGTAAAAAACTAAGAGTACTGCATCAATTGGTATATAGCTTGCATTATCACTATTTGCCTAACATGATATAATATTAGTCATTGTTCATTTGTCACAAACAAATTGGATTACTCACCCTGGCGAATAAAAGATTGGAACCGGGTTGGTATGAAGGAAGGAATTTGTGATAGATAAATAGTGAATTTATACTACGTCGATCACTGTCGATCATTCCCCCAATTTACCTTCTCTGCCATCTTCACAGGACTTCACCCACTACCTTTAAGTCTTTTGTCTTCGTGCAGTAGTGATACTATCACTGAAAATGTAAATGTGCCCTGTGCTGAGGTTATTTGTCATTCGACGCCTGGCGACACTACTCAACTTACTCAGCTGTACATTTATCCAAGCCAAGAAACAGGACCATGAGCTTTTCATCAGATATCAGGCTTGGTTTTGAGTCTCGGATCACCCGTGCGTTAGATCTATCGGCCAGCATAAGCATAAGTATGAACTCATGGACAAGTGTGACCTCTTAGGACGCGCCAGCACTTTAAGCAAATCAGTCGCATTCTACCATGTCGTTCAACAAGGAGAAACCAAGAGTTGGCATCATCGGAGCCGGGTAAGTTCATTGGACTGTTCTTTCGCTCGTTTGTTGACAGTAGATATTTGTGCAGAGTTGGCGGCCTCTCCATGGCCATTGCTCTTAAGAAGCAGCTCAACTTTGACAACTTTCTGGTGAGTCTGCTGGTTTCTTCATAGCTATGAATGTGTGCTGACTTGGTACTGCAGATATTTGAGAAGGCGTCAGACATCGGAGGAACGTGGCGAGTGAGTGAACTTCCGATCTGATTTCATACTGGCTCACTGAACATATCTAAAAAATAATGTGCACTGTAGGACAACACTTATCCAGGCTGTGCATCCGACGTAGCTGGGCACTGGTATTGTCTCTCATACGAGCTAAACCCGAATTGGTCTTCCCATTTCGTTCTTCAACCTGAGATTCTCGCCTATTGGAAAGGTCTCGTCAAAAAATACGGATTGTGGAAATACGTCGTTCTGAATACAGCTCTTGTGAATGCTGTATGGGATGATGATGCTCAGCACTATCGTCTGACCTTGCGTGATTTGAAAACAGGCAAGGAGTACGAAGAAATTGTCGAAGCGCTAGTTAGTGCCTCCGGGGTCGTCACTGAACCGCGTTATCCGAGCGATCTTCCGGGGATGAAAGATTTCAAGGGTCCGATAGTCCATACTGCGCGGTGGCGGAAAGACATTGATCTCGCTGGGAAGACTGTCGGCGTCGTTGGTAATGCCGCATCAGCGTAGGCTATCTCACTTCTGATGCTTCTTACTGGTCTGAAGTTCATTACAGAGTCCAGTTTGTTCCGAGAATATCCGAGGACCCTTCCGTCAAAGTCATTAACTTCTGCAGGACTCCGAACTGGTTTGCGTTTCGGGTGTGTTATCACGTATTAAACTGAGTGATTGTGCTGAGTTAACGCTGCCTCTTTTCTTCAGTCTCACTTCAAATACCCAGCCTGGGCCAAATGGATGTTTGCTCACGTCCCTGGCGTCATGTGGGCGTACCGCGCGTTCCTCTACTTAAGTGTAAGTCTTCTCAACATAAGTAGCTTCAAATGCAAGGAAATATCGCCAACTTCGATAATTCTTTTATTTTGTCATCCTTAGCATGAAATACTCTACAAACTTTTCCGAAATGAGAACAAACTGTTGCAAGCAGCAGCACGCAAGGCAAGTTCTCACTTCTACTCCATTATTTTTCCGCAAGAGACTAATACATATTCGGATGTGTAAATGTATCCTCACGTAGGTATTAACTACGGAGCTCAGGAGGCGAGTACCTAAAGAATATGCTGATAAACTTGTCCCTTCATACCGTACGTCCTCCTCAGTCCGATGATTTTTCGATTTTAAAGGTTGGCATACCTAGCGCCAGGATGTAGACGAATCGTCATCGACTCAGGGTACCTAAAGGCTCTACATCATCCGAATGTACAACTCAACTGGGACGGAATTGCCAAGCTCGAATCCGACGGTCTAGTTACGAAGACTGGTCAGAAGATATCACTGGACGTTATCGTGCTTGCTACGGGCTTCCACTTTGTAAATCTTCCTTCAGGTTATTTATCATCTAACGCACTACTACAACTAATCTGAACACTTTTGGTCATTACTAGTCCAAATTAACGATCGACGCGACAGGACCAGGAGGATTGACTCTTCAGCAATACTATGATTCCAAGGGTGGACCCACAGCATATCTGGGGACGACCGTTCCTGGGTTTCCTAATCTCTTCATGATCTTGGGTACATTTCATTCTCTCCACTCCGACATTCACCGGAAAATTACTGTTTTTTTTTGTACACAGGCCCGAATATCGCAACAGGCCACGCCTCAATCATCTTCAGCGAAGAAGCCCAAATAAACTATATCATGCAACTCCTTGCACCGATTCTTTCACGTTCCGTGTCTTCCTTCACAGTCCGCGCCTCCATCACCGATACGTTCAACGACCGCCTTCAGAAGCGTCTACAATCTACTGTATTCACCGCGTACCCGTCGATTTACCGTGCAGGTTCGGACGGAGCGGGTAAGGTTGTTGCGATCTGGCCAGGACCCGTGACAGCATATTGGTGGAAGGTGAGGAAGGTTCGATGGAGTGATTACGAGGCGAGAGGTGCAGAGAAGTGGGAGAGTGAGAGGAAGAGAAACAGAATCCGAAGGGTCCTCGCTTGGATTGCGGCGGCGGTTCTTTTGGCTGCAGGGGCACAACCTTCGATTAGGAATACTGCGCTTGCCGTTTCTACTCCTGCACTGGAAAAGGTATATGGGTTCATTCAGAACCTTGGATTTCGATAGACAGTGATGTATCTTGACTAGATGATAGAAAATCCTCATTTATGTGTGCATGGAAATGATAATTTATAACAGAATATACACTAGCAGACGAAGTGCGACTTTCATCTTTCATTAGTAACTTCCTAGAATGTGATGCAGATATCTTAGTATCAAATTTTCGTGTGTGTTGATCTATAAACGAATAGAACTGCTCGCTGCAGTAACTGAAAAGGCAGTGAAAAGCTAGGAAGAGCGGGAATGACATAGTAAATATATTCTACATCGATCACTGTCGATCATCTCTATACGGGGTAATATAATAGTGCTTGAATTCCTTTCCTTCCTTCTTGTTTGCTGCCTTTTTCCCGTCTTCAGCCTCTTTCAGCTCTTGTGTTCGTTTGGTGATGACAAAATCGCTTGACGTGCATAAGCTCTTCCGACGTTTGGTTGTCAGCAGCAATACTCGCCTTATTTGGCTACACATTCATCCCGCCAAAGAACAGGGGCATGAACCATGAGGTCCCCACCGCATATCAAAGTATTGGTTTCCGTCTCTGGAATCAGACTGGATCATTGTCGGACCGCCCATGCGTTAGATCCATCGGTGAAAAGAGTATATAAGTTTGGGTACTGCTCATAGACCGGTGTGACCTCTTGGGCGCGCCTGTGCTCCGAGCGGACTTTGTTCCGATCTACCATGTCGTTCAGCAAGGAGAAATCGAGAGTTGGCATAATTGGGGCTGGGTGAGCTTATTGGAATGGTAATTACTCGTTTGTTGATAGTTGCTATATGGTGTAGGGTTGGCGGCCTCTCCATGGCCATTGCTCTCAAGAAGCAGCTCAATTTTGACAACTTCTTGGTAAACATACTGCTTTCTTCATAGCTGATGGCCGGCGGCGCTGACTTGGTGCTGCAGATATTTGAGAAGGAATCAGACATTGGAGGAACATGGCGAGTGAGTGAACCCCAGTCTAATTTCATCCTGTCGCGCCGAGCACTTAAAAATCCATGTACACTGCAGGATAATACTTATCCAGGCTGCTCATCCGACGTAGCTGGACACTGGTATTCTCTCTCATACGAGCCGAACCCAAATTGGTCGTCCCGTTTTGTCCTTCAACCTGAGATTCTCGCCTATTGGCAAGACCTCGTCAACAAATACGGCTTACGGAAGTACCTCGTTCTGAATACAACTGTCGTGAATGCTGTATGGGACGATGACGCTCAGCACTATCGGCTGACCCTGCGCAATTTGAAAACAGGCAAGGAGTACGAAGAAGTTGTCGAAGCGCTCGTTAGTGCATCCGGAGCACTGGCCGAGCCGCGTTATCCGAGCGACATTCCAGGGATGAAGGATTTCAAGGGTCCGATGTTCCACACTTCATGGTGGCGGAAGGATGTTGATCTTGCTGGGAAGACCGTTGGCGTCGTAGGCAATGCCGCATCAGCGTAGGCTATTTCACCTTGTAAGGCTTGTTGCTAGTCTCAGGTTGATTACAGAGTCCAGCTTGTTCCGAGGATATCGGAGGATCCGTCTGTCAAGGTCATCAATTTCTGTAGGACTCCGAACTGGCTTGTTTTCCGGGTTGGTGATATCATGTATTATAATGGAAGATTACGCTGAGCTAAGGCTACTTTTACTACAGCCTAACTTCAAGTACCCTACGTGGGCTAAATGGGCATTCGCTCACATCCCTGGCGTCATGCGGACATACCGAACTTTTGTCTTTTACAGTGTAAGTCTTCCTGACATGTCTCTAGGCTCAACGACAAAATTGTCAATTTGGCTTATTCTTTATCATGAAATTACTAGTATGAATCATTGTACAGGCTTTTCCGAAATGAGAACAAGTTATTGCAAGCGGCAGCACGCAAGGTAAGCTCGCATATCTAGTCCGTTATGTTCTCTCAATGTTCCCCCAAGAGGAAGGCGCTGAGCTGATCGTATAAATGTATCTTCACGTAGGTATTAACTATGGAGCTCAAGAAACGCATACCTAAGGAATATGCCGACAAACTTATCCCTTCCTACCGTAAGTTCTCTGCAGTCTTCGACGCTCCTCCATCTTGTCTGAACATCGTTATACACAGCACCCGGATGTAAACGAATGATCGTCGAGCCAGGATACCTAAAAGCTTTGCATCAGCCGAACGTACAACTCAACTGGGATGGTATTGCCAAGTTCGAACCTGACGGTTTAGTCACAAAGGCAGGCGAAAAGATATCATTGGATGTCGTTGTATTTGCTACCGGCTTCCACTTTGTGAGTCTTCGTTCCTAGACTACACTCATGCAGACTATTCTGAACTTAATTTGTAATTACTAGGCTAGATTGATAACAGATGTGACGGGACAAGGAGGGTTGACTCTACAACAATACTTCGATTCTAAGGGTGGACCGACAGCGTATCTGGGAACGACTGTCCCTAGTTTCCCTAATTTCTTCGTAATCCTGGGTATGTTTCCTTCTTTCCGCTCCAGCACTCTTTAGAAAGCCTGCTAATCTCTCTATGTACACAGGTCCGAACACCGCGACAGGTCACGCATCGGTCATCTTCACTGAAGAAGCCCAAATCAACTACACCATCCAACTCCTTGCACCAATCATCACACGCTCCGCGTCTTCTTTCACTGTCCGATCCTCGGTTACGGACGCTTTCAACGAGCGCCTTCAAAAGCGTCTTAATTCCACAGTATTCGCTGCGTGCGCGTCGTGGTATCGTGCAGGGTCGGATGGGACAGGAAAGAACGTGGCGATTTGGCCGGGACCTGTGACAGCGTTTTGGTGGAAGGTTCGGAAGGTTCGATGGAGTGATTACGAGGCGAGAGGTGCTGAGAAGTGGGAGAGGGAAAGGAGGAGGAAGAGAATCCGGCAAGTTCTCGCTTGGATTGCGGCGGCGGTTCTTCTGGCTGCTGGGACGCAGTCTTCGACGAGGAACGCTGTGATTGCCTCCATTGCACCTACATTGGAAAAGGCCTATGAATCCATTCCGTGTCTTGGGTTTCGTAGATCGTTTTGATCTTGATTAGGTGATAGAAAGTCCTCTTTATAATAAATAATACGTAGGAAATGCCTATGAAAACGTGGTGCGATTTCGAAATTCATTACTTTCCTGAGATGCAAACAGACTCATCTACCCTCATATCTTGTCGTCTGCTGTAAGTAATATTAATCCTATTGTTTGTGACAATCAAATAATCGTTGATGCAGTAGAGGCAGTATGAAGCAATATGAAAGCACTCCTGCTGGATAAGGTTACTAAATAATGCTACTTATGTCGATCACTGTCAATCATCTCCAAACAGAGCAAATGCATAAATATCTTTCCACTACTAGTTGTACTGTTTCCAGCTTTACTTCGTTTTTGTTCCTGTCTTTATTACCTCTCAACTCTCTTTCCTTGTTCAATAAGGATACTACCAGTAAATATGCTTACTTGACAAGTGATAAGACAATTTTGACGTTGTGATTCTTAGTGATGGTATTCGCATCTTTGGTGCACTGTATCCACAACTCCACATTGCCTCCTGGCCAAACCATAGTGTAGGCTTTTCGATGACGTCTGTCACATCAAGCTTGATTCCTACCTCTGCATCGCTGCCAAAGTACCCGTGCAACTTCATCTATCAGTTAGCATAGTATAAGACTGTGACCTCTTGCACACATCAACACTAAGCAAACAAATCACATCCTACCATGTCGTTCAACAAAGAGAAACCTAGAGTTGGCATTGTTGGCGCCGGGTGAGGCTGTTTGAATGCTAGTCTGCTTGTTGCTGAAGTCATCCTTTCTTGTAGAACTGGAGGCCTGTCTATGGCCATTGCTCTCAAGAAGCAGCTCAACTATGACAACTTCCTGGTGAGTATAATATTTTACCCATGGTGCCAACGGGCACTGACCTGGTTTTTTTGTTACAGATATTTGAAAAAGGATCAGACATTGGAGGAACATGGCGAGTGAGTGACCTTGCAGATTAACTTGATCACAGCGCAGTGAAGAAACTATGTGTGTTATAGAACAATATCTATCCGGGCTGCTCATCCGACGTAGCTGGACACTGGTACTGCCTCTCATCCGATCCGAATCCAAACTGGTCGTCCCATTTTGTTCTTCAACCTGAGATTCTCGCCTATTGGCAAGGTCTCGTCAACAAGTATGGATTGCGGAAATACCTTGTCCTGAATACAGCCGTTGTGAATGCTGTATGGATCGATGATGCCCAACACTATCGGTTGACGTTGCGTGATCGGAAGACGGGCGAGGAGCGCGAAGAAGTCGTTGAAGCTCTAGTTAGTGCCTCTGGGGCGCTTGCCGAGCCGCGTTACCCAAGTGACATTCCGGGGATGAAGGATTTCAAAAGCCCGATGTTCCATTCTGCACGGTGGCAGAAGGATGTGGAGCTCTCGAGGAAGACCGTCGGTGTCATCGGCAATGCCGCATCGGCGTAAGTTATGTCACTTTGTGGTGCTTCCTGCTAATCTGAGAGACTAGTACAGAATCCAACTTGTTCCAAGAATATCAGAAAATCCGTCTGTCAAAGTCATCAACTTCTGCAGGACTCCAAACTGGTTCGTGTTCTTTGTACGTGCTGTCATGTATTACGCCAAATGACTGTGCTGGGCTAATGCTATTTTTATTTCAGCCGAACTTCAAGTACCCAGCGTGGGTCAAATGGGCGTTCGCTCACATCCCTGGCGTCATGTGGATATACCGCGCGTTCGTTTTCTCCAGTGTAAGTTTTCCCAATGCACCTTTAATTGCAAGAAAATGTCGTCAAGTCCACTTATTCCTTTGTTTTTAACTCCTTAGTATGAGGCACTCTACACAATTTTCCGGAACGAGAATAAACTGTTACAAGCAATAGCGCGCATGGCAAGCTCTCGCGTCTGCTCCTAGAAAGGACGCAAATCTGATTCCATGGATGTATCTTGACGTAGGTATTTACTGTGGAGCTCGAGAAGCGTGCACCTAAGGAATATGTCGACAAACTTATCCCTTCATACCGTAAGCCCTCCACATCTCTCGACTTCCACTGTCGTTTTGAAGCGTGGGACATGCAGCGCCAGGGTGTAAACGAGCCATCTTCGACCCAGGATACATTGAAGCTCTACAACGGCCGAACATCTCACTCAACTGGGACGGAATTTCCAAGTTCGAACATGACGGTCTAGTCACAAAGACAGGCGAAAAAATACCATTGGATGTCGTTGTATTTGCTACTGGCTTCCACTTTGTGGGTCTTCGTTCATCGAACACATTCACGTAGGCTGTCCTGAACTTAATTTGTAATTACTAGACTCGATTAACAACAGATGTAACAGGACAAGGAGGGTTGACTTTGCAACAATACTTCGATTCCAAGGGTGGACCGACGGCGTATCTAGGAACGACTATCCCTAGCTTCCCTAATTTCTTTATGATCTTCGGTATGTTTCTTTCTCTATCCTTTCCAGCACTTTTTAGAAAAATTACGGATTTCTTTTATACACAGGCCCGAACACCGCAACAGGCCACGCATCGGTCATCTTCACCGAAGAAGCCCAAATCAACTACACCATCCAACTCCTTGCACCAATCATCTCGCGCTCCGCGTCTTCTTTCACTGTCCGATCCTCGGTTACGGACACTTTCAACGAGCGCCTTCAAAAACGTCTCAATACTACCGTATTCGCTGCGTGCGCGTCGTGGTATCGTGCAGGGTCGGACGGGACGGGGAAGAACGTGGCGATTTGGCCGGGACCCGTGACAGCGTACTGGTGGAAGGTTCGGAAGGTTAGGTGGAGTGATTATGAGGCGAGAGGAGCCGAGAATTGGAAGAGGGAGAGGAGGAGGAAGAGAATCTGGCAAGTTCTCGCTTGGATTGCGGCGGCGGTTCTTCTGGCTGCTGGGACGCAGCCTTCGATAAGGAACACTGTGCTTGACTTCATTGCACCTACGTTGGAAAAAGATGTATGAACCCATTCCGTGCCTTGGGTATCGTTAGATCACGATATAGCTTGGTTACATGTTGGAAAAGCAACGTTTATGTAATGGAACCTAGTATAACCGCATTATGAAGTGTACATGGACTCGGAATTGATTGTCGATATAATACATGTACATGTGTATACAGTATGAGGGGAACATAAACCAATACATGATATACTTAGCAGAATCGATCGCTATGACGGCTATTCAGTAACTTGATATGCGCTAACAGAGATAGATCGTACCTCTTGAGTTTTGCTCGTCGGTCCAGCAACGCCTCTGCTAATTTTCCTTCTTTACGAGCTTTCTTCAACTAATGCGAACAATAAACCGTCTATTACAAAAAAAGTGATACTGATACGTACCTCTGCCTTGTCTTCTTTTGAAACGATTGATCTACCTGCTCCCCATGCTTGATATGTCCGACTGCAATTTCTGTTAGCATATCTTGAAAAATACCGCAGAGAACAAATCACGACTTACTTTGTACCAGCTTCGTCAATCTTACTCTTCCCCTCACCCTCCTTAAATTTCTTCTTCCTCTCCTCCTCGCTCGCTTCACGTTTATACCGACTCTGTACCTTCACCCAGAATCGTTCGTTGAAGCCAATCTCCTCCGCATCACCTCTTAATGACCTGCCACCACCTGCAACCTCATCTATACCTAGATACTTTTCGTATATGTTTTGGAAGGCGATCATCCCGTCTGGAAGGACGAGAGGCGTCCAAGATTCCTGTGGTCCGCGAGCTTCGCGGAAAGCAGAGACGATTCCGTGGTCGTCGCATGAGAGGAACTTCGTCTCCCCAGATCCTGTGGAAGAGGCAGTTCCTGTACGGAGTGTTAAGGTATCGGAACCAGCGACGCGCGTCGCAACCCAGACTTGCGAGACGTCCGTCGGTTCGCGGGATAGTAAACTACCTTCCTCCTTGTTATCTCCTGCGTCCTCGGCTTCACCATCTTTCGCCCCTTTGTCCTTGTCGAGCGACGAAATAACCGCACGTCCCCTCGTAGAATCGAATGATATGCACACAGGCGAGGGATCTGAAGGGTGCATTATGAACACTGGACCACGAATCTCCTCGGGCTTCTCAGGTCGGACCCAAGTCTCGTCATTCTCTTCCTCGTCTTCGCGCCGCCTCCGCCGAGATGGTTCGGCTTCATCACCATCTTCTACATGTTTTCGCTTCTTCTTGGGCTTGTCGCCCTTGAACCTGAGTTTGGTCGGCATGACTTGCAAGTTACGAAAGCAAGTGTCTGACACTGTGCTGTTGAGGGTGAAGGATCGACGTTATGTCATCACGTGTTGACATGGATCCGGTCTTCAAAGGTTACGCAAAAATAAAATAATACAAAAAATGTACATCAATTTCTGCAGCTACCATGATACCTGAAATAAATATTTTGGAGAGAATAGTCTCGGTATATAGAGAATATAACCTAAAGTATTTATTATCTTGTGTGAAGTACTGAAGCGGCGTCAAATATACTTGAGCATGTGACGTGATTACCAAATTGGGATGAATTCTCCTCCTCCAAGGTGCTCATCGTTGCAGATGAAACAATCGACGACGCCCGACAGCCTCAAGATATGGTAATCACCACCAAAGGTACGTTGCTGTACTATTCCTATCTCTTATGACTGTCCGGGGATGCGTGAATAAGGTGCAAAATGGAGGTTGAAGAGCTGGAATAGGGTGGATGGACATTATTTGAATGGATGGATGGGATTGCAAGATTTGCTTTTGGATCGAGCCGGACGGCTAGGAGAGATAGAGCATGAACAAACCATATACTAATGCTTTTCAATTTCTCAACAGACTTCTCAGCGTCGCGCCGCAAGTCGCGCAAGGCGCACTTCAGCGCACCTTCCTCAGTGCGTCGCAAGATCATGTCATCCGCCCTTGCGAAGGACCTTCGCGCAAAATACAACGTACGTTCCCTCCCCTGCTCTCCTCTCATTCTCTTTACACTCATATATCTCATATCTAATATCTTTTTACTTTACTTTCTCATATATATAGACCCGCTCGATCCCTATCCGAAAGGACGACGAAGTCCGAATCGTTCGTGGGAAGTACAAAGGCCGAGAGGGCAAAGTCACACAAGTCTATCGTAAAAAATGGGTAATCCACATCGACCGTGTACAGCGTGACAAATCCAACGGCGCGTCTGCACCTATTGGTATCCACCCTTCCAAGGTAGTTGTCATAAATATCAAACTCGACAAGGACCGACGTGCGATTTTGGATCGTAAGGATAGGAAGAAGGCGGGTGCGAAGGGGGATGATATCGAGGTCGACGTGAGTTCTTCCTTCTGTTCTGTGTATTATACTGGTACTGATGGACTGTGAAGTGATTGCTATGTGTATCATCGGGCTTCTGTCTTTTGCTTTCGTCATCTTTGTTCCATACCATCCTTACATGCTTACACGACACTCAAAACTCTTAGTCTATGTTGTATGCACTCTGCACCTACAAGCAAATTTGATATGCAACATACAGTAGGCATCGCACTTGTTTGGTGGAACGAATTTTCGAACCGCGTGAAATGAATACAAGCATCAAAGTTCAACTCGCTATGTAATATTAATATGTATACACGAGACTTGGGGGTTGACAGGAATTAACCATGGCAATAATAGCCTTGAAGCTCAGTTTACAACAGTGTTGTTAAAACACTCCCGTTTGGCTCCGTAACTTTGAGTAACTCCCCAATGTTGTATTATGCACTCATATGCACACATGTAAGCGAATTCAAGCTGCTTTTTCTCTCCCCCCTTTTAAAAATATTCTTGCTCGTTAATACCTTGTCACTTATAAACCGTGTAATCACTCCAAAACGCAAATTCATCCATGAGTCATCTTCATTCATTCATCTGTACACGCCACAAAAAGTACACCATCCCCACTCACTGGAAGAACTGGAGTCTAATCACTATCAACATAAATCGGCTCCTCATCCGAATCAACTCCCCAATCCATCTCAGGACTAGGCTCCCTCTCCACAACCTGCTTATTCACACTCCTCGCAGAAGGCCTCGGTACACGCGCACCTCCAGCACCAACAGGTCCGTCATCTGCCAATCGTCGTGACGCGGCGGAGCTGAGCGTCTGGCCTCTTCCCCATCCATGAGTATTATTTAAGTTGGGTTGTTGATTTTGGTCTGAAGATCTCTCGTCTTCCTCTTCTTTTTCTTTCCCCTTGCCTTTTGCGTTGGCCGAGGGAGTGGAAGAGTTACCGAGTGTACGTCCTGATAGTGTATTTCCACTTCCTGAGAAACTTGACGTCTCACCTCCTATTGAGGTGGAAGTTGAAGGTCCTGAACCGTTGACGACCGTGTGGTCATCCGGGACGTTATACGGTATATGCTTGAACCCGAAGAAGAGTTTTCCGTGTGGGAGGTTTAAAGCTGCTGGTGTGTACGTATCCGTATCTAACGTGTCGTTCGTTACGATTCTTCGCTTGCTGCATTATGAAGTAGAATGTGTCAGTCGTTTTAATCTCAAGACTGGATCAGAAGTAGGAAGGAAACATACTCAGTTCGAAAGACTTTGCTCCCCTCCTGCAAGTTCTCAATGCCTCTCTGGCTAATACCTCGTCCCTTCGTTTTCCTCCCATTCAACGTCTCACCCTTTCCTTTAAAGCTTTCCCAAACCTCACCGCCCTTTGACAGAGTCGTCTCACCCGTCGACGTTCCAGCGAAGGCGCCAGACAATGAAGACGGTGGCCTCGACGACCCTGGTGACGATTCACCCAAATCAATCTTGAGCTTCGACGCCATTGTAGGTGGTGGCGCAGCCTTGGGTCGTTCAGGCTCCTTGTACCCCACCGGAGGCGCAAAGTCCACTTCAAGATCTGTGTCGATAATGTTTATGCCTTCGCCACCTGGTTGTGACTCCATTACTAAGAAGTCAAAGACAATGGAATTGTAGCTGATCGCGATGATATCGCCTTGTGTTAATGCAGAGAAATTTCGTAATGCATGTTCTAGTCTGTTAAGAATTTATTAATACTTAAAGAAAGACGAGTTGGAAACAAGAGCCCGCGTACACTGCCTTTGGGTCCGAGATCTCCAAGAAATGTACAGCTTGCGGTTGTAACTTGACGAATTGACCCTTCGGTAGCTCAGCCCCAGTTATGCGAATCGGGTCTCCTTCGTTCAGGTTGAGAGTCTTCATCATCCAATATGGTAGGTGGACACATCCTTCCTCAGCGATGAACTCCAACACACCTGCGTGCGTCGAGGCAGCAGGGTTAGCAGGATTGCTAAGCTTGAACATCCAGGGCGACTCAAGGTCTAAATTTGTCAAGTTCGCAAGTGCAGAAGGTGGCATGATAACTGGTACGAATAATCAGTGTCAGTCTTAGTTGTGGCGAGGTGTGGCTTCAGACGTACTCTTCCCTCCATAACTCAAATTCGTACGCTCATTTCCAGGTAACAAAGCTACACTGTATGCTTTCATATATTCGTCGTACGATCGTGCCGATCGCCTATTAGGACCAAAGCCACCCGGAAATCCTCTGTGGAAATTAATTAGCCAGGTAGTATATTTACGCCCAGAGGCTTACTCACTGTGCGAGCTGAGCAAACAAACCGGCAGCTCCATGGCCGTCGAACGGGTCATCTCCTCCAAACTGCGCAGATGCTAAGTGATAGTTCACAAACCAGTAGATCTGCAGACTCACCATGTTCATAAACTTTGAGTGAGAGATAGGGAGAGGAGATGGTGGTAAGCAGTAGAGACACGACAGTCTTGGTGTACGCGCAAGTCATACAGACGCGGTCAATCATCCTTCCTTACTGAGCCGTACATATTATGTAATATGGCCTCAACGCGTCCTGCCCTTCCACTGTTCCAGCTCCTTCTCTACCTCCCATATTCTATCGTGTCCACAGCTTTGGCGTAACAAAAAATGTCGACATCAATGCAGCCAAAAGTCATAGCTGGCTCCAACACTGGGGCCAACAGGTCTTTCAATGACAAGGTGACGAGAGTTGATTGAATCGTATTCTGCATGAGTTGACGACGCGTAAATGCATAGAGCAAACCGCAGGAAGTCCGTCTGTCTAATATGACGGCCGCAAAGGGTTCGTTCATGCTTTTGAAATTATTAAATTTATCTACCTTACAATTGCGCCTTAGCTATCAGTGATGCCGTCCGGACATCCTTGGGGCCGAGGGGAATGGACAAAATGGTATGCGTTTTGTCAATGGTATGTTCTGCGATTCACAAATTTACAACTTTTTCGTAGATCCAAACTCCCAAAGGCGAGGTGATCATCACGAACGATGGTGCTACTATCTTGAAGAGCATCCAGGCATTACATCCTGCGGCAAAGATGGTGCTTATATCATTTTCTTGTGCATAACCGTATCAAATCGTTAATTTAATTCTTCACTTCTTCAGCTTGTAGACCTATCAGCAGCACAAGACGTCGAAGCAGGGGATGGTACAACATCCGTAGTCGTCCTAGCTGGAAGTTTTCTAGGCGCAGCAGAAAAGATGCTTGAGAAAGGGATGCATCCGACGATCATCGCAGAGTCGTTCACGAAGGCTGCTGCAAAATCAGTCGAATACTTGACTGAAATCTCCACCCCCGTAGATTTGAACGATCGAGCTAACTTACTTCGCGCCGCAACTACCTCATTGTACTCAAAGGTATCGTTTGACTCCTTCACTAATATGTAAGAATGAGGATTGACAATTTTGCAGATTGTATCGCAATACTCGTCTACCCTTGCACCTATTGCTGTCTCCGCTGTTACACGGTTAGCGACCGCGACATCCTCAAATGTGGATCTTCGCGATGTCCGCGTTGTAAAAAAAGTCGGCGGAACGATAGAAGATACAGAACTCGTCGATGGAGTCGTCTTAAACCAAAACGTCGTCGTCTCAGGAGGAGGACCAACGCGTATCGAAAAGGCTAAAATCGGTCTTATCCAATTCCAACTCAGTGCTCCTAAACCAGACGTAAGCACCTACCTTTATTCTACCCCTATATTACCTGGTGTTAACAAACTTTTTCTTACGTATGCAGATGGATAACACCGTCATTGTAAACGACTACCGCCAAATGGACAAAATCCTCAAAGAAGAACGTCAATACCTCCTCAACCTCTGCAAACGCATAAAAAAAGCCAACTGCAACGTCCTCCTAATCCAAAAATCCATTCTCCGAGACGCAACAACCGACCTCTCCCTCCACTTCCTCGCCAAACTCAAAATCCTCGTCGTCAAAGACGTAGAACGCGATGAGATTCAATTCCTCTCGAAATCACTTGGATGTAAACCGATTTCGGATATTGAGGCGTTTACGGAGGATAAGTTGGGTCAGGCGGAGTTGGTTGAGGAGACGAGTAAGGCTGGGGCGAAGATTGTGAAGATTATGGGTGTGAAGAACCCTGGGAGGACGGTTAGTATCCTTGCGATGGGTGCGAATAGTCTTGTGCTTGAGGAGAATGAGAGGAGTTTGCATGATGCGCTTTGTGTGGTTAGGTGTCTTGTTAAGAAACGGTTCGTATCTACCTTTCCCCTCTCCTTTACTTCAATACATCTTAACTCAATTACTTATTGGTAAATACAGTGCACTTATCGCAGGCGGCGGCGCCCCAGAGATCCACGTCGCACGCGCCCTCTCACAATTCGCACACACACTCAAAGGTATGGAAGCCTACTGCTTCCAAGCATACGCCGACGCACTCGAAGTCATTCCCACCACCCTCGCCGAGAACGCAGGTATGAACCCAATCGCGATCGTGACTGAGCTACGAAATCGGCATGCACTTGGGGAGAAGAATGCAGGGATTAACGTTCGGACTGTAAGTCTTTTTCCTTTCCTTTCCTTTCCTTTCCTTTCCTTTCCTTTCCTTTCCTTTCCTTTCCTTTCCTTTCCTTTCTTTTTTTCGGAGGTTGTGAGATTTGAATGTTAACATGTGCTTTTGTGATCGTAGGGCCTGATTTCGAACATCCTGGAAGAAGACGTCGTACAGCCTCTCCTTGTCTCGACTAGCGCAATTGAACTAGCGACAGAGACCGTTTGTCTCCTTTTGCGTATTGATGACTACGTCCAAGCGCGGTAGAGGATATTATATAAGATTTATCACGATAGAAGAAATATAAAAGATCACGTTGTAGTTAGTTGATCGTCTGTGATGATTGTGGTTTGATATCTAGTGTTACAGTTGAAAATGTCTTATTGCATAACGTCGGGAGAGGGCTAAACCCAATGCATTATACAATTTATGCATTATAACAATACATTTTGGCTGAGGACCTGAGTTTTGGTCTGGCCAAAAGTCTATGCATTATGCCATTTATGCATTATGATGTGATGCAATAAGACATTTTCAACTGTAATCTTATTAGATGCGGAAGGTGTCGCGGTGTAAAGAATGCTAATACACGTAAAAAAAGACAACATAACAAAAGAGAGAAGGTGGAATCAAGCAGTAGAAGCCGCAGCCGTAGCACTAGCAGCAGGTACAGAAGGCGTACTAGTCCCACTACCACTACCACCGTCCGATGCACCTGGTTTAGCTCTACTCCTTCCCCACTTAATTCCAACCATCACACCATCAATTTCCAATCCATTCGACCATACTTCTGCTGCCCTTTCCGCCGCCGCGCGACTCGTGAAATTCACAAATGCACATCTCGACTTTGCGACGTACACTACACTGCGGATCACAGTTGCCGGGTTCGTCTCTCCTGTCCCTGTTGATGAGGAAGAGGAGAGGACGGAAGGAGGGAGAGTTTGGACGACGTGTGTTCGGATGGACTGTTCGGTTGCGTTTTGCGGGAGGGAAGATAGGAAGAGGGAAGTCTAACGCGGAATAATAATTAGTCGAGAGGAAAAGAGAGAAAAGAGAAAAGACGAGAACGTACGATTGATTCATCTTCCGGAGGTTCGAGTCCTTGCGTCTTCGCATGCTCTGTAAAGATCTTACGCGCAACAGGGTCATTCCGTCCATGATACCGATCTTGCATATTCTGCTTTGACAGTTCGTTATCCTCTGGCATCTCATGTCTGCAGCCAACAGTCGAAATTAACATCACAGAACAAAAGCTCTTGAGTAACGCAAAAGAGAGATAGACGTACCGATAAGGGCATTCGGTTCCCCTATTACAATCACCCTTCACGAAGAACGAGCATACCTTAGGTCGATTCCGTTTGTAATAAGGATCCGTCCGTGCTAGTTGTTTCAACATCTCTTTCCCCGCTGAATGTGCTCTCCCGGAGTCAAGCAAAGATTTGTTTCCTTCCAACTACCCGTTCGCAAATCGTAAGTATCATCGAAGGCCTCCACGTAAAGAGAACAAAGTAGCTCACCTTCCCATCCATATTCTGCGCAAAATACTCCCTATTAATATCACTACTCGGCGCAGCGCTCTTAATCGCCAACGCCGCATCCCGAACCTGCGTTGGTAGCCCATACTCTAAGTCGAGTAAACAAGTCTGGCAGACGTTCTTGATTTTCGCGCAGGTTTGACAGACAACCGTTGTTTTGAAACGCATGCCTGCGCCAGGGTTCCACCGGAAGACGGTGAAGGGGCGAGCGCAGGTGCCGCATGAACGTCCAAATTCTTGTTTGGACTAGAAGCAAGGGGAAGTTAGGTAAGATACTATGGTGTGAAGAGTAGGGGAGAGAGAAAGACGTACCATTCGAACGAAAGCATTGTCGCCCAAACCTGCATCATGTCAGTTAGTCCCGTTCAACCTCAAAAGAAACGAGCCAACGCACAAGTTTCACAGAGAATAGGAAACTCGCTCTGTTCCCAACCAGCTTTATTAATATCTGCTTTTGGCGGCATCGTGTATTTTTACAGCTCTGGTTATACAGGTGTTTGTGAATAAAGTGGGAGTGGTCAAGTTGAAAGAAAGTGCTCGACCTCACGTCGATCACTCACAGGTATTAGTCATCAAGTGCTCCGGCGATTCACAAAAACGCAAATCCAACGTGGCACCCTCATTTCTCCACTAACAAAGATTGTCCCCTTCGGGGTGACATACGAAAAAATTGGAACGATACAGAGAAGATTAGCATGGCCCCTGCACAAGGATGACACGCTTTTCAGAGTGGAATGCACTTAGGTGCACAATATTTATTGCATTTTTCATCTATGAGATTATACTTTGTCTAATTTTTGTTTGAAAATAGTTACACAGTAGGATTATAGTCTATTAGTCTCTATACAGCTTCTGATTTGCCTGGGCTGGGCAGAGTCTAGCATATGCACAGCACGACCACTATTCATTCAAGACTAGCTTCATTGTGTCTTTACAGTCCCTGCCTTGATTTCCTCACTGGAATTGGATCCTCATTATCTAGCTGTGCATTTCCAATTCCAACTGTACACATTCTAGAGACACTATACAATACAAAATAAAAAGGAATACACTTGTCAACCAGACATTTATACATAACCCAGTCTATCTCTACTAGAAAGTTATTCTCAAGGAAGTCAACAATCCAAAAAGGGACCAGCACTCATGCGTGGGGCAACTAATTTAGCAAGCACGACGATCCATTCTTCTTACTTATGCCTCGTCTTACTAGCGCTTGCACTGCAATTCTTCTCTTTGTGTCACTAAATGTCAATTAGTAAGTCGCGCCGAGGCAGTGATGGTTATACGAATAGTACCGCCATGTAAGAGAAGAAGAAGCGGAAACAGCCACCACCGTTCAGACATTCGCCAAAGGATAAAGGTGACGTTCTGGCACTTCCCTATTCAACTTCAATTTTATTGACTATTCGTTTATGTGGCGCAGAACTTGAAAAAATCATGGATTGAGGAGAAGAAACTCAGAAGTCAGTAGAAGGCTCAAAAACAGAGGGAAGGACCTGATTTCGGATGGCCAAAGTTGATGAGTTCTACATACTTTGGTGGCAGAGTTGGAAGATGTTGTTGTGTCGGCGAGTGACGAGAACGAGGACAGGACTCGACAAAGCAGGGTACGGCCTGAAGAGTACACGTGTTCGGATGAAGATGGAAGTTCAGGACTAGAACCAGTACCAAAGAAAAGAAAAAGGGACCTCTCCGTTCGACGTCCAAAACTTCAGGCAATTGGGGATCTACGGATGAAGACGCTCGGCATGAGGACGCAGACACTCAGCCATCTCTCCCCACAATCCTCTACACTTACAAATCCAATCCTCTACACCAACAAAAAAAAGTCGTTAACGCTTCTCCCAAACGACCTCATTCCTCCAACACTGAACGAAATAATACACAGGAATGAGGTAGATTCTTGCCAGGAGGACGAAGGAGTCCGGGTGGGAATACGAGAGGCGGATAACCGAATATGAAAATCAGGGTAGAAGCAATGCTCGAGCGTATAAAGAAGAACTACTCGTGATGCTTTTCGACACACCGCTTGCTATTTCTCCGAGACCCTACCCGATAATTTGAACGACGCTTTCGGCACAATTGGATTACGTATCTCATTATTTGGATCGTTCGGACCTTACCATTATCTTCATCCTTATGAGATATATTGAATGTTCAAGATGATTTTTCGTTAAGGATGAACCCATGTCCAGCATGCGATGCACTGTATCATGCGCTGATATAGACGCTGGGAGTAATCGTGCGAGCTACAACAACGTTTTCAACTCGATATAAAGTTCATTTCACTGCTTTGCCTCATGTAGCGCCAATTTCGTGTCCGCAGTACGTTACTTGCTTGATGGAACCACTTCACATGCTGGTCTTGATGGACTATCATACGACAATAATCTTTTACGGGATAAAGCCTATGGATATGACCAACAAAGCGCTGGAAGGCTGTGTATTTGGTTGACAAAGTCGGAGAAGATGCAGGTTCTTCAACACTGGATGATGAAGGAACTGAACAACTTATCCGGGAGTATATACAGGCGTATTCGTACGTGCAGCCCTCTCAGCGTTCCCTCTTCACTCCTTGATATGTCTCTGCACAACCAGCCGCCTTGGATTGCTCTGCCAACTGGTAATGATGGCAGGTCAGTCGGAACATCCAGTTTTACTGCATCATGAATGTTGTACTAATCTACTTATAGATATCTTCACTTAAAAGGTACTCAAGTTCCATACTTTTGCGCGTCGTTCCTAACAATTCTATGTATAGCTATCAACGTCCAGTTCATATGTACGCGTCTATATCCCAAAGTGAAGATTGAGGTCGTGCACGGGTCGACGTTCAGATACGAATCAGACACATTCAAAGAAGAACGATCGCTGCATTGGGATTGTGACGTGTATGTGGCTGTGATTACTCATTGTGCTATTGACACTATCCTCTTCATTCAGATATATGAGGTCTGACACCAAGGCGGTTCTCTCAATTCACTCCTTGAAGGGCATTGGCTCGCAAAAATTAGTTGACGAGGTTGGTTTGGACCTCAGCTCAGAAGAGTTTGGACTGAACATGACAATATTGTACAAAGGTACTGCTGTGTGCTACGAGACATTGTGCAGGTCATTGATTGTTTTCTTAGGGAGGGAATCACACATTAGGCTAATAATCGGGGAACGAAAATCAGTACGTTGTTGCCAACTAGTGATGTAGTTGGTATCTCATTGCATGCTCAAAAGGACCTCAATGTTGCACGTTTATTGGTCCCAGGGACTGTTAGTGCACTTGGATCGAAAGTTTCCATGCTCAGGAAACTTGATAGGTTGTTCTGGGTATGTGAGCTTGTAGTGAAGTTAGGTATTGGTGCATCCGAAGTGAGTGCATAAAATTATCGGTTGTGTAGGTATGCTGACAAGAGTAATGATAAGCTGAATCCGCACGCGAAGGCTGGTGCCTCAATGGGTGCTTCGATTCTCACCGAAGTAATTAAGGTCCAGTTGTTTCTTTAACAATACTCGACTGTTACTGACACATGTCTTCAGAGATTTCGAGACATTCCCTCATTTCATACGGAGCTCGTATCGCTCATGGAAAACGTTTCAGAGCTTCTTCCCATAGTGGAACTTGTTATTGAACGCGTCACAGACAAGGAAGTCCAGATGGTTATACAGACGTTCTTTGACTTCGTCATAGACTTGGCAGGAAATTTAAAGGAGTATGCATCCAAGCCACGCACAAGTGAGACCCTCGGTTTCTTCGTTCACACTGTACTGACCTCGTCTGCATAGAATTTATTCTCTCGAACTGGTATAAGCCCAAAGGCGATGAAATTCGACAGATCAAGGACCGATTAGAGAATCTGTTAAGCAAACTGAATCTTGGTATGCAGAGTAACATACTGGGAGTAGCATCGGCAATTCGTAAGTCCTCGGAACTGTGGAGAGGCCACATATTTAACATGATTCTCAGGCAATCAACAAATTTCAGAGGCAGATAATACTGCTCTGAAATGCTTACGGCCTCCAGTTAACAGTGCGTTTGATCCAGACCGGGCTTGTTTGCCAGGTACAAGGGAGACTGTTATACGTGATATCAAGCAATGGATCTTCTCAGAGAATCATTCGCAGCGACTGTACTGGATCTATGGAGTGGCGGGATGTGGGAAGAGCTCTGTCGCAGTGTCTGTGGCAAGTGGCCTGGACAAGGCATTATCCGGGTCTTTCTTCTGCAAGAGGGACATCCCTGAACGGCGTAGCCCAGCTCGACTGATTTGTTCTTTGGCGTATTTCCTTGCTAGGTCAAGAAGTTCGTTCAGAAAGAAGCTCTTACAGCAGTTGAAGGAGGAGCCTGTCGTCGTGGATAAGCCGCTTTCGACCCAGTTCAAGGACTTACTTTTAGATCCTCTTTCAACGGCTCCCGAAGTGCCAGAGCCAGGGCCTAACGCCATCATCGTTATCGATGCTCTCGACGAGTGCGAAGAAAATGAGACGGTGGCATCATACCTAATTTCAATGGCTCGGTCCACACCCTGGCTTAGACTCATTGTCACCAGTCGCCCGATCCCGGGTATTGAACGACGGATGATGCGATGCGGATCGCTCGTGGCGTCTTGTGATTTGTTTAGGATGACGACCAATGAAGACATCTTTCACTTCACCCAAAGCCAATTTATGTCCAATGACGAACTTCCGGACGCCCACCCATCTCAGATAGCCGCACTTGTGCGACGAGCCGCAGGGCATTTTATATGGATTTCCACCGTTTTAAAACATCTCAGCATAACGGCATTTGGGAAGGTCGGGTTATTGCAGCAGATAATCGCCTCAGATTCTAACGCATCCAATTCTGAGGAGAACCTTGATGGCATATATCTTCGGGTACTTCAAGGTGCCGCCCTCGGCTCGGCTGACCGTGAGAATGCGATCAAATGGATTGTCGGCCTCGTCTTCGTCATCTCGAGGAATAGGCCGCTTCCCTCCGAGGCTTTATATGCCTTCTTACCCTCTGGTCTTAACGCCAAGCAAAATGAAGTGAAGGCCTTAATTGGGTATCTTAGGTCGGTACTGTACGAGGACACTGAGACCGGTGCTATCCGTGTTTGTCATCCATCGTTTCTCGATTTTATTGGGAGCAAGAACAGATCTGGACAGTTTTGGACGGCTTCAACGGAGCTGGATTTGAATATGGCGAGACAATGCTTGGAGATCATGTTGAGTGGACTCAAGTTCAATATATGTAACTTGGAAACGTCGTATCTTCCGAATGCCGATGTCGTCAATCTTCACGAGCGTATCAAACGCTGCATCCCGGACTCGCTTCAGTATAGCTGTGTGTACTGGATGAGTCATCTGTCCAATGTGCAGACTGCCGAACACCAGCTGCGGAGCAAGCTGCAGTGCCTTTTATGCTCGGAAGTGTCATTGTTTTGGCTAGAAGTTCTGAGCCTTATGGGTAGACTCTGGCTGGCGAAAAGCATGCTTCGGAAGATTCCTGCCGTTCTCAAGGTCTAGCTATTAATCCCTCTATTAATTGGTCATTACTGATTATAGTTACAGCACCTGGGCACAGACTACCAGCTCCAGAAGTTTACTTCACAACTGTTTTTGTTTTTACAGGCATTTGAGGAACCTATTTCCTGTAGTACACCTCACATTTACATTTCAGCTACATTATGGGTGCCAATAGAGTCTATGATTGGAAAATCATTGTCTTCAAAATTCAACAGTTGGCACTGTATTCTACAAGGGGCTGACAAGCATTGGCCAGACAGTGTTATCATAGTAGACACGTACGCACACGCGACATCCATTACTTATTCTCCGGACGGAATGCATATTGTGTTTGGGTGTGAAGATGGAGGAATATGCATATTGGAGGCTCAAAGCGGTGCATTATTTCGTGAATTTCTGCACGGCCATGAATGCCGGGTCGGATGTGTAGCGTATTCTCCGGACGGACGGCACATCGTCTCGGGGTCTGGGGACGGAACAATCCAAATGTGGGATGCTGAGACTGGTGACCCTATTGGTGAACCCCTGCGCGGCCATGAAAGGTCGGTCATTTGTGTGACATACTCTTCGGACGGACTGCGCTTTGTCTCTGGGTCTAAAGATAGAACAATTCGCATCTGGGATGCCGAGACCGGTGACTCTATTGGTGAACCCCTGCGCGGCCATGAAGGCTCGGTCTCTTGCGTGTCATACTCTTCGGACCGATGCCACATTCTCTCTGCGTCTTGCGACGATAAAACAATCCGTATATGGGACACCAGAAATGGTAATGCCATTGGCAAAATTGTGCAGAAGCTTGGCACAGAAACTTCTTGCGGAGCGTTTTCTTCGGACGGACAGCACTTTGTCTCTGGGTCTGATGACGGGGCACTATGTATCTGGGATGCTCAGGGCAGTGATCCCATTGGCAGAACCCTGCCTGGTCATGAATGCTGGGTCAATTGCGTAGTGTATTCACCGGACGGACAGTACATCGTCTCTATGTCTCAAGATGGAGCAATCCGGATCTGGGATGCTCAGAGCGGTGGCTTCGTTGGTGATCTCTCGCATAGTGATGAGGATGTCTGGCTTGTGGCATTTTCTCCAGATGGGCGTACCGTGGTTTCTTCTGCTCGACGCACCGATTCACTTCACATCTGGAATGTCGATAGCGTCATTGGTGACCCCCTAGGCGGTCATGTAGACAATGTCAGCTGTGTAGCATATTCTCCTGATGGACTGCACATTGTTTCAGGGTCTGACGATAAAACGATCCGCATTTGGGACGCCAGGACGGGTGATGCGATTGGTGACCCCCTGCGCGGCCATAAAGACTGGGTTAGTAGTGTAGCATATTCTCCAGATGGATTGCACATTGTTTCAGGGTCTGACGATAAAACAGTCCGCATCTGGGATGTCAGGAGTGGTCAGCTCATTAGTGAGCACCTGCACGACCATGAAGACAATGTCACTTGTGTGGCATATTTCCCAGACGATCGGCACATTGTCTCTGGCTCTGGGATTTGGGGGGAAACAATTTGCATTAGGGACGCTGTGAGCGGCAAACCTATCGGAAGGCTACTGAGCGGTCATGAAGACACGGTCACTTGTGTAGTGTGTTCTCCGGACGGACGGTACATCGTCTCAGGGTCTGACGACACAACAATTCGTATCTGGGATGCCAAAAGCGGTGATCCTGTTGGTGAACCCCTACGTGGCCATGAAGGTTGGGTCTCTAGTTTGGCGTATTCTCCGGACGGACGGCACATCGTCTCAGGGTCTTGGGACAAAACGATTCGCATTTGGGATGCCAGGAGCGGTGACCCCATTAGTGAACCCCTGTGCGGTCATGAAGGGTTAATCGACTGTGTAGCGTATTCCCTGGACGGACTGTACATCGTCTCGGGTTCTTCGGACAAAACGATTCGCATCTGGGATGCCAGGAACGGCCACCCAGTTAGTAAACCCCTGCGCGGCCATGGAAACTTGGTCAACCGCGTAGTATATTCACCCGACGGACGATACATCGCTTCCGGGTCCAACGACAAAACAGTCCGCATCTGGGACCTTTTGAACTGTATCTCAACCGCCAACTTGTGTACTACCCGGACGCTTCCGTATGGATTCTCTGAAGACGGTAAATATGTAAGCTCTGACTCTGTGAATGGAGATACTGTTCTATCCCTTCTGCCTACCCCACCACATATTGCGAATGACGGATGGATTCGCACTCTGGAAGGTGAGCTAATATTGTGGGTTCCTCGTAGGTATCGGAATAGCATATGCGACATGAGCATGCGTTGCATACCACGCTATGCTTCGCCCCCGAAGATGGATTGGCAACGATTATGTCACGGAATTGCATGGACTAATGTATTGATTCGCAAATGACTGTAGCCTTTGTAGTTTCCCAATGTATGTATGGTTGTTATTTAGTTGTTATATCAATACATATTTAGTATCTTTCTAGCAGTCGATCTAACAAGTCTGCATTGGAAGCCATCCATGTTACTTGAACAAACAAAAGATCCAACCATTAATACCTATGTATTTTCCAGGTGCCAAGCAAGCAAACAAAATGTATGGTTCTATCAAACGGAAAAGAGGAGCGCCCAAGATCATCGCATTCCAACCCCACCCATCTCCACGTCGTCCGAAACATCTCTCATATGTCTTCCCTTACCTTGTTCGTCCAGCCCTCCTGGGTTCGGGAGGTTCGCTCGTTGCTGTTGTTGCTGTAAATCCTCAACGCCCTCATCGTCACGATACATCCCATACTGCGTATACGAATCCGATGGTCCGCGCATATGTTCGCCGTGCATAATATGCATATGCGGAACAGCAGGGTGGGTCAACACTTCCTCACTATTCCTTCCCACTCCCGCTCCCGTACCTCCTCCTATATTGTCCTTACTCCCCCTCAAACTACCACCGCTAAATCCAGGTCGAAGCGTAGGCAAAATAGGTGCATTCGACTCGTCTGACGGAGTACTCTCGTTCTCATCTGCAGTGCGTTCGCGTTTGATACGTGGAGAGAAGGGCTTATGTGCGCGTGGTGAGCCGAGCGGAGGGTAGTATTGTCTGTATGCGAAGAAAGACATAACGAGTCCTAGGATCGAGCCTACGAGGACGTCTTGCCAATGGTCTGCATCGAATGTGAAAAGGATGTCAAGTCGGTATATGCGCTGGGAACTTTGAGATACGTACGGCGATAGTCCATCGTTCGTGAGATGGCCACGAGTGCAGCTCCGGAAAGGGGAGTTAACGAGATCCATGCTTTTGTCTAAAGTAATATATCACAAACATCAACACTGGAAGTGGAGCAGAACATGTGTTGTAACTTACGGTATGGCCATTCTCGTCAAAGAGATGTAACTTCCCAGCCAAATAAAATGACAGGAAACCTAGTCCAGCGAACGACACTGTAATAGTCATCGTTCAATCGCATCCTTTCACCCTTACTTCAGAGGAAACAATGGCGAAACGTACGACTTGAATGTCCACTTGGAAAACTCCTCCATCCGTCACGCAAAATACCTACGTCCGTCTGAGTACAGATCGCACTCGATACGAGCCCGTACTCCGGATTGACTATTCCAGAGGGTGGCTGACACCTCGAAATAACGTCTATCCAGCATATCAATCAGTAATTATCCCTATCACTATGGAAGGTAGTAGCATACCTGGACGAGGTCGACCAACAGTAATTTTCGTAAATTGAGTTATAGCTCCCGTAAGAGTTAATCCGAGCAGCACTGCGCCACACAATATCGAATATCAAACATCAGAACATCAAGATAATCAATTCCGACCAAGGAGAGGAGGGGTAGACGCACGACCAAGTGTACCGTTATGAAAGTCCCATAATGATCGGATGGTTATTACGTTAACTATAATCTGTATTACGAATGGTGCGACGATGGCTATGAAGTAAAGCGCTATTGGCTTCATAACGGTAATCAGTGGTTTTATTTATGAATGATGATAGATATGACACGTACAGGTACTCGTTCATGTACGGCAAAGCTAGCAAACAAGCGTTCTTCAGCACGAAACGGTAAAATGTGAGGGAGTGGGAATCGGCTGAGACTCACGGGAATCGTAACCTGTGACGTATAGACCACGAAAGTAATCAATTAACATCGTCCAACATGCATATGGAAGCTAGGCGGTACGTACGTAGGATCCTCAATAGAGAACTCCCGTCTAAACCCGGGTACCTTATCTAACGAGAAGAACACCGCACTGCAAACGTCAACACCAATATTACCCTGTCAGCACACACAACACGGCACCAAATATGTCATTCGCAAACTCACGCAAGTACGATGCAAAGAATCCTACAAATAAAAACAAAACACAAAAGAATATGAGGCAAGGCAGTAGGAGGACGAAAGGAGAGAACACACCAATCAGGGAGATAACTCCTCAAGAGTGCTAATCGTCGTTTCCGCGACATCTTTGAGCGTGGTGGCGGCGCGAATCCTTGGTTACTCCGAATCGTAAACCAAGCCATGTCGTCGTCGTTATCGTTTAAATTACTTCTCTCGATATTAGTAGTAGCACCCTCGAGAGTGCGAATAATCTTAGGAGGCGAGGGGTGGTCGTTGTAGTGAAAGGAGGGTGGGGAAGACATGACCTGACCAAGACATGCTATGTTGTTTGCGAATAATCGAGAGGCGCGGCGTTGCAAGCCAAGCGAGACGCTAGCTCCCTTCCACTCCTCTCCAAGACTATTTTCGCTTCCTGTGCTTTTCTGCTCGTGTGACTGCTTATTTCGCAGTTTTTACCATACGTAAACGACCAACAGCATTGATGTAGCATTGACAAGAAAATATATAAAGAACCTTACAAGTGTGACAAATGGCATTGAACACGGAAATAGATTTTTCTATAGAGTTGAGAAATTATTAAGATTTGGGCACGTTCTCCTTGTCGGCATCGGTTTCATCAACCGTCATCGCCTCAGCGTCTTTCGATTCTTCCGCAGTAGCAACAGCATGTGGAGCCTCTCCTTCTGTTTTTGCTCCCATTTCCGTGCTAGAAGCTTTCACGAATCGTTCACTCAACGACCCTCCGAACATTGGTTTTGGCTTGGGTGCAGCAGAAGACGATGATGCCTCCTGATTCGAGGGAGTTGCACTCGTACTTGCGCTTGTACTCGCAGAGTCGGACGACGTAGTCGTAGTGGCTGTGAGTGCAGTCGGATGCTCGGATAAATGTCCGGGTCTGGGATCATCCAGTTCATCCACAAGTCCAATTGCAGGTCCCTCGACCGTAACGGTACCCGGTTCTGTTCCCGCAGCACTTAGTTGAAGAGGCTCTGCAGTCGGACTTAACGGACGTGTTGTCGCAAGGTTTAACGGACTCATAGGTGGGCTTCTGCTCCTACTTCGCCGCGCATCTTCGTGCAGGAATGGGATAGGCGAGAAGAGTGGTGTTGTTGCTTCTTTCAGTGATCCAATTGACATGAATGGTGAAGACGTGGCTTCGTTGTCTTCGGGTTTTATTACAGGGAACGCATCGATGGTAGATGTGACGAGTAGGGCACGTTCGACGGCTCGTAAGTACTTCCCAGCATATTTGAAGTGTACTCGCGGATGGACTGCGAGTTCACATACACGCTGAATCGTAAATGGTGGATGTCTAAATAAATCTCAGTCTCACGCTTCTAGCAATCAGCTAGAGTAGACAAACCCTTCGAATTCGTGCAACAACTTGCAAATACCCTTATACATCTCCTTCGCCTCCTCTTCCGTCAGTACCTTCTTCGGGGGACCATATGAGTTGAATTCATTCCGGATGTACTGATTCTCCTCGCGTTTTGGGAACGGAGGAAACTTCACACCAGTAGTTGGGAATGGCTTCGGGGAGAGCGTTGTCGTTGTTGATGCCGATTCCGGCGAGTTCGTTGGCGGCTCGGATGGTGCTGGGTATTCTGGAGGAGGCGGTGGAGGTGGATCTGATAGATACGAAGAAATATTCTATCCTCCTGCAATTAGAATCCGTAATGAAAGATCGTATGAAGCTTACCTCGTTGAGCTTATGCTTGATCATATCACGAAGTTTATCCCAATCTTGTCTGCATTATCATGACTTGTCAGAAATCACGAAATTCATCGCGCATACATTCCAGGCCTCACTCGACATAATCTGAGTTTGCGAGAGTTTCAAGGACTTGATCGTATTCTGCCATCTCAAGAACAGTTAGATGAGTACTTAATCTCCAATGAACGAGATGAAAACAAACCCACCTGGAGACCATTCAAAATCCGCAGATACTGCGTATTCGTCTACACCATTCATCACGCAAAAGCTTAATATCTCTCTCTTCAAAGACGGGATTTGTGAGGGCAATAGATCTACCTCAGCGCCTGTGCTGAGTGCTCGTGAATTGTTCAGTTCAAGGACGCTTAGGTCAGCGATGCACGTGCTCTGGCTTTACGCGTCTATGGCAATCTATTCTCACAATATTTCCTCTCGTCTTGACTGGCACTGGGCAGGCTTGCTCACTCTTCTATATCCCTTAAATCCTAGCAATGCTAGAACTCCTTCAAAATGCATTGAAACGTACACAATTCTCTTCAACGGCACGAAGATGGCTCCATTCCTCTGGCATTGCTCAGGCTACTGAGGCTCAAACAACTTCATCTACATCCTCACCACCGAGCAAATGGACACCACATTCCGTACGAACGGGTCTTATTGCTCGTAAGCGTGGTATGACAGCATTATGGGACCAACACGGTGCAAGGTGTCCTGTGACGGTTCTCCAAGTACGTTTCTCTAAACACAGTTTATCCGTGTACGACTAATGTAATTTGTTTTGGGCAACTTCGTAGCTGGAGAACTGCCAAGTAACAGCGAACATCAAAACCGTCCGCAATGATAAATCAGAGTACCATGCCGTACAAGTGGGTGCGTCGGATAGACCCGAACGGACGACAGACAACGCAATGCGGGGGCATTTCCGAAAGGCGAATGTTCCGATGAAGTACATTGTGAAGGAGTTCCCCGTCACACCGGATGCTCATGTCCCAGTTGGTGAGTGGTTGGATTTGATTCTGGTGTAGTGAGAATTGTACTGAATGGCGCTTGTGATGGCAGGAACGGCGCTTTCTGCGTTTCATTTCGTTCCGGGGCAGTATGTCGATGTAATTGCAAACTCGTAAGTAATTATATTTTCTGCTACCAGAAGACTCGTATGGAAGATAGTATGTATTTTAGTATTGGGAAAGGTTTCCAAGGAGGGATGAAACGATGGGGCTTCCGAGGTCTACGCGCAAGTCACGGTGTATCCGTCTCACATCGCAAAATCGGTGCAACAGGTGGTCACCAGGTAAGTTCAGTTCAGCTCTCACTATTATAATTTTTCTTTTCTTAATTATCATGGCTTACTCTCGCGACAGGACCCAGGACGAGTCTGGCCAGGCAAGAAAATGGCGGGCCGAATGGGCGGCAAACGCATAACTCAACAAAACCTAGAAGTCGTGCGTATCGATACCTCCCTAGACCTCATCTTTGTGAAAGGCGCCGTCCCGGGCGTAGACGACGCACACGTACTCATTCGTGACGCCAAGAAACACGTTCAACAACTTGCTGCAGCCAACTATGCTAAAGGTCTAGATGAGAAGGTCTTACCTAAGGGTGTTGTGGACTTGCCCTTCCCGGCTGGGACGAAGGAGATGGCCAAGGCTTATGCGAGTGTGATCGCTGCACCGAGTAAGCGTGTTACGAGCCCATTTGCTCCGAGAGATTAGAATAGACGGAGAGCAGAGGATATATTTGTGGTTGGGAGATCTACTGCTTAATTGACAAATACTTTTAATCGTGTTTAATCGCAACTTTGGTATGAACCACTATAGCATCACTGCACCAACTCCTTTCCCTGCTGGGACGCCTCCCGCTTCGTTCATTCCAGCTAACGGAGCTGTTCGCCAGTTGTATAAGTAATAATCCACAACACATCCCCTTGTCCAAACTATTGGCGAGAGTCAGCCTAGAATCTGAAGAGTGTGGTGGATTTGCCCTTCCCGGCTGGGACGAAAGAGATGGCGAAAGCTTACCCAAGTAATAAAAAAAAGTGTGATCGTTGCACCGAGTAAGAGCGTTACGAGTCCGTTTGTTCCAAGAGAGTAGAAAATTGGTGTAGAGTATATATATATTTATAGTTGAGAGATCTACAGCTTAATTGACAGATACTTTTAATCGTGTTTAAACGTGTTTCTTATTGCCTGGGGATATGAACCGCTATAGCATCACTACACCAACGCCTTTCCCTGCTGGAACGCCTCCCGCTTCATTCATCCCTGCTAAAGGTGCCGTTCGCCAATTGTAAAGGTAGTAGTTCAACAACCCATCTCCTTGTCCAAACTATCAGGAAGCGTCAGCTTATCACCTCGCAACAAAGTTGCAAAACCGTCTCTCACCTTCAAATCAGTCAAAAATTGATAATTATCCATCAACGAAAGCGCATTGAACACGTCAAAGCCCGCGGCGGACGCAATGATCAGTGCATCCGTCACAAGTTCCAGTAACCTCCTCTTCAACCGTCCATCTTCCTCAGCCGAAACGGGGGCGTCTTGAAATACGACGTCCGTAGCGTAGTAAAAGAGGTATGCGGCTTCGAGGAGGTTGTATTTCGTGCTTTGCATGATTGTGGAGGGGAGAGCGTAGAATGTGAAGAAGTCAGTGATTTTATGCGTCGCAGGATTCTATACAAAAGAAAACAATAGGTTTTTAATCAGGTCAGTTAATAGAAGAAGAGGATGGATGGGGGGTCTTACTTCAATCACATAAGCCCAAACGACCTGCTTCTCCCTCCTCCCCTGCCAATTCTCCGGTGCCGGTCCAGTTCCAATCCCACTCAAAAACTGGTGTCGAAGCTCGTCAAGCGACATAATAGGAAACATCGTGAACCTCTCCATGTAACGCATGTACAGCTGTGCGACCTGTGCGATATCTTTCTCCTGCATCTCACGCAGGCCTGCGTTCACAAGATGTGGCGTTGAGGGGAGCCTGTGCAGACGGGTCATCCGTGCGAGAGTCATATTCCGTGGAACGAAGGTGAATCCGACGTCAACCAGTTTAGAGACGTTGATTGTGCGATGGAAGTATCTAGGTGAAAATAAATCAGTATCTGAAACACTTGAGGATTATCATACAGGGATGCATATACGTACCTGCAAGTAGATACAGGCGTCGGTATAACGACTCCACCTGTATAAATCGCTTGGAAAATACCCTTGAGGTGACATTGTCGAGTAACTTCCTTGATCAAGACCGGCGCAAGACGTTTGGATCGTAGCTTCTTGTGAACGCAGAGATAGTTGACCTCGCTGGCATGGAATGTACTAAGAAATCGGGACCAGTTTAAGTCATGGCTATAAATTCGATGACATGTACTCACTTTCCGCGGACCCGTATTGTTATCGGTACAGCAGAGATAAACCCGACAAGTTTCTTGTTGGATTTCACGCGAACGCCAATATGCCATTCTTTATGGTATCCCGGCGGTTTTAATGCCCTGTAGTTAACTCGTCTCAGAGCAGATAATACGATACAAGGAAGTGATTCGAACCATTCAAGGAATTCGACTGGATATTGGAAACGGAATGTAGCGTTATCGTCTTCTACGAAGTGCAAACTCAGCAGATCGTAGACTTCCTTGGACTGTAAGCACAGGGATCAATATGTACAACCGAGTATAGGAAGCGAATGTTGAAACCGACTTGTTTCGGATCGTCAAGGTCTGTGGTGATCCATTCAAATTCATTGGGTAATGGGAACGGATCCTGGCGGACCTGTTCACGGGGAACGGGTGGTTCGATCCACCCATCTTCTATTGGAGGGCCTTCACCTAAAATCCATGAATTTAATATTTGAGACTTAATTTATCCACAATGTTATGCGTACCAGGTTGAGGCACTGGTTGAGTTCCCCAGAACTACATTTCTATGTCAACACCGTGGCGTAAAATAAATCTGCGAGAACATGCCTTATGCGTCCCCATATCCTTCTTTCCTCTCCCTGCAACCCCCGCCTTACCCTGTATAACATCCATTACCTTCAGATGTTCGAGTGCCTTCCGAACAGTCTCCTCATCAGCTCCAGCAACGTCTGCGCCATGCTCCTCCCGCACTCTCTCCATCACTTTGTCCACGACCGACTGAGGTATCTCTTTCTGTCCAGGCCTCAGAGAGTTGAGTAATTTCGCTGCTTTCGATTTCTTTTTCTTCTTTTTCTTGCTCTGCGAAGATGAACCTGCACCGGGTGTGTCTGGACCGTCATGAACCGTATCCGGTGCTCCATCGTCTACATCACTGTCCGAATCATGGACTTCGTTGGGACCTTCATCTTCGATTTGCACTGCATCGAGTACTTCTTCGACTTTCGCCTTGTCGGAGGTCATTTCGAGCACATGCAAGCTTGATTCGTGACCTGTAACTGTAAGTTGCAGTGAACTCTGCTAGAAAAACTAGCGCGCACTGAGGTTCCAGATGTGGTAAATTCTAAAATAATACGATCACGTGAGTAGCATTGACCAACCCGTGTAAGCTACACTCTGTTACACTCAAGCTGTTAAGCGCTGAGCTGGGCTATTCAATTATTCTCTGGCACTTACTATCCTCCGTGAAGAACGGCCGAACTAGTCTGATACACATGCCTTTGCTTCCTTGTCACTCGTTCCTAGAGCCTTCTCTCTATCTTTTCACTCCCATGAACCTCTCATGACCATGCAACAGCAGGCCCGGGGTACCACAACGACAAGCAACGATGTGAGGTGAGTCGATAAGCCATGTATTCCATGACTCAGCTTTTGATCCACGTCCGTGATGTAGATACATTCATCTGAAAGGTATGCGACTGTTGGTGATTTTAGACGCCTGTTCTGACAACCCATGCAGCAATCGATGTTAGATGTGCCAGCCTGTACAAGGAGCTTCAAATTGTGCTCAGGCTTGCATCTGAGAAGGAATGCAAGTCAGGTATCTTTAACAATGTTCGTTTATTGCATTGGGACTGTAATATGTATGTGATACCAGTTATTTTGCTGTGCTTCGAATAACAGTAATAAACGTTTATGGACAGCTATGTCAAATCTTCGAGCTCAGCAACCTTAACGATACAAGAATTGAAGAGTTTGGGTCGTGTTAGAGTAGTTGCTGCATTCAATACAGGCATAAACTTAGGTGAATTCAGAGATGGGTCAAAGCCTGAACGAAATGGTGTGTTAAATTATAATGCATTGTCTTACTTAATAGTGACAATACATGTACCATAGACGAAACTGCCAAAACCAGTGTTACATTTTCAGTCGGAGTGCCAAGGAAGGTATTATCTGTCTATCTCGCAACCTGGTTAGGTTCCTAACATGCATTAGGTCTCAGAAGTTGCCCAACTGCTTGCTTATGAAGCTGTTGTTGCACTTGGAACAAAGGTCTCCATGCTTGAAAAGATTGAAAAGATTTGTCAGGTATGTGAGCTTCCAATGGAACTAGGAGTTGCTATATCAGAGGTGAGTACTTAATGCTCTTCCCTGTCCGGAAATTGTGACAAGTGTCTTGAATAGATAGAACCACATGCAAAGGCAGCAGCAGCAGGTATTCAAATAGTTTTTCAGGTCAGATTCAATCAAAATCAGTGATGACTTGCATTGACAGTATGCTCCAGAGATTTCAGAAAATGGCTTCATGCCATAAGGAGCTTATCTCATTCATGGACAACGTGGTGGACCTCATACCAACAGTGAAGCATATTCTTCATCACGTCACAGACCAGGAAAGTCAAGCAGCTATTCAAAACTTTTTCAACTTCGTCAAGGAAGTTGCAGAAAATCTGAAGGAATATGCGTCTAAGGGTTCCCTGGGTACTGTCACGTCATTGTTGATTTGTATTGTATTGAATTTTCTATTTAGCCTTTCTTAAGAATTGGTTCAAGCCTAAAACAGATGATGTTCGGCAATTTAAGGATGACTTGGAAAGGTTGACACGTGCCCTGGACCTGAGTGTTCAAGGTAACATTCTTACACATACAGTAGCTATTCGTGAGTCCTCTGCACTAGACAACAGGCTTTTGCTGATCATATTTTACAGGTGAGCACCAGCTATCGGATGCAGAATTGAAATCTCTCAAGCGTCTCTGGCCACCTGAAAATAGTGCATTTGATCCGTCTCGTGGCTGTCTACCAGGTACAAGAGAAAACGTCATCAAAGAAACTACGCAGTGGGCGAGCACAGCAGGTCATGGTCAACAGCTGTATTGGATCCATGGGGTGGCAGGCTGCGGGAAAAGCTCTGTCGCTGCGTCTGTAGCGGAAGCGTTGGAACGGCAAGGGATCTTATCTGGATCCTTCTTTTGCAAACGCGACATTCACGAGCGGAAGAGTGCCAAGCGACTGATCCATTCTTTGGCGTATGTCCTGGCAGTGAGGCTGATGCCATATAGAAATGCGCTCCTTCGAATCTTGAAGGATAATCAACTCGTTGTCTATGAACCTCTTTCCTCACAGTTCAACACTATCCTCGCAATACCACTCTCAGAGATGTCTCAAGAGGCAGCTAAGGGACAAACAGTCATCATTATTATCGATGCTCTCGACGAATGCGACGAATGCGAGACTATCTCGTACTATCTCGTTAACTTGGTCCTTGCCGTGCCGTGGCTCAGGTTTATCATCACAAGCCGGCCTGTACCACAGATTCGGACAAACCTACTGCAGCACCAGAAGCTCCTGGAGTCATGCGATCTATTTGCAGCAACAACTGATGCTGACATCCTCTGCTTTGCCCAAGAACAATTTAAATCGAATACAAGGCTGCCAAAGGACAAACCAGGTCAGATCGAAGCTCTGGTGAAAAGATCGTCTAGACATTTTATATGGATTTCCACCGTTTTAAAACATGTCAGCGTTGCAGCATTTGGTAGGAGTAAACTATTGGAACAGATAATCGATCTGGATTATCAAGTATTATCTTATGAAGGGAATCTTGACACAGTTTACCTACGAGTGCTAGGCGATGCAGCAAAAGGTTATGTTGACGGCGAATACGCTGTCAAAATAATTCTTGGCCTGATCTTCATCATTTCTCAAAATAGGCCACTTCCTTCTCATGCAATACACACATTCCTTCCGTCTAACCTAGGTGCCGAAGAACACGAGTTGGAAGATATACTCGAACAACTTGGGTCGGTGCTTTACAAAGACCCTCAGACAGGTGCCATCCGTGCGTATCATCCATCGTTCCTCGACTTCATTGGGCGGAAGGAAAGGTCAGGATGTTTCTGGACGCCTGAGGTAGAGCTGGATACGCATATGGCGAGCAAGTGCCTAGATATCATGCTGGGAGTGGGAGGGCTTCGATTCAACATATGTGAGCTAGAGACATCGCTTTTACAGAATAACGACGTGGAGGACCTCTGTGCTCGAGTAGCCCGTAACATTACTCCGCAGCTTCAATATAGCTGCCTATATTGGTACAACCACCTTTTTCGAACTCAAAAAGGCGAACAGTCGACAGAGCAAATGCTCCAGACACTACACGATTTCTTACTCCAGACTTCGTCGTTGTACTGGCTGGAAGCCTTAAGCGTCATGTCAGAAATGAAATCGGCAGTCATGGTGCTCCAAGACCTTCAGGACGTCTTGAAGGTTCGTCATTTCACGCAAAACACTGATTTGTTTTAACTCACAATTTGTGAAGCGCTTAAAGGCTGACGAAGAGCTCATCTCCACCGCGTCTGATCTGTACCGCTTCACAATGGCATTCCAAGAGCCTATGACAATCAGTGCTCCACATATCTACATTTCGGCATTGTTGTGGACGCCTCTTAAGTCTATGGTCGCAAGTCGCTGCTACAAGAGCTTCAATAGTCAACACTGTATTGTGAAAGGGGTCAATGAACATTGGTCCGCCAATTTACATACAATGGCTATAGATGCGGCTGCCAATTGTGTCGCTTATGCACCAGATGGACGTCATATTGTTTCTGGGTGTACCGACAAGAGAATACACATACTTGATGCCCAGACAGGTACCCACACCCGCCCACCACTTGAAGGTCACCAAGGTTCTATTAATTCGGTTGCCTATTCACCAGATGGGCGGCACATCATCTCTGGGTCACGGGACAAGACAGTGCTGATATGGGATGCAGAGACAGGTGCACAAGTGGGTACATCGCTCAAAGGTCATCAAGGCTGGGTCTGCTCTGTTGCTTATTCCCCAGACGGACGCCATATTGCTTCCGGGTCCGACGACAAGACATTGCGCATTTGGGATTCCCAGACAGGTATTGAGGTCCGTCCACCATTTGAGGGTCACGAAGGCTGTATCAGTTCTGTTGCTTATTCGCCAGATGGACGTCGCATAGTCTCTGGGTCATTCGACTATACGGTGCGTGTCTGGGATACACAATCTCGCAAGGTCTACCCACCACTCAAAGGTCATCAAAACTGGATCCGTTCTGTTGTTTATTCCCCAGACGGACGTCATATTGTCTCTGGATCCGACGACAAGACAGTGCGCATTTGGAATGCTCAAGTAGGCGGTCAACCTAGCAGGGTACTCAAAGGTCATCAACGTCCTGTTAGCTCCGTTGCTTATTCTCCAGATGGACGTTGTATTGTATCCGGCTCGTGGGACAACACAGTGCGCATTTGGGATGCTCAGACAGGCACCCAGGTTGGTCAACTGCTTGGGGGTCATACAGACCCAGTTTGCTGCGTTGCATATTCGCCAGACGGATTCCATATTATCTCTACTTCATGGGAAAGGACAATGTGCATCTGGGACTCCCGTTCAGCCATCCAGGATCGACAACTGCTTTGGGGGCATAAAAGCACCGTTTGTACTGTGGCGTTTTCGCCAGACGGACATCAAATCGTCTCTGGGTCATGGGACAACACGATGTGCCTTTGGGACGCTCTGAAAGGCACCCAGGTTGGTTTACCGCTTCGAGGTCATCAAGGTTCTGTATTTTCTGTTGCATATTCACCTGACGGAAGTCAGATCGCCTCTGGCTCTGAGGACAAGACAGTGCGCATTTGGGATGCTCAGACGGGCGTCCAGATCGGTCCACCGCTTGAAGGACATCAAGGTTCCATATTTTCTGTTGCCTATTCGCTAGACGGAGACTGCATCGTCTCTGGGTCTGAAGACAGGACGATACGTATTTGGGATGCTCGGATAGGCATACAATTTGGCACTCCACTTGAAGGTCATCAAGGCTATGTACTTTCTGTCGCTTATTCACCAGACGAACAACATATCATCTCGGGATCTCAGGACGGTACGGTGCGCATATGGGACGCTCAGACAGGAGCGCAGATCGGCTTACCGCTCAAATGTACTAAAGGCAGAATCTATTCCGTTTCTTGTTCACCGGACGGACGTTATATTGTCTGTGGCTCGTCTGATAAGATAATACGCATTTGGGATACTCGGACAGGCATTCAGGTTGGCCTCCCTCTTACAGGTCATCAAGGCTCCGTCCGGTCTGTTTCTTACTCACCAGACGGACAATATATCGTTTCTGGATCTGAAGATAAGACGGTGCGCATTTGGGATACTCAGACGGGTGCCCAAGTTGGCCGCCCACTTGAGGGGCATCAAGGCTCTGTCTTTTCTGTTACATATTGGCTGTACGGACGGTATATCATCTCTGGGTCTGAGGACAGGACGATGCGCATTTGGGAAACAAAGAGTGTGGTCCAGACCAGTGGCTTGAATAGGGCAAGAGATGGTCGGCAGGCGTACTCCACGAACATTGACAGATTCATGTGGATAAACGAAAGCGCGATCGAAGTAGAAAGGTCGTCAACCGCGTATTCTGAGTATCCATCAAATGTCCCGAACGATGGTTGGATCCGAACACTGTCAGGAGGTTTGTTCTTGTGGGTTCCCCATGAGTATCGCGAAGGCATTTGCGATATGAGCTTGGACTGCTTCCCTCGTTACGCACCTGGACATCCTGTGAGAATTGATTGGCAAAAGATATGTCGCGGCAAAACTTGGACTGCTGTAAAGATTGGCAAAAATAAGTAGAAGTATTTGTTCGAGGATTTCGTCGTTGTGTATTTCCAGTCTTTGTCTTATTAGGTGTAAAGATAAAGTATAATAAATTATATCACACCAGAGTCATGCTACTGAAACACGTCCCCTCTAAATGAAGCATTCTAGGGCTTGAGGTCATTATGTGATTCCAAACGCCAGAAATCTTATAGAATAAACTAGTGAGATGTTTCTGAATTCAACCGCACCATTTATTGCGATATTACTGAATAGGCACAAGATAACGAAATGTAGTTAGCAAAAGAATAAATTTGTAAGTCAGCAAACGGGACGGGTAAGAATATAAAGCATTAAAAGTAGGTGCGTTATACAGGATAGAAGCATAAACAGACAAGCGGAGTACGTTGAGAAGCCGTATGCCTTCGAGATGCATTAATTCATTATTTGATTTTGTCTAAAGGCCTGTTGAAGCCTCCGCGTCTGCAAGAGTTTGTTAGTCAATCTTATGATACCCAAAGGACGCTAAAGCCATACCGATTCATGTATTGACGCCATGTCCGTTGTTTTTTGATGTTCACTGCACCATCTTCATTACCAGTGACAGGTTTTCCCTAGTAATATCATCAGCTAGGTCACGGACATAGAGGTGGAGTTGCGGACCTTTGTTGAGTCAAACCCGCCGAAACCCATCAACACTCTCATAGCAGCGTCGTCATCATTTTCTGCGTCCATGGGCTCCTCTTCCTCTCCCTCTTCTCGGCCATCTGGGTCAAGATCAACCCTTCGGTCATTCCGGCTATTTGCTGCCGGCTGAACAGGCCCTGAACGTGGAGGACTGCGCTCGATGGACCGCTTTCGGTCGTGCACACCAGTTCGACGAAGTTCTTTATCATCAGGTGTCCTATCACGTTCTCGGTGTTCTTCTAGCCTATCCCTATCTCTTTCTCGATATTTGTCTCGTCTGTCATCGTATCGGTCACGGCCATAGTCTTCATACCATTTCGTCAACATTCGGTAATGACTTTTGCATGAAGAAAACATACCTCTACGGTCCCGCTCTCCACCTTTCCGTATAGGGCTCCTAGATCTGCTTCGACGAGTTCGACGTGGAGAGGTCCTTGATCTACTTCTCCGACCACTATCGTATCCCCGTCGCGGTCTCTCTTTTTCTCTGTCCCTATCCCTTCCTCCACCTCTATCTTTGTCTCTTGTCCTGTCACGTTCGTCGCGTACCCAGCTTCTGTCTCGCCTTCTTCTGTCGTCTCGTGAAGACATAGCAGCGAAATGAGCCCGGAAGAGCAAGATACAACGCCATGTCCACACGCGTCAAGACGCTGTAAGTGTCACGTGAGCCACCATTACCCAGTTTGCTCAATGCCACCACCACTTCATTATCGTGTATCTTGTCTGAGCTCTGTATCTCATCAATTTCTTTGTCGTGGAACCTTTTTCTTGGATATATGACTTTTCTGTATGATGTGGTTTTTGCACTCAGCCTTGTCACTTCTGGCTTTGGTCCCCTTTTGTATTGCTCGAGTCTCCTAAATGACTTCTCGCTCTCTGGTCAAGATTCGGTACTCCTCGACAAAAAATCGGGATATTCTCATACCTGTTCTCCAGAAAACTCTTCTACCGTATCGGAGCGTTTGGCATATATGACAACGACATCCATGACACCCTCCTCTTCAAGCCATTTGGACGGGAGTCATAGACTTAGCCACCTCCTCCACCCTGGTCTCACATACGGGCCCAGTAAGAGAACAGGGCAGGTTGATAACGGAGAAAATAAAAGAAATGCGCACAATGTACAGACCAATACCCAGGAGTCACCGCAATCTGTCATTTTCTCCCCTGTCGGGACTACCCCTTATATGCTGCCTCCAATAGAGACAAATGCACTTGTGGCCAAAGACGGAGTTCTGAATGCCAAATCTGAAAAGAATCCAGTTACATATCCTCGCGTTGTACTTTTGATCTCTGCTATTTCCGGGTCCGCATGGAAGTTTATTTCCAGAGTCTTGCAAGTGACCTCCTTGTTCTTTGTGGGCTTGATCATAGGCATCTCCTTCTCGTATTCTGGTGCACTATTATCACTATTGAATGTATCTTTGCGGAACTGTGGATATATGACCGTCCAGGGCTTATACAGGCGTATCTCGGGTTGGCTTCTCAAACGGCGTTACTTCAAAATGGCCCCGAAACACAAGCAGCCTCTTCGACCAAGTCTGAATGAAGCCACGAGCCGATACCACCACTCTCTGTTTTGCTCGTCTTCTACGGACTGCGTCGATTGCAAAACTAGAGAAAGTAGTTCTGATGTCGAGAAACTCCCCATGAGCGAACTTGACGATGTGTTCATATCATCCGATGACGAAGGCTTCTATGCGTACGATTGCTCCTGTTCGGACTTGGAAATGGAATCTCGTTATGCTTTCGCGTCACCTTTTGAAAGTGGTGGCTTCGTTGATCGACATATGGATCATTTCTATCGTGGTGAAATCGACTTAGCTGACAAGCAAGGCGCCAAACACAACATTCCGGATGATTCAAAGTCCATTTGTCGTGATATTGACTCTAGCGCCCGGTTTCACTATGCGCCGACGATGTTAAACACTGAAGTCAAAAGTCCTGCTACTCAGACAACCCATGCGCTGGCAGATGGTAGCGGTGGAGTTTCTCGCTCCGATCCTGTTGATTCTGATGATATCGCTATGATGAGTCCGTCTCTTGAGGACCAAGATCACTTCCCCATCTCTCCGCTTTACATACCACCCCACAAGCGCTTTTCTGGTCTTCATGCGAAAGAAGCTCGTTCATGGAAGAACGAGAGCTTGCCACCGGCGCTCACTTCTCTGGAAGCAACACAACTACCTAAATCACGTCAGCTACAGTACGAGTTTTTCAAAGACTTCCTCAGGAGTTTCGGCAAGCGACGCCAAGCACCCACTGTTCTGTCTACTTCGGAAGGTAAACCGCCATTTCACTGCGAGCTTAACTGGAGAAATAGGGAACCGAAGACTCCTTTGGCTGGAAATCGGAGCTCTTCTCGTCCAGTAGGGCTGGAGCGGGTCGTTGGAAATATCGGTGTCCGTGCCCGCTTTTGATTCATTAATATATGTAATTTTAAGGCTCACGTATGGCTTCATTCATCCAGGTCGTGAAGTCTAAAGACCCAGTCGTGCCAGACAAACTACATGATGATAATGCAGGGATGCAAAATAAGGTGTCGAGAATATTACCCGGAAGTGACACTCTTTGCCCTGCGCCAGCGGCTCAGAAGGTTGATGCGATTCCTTGTTCCCAGTGTCGTTCCAAAGTTGGCTCGAGCCTCGATAGCCGCTTCAAAGCTCTCGGCATACCCGATTTTTTGAGTGGTGGTGTAGAGGAAAGAAAGAAGGATAGGTCGGATACGACGCAAGTCGAAGTCATACCGTCCCGAATCCTTTTGCTTCGCGATGTTTCAATCGTGGGCAGACGTTCTCCCGAGAAAGGGGTGCCCTCTGACAAAGGATCGGTCGAGTTTGACAAGCATAACGATTGCAAATACAGGGGTTCTAAAAGTACTGGAATTGAGCATGTCCCTGACGGCGACGAGTTCTGAGCAGTTAGACAAGACGCTCTTTGCACATTTTGCCACCTCGTAAATGCCTGTCCTACTTTTCTCTTGCAACACCTTCTATTCAGGACACAAACTAATTTATATCCATGTTTCTACTTTAGTCTTGTATACTGTCAAATTTTCCAATGTCCACTTTAAAACTATACATTTACTTATCCTTGCTTTCGGTTTGAATGCGAGGACATTAACGATAAGATTAGTGGAGGAGATCGGCGGACTGATCGACGGTTGCCTCTTTGAGTGTCTGATGCTGAGTTGAGTGATCGTTCTCTAAACCTCCTACCATGAGCTTCACCTTGCAAGGAGCTACGCTGCCCGGGAAATCAACATGTAATACCCTGCGACGATTTATCTCGTCTTCTCAGACTACCTGCCAAAAAGGCAAGTCTAAGCAAAGTCGGTAACCTCTCTGGTCTTTTAATTCTCAAGAAATGTTCTTCGCAGCTCCAACTCCTGCTGTCTTCCGATCCGTGGTGAATCCTAAAAAGGACCAAAGACTTATTCGTCTTTCGGGATTACCTAGATCTGCGAAACCTGCGGATGTGCTCCGGCTCGCGAGACACTCGTTAAATGATGAAGGCTCGGTGATGAATGTTGCGGACGGTGCGTTTCATTTCAGGTGTACAGTAAAAACATCTTTGCCAACCTCAAGTGCTGATAAAACTACATATTCCATTTCCATTGCAGCCAAATTGGAATACTGGCGTTTCGTACCCACCGGACGAGCGTACATATCAATGCGTTCGGACCACTACGTCGATGCTGCCTACAGGGCATTGAAGAAAACGCAGATGTCGTCGCTCCCTGTCAGAGCGTTCTACGTTTCCGCTGCTGAAACACAAAGACGCATGCGTGGACGGAAAGGACGTTTCGATGCCGCTGACCGCGCGGCGTTTGATGGTATTGGTATTGGTGGGGGTGTGGAACCGAAGGGATGTGACGTGGTGTTGTATGGGCTGCCTCCGGACACTGCTGCTCCTGCTTTGAGACTTTATTTGAAGAGGAACAGGTTGGTTGGCGTTGCGTCTAATGGAGAGCCGGCTTGCGATGTACTGAAAGTGGATCAGTGAGTGAACTTACTATCTACTGAGAAATTAAGAAAAGATTTATGTTAATTGTTCGTTTTTTTTCCTTCTTCTTATCTTCACGTCCTTCCGTTTGGCTAGACCGGAACGAAAGTCATTCACTAGCATTTCAAAGCATTTGATACGATTGAACTCGCCTGCGGAGGCGCATGCTTTCGTGAGGAAGATGCACATGACGTATTTCTTGCCTGAAGTTTGGTCCAATAGGTTTTTGTTACAAGCTAGAGTAGTATATTAATTTCTTGATGGATGAGATATATAATTGCATTCTTTCTTAATAGCTAGCTTTGTTGATGGCCAATGTTGACGTGAACTGACGATTTCGATGCAACTGGCGGAAAAATGATACAGATAGCAGAATGAACTAACACAGGAATAGAGATACTTTATTACATCCTCTCCGCTTCACCGTCCTGATCTGTGCGCATTTTCTGGCCCTACAAGATAGGATTTAATCAGTTTACACCATCAAAATTATAGGATCGGATACTTACCGCTCTAAAAGCATCGTCCTCTGGCGACCTTCCGCGCTTAAGGCTCGGCTCCGGAACAGCCGCCGCCTTCCAGTCTCCACCACCACCAGCAACAGCTCCCGGCCCATCCTGCGCATCAGCGTATCTAGCCTCCACCTCACGTCGTCTCTCCATTTCCAATCTCTGTGCTTGTGCACCCCAGCCTCCACGTCCTGCGTCGTAATCCATTCGATGCTCGTCTCGGACTTGTCCTCCGCTCTTGCCTCGACCGAATTGTCTGCCTTCTCGGTAACCAAGGTCGAGGTCGCATCGGATGACGCGTTCGTCGAGTTTTGTCCCGTTGACGTATCGCATGCATGCGAGCGCTTCTGCGTGAGAGTAGTATTCGACGAAGCAGAAGCCGCATGGTGTTCTGTACAGTAAAGCAGAAGACGTATGAGAAAGAGAAACTTAATGAGTGTCAATGAAGAAGAAGGATCGCATACCGAGTATTCCTGTCGAGTCCCATGATAATTCGCTTCACGCCTCCTCCTTCCTCAGGACTGGCAGCTTTAGAGAACAACTCATATATTTGTTCTTCAGTCGTGTAGAAACTCAGATTACCAACCTGCATCGGAGCAATTCAATTAGTCAGTCAAATCCAATCTTTATAAGTTGAAGTCGCATTTTGGAAACTAGGAATGAAGGTAGAAGCAAGACTAACATAAAGCGTCGTCGACTTGGACAGAAGATCGTTCTGCTTCTGTCTATCGACTTTTGATTGAGAGTCCTTGTAGTTTGAGGGCTGGTCGAGGGAGGGTACGACGTGTGCCATCAGTCGTTAAGCCAGTTTTGTTATTTTTTCGTTTTATTTTTCGTCAACGTCGTTGCTCCAGAAAGAAGTAGATGTTGAGTATTGAATGAATTGAAGCGCGTCAGAGTTTGAAGTTGCGCACGTGATTTTGGGTTAATTTGGTCACGTGTCGTGCAGATCGCCACACACGAATGAAATCGGTGATCGCTGCATCTTCAGCGTGGACTGTCACAAACACTGATACATTCGCGATGGCAAGTTATATGCTCTACAATGTACATTATTAAACTGATTAATCGTACCTCTTGTCTTGGTATAGTCGAAAACGGTCGATATACCCGATGAGCTAAAGGCAGCACTCCGCAAGTTTCGATTTGGTCGGCGCAGCAGTAGCGCAGCTATGGTCGTCAAGATCGACAAGAAACAACTCAAGATGGTCGAGGATGAGACGTATGATAATATTAGTATGGAAGAGCTTGCTGAAGGTATGCATGTCTTTCTATCCCGATCAAAGTTATAGTAATAATGATATTGTTATGTATTAACGTTCGTCTAGAACTACCCGAGAACGCGCCACGATATGTCGTACTGTCATATGAAGTCAAATATGACGACGGCCGAACGAGCTATCCTCTCGTATTGATTAACTGGTCGCCTAGGGGGAGTGAGACGAGTCTTCTAACCTTGCACGCCAGTGCGCTCATAGACTTCCAGAATACTGTACGTGGCTCCTCTCCTTCAAAGTCTCCTGTGCTGATCGTGGACATTCATTGCCAGGTGGACGTCCAGAAAGTCGTAGAGATAAGAGACGGTGCTGAAGGCCTGACACGGGAGGCTATCGATGCGAAGCTGAAGTGATATGAGATCTAATTCATCCGGAGAAATATCGCTCCTGTTGTAGATTACGCATTAGCATTGTACAAGTATAAGGTAAATAGATAGTTGCCATGTCGTACCGTTAAATGTCCTTCTTGCTTTCGTTACTAGTTGTCGGCTTGTCTTCACCCGCAGTTCTCCACTGATAAGCGACCATAATCTGGCATAGCTCCCAGCAATTAACGATCAAAAATAATATGCTGCAGATCCACACGTAATAGTATACGTTCTTCCCCAGAAACTCGAGGTCGTACGCGAATTTAAGCCAAAGAGCTTGTGCACCTACCCAAGCTGCGATCATCATAATTGCCTTGGCCCGAGCGATGGCAAGCGATGGAAGAACGAGTGGAAGGATGGTCAGATACCAGAGGAAGTACTACAAAGAACTTCAGCAGCAATTCTTATCCAATTTGCAAGGCGATGACTCACTTGCGATGTGCATACTTTATTGAACGTCACAAAAGCTGCTGTTTGCACAAACCATGTAAACGGTAGGTGTTGCGAACCCGCTCGTCCGAATACGAGACCAGAACCCAAGCTCAAAATCATTTGAGGTACAAATGAAGCAAAAGGTGATCGTGCGAAGCGCTGCCACAATGCAGGCTGCCCAGGTTGCAAGTACGCGTAGGCAGGGTGTGTAAGGTATATGGGAAGCCAATAAGGTGAGAAGTTGTGCTTGTGGTCGAGACGATGGATATGGTATAGGTATGTTTCGTAGAGGAATGGATATCCCCAGCTATCAAGTTTTTATATATAAAACGATTAGAATACAATGAGTATCAAGTAAGGAGTCAGCACGTACATGAGGTACATTATTCCATTCAAAAGCATAAATGTTCCAGCGCTGGTAATTGCAAAACGAATGCTTCGTTTGCTGACGAGATCTTGTACCCAGGAATTGATGCTTGAATCCTTCGCAGATTCAGACGCCATTACGGCGACGATGCTCACTCCGTAAATGAGTGGGTATATCTTCCAGTGTGTCGCGGCTCCAAGCATAACGGCGGTTGCGTCCCAAGTCCTCTGTGTCTTTCTAGGTATCATCGCGAGATATAACGTCATGATAACAAGAGCTCCGAGAGTGGACTCTGACGAGCCACGAGTTGAGATAGAGAAGACCATAGGGTTGAGTAAGTGTAATGACGCGTATAACGTTGCGTGTCGTTCACGTTGCTCGTTCGTTGCTTCTGGCATTGTACGAGGTAACACAGTCGACAAAAGGAGCTTGTACAGAAGAACACCGACTATAATGTCGCACGCGGAGAAAAGATATTTCCCGAAAGACGGATGCAATAATATGTTTGGTGTCATAATCAGGGCAAGTAGAGGAGTGTAGCGGTAGGTTTCGCGGTAGTATGGGCTTATAGTCTTTTTAGTACTTGCAACGCTTTCAATCATTATGGTAGTAATACTTACTCCCCAAAACCAAAGTACTCTCCAAGCCGCCCTTGGGCGACATTTTCTCGTCTGTTCTCAGAAGCAGGTACCGGATGAAGGAGAAACCGAGCTGCGTCGGTGAAGACTCGGTAGTCGACGTCTGTGTACTTTACAACCGAGTGTTTGTCATGCCATTCGCTGTAGAATATGAGAGCTATTCTCAGTACTATTGAAAAGAGAACGACTGTCTTGAACGAAGTGTTCTTCAAGGATGAGAATACCATCGACGTAAGTAAGGAGGCCAGACTTCAAATTCGCGTCGATCACGAAGGAACCTGCGCGGTCACGTGGAGTCGCAACATGATTTCTTATGTAACTTTTGTACACAAAATTGTTAATTCTTTGACTTGGTGAAACCATCAGCACTTCGTCCTTTCTTTCTCAACTGCTCATCATGTTATGAAAGGAATGTCTAGAATGCTTACTGAAGGCCTTTCTCTGTACCGCCTTTCATCATGCTTCAGCACAGCCTTCACTGCTCTTGGCACTCCGCCAGTGTAGGTGGGCGTATGTCGAGGGTAGATTTAAATCAGGGCGATCCTTTTCGCTTGATGTAAGCGGAGTTTACGGTGCCTGTGGTGGCGGGTCAGTAGAGCCATGTGCGCTTACCTGTCTGCGCTCGCCCTCTTGTTGTACATTAGTGCTGGATCTTTTTCTGACTTGGTTTTCAAATACTGTGATAGAGCGTTTGCGCTACCTTTCTCGGCTCAGATTCACTGTTCTTTGAAAGATGGCAGATACTTTACAAAAGTCATCCTCTCAAGCACCCGCCCATTAATTACAGAAATCAGACTAGCGTCGCATCAGAGTCGGCTATTGAATCGCTCGGCCCCAGTTCTCCATACGGACTCTTGGCTGTCTCGACAAATGTTTCGACGAACCTTTAAAAATAGCTGTGCTCCGCTCACCGCCCAAACATCTCTTCTCTGGCCTTCGGACGTCTCTCAAATATTTAACTTGATACCTTCTTGACGCTCCTTCTCGTTATTTCCCACTTTCGCTTGGATAAAACGTTTCGGCTAATCGACGGCGATGGTCAAGTTTACGATTCTTGCGGGCGGCTACAGCGCGTACATCTCGACATACTCCTTTGATTCAGACAGCAGTACTCTGAGTCTAGTTGGTCAGTCACCAACAGGCGGGAATGCTTCCTGGCTTTCACTTCACCCAGCAAACAGCAGTATTCTCTAGTAAGATGCGTTCTGTTTCATGATTTACGACTTAAGCTAAGTACTGGTACAGTGCTGTTAATGAAATTGACCAAGCTGCACTGCAGTCGTTCGTGGTTCATGAGGACGGGCTCTTGAGTGACGCCATATCCACTGTCCCCACCCTGGGATTGTCTCCGACGCATAATCATCCACTCAAAACTGGACAGGTCTCGGTCATGAACGTAATCTTATTCTCTGTTTTCGTGTATATATTCGTGATATTTACCTCAAGAAAAAATAGTGGAGTACGGGAAATGGAAGGGTCTTTCCCACATCACCTGATGGACTATACTTCGATAACTCGTCGGCGCCTGTTATCACCTTCCCAGCAAACCAGTCGCACCCACACGAGACCGTTGAGCATGAGGATGAAATCCTCGTTCCTGACTTGGTATGTTCTGCCGTCTGTGAACGAATGATCGTGCGACTCAATTCCTTTCAGGGAGCGGACACGATCTGGCGCCTTGTACAGGAATCCCCTGATACACCCGGCACGTGGAAGATCCAAGGTTCCATACCTCAGCCAAAAGGCTCAGGGCCGCGTCATATCGCACTTGCAGGTCAGTGAATACAGGATTTTCAAAGTCTACTCTTTCTTATATGAATTAGACGGCTTCGTCTACACATTGCACGAAACAAGTAACACATTGGTATCCCAAGTACTCCCCAGTGAACCAAACGGTACCTCAGACTACATCGCGAACATCTCCGTCATCCCTACCGACCTAGTCGAAGGTGCGAAGATGGCAGCAGCCGAGATCCTCATACCAGCCGTCTCAGATACGTTCTGCGAACCCTACATCTTCACCTCGAATCGTAACATGGGTACACAAGACCCTCGCGGCGATCCTATCACAATTATCCGTCGTGGTGCGAAGGGCGAGCTTGAAGTCTCTGGATTCGTGTACACAGGTCTTAGCATAATTCGCAGCATGGCGTTCTTCGGTGAAGATGACAAGTACCTCATTGCGGGTGGTCAGCAGGGTGATGCGGGTGTGGTTGTGTATGAGCGCACGGGTGACGGCGGCGAGCTTACTCTCGTCGCGACGAATAAGGAGGTACCGACTAGGACATCGTTCGTGAGCATCCAGGAGTATTAGGTTTTGAGGCTTTACTTGATTGATAGTGGACAATTGATCATAAATAAGTTAATTACCGATACCCAGCATATTTATCTTTGATACTCGTTCGAACATGGGACATTGTGCTGTGTTTGTGGTCTAAGGAAATAAATGATTGAACAGGGTGCTGCAGCTGCCTTTCTCTAATCAGAGATTGCATTCGTCCTAATACTATTAAACAACGTTCATCCTTCCCCTCATTACACACGTTTCGGTTGTCGAGTGGTTATTCTGTAGTAAGTGTGAGTCTGCAAGCTAACAATATGATGCTGGATTTATTACGAAGCTATTCATATGGACCGATGTCCAAAGATTGGGACATTAGTATTAGGGATTTTCCGAGCATGAAGGTATCCAAGGCCTCATCGGTGTATGCATATATAGGCAAGAATTCTACCTCTTACGCACTTTTTACCTCCATGGCAAGTACGCTTCGACATATGCTTACAGATGTATCTGACCCAGGGTAACGTCTATGATTAACGTTTATGTCCTATTGCAGGCAGCCAATAGTAAAGCTCTCTTAGGACCGGCTACACTACAATACCCACAAGAATATGCACTGTATACATTAAAACGGTAACGAAAAACCTGCAGTCTCGCTTATTTGCGCTTCATTACATCAGTCCATGTATTCCCGTGGCACAATCTCTGCCAATTAATCCGTACAGGCTGTGGGACATTGTGTGGAATGCACAGTAGACGCCTATCGCATATGTTCTCCCAGTACCTGTAGGGAACCCACAGCACTAGCCCGCCCTCCGGCGTGCGAATCCATCCATCGTCCATGATACATGGTGGAACTGGTAGAAGTAGTTGGAAAATATTCTCATCCACAGAATTGGAGTCGATAAACTCGCCGTCCTTGGAGAATCCGCGTCGATTGGCTCTGGGCTCACGGAAATTGGCAGTTGGAGTACACTCCAAAACGTCCCGGACGTTCCAGACGCAGATCGTTCCGTCGTCAGATCCAGAGGTAAAGTAATGACCATCCCGGGAATATGCTATACAGTTGACCGGGCATGGTGGGCCTGGCAGAGGGTCACCAACGGGGTCACCACTCTGGGCTTCCCATATACGAACAGTATTGTCGCTGGACCCGGAGACGATGTATCGCCCGTCTGGGGAATACGCTACACAATTAACGGACAGAGAATGCCCACATAGGGGTTCACCGACGGGTGCACCGCTCCTGGCATCCCAGATGCGGATTGTTCGGTCGGCAGACCCGGAGACAACACGTCGTCCATCCGGTGAATATACTACACAGTTGACCGAGCCTTCGTGGCCACGGATGGGCTCTCCAATAGGATCGCCGGAATGAACGTCCCATATGCGGATTGTTCGATCGGCCGACCCAGAGATGATGCTCCATCCATCCGCAGAATAGGCTACACTAGTGATCGAGCCTTCATGGCCGCGTAGAGGTCCACCAACGAAGCGCCCGCGATGAACATCCCAGATGCGGATCGTTTGGTCTGCAGACCCAGAAACAATATGTTGTCCGTCCGGAGAATATGCCACGCAATTAACGGAGCTCCGATGACCACGTAGAGGATCACCAACGGAGTCGCTACTCTGAGCATCCCAGATGCGAATTGTCTCATCATCAGACCCAGTGACAATTCGCTGTCCGTCTAGTGAGTATGCTGCACAATTGACCTTACTGCCATGACCACGCACGGCCCTACCAAAGAGATCGCCGTTCTTCGCATCCCAGGTGCTAATGGTTCCGTCACCAGATCCGGACAAGATGTGCCGACCGTCCGGAGAGTATGCTACACAGTGGACAGAGGGCTCATGACTATACATGGGCTCGTCAATAGGTTCACCGTTCTTAGCCTCCCAGATCCGAATTGTTTTATCGAAGGATGAGACAATATGTTGTCCGTCCAGAGAGTACGCCACGCAACTTACACTGTGCGTGCGTCCCAGCGTAATCGTAATAACTGGGTCACCACTCTGAGCATCCCAGAGGCGGATTGATTCGTCACCAGATCCGGAGAGAATGCGTCGTCCATCTGGAGAATAAGCTATACAGTTGACTGGTCCTTCATGACCACGCAAGGGACCTCCGACGGAGCCACCGGATTGAACGTCCCAGATACGTAGTGTTTGGTCTACAGACCCAGAGACGATGTGCTGTCCATCTGGAGAGTACACTACACAGGAGACAGCGTGTACATGGCCGTGCAATATTCTATTTATGGTGTCACCAGACGGAGCGCACCAGATGCGAATAGTTTGGTCGGAAGATCCAGAAGCAATATGATGTCCATCTGGAGAATATGCTATGCAATTGACGGAGTCCCGGTGACCATGCAAGGGTTCACCAATAGTGTCACCACTCTGAGCATCCCAGATACGGACTGTTTTGTCGTCAGACCCAGAGACAATATGTCGTCCGTCTGGCGAGTACGCTACACAATTGACCTTATTATCATGACCGCGCAAGGGTTCACCAATAACTTCTCCGCCTTGGGCGTCCCAAATGCGGACGGTGCCGTCGCTAGACCCAGACGTAATACACCGACCGTCTGGCGAGTACACCAAGCAATTGACCTTGCCGCCGTGACCACGCATGTATGCACCAACGGGGGCACAGGTCTCAGCATCCCAGACCAGTATATTTCCATCCTCAGACCCAGAGATGACATGCCTTCCATCTGGGGAATAAGCAACGGAGCACACAACAGAGAAACTCCGAACTATTTTCGATCCACTTGGCCAGTGTCTTTCAATTCCTCTTATCACGCAGTTCTGACTATCAAAGTCTGCGGACAACATCTTTCCGATGATAGTCTCCGACGGCAACCATAACAAGGCCGAAATGTATACGTGCGGTGTACTGACGGCCATAGGTTGGTAGAATGTCTTTACAAAACGATACAGATCCGAAGCAGTATTCTGGAGTTGGTCATCCGCGTTTAGATGCTGTTAAATTGTTAGTTTCGGTCAATATCATAATATCATGAGGATGAGGGAAGATCCACCGAACCTTGAGAGCAACAGGAGCCTTCCGCAGTATGAATATCGCTTCTCTAAGTGCACCCATAAGACTCAATGCTTCTAACCAATACAGCGACGTCCTCTGGCAGAAGAGATTACGCAACAATTGCCACAGAGGTTCTCCGCTAGTGCGTGCTTCGGCCATATGGTTCAACCAGTATGAACAGCTGTATTGAAGCTGTCGAGGGATGTATTCATTCACGCGCTTCGGGAGATCTACTACCTCGCTGTTGGGGAGGTATGACGTTTCCAAATTGCAAATGTTGAAGCGGAGTCCATTCAACATAATTTCCAAGCACCTCCTCGCCATGATGCCGTCCAGTTCCGCCGCCGCCATCCAGAAACGGCCAGACCTATTCTTACTCCCAACGAAATCCAGGAATGATGGATGGCAAGCACGGATCGCGACTGTTTGCGAGTCTTTGTATAACACCGAACCTAGATGCTCGAAGAAAGTATCTAACTCTTTTTGTCCCGCACCAAGGGCAGGCGGGAGAAAGGCGTGTATTGCTTCGGAAGGAAGTGGCCGATTTCTCGAAATGACGAGGATAAGGCCGAGGACAACTCTGATTACATGTTCTCGATCCGTAGAACCCTGCGAGGTATCTTCAAGAACCCGAAGGTACACTGCGTCGAGATTGCCTTCAGAAGTGGACGCGCACGGATCTGAGTCGATTATTTGCTGCAATAATTTGTCCTTTCCAAGAAACACGATACTGACATGCTTAAGGACGGTAGCAATCCATATAAAATGTCCTGAAGCTCTTAGTACTAGAGCGTCGACCTGAGTTGGCCGGACTTCGGGAAGCTCTGGATTTAGCCTGAATTGCGCTAAAATGAAGTGACGGATGTCCTCGCTTGTCGTCGCCTCAAACAAGTCGCACTGCTGAACGAGCTCCTCGTTTCGCTTCATAATTCCCATAATGCGTGGACTTGGTCGGCTAGTAACAATGAGCCTGATCCAGGAGGTAATTTTCACCATTTTGACAAGATACGATGCTACAGCATCACCATTTTCACACTCATCCAGAGCATCGACAACGACGACGAATGTCAGTCCTGAGCCCATATTTTGAGATATATCTGAAAGAGGCTTTGCCAATAGCGTGTCGAATTGAGACAAGAGAGGCTGGTCAAGGATGACAGGGTCATCCTTCAGGATTCGAATAAGAGCGTTCCTGTACGCTGGTACCCTCCTTGCCAGAAAGTACGCCAATGAACTGACCAGTCGACTGGAGCTTCTTCGTTCAGGAATGTCTCGCTTGCAGAAGAACGAGCCGGACAGAATCTGCTGCTCCTTCAGAACCTTCGCCACTGACGCTGCGACGGAGCTTTTCCCGCATCCCGCGACTCCGTGGATCCAGAAAATTTGTTGGGAATGAGCTGCTGAACGTATCCATTTCTCGATGTCTTGTAGTACGGCACTCCTCGTTCCTGGAAGACAGGCGTGTGATGGATCAAACGCGCTATTTTCGGGAGGCCATAGGCGCTTCAGCGCATTTTCTTCTGCTTCAGAAAGTTGATGCTCCTCTGTGGATTTAAATGAGTGAAAGTGCCTCTTTCAATACTGAGTACGCACGAATTGCCGATGCTACTCCAAGTATGTTACTCTGCATACCGATATTCAGTCTGCGTATGAGGCGCTCCAACTGGTCCTTGATCTGCTGAATCTCATCTTTCCTCGGTTTGTACCAATTCTGAAGGATAAATCCTATGCAGAAGTCAGTATATCGTTACTGAGGAGGGAAAACTACCATACTTAAGGGAGGTTTAGATGCATAGTTCTCCAAGTTTTTCGCCAAGCGTATGACAAAGTCAAAGAACTGTTGGACAGTATCTTGAACTTCACGCTCTGTGATGCGCTCGAGTGCGAGCTCCATTGTAGGTAGCAGCTCCACCACATCGTCCATGAGCGCCACGAGCTCCTCGTGAAAAGAGGGTATGTCCTGAAATCTCTGAAGATGGGTGTCACCACAAGCTCAGCATGCTATGAAAATTAGTTGCACCTTGAAAACAGCGGTGACAATTGAAGTAGCAGCCTTTGCGTAGGGGTTTACCTACTCAAAGTTCTCACTGTGAAGTCTAGACATATGATGGCATGTGTACTCACCTCGAATGCAATAGCACCCAATTTTAGCACGATATCACATACCTGGAACACACTTTCGAGTCTACCAAGCATAGTCACCTTCATCCCAAGTGCACCTATAGTCCCTGGGGCCAATAGGCGTGCAACATGAAGGCCCTGCAGTGCACAAAGTGAGATTTAAATGGGCTTGTGGGCTATAGACGACTTACTGATTTCGGCTCCCCCAAAACTAGTTTCATGTTCGAGTTCTTCCCTACAGGAACAATCAATATTAAGCAAAGTACTGCTTAGCATACAATTATACCAATATGTGTGGTTGTTGCCTCCTTAGCCTCCATTGAGTTGAAGTCCACGTCAAACTCGTCGATTGTTCTTCGAAATCCCAAGCCCTTTAAAGACTGGATCAAGAGAACTGCATTCGTATCGGATTTCAAGTATCTGAGCAATGTGATCAGCATGACAGAATGAAGCACAGTCATAGTCGTATACATATCACAGTCCCAGTTTATCGATTTCGTATCCTTGAATAGCTTTGATTCATGTCTGAATGCCGACCCATGCTTGATCTCGAGTTTGACTTCGGAATATGGGCGAGACCGCGTAAACTGGATGTTTATAGCTATATATAGAAATGCAGAGGCGTTGTGCGAAGGTTGTGATGTGAGTACCTCTTAAGTGAAGATATCTATTGGTTCATTAGCGTGACGTTCATTATGTATCTAAGTGTACTTTCTCACTAACCTGAATTTATTATCAGACAGCAGAGCGGTCTGATGTTCCTGATCCTGCAGAGATATCGTGGACATTGTTGAGGCTGTACTGGTATACTATGCACGGATTTGAATTTTGTAGAGATGCGTTGCTCGGGTTTTCCCGCTCGTGTAAACATTTCATTTTCCCTCGATGCCTTTATTTCCTTTTTAGAAACTCAGCGTATTACAACACTTAATCCTGTGCTTGGAGTTGTGCTTGTCAATCGCTGGCTCATACAGTAGAGTAGCGATTTATCCTGTGCCTATAAGAGAAATTTTAGTCAACCGGACATAAGCCCTAAGTTGAGCACAAACGCAGGTCCTTGATACTATCCTAATTCAATTTAGAAAATCATTCCGCTTTGGCCACGTCGTAGTTTCTCACGCGTCTTTCGTCATACCTCCATCCCGATTTCCTTGATTCCTTTCCCCCAGTAGCCAGCTTGCTCTGCGTTGTGCAGCGACCTGATACACAATGTGGATTTGGAACTGGTTCGTTGACGTCCTTTCGCAGCTTGGTGTGTTTCCTTCGTCTCTATGTATGGATAAATTGAGTGTTCTGACGCGTCACTTCTAGGGCTGCTGAACAAAAATGCCAAAATTCTCTTCCTTGGTTTGGACAATGCCGGTAAAACGGTACGTAAAGGTTTTGTCCGAATGTTATGACATTGAATATTCATTATAAGGAATAGACATTGCTTCACATGTTGAAGAATGACCGACTTGCGGTCCTCCAACCCACGCTTCATCCTAGTCCGTCTTACGTTCACTTTCATTCCGTCCACCAACTAATCATCTTATTGTAGCATCTGAGGAGCTTGCAATTGGTAGCGTCAAATTCACGACATACGACCTTGGAGGTCACGTACAAGGTACGTGTTGGTTCATCTACGTCGTGACAACGGACTGACGTGTCCTTCTTTCGTGTCCACTACACAATACTCGTCGCAAACGACTTCATATAATCAGCACGGCGACTCTGGCGTGATTATTTCCCAGAAGTAGACGGTATCGTTTTCCTGGTTGACAGCGCAGACCACGAACGTTTCTCAGAGTCAAAGGCGGAGCTCGACGCGCTTCTATCAATCGAGGAGCTCTCAAAGGTTCCATTCCTTGTGCTCGGTAACAAGATCGACGCTCCTGGTGCTGTGAGTGAGGATGAGCTACGACACAACCTTGGCTTGTATCAGACGACCGGAAAGGTACGTTTGTTTGTAAATTCTGGTTAAACTTGTCGTATGACCTGAACTGTGGTTATCACAGGGCAAAGTACCGCTGAGCGACATCCGCCCCATTGAACTCTTCATGTGTTCCGTTGTTCAGAGGCAGGGCTATGGCGAGGGTATGTTGCCACCTCATTTCTCTTAGTAAACGCAGCTGACGCGTTGAAATTAACGCAAGGCATTCGCTGGTTGTCGCAATACGTAAGTTCCCCTTTCTCACTCATGATGCAATTTAGATTTAACGCTATCATCTCTTCTCAGATGTAGGCTTAATTACGCGCTCTAGAATGAGTAGAGGACGGTCGAGTTAGTCGACCCAGGGATAATCGTTTTACCTCTTAATTTTTCTTCAATTTCGTCCATCTGCGGCTCCAGTTTTTCTTGTAGCACCGCTCTGTTGCATCGCCTTTCATACATGCTTTATTCATTCATTTCCACTATCGGTTGATCCTATAAGATATAAGATGCTTTGCTAGTTCTATATTCGTGAGAGACACAGCTTTCAAAGATCGAGAAGATTGGGGAGAAAGGCGATGACAATGACATGTATGGAAGATCTGACACCCAATACCCCATCGTACCTGCGCCCTCTCGAGCACAGGGAGGGCAGTGAGCTCTTAGACTTCCTAATATCCCTCTTCGCATAACCGAATCGCCGACTCCAGATGTGAGGGTGTAGCAACGGGCTGGCACTGTCTTGAGGCTGCGTTAAGAAAGTAAGAAGAAAGCAGCGTGGCAGTCTTAAATCTTGATTTTTTCGTGTTATTTGTTATTATTTGGCTTTTGCCGAATTTGGATCGCCTCAGTTTGGTACACTCAGTTGCCACAGTTGCCAGAGATGATTAGAGCATTAGAATTTACAGTACAAAATACGAATTGAATCAGGTGTGGTATCATGGAAGATCTTCAAGCCAATTTCTAAGTGCATCCAATCCAACAGATGCATCACCACCTTTCTCACCCGCCTTCTCTTGGTTTACATGTTCACCAACCTTCACATACGATGCGGCAAACCCAACTTCACCTCCTTCCCATTCAGCAAAACGGAATACTCCACTTCCACCACACTCCAGTCCACCCATCTCAGTACCTTCGCCTTCTGCACCGAGATCTTCGACGCCGACGCCGCCTGCTGCGACCGAACGGCGTTTCTCGAGTTCGCGTTCGAGGACGGTACGGACTCGGGAGATAGCGAGTGAAGAGCGGTCTTGTGTTGAACTTGAGGTGAGTAAGTCGGTTTTGTGTGCGAGGATGAGGAGAGAGGGAAGCGAGTGACTTGGTGGGAGAGAGATGATTGCGTGGAGGACGTGGTGCAGATGTCTGTAAAACGTATAAGTTCATAGATACCCAACAAGCAACTAAGGTAACGTACTCAGCCACTTCACGCCCATTTCTTGTGATGGCGCTTGCATCGACGACGAACACGACTGCCTTAGCGTCAGGAACATACGTCTTGAAAGATTCTCGCAGACGAGGATGTCCAGGGATATCAACTATTTGCAATTGCTTCTTTGATAAGAACGATTCTGGTATGAGCGAGCTATTGACTTGGAACGACGTATGTGACGGAAGTGTGCGTTCGTAAACTATCTGTGTCAAGTTGAGCGATATATACGAGGGGAACAGGAAATCCTTTATGATCTTACCGTTGATAAAACAGCACTCTTGCCGGCGTCTTCATTTCCCGCTAGCAGTATGAGGTTCCCCCTTTTCGATGACCTCGATCGAGTTATGGATACAGCAACTAAGATAGATATTAATTGTTTGTCCACTGCTGTTCCGTTTGGTTTGGAAATCACGACTCACAGGCAATTACAAGCAGAGCAATAACCAGGGACCCAGCAAGCAAAATTGCTGGTGAAAACTCTGGCAGTGCCACTAAAGATAATGCCGGAGTCCGTTGATCTGGCATTTTCTACTAACAGGTTGACTGAATGTGAAAGTGGTGAACGAGAAGGCGACGTCGTGCAGTTCGCGAGTCGCGATACGACTTGCTTGGATTTCGGATGTCGATCACAACGCCGATCTCCAAAATTTCTTGAACCATACGAGCCTTGGCTCAGTTGGCTGGTAACACCGACGTCAATGGTCACAAATACGCTGCTCGAAAGCGACGTTCGACCTCGAAAACGAACACGTACAGATGAAATAACAGCTAAAGATGCAAAAACTCAGAAGTATCGTCTCTTTGCTCCCTTCCGGGCACTTGGTCTAGTCACGAACCATATTCCGTTCGTGCTACAAGCACGTTCGTTTAAAGGCGCAACTGAAGGCCCGAGGATAAATATTGTGACGTGCTTGGGTCGGTCATGGGCTATGTGGGAGGGTGGAAAGATGACGCTGCTCTTTATCGGTAAGCAGACGTTGGCTGTTCAGCGTAAGACTCTGCAGTACTGAAATTAAATATGTTTAGGACCGGATTGTGAGCTGCCGATTGCATGTCTTGCTATGAATGGTGATGCTGTCTGGGCTTCAACGGGACCACATATCATTAAATATTTAAGAGGAAAGGAGGTATTTGCAAAACCCTTAATTTTCTTCATTATGTTTTTTACTAACTCTTTCCAAAGGTCGGGCGATTGACAAACCCGCTAGAATCGAACCTCTCTTCCATCTATCCCTTCGGTGACCAAATGCTATCCCTCTCGGAGGATGGCTCAACCTTGCTTATTTGGGACTGTACAAATATGGGTAGGTCATTTGTGACCTGATTCCCGATACATGTTGTTGACGAACGTTTCGAAGAACTGGCAAGTTCAATCCAATTCGAGAATGGATTCACTGCAACAATTATCCTTCATCCTGCGACCTATCTAAACAAGGTCCTCGTCGCGAGTAAAGAGGGTGATATGCAATTATGGAATATAAAGACACAGTAAGCAAAACGATTCGTGCCTTATTTCATGTCTAAATGTTCGTGGTCCTCTAGGACATGCATTCATAAATTTGAAGGAAACCGTTTACGCGACAGTACCGATCCCAGCGCTGTAACTGCTCTCGTTCAGTCGCCTGCCATCGATGTTGTTGCTATTGGATTTTCGTCAGGAGAGGTCTCATTATACGATATCAGAGCAGATGAACGACTCATGCGAATCTACATGGATGATAGTCCTATTCGAAGCCTGTCATTCAGGAGCGGTAAATATTATTTTCTCGTTGAAAGTTACACTTATACTGACACTTCTGTCAAGATGGTCAGGCGGTGCTCGCAAGTGCGTCGTCGAAGGGACACATTGCTCTGTGGGATCTCAATAACGGAGGGCGATTACTCCATGTTATCCGTGGAGCGCATGATCGCGCCGTGACGGCGATCGAATGGGTCCCAGGTCAGCCGGTCTTGGTGAGTTCCGGCGAGGACAACAGTGTAAAGGTGAGGGATTCAATTTCGTCGATACGAGACAAGTCTGATAATACCCCCAGCAATGGTTCTTTGAATCGCCTTCCGCTCCCCCGCGACTCTTGAAATTTCGTTCGGGACACCACGAACCACCGCATTTAATACGGTTCTATGGAGATGACGGAAAACAGCTTTTAACTGCATCTAGGGACCGAAGTCTGCGATGCACGTCCGTCGTACGAGATTCTCGGAGCTTTGAACTATCTCAAGGTATATACTCTATAGTCTTCCGTCCGTCTTTGAAAACCGCTCAAAATTCATAAACAAAGGCTCGTTATCCAAAAAGGCGACTGCACTCTCGATACCTGTCGCAAACATGAAGTTTCCTCCTATCACTCAACTAGCTTACTCAACCACACGGTCAAAGGACTGGGACGACGTGCTAACTGCACATAAGCAAGAATCCGTAGCTCGTACTTGGACTGTTCGGGATAAGAAACTCGGAAAGTGGGTCTTCAATCTTAACGATGCGATTGCGACGAAGGGAAAGAAGAAGGTTTCTGCAGGTGCTGTTTGCGTGAGTGTGTTTCTATTGTAGATTCGTATCGTATATAACTGAATTTTGGTTGGCTGTTTCTTCAGGCGGTTTGCGTTTCTGCGTGTGGTAACTTTGGAATTGCTGGCACGTCGACCGGTGCAATTCTCATGTACAATATGCAATCTGGTATTCGGCGAAAAGGTTATAAGCTAGGTCTTCGTCCTCCAGAAGTCGCTTCTCGCTTGAAAGATTCAGCGACCCAGCGATTAGTCAATGGCCTGGCTTCTGACGCGCTTAACAAACTAGTAATTGCGAGTACGTCCGACGGGACGGTCAATGTAAGAATCTTAAATAATGTCGGCGGTCACTTGCAATGTGCTAACGAGTTGATGTTTCAGTTCTTTGATTTTCATACCGAAGCGCTGCTGCATACACTTGTGTTATCGAGTACTTGCTCGTCAATTCTGTTACAACGAGATAGTGGACTACTGGCGGTCATTTGTGATGATCTGGTCGTTCGTCTTGTCGATATCGAGACCCGACGGATCGTTCGTGAATTCACTGGCTTTACAGGGAACATACTAGACGTAGTAAGTTTCAACACGTTCTTTCCCACATTTTATTTTGCTTACTCATTGAAATAGACATTCTCTCCTGATTCGAGATGGATGATTACGACTTCTCTCGATTCTGTCATCCGTACTTTTGATATACCATCTGGTCGTCTTATAGACGCTTTCCGAACTGCTAGTCTCGCAACGAGCGTGTCGTTCTCACCTACAGGCGACTTCCTTGCTACTGCCCATGTAGACAGTGTCGGCGTATATCTCTGGTATGCCTGCTCTAAAACATGGTATCTCAAGGATGTTACTAATGTTAGCATTTGCAGGGCGAATAGAGCGCAATTCACGGATGTGTCGCTACATGGCGTGGTTGAAGTAGATGGCGCTGAGATTGCTTTGCCTTCATTACAAGGCACGGCAGAAGATGAAGGTGAGTCACAATTGCAGGATGTCGCTTGGTTAGCATGCTAATGCTCTGTGAATTAGCTCTGGATGCACTGCAATCGTTGACCGTGGAAGAGCCGAAAGATGTTTATTCAACACCATCGCAACTCGGCGGCGACCTTATCACACTTACCTTGCTACCTCGTTCTCGATGGCAGACATTGCTCAACTTGGAAGTTATCCAGGTATGTGACACTTTTACGCTATCCATAGTATTCTTTTCTTAATATTTCGTCGCAGCAACGGAATAAACCAAAAGAACCACCCAAGCCTCCTGAAAAGGCGCCATTCTTCCTGCCTACATTGCCTGGTGTAGAACATCGCTTCGCAGTGACACAGAAGGATAACGCGCAAGAGCAACAAAAGAATAGCAAAAAGCTAGAGGCTGGTGCATCTCGGGCCGATAGCAAATTCTATCGAAAGCTGGTTTCCGAGGATCCAGAAGGAGATTGTAGGTCATTCCAGCTTATATGCGTTTCCAAGTTTTTCTGATTTCCTTGTTCAATTAAATTACCGCATAGACGAGGACTTCTTCGTATATCTAAAAACACTGACACCAGCCGGACTAGACCTCGAACTACGTGCCTTAGGATCCTCGCTTGAAGGGTTGAGTACACTGGTCGGCGCACTACGACAACGCCTACGATCCCATCGCGACTTTGAAGCTGTACAGGCAGTCATAGGCGCGCTTCTCCGCTTGCATGGAGAAGTCTTTGTCGCGAATCCTGAATTGTGTAATGCGCTGGAGCAGTTGCGAGAGGCACAGACGCATGAAAGCAGGCGTGTACTGGAGATGATCACGGCGAGCCTGGGCACGTTGAGTTTTGTACGGGATGTATTATAGCCGTGGCTTAAATAGCTTGTCTATAACATATATCTTGCTGTCTGAGTCCGAGTCTCGATTCGTTTATTTGTGCTTGAGAAGTAAAGGCTGTTGTGGTGTATCGTCCGAAAGCGGTAATGCCATGACGCGTGATCGCATTGAATGAGATCAACTGTAAGACTTGGGTTACAACTGCGCCGCTGTCCCTTAGTACACGCACGCTCCCCGGAGACCACGCCTTGCATCACTCCGCAGCCCGAGCGGATATATAACGCGGGTAATTTCCCATCACTGTTATGAAAAGCCCACAATCAAGCAAATTGTCGTTCTCTACTGTCTCGGTATGTGGCCCCCGTCCTTGTATTATTCAGAATGAAGATGTTGGGGAAATTAATGCTCGTTGACATAGGACGAATCGATGGTTGAAATTAAGCGGGAAGAAGTCTCGCTTGGCGTTAGTGACGTTTCGGAGGATGAGAATGAGAAATATCGATTGTTGTATAGCAAGTCGAAAGTGTATGTCCATCCAACTGCATATGCGAAGGACAACATACCGGGCTTTGTCACCCTCGTCAAACGCGTGAGTTCAGCAGCAGATTTATCATCGTAGGCTATCAGATACGAGATGCTTGTTGTTACAGGAGGCTGTGAATCCGAAATATCTCCTTGCTTGGATTCCGGAGTCGTTATTGAATGAGAAGGGCAAGGACGAATGGGACAAGTTCGTCAAAATTGAGGAGAGGACTGGGTTAGACGATGAAGACGAAGGTTCGTCGCTAGTGTGAATAAAACTGAACTAAGTGGTGTTGAACACATCTCCAGACGTAGTTCTCATCGATCTTCCGGTTCGACGTCCTGAGACCTACGCGTTCTCGGTACCCCTAACATCGGTCTATTCTCTCATTGTTCACCCTCCGACTCTCACATCCTGGCGTGCGTATCAAACTTCTCGCACTATGTTTCACGTATTCACCGCTGTTTATAGATGGATCTATTGCGGTGAACTTGACAAGCGGCTCGACACTACCTACTCTATACTTCCATGACGAGGAATCGCGATCATTCAGCACATCTCCCATTTCTCCTCCGATCAATCAAGCAGGCTCTGGATCCAGTACCACAACGAGCTCATACCCGCCGCGGGTGATTGATTCTGGTGCTCGAGCTCCGGGTTTGACGACATGGGGTGGTGAAGACCTACTGGCTCGACTCAGACAATATGCGCATCTTCTCCGGTCTAACCTCCAGTCTACACTCTTCCTTGTCGATCCGAGTAAGGCTGATATCGAAACTCATACGATGCAACTCTTCGACGATGACGCGGTGGATGACATCCTTGCCCGGTCCTCCTATGCCAACTCATACTCGCCAGTTCCCGCACATAGGCGCCCACGGCCATTATCTTCTGCCAGTGGATCAACTTCATCTTCGAGCAATGGAAATGGCTCAAACCCGTACTCTGAGAGGTCATCAGTCTTACATCGATCTCTGCATCCTCCGAGTCCCCCTAATTCAGGTTCACAAGCACGAACTGCACTTCTACATAGTTTCGCTCAGCTAACAAGAGCAACCCGCCACGCAGCGCAGCAGATTCTTTCTCACCCACTCGCTCAGCCCATCGTTCCGCATCTTCCTGATCCTGTCAAGTCGATTGTAAATGCTTCAGGCGAGACGCAATGGGGATCATGGGTGGAAAAAGGTGGCGTAGGCGAGTTCGATTCTGCGCGCGTTTATCTCGCTCGTTGGGCTCGAATCGTGGCAGAAGAAGGGGAACGAGCGCGACAACGTGAGGTTCGTGCGATTCCTGTAGGGACAGGAGCATCAACTCCTTCAGATTCTCGCTTGGATGAGGATGGTGAACTTGGTGTGTTTGAGCTACTTCACACCTCTGCGAACTTGCCCAAGCCGCGGAGCACTCGTGATCCACGCCATCCCATTGATGAGGAGACGTGGTTGGGTTGGTTCCAAGCTGACGGACGACCGCGTGTTCGCGAAGAGGAGATGCGGAAAGAAGTCTTTAGGAGAGGCATTTCTCCCCGTGGAAACCTACGGAAACGTATCTGGCCTTTCATTCTAGGTGTTTTGGAATGGGACGCTGATGACAAGCAAAGAGCTGAACAATGGGAAGAGAAGCAGTGAGTTTCTTTAACGATATACTGAATGTACTGATCCGACACTATTGCAGGACACGATACCACGAACTCAAAGACGAATGGTGTGGAGTAGACGAGGTGTTTAACAGACAAGATGTCATCGAGGAGAGGCATAGAATCGACGTCGATTGCCGACGAACAGACCGGACACAACCTCTTTTCATCACTCATTCACCCAATTCTTCACCTTCATCCTCGCCAGGTCAAGAAAATAATGCATCAAGAGTACATCGTCGATACACAAGCTTCTCACCATCCCCATTCGATCATGGTGCTCAAGCGCCAAGCAACGACCACATCGAACGACTTGCAGAGATTCTCTTGACGTACAACTTCTATGAAAAACAGCTTGGTACGTCCCAAATAATTTAATTGATGAAATCTCGCTCGTGACGAGTTTGCGTTGTTTTTGGGTTATTTGTTTGTTTGGTGGTGTGCTGACTTGAAGGGTATGAAGGCTACGTACAGGGCATGTCTGATTTGTGTGCACCGATTTATGTTGTGATGGGTGGAGATGAGGAGATGATATTTTGGTGTTTCGTGGAGGTTATGAATCGGATGGTATGTGCTGAGTTTTCCCTCGTTTTGTTGACCTTGGCTGATGTGTGTGGTTACTCAGAAACAAAATTTCCTACGTGATCAAAGTGGAATGAAAAAGCAGCTTCTAACGTTACAGCAACTTATTAGCGTGATGGATCCAGAGCTGTACCGACACCTTGGTACGTGGGACAATCTTCAAATACTTGATTGTTCTATGCTTACAATACTGTAGAAAAAACCGACGGACTAAATCTTTTCTTCTGCTTCCGGTAAGTCATTCGGTGCTTGCGTATACTATGTATTTTAATTATGCATTTAAGCTGGGTATTGATTGCATTCAAACGAGAGTTCCCATTCGATGACGTTCTTAAATTATGGGAAGTCCTTTGGACGGATTACTACAGCGCGAATTTTGTCTTGTTCGTCGCCCTGGCCATCCTTGAGTCACATAGAGACGTGATTCTCCGGTATTTAATTGAGGTTAGCCTTCTTTTCCAATTATGTCTGCGCAATTTATTAATATTTCTTCCTTAATATTTCTTTTCACAGTTCGACGAGATTCTCAAATACTGCAACGAACTGAGCATGACGATCGAGCTAGACACGACGCTCGCACAAGCCGAAGTGCTCTTCATCTCCTTCACGCAGCTCGTAGCTGATATAGATCGACGGAAAGCGGAGAACGACTTCACTGTCACAACTGATGTGAACGCTATTCGAAACAGACGTCGAAAACAAACTGGGTCTGAGGCGACTGTAAATGGCAGACAGAAGTCGGATGATGGTAGTTCGGACTCGACCGAAGTGGGGAGGACGACTGCGCGGAATACGACTATTTCGTTACCGTCGATAGGAGAGAATTTGCGTGAACTGTTAGAGAATGGACGTTGATTAGGTAGAATGACATATACTGTACTTGTAAACGTTGTATACACGATGGGCCTTGCGGTTGTCCTTAGATTGTAACAAGAACATTAGAACTAGGCAGTATTATATACTATATACAAGACATGAGCTTTCCTCGAGATCGAGCTAGGAGACATCAATGGTGACCCTGTGTTGCCAGGTATGGTATGGTATTTCCCGGCATGGGTCCCTAAAAAGAAACACCGGGGCTGCTGGTAGTACATCACCAAATCGAACACGAAAATGTATTGGAATTTACTGCTAAGACATATATTTTTTACATATTGTGGATCCTTATATTCACTTATTAAGTCTACATGTAAATATATTGCCTTGTCAGACTCTGCACGTTTTGGTGATGCTATGTACATTACAAGATTTTCTAACTAGACTCCTAAAAATCTTGCCCAGCACACTCTGGCTACTACTCCATCATTAGCAGAAAACACTAGTGCCCTCTCAGCTACCTGGTGTAGTAGCACCTTCCATGAATGTGACAACGTCTAGAGCAAAATTGGAACTCTGCCGTACGACGAGCGTGTCGGGGTCACGTGCATTCGTCTCAGAAATTCGAGCTTGTGCTTCCTTCCAGACTCCAGCCAGAGCATCATTGCAAGGTCCTCTCATATACTTCTCGGCTCATCTGTCACTGTATTTCCTGGAAATCTCAGGGCCCAAATGGAGTCAACAACTCCTCCCTCTCAACAAGTGCCGTCCAAGAATCGAAACTCGACGGCAGAGAAAATCGCAAAATATACTTTAGCTTCATGCAAGTCCGTCTTCACTTTGCATACTTCCTTCTAACTGTCTCTAATTTACTTTTCCCTCGAAATTACGAAATTAAATAGCATTAGCAGGTGCAATCCTCACAGCGGCGTATGAATCTACCATTGGACGTTCGAGAGCCATACGCGCTCTAGAAGCGAACGCTGCCTCATCGAGTTCTGGAGGAAATGCAAATGAGCGAAGCATGACGGAGTCTAGTGGAAGCAGGTTGAACGGACGTACGGATGCAGCCAAGTTCTATCGACATAACACGCCTCTGCTGTCTGCCGCTGCTGCGTTGAATAGTGGGATCGTTGCGTTTGCGTTCTTCAGTAAGTCCGCCATTGAAGGCTATATTCATCCAACGGTTTTAACTAATTAATGAAATTCTCGTTACATTTGGTATAGCTTTACGGGAACATGCCATCTCGCCTGTCCTCTCGAATGCTCGAAGTAAAACAAGTGATAAGTCTGGGCGCGGAGACGAAAACGAAAGGCCTCTGACATGGTCTATGATGCGAACGTATCATTTAGAAGACTCGGCGCTTACGGGTGCGTTGCTCGGAGGAGGGTTGAATGCCTGGATGAGTTAGTCTTGTTCGTTATTTATTTACCTATATATTCCTGACTTTTTATTGTCTTTACAGAAGGTCCGAAAGGCATCATTCCTGGGATGGTTACTGCTTCACTCGCATGCTCTACTCTACAACTCATCGTGAACGAGCTTGACGTCCGACGAATACGATACGTCTCTTCACGAACGTCACGTTCGTCTTCTATCACCACTTTAAATGCCGACGGTGTTAATGTCTCTGATTCAACGACTGCGGAATCAGGAAATACCCCAACTGACTCCGACTCACAACCTGGAATGGGAGAACGCTTACTCAGACTCATCGGGATTACGAAAGTGGACGACACAGAGTACTTGCGACGCTTAAAAGCAAAACGGGAGAAGTACCTTGAGAGGATAAGAGAATTAGAGGAAGCAGAACAGACTCAGAAACTTGAAGGTGAAAGAGAGGTCGGATCTGAATTTGCAAGGGATACTGGAAGTGATAGGGGGATGAGAGATCGTAGGTCGTGATAGGGCGTGCTGACCACATATTTTACTTTGTTTTATCCATATATTCGCACTAAAAATATACTTCATTGTCTAAAATATCACTGCTTTAATTCCTTTTCCTGCTCTGTGTTGTCATCACCCTCGTTTTCATACACGCTTGTCCCTCCACAAGCATCACCTTCGCTTTCCCTAGAGACACCTACGGCACTCTCCGAAATGCGCACATTCCACAACTCTACAGCTCCACGTTTCTTATCTGTATGTAGCCCCGCAACAGCAATAATCGCATCGCGATCTCCTTCCTTCTGTCCCCCAGCTCCAGACTTCATAGGTACGGAGAGCGAGAGGGCGTCGACTTTCGTCAATGACGACTGACCACTCCAGAATGAGCGTAGTCCGCCAACTGGAGTGATGTCTTGTGGCTGTCGTCGGGAGGTAGACGTGGAGGTTGAAGATGGCGGAGTGTTCCGAGTTAGCTGGTGTAGTTCGAGTTTCCCGTGTACAGTGCATGACAGTAAGGTGTCTGGGGCAACGAATAATCTACAAAACATGAAAATCAATCAGTAACGTGAACAGAAAGTGAAATGCAATTTACATACAACCCAGCAACCAAGCTCTCCCCGAGTTTAACAAAGAACCCGTCCTCTTCGTTTAGCCCTCCCCATTTCTTAGACTTATTTCGTTTTCCTTTCTTTCCTGAACCTGAACCTGAACCGGTTGTCGTGAATAGAGACTTCATACCGCCAAGACCAACCCAAATTCGTCCGTCAGCTGTACCGATGGCTGCTACCCCTTGCGCCGAGAGCGCGAGTGCGGTGATGAATGGTGGGAGGGAGGAGATTCCGGGTGCTAGTGAGGGTGTAGGAGCTATTCGTAAAATCATATATTAATTTAATTGTGTTTTAGTTAGAAATAAGAGTGGGGGAACGTACTGATTTCGAGACGAGAAAGGAGTGTACGGAGTTTGAAGTCGTGTAGGAAGAGCACACAGTCGTACCCTCCTGTGACGAGTTCACTTGGCCTATCCGGGATGAACGATGCCGTCCATGCAATCTACGATCCACATAACAATAAGCCCATTGTTACGGAAATGAGAATATCAGTGGGCAGACTTACGGAATCATGACTTGTCTTCATCTTTGAGACTTCATCAGAGCCTAAATCCAGGACATAGACACTACCAGCATCAGTCGTACATGCAAAGTAAGCTCGGTTCGCGCTTAGGGCTAGCTAGAGTCAGATCAGCGTGCTCCATGTGGAATGACTTTCCACACAGGAAGAGGAGCTTACTTGATTGACGACATCCTCGTCATCCTGTCCTATTTCCTTTGTAAAATTCGCGTCGGAGAGCGCGAGGATCATTTTTGGTGGGGTAAGGTCGAAACGGTATACCTACGAAGGATAATGGAGTGAGTGTATCAGTGTAAGCCCAACGAGATTCTAGGGTTAGAAAAATAAGCATACGTTCTTTCCCGCTGCAACCCATATTTCTTTGCCGTCCTCAGTATGGAAGAGAACATTCGAAACGGACGTGCCGAGTCCACGAATTGCTTTTTGCACTTTTTGCTCAGGCGGTTGGTATAGCCGTACGCTCCCGTCATCTGTTGGGCCAAACTTTCCTTTCAGAATTTGGCCTGCATTTTTCGTCGAGAGAGTACACACCGGATCCTACTCCAAGGCGAAGACCGTCAACGCTAAACGCACATGTTGTCGCTTGCGATGGCAGAACTAAAGTTGAAGAAAGTATAGCTTCCATAAGACTTTCCTGTCTCCTATCTTTTTTCGCCCCTTTCCTCGATGCAATCAACGACTAGAATAGTTCATCCGAGGTGGATGTTGGAGACAGGTTTTCCGAGCAAGGACTAGTTGAGCCTGTTGAGGAGAGAAAGGGAGATGTACTAGTAAAAGGGAAAGATCGACGATAAAATTGATGGAATTATCTTATCAGATAAATGATTTCACACGCCCAGACCGTCTTTCTTCTTCCGTCATCCGATCTTCCAGACGACCGATTCGAACTTGCTCTTCCACTCAACTCCCTATCTCCCAGAACTGCACGGCTGCATTAACTTTTATCTCGCTCGTATTCGATATATTCCCCAAAGGATCGAAAACAATTATGAAACGCTTTGATTTGATTAATGACGGAAATGTAAATTGGGAGCGATCGCGCGAAAGTCCCTTCTAAGAATCGGCATCTGGAGACGCGTTTCGATGACCAAGCCGTGTATACCCCCGCGTCATACGCATGCCCTCATCCTAAATTTATTGCCCCGTAGTTGCTTCTAGTTGCCTGCCTATCTCTCTTCAGCTCTTTCCCCTTCACTCCCCCTTCCTGTCCCTCCTCTAATCTCTCTGACACGAGTGATGTCGTTGTCAAGACCTCAGTCGCGTGAGCACTCTCGACCTGGCTCACGCCCGCGCAATTCGCGTCATGCCTCCACCCACACGGTTCCTTATCTCCCGCAAGACCCGGAAGCTCTCCTCCTTCCTGAAGGCTCTGTAACTGAAGAGACTGTCGAATTATTGCATGAATTTGTGCACCCTCATTCGCATCGTCATGACAAGCGCAGAGCGGATACGGATGCTACTATAGTCGCTGAGACCATACCAGTTGATTCCGAACAAGAGGAATTTGGTGAAACACCCTCAGAAAATGACGAAGATGATATCGAGGGCGAAGACTGGGATGCACTCAAGAAACGCCCTTGGTACAGACGACCGTCGCCACTTTGGTAAGTATATGCTTGGCTCATTACTGTGTCATGCCTGTTAATTAATGACGGTTTATATATAGGTTATTATGTGTGACACCCTTGTCATCTATTGCGATGTCCGCAGCCATTGCTCCACGCGTCGAGGTATACACCTATCTTGCATGCTTGGAGCACAGGCCAGAGTACACAACTGGAACATTAGGATATGGCTTGGAGCTTTATCAGAACAATGATACGGCTCCAGTCGCCTTCACTGAGGACAAGGATAGTCTTATCGACGCATGGATGTCTCCGTATCTGGGACCCTCAGTATTTACCATGAGCGGCGAGAGTATAGGAATGCTGAAAGAATCTAAGGATACGAACAGATGCGCATCCGATCCCGTAGTCCAAGCTGCGGCAGCAAAAATAATTGCTGGTGAGCGTGTTAACCGCATGTTATGATGTAATCGAGCTTACTGTACTTCGTACAAAGTGATGACAACCACAATGGGTATTCTGAGCTGTCTTACTACAGCGTTTTGGGGATCTGTAAGACGCATATACTCTACTATTTTCTGACGGAAAAATCCTAAAATGCTATATCTGTCGGGCCAGCTGTCTGACAGGTATGGACGTTTACGCGTTGTCGGTATATCGGTTATCGGACTACTCTTCAAGTATGTGCAACATATTACCTCTAGTGAGACCTACAAAATACCAATTGTAATCTTGAACCAGCGATTTCATCTTCATCTTGGTATACTTCTGCTCGAGACAGTTGCCTGGAGGCTATTGGTTCCTCTTATTGGGACCTATTATTGAAGGTATTCTAGGAGGTATGTCCGCGCCTGAATTCTTCTTCCCGCCTATGAACATTCCTATTAACTCCCTATCACAGGTATCACAAGCATGGTAGCCGCCCTCCATGCTTACCTTGCTGACTGCACCTCGCCCGGTAATAGAACTCATATTTTTTCTCTCGGAGCTGGCCTTCTTTTCGTCGGTATGGCCTTCGGGCCCACTATCGGCTCTATCCTCATCCACGTAACACATACCCCTCTGTCAGTATTCTACCTCAGTACAGCCGTGCATGCACTGTTTGCGATGTATACATGGGTAATCGTACCTGAAAGTTTACCTGAACGGGCGCAAAGAGTGAATCGGATGAGGGTTGAGAGGAGGAGGTTCGAGGAGAGGCAGGCAGAAGAGATAGAAGATCAGGAACAATGTGGAGGACGAGTCAAGTGGATTAGGTTAATGCGGCGCATGAAGAGGGTGTTCAAGTTCTTGAGCCCTCTGAGTGTTTTTGCGCCTGAGAAGGTACCGAGTACGCCTGGTGCGTTCTTGGGGAAGAGAAGGAGGGACTGGAGTTTGACTTTTATCGCTCTGGGCTTTGGATGTTCTGCCCTGGTCATGGTATGTATACCCCGCAACTCATCTACGATGTTTATTTGTGGGCATAACTGAAGGAATGATGGATGTAGGCATCATATCAGTACAAATTTCAATATGCGGCTGCGACGTTTGGGTGGAGCTCAGAAGAGGTATGTTATAATTTATCGCATAGAAACATTCTTACCGATTGCTCATCTTCTGCGCATATAGCTGGGCTATTGGCTTAGTCTCGTTGGCGCGTCTCGTGCATTCTACCTGACAATAATTCTTCCATGTACGTCTGCGTTTCGCATCCTCGTTTCTACCTACCAGATGCTTACGCATAGTTTGTTACCTAGTAATTATCAAGTTCTTCAACCGACCTAAACAAGCTATCCAACTCCCCGTCGAACCCTCAGAGCCCCTCATCAACTCCCACTCTTCCGATCCATCCTCTTCAACAGTAGTCTCATCCCCCTCTCCGCCTTCTTCTCCAACCTATATTCGGTCCTCATCACCACTACCGCTATCTCCACCCTCTGCAAATACAACCGAACATACTCACCCCTCCCCTTCCCCACACACCCCAACCTTCGATCTCCACCTTGCACGGTTCTCCCTCCTCCTCGAATGTATCTGCTTTTCTATCATCCCGCTCGCACCAAGTGCCATGTCGTTCAGCGCGCTTGGATGTTTGGCTGCGTGGGGTGGGGGATTTAACCCTGCTGTACAGGCGCTTGCGCTTGAGTTGTATGCGAGGAGAGGTAATGTTGAGGAGGGTTCTAGGAGCGGGGGGAGAGGGAGAGGGATGCAAAGAGGAGGGAGGGGCAAGAATGGTGGAGAGAGAGGAGAAGCAGAGACTGGGAGGTTGTTCGGTGCATTAAGTGTTGTTCAGGCTATGGGGTACGTTCGTCTCCATTCAGTAGCTCTCGCCTCCCCATTTGCAAGTCGTGTCAACCTCCCTGCCTCTACACCCTTGGTCTTCATCCATTTCTAACTACCCGTACTTCTCATGAAAACCACAGTCAACAAATATTCGGCCCCGCACTCTTCGGCCTAACTTACATGCACACTGTCGCCTTTTTCCCGAGTGCGATATTCTGGGTCTCTACGCTTTGCGTAAGCATCGGTTTGGTGTTTATTTGTTTTGTGAGGTTACCTCGCGAGTCTAGAGGTAACAGTGGAGATATGGATTTGGAGGTTGTTCTAGCCGCGGGAGTAGGCATTGAGCGGGAGGATACACTTGTGAACCTTGGCGATGACGCTCAACAAGCTGGGAAAGCCACGAAATGAGGGTACAACCAGGAGTTGGTGCTGTTACTCTCGTGTCAGTGATAGCAGATGAAAGCCTCACCCTGAAGCATTCGGAAAATATCCAATAGTGCGATACGATACACGTTGCCCTTCTGCTTTGTTGGTCCATCTTGCTAGTCGCAGTATGTGAGATCCTTTATTAAGTTAGTGCTGGCCTTGGTTTCGGAAATTGCTTGCTATCATCTAAGACCGTGTTGTGTACTTAGCTCCAGCTATCGTTGCTGTTGCCTGTTCAGTAGCCATGAGACATGTATAACGCAGGAAACGTATGCTGTGTCAAATGTGTAATACCATTTTCATATTGTACAATATCTACTCTGCTGGGTATACAAGATAGACATCAATGGAACAATTATGAAAGATAATGCAACAATTGACACTCATGACTTTTAATTAAATTACTGAACAACAAACTATAACTTAAGCACAGATGATGTGATACAAGTGACAACAGGATTCAGGCAAACATCCAAGAAGCAATAAGTTACGATGTGACTTCACACCTCCCCACCAGCACCTACATTATTGCCATTACTCACACCTCTAGTACCTCCCATCCACCTCCACGCCAACACGCCAACCAAGAAATTGACCATGCCAAACGCAACATTTCCCAGTCCAACAAGCCAGAACAAAGTCCACAGTCCACCGACGATCCTATCGAGCGTTCGGCCCATATAGCGCTTGACAATCCAGTACGGGTCGGGTTGGGGTGTGAATGTTGCTGGGAGGGCTATCCGGGGAATGTTATGAGCTGTTGTAGATGAAGGTGTAGACGATGAGGAGAATGTTTGGGTTGGCACGAGGAGGAGGGCTACGACGGGTTTCTGTCAAGACAAAATTAAAAAAATTGAATTTGTTAGTGAAATCAATTTAGAGTATGGACGTGTACGACGGTACGTACATGGTCAGAAGTGGTATACGAGGGTATAGAGGTATACAGCAATGGCTCGATATTTGACTTCTCTAAGGTCTCTGGTGAGTCTAAGTATGAAGCGTATAATACACGGTCCGTCCAAGCGGGCAATCGTTTCTCACTAACATGTCAATCATTTAGTTTATGTCCTTTCCGGCGTGAACAAACTTTAAAATAAATTATGATTTACCTGTATCGATCAACCGTGTTGAGCTTATACTTAAAGGTGCATTTAAACTGCCAGAATTCGCCCTCGCGTAACCCGATGAACACACGACCCTTTCTTCGTTCACAGAAAAGTTCGTCATACTCCTTGAGTACTTCTCTTTGAACGTCGTCTTTGAGTGCCTCAACAAGTTGCGCATGACTAGATAGCAAGGAACCAGCAAAGGCATGTGAAGGAGGAAAGGAGAAGCGGAAGTTCAGATCACCGAGGAAGAAGAGATGCGACGTGTCGTAGAGCGTTGATGGCGCCACACTGTCAGATTCAGCATTTGGAGGAAAGAGGAGGGTTGAGACGATATGGTGATAGTCCTGAACGCGTCGCTCCAAGTTCCCGGCATGCGCTGTAAGATGTGCGGCCACGAACCTTTGATTTATTTATTTAGCTCTACCGAAAACAACACTCACGTCAAATATACAAAGACTTACGTGAAGGTCTCTCCAAGCTCTCCATCCTTCTCGGCAGCCAAACGGAACCGAACAGCCACTGCACCCTTGTTACCCATATACCCAGGCCCACATCCTGTCCATTGAGTTTGCACATCTCGTACACGTTGCCCAATTTGCTCGTCACGCGCATACACGAGCAGTGCAGTACCAACGTTCACAATGCGCGCCACAAGCATGTAGCTCTCCTTATTCGGTGCATATGCCTCAATTTGCGAACGAATGAGTGCATCGCGAGAGCCAATTACGCTTTTCGAGAGCCCAGCCACTGTTAAATTTCAGTTCAGTATCAAACTTCATTCTCGGGGTGCAGAAGGTCAGTAGTGAAGTACGAACGTCCAAAATGAAGTGGCAACAATCCCTGGAACCCCACGGCAACGATGTCTGGTGCCTGCTTTCCCCTTGACAGGAAGCTTGAGACTTTTAGCGTCGGGGCAAGCCAATCCACCAGGTCCTGTGGAAGACCAGCATTGCCCTGCAAGTTCGTGTTATATGTCGCAATCTGGACAAGGAGTTTGCCATCGGACGCCATATCTTGATTGCTTTGGAGCAACTCTGCGGTGTGCTGGCTGGTATTCGTATGGAGTACTCTTGACTGACCGTCAGCAGACGTTCACATGAGTTGACGGTAGAAGTAAGTTCTTCGAGTGCAACAGCTACAGCCTACAGCTGGCCAACAGCCATGTTCACGACCGATGATTCAGATGAAATTACGAAAGTATCAATCATGTGCGTAAGACACGGTCACGAGATGTAATTAGAATGATGGTCGATTGAGCTACCAAATCCTTCGGGACTGTTTGTTCATTCAATTAGATGCAGCCTTAGAATTCATTCTCATAGTTCTTACATTAATTGTACAGAACACTACTTTCTCTTAGGTAACGCCTCTGTCAATCCTCTGGACTCTGACAGGCTGGTATTATCCTTTTTATGTAACATCATCTCTCGAAATGGTTTCTAACTTAAAAGAAAATGATTTAAGTATGACTTCTCTGTAACTCTCTCTTATTAATGACACAACTCCAAGCAAACGTCCTTCTAGAACTACTAATATTTATCTAGGCTAGATGTATTCATTGCCAAGTCTTCTTAATTCCCTCCCCTATTTCGACCATTTCTTCATATTTAATTTCATGATCCATAGGTACCCTAACACCTTCAAATGTGTGAATGAATTTCTTTATTTCTTCTAGAGTGTTCTTCAGGCTTGTCTTCTTTTCTTTTCTTTTCCAGGCACTTAGATTTTTTTTCTGTCCGTCTTGAGCATGCTGAAGCATTTCTAAGGTTTCCTGGGCCCTTTCTTTCTTCTCCTTGTCGCCTTCAGTAGAATTTTCGTTATCATCTATCTCTTTGATTTCGGCTTTCAGCATCCCTATTTCTATTTCTTGTTCATCCACTTTGTTTTGAGCTCCTTGTATGTGCTCATCAACGTTTGCTTCCACTGCTTGATCATACCTCCTCTCTGCAGTCTTGAGCTTTCCAACTAGTTCAGCCCACCCATGTCGGTCATGTTCATGGAAATCTGCCTTCTGGATGTACCCGCTAAGCCTAGTGATATTGTACTTGAGTATTTCGAATTTTCTACGTTCCTCTTCTTCTAGTTGTTTTTTAACTGCTTCCTTTCTCCTCCTTTCTTCTTCCTGTCTCAAAGTTTTTGCACTTGCCCTGACATTGGTACTACGCCGTTTACTAACCCCAGCGCTAGAACCAGAAGGGACCCTTCCTTGACTCATGCCTAATGAAGTTGACAGTGTTGTGTAGTTTTCTCGATTCTCAAGTTGTGTCGTAGGTAGTTGTAAAGACCCAGCAATGCAACGGGGGTGGGGGTACGAGTTCGGGTTGCTGAATACATTCTTGTGTACTTGCGGTCATTTATTTTGAATACAGCATGCATCCTCTTTGCTCTAAAGCTTCTTTACGCATATTGAGATTCCTAATCTATGGCCGGAGTAGCAAAAGTCTTCGGCAACGCTAAAAACGTGGGTGAATTGTAGGCCTCCTTTCTTTGCTATTGCCGTTCTTATCCATTTCATTAGTTAAGGAATTAATATTGTGTATGCAAAGTTGTTTCTCCATGAGGTAACTTTACTAGAATTAGAAGCGGAAAGGCTGAAACAAGTGTTGCAATTGTGCAATTTTGAGATTAAAAAGGCTATCAACGCTCTAAGCTAATGTGCAAAGCAAATCGCAGTTTTGAATATGAGTTACTTTGATTGATGTTTTGTGCATGCGCGTATACATACATATTCGAGGTTCACGAAGGACAGCAAGTACTAGTATGAGAGTGACGGAACCTTCTTCCTACTTCCCCATTGATAAAGCTAAAAAAAGGAAGATAGTCTCATGATTTTGTGAATAGATACAAAAGAGATATGACAAAATGACAAAGTGCGATGTGGACTTCCAATTGGTCGATTGTTAGGGGAAAAAGATGAAATAAATAAATGAGTCGAAGACGAGAGGCTCGGAAGATAGAAAGGTAGAGAAGAGAAGGATATGCATATGTGAACAAGTGCCGTTATTCCCTGATTTTCATTTTCGATGCGCAGCCCGCACTTCTTGGATTTGTTATTCAAAGACGTCGCGTTTAGGCCTGTTTCTTGATGAAGCTCTCGAGAGCGTCCATTGACATAGCTGTATCGGTCAATATATCTGGGTCAGTATAATGACTGAATGGTCAGGAAACAGAGGTACGCACACTTTGGTCTCTCAATTGGCAGACCGAGGGCACGGTCCCATACGAGTTGTGTCAATGCACCAAGAGCTATAGCAGGGAAAATCTCAGTAAGCAGGCGACATCAATTGGGGTCGAAGACTTACCGCGCGAGACACCGAAAATGACAGTGTAGTACTTGAACTCGTGCAGACCGTAATGGTAGAGTAGGCATCCCGAACCAGCATCAACGTTCGGGTAAGGGTTCTTCGTCTTTCCATGTTCTTTCAAGACCTCCGGCGCAACTTCAGACGTCTATACAACCTCATCAACACAAAATCGAACTTTCAAACGAATAGAGTGAAATACTAACGAGCTTGACAAGCTTAATCGTCGGACTCTCCAACAACTCAGGCCTCGCATCGCAGAATTGGAGAAGCGCAGTGAACCGAGGGTCTGTTGCGCGCAGAACACCGTGGCCATAGCCTGGAACGACTTGTCCACTCTTGAGCGTACGCCAGAGGTATTCGCGGATGATGTCTGGGGTGATATTCTCCCCGACTTCGGCTTGCATTGCAAGTTGCCAGCGGAGGACTTCTTGGTTGGCGAGTCTGGAACGAATTGGATATCAAGTCTGGTTATGGAATAGTTTTAGATACATAGGTACTTACCCGTGAAGTGGGCCAGCTAGGCCAAGAAGAGATGCAGCATATGAGAGGTATGGGTCGGAGAGAGCGGAACCGACGAGATCTGTACGGTAAGAGGCAGGAGTTATATTATGAGTGAAACACCAAAAGAATGTCATATGCTTACGGGCTGTGTGTGCAGATACATTGCCTCCCTCATGGTCACCATGCAAGGCAATATACAAACGCAAATACTCCGTCAAGTCCTGGCTAGCACCGAATCCAAGCATGTTCGTGTAGTTGCCTGTATAATAAAAATATTTTATTAATTATTTCATACCATTTAAATTAACCATCTCAGACTACTCACCAACAAGGTCCAAGTCCTTGTTCACAGCGGGAACCTTCTCACCCTTCTTGTACACATTCTTATAGATCCGTGCCGCCAGAGTAGGTAGACGCGCGATCAAAGTAAGCGAGTCTTCAAGCGCAGGCCTCCAATACTCAGTCTTCTTGATACCCTTTTCATACGCCTGAGCGAACTCGGACGTCGAGTTGAGTGCTGCCACACCCATTGAGAGTTGAGTCATGGGGTGCAGAGTTGCTGGGAAGCTATACATAACGAATAACACGGAGAATATAAATATTAAGATTAAATTAACCAGATTAAAGGTACGCACGAATCAATAAGCTTCACGATTTGCGCAGGGAGTTCTCCCTTCGCCGCGAGCTCCTGCGAGAGCGACTTGGTCTGCTCCGCAGTGGGTACCTTCCCAGTAAGGAGGAGCCAGAGCATACTCTCGGGAATGATCTCGCGTCCACCGGGTGCCGCGGGAAGCACCTTTTGGCACTCTGGAATTGAGAGTCCATGGAAACGAATGCCCTGTATTGATAATATAAAAGTAAAAAGAAGCAATCCGTTAGGATAGGTTGATGTAAAAATGAAGAGTAATAAACGCTGACCTCATTCGGATCCAGCACGGACGCCTCCCAGAGCAACGTCTTCAACGTCCTCATCCCACCAATAATATTCTCAACCTTGATGTCACCCACGACAGTCGCCCCATGTTCTTTCCTCTGTATTCACCGTCAAATATTACTTGTTCATCTCACGTCAAACAATTAAAGAATTAGGTAGATACGCACGAGTTTAATGAGCCGCTGCTGTTTCTGCGGAATGACTTCCTCAAGAGTCTCGCGCAACGACTAAACGACACACAAATAACGTCAACTACGGGATCAATAAGTATAAGCATCCACTCACCTTGGTAGACGCGAGCCTTCTCTGGCTACCATGCACCGAGCGCACAGCGCTCCTCAAGACAAAGTTTCCTCTCAACAGCATTCTTTCCAGTCAAACGGCGAAACAGCAAGATGATACAAAGAAGAGGGGGGGTGGGATGAGGAAGGAGAAATAGTTGCTCCAAGAGAAAGAAGGACGGCTGTGAGAAGGGAGGGAATATTTATATGCGGAGGTTGAGAGGAAGAGCGTCACGGTCGCCGTTCAATGCGATTGGCTTGCCCCGGAACATAATACTGCATGTGATCACCGAAGAACCTCTTCTTCTCCCGAGGTCAGCTCTCCCTCCTCTCCGAATACACCCGATCTATGTCCCCATATTACCGTGTATTGGAATCCTCTCGGAATAAACATTTGAATAGAATTGCTATAGGTTACAAGAATTGTATACACATGCACGAGAGCAACTGCACAACGGCTTCAGATCCAAATCACCAAAACTTCACATTCCCCCCTCCGCGTTCGCCAGTATCCGATCAATCTCTGCGCGTATTTCCGCAAGATTCGCTTTCAGCGTCCGCGCATCTTCAAACTTGCGGTGTGCCGTCGCCTCCTCGACGAAGGACTCGAGTAAAGCCTCCTGCTCCAGCAAAGGTTGCAGCGCCTGCGCAAGCTCCGAGTCTGGGTCGAGCACTTGAGAAGGTGCGTCCGTCGTCACACTCGCAGCATCACCATTTGCTCCCGCACCAGACACAGAACGCTTCTTAGGCTTCGGAAGAGACTAACAAAACAAGCTCAGCTTCTCGGATTTAACCGGAAGAAACGCATATACTCACTTGAAGAGGAAACATGTTCTTCTGCAAGAACATATTCGCACGTGCTTGGATCGCAGCTTGTACCCGGTCCTGCGAGCTTCCAGGCCCGCCTGGACAAGGTATCTTTCGTATACGCTTTGCGATCGCGTCATAGTCTGAAAAGCACTGGAGCAAATGCTTCCGCATTGCCGACGCTTCTTTCGTCGGTACTTCATCCGCATTATTGCTGAGCAAAAGTCATTCAACAGAAGGACTTAAACGGAAACCTGCTGAGACTCACGATAGATTCAACATAAGCTCCTGGAAGTGTGGCAGTGCTTCCTCGATTTCCGACTCTAATGCGATGAGAGCCTATAAAACATCTTATAAGTAAGCAACTACACGCAATGACTGTCAAATTTACCTCGTAAAGCCTGTTCATGGTTGGCGTACGCTTGGTCTCCTGTCGGTATTGCTGACGTCTTTTAAGGACAACGTATCATTACCAACCCAGTGTCATTCTTACCAGGTAGAAATTGAACTTACAGCATAACAGGCTTGCACTCCTTGCATATTCTCACTCCTTTAAGGAATTTCTCTTCACTAGTCTCGCCCTTCGGTTTGCTACCCATCGAATTTACACGTGAGCGAGGCTTCACCCCATAGTCGACGCCTTCTGTAACTTCCTCTATTCGTCCGGTCTTGGGATCGGAGATAAAGAGCAAGGAACAAGGAACAGGTCGTTGAGGCTTTTTAACAGGCAGCGAACAGATTATTCGACCACACAGTCGACAGTGGTGCTTTCGGTTTGTGAGGGGATGGAAGGAGGCGCTACAGAACCGAGTCAAGACTTAAATAATGACAAGCTATAAATTTAAAAACCCACGAGCAATGTGGACATGTAGGCACATCTGCGTCATCTTGCCAAGGCGTAATTCTCTGCTCGGCAGCTAAATTACAACATCAAAAGTCAGTTCGAAAAGAAAGTCATGACACTTAGAAATAATTCTTACCTCGAATATCACCTTTCCCGCCATTGGCCGCCGCAGCTCGGCTTTCAACTACACTCTTCCATAATTCCGACGCACTCTTCTGTCTAAATTCGCTCCAATCTTCAAGAAACGACGAAGCACGTCGTCCAAGTGATGGTGCAGGATCAAGTTTCTCCTTTCCCTTAGTATTACCATTTTCTTCAGAAAAATGTAGATCAACGAGCTTTTCAAATCGTCGTTCAAGTCGTGTAAGCTCTAAACTTTCTGCGTCGCGCGCACGTTTACGGCTTGCAAGGAAGTCATCTGTAAGAGGCCTGTATACGCCCTTTGGCTGGAAGCCTGGTCGATAAGCGGCCTTTCGCTCTAATGCAGGGGTGGTAGTAGTGGAAGAGGAGGGCGTGCTTGGTGGCATGGGGGACTGGACACGAGATGGAGTCGTAGACACGGATGCTGGAGACGCTGCAGGTTTCGGAAGGACAGCCGGAGATTGAAGTGAGCTTGTGCGTGGTGGAGGGAGAATTTGTGGTGGAGGCAAAGACATAGACATGGACGTGCTTCGTTGGTGTACATTAGAAGTTGTAGGTTTTAATGAACTTGCTTGAGTTGTGTCTGGGGTAAACTCTGAATGTACTGAAGCGGGAGATCGTGCACCGGATTGCAAAGGTCGATCATCAGGAACAGGTTGATCGAACTGACGCGCCCGTGAGAGCGGCGACAAGCCAGAGGTGGAGACCGTGCGAGAGTGTGTGTTGGCAGGACGAAGTGGTGAAGATGTTCTTGGGGTCGAACTTGAGTTCGCTGGACGGAGTGGAACATAACGAAATGTAGACGACCTGCGTGGGTTGTACGTGGATTTATTCGGTTGAGCTGATGGTCCAGCCTCAGGTGATGCTTGGTCATTGGGAGGCGTCGATGAAGGGAAAGGTGTGCCTTTCTCGCTCGCCTCCATGGCTGGCGTTATAGATCCGTTGGTTGCTCTAGGAGACGAGTGGACACTCGAACGGCTAGACGGCTCGCTGACAGAATCCAGCGGTTCGTCATTGATCCTGATTCCTGCTACTGAGCTCACCGTGGACTGCGCACCAGGTGAGGTGGGACTCGCATGCTCCGAACTTGAAACTGCTTCGGAGACCGTTGTCTGCTGCGGCATAACTACAGACGCGGGTCTTGATCTTACTTCTACAGTGTTATCATTTGGCGACGCCACGTCGACTTTCGGAGCCGTCGGAGTCTTTGTGAGATCTTCACCATTTAACTTCGGTGCAAGGTCTATCGATGTTGAAGAAATATGACGCGGCCGATAGGGAGGAGAGGCTGTTCCGTTGGCCTCATTCTGAGGGGCCGATATGACACGCGAATGCCGCTTTGACTGCCACGAAGCACGGTTTCAATTTCTCAGCAGCCAATTCCAGAAAGACTATTACTGACCTTGTATGCTTGGTATGGAACATATGGGGTAGACGAGGTCGTGCTCATCGTGGAGGACGACCTTGAGCCGGTCGCCGTCACCGTCTGTGAAAGCTCAGACGATGTGGTCTCTGATCATCCAGGAATGGAAATCAATGATCTGCGCAGCCTTCTTGAGATTCCATCTCTCTCTAAGAGTCTCTTCATTCATTAACCTAAACCTGCGTAGAATGTGTTCGTTCTCACCGAGTCGTCTCGATTTTGTTCGACCAGAAGGTTGTTCACAGAATGAGGAATAGTACTGTTGGCAAGGTCAAATGCCAGTCTTTCAGTTTCGAGAAGAATACAAACAGGCTATTTATTCAAGCATCATCACAGAGTTGTGTAGGTCTTGTGTTCTAAATTGGAAGATGGAGGGGCTAATCTATGCTTCTGCATACTCTGCTTCCGCTTTCCAGAAAACAACAGCGGGTCGCAAAGCCTGATTCGCATAATTATAAATGTCCCTGCAACTCGTATCGGTACAACCCGTTAAAACGCTTGCTTAAGCGCAATATTGGCGGATGTAAGGACCGGGAATACCTAATTATGTCTTACCTGCTATTACTCATCTTCCTGACCTTCATACGTAGCAAGAACGATGCCGCACTCAGCAGTGCTACTTAGAATGCAAGACGGCGCTGGCTGGAATAGGATTGATCCGATTGTTTCATTCTCTGATGTGATGTTTCTGCATGTGCATGCCAAGTTCTCCAGAAAACGGGTGTCGAGATCTTGCAAAGCAATGAACGCTGGAGCTTTTTGGAAAGTCACCCGGAGCGATGAACCGGGCTCTATGAAGTCTTCTGTTTCATAGTCCCCCACAAGATCTCGGATATACCACCTTTGCGACCGGCTATCGGTACAAACCTGCAGGAATGCTCCTATGTGTCGGCGCTCGCCATTTCGCGCCTAAGACACAGCATTGTCGAAACACGCCAAATAAATAGGACCTACTTTCTACTTTCTACTTTCTCCTGTCTTGTTGCCCTCATTGTCATGATAGAAACTTTGACTTCGTCATTAGGGCACTTGCCCACCCTCGACCGAAAGGATGCGTTGCTTTTCGATGTTTTCTGTGCAGTGGTAAGTTATAGTACACATTGTCTGGCGAAAGGCGACTGATTTTGCCTTAATTCATAGGTTGTTCACAAAATCTACAACAAATTTGAAGTTAATCCGGCCAACCTTTTACCTACTATCATCTTGCTCGTAGGAATTCCAACTCTTCCAACGTACTTTTTGCTTCCCCATTTCGGCTCCAACTTCCTCGCTGCCCTGGTCTCGTATTCATGCTTTTATGTTACTCTCGTCTCGTCTATTATACTCTACCGCATTTCCCCTTTCCACCCGCTTGCCAAGTTTCCTGGACCGTTGTCGTTGAAGATCTCAAAATTCGTGACAATGTATCACTCACTAGGCGGCAAGCAGCACCTGTATTTCAAGAAGTTGCATGACAAGTTCGGCCACGTTGTCCGCGTTGGTGAGATTGCGATGTAGCCTCGTGTGTATTGAAGCATGGGCTTATTACTTCCGTAGGTCCTAATGAATTATCGTTTGCTGACGCGGAAGCGATTCCACCTGTTCTTGGGCAAGATGGAATGCGACGGGGACCATGTGCGTCGATTTGTCTTTACAATCACTTAACTGCTGACGGTTGTCCTCTCCATCAGTGTGGGAAATGCATGTCAAACCCGGAACGACTCCTCATCTCATCTCCTTGCGAAATGTGGACAAGCATCATGAGCGGAGAAAATTATGGAACCACGGCTTCACTTCTGCAGCTATTAAGGACTACCAGCCATTAATAGCAAATCGAGTACTTCAGCTTGTCGAGGAACTTAAAAAAGTCAGCCGCGGTGAGAACGAGATTCACGAGAAATCTGTTGATCTTACCTGCTGGATTGCTTATTTTGCGTGAGTGGGAGCATTTCTATGATAATCATGTTCAGGGGTCATATTTTTCTGCAGGTATGACTTCATGGGTGACCTGGTGTAAGTGTGTTGCTTTCTGTGGAAAGATAACATAATTTTATCAATCGATTGGTAGATTTGGTGGAGGCTTTGAGTTCATGCGCTATCGCGACAAAGATGGTTTCCGTCCAATACTGGAAGAGGGTATGAAGTATGTACCCTTCGCACACATTGTGTCATTCGTTTTACTGAATTACGGAACATTTTAAAAGAATGATAGGGATCCTGGAGCACGTACCATGGATTGCAAGGTCCCTTGCCAAATATGGGTCCGAGCCAGCCGTTTTGGAAACTTACAGAGAGTACGGAACGAAACGTTACGACATACGCAAGGAGCAGGGAGCAATTAGTAGAGATTTGTTCCACTTCGTTGTAGGTACACAATATTTGTTCGCTAATTAAAATTCTTAACGTGCTTCTTCTCCGTTCTAGACAAATGAAGAAGGGATCGAAAAAATGGACGTGTCGAGGGAACAGGGTTTGAACGAGATTTTTGCTGCCATGGTGGCTGGTGCCGACACGACATCTACTGTGCTTGATGGCCTCTTCTTCCGTATTCTCTCGAACACTGCTATTTTCACGAAACTACGACAAGAAGTCGACTCCGAATTCCCGTTGGGGGAAGGTGAGCCATTCGACGCGGTAAAGCTTGCTGCGATGCCGTTCTTGAATGCTGTCATGTAAGTCTCCATAAAATTCAACCGCAGACACGTGCTAACTTCTCGTGATAGTAATGAGACACTCCGTCTGCAAGCACCACTATCTACTTCATTACAGCGGAGTCCGATAGAAAATAGTGGAGGTAAATTGGTTGCAGGAAGGTTCGTTTATTATCTTTCTCCTCCCTTTTCCCGCCCTACAACGTTCTTATACTACAAACAGGTTCATTCCAGAGAGCACGGCGATATACATCCCTTCATACGCCCTTCATCGAGACCCTCGCTACTTCTCCCCTTTCCCCTACGACTTCATTCCAGAACGTTGGCTCGACAATACGCAGATCAATAACACCAACAAGAAAACGAATGTGAAATTCACCACTAACACGTCCGCATTCATCCCGTTCTCCTATGGACCCGCAAACTGCATTGGAAAGAACCTGGCCATGTTAGAAATGCGCATGGTCGTCGCTACGCTGATTCAGAAATTCGACATGAAGCTCGCGGAGGATTACGATCCACGTAAATGGGAGGAAGATCTGCAAGATTATTTCATTATAAAGGTTGGGAAGTTACCTGTTGTGCTGAATCCTAGGGAATGAAGAGGTAAATTATGGACTGTTTGACTTCGCTAATATTCACTATTTACATATACGATCACAAGAGCACCTTATTATATCACAGCTATTTGTAATCATAATTCAGGTGATGCTGGTGATAATAAGTATATTCGAGTTTCAAAATGTCATGACCAGTTCCAGTAGGACGCATGGAGACTGCATTGTCATTTAAATGTTCCATATCCTGAAATGGGTCGCTTCTGCTGCTATGACTATGGAATAAAGTTCACATATATAAGAAAAGAATGCAAAGCAAATAAAAGGCAAACGTTTGAAATTACTCTGGTGAATATTGACAGGCCAGTAATCACTGACGTTGTGCAGTTTAATACGCTCTTTTCAAAGTGGTTACCGACTGTGCACTATGATTACGTAAGCAGCCCTGATCGACATGACATTGATCTAATGATCTTCGCAATCGGTTTCTTCCTTCACTGTAGCGTCGTGTGCTTTGTCTGTCTGACGTGCCGAGTACTCCTTCAAGGCTAGAACTGTAAACAGCTTTGCAATACTGTAGAGTTCATTGCTCTGATATTCTCTTGTGGTTAAGCACAAACAAAAGGCTAATGGCTCCAATGCAGAAGTTGGGGTGGCCCTGTGACGACAGGAGTGCTGGATGAATCCTCTGGAACGCGTAAATGCCTCCGGAGGCAACCAACCTATAGCAACCGGTGTACTACATTGCATACACAAATGGCTCCGCCTAAGCGGTATAGTATGGTTTTTACCTAGAATGGGTCCCTAATCAGAAGCACAGGTTCTGCTGGAACTATGATTCGAATCATGGACTCGGATTCTGATCACACTAATAGATAATATAAAACTCATTCAATAGAGCTTGCTTTGCTTGCTGCTTGCTATCTTTCCGCCCTCACTCGCATGATTGGAGTTTTCGCGCTGTTATTGGGGCACTTGCCTACCCTTGGTCGAAATGACGCGTTGCTTTTCGACGCCTTCTGCGCGTTGGTAGGCCACAGTACAAATCGTCGAGCGAAGACTGCTGAATATAGCTTGGTTTATAGATTGTTCACAAAGTCTACAACAATTTCGAGGTCAATCCAGCCAACTTCATTCCCACTATCGTCTTGCTCGTAGGAATCCCAGTTCTTCCGACGTACTTTTTGCTTCCCCATATCGGCTCAAAGTTCCTCACTACTCTGTTTTCGTATTTATGCTTCTACACCACTCTCGTCTCGTCTATTGTACTTTATCGCATTTCTCCGTTCCATCCGCTTGCCAAGTATCCCGGTCCGTTGTCCTTGAAGATATCAAAATTCACGGCAATGTACCATGCATTGAGAGGCAAACAGTATCGGTATTTCAAGAACTTACATGACAGATACGGCCACGTTGTCCGCGTCGGTAGGTTTGCTTGCTACTTCTCGCGTATTGATATGCGTACTTATCATTCTGTAGGTCCTAATGAACTATCATTTGCTGATGCCGAAGCAATCCCACCTGTCCTCGGATCAGACGGAATGCGGAAAGGACCTTGTGTGTCAATTCATCTTGGTGCAATAAATCCACTGACAGATATTCGGTGCTCTAGTATGGGCAATACATACCAAACCCGGAACGACTCCCCACGTTGTCGCTTTGCGAGACGTCAACAAACATCGTGAACGCAGAAAATTATGGAAATATGGTTTCACTTCCGCGGCTATTAAGGATTACCAACCAATTATGGCAAATCGTTTGCTGCAGCTCGTCGAGGAGCTCGGAAAAGGCTGCAGCAGTGACAATGGGAACCACGGGAACCACGTTGATCTTGCTCAATGGATTGGTTATTTCGCGTGAGTGGGAGGTTCTCTGCTCTGCGTTTAGGACACTTACATTTTGAAGTTACGACTTCATGGGTGACTTAGTGTAAGTGATTTGGAGTAGGTCCGCAGGCTTATAAATAAATGATTTACTTGCTAGATTTGGTGGAGGTTTTGAGTTCATGCGCCTTCACGACAAAGATGGTTTTCGTTCAATACTAGAAGACACCCTGAAGTACGTATCTCTTTTCATCACATAACGTATGGTATTGTTTTACCAGCTTACGGTACATTGTAAAAGAATGCTAGGAATTCTGGAGCACATATCATGGATTGCAGAAGTCCTCTCGAAACTTGGGTCTGAACCAGCAGCAATCGTAACATATAGGGAGTACGGAACGAAACGTTACGATATGCGTAAGGAGCAGGGGGCAACAAGAAAAGATTTGTTCCATTTCATTGTAAGGACTCATTATTTTCCTTCTAGTCGGGCCACTTATTATATTTCTTCTCTGTCTTAGATGAATGAAGAAGGGCCCGAAGAATTGAAGGTGCCGAGGGACCAGGGGTTGAACGAGGTCTTTGCTGCCATGGTGGCAGGTGCCGACACGACATCGACCGTCCTTAGTGGCCTTTTCTTCTATATCCTCACGAACCCTGAGACTTTTACGAAACTGCGACAAGAAATCAATTGTGAGTTCCCACTAGGGGAAGGAGAGCCATTCGACGCGGTGAAGCTCGCCACAATGCCGTACCTGAATGCTGTCATGTAACTCTCCGTTCACCTCAATCGCAACACCTGCTAACTTCATTGTGATAGTAATGAGACGCTTCGTCTGCAAACACCAGTAGCCACTTCATTACAGCGGACACCGTTAGAAAATAGTGGTGGTAAATGGGTTGCAGGAAGGTTTGTTTATCATCTTTCTCCCCCTTCTTTCCCCCGTTCGATCACACCCTTATACTACAATAAGGTTCATTCCAGAGAACACAGCAATATATATCCCACCATACGTCCTTCATCGCGACCCTCGCTACTTCTCTCCCTTCCCCGACGACTTCATCCCGGAACGCTGGTCCGACAACGAGCGAAAAAGCACCAGCGACAAGGGGAAACCAAAATTTACGACCGACACAACTGCATTCATCCCCTTTTCCTACGGACCTGCAAACTGCATCGGAAAGAACCTCGCCTTGTTAGAAATGCGCATGGTTGTCGCTACGTTGGTCCAGAAATTCGACATGGGGCTTTCGGGGGATTACGATCTGCCTAAGTGGGAAGAAGATCTACAGGATTATTTCATGATGAAAGTTGGGAAGCTACCTGTTGTGTTGAACCTTAGAGAATGAAGAGGCTAGTTGAAGATTTATGATTTTGATGATGTACGCTATTTACATACACGATTTTAAGAGTACTCGTTATACCACGACTGTTTTTACTCATAATCTAAATGCACACAAGGTTCCTTTCCAGAAGATCACAAACAGCTCCAGTGGAACGCATGGACTTTACTGTCATGTAAACGTCCCATATTCTGACGTTAAAATATTATAAAGGAATTATGAAGGAAAGAATGAAAACGAATAAGAGCTTAATGCTTGAAATAAATTGCTTGGGTGAATATTGAGATGCCCATAGTGATTGACGTTGCGTAGTTTCTAAGAAACACTTTCCTCTAAGTGTTTACGGTAATATCAACTACGTACTGTTTATGTAATCAATACCGATCAACATGACTTTGTTCTCAGGTGTCCTGGTTCCTTCACTTTAGCATCCCGTGTCTTGTCTGGCTGATACGCCAAGTTCTTGTTCAAGGATATAACTGTGAAGAACTTCGGAATACTACAGGGTTCATTGCTTTGATATTCTCGTTGAGCATGATTAGTATGCGAGTGGCCTGAGCACAGAAGACAGGGTGCAGGAGAATCACATCAGGACGGTTAGATGAAGCCAATATTAATGAAATGCCTCCAGAGTTGAGTGACCTATAGCAATTACCATCTCTAGACTCCAGATATTCGGGTTCTGTAACTCATGTGTACCCAAATGGAGTTGCCCAAGTAGCATGGCATGGTATATTACCCAACACGGGACTCTCAACAGAACGTACAGAAGCACCGGGGCTACTGGGATCAAGATCCGAGTCATGAATGCCGACCATACCAGTAAATGTTATAAAGCTCACTCAATTGGATTCGCCTTTACCTACTGCTAACGTTTCGCTCTCAACTGTCATGATTGAAGTTTTCAAATCATTGGGCCACCTACGTACCCTTGCTCGCAAAGATGCATTGTTTTTCGACGTTTTCTGTGCGCTAGTAAGTCGCAGTACACATCGTTGAGTGATATTGGACTAAACATGCTTAATTCTTCAGTGTGTTCATAGAATCTACAACAAATTCGAGGTCGACCCGGCCGACTTCAAACCTACTATCGTCTTGCTCGTAGGAATCCCAATTCTACCGACATACTTTCTACTTTCCCATCTCCGCTCCATATTCCTCGCTGCCCTGTTGTCGTATTCATGCTTCTACATCACTCTCATCTCGTCTATTGTGCTTTACCGCATTTCCCCTTTCCATCCGCTTGCCAGGTATCCTGGACCGCTGTCGTTGAAGATCTCAAAATTCGTGGCAATGTATCACTCACTAGGCGGCAAGCAGCACCTGTATTTCAAGAAGTTGCATGACAAATACGGCCACGTTGTCCGCATTGGTGAGATTGCGATGTAGCCTCGTGTGTATTGAAGCATGGGCTTATTACTTCCGTAGGTCCTAATGAATTATCGTTTGCTGATGCGGAAGCGATTCCACCTGTTCTTGGACCGGACGGAATGCGGAAGGGTCCTTGTGTGTTAACGCACCTTAGCGTCTGAGTAAAACCACTGATAGTTATCTTATGTGTGGTTAATGCATGTCAGACCCGGAACGACCCCTCACGTCAACGCTTTGCGAGACATCGACAAACATCATGAGCGCAGAAAACTATGGAATCATGGCTTCACTTCGGCAGCTATAAAGGACTACCAACCAACTGTAGCGAATCGGGTGCTTCAGCTTGTTGAGGAACTTGGAAGCGGAAGCCGTAACGAAGGCGATATTAACGGCAGATCCGTTGATCTCTCTCGTTGGATTGGTTATTTCGCGTGAGTAGGAGCTCTTCTCCGGTCTCGTTCAGCATATTTATATTTTGTAGATATGACTTCATGGGTGACTTAGTGTAAGTGTGCTAGTTGTTAGATAGGTGGATCACATAGACACTCAGTTCTCGGTAGATTTGGTGGAGGCTTTGAGCTTATGCACCGCAGCGGCAATAATGATTTCCGGCCAATATTAGAAGACACTATGAAGTATATATTTCTTTCCTCTGTGTACTTTATGTGATTGTTCAACTAGCCTACGGTACATTTCAAAAGGCTGGTAGGAATTCTGGAGCACATATCATGGATCAAAGGGGTCCTTGTCAAAACTAGGTCTGAGCCAGCGGCGTTCGCAACTTACAGGGAGTACGGAACGAAACGTTACGATGTGCGCAAGGAGCAGGGAGCAAGTAGGAGGGACTTGTTTCAGTTCATCGTAAGTCACTTTATCTGTCCGCATAACAGATTTCTTGTTACATTTCTATTCCATTCAAGACAAATGAAGAGCGGGTCGAAAACATGGATGTCTCGAGAGAACAAGGCTTGAACGATGTTTTTTCAGCCATGGTGGCAGGTGCCGACACGACATCTACTGTCCTTAGTGGTCTTTTCTTCTTCATTCTCTCGAACCCTGCTATATATATGACACTACAACAAGAAGTTGATTCCGTTCCCGCTATGCGGAGGAGAGCCGTTCGACTCGGTAAGGCTCGCTGCTATGCCCTACTTAAATGCTGTCATGTAAGTCTCCGTGAGGGTGTACTGCAACGTCTACTTAGTCTTTCGGGAAGAAACGAGGCACTTCGTTTGCAGCCGTCTCTGCCCACTTCACTACAGCGAAGTCCGGTGGAAAATGGTGGCGGAAAATGGGTCGCCGGCAGGTCAGTTCATCACCTTTATTGTCCTTATTTGCTGCTAGTTTGCTTATATTTCGAGAAATAGGTTTGTTCCAGAGAACACGGCGATATATATTCCACCATACGTCCTCCATCGGGACCCTCGTTACTTCTCTCCCTTCCCCAACGACTTTATTCCGGAACGTTGGCTCGACTGCATGCAAAATGATAACACAAAGGACAAATCAAAGGTGAAATTCACTAGCAACACATCGGCATACATCCCGTTCTCCTATGGACCCGCAAATTGCATCGGAAAAAACCTCGCCATGCTAGAAATGCGCATGGTTGTCGCTACGTTGGTCCAGAAATTCGACATGAAGCTCGCAGAGAGTTATGATCTGCGTAACTGGGAGGATAATCTACAGGATTATTTCATTTTTAAAGTCGGGGAGTTGCCTGTTGTGTTGAACCTTAGGGTATGAAGAGGTTGTATGATATAGTAAGATACAGTGGCACCAAAATATGTTGTCATGTTTAACGTTTTTGACAAACCTACAATACGAGACCACCGTTTGGAAATTGCATTGGTTTGGTAAATGTTGAAGGGGACGTAGTGATTAACAGTATACGGAGTAGTTGTATTCTTCATTTACAGGTACGCCCAACGAGGCTATGCTGAAAAGAAGAGAAGGAAGAAAAAAGAATGAGGGTATAATGGCACTGATTAATTAAATAACTGTAACGAACATGAGTGTAATAATATGATACGGCTAGTTACGAATTACACAGTGAAACCAAGATAATAAGAAAGAGATGTGGAGGAACTAGAGATTTCGAGTGAACGTGAGATCACTGAGGACGGAGAGAGACTCGTAAGTGAGAGCCTGAGAGAGAGAAACCCGATTGCTTATGTAATACCAATTGAAGTCAATGAAATTATACACAATGTTCACAAAAATTCACTATGACTTTCCATCTCTTACTTTCACACGAGGCAGATGCCATTCCGTTGCGCTATAGGGATTTATATTACAAAATGTGAAGCTGCCGTCTAATTGGCTGGAAACACATTCTGAAACAAAATTTTCTGGGCTCGGACTAGATTCCGCCTTGGTGATGGCTCCGTTGTGGAGTTCAATCGGCATCTCGGATACATACTATCTCTGTGACCGGCTATCTGGATAAACCTGCAGGCATACTTCTCTGTTTCGGCGCTCATCATTTCGCGCCTAAGTCACAGCAATGTCGAAACCTGGTCAAATACAACGTGCCCTCAACTTGGTGCCTCCTTGTTACCCTCATCAACATGATAGAATCTCTGACGTCGCTATTGACGCACTTGCCCGCCCTCGATCGAAGGGACGCGTTGCTTTTTGATGTCTTCTGTGCTTTGGTAGGTCGCAGTACATATGTCAAGCTAGAGATGACTAAATCTGTCTTAATACGTAGATTGTTCACAAAATCTACAACAAATTTGAGGTGGACCCGGGTAACTTCATACCTACTATCATCTTGCTCGTAGGGATTCCAGTTCTTCCAACATACTTTTTGCTTCCCCACCTCGGCTCCACGCTCCTCACCATCCTAGTCTCGTATTCATGCTTTTATGTTTCTCTTATTTCTTCTATTGTGCTCTATCGCATTTCCCCCTTCCATCCGCTTGCCAAGTATCCTGGACCGTTGTCCTTAAAGATATCAAAATTCGTGATGATGTACCACGCGTCAAGAGGCAAGCAGTATTTGTATTTCAAAAAGTTGCATGACGAATACGGCTATTTTGTCCGCGTTGGTAAGCTTGCGTGCTACTCTTCTGTCTCAACACATGGATTAATTGTCCTGTAGGTCCTAATGAATTATCCTTTGCCGATGCTGAAGCAATCCTTCCCGTTCTTGGACCGGACGGAATGCGAAGAGGGCCACGTGTGTTAATTCATTTCTACGATTGCATAATTACTGACAATGATCACCGCATCAAGTGTGGGTTATGCATGTCAAACCCGGAACGCCTCCTGACCTTGTCGCTTTGCGAGATGTCGGCGAACACCATGAGCGCAGAAAATTATGGAACCACGGATTCACTTCCGCGGCTATCAAAGATTATCAACCGGCTATAGCGAGTCGATTGCTTCAGTTTGTCGAGGAACTTAGGAAAGGTGGCGGTGATGACACTGGGATTCACAAGAAGTCGTTTGATCTCGCTCAATGGATCGGTTATTTCGCGTGAGTGGAAAGTCTTACGATCACATTCGGAATTCTTATGTTTTGCAGATTTGACTTCATGGGTGACTTAGTGTAAGCGCTGTTATTAGGTCAGTGGGTCTGTAAAAAGCTCATTTACCTGCCAGATTCGGTGGAGGCTTTGAGCTCATGCACCATCGCGACAAAGACGGCCTTCGTTCAATGCTTGAAGATGCTATGAAGTATGTATCCCTTCGTTTCAGATACCTTATGTTATTGTTTTAATGGCTTACGGTTTATTTCAAAGAGTGCTAGGAATTCTAGAGCACATACCATGGATCACAAAAGCCCTTTCCATGCTTGGGTCTGAACCAGCACAGTTCGTAACTTACAGGAATTACGGAACGAAGCGTTACGATATGCGCAAAGAGCAGGGGGCAAATAGGAGAGATTTGTTCCATTTCATCGTGAGTGCACATTATCTTGTTCGCTAATCATGCCCCTTACCACTTTTCCATTCTAGACAAATGAAGAAGGGATCGAAAAAATGGACGTGCCGAGGGACCAGGGCTTGAATGAGGTTTTTACTGCCATTGTAGCAGGCGCCGACACGACATCGACCGTGCTTGGCGGCGTTTTCTTTTACATTCTCTCGAACCCAGCTGTTTTCTCGAAATTACAGCGAGAAGTTGATTCCGAGTTCCCACTAGGGGAAGGAGAGCCATTCGACGCGGTAAAGCTATCTGCGATGCCCTACTTGAACGCTGTCATGTACGTCTACGTAAAAGTCGAATGTAACGACTGCTAACTTCCCGTGATAGTAATGAAGCGCTCCGTCTGCAGCCGCCACTGGCTACTTCATTACAGCGGTGTCCATTAGAAAATAGCGGTGGTAAGTGGGTTGCAGGAAGGTTAGTTTATCGCCTTTCTCCCCCTTTTCCCTCGTTTCACTCATTCTAATACTGCAATAAGGTTCATTCTAGAGAGTACAGCAATATACATCCCACCATACGTCCTCCATCGGGACCCTCGCTACTTCTCTCCTTTCCCCGACGACTTCATCCCGGAACGTTGGCTCGACAACACGCATAGCAACGATACTAACAACAAAGGAAACGTAAAATTCACGACCAACACATCCGCATACATCCCCTTCTCATATGGACCCGCGAATTGCGTTGGGAAGAACCTTGCGCTGCTAGAAATGCGCATGGTCGTCGCTACATTGATCCAGAAATTCGACATGAAGCTTGCGGAGGATTATGATCCGCATATGTGGGAAGAAGATCTACAGGATAACTTCATATTTAAAGTCGGGAAATTGCCTGTCGTGCTGAACACTAGGGAATGAGTAAATTTAGTAACAGATTGCACAACTTCGTGATCATGTTCTCATTTAAACAGACGATTATAAGAGTGCTTTGTGGTAACACAAGTAATTGTAGTTCTAATATGAGTAATGCTTGTAGTGAGTTTCCTTTCAAAAAGATTGCGAAAAGTTCCAGTACATCCATAGCCGAACTTGACATTGCACTTTTGTGCGGAGTCTGACAAGGCAATATATGTACATTTAGGCAATATAATCGAATATAAGGATCCACAATATTCAAAAAAAAAAGTCTTAGTGATAGATTCCAATACATTTTCGTGTTCGTTTTGGTGATGCTTTATTGTCATGACATGTCGCTTCGGGAAGAACATCGTTGTTGGAAGTGCGCATAGTCGTCGCTACGTAGATCCAGAAATTCAACATGAAGCTTTCAGGGTATCATGATCCTTGCAAATGGGAACAGGACCTACACGCTTATTTTGTTATGAAAGTTGGAAAGATGTCTGTTGCATTGAATCTTGGAAATGCGTTTTAGTTTGGTAAATATTGTAGGGCCTATAATGACTGACTCTATACACCATAGCTCTATTCTTCAAAAGTTTATTTTACACAACTTGACAATCCGAGCAGGACAAAGCTAGATTGCATTTAAATGCCACTATCAATATGCGATGCAAAGTATGGACAAGTACGACCAAGAGAGTATGCTAGAAGAAAGAAAGAGCCTGAGTGAAAGAAAGAGAAAGAAAGAAAAAATAGAATAGCACTGATACATTAAATATCTGTAATGAACGCGAACCACGAGTGCAATGATACGATACGATCTTGATACGATTACACAGCAAAACCGAGATAAAGAAAAGAGACGTGGAGGAACGAGAGAGTTTGAGTGGGCGTGAAGACGGAGAAAGAAAGGAACCGTGATTGAGATCATCAAGATCGTCAAGTGCGTCTAATTTAACTAAGTAAGAGAACTGCGAGACTATGAACCATTTACTTGACTGTGTCCGTCTACTGACAGACCGCCTTCTGTTGTTGTTGTTATTATTGTCGTCGTCGTCGAAACGGCTTCGCCATTTCGAAGTTTTGAAGTACCGTTTGGTCGTGGAGTGGTGGGTACTTTGAAATTCTGTTGATGCGGTTGAGCACTACGTGGTGCCGGGTTTTGTGAGCTAGATGGAACGAGTTTGGAGCTTGCTGAAGGTTGTGCACTCCTACTACGTCCCAAACCTGCTCCCGGAACACCCAGCTGCGGCCGCTCTTCTGGCACTGTAGTAACGGTAAGACCTCCTACGACAGGTGATTGTTGCGATTGTTGTGACGTAGCGCTATTGCCCACACCAGAGCCGTTCACATTCTGATTCTGATTACGCTCAACCATAGGCGAATACGGACGCGGAGTTGATGGTGCGAAGGACGATACATGCAGTAGCATGACGAAACTCTGCGTCGCGTTCGTCAGCTTCGCAATATCACCCCGCAGTTGCCCAGAAAGCCCATGGGCAGTGTAGTAGTCTTTCGCTAGTTTAGATAAGGTGATGACAGTCTAGAAATAGAGTATAAGAACTCAGATCACGGATAGTCAATGTGGCCATTGAAACAAATGAGCACATACTTTGATGAACACGTGTGCGTCCTCGCGGAGCGCCTTGCGGTCGGCATTCAAATGCCCCTCCTGAATGGCTCTTATGTTGTCACTAAGCCTACGCGTCACCGCTTGTGCCTTCATTAGGCTACTATGCACATCCACTGGCATGCCAGTCATTTCATTCGAAATCTCCTCGAGTATGGACCACACTGCTGGTGCTGCTTGAACAGCAGCCGCCATCGCTTCTATAGCTTCCTTATCAACCAGTGCGTTCGAGTTTACGGAAGCGTCTGTGACGCCCCTAGGCAGCCCCGACGATAGGAGCTGCGGTGTATTAGCAGCGGAATTTTGCGCCGAATTCTGTCGAGAGTGTAAATCGGGCGATGGTTGAGGAGGTATAGGACTATGATTCGGTAATGGAGGTATAGGACTTCCAGTTGAAGGCATGTTTCGTAACGAAGCGGTATGAGGACGAGGCGTTGGCGTACTTGACCCACTAGCAACTCCCCTAGCTGGAGGAGACAACTCGGTGTTAGAAGGTAGAGAACGTCCAATTTCCAAGTCCTCGACACTGAATGAGCCCGCATGTCGCCGACTCATTCGTGAACGACCCTCAGACTGAGTTGGTCGCTTCATAGGGATCGTCGACGATTGGTGCTGTAGATCTGGTTGTGCAGAATGCGTACGGGCGAGTCCAGCTGGGCGGGTGAATCCCGGAGGTTCTGGAGCTAGAGGAGGTTCTGGTTGTTCGGCTATTGGGGGTATCAATACCCGGCTTGGTGCCTGAGAAGCCAGCTGTGACTTGTGCGGAGGCGCTCTTGGCGGAGTCGGAGCCGGGGTGGTCATTCCTGTGTTCGAGAGTGGTGATGGTCGATCGTCACGTAATAACGGCTCGATCGAATCCAGTTGTGGGGCAATACCTTGCCATGAATTGGATATTTCTGCTGTCGCACCATATATCACCAAAAGCATTTGTCGAGAATATCGTACATCATCACGAGACGCAAGAACCTTCAACTGCATAGCCAGAACACCAACGGCCTTTCCAAACATTGCCACATTATCTCTGCAACTTTCAATGACACTCCGGCATACAGAAGGCGGTGGACACCCGCGTCTACTTCTCGCATCGAAGTTGTCGAGCGCGTTAATCAACTGCATCAAACACGAGCTCGCGGGATCCAGAACCTTCATCAGCACTGCAGCAAGTCGATCATCGATGCAGTGTACTGTATAATGTTGTAGACTTTGGTACACTTGTGTCACTGCAAAGAGGATGCTCCGAGCAGCATCAACAACGGTGAGGATGGCGGGTGGGGTTGTCCTCGAAATGGTTGAAGACGGCAGGGTGGAGAGCCGGCGGAAATATGAGTTGCGTTCGAAGTCCATTGATGGAGGTTTGCGTTCCGATATCGAGGGTAATGGTTCGTGTCGAGGCCCTCGTGGTGGTCTGGGTCGAGAGGTTGTTTCGAGGCCCGACGTCGAGCTCTCACCCATCGACGAAAATGTCTCATTCGGCACCTTTTTCAAAGCTTCGATTGAAGGTGTTCTGGTTCGAATCCTCGACGCGACTGGCCCTCGTCCCTTTGCTTGTCGTAGATCAGGGAGACTTTTTTGCACGGAAAGGCTACGAGTACGAGTCTCATTGCTAGATGCATATGACTTATTCCTGCCATGAGCATTGTGATTCGGACGTGCCGTGTCATCGTCGACGGAGGGTAGTGAGTCTTCGGGCGTCGGCAAATAAGATTCCGGAGAGGTTGATATCCCTTCTGCAATTGATGGGGAGATGTCTGCCGTGTCTATAGTCGATGGACTATGAGACTTGCTGCCTTTGACAGAGTCGTCGAAAGAAGTCGTCGAATAAATTGAACGCGTGGATTCGATGGACGCAGAGCGGGAATGTTCTGAGATCTCCGCAGCAGGTAAGTCCTCCGCCTGCGGCTCTGACGGGGGCGTAAGAACCCTTTCGTCGTCTGAGGTATTTTCCTTAATCCAAGATTTCAGTGATTCTACCCAACGATGCATCACGTCTCCGTCCTCTAGGTCTTCCTCAGGTTCCATCACTTCTTGTGGAGGCCATTCTATTGGATTATGATCAGCTTTGACCACAGTGAGATCCTTAAACTTCCAGAGGTACGAGGGTAATCTTCGGACTTTATTTCGACTTATGGACATGACCTGTGAACATGGGTCATCAGCATCACTCCGACAGATCAAGGAATTCATCATATCCGTACGCGAAGATTAACGAGCGTGCCTGGGTTAGTCGGCAAGCCCCTGATCTTGTTTCTGCTGAAGTCGAGGATCTCCAGCGATGGCATAGTGGTCAACTAGTCTGAGAGTCAGAATGGTTTGAATTTAGGGGTACTATCGGAAGACTTGCCACTTCGGGGAAAACGGAGAAGTTGTTGGATCGGAGGGTGAGGTATCGCAGACGCGTAAGGCGCGCAAAAGACATGGGCAAGGAGGATAGATAGTTTCCCACAAGTGCAATCCTTCACGAAGAGTCAGAAGACGCGCTATTCAGAACCGAAAACCTTAGCAAGTGGAATGAGCTTGAGCATACCTGAGTATTCGGCAATCGTCCAGCAGGTCGTCCCCCTTCCCGACCTGAGCAAGCTCCTCCGCACCAGATTCACCGACATCGACAAGGTTCTTGTTGCTGAGATCGAGCGTGCAGCCATCGTCATTTGAACGGGCGATAGCGTCAAGGATGTGGGCCTTCGTCAGGACATTACTGCTCGGCGGTGAGACGCGTCCAGAGAAATAAGCGTGCGGTGAGACTCTGCCCATTGCACGGTCACTGTCGCTGGCGGCTGCCATAAGCGAGCGTGTCGTGCGCGTCGTGCGCTACGACGGTGGGAGAGGGGAAGACGAGCCAGTCAGCTAGAGAAATGAGAAATAAAGAAGACCTGCTTCACCGAGGTTCCTCGCCGTTGTTGTGCCATTTCCATATTTGGCACAGGTAATTACGTAAAAATCAGTCCTAGTTTGGGACTTCCTTTTTAACCGCGACGTTGTTGCGACGTTGTTGCCTCCTGTCGAAGACGAGGACAAACGAAATGAAATCAACAGCTGGCTTCCCATTGATCTATGCAGCTACTCGGCTTCTGGACTGACCAATATATAAACAACGTAGTATCTTGTCATATTGGCGAAGCACAACTACTTTAACACCGCAGTCTGCTTGCGGGACGTTGTCGGAGGTCGGTGAATGCACTGCCCCATTGTCCAGCCGTCCTTTTCTCCGCTCCGCTCTCCAAAACGCTTCTTGGTACTGTTATGGAGATGACTTGCGAATGTCCGACCGTACCAGTGTTTGCTGACTATGTTGTCTCCACGTCTCATTCTCCAGCTGGAGTTATATCTTGGATTTGATCCGACGATTCAAACACTATTCTTTATTCCGAACGTTAGACCACATACAGTATCATGATAGGCCTATGTAGGGCTTCCAGCGCTAGCGCCTAATTTGCAACGTTTGTTGTTGGAATGCCCATTAGACACATTAACCCCGAGAAGACAGAAAAGTGATGCGTGCGCAGTGATCTTCTTTGCCCTTCTTCCCAACTTATTGATTGATAGCGTCTTGATGGGCAGGCGGATTGGCTTTTATGTAGTCTGAACGTGTCCAGTATCAATCACATGTACCTGATATAATGCACTGATCAAGGGCTTATGGACGGATCCCTGGCTAGGTAGATATCGCGTTTACACCCTCCAGCCTTTGCTGAATCCGTATCAGCACTTATGGGTCGAATGTCACCAAAAGATGCGAAAGCTCACCTTTAATTCAGTATAATAAAATAATTCCGCCATGGACGGAGTAAGGTCAATGTCTGAGGCTGTGTTGCATAATTATACCTGCTGTACCGAAGAAGTGTTCAATACCGATTAAACTGCTACCATTCACTTTCCTGCTCATATATCTCCCGTGTATGGCATACATGTACTTTATTGAGATAGATTGTGCATGAAGTAAATTCTTGGCCGAGACGGAAGCCGGGTACACACGAGTCACACGGTCGTGACTGTTGGAGATCATCGACACCATCTGTCGAGCACGCTCACCACGACCACACTCGCTCAGATATTTCGATAATTTAGTTACGACCGCCATCTCCTACGTCTCATTTATCATACTTGTTATCCACTACGGATCGTGCCTGACGCTCACTACGCGTCCATCGCAGTCACCACGTCGTCCGTCATGAAAGGTCTCAAAAAGACCCTGGTGAGCGTTTCCTTCGTGTTATCACTTTCTCGGCAGCTGATCGCACCTCTTGAAGTTACGGAAGGACTCCAGTGGGAGTAAGACCAAGACAGAAAAGACGCCATCCGGCGCGAGTAACGGCGTACCTCCACCTCCACCGCCCAATAACGCGAAACCGCAGTTGCCTCAGCTACCTGCAGCATCTTCTTCGCCATTAAATATTTCATTCGGTGGCAGTGGTAGTAGTAACGCTCACGCCAATACGGGTTCGTCCAATGCATCGTATAGCACGCGTTCCAGCGGACAAGTGGTAGCAGGCTCGGGATCGGGCCAAGCGCCTTCAACGCCAGACCGCCGATTTTCTCAGCCTGATCGAGCATCGCCTGCTCCACCGATTGTCGTCGTCAGCCCGGACGCGCATGCTGATGCTAATATTCGTGGTGGGTTCCAGGGAACGTCGCTCACTGGTGACGTGCCTCGCGCGGGTACGCTCAACCGTCTCCGCCAAACACCAAAAGATACTATTCCTATCATCGGGAAACCACCTCGCAAGCAGCGGAGCAGCCGCTTCGTGCCGTCAGAAAAAGTAGAAATCGAGCGGCTGCCGCCGTTTAGCGGTGGGTTTCACAGTCATTTGTCCGCGCGGGAAGTTACATTGATAGGTCTATGCAGAGACGCCGCCCCAGGAGAGGCCCGACCTCTTTATCAAGAAACTTATGCAGTGCAAAGTTATCTTCGATTTCAACGATGCGAGCGCTGAGCTCAAGGGCAAGCAAGTCAAAGCACAGACTCTCACCGAAATGCTAGAATATATTACGACTCAACGCAATGTCATTACTGAAAATGTATACCCCGAGGTCGTCAACATGGCAAGCAACTCTGTATTATCCTTCCTTTTATAGCTCTGACACGTCAAATAGTTTGCTACGAATCTCTTCCGTTCTATACCCCCTCAAACAAATCCGTCTGGCGACGCCTTCGATCCGGAAGAAGACGAGCCGGTTCTTGAGCTGGCTTGGCCGCATCTCCAAATTGTCTATGAATTCTTCCTGCGATTTGTCGAGTCTCCGGATTTCAACACCAACATAGCCAAGCGCTATATTGACCAGTCATTTGTGCTCAACCTTCTGGAGTTATTTGATTCCGAAGACCCGCGGGAACGAGACTTCCTTAAAACAACGCTCCACCGAATTTACGGCAAATTCCTGAACTTGCGTGCATTTATCAGGCGTTCAATTAACAATGTGTTCTTCCAATTCATTTACGAGACTGAACGGCACAACGGCATTGCAGAGCTGCTCGAAATTCTGGGGTCGATTATCAATGGCTTTGCACTTCCGCTAAAGGACGAGCACAAAATTTTCCTTACACGCTCACTAATCCCGTTACACAAGGTCAAGAGCTTATCACTGTATCATCCGCAGCTCGCGTACTGCGTTGTACAGTTCCTAGAAAAGGATGCAAGCCTTACGGAGGAAGTGCTTCTGGGACTACTTAAATTTTGGCCAAAGGTGAATTCGCCAAAGGAAGTCATGTTCCTCAATGAGGTCGAGGAGGTGCTCGATGTTATTGATCCAGCAGAATTTCCGAAAATATCCGTACCACTCTTCCAGCAGCTGGCACGATGTGTAAACAGCCAGCACTTCCAAGTTGCAGAACGGGCGCTTTATTACTGGAACAACGAATATATCGTCAACTTAATGACGGACAACATGGGAACCATTTTACCAATTATTTTCCCAGCACTGTATATCAACTCACGATCGCATTGGAATAGGTGCGCAAAAGTTCAGCAATTTCAATGAATACAAGTTGATGACAATTTAGGACCATCCATGGCATGGTGTACAATGCATTGAAAATGTTCATGGAGATCAATCCGGAGCTATTTGAAGAAGCTATGCAGCAATTCAAGCGCAACCGAGTCGCGTACGTCCTCTTCGCGACTGCTCCAAACGCTATGATTTCATCAAGGCTAACTTTATTTTCCAGTGATCGCCAAAAACGAGTGAAACTGTACGAGGACTGGCAAAAGATACGAGATATAGCAAGGAAGAATGCAGGTGGCAAGCTTCCTGATGGTTTCGACGACGCGTTCCCTCCACCCCCTCCTCCTGTTGTCGATGATATCGATATCGAGCACCTCTCAATGGATCTCAGCGCAGCCTCGCTCGATGCGGAAATCGCGCAAGAACTTGATGAAAGTGGAATTGAAAGAGTGCCCATGGCAGATCCAGGCCTTGAAGTACGTCTTTCTTCTGCACGTTGAGGATGTTCTTTGTTGCTATGTCGTTGCTTTATGTTGCGTTGTGTACTTTTGTAATTACGGTCTGCTGACCGTCTTCCTCGCTTCTCAGAGTACGTATGGTGAGGCAATGCAAGAGTTTTCAGCGAACACGGCAGTGAACCCCCAGAGTCCACATGTTAGAAGGAAGAGTGTGTTGCCTGGTGAGCCCGTTCATGTGCTCATGCTCGAGATCGCGTCGATAAAGACTGATAAGTGCTTTGATAGTTGACCCGTCCGTACTAAGAGACCTCCAAGCACACCGGAGTCTAGACGATACGCGTGGCTTTGTTCACGGACACGGAAGTGGTGAAAGCAACTAAGATAGCTGGATCGAGGGTGTTACTAGACTCTTCGGTATTTCTGCGCTATGATCACATACGTCAAACGACCCTTTTATACTCAAAGCCATTGAATTTCATGATGTTCTACCCAATCGCGGGTAGTGCGCTCCCCTTGTATCTTACTTCTCGGCCTGGAACACCGCATGCACACGGTTACATTTAATTTTCTCCACTCTTTCGATTCACGTTCGGCACCATTCTTTCATACCTTTTCCCCCTCTTATGTACCCTGGTCCATTTTTGTGTGTTCGTTTTCTTCCGGGGAGGGTTGAGACGGTACACTTATGCGCGGTGCACGTATGGAATCCGATACACTACATACCTATAGCTGCTTAGTATTGTGAATGTGAATCCGTATCTGTTTCTGGTGAATGGTTATTATTTTTTTTTCCTTTCTCTCCCTTTCTTTCCTTTGTTGTGTTTTTGTGCGTAAGATTACACTGCTGCTGTGCAAAGGAATGGTCGATACTGTTCCGTGATATTCTACGCTTTGCTTTGCAATGCTGTATTATTCGGGGTTGTTCTGCAAGTTTGTAGTCGTGGGAAATGCAGACTATAATGAGGAAACATGACGCATTAGGATGGAAGGTAAAGGAAGGAGCTGGAAGGTCACCGAAGGGTACAGAATATATGTGCGTATATAAACCCTTGCCACAAATCACCTCGCATCTCAGCTTTCAGTTGCACTCCATATCATCTCTGTATCTTTCTCTGCAACGTTGCCCCTTTTCTTCACCTAAAATCTTTAGGTTAGTATTTCCATTTAATTCAGCTTGCAAGAAGAAGGTTGGGATTAATGTTGCTTTCTTTCAGACGCCTAGAATGTCGTCTTCAAAAGCTATCGGTATTGATCTCGGAACGACTTACTCCTGTGTCGGTATTTGGCAACATGATCGTGTCGAGATTATTGCCAACGACCAGGGTAATCGGACAACGCCCTCCTATGTGTCGTTCTCTGACACAGAACGTCTCATCGGCGATGCCGCGAAGAACCAAATTGCCATGAACCCGACCAACACCGTCTTCGACGCCAAGCGTCTCATTGGGCGTCGATTCGAGGATGCTGAGGTCCAGGCCGATATGAAGCATTTCCCTTTCAAGGTGATCAACAAGGATGGTAAACCTATCGTCCAAGTCGAGTACCGCGGCGAGACTAAGACCTTCGTAAGTTCATGTTGATTGACTATATGCGTTTGAAGTTCACTTGCTCATACGTCATTCTCTAGACTCCGGAGGAAATCTCCTCTATGGTCCTTACAAAGATGAAGGAAACCGCTGAATCGTATCTCGGAACGACAGTGACGGAAGCCGTCATCACCGTCCCCGCATACTTCAACGACTCGCAACGTCAGGCAACCAAGGATGCCGGTGTCATCTCTGGTCTTCAAGTCCTCCGTATCATCAATGAGCCAACTGCAGCAGCTATTGCTTACGGTCTGGACAAGAAGGTCCAGGGCGAGCGGAATGTCCTTATCTTCGACCTTGGTGGAGGTACCTTCGATGTATCTCTCTTGACCATTGAGGAGGGTATCTTCGAAGTCAAGGCCACCGCCGGTGACACCCACTTGGGTGGTGAGGACTTTGACAACCGTCTCGTCAACCACTTCGTGCAAGAATTCAAGAGGAAGCACAAGAAGGGTATGTGCAACTTTATCAGATGTGTGTGAATCCGAAGACTGACAAGTGCCTCTATTTTAGATCTTTCCACAAATGCACGTGCACTCCGACGACTCCGAACGGCTTGCGAGCGTGCTAAACGCACTCTCTCGTCTGCCGCTCAGACGACCATTGAAATCGACTCGCTCTTCGAGGGTATTGACTTCTACACCTCGCTCACTCGTGCACGTTTCGAGGAATTGTGCAATGACCTCTTCCGTTCAACTCTCGAGCCCGTTGAGAAGGTGCTTCGTGACTCCAAGATTGACAAGTCAAACGTACACGAGATCGTCCTTGTTGGTGGTTCGACCCGTATTCCTCGGATCATCAAGCTCGTCTCCGACTTCTTCAATGGCAAGGAGCCCAACAAGTCAATCAACCCGGATGAGGCCGTTGCGTACGGAGCTGCCGTACAAGCTGCCATCCTCAAGGGTGACACTTCGGAGAAGACTCAGGACCTTTTGTTGCTCGACGTTGCACCGTTGTCGCTCGGTATCGAGACTGCTGGTGGTGTCATGACTGCACTCATCAAGCGTAACACGACCGTCCCGACGAAGAAGACCGAGGTCTTCTCGACGTACGCTGACAACCAGCCTGGTGTACTCATTCAAGTGTACGAGGGTGAGCGTGCACGTACAAAGGACAACAACCTACTTGGCAAGTTCGAGCTGTCTGGTATCCCGCCTGCACCACGTGGAGTTCCGCAAATCGAAGTCACATTCGACATTGACGCGAACGGTATTCTCAACGTCTCGGCGGCCGAGAAGACAACTGGTAAATCGAACCGCATCACGATCACGAACGACAAGGGTCGTCTATCTAAGGAGGAGATTGAGCGGATGCTCCAGGAGGCCGAGAAGTTCAAGGCTGAAGACGAGGCTGAGGCTGCTCGTATTAGTGCGAAGAACGGCCTTGAGTCATATGCCTACAACTTGCGCAACACTCTGTCCGACGACAACGTGAAGCCCAAGCTCGAGAAGCTGGACCAGGCGAACTTGAGCAAGCTGCAGACATCGATCAACGAGACAATCAGCTGGCTCGACGCGAACCAGCAGGCGACGAAGGATGAGTACGAGTCACGGCAGAAGGAGCTGCAAGAGGATGCCAACAAGGTCATGCGTGAGCTGTACGGGGACGCTGGAGGAGGAGGTGCGTTCCCTGGCGGTCCTGGCGGTGCCGGAGGCTTCCCTGGTGCTGGTGGTGCTGGTGGCTTCCCCGGTGGAGCACCTGGAGGCTTCCCAGGCGCAGGCGGTCCTGCTGGCGGGGCAGACGACGGCCCCAGTGTCGAGGAGGTTGACTAAATGTTGTCGTTCATGCTTTTGTCGTTGTTTATTTCCTGTCGTCACGCATTTTCACATAGCACTTTTCTTTTCAATTTTCGATTTACCCTGTGTTGTTAAACCAAAAATGTACTTTAGGGCAATATTGTCTTAGACGTGCTGTAATAAGATTATTCATGCATGCATCAGACCAACAATTTGCTTGGGAGTGAGACATGGATACGGAAATGGAATGTCGACGACAGCAGCAACAGGGGCCATTTGATCGAGAGCCAAGATTAGCAGTCAACCGAGCCGAGCCTATATGCTCTCTTCAATATAAACCATCACCATCCCCTCAACACCCAATATCTCTCCTCTTCCGCCTTCTCCCCTATCTTTTCACTCCGGTCAAATAGCTCAGATAACTCGACGCTAAATGGCTGGTTAGTTCACAGCGGTCGTGTGCCCTCTTTTTCGCGCTGTTCTTATCCCATTGTATTGTTTATAGCGATCTACGCGGTCTATACATCCCCGAACCATACACCAATACCCAACCATCTCCCGACACTCATAGTTACCCCTCATGGTGCGTTTTCACGTTTCACTAGTCATCGCTGTTTAGAAAGGCTGATCTTCCACTAACGCAGGCCAGCCATCTAACATCCTTTACTCCTACCTCCACACCAATTTCGTGCGTCCTATTCCAACACTTTGGTCTCTTCAGTCTCAACTTCGCAATCCACTGACTTAGCTGCTATCTCCAGAACTCGGAGAACTACCTCCTGACACCGTCCCCGCAAGGTGACCTATGCGTCGCAAAGCTCTTTCCGCCGCGGCGAGATCCACCCGGTGTGAAGGGCGCAGCATCCATGTCGGATCCTGGGCACGGCAGCAATGGTGCACCACGTGTCGTGCGCTGCGAAGCTTCGCGTAACCTCAAGTGGACGATAACCAACACAGGCGTCATCTCCCCTATCTACAAGCTCGCTCTCCCCGCACCGGACTCGGCGGACCTCCCCTTATTCCAGATCTCGAAACCGAATCCGAATGCAGGGTTTTGGAGTATGTTTTACTTTGCGTACGCGGGACATAATATCCCCCCGAAGCGCATTGAGTTTGGGAAGATTCAGAAGAATCCGCCTGGACCGAATGGTGGTGGCACGAGGATTACGATTACGGGAAAGACGCCTGAGGAGAAGGCGGTGTGGCAGACTTTGGGCGAAGGGAATGAGGATTGCGTAGAATGGGTTGTGTTATGCGCTGCGCTTAATCTTCTTGAGTGCGTTTATCCGTTTTTCATTAGTGATTAACCTTAAATATTGGTTGATTTAACGCTAATTTTTCAATTTATATCAGCGATGAAATTCTCAAAGCAGCAGAGAAGACAATGGCAGCAGGCCCTCCACCCCCCGTATCGCTTCGCGATCCGGGTCCAGTCCGACAAAACAGCTTACCAGGACAAGGCGGTCCTCCACCTCCCGGTCCCGGTCCAATACGCAGTCCGCAAGGTCCTCCACCACCACAAGGCCCAGGACGCGGTCCGCCTCCTCCAGGAATGCCTGGCGCACCAGGACCAAACGGGATGCCACCAATGCAAATGCGTGTGCCACCTCCGGGCCCTCCAGGCGGTGGGCCGATGAGTCCAGGACCGATGGGCGGGATGCCAATGGGTGGGCCGGGTCCTGGTCCTGGAGGTATGCCACCTCCGGGACCTGGAATGGGACGAGGTTACCCGCCGCCTGGAGGACCTGGTGGGTTCGGCTCACCTCCTCCAGGAGGACCGGGAGGTTCAGGGTTTATGAGTCCTGGCCCTGGAGGACCGGGAGGACCGGGAGGATTCCCTGGCGGTCCACCACCTCAACAACGCGGTCCGATGCAAGCTCCACCTCCCAGACGATTCTGATCGTTCTTTGTCGTTATTTGGTGGCACATATATATTTTCCTTACTTATACCTTTTACCCTCGCGGAGAAGTATGCGTAGAGATTGAGTTGCGTTTTCACTTTCCCTCGTCTCTTATTTTACTTCTTTGGTTGCCTTCCTTCAACCACCCACTAGCGACTTTTTGCTCTGTGCTTGTTCATATACCTTCACCTTCATTGAACGAGCAGGACTTGGTCATTCTGTAAATACAGTAAATACCTATCTGGGGCTCTGGGAGTTTTGTTGCACCTCACTGCTTAAATGTGCGTGTGCATAAGACTCAAGTATTATCTTCTTTTCCTTATTACTCCCTTCTTTTCTTCTCCCTCTCTTTCCTGTCTATTAACTTCTTAAGATCCATGTCTACTCTTTATCTATATCCTGATCGACTCTTTTACTCGTTTTTACTTTTTTGGTGTTTGTGAGTAGTAACTTTGAAGTTGTACGCACACTCTCGTCTCTTTCTGTGTTTGTTATCTTGCGTTTTCCATTATCTATTCCTTCTTTCATCTTTCTTGCCTTCTTTCCGGTCTAGTAAAATGGTGATTGTGTATGTACTGGGTTGGGTTGGGTTGGGTTGGGTTGTTGTGGGGATACATAAAGTAGTTCAGCGTAGCAAAAGGGGAATTTAACATTTGATACCTAGTTTTTCATTGTATTTGGGATCTAAATCTACTGAGACTCACCATCAGTTTCCAATGCTAAGTAGAAATGGCGTACTTTACAGGCACTCTTATAGAAAAGTATCAAACATTCTATAACTTTAGAGTTTTATACAAGAAAAAATGGTGCCCATAGCCTAATATCTTAAAACTCAATGCTTTTAGTAATGAGAAGGAAGAGACGAGTGTAAATTAGTACAATACTAGATTTTATAATATGTTTGCTTGATAGATAGTGTCGGAAGTTATAACAATATACAGCTAGTTAGGTTAGAAACAGTATATGCTTCCTCTAGATAGAGAGCGTAGAAGTCCGTTTTCCCACGGGCTGAATTACCCCTCTCTCGTTTTAAAATGCTTTATCATTTGTTCAAAATTCGAATTATTAGTTCTGCACTGCTTAAGCGGATTAATCTGACTCTGTGCTCCAATGGCCACCTGTACCTCTTCCTCGCGCGATACTCATTACAACTCATCATGGCCTCAACACAGACCAGTTCAAGTTCCGTGGTGAATAACGAAGATCGGTGAGTGAGCGAACCATCTCAGATGGAGGCAGACTCTAAACAGTGACTGACGATGCAGGTTTCTCTACTTAAAGGGTACACAAAGTCGTCATCGCTGTTAGGAACCCACTCTGACTGCCTTTACAGAGGTTGCGATCGATTTCACTCGTTCACGCCCGAATGGCAGACTTCAAATCAAGCTCAAGGATGAAAAGGGAACACGATACGAATCGAAGGTGTTCGGGGAGACGGAACCCCTACAGTGGGACTGTGAATTGTACGTGGTGTCGATCTATTCGTTGTTGATGGCACAAATTTATTTTTATCGTCAAGATACGTGAAATCGAGCACAGCTATGATGACGATCCAAAGCTCTGGTCGTACCCTGAGAAGGGACTTGACCGTCAGATTGCAATTAGACTTCAGCTCGTCTGATTTCCGCGAGAATGACACAGTAGAACGATCCAGTATTTATTTACTAGAAATATGTCATACAGATCGCTGACAGAATGTCCAGATATGAATCACGGAATTAAAGTCAAATTGACATTTGGACTCTCGGGAAAGGTGCACAATCATGAATTGTAGAGTGCGCGGACGCTTATGAGTTTGCCAGCAGAACATCAATGTTGCCTGACTGCTTGCCAACCGGGCCGTCTCCGCTCTCTCATCAAAAATTTCCATGCTAGAGAAAATGGACAAGGTTCTTGGTTTTCTCGACCTCATTGTAAAACTAGGGCTGGCTACATCTGAGGTATGTATAAAACAAGTCTTGGATTCTTATAGCTGTCCGATCGTTTCCTTATATTAGACAAACCCTTGTGCTAAGGCGGCGGTTTCAAACCTCGATATAGCTTTCAAGGTTCGAATTTACTTTGTTTTAGTTTGCGTTTGTTAATATTGTCCCAGAAATTCCAAGAGATCCCGACTTGTCATTACGAGCTCGTAAGCATCGTGAACGACATTGTTTTGCTATTACCCGTACTCGAGTCGTTGCATGAACGTATTGAGGACAGAGCAGTACAAGAAATCCTGACAAGCTTCATCGAGTTCGTTGACTGTTTATCTCGGGATCTGATACTCTTCCATGCCAAAAATCAGGCAGTAGGCAAGTACCTCGTCCAGTTAACACTGAGCTGACTACTCTGAAACAGACTTCCTGCTGCACAACTGGTACAAGTCTAAGCAGAACGAAGCCAGAGAATTTAATTCTCGACTGACGCGGCTGTCTTTAACGATGAATATTGGTATTACCAAGGACATTCGTAAGGCCTGACTCTGTCATCAATAAACCATTGCTCATTTCATATTATAGATTATCACCAGCTTTCGGAAGAAGAAGAAAGATGCTCCAACGATTTAAGCCTCCCGAGAACAGCTCGTTCGACCTGAAGCGCTGTTGCCTTCAGGGCACGAGAGTCGACGTATTGCGAAGTATTGATGAGTGGACACGTTCGACGAGCCCACGTGAACAGCTTTACTGGATTCATGGCGTTGCCGGGTGCGGGAAGAGCTCTGTTGCAGCATCTGTCGCATCTGAGTTGGATTCGCGAAAGGCTCTGTCCGGATCATTCTTCTGCAGCAGGGATATTCCGGAGCGCAGGAGTGCCGCCAGAGTTGTTCATGGTTTGCTGCATTTCCCAGCCAGAGCCAACCCACCTTTCAAGGATTTCATACTTCGGCTACTGAAAGATGATCCCGACTTCGCGGAGAAACCATTCTCGACCCAGATCAAAGTGTTGCTTTCGTATTCCTACAAAGGAAATCCGGATCGCACTCAATCTCAGCCTGTTATCCTCGTCTTTGACGCCTTGGATGAGTGTGTTCAGAATGAAGAAGTGGCTTCATTCGTTGCAGGGATAGTGAAGCTGCTACCTTCATTCAAAATCATCGTGATCAGCAGGCCTCTTCCGCAGATTCGAGAAAGATCAAGGCACTACGAGAGGCTGGTGTCATGCGACTTGTTTGCAGTGGATAGCTATGACGACATCCTACGCTTTATACGCGAAGAGTTCCGATCTAACAGGTGTCTACCCAGCGATTTCCCTTGATGATCATATTGAAGCACTTTCTCGGAAAGCTTCAGGGCATTTCATATGGATTGCTACTGTATTGAAGCATGTCAGCATTCTGCCCTGGGATAGGCGGGGAATGTTGCGGCAGATAATCGACTCATCTCGTGCTGTGTCTTCTTCCGAGGAAAAGCTTGACGCTGTGTATCAGCGAGTACTTGATGATGTCTGCGGGGATTTCGGTGCGCGCATGGATGCGATTAAGTTAATCATCGGATTTATATTTGCTGTCTCGAGGAATAGGTCACTGCCTGTAGAGGCGTTGCACGCTTTCATTCCTGCAAAGGTCACGCTGACGGAGTTACACGACATGCTGCAGGAGTTGGGCTCCGTAATAGCCATGTATACAGGTGTTATTAGGGCCTGTCATCCTTCGTTCCTTGACTTTGTGGGTAGTCGGGAAAGAGAGGGAGATTATTGGACAGAGACTTCGCTTTTGGATATGAAAATGGCGGAGAGGTGTCTTGATATCATGGCATCGGGACTCAAGTTCAACATTTGCAATCTGGAAAGTTCGCATCTCCCGAATGATGAAGTACATGATCTTGCAGAACGGATATGCAAACATATTCCCCACGAGTTACAATACAGATGCATGTACTGGCTGAATCACTTGTCAAGGTCCTATGCCGATGCGGCTTGTGAACGCCTGATGCAACAGAAATTGCTCAGCGTGTTTTGCGATACAGCATCACTGTATTGGCTGGAGGCATTGAGCCTTATGTCGCAGCTGAAGGCGGCTGTATCTATTCGTCGAGATCTTCCACGGTTGCCCAAGGTTTGTAGTCGTTCAGCTATCCAAATATTAAATATATGGGTCTAATGAATTCAAAGTACTCAGAAATGGACGAAGAGCTGCGCAAAGCAACGGAAGACTTGTACCGATTCGTGATGGCATATCACGAACCGATGGCGATCAGCGCACCACATATTTATATTTCAGCATTACTGTGGGCATCGTCCGAGTCCATCATTGCAAAGTCACATTATCAGAGATTCGCCAGTGGCCATTTGGTTTTGGAAGGACTCGGAAATTGTTGGCCTGTCACGTTGCGAACGTTATCAGTGGGCTCTTGGGTCAAGTCAGCCGCATATTCTCCAGATGGACGTTACATCGTCTCCGGGTCTTCTGACTATACCATCCGCATCTGGGATGCCAAGACAGGTGCTCCTATTGGCAAACCACTTCGAGGACATGAAGACCCAGTCAATTCAGTTGGATATTCCCAAGACGGACGTTGCGTCGCCTCCGGGTCTAATGATGGAACCGTTCGCATCTGGGATGCCGAAGCTGGCGCTCCCATCGGCGAACCGCTCCGAGGGCATGAAGGTTGGGTCAGTTCCGTTGGATACTCGCCAGACGGACATCGGATTGTTTCCGGGTATTGTGACAAGACCGTACGCATCTGGGAAGCTGGGACGGGTGTACCTGTCGGTGAGCCACTTCGAGGGCATAAATATTCGGTCTATTCCGTCGGATACTCCCCGGACGGACGTTACATTGTCTCTGGATCCGGAGACAACACCATTCGTATCTGGGATGCCGAATTAGGTATCCCTATCGGTGAGGCGCTTCGAGGACATGAATATTCTGTAAACTCTGTTAGTTATTCCCCAGACGGTCGTCACATCGTCTCTGGATCTGATGATAATACCGTCCGTATCTGGGATGCCGATTGCCATGTCCTTGCGAGAGAGTTACATGAATGTCAGGGTGGCTGGATTGGATTCTCACAAGATGGAAAGTGTGTGTCTGGTGTTTTCTGATGTGGATAGTACACTTCTGCGTACTACTCTCTTTATTCCGACTGATGGATGGATTCGAACCTCCTACGGTGGCCTTGTACTATGGATTCCTCTTGAATATCGGAACGGGGTTTGTGACATGAGCCTATATACCCTTCCACACAATGCACCTGGGCATCCTGTGAGGATTAATTGGCCAAGGCTACCACAAGGCACAGGATGGACGTCAGTGAAGATAGAAAAATAGCTTAGAATGGGGCAGGCGATTCCCTGTTTTCGATCATTCCCCATGTTATCGGTAGTGACTGCTTCCCTTCGGGGTATTCTTGTAGTAATAGGACATGTCCTATTTAATACTAGTGATGTAAATGCAACACTACATCAACTTGATTAAGTTCATAGCAAACTCGCAGTAGACAATAATACCAACGAAGAGTGCATCACCAAATCGAACACGAAAATGTATTGGAATTTACTGCTAAGACATATATTTTTTACATATTGTGGATCCTTATATTCGCTTATAAAGTCTACATGTAAATATATTGCCTTGTCAGACTCTGCACGTTTTGGTGATGGATCATGGAACTGGGTCAAGTCCCAACACGTGACCGTGTCATAATCCGAACGCGACTCTGGATTTTGAACATCAGCCTCAAGCTCTTTCAGTAGCCATGTTCTATGGAGGTCACTTGCTAGTTCTGTTATCTGTGCTGTTCTTCTTAGTTGGAGGATACGCCGTTCTCTTCAGCGCATTTCTTCCTCTTTCTGGCATAACGGTGAGCTTTGTTTGTTCACTCGTAGCTATTCATGATTGAGCATTCGTCGGGTGTTAGTTACTCGATACGTTGTCACAAGATACTCACTACAAGTACTTTGCCGTACTCATTGTTCCGATGGGTGTATACTTCGTCATCGCGAACTGGGTCGGATGGCAATACTATCGCAATTCGTGATATCGTTGCAAAGTTGGCTGAATATACTTTGGAGACGCTATGGAACTACCTCCCGTTTGCTTCGTGCACATGGCGTACAAACAAGACATTCCTTTTGTCGAATTTGTATTCGTAGAGCATGCACACTCTCGGATCGCTTGTAGAGCCCGTATGTGAATACTAGCTTTTCCCCCCGCAAAGTAACGCTGATTCTAGAACTTATCACGTCGTGATATTATTATAAAGCTTCAAAGCGACGGACATCGTCCAGTGCGACCATTGTGCGCATCGTCTTACAGATCCCGACATAATCAGAGTCGATCTCTACTATCTTCATCGACGATATTGTTGATGTTCGAATTACCACCGCCATATCTTGCTTGTGATGGAATGAATTGGAAATGGAGTCAACAATTGGTAGTAGACATCGTTGAATTGAATCAATAACGAATAATTTCGCATCTCGTGAACTTGATATCGGATTTGGATCAAACGAATCTGTCAGGTGTTCGCATCTTCGTGCGGACCACAATGAGGTCTGTTACGTGTCGACTTTGATCATCATAACTGGCGTTAAAAAGAAAGCTGATCGAGCACTTCCATTCCCGTGTTGCACATGCAGAATAAACTGGCTGCATAGCCTCACGGGTACTTTGCATGCAACACGGCCTATCCTCAAGAATCGAGTCAAAGTACGTCGCTTATCTCGTGTAGCTACCGATGTCGGACAGCCGAATTTACAATACATTGGACCGTTCTACATAATGCTATGCCAGACACGACTACTTGGGAGTAACTGTGAGACGAAGCTCCGCTTCTGCATCTCTAATCCACATGGATGGTATCATCTTCGCCCGTTGTTAGCTGAGCCTGAGGTCCAGCCTCAGTTCCGTCGCGTTCTTCGGATTCCTGGCGCTTTTCCTCAGCAAGTCTCGCCTGGTGTCTCGCCTGCCTTTCCTCGAACTTCTCTCGGTTCTCCTGACGCTTCTTACCTTCCTCACGACGCTTTTCGAAATGTTCATCGAGGTGTTTCTTCATGGTTGGCAGATCCTTTGCTTCAAATCGGCATTCTATTCCGCTATATCTGTGGTAGCAATCATATACTCTCCTGTCCTCGGTTGCTTGTTCACAAGCTTGACGACCTCGTTTGGAAAACTTCAAGTGCCTTTTGCGCAGATCTCTCAAATTCTGCAAGAAGAGACATCAAAGCCATTGTCAGCACCGTTGTCAAAAACAAGGAGAAGGGAACCTTAGTTTACATCTTTATACCGTTCATCAACTATCTCAAACCAAGACAGGACTTCGTCCAGAGGCAAAAACTCGCCGTGATTGGGGTGGAAAGAGAAAAAGTGCCTTGGTGTTTTCATCGCTTTCCCAGTCAAGTCATCCGTCATTACGTGCAAATGCAAATATCTGTACGGGGTCAAACTTCGCACTTGATATCAACGTATTGTCCGGAATTACCTAAAAGATGGCGCGACCTTGAATCCAATCCAGACCTCTGGCTTGTACTTGAAATTGAACATCATCTCTTCTTCAATCTGACCCTTTACAATTTCAGCATCCTCGCGCATCTCTCGTAGTAACGCTTCGGCTTCGCTCTTGCTCACTTCCGGCGAGGTCAGGAGAGTGAGAATGTCTTTCAGATTGCCTGGGACTCGAGGTGGTGCACCGACTCGAGGGAACAAGAGGAAATGAATTTTGGACTTTGGATACTGCTCGAAGACCGTGATTGTTCGCGATGTGTGGCAGAAATAATGACTCGGTGGAAGAACAGTCTCGGGACTTTTCAAAGATGCAAACTTTGCGAGCATCATTGAGTCGAAACCCGGGTCTCTTGAGGAGGACATGGCTTCTAGTCTGCAGACCGTCCAAGCACTAAGGGAGGAGAGGGGACCGAAAGGTGGAGAAACTAAGGTACTTATTCTCCGTCATGACGCTTTAAAAGACAATCCTTGTCGCTTGTGGATGCTTATTTACGCTAACCGAGGAATTGAGTTCAAGATTAGGACTTCAGCCCTCCGTGTCGCGATGTGACAAAATGCACGTGATTGTGACGATGGCAATATCTCGAAGACGCGTTGACCGTATTTCATTAAATCAGAGAGAAAATACAAGCACCCTTTATGGTGCACAAACCGATACAGCCAGAGATACACCTCATGCAAGCTTCAGTCTCTTGCGCGGCGCATCATAGTCTCTATCTTCAACTTCCTGTGCCACTTCACCTGCTGAGTCAGGGGACACAGCCTTCTGGGCCATTTCTGTCTCCTGTTTCAGATCGTGATCTTTCGACCCTTTTGTTTTTTCTTCCGTCCGTCTTTCATTGCACCCCCGTTTTCCATTTGCTTCCGTCGCTTTTCCTTTCTCCGCTATCTTATCAAAGTGCTGTTTCAGGTGTTCTTTAAGCGTTGGGATGTTCCGCAATTCCTTTGCACAGTGAAAGCATTCTAGTGGCTCCTTCAACTTCTTTTCATAGGATGACTCCTCCAGCTTCGTCATCTTATACGCCTCATTAGCCTTAGTCTTCGGTTGGGCCAAACTCACTAACGTACCGATTTTATGTATGACTCCGCATTGCCTTTGTCGAACCAAGACAGTACGTCATCGAGGTGTAGGAAGAAGCCTAACTTGGGATGAAACGAGTTATAATGTTTCTTTGTTTTCAGAGCGCGTGCACAAAGGTCCTCAGAAAATATGTGCAAGTGAACGTGGCTAGATAAACCCGTGGTGGGACATAGGGAGAGAAACAATGGACCGAGCACGACGATTGATGGGCTATCAGCTATACGTACGCAACCGAATCAAAAGGGAATACATACTCCATTGATTGTACTGCATGAAAGCCCATGTACAACTTCCAGACAAAGCCATAGCGGCTTCGCATTTCCTCTACAATCATTTCGCACACTGTCTCAGCATCTCCTTTTAGGCGCTGCATCAAGATCCGTGCATCTTCAACGCTTGCTTGATTAGAGTTAAAGAACTTCTTCAGACTGATCAGGTTTGCTGCACTCCATGGACCCGTCTTGTCCTTCACGCGCGGGAGGACGAGGAAATGAAACGTTGCTTTTGGATATGCGTCAAATATTGTTATAGTATGTTCCGTATGTGTGAAGTAGACACTTGGCGGAAGCTTCTCTGGTTCTTCTAGCTGTGCATATTTTCGTAGAATGCCTTTGTCGAACGACATGATTGATGGAGAAGCAAACTCGCTACACATGCACAGTTGCATTTATAGTTGCAATAAATCACGTGACTTGAATGTAGCTGAAAGCAACGACCGCTCGAATTCATACAGACGATTGCCTATAACCTCCAATTACCATTCCGCTCATTAACTTCAATACATCAATGCAGGAGACTTATATCGAGAGGTGGGTGAAGAATCCCGTGTGCCAAGGCTATCCGAACATTTTGATAAGTACAAGTTTGAAAATTACTCTTATAAATGATAATTACTGGATTAATATTGGCTGTAGCAACTAATTCTGCTTTGCTTCTTTTTTTATTCCTGCTATCAAGACCCTTTGTCTGTCTTTCCGTATCACATGTCTCGTACATGTACATGTGCAAACAAAGTGGAGAATACAAGTTGGGACTCAATGGGATTCGAATGGCCCTCCGATTATCCAAATCTAGCATTTCTAGTCGCGTGACTTTGGTGCTGCATAGTTCTGACCTCAGGTCCGGCAAATGCAGTCTTTCATGATATCACGCACGAGAACACAATCTTCGCTGTGTAAACCATGGAGAACGACCAGGTAGATTTTGAACATGTTGACCGGTCTTCGTATTTGTCGCTAATGTTTTTAATAGGGTGTGCTTGTCGACCTTTACGTTCCGCGCAAATGCGCGGCAACTAGTACGTCTCATTCCCTACACTAATGTCCCGACCCTCTGGCTGACGGTATTCGTTCAAAGACCGCCTAATCACTTCAAAAGACCACGCTTCGGTCCAAATCTCTATTGTCGACGTCGATGCGGATGGCAAGGCACTTCCAACTACTACCACATTTGCACTGTGTGGCAAAGTTCGAGCGAGCGCTGAGAGTGATGACTCCATAAACCGATTGGCCACTCAGGCGGGATGTGCGTCACCATCCAATATCTATCTAATCACTGAACTAAATGATTCCTTAAAGTACTTCGCGGGGTCTGGTCATACCAGAAGTAATGAGCTATTCTCTAGATTTGCTCCGTTGTATTTTCTATCTACATTTGCGACTATGCGAGCTTTCGACCAGTGTCCACAATTCAGATGGCAAGAAATGCACACCATGTTCCCGGACCTGCACGAATCAACCACTTTCTATGGAAGTCTAAAATTCTCTCCATTTTAAGGTTCTACAATACTACATCATCAATTTTTCAAGACTACGTTCATCAAAGGTTCAGCAAGGCGCTCAGAGCTTCAAGGTGCGAGATCGAATACCCGGAAAACAGCCAGAACGTCGATTGAACGTGACGAATTAGTAAACGAATTTGGGACAACCGTGACGTTGGCAAGTTATTCAAGGAATCTTTGACTGGAATTGAGTTAGGTAATGACGGTGTTTCAGTGGAGATTCCAAGGAGCCTACATGCAGTACACTAATGATACACTGCAGTTAAGGCACTGCATGGAATACTCATATCACCGACAGAAATTCACGAAACGTCCGACCATGCGTGGGAACTTTTGAATTACTCGTAAACTCGATGACGCCAACCGACATTCTTTACTAAGATTTGTAAGTTTTCTTCCTGTGAAGGTCAATGTAATGTATGTTCTCTGGCCTTAGTCTCGCTGGGATTGGCTGGTTTATATAGCCGAAACGACCAAGAGCGACGTATCTGCAGAGTACTGGAGTCCAACGCCTTGTGGATGCAGCACTTACTAACAAGCCAAGAATAGAACATCTGTCGTTCAAGGATCTCCAGCGATAATTCGCAATAAAAGTCAAACAGACTGCCGTCAAATTCGGGAGGTGACTGGACGTGAGCAAGACTTCTCAACCAAAAACTATCGGATAATCTCTCCTCCAAAGAGAAAAGAACGGTTTACCGTCTCATTACCGAGACTGACCACTTGACTGTAAAATCATTTTTTTCTGCCTCTGAAAGGTATGCGAGTAGCAGCAATAGTGGACTGTTGGCCCCGTGGCGACTTGATAACAATCCGAAGCATACCGCTCCCACTGATACTGATCCGTATTCATTCCGCATTCGGGTGCAGATTCTTATAAAAGCGAATCCATTTCCCAGCGCGGGACGGCCGATGCACATGTACGTACCACTGTTATTAAATTTGTAGGTAGTTAGAAATGAGAGCCCTACTTATGCCACTTTTCTTAGTTTGCTACTTCTACAGCTCGCGGGTAGCACTTACTTACAAAACGTGTCTGAGTCGGCGTATTTGGGCGCGCTTTTGCTTACCGATCATCCAAATCCTCAAACCTTAATTGACAGCCTGTTTTGCTAGGTTCTACAAAAGTATAAAAGCAACGCGTAAAATGCATCGCTAAACTAACTACTACTTTCTGTCGGCCTGGATAACGCAGTAAATATGTCTTTTCCGACTTCCGCGCGTTCTCTCGTACTTCAGAAGTATGTTGACTCCGACGCAGATCTCGCGTCCACTATTTCTTCGCACTTCACTGTGAAGGATGTTCCGCTTCCAAACCCCCTCCCAGACGACTCGCTGCTTGTGCAAACGCTGTATTTATCTAACGATCCTGCTCAGAGACTTTGGATGCACAAACCTAATGAGCAGTCTGGAGCACGTACTGATATGGTATCGATAAAGCTTGGTGATCCGTTCCAGGCATTTTCCTTGTCTCGTGTCATCCAGGTTGGCGGGAACAGTGGGTCCATCAAGGTTGGAGATATCGTCGAATGTCGGTCAACTTGGGCAGACTATTCTGTTGTGAAGAAAGATGCCGTGTCCGTCAAAAAGTACGTGTCTCTGATGCGATTACCGGTTCGCATTGAATAACGCTCCACGTCCCTCAAATAGGGAAGTTCCTGGAGTCAGTCTAAGCTCATTTCTTGGAACCCTCGGAATATCCGGAGCAACAGCATACATGGCTTTGCAGAACTTATTAAAGCCCAAACCAGGCGATACGCTCGTTGTAAGTGGTGCTGCAGGGTAAGTCATGACAACATACAAAAAGTGGTCCAACGATATCAATATAAATCTTATCTTCGCGTCCGATAGGGCTGTCGGGAACGTAGCCGTTCAATACGCCAAGAAAGTTCTGGGAGTAAAGCGTGTTGTCGCCATCGCAGGTTCTGACGAGAAATGCCAGTGGCTGAAGAGCATAGGAGCCGACGAAGCAATCAATTATAAAAGGCCGACGTTTGTTGAAGACCTCATTAAGGCAACACCGGATAGGGTTGACTCGTAAGTAGCTCAACAATCGATGAAGCCCATCAAAGATAGCTAAGCACCTCTAGATCCTTCGATAATGTTGGCGGTAACATTCTCGATGAGGTATTGACTCGCATGAACCCTAAAGGAATAATCGCAGCAGTCGGCGCGATATCTAGTAAGTGATTCAACGTTATCGCTCATGTATGGTTACTTTCATTAACCGACACGTCGCAGCTTACAACGATCTGGACCATCCGATGACCATCAAAAACTACGTGAAGGTCGTTACAGATCGGGTGACGATTTCAGGCTATTCGGTGATAGATTACTGGGATCGAATGCCTGAGGCAATTGAGGCTTTGACCAGTGCAGTCGTCTCCGGCAAACTGATCACAGATGGCGCAGAGACAGTTGTGGATATTCACGACCGACTTGAGGAGATCCCTCGTGTCTGGGCGGGTCTGTTCTCAGGAGCCAACACCGGCAAGTTGATTACAAAATTAGCAGATTAGAGAAGGTCGGAACAAATAGAAGTGTCATCGACAGGTTAAGAAGACTGGATATCTAGTGTTGAAGTACGTTAGGCAATAGTCAGATTTGAGTACTCAAATGTTTCTCTGCCTTGAATCCCTGCTAGGTGGCAATGCACAATACAGCTGCCTGTATCGTAGTGTTGAGCATCTCAATACGTCGTCTAGCTACCTTGTATGATGAATGATGCCAAGATTAACAGACTTTGTGCATTCGGTGCTGTTTGACATGTCTCAGATGCACAAGTGGATGTGTTTAGCTTGGCAAGACTTGGCCTGCCTCACCTGGTTTATGACTCGTTCAAGCTACAACAGAAGCGATAAATACATGGACTGACAGATGAGCCTCGGCTACACAAGGACAAGCTGTGATGTCTCTTCCAACATCTGCTCGGGCTCTCGTACTCAAGAAATACGTCGACTACGATGAAGATCTTGCATTCACCATCTCCTCACATTTCGCTCTGAAGACCATACCTATTCCGAACCCGCTCCCAAACGACTCGCTGCTTGTAAAGACGTTGCTTTTGTCCAACGACCCCGGTCAACGGATTTGGATGCAAGAACTTGGCGAGCTGTCTGCGTCCCGTCCGGAAATGGCTACGGTCAGGCTTGGTGAACCGTTTCACACATGTTCTCTGTCTCGTGTAATCCAGGTTGGTGGGAACTCCGGTCCCATCAAGGTCGGTGATATTGTCGAAAGTCGTGCATATTGGGCGGATTTTTGCGTTGTGAAGAAAGACGCTGTCCAAGTCAAGAAGTAAGTATACTTTTCATAATTAAGTACACGCACTTAGCGATTTATAACTCTTTCACTAGAGAAATACCTGGATTCCCTTTGTCTTCTTTACTTGGCAGTCTGGGAATATCCGGTGCAACAGCATATGTTGCATTACATTTCGTATTAAAACCGAAACCAACTGACACACTCGTTGTAAGTGGTGCTGCAGGGTGAGCTGTCGTTTTAGATTGCGAAGAGTTATGGAGAACAAGACTTAACTTCTATCTATCAGTGCCGTCGGAAATGTTGCTGTTCAGTATGCCAAAGAAGTTATGGGTATAAAGCGTGTTGTCGGTATCGCAGGTTCCGAAGAGAAATGCAAATGGCTAAAGAGCATCGGGACGGACGAAGCAGTCAATTACAAGAGCACAACGTTCAATGAGGACTTCGCTAAGGCAACACCAGACAAGGTTGATTCGTAAGTAAATTTCACCAGACTAAGATTGGCAGAGGGTGCCGATCGCAGCAGATTCTTCGATAACGTCGGAGGGACGATTCTCGACGAGGTATTGGGACGTATGAATCCCAAGGGGAAAATCGCAGCTGTTGGTGTGACATCTGGTATGTTGGCATTTCCACAGTGTTTTCCCGAATCCTTTGACACTGGACATAACTCGAAGTGTACAACAGCATGGATCATCCGATAATCCTCAAAAACTACGTGAAGGCTGTTGCGGACAGTGTGACAATTTATGGTTACAACCTTGAGGAATATCTGGACCACATCCCTGAGGCGATAGATGCTCTGGCTGATGCGGCCGACTCTGGGAAGTTAATAATAGACAGTGCAGAAACTGTTGTGGATATTCATGATCATCTGGAGGAGATACCTCGTATCTGGGTAGGTATGTTCACCGGAGCTAACAAAGGAAAGGTGATTACGAAGTTGGCGGATTAGAGAAGAGCGGGAGAAGTTGAATATTAGAAACGTTATTGACAGATTGAGAAGACCACTTATTTAATGACCAGAGTTGTTGGCGACCAGGCGAATGTCTAACGCGTTTTTGTCCATTGCAGTATCCTTCTAGCCCTAAATGCAATATACAACGCGTTAAATGCATTGTTAAAATGCTTTGAACAAGATCCAGGTTGTGAGAGCCTTTCAAATCTGTGGAAACATACCTTGTAGTTGACCGTCAATTCATTGAGTTTCCTGTTCTGTACTTACTGTAAAATGAATTGTGCCTGCCGAGCTTGACAGACATTTTATGTAATTGTTCGGTGATTGTCCCAATGCCGCCAGACGTGTCTCGGGTACGAATATGGGCGGGACCTCTAACCATGCATGCTTTTACCCTTGCAAGATTTGGTCTACCTCACCTGATTTAGGGCTCGTATAAACTTGAAACAGGATCTATGAATGATATAAAAGCGACGAAAGGCCGTTGATCATATGTCTGCTCAACGAATTAGCCAGAATGTCACTTCCTACAACTGCTCGCGCCCTCGTACTTGAGAAATATGTCAATTACAATGAAGACCTCGCAACCACCATCTCCTCGCATTTTTCTTTAAAGACTGTATCTCTTCCCAACCCGCTTCCCGATGATTCTCTGCTTGTAAAGCAGTTGTACCTGTCCAACGATCCCGGTCAGCGGCTTTGGATGCAAGACCTTGGCGAGCTATCTGCATCGCGTCCGGAGGTGGCAGCAGTTAAACTTGGTGAACCCTTTCGCACATATTCTCTATCTCGTGTCATCCAGGTCGGCGGGGATTCCGGTCCAATTAAAGCTGGTGACATTGTCGAGAGTATTACATACTGGGGGGATTATTGCGTCGTAAAGAAAGACTCTGTCTATGTCAAGAAGTGAGTATTTTCTGTTATTCTTCTTAGTTAAGTGCAGGCATCAAGTGATTCATCGTTCTCTCACCAGGGAAATACCCGGGTTCAGTCTCACTTCTACGCTTGGAAGTCTAGGAGTATCCGGTGCAACAGCATATGTTGCATTGCATTCCATATTAAAGCCAAGGCCGACTGACACCCTCGTTGTAAGTGGTGCTGCAGGGTGAGTTCCTGCTGTATCCGAGAAAAAAAAATGGAACGTATGTGAGAATTGACTTTCTGTTCGTCAGCGCCGTCGGAAACGTTGCTGTCCAGTATGCCAAGAAAGTCATGGGTATAAAGCGTGTTGTCGGTATTGCTGGTTCCGAAGAGAAATGCAAGTGGGTGAAGAGCATTGGAGCGGACGACGCAGTCAATTATAAGAGCCCGACCTTTGCCGAAGACCTCGCCAAGGCAACACCAGACAAGGTTGATTCGTAAGTGGCCTTCGACTGGTGAAGTGCAACAAAGGATTCTCAACCAGAACAGGTTCTTCGATAACGTCGGAGGAAAAGCCCTTGATGAGGTATTGAACCGCATGAATCCCAATGGGATAATCGCAGCCGTCGGCGTGACATCTAGTAAGTTAGTGGATCCGCTGCGTTTCGTGAATTCTTTTGACACTAGGAATAAATTCAAAGCGTACAATAACATAGATCATCCGATGACCGTCAAAAACTACGTGAGGGTCGTCACAAACAGTCTGACAATCCATGGTTACATTCTTGCGAATTACTTGGACCGCATCCCGGAGGCGACAGAAGCCCTAGTTAATGCAGCAACCTCCGGAAAGTTGATACTAGACGGTGCAGAGACGGTTGTGGACATTCATGACCGCCTGGAGGAGATCCCTCGTATCTGGGCGGAGATGTTCACTGGAGTCAATAAGGGCAAGGTAGTCACGAAGCTGGCGGATTAGTATGAGAACTCAATCGTAGTTGAACTTGATGCGCTTACAGTGTAAATTAGTATTGTCAACGTTTGTGATGGCATTACTGTATAAGAAATCAAAAGTGAATGGACAAAGCTTGAATCGAGGAACGAACCGAACAGTAACGGACTTCACTATTCATAACTCCGACCTGCCTAAATCAGCATGCCGATCCTGTAGTATACACTTATAAATAGACACCTGCTTACTGAGTTGCTGTGCGATTTCTTGCTTATTGCACGTACTATCGCAGATAGCCATTTCTCTGGACAATAATGAGCTCGGAGGTCAACCCACTCAAAGATGTCCAAGCTCTAACATTCGATGTCTTTGGCACAGTCGTGGACTGGCACGGTTCTGTCGTCAGTGAATTAAAGCAACAGGCCGCGAAGTCTGCGTCCAAGGAAGTCAACAGCTATACAGAAAAGGGTAAGCTATGGTCACAAGGAACCGAATTTGTAACTTGATTCTTACATTCAGTTAAGACTGGTCTGACTTCGCTAAAGAATGGCGAATGGGCTATAGGACAAAGACGTGCGCATGATACTTGTTCTTCAGTATATGCGGACCTGGACTAACAAAACTTGTAGTTATGAGAGAGCGAATGGAGCAAAGGGCTCTTTAAATGTCGATATCATGCATCGCGAGGTCTATACACACATGTTCTTTCCTGTTCCCTAGCCAACCGTAGTTTCCTCAGATACTCGAAGAGATGCTATCAACTGAACGTTGGTCCGCTTTGAAAACTGCGTGGAATGAGGCAGACCTAGCGGAGATTAACCTGGCTTGGCATCGTCTTGATGGTAAGTTCACAGGAAGTACAGCATATAGTTATCCTTAAATGTTCTTCTATTTTCAGGTTGGCCCGATAGCTCAAATGGTCTCGCACAGCTAAAGGGGAAGTTCATAATATCAACACTCACTAATGGGAACGTTCGACTTATGGTTGATATGGTAGCTCCTCCAGACCACTATCATTCTGTCTAATGAGCGTTGTTGATTCAGAAATACGTAGGCCAGACACGCGAAGTTGCCGTGGGATGTCATCCTCACAGCGGAGCTATTAGGTTCCTTTAAGCCGTATGTGCTCCACTCCTCTCGAATCTGTGACTTACACAACGCGAATAAATATTTCCTTGCAGAAATCCTATTACATACCGAGGAGCCCTGAACCACCTTTCTATAAAACCAGAACAATGTGCGATGGTTGCAGCGCATTTATTTGATCTGCAAGCCGCGGCTAAAGAAGGAATGCGCACAATCTACATACGTCGACCAACTGAGGATGCTCCCGAAACTAGGCAATCAATAAAGGCAAAGAAGGATGGGGGTGAGGTTGATGTGGTTGTCGATAGCTTTGAAGAGCTCGCATCTGTGCTCGGTTGCAATATGTAGTGACGAAGTTGGGTTCTTGGATGATGCGACATGTTGCTCTCTATGGTCGAACTTGTCTACTTCTACAGTGACGTGGAACACAAAAGGGATGGAGTATTGGAATAAAGGAACAAATATATGGAATAAAAGCCAAAGAATTATATAGAATAAAGGGGAAAAGTGGTTGGGATATGGGCTGTCATGTCTGATTGCCAATTCATGAGGAGTAGAAGCAGCACAGAAACCCAAATTTATTCGAGCGAGCGAAATTTCCGTCTTGAACACGTGATCACAAGCTCAGATTATGTAAAACTCGTTAACAGATCTGCTTCAGACTGCAACACACATTTACCCATTTATCTTCTTCCTACCATTGGCGAGCAGCTATGCTTGCTCGTCTTCAGAGATCCTTACCATTCATCCCATTTCGCTATACTCGCCAGCTCTCGACAACACCGCGAAGTTCGTTCCTAGATGGGCAGGCGAACGATATAGATGACTTGCTAATCGAAAAATCCGCTACGACGCCCGAACCCGGTTCTGAACCTCCTCAGGAAACCGACTCATTAGTACCTCCGTCAGTATCACGCCCGTCAAATGGACTATCATATGCTGGTCTCCCGGAGCACAAAATTTTCCTCGATATCCCACCAGAACAAGATCCTCTCATCCGATACCTCGCCTCCTCACTCCTACGCGATGGCCGAAGACATACAGCCGAAAAGCGCGCGTCTCGAGTCCTTCTCTACCTCCACACCCTAACTCGCGCGGAGCCTCTCCCGCTTCTCCGCAAAGCCATCGAACGTGTTATGCCTACTGTACGAGTTGCGCGTCACAGACACTCAACGAAGGATGTTCAGATCCCTATTGCGTTGAATGAGAAACAGCAGGTACGATATGCTGTTAAGTGGATGCTTAAAGCAAGTGATTTTCGGGGGGGACGGACGGTGGAGGAGAGGCTCGCGAGGGAGATTGTGCAGGTTTTGAGTGGAAGCAGTACTGCGTTGAGGCAGAAGGAGACTTTGCACCAGCTTGCGACAGTCAATCGGTGCGTATTCACTTCTTCTATATGGCTTGACCTGTACAAACCTAACTTATTTTACTTTCAGTGGTAATATTCCAGCTGGGAGGGCATCATTATAACCCGACTATTTTTTCTTGCACCCTCCACTCTTGTGCTGCCTTAATCAATGCATTTAGTAATTATCATAAATATGAAAAGGGACGCATGACGAAGTACAAGTACAGAAATACGCTAAATTACAAACCAAGATACAAGACAAATCAACACGCAGTTAAGCTCAGTGGATAGGGAAAGATTAAGCCATATATATAAGCTCTATCAGATTAAAATGGACGTCTCTCATCTTCAGCATGTCTCAATGGAAGTGCCGTATCATACAGAGATGGTGATGGGGAGCGTGAATGCGCAGGAGATGGAGATCGACTACGTGCATGTTCACTACCTTTTTCCACGTCATGCTGGGTTGTGAGTGGGAGCTCGACGCTTGACGTCGATCGGTGGTGTACTGAACGATATCCATTCCGATCACCAATGAAGGGTAGCCTCGAAAGCCATGACGGGTCCTTGCCAGTCTCTGACTGGAAAGCTGGGCTGCTTGTCAAGAACGCCGAGAGTATGAAGTCATGTGGAAGAAGACCAAACAAAATGCTCTTTGAATTGTACTGACAAAACAGAATAAAGAATGCAACGGACCTTGGATGACTGCCATCTTTCTCGACGGATATCGCAGGTGCTTCCAGCGTTTCATATTCACTTCTTTCCAATGTCATTGCCATTGCCTTCTCCATCTTCTTTTCTTCTTTCCTCTTCCTTTTCTCCTCCTTCCTTGACCTGCGTTTTCCAATACACCATGAGCCGAAGCACAATAGTACAATGAAGCCGAGAACACTGCCAAGGACGATTCCTGTGATTGCAGCAGTCGAGAGTTTCTTTTTGCTGATGTCAACAAGCGGGACACTAGCGGCAATTGTGCTGTTCACGCATTGTAAAAACGTCTGGTTTAGTCCTGAGGGAAGCGGTGTATCTGCTATCTGTGCAGGAGCTGATGTGTTCGATGAGGGAGCATTTGAGGGCAGGGAAGCAGTGTTGTTGTACCCATCCAGTGACAGAAGGAATGAGGATGCACGATAGTACTGGATAACCTGTTCTGGCACTGGCCAAGTCGTATTTGATGGCTCGAATCGAGTAATAGCAGAAGTAGAGTTTACGACCGAGCAGTTTGCAACAAGCGCGTCGAACACCGCGACTACTGATGAGTTGTCACCGGCCAGACGATACGTAACGCTGGTCGTGTTGGATGACAATTGAATGACGGCGGTGGCTAAATTACCTCCAGGCCTCTGTGTGTCTGTTACATTGAGATACTATAGGGAATAATATAAGCAGGTTGCAGATTGTACAGGGAATCAGAAATGTCTGACCTCATCACCTCCATAGTAATGAGGTGCGACAGGAACTGGATAAAAGTAATATGGCAGTGGTCTCCATTCGACGTAGTACCCATAGCCTCCGTATGGATATCCACTCCCAAAACGAGAGGTGCCATAGATTGTAGTCTGCAAAGGAAAGGCAAGTAGACAGCAGTTATACATCACTCAAGATCAAAGTATTGTATATCCTCACTCGAGCACCCCCTCCAGCTTGTCGACCATGAAACGGAGAGTTCGATCCAAGTACAATGCGCTTCCCTCCTCCATCCGAATATGCATAAGCCGAGGAGCTCGTCGCAGGAATAGTGACCGACTTTGCTCCGCGTGATTTCGTAAATTTATCAGAAGCTCCATGGCTTTTCGCTGCTGATGATCCACCCTTCGAGCCACCCTTTGAACTTCCCTTGCCTCCTTTGCCTCCTCCTCCACCTCCTCCGCGTCCACCGCCACCTTTACGGCGAAAAAGGCGGTGTCGCTCCCCTGGAGAAGTATTGAAATGAGATTCCACGACCGACAACAATCGGGATACCATAACGGAAGGGAGATGAACGTCAAGTGTGAATTCGATTCGACCTTGGGGTGATGATTTTGTATGTAACGACCCCTCAAGATGGGCGCCTCGTTTAAATTATGTGGCAGGCGTTGGGCGATTGCCAAGTAAAAATTCGCCCCTGACTGAGCCCAATTACCTATTTGTGCAGTGCTACTTAGATCTAACTCCCGAGATATGGTATGTGAAAACGTGCACTGGTGTCCGTTCTACAGCGATGATGGGCAACGCAAAACAACTGGCTCCGATATCTACTGTACGGTTGTGAGATATGATCGCTGGCGATGATTATTGCGATCCGATACGGATGAGAACACGATGCGGTATTTGTGTTGGCTCAGAACAGTACCAGTATTACCTCTTGCTATGCCTCTGGAAGGATATACAATTAGCTTGGAGAACAAGTGGAGAGAGATGATACACGTATGAGCACATGCGCTCCAGGCTATTTGTGATTGACTGGTGCCAACAGTAGAACGAACTTAATTGAAATAGAACCTTGACTGCCATGGCGGCTTATTGAAGAACTAAACGCTTCAACGCCGAAAGGTAACTCAAGGCCAGTTGATCAGTGATCTTATCAACGTCGGCATGCCATCCGGCTTTTATTTTTAGTTTATCAACAAGAAGATGTAAATTCACAAAGCAACATAAGCACAAAACCAAATGCAAATGCTCTAATTATTAATAAGAATTAAAAATAAACAACAAATGAGTGCATAATTTGAGACAGGTTGGCAGTATAGGGAGTCGGACATATGGTGATATTGAATGATACTTGTGATAAGATTTCATAAGGGGACATTCATGACTATGGGGAAAACGAGGGGAAGGCGAATGTAAGGGGGGACAAGGGGAAAAGGGGAAGTAATTGACATGATTCTGGTACCATTGTTGGATGCAGAACAATGTACGTTTCAGAGCGGTACCTAAGACCAGCCGGGTTGAGGACTAGCAGAGGATGCTTTCCCCGGCATTGGAGAAATGGTATTGGTCTTTGAGCTTGAATGGTTGTTGCCGTCTATTGGCTCGTCAACCAGCGTTCCGGCATCTGCTGACGAAGGTCTACTTCTTGATCCCACAATGTTAAGAGGGACGGCAGAAGTAGGAGGCGTCTTGTCGTCCTCAGGTTCTAAAACCTGTGACTCGGGATCGATTCGCATTGCAATTGTCTTCCTTCTTTTTAGGAGTTTCTTGACTTTTCCACGAAGAGAGGACAAGCATTTGCAGCATGCCTTGATAGTGAAATAGACGAGTACAATGCCGCACACGCCTGCAAATATGATTCCAATGATTGCTTCAGGCGATAGCTTCTTCTTTGCCGGAACGTCAACAAGTGGTACGCTCTGACCAACGGTTGCATTGACGCATTCAAGGAAAGTCATGTTCAAGCCCGATGGCAGTGGTGTGTCTGCCATTTGTGGCGGTAACGAGCTGTTCGAAGCAGGAGCGTAGGTGATCAGAGATGCGGTGTTGTTATAACCATCCAGTGAGAGCGCAAACGACGATGCACGGTAATACTGGACAACCTGTTCAGGTTGGGGCCACACCGAGGCTGATGGAAGAAATGCGGCTATAGCAGTGGTCGAATTGGCGACACTGCAGTTCGCGACAAGGGCATCGAAGACTTGGGTTACTGAAGAGTTATCTCCTATAAGACGGTAGGTGACAGCACTTGTATTGTATGTGGGTTGGAGGACTGCAGTTGCAAGATTGCCACCAGGTCTTGCCGTATCATTCAGGTACTATATCATAACAGATAACATGAGGACGCAAAAGGTGAAGAGATAGATTAGCCTTACCGCATTGGCACCGTAGTAATTATACGAGCACGGGGACGGGTAAAAATAATAAGGCAGAGGTCGTGAATCTACATAGGAGCCAGATCCACCGTAGGGGTAACCACTACCGAAGTGAGAGGTGCCATAAATGGTGTTCTGTGGAAAAAACGGGGAAAGGGGCGACAATGATGATTAACGATTGCGGTATTAGATGACACAATAGCTCTTACTCTGGAACCGCCTCCAGCCTGCCGGCCTGCAAACGGTGAATTACTGCCAAGGATGGTAGATTTTCCTCCACCGTCCGAGTAGGCATATGCAGATGACTTCGAAGACGGCATGCTGATCGGTTTCCCGCCGCTCCGAGACTTCGTAAATCCGTCAGGTGCTCCGTGAGATTTCGCAGCAGAAGCACCACCCTTTGGGCTCCCTTTTCCACCCTTGCCGGAGGTGCGCCCGCTGCGACCCCCTCCCCCCTTGCGAGGAACAAGACGTCTGTGGTCTTCCGCATACCTCGCTGGTGGTGCGGATGCTCCTGATTGTCGCGAAGACGGAGAAGGCATTACGGGGTTCACAGGTAACAGATACACCAAGGCCTGTGTTCTAAGGATGAAGGTAAGAACGAAGTGCGGTCCAAGGCAAAATCAACTGCTTTATACCTGTAATCCGCGTTGTATGTGGCTTAAAGAAAACGCTAGTCAAGTCGCAGTTATCGGTGGCCCGAGAAAATCGGCCAATGCGCACAGGACACCGGATGGACCCAGGAGAAAATATTGGAGGCCCCTTAAGCGCACAAGATAATGACGACGCGGTGAGACTTGCACCACGGGCTTATGGCAACCGCTATTTTCGATAATGTGCGTTGCTCGAAGAGAGGATGGCAATTGGGTAGTATGAGTAGCTGCCTCAGTTTTGTCCTAGGACGGGAGAGAGGAGGTATTATTCTGAAAGTGAGAGCAGTGAGAAGTTAGAACGGAAAGCATACCAAAAATAATGGTAATAGTAAAGTAATTAAAAATAAAAAAGGGCACAAGCAAGATCTTAGTCAACCACTAAAAACAAAAGCTGGACTGATTCAGATGAGTAGGCAACTATGCATGGTAACAGAGTTAACAGTGCTTGTGCAAGGTTATTGGTTTGGGTTTGTATGGACGCTTGGGAGGCAGTGCCAAAATACATGATCAGCGTTGCTATGAGTCGGATGCAATGCAGGCCAAATCAGGGACCAACAGCTACTGATAGGGAAGTTCCATCTCAATGCAATATTCAGCACAGCATTGCATGACATAAAAAAAATCAGAATGGAGGGACAGCCAAAGCCAGAGTAGAAAGTATGATATCGAATTGCTGTTATCGTTTCTGTGCACATACCAAAAACACCTTAATCAGACGCATCTGAATGTTCGATGCTAAAAAGCTGCTTTACCAGGTACACGGCATAACGCAGACCTGTGCGAACGAACATAGCTATGAAGCTGAAAGCCCTGCCAACCATGTGATTATGCCGGATTTGGTGAGTTGCGAAGTTCCCAGTGGACCACCGCTTGGCTTTAGCATTGCTAGCGATCTCGACCGTGACTAGTAAGCGAATCGGTATAATTCGACTTGCGGATGTACAGCAACGCCATAAATCATTCCAATTTAGCAGGGTCTCCCAAGCTGTGTCCTATGGATAGCTGAGACTCCTCTCCTTCCGAGGAGGGGGGATGAGGGTCTATGATTATTAGGCGATCTAGCTTTGACCTTCATCCATATGCGACTTGCAATCGCCCACAAAAGGCCCTCTCCCTTCAGCATTAACGTCCATCACTTTCCACATACCACAACCCTTCCCCTCATTCTGAGCACCAGCATAACAGTTCCACCAATATCTGATGTTATGTTTTGCGTCTTTGGTAGACGACCTCTTGTCCCCCGTGTCCTTATGATCGACCCCTTTAGACTCGAGACCTTTGGTAGTGGCGTCCCGTTCGTCGAGACGGCCTTTCATGTCTGGACGTAAAACACACGGCAGTCCACACTTACATCGTGGGATCGTTGAAGGAACAAAATCCGGGCGATAGAAACGGAAAGTAATGTTGATGCGGCAGTTCGAACTCCGGATATCATCACTGGGAGCAGAGGATGAGGAGCCAGGGACCGATTGTCGAGGAAACTGGGGATGAAAGACGTCAATAGTAGGCTGTGGTGGAACACAATGCTTGAAGCGTTCCTGTGTTGAGGCATGCATGATGATGAGCTATAAATAAAGTGCACAGGTAGTGATTAGGAGTCTGATCATGACTCAAAACCGAATATGGCGCAAACGTACAGAGTTGTGCGGAAGGGGTATATTGAAGGTCTGTGCTTGACGTTCATTTGATTCTGAACTGGGTATCACCTCGCGCAGGCGAAATGTTCTTGTAGTCCCTATGGTTCCGCAATTCATACATATATGCATAGAGTATTTGGAACAGAACACATACCGAGGCTGAGAGATGCTATTGTCGGGTAAGGGCCCAGATACGTCAATTGGTCCGAGTGGAAGCCAACGCTCTCCTTCGCACCCTCATAACAGTTTGAGGCAGCGACGTTGGCGCGCCACATATATCCATCTTTGCCTGAGCTTCCACCCCATTCCAGAGAAAATCGATCACGTTTCTTAAGCTCCTCATTCACCACCTTTTCGACGTATTTACACGCCTCTTCCATCTCCTCTGGGAAAGGATGTGGGGAGTCAGTCTTCCGACCATTGTACCTGTACAACAGATTGAATATTAACAAATGGTGCATCAGTGATTCATAGTAAGACTTGTACAGTGTAGAACATAGAACAAACCAGAATTGCGCTGCCTCCTTCCATGTCTCCCCCGGATCTCCTTCTATATCAAATCCTTCTAATCGAGCAAAGAATGATGTCCGATGAGGGGACTCAACGAGTCGATCAAAAAGCCACCATTTGTTGCGGGACCAGCCCTGTGCGGCGTGCAGCATTGTATAGAATAGATCACAAGCAAGTCTAGGCGGCAATATTGAGTGATGAAGAGTACATGGTGAATGTTTAGCAACCATTGCCGGATTTGAAAGCGTCAGAGGTGGACTGCGGATTGCAGGTCGCTTTTCTGGTGAAGGCGGTCGTAGGATAGACAAAAGGTCAATTGGCTTGGTAGCATTAGTGCTGTTGGTTGAATGAGGCTTAACAGACTTTTGCAGTGTCTTCGTTTCTTTTTGTGATTCATCCATCCCTAGTCTTGGTTCTTTGCTTGGCGTCATGTTGTCTTTTGGCAGGTCCAACTTAGTGGTTCGAGGTTCGCTGCTTGTAGCTCTTCTCTTTGCACCCCGCTGTTCAGACGACGACCCACTTGGAGAGCCAGCGCGGGGTGAAAGCCAGCTATCAAGGGCTGAAGCAACACGCTTTCGTTTCTTCGTTGAGGTCGGTCGTTCACTTTCTATCTTGTTCGAATTCCGCAGTTGGTGTGCTGCTGCCTCGACATCTCCATTACAATCGACGAGTGCATTCAACAAGATAGCATGTTCTGGTACATTTGGCTCTAGAAGGCTGATCAAGGTAGCCAGCAGGATTTCGGTGTCGTCCATGGTGACGCGTCAGTACAAGGACAACCTTTGGTTGGTAACAAAGTGAGCGAGTGACTCGCTCGCGTGACCTCCCGCGTTTTTGAAATTGGTCACGCAAGGATCAAACTTTCAAAGAGAAAAAAAATGCCTCGTATTGATGGAATGTACAATTACATCTATATGACTGTATAGCATACAAATACAGTGCATGCATGAGAGAACGAGAAGCGAATGCCGAGAGTAGCTAGAGGTGTTGGGAGATAAAGCAAAAAATACGAATAAAATACGTAGACCCGAACATACATTAACTATTCATCAACCAGTCGGTGGGTAACCAGGCATGCCTCCCTGATGAGCATTCTGCTGTCCTTGCTGCATCTGCATCTGCATTGGTTGTTGTTGCTGTTGCTGTTGCATCTGCATCTGCATCTGCTGCTGCTGCCATTCATATAGCGCATATCTTAGTGTTTATAAGTGTGAGAATAGACATGTCGCTTACTTGCTGAAGTCTCATCAAGTGAGAGATCTGCTCTGGCGTGTACTGCACACCACCATTGTTCGCCATATACGCCGCTAGTGCGTTATTTGTTCGAGCAATCGGGACAGAGCTGCTTGCAATTGGAAGGACTTGGCCTCCTGGCATCGCAACGTTTCGCTGAGCGGAAGCGGGCCTTGGGAAATTCGCAGTGGAATTCACAGGTGTGGCTGTAGATCGTGGCGGAGAAGAATGTTGAGCGACAGGCGAACTCGCTCCGCCGTGGTTGACGAATGGCGCCGAGAGGTGAGGGACGTTCCCGTTGATACTTGTTTGACCACCAGTCATTTGTCCTTGCAACTGCGTAAGACTGGCCTGCGGCTGGGCCTGTTGCCCCTGTGATTGCACTTGTTGTGCTTGGGCCTGTGCTTGCGCTTGGGCAAGAGCTCGCTGGGCGGCTTGTGCCTGCATCAACTGTGGAGAAACAGGAACAGATCCAACTTGAGTCGACTGCCTTTGCTGTTGATGTTGAGAAATACCGACTTGTTGTGCACGTATTTGTGGTACGTTCTGTGATATGTTAACCCCCTGCTGACCCATTTGCTGCTGCTGCTGCTGCTGCTGTTGCTGTTGCTGGACCTGTTGAAGCTGAGCATGCAACTGCTGCTGTTGCTGTTGCTGCTGTTGGCGTTTAGCTTCAAGCTCCCTACGGCGCATGAGCTGCAGATCAAACTCTTTTCGCTCCCGCTCGGCTTTCATCTGCGATAGCTCTAGTGGGGTGTATCTCGTCTTGTTACCGAACTGGTGATGCGTATCGTGTACTGGTGCTACAGTACTTGATGCTTGATATTTAACTGCAGACGAGTCAGTCTCATCGGGGACATCGTATCGATGAACTTACGCTCGTCCTGCTTTCGCAGTTTCTGTCTCCTTGCCAGTGTCTTACGCACCGCTTCATGGATAATGAGGTGTCGTTTTCGTTTACGAGCTTCCACCGTTGGCACACTCGTATTGATGGTGAGATTCGCAGCGTTTTGCGCAGCGGAGGTGGCAAGCCGCTTGATTCCTCTAGTCGTCATTTGAGAGGCAGTCACAGGTGCTGACGATGTCGATGGAGGCGGGGGCGGGGGCGTGTCAATACCTGCTAACGGGTTAGGAAGAGAGGGTTCCTCGTTGTTGGTATAGGGGGCGGTCGGCTGTTGTGCATTTGGAGGAAGCGCCTGACGAATCTGAATACCGCATTTTGCTCTCCATCTCTCAAAGCACTCCTGTGGTGTTCGCAAGTCTATGCTCGTCCGGATTCTGGATGAATTCAATGCATCCGCAACAAGTCGCCAGTTTGACGGGTACCGCTCAGCTAGGCTTTTTAGCATATTGTCCTCAGCTAAAGACCAGGGAATTTCTTGCTTCTTGACGGTATTGTGGGGCATCTTCGAGAAGTTATGAAGCATAAGCGGCGGCTGGAATGGTATTGATATTTTGCGACCCTCGAATAATGCTGAAAGGACCATCGCCTGAGCTCTAAACAACTTAGAAGGGACTTCTGACTTACAACAGCTATTTTCTGTACTAGGCATTGATGGAGGGCTGTCCACATCGCTCACAACTGGTGACTCGTCCAAATCGAGCCATTTGCCTTTCCGCCATTTCTTTGCCGGCTGTAACGCACTAACTAGGGTCGGCTTCATGTGCATGAATCGGTTTGTTGGGCAAAGTTTGGTATAAGTCGTCTCGTCGACTCGCTTCGTTGGGTCGTCCCTGTCCGCCTTCTTGTCGCTTTTCCTCTTCCCGTCTGAATTATATCCAACGATCTCGGAATTCGGTACATCAATCATTGAAAAAGGCTGTAACTCTGGGAAGAGCGCTGTCAAGCCGATGCTTGTAGACGTTTCGGCGGAATTGCCCTCAGGCGCAAGTGATTTCATTAGCTCCTCGTCTGTTAAAGGCACAAATTGGTCCAAGGATACGAGCAAGGTCTCTCCAGGCTGAGATAGCAACGAAGATCGCAATGTTTTCGTTTGTTCTGGGGTCCACAAGCTTTTGACATCCTTCTGTGCGGGATCGGGGGCAGATGTAGAACCGGACGGCTGAGAATCTAAGATCGGATTATCCGAACTCCCCTTCAAAGCCTGTGATGGATCAACTGCTTCGGTCTTTGGTCTCTCTGACCATTGATCAGCCGTGACTTGAGGCATCTGGTTTGGATCTCGGGAATTATGCACGCTGTTTGCAGCCTCAGCCAAACGCAATGCATCCGTATTCTCCAACTCCTCTAACTTCATTGTCATTGAAGGGCCCTCGGCTTCGTCAGGGATTGGAACAGCCTGAGGGGCTTCGTCCAGAGCTTCAGCAATACTTGTATCCGGAATCAGGGCAGCAGTGACGGCGCATTGATCCTCGACTTCATCTTCCTCATTATCACTAGCAGCAGCGTCGAGGTCCTCGTTCGCTTGCATATCGTCTGGATGAGGTGAGTCTCGTCCCTCACCATCTAATAATGAGTCAAGAGCGGTATCAACTTCCATGGGCTGGACACCATCGATTGCTGGAATCTCCAGAGGATCAGGTCTTCTCCATCGCGCACAGATACCCAACCTAATCCGTTCTTCGTACGATCCAGCTTCATGCCATTCTAGCACAGACAAAGCAAGTTCGTACGCCAAAGCTACTTTCCAACGTTTCTCTTCCTTGAAATCCACTTGCATCCATTTCTGTAAAGAAAAATGGGCGTTAGATATGCATACCGAACTATATGTTCCTGTCTTACCATCTCATCCATGAGATAGTCCCAGTGTGTCTTTACTAGACTAGCCGCGACGCGCTGTTTCTTAGGCTGACGAAAGCTCCATTTGCCCGTGCGTTTCAGTACGTCAAGTCTATCCAGTATACGAATAAGCTTGAGCTCCGTCGCAGCAGTCTTTTGAGTAGATTAGAGTCATGTAACTACAGAGTAGGAACTCATCCACATACATTCCAGTCTTTGGTGTTCACACACTTGGTGGCTCTCGAGAGCTTCTTGTACGCTGGGTTTGCTATTAGTAACGCAGACCACTTCGCCATACCCAGAGGGACCCAGTCGTCCTTCCTTCCCATGTCTGAACCACTTCGTTCTCGTTCTCTATCTCGTTTACGTTTCTGTGGCTTTCCTTTGCGGTTAAACTCAGCAGGAAGAGCTGATAGTGGTGGAAGAGTGTAGTTGAACGATGGCTTTTTTGCTGCTTCCTTTTCTAGACGGGGCCGTGCCGGTGGCCGCTCCAAAGCAGAAGTTGACGCTGTGGCCTCATTTTCAGACTTGATTTCAACCTCACCTGGCGCAGGCCTAGCCGACTCCTCAGCAAAGCGGAAAACTGGCCTTTCTGGTTGATGTACAGGAAGGCGTATAAGAACCGGAGGTGGTGGTGATCTGGGTGGTGTGAGCGGCGTATTGTCGACAAATTGAGGCATTATTTGCTTTGGTGCTCGAATTGGAGACTCTCTCGATCCTCGTGCTATAGGCGGTAGTGAAGGTGATTTCGAAGGCGAGCGAGCAGACGGAGTGGAAGGGCTAGCAGGCACAATTTTCGTCTCTTCCTCTAGCTTTTCTCGTGCAGTATGTGTAGACTCCTCAGGCTCTTCCTCAGCTTCAGCCTCGTCTACCTCTTCGGCGTCGGTATCTTCATGAATAGGTTCAGCTTCTATAGGAGAAGTTTGTGGAGAAAGATGTCGTTTTGAAGGGTGTCGTCTAGATGGCGAGATAGACGAACGACGGGAAATGATGTCGAGCTCGTCCTCTTCCTCGTCATCAACTGGCGGTGGAGTTGTCATCTTTCTTGACTTGGATCTTGTCTTCCTTACTTCCTCAGGAGGCTCCGGAGGATTCTCTGTGTCCTCCATGGCTTCGTCTTCATCCAACACATCTGATCTTCGCCGTCCCCGCCGTCTCGGAGCTATAGGAGAACTCGTCCTCGCCCGTTTCCTAGGAGGCGTTTGCGGTTCCTCCTCTTCAGCCTCCTTCTCTTGTTCGTCGTCAAGAGAAGTTTCTTCTTGCTCTTGCGCCGCGGGTGTTTCATCTACGTCCATAGCTACATCCTCAGCACCAGCTTCGTTTCGTTCTGAGGCCTGCCGGCCATTCGTACGAGGAATAAGAGGTGAAGAAGTCGGGTACTGTAATTCTTCTTCCCCAACATCCGCGTGCTTCAGTTCGTCCATTCCAGGAGGAGGCTCGGAAGGTGTTGTCTCTCTTGAAAGACCAGCCTCGAGCATCAGCTCAGGGACTTCAAGCGTCAAGATTGAGCCTGTCTCAGTACTAGTGCACATAAAAAATAAGTCAATAAATCAGAATTCATCTATTCCATAAGGTAATAAATGCTCACTTCTTCCTTAAGTCAAACCTTTCCAAAAACTGTTCAAGCTCTTCATCATCCACCTCTTCCTCCTCGAGCAGTACGGATGAACTGCCACTTTCACCATACCGTACAAGACGGAGCATTTCACGTAAAAGATCGTTCCGGCGGTCACTTAGTTCTCTAGATAGACAGGTACACAGTAGACGGAACCGAAGAATAACCAAAGTCCAGCAATCAGATCACATAAACAAGCAACAAATAAGCTAAAGGCGAACTCACTCTAGCTCTGCCAGCCTTTCATCTACGAGTTGCTGTCGCGCGTCATTGATGGTCGTCGACATTGCCGTCACTAAATTGTACGGGTGGTGTTACGTTCGGGCGCGTACAGCCCTTCGGTTCAGTCACGGCGGAGCGGCAGCACGGCTGGTTGTCTCGAATGACCAGCGCAAACGGCGATTTTTCTTGCGGTCCTTTGACTTCTGTTCACGAAACGTTTGCTCAGAAATTTACTTGTACAGAATTTACACCAAACGTACAGGATGGATGGCGGTTGTGACTTGTGTCTGTCCTAGCCACTAGATTGAGTGACCAAACGCGGTATGGCGTGACAGCAGTGAGAACGAACTTCCGTAAGTAGACCGCTGGCAGAAATTTGATGTGCATTTTAAATTTCCGTCTACTGACTACGAATCTCCTGTGAAATAAAGCGAGATACGAATGCTATTGGGTATAGAAACGAAAGGATAACTATGCGTTGGTACATGAATGATGGGTGAACGGAGTAAGTGAGCGAGTATCAAAAAAAGAAAACAAAACAGAAAACAGAAAAAGAAAAAAAAAGTTCAGTGTGACGATGCAGTGCGAATATATAGTAAAAAAGAATGAATCGAGAGTGAACGAATATGATTAAGCCGACTTCGGCTAAATATTATGAAAGAATAGAGCTGCACAATGTCCGTACAAATCTATCAGGGGATACCTGCCTTCTCTTTAGAGTCTGTCTTGCGTTTCGGTCCTCCGAGTTTGCTGATTCGCTTCAGGCCCTGCGAGAAACTCTTCTTCTTCTCGTGTTTCGACCCCTTGATGCCATTCGTTGCCTCAGTATCTGTTGAATTTCGGGCAGAAGTTACGGAAGATAACGAGGCGACATCAGCACGGTCAGTCTCGGCGGGAGTTTCTTCGATCGGTTCGGGTTCAGATACGATACCCGTTGACCCCCCGCCGCCTACAAGGCGGATCGTATGGTCTGGGGATCCTTCCTGTTCAACCTTCCCTTCGTATGCGTCTTCCGAAGCTTCCTTCTCAACAGCTTCGGGTTTCTCATTGTCAGCGTCAGGCCGGTCCCACTTCTCGGTCCCATTAACAACGGAAGAGGACAGCGAACTTGGGGCCTCGGACTGAACAGGGGATGTAGATTCAGCAGCGAACTCCTTTAGAACTCCGACTTTAGAGTCGGATTCGCCAGCAGGCGATGCAACCGGCTCCAACGGGACAATCGTCATACTGCTAGTATCGTTTTCTTGTAGCAGGTCCGAAACATCCGGAGAAGGCTTCTCAGGACTTGGCTCTTCTAAAGGAATTTGAACGAGGGTTGCTTCTTTAACGGGCGAAGTCAACTCATTTGGCCGTCGAGCAGTAGGAGTACTTGGAGAGGGTGGCTTCACGGCTACCTGTGCACCACTGAGAGGGTGGACGACTTCATCCAAAGACAGTTGTCGACCTCGTTCAAGATCCTGGTCAAATGATGTTCCTCGTGAGTCTATTGGGGATGATGTTTGGAAGTCTTGCAGAGAAGGAAGATCCACGGGACGAGGTGCAGGAGGCTTTGTGACAGAAATAGTAGGCAAGGGTGAAGGAGGTTTGCTTGAGTCGTCATTCGAATTACGTCTCTTGTTGGTCATATTTGTCAGTGCTGCTGTCGGAGTTGCTTGATCATCCTCAAGCACGCCGTTGTTGAGTACGGGTATAGGTACTTCTGCGCCAGATCCAGAGGAGGCGGCAGCGAGATCAAGAACACCAAGACCATGCTTGGCAGCCTACCATACCGATTAGACTACGTTTAATCAAGCTGGAAAAAAAGTAACGCACTTTGGTCTTTTCTTTCGGTGAAGCAGACCCGTCAGAAAGAATACCGGATTCTCGCCATTTCTTCACGCTTTTGTCGGCCCAGGCCTCCAAAACGCTCCAACCACGGTATTCACCGGCAAGCCGCATACCAGCTCCCGATTCACCATCGCCATCGCCTTTCGTTCTTCCGCTCCCATCAAAGAAATAGCTCTCGTATCCAATATCATCTTCGGATCCTTCGCTTCCATCACTTACGTGTCCGAGCTCGAATCCTTCCCCGTTTTCCAAATCTTCCACGAAAGCAGCTAACCAGGTCGCCCATCCGGTTGAACCCTCGCCCCTCCACATCACAACCTTCGTGTCAAAGTCACGCCCAAAAACGATGACTTGCCCTACTGCGCCCCCTTCATCCGGATTTAAATCCACGCCCAGATAGTTCCCGGCTTTATCGGTGACAAGTGGTATCCACCCACGCTGTGAATATTCCCTCCGTACCCAGCCTGGTGGGATTGATTGCATAACCTCCTTCAGCCGGACATTTGCACCGGTAGCCGGATCGGTATCGACCTCACGCCAGAAGCGCCATTCTTCCAGCACATCCTCGAGCGGGAGAAATGACAGACCAAAGAACAAGCCCTCCGAACAGCCCGCTGATGATTCCGCTTCCTGCCCATCGACAAGGAGGTACGACTCTCGGACAGGAGATGGTAGAGAAATTCCAAGTGCCATTTCGATGTCCGCTAAGTCCTGCGGCAAGATACCATAGTTTAGGGTGTCGCCAAGCTCAGGGTATTCTCTTGAGAGCCATCTTTGTAGTCGCGCCCATGTTTGCGCTAAGGGCGGATAAGGAGGAAGCGGTGATAACGGTGCGTCGTTATGTAAAGGCAACAATGATTGCTGGCGAGATTGGGAGGATAAAATCCTGCCACTAAGTTAAGTAAGCCCGCTCAGCGACGTTGGTGATGAATGCTATGCAAGAAAAGCACGTACTTCTGCCTAGGCACGTAATCATATGTTGTCGGACTGGCGGGCGGAGGGTATGCATACGACGATGAAGAGGGCGTCATTACTTCAACGTCCGGTCCGTCTGGACTTGAGCGAGAGAATGAATCCAGATGAGAGGCGGTGAGGGGTGAGGAGGTTGGCAAGGAGAAAGCATCGTGGGTAGACAAGGCCATCTTTCGCCGTGCGCTGGCAGTCGATGGAGCTGACGAAAAGAGGTTTGAAAACCAGCCCATCGCAGATTGACCCCGTTGGTACGAGTAGGACGAGACAGAGACAGTCGGTGCGGTCGACGTCCGCACTTGTGTTGTTCAGAACGTCGGCGCCCAACGCAGCAAACGCTGTTAATGGTCACTCGTTCCGTGACCCTGGCTCCTCTTCCCGCTTTAGGCAGTTACGTAACTCTCAATGTGATATACTGAAAATTTAAGACTTCAAGTCAAGCAGCAAGATTCGTTTTGAAAACGAAGTACGCAGATAGGTTTTTCTATTTTACTGGTGAAAGGCCGCAATTTATATGCACAGACACAATGAAGTCAAAGTAAAGCAACTGTAAAATGGTTGAGTGTCAAATCGGAGATTCGGCGGCATCGGTGATATCGACGTCAGAGCTGCCCAAAACGGTTAACTGACGCGCTCTGCCCACTCAATCACAATCCGCCCAATTCAAAAGAGAAAAAGAAAATATTGATTCGTCTTGTCATAATGTACAATGGGTCTCGTCACTTGAAGACATGAACTACATAGCAATCTCAAATGGTATGGATTACGGAAGTCGGGAATCAAAGGAAACACCATTTCCAATCCAAGGTTATAGAGGTGCCTCCTTGAGGCCATCTGCAACGGCGAACGTTGCCGCCGTCTTCGCCCTCACCTCCTCGAGAGTCACACCCGGCATAAGCTCGGTCAACGTTAGCTTGCCAAGCGCACGATCAATGGTGAAGACAGCAAGGTCTGTCACGATCATGCTGACGCAGTTCGCACCAGTGAGCGGCAGCGTGCACTCATCCAGGAGTTTCGGGCTGCCGTCCTTTGCGACGTGTTCCATCACGATCATAATCTTCGTCTTTTCTGGATTCGAAACAAGGTCCATCGCACCGCCAATGCCCTTGACCATCTTTCCTGGTACCATGTAGTTCGCAAGGTCTCCCTTCGCCGAGCATTGAAGAGCCTTTAAAATACCCAAGAAAGATGAGAAACTCCAGTTACGTTAATAACGCGAGTACTCACGCCAAGAACAGAAACATCCATGTGGCCACCACGAATCATTGCAAATGATTCGGCGGAGTCTTTTAAATTCAGTGATCAACATAATACCCTTCTATTAGGAGAAGTAGAAACTCACCAAAAGTTGAAGCTCCAGGCAGTAATGTAACAGTCTCCTTACCAGCATTGATAATATCCGCATCAACCTGATCTTTGGTAGGGTATGGTCCCATTCCCAAGATGCCGTTTTCGCTCTGCACCCAAACACTGACACCGGGCTCGAGGAACTCGGTCAAGAGGGTGGGCATGCCGACACCAAGGTTCACGTAGTAGCCATTCTTCAACTCTTTGGCTGCACGCTTGGCAATACGTTCGCGTATTTCTTGAGAACCACGCTTGGAGGAGTCACCAGGAGACGGTGGAGGGGTATCATCGTCCTTAGCAAGTTTGAGGATTTCGATTTCTTTCGACATAGTTGCTTTTACGACGCGATTGACGTATACCCCGGGTAGATGGACTTCATTTGGCTCAAGAGATCCAACCGGAACAATTTCCTCCGCCTGTAATTGACATTTCACGGATTATAATTAAAACAACCACCTGGAGAAATAGACATACCTCAACAATTGTAAGGAGAGCATTTCTTGCAGCAACACCATTGTAATTATTCTGCGTATACCTGAAGAAGTATTAGGTGCCGATTCCTCTTGGACAGGTTAAACGAAACTAATGTACCTGAATATCGTGTTCCCAGCTTCATCCGCCTTCCACGCTCTCACGAACGCGACATCACCGGCCAGAGCTGGTTCCATTACATAGCGCTTCCCATTGAACACTCGCACTTCTTTGGCATTGCCAGGTTCTTCAATTCCTGCAGCTGGGCCACCATCCTTATATTTGATAGGAATTGCTCCCTGTTCGACCGCGGTTGATGATCCGGTCGGGGTGAAGAATGCCGGTATACCAGCACCGTGTGCGCGTAAACGCTCGACAAGCGTCCCTTGAGGTACTAGCTCGAGACCGATCTTGCCCGTGAGATACAGCTTCTCGAAGTGTTTATTTCTGAAAGATGATGTCAGAATATACGTGTTCGAGGTATCCAACTATGAACTTACCCTCCGAGATACGATAGCATCATTTTCCGAATCTGTCCCGTATGTACAAGCAAGCCTAATGTTGCATTAGATCCGGTCTTGACACGGCTCTGTCCTGCTCACCTAAACCCCTCTCGCCAACTCCGGCATTATTAGAGACTGCAGTTATGTTCTGTACCTCTGGTCTTTTCGAAAGTGCGTGGATTAAAGTGTCTAAGTAGATATTAGGATAAGTATGCTGTGTACAAGAATTGTATACATGCATACCTGGAGTTCCACAAAGTCCGAATCCTTACAGCATGACGACTATTAAGCATGTATGCGACGCGCAACGTCTTTAGTACATACCTCCACACAGAATGATTGATCCCGACTGCACATCCTTGACTGCCTCATCGGCCGACTCCCATACCTTTGACGCTTTTGGGACAGAAACCGATGCGATACCACGCAGCCCCGCACGCGACCAAGGTCTAGCAGAGGCGACGATCGAGAGACGAAGGAGGCGAGTGTCCGCTCTAACAGCGGTTTTGGCGGGCCGACAACAAACTCTTGCAGCCAGCATCTCTACGAGCTTTGGGGAGAGTGGGGATTACGGAGACGGTCGCAATGACCTGAGTATGTGTCCCACGAAGACAAGAAGAAGAAAAATACAAGACGGAAGAGCCATTAAGCGTGTCAGAGCTGGTTATATACTGAACTGTAGCTGCTTATCGGACTTAGCCGTCGGCCCGTATGCACGAAAACATTGCCTTTTGGACAGAACGTGACCTTCCGATTGTTCCCGATCCTCTCTTTTCTGCACCTATAACCACCACCGTCCTCCTTGCGGTTAGGAATATGCCTGATACTCCAAAGATGCAGAGCAAGAGTATAGTGACTATGAGCTCAGAAGCCTGTCAATGTCAAGTTTACAGCCACCTCAGACGAGCAGTAACTCATCTCAAGGAATTACACGATCATACCTCTCACAACCCTCGTGGGCCAATGGTAGCAAGGAGGATACATGTTCCGCGCCAGCTGGGTGTCACTGATCGACTGTTCATTGGACTTCTGGAGGCCGAAGCTCCTTACACTCTCTGTGTAATCAATTCGGCCTATATTCGTCGTCACTGCGTAACGGGGTCCTATGGGAATCGGAGTGCCTTGTCCAGCGAAGCACGAAATCTCGGACGCACGCGGTGCTTACGCGGAAATATGATACAATAGAGAGAGCAATGTGGTCAAGGGAAGAAACAGGACTTGTTTGCTTCCTGCACTCTTATGAGCTGTTTTCATCCGAAATCCCCCGATCCTGCCTATTTTTTGCCAGTATTCCATACTAAATATATCGAACTATTTGGAAATCCTGGCCCATTGTATCTCATGCTGTGTCGAGATCTCGCCAACTGCTGCATCCTTTTCTTCGCGATTTTCGTCTTTTTTTCGCTCTTACCACCTGTTCATCGAAGTGGATAAGTCCGCCTTAAATCCCTCTGAACGCGTTTCCTATTAGCGCTCTTCTTCCACCGCCAGGCAATAACCTTTTGACTTGTATGCTACCTCAAGTCTTCCAATGACTCTCATGATCAAGACTATACCCGCGCCGACAACTCACTTCGCCAAGGAGTTGTAGGCAAATGACCAGGCTCAGCTCCCGCCACAAACGGAGTATTCTGTGATTCTCAACGCGATTAAAATCCGATCATTATTTCATCGTAAGGTCAAGGAGCGGAAATCCTGTATACGATCATTTATTCTGCAGTTGTCCAAGACAGCCAGCCAAGACTTCCGATCCTCTCCGCTCCGATCAACCTGCCACGCGTCGATCATCGTCGATCTCATGGATCTTTGTCTCGGAGGCTCGCCTAGATTTGAGATTTGTTGACCTTTCGTCCGGGAAAGGCGTGAGCGGGACATATCGGCGCATGTCCAGCACTGGTTCGATGCGTCGATTCCAGCTCCGGGGCCAGATCTGCACGCTGGCTTGATGGGTTTAGCACACGTGCTAACCAAGAAGTGGGTACTTGCTTGATCATAGACGACTCCCTTTCAAGTTGTTTCACCGTCTGAATATCCCTTTGACAGTCCACACCGAAACAAATTACTAATTAAACGTGCTAAAAGGCAACTTGCTAAATTGTTAGAGCTGGAACGTTCGAATATTCGCAGTTGCGAATGGAAGCTGGTATTAAGCTTTAGGAACTCTTGAATGTTTCTCTTGAAGATTCTCCGGTGACAGAACGGATTGATTGGTGATGCAAGAGTTACGTCGCAGAATGGACCTGCAACCGTTGCTTACACATACTGTGTGGTGAGAGTCGGCGACCGTGGTTGGAGGACTGTCAGGTGTCCTCATGACCGAATTGCCATTGACTTAACACTCCTGCGAGACACCTCTGTATGATTTTAGACTTGGAGCGTATCGAACACGGGATTGTCGGACGATGCTTGCAAAGCGCCGAAGACGACTGCTGTGCGTAACACATCGCGCAGACCAATATCATAAGTTATTAAGTAAGCAACTTGCGAACCCAAGAACGCCTTGCGTGCTGAAATGCCACTCCACAGTCGGACCGAATAACGAGTTTTCATGTGTCCCACGATGAGCAATCGAGCTACACGATTTTTTGTGATGTTAGAAATAGTGAGTAATTACTGAATAAGCATGGCCTTGTGAAATGTGAAGAGTTGCATTGGTTTACTCATTCAATGCCGGCTGCAGATCTCATGATGAAGTTATAGGATCAGACGTCATCCAATGAGGTACATCGGCTATTTGGTACTGTTTTGCCAAGAAGGTAATTAGGCCTGCCCTCAATCTTATATTCATTTTGGACGGTTGGCTGGTCTACTCGAGGACTAGAATCCCCATCTCTACCTTTTCACGGACTCATCCAAATAATGACAGAAGTTTCGCGCGGCTGCCTCATGTTCTCCAGGTTGCTCAGCGCCCAGTCCACAATATTTACGTGTACCAATGCAACATGTACATGCCGACGAACAGGATTTGTGAACGAGGGTTAAAATTTTCCAACTCTGCTAGTTCACTACATTCTATCTACATCCTCTCACTCTGACTACCACTTGAACTCCCTCGATGCCATACGAAACGTCGTCCCTTACTGAGTCCCCGATGAATACACAGCAAGTGCATCAATTACCGGTTGGCCCGCCTCCAACTCCGACTCCGGTTCCTCAACCTTCACCCCCTTCAACGGCGTTCAATACTCTGGAACTACATATACCAATACCCATCCCGACTCCTCCGACTCCTTTGCCTATCGTTGTTGCGTACCCACTCTCAGAAACGCTGGTGTCTTCTGACCATGGCCATACACCTCAATTTATGTGTGATGTGATCCAGAGAGAGGATTCTGGGCTCGCGCTTGACCCTGTTCCTGCGCCTATGCAAGCACAGAGGTCAGCTGCTGAGCTGACTATGGAATCGGACGAAACCCTCCACGACCCATTAGCGCTAGACAATGATTACGAGCTACTTGAGATGAGCGAGGAGGAACGACTGGATGCCCAGGTATTATTTTTTTGCTTGCTACGTCATCGCTTATGCTGACCTCGAGGTACCGCATCTCTGCGTTTAGACAGTGCGCCTCTTCAGAGCATTAAACGTGCCCCTCAATGTTCACAGGCTCCGCGCAATACGAGCGAAGGGAAAACTGCCTGCGCCGTTCCTCAAGTTCAAATATGGCACTTCCCGAGCAAAACCATCTTCACATGTACCTGTTTTAGGTAAGAGAAATAAAGTTATACTGCTGCTGAATGTACTCAAATCCTCGGTCTCGATATCTGGAATAGATGAACATGCCGATCCTCATGGAAACGAGCCTACTGACATGGAGAGGGTAGAGGGCGAGTCATGGTACCTTCCTTCGGCATCCGCTCGGCGCATGATAAGGCGAAGAACACGTCGAGAACAGCCTACAGAAGAGCACGATGCAAGACGTGTGCACCCTATAGAGATTAATGTGACGAATGATCAGGCGTTACCAGGACCTCGACCAATAATTCACAACATGACTATACTAGACCAGTTTCCTCTTCCACCTACTTCGCCTCCCGTTCCGACACCACAGCCAAATCCATATACAATTCCGCTGCCGCCGACTCCATCTCCATCAATAACTCCGAGTTCCTCGTCCCGGCCACTGGGCTACATGTATGCACCGGCAAAGCCACTTCGTCGAGCTCCGAGTTGCAAGTCTTGCGGTGGTGGCGGCAGCTCACCCGCAAACTCCGTCCCCATCTCATGCGCGTTGACTCCAGTACCGCCACTGGGTAAAGGGCAAGGGCCCGGATGTTATTACGCGTATGACCTGTTAACGCCCTCGCCTGGCGCCATTCCGTATTCTGGCACGGGCTACGCACGATCTGTTTCACCCAAGCGCTCTGCGTCTGTTTCCCCTGTTCCGATTACACCGCAGCACTTCTCTTGAGCGTTTATTCACTTTGATCAGCGGTCCATGGATTGTATTTATGTTTCTTGGGATAGTGTATGATACGACACATTGACATTGCACGGATACTTTAGTCATTGTTTTAATTGCTGATTCATGTTGGACCTTGTATTGACGCGTAGACCTTTTATCATACCTTAGACATCCATCTTACGTAGAGATATCGCAGCCACCGCATAGCCTGTAGTATTTATTCAGGATAACAGTAAAATACATCTACACAAAACGAAAAAGCGGTAATACTTAAACATACATATCATCCCAGTCATCATCATTTGTACCGAGTGGTACTGTAGTAGTAGTAGGTTGAGACTGGTCTTCTTTGGATTTAGAAGAAACCTGATCTTGCGGGTCATTAGTTGCGGGTGCTTTGGTTCGAAGTTGCTCCTTATCCATCTCGTCCAGAACATTCCACACATCATCGTCGTCTTCCCAACCCGACGACGAATTTAGTGTAGTTCTCGAGGCTTCTGGTGTTTTAACAGGAGCGGAAGTCGGGGGCCGGTTTTTCGGTGCAGGCGGTGCTGGAATGGACTCATCCTCAAACGCCCGATCATGCAATTCTGCCCACATAGCGTCATCATCACCATCAAAAGTGAAGTCGCGTCCGGCATTTCCACCCTTCGTCTTCAATGTTGCCGATGTATTCGTAACGGCGGTATTCTCGCGCCTCGTCTCTTCCTCTTGTTGAAGAAGGGCGTCAATGTCAAACGGATCGTCATCCATCGGAACATCACTACCGTGCTCAGATGCGGAACTTGGAGGCCGAGAGACTGGTGGATCAGGAGCCACTGATGAAGCTCTTGAAGAGGAACCGTTGTGAGAAGAGGACGCAGTGTTGGTTTGGCGCGGCCCAAACACGTCATCTGTATCACGCTCTCGTCGGCGTTCGTCGTCGCTATTCTCTCCATTGTCCGAATTCATGTCGATATCCTCATCTTGTGAAAATTTCTTGCCATTGATAGTCCCATTGATTTGATCCCGCCAACCAAGAAGAGCTGACTATAAATGAAATGAGCTTGTATGCATACCGGAATGAGAGTATGCGGCATACATGCATGCGTTTAGAATGACATAGCTTCTCGACGCGATTAACAGTATCGCTGAACTGAGTTTTCGGATACATTTTATGTGCCCAGAATTGATACAACGAGAATAAGCGATTCAAGTCTGCAAGCTAGGACGTCCAATATCACATCAGTAAACCACGCCAGTTTTGAACAGCAGAAAAATGTATGCTTTACCTCATGACCCTTGCCCTTCGGCTTAAAGTCTTTGCACACTTGGACGAGCGCTGGCAGTCCATTCTTGTCCAATAGCCTGTCCTCATTTAGCTTTGGGACCTGACGTTTCTTCGTGGCGCCGGCTTCGTCGGCGGTCCTCGATCCGAACGCTCCATCCTTGTCCCCAGCACCGAACCCGTCGCGCGGAGGCGAACTGGATTGCACAGCATACTGAGCATATGAGCTTTGAGGTGCCTCTTGCTCTGCTCTCGCTTGAGCATCCCGTCGAAGTGCTGCAAGGTCGAAAGGTTTTGACGATTTGGATTGTCTTGGTGCCTCAGGGTCTTCAAGATCATTAAAGAGTGAGTCGATATCTGGCCGAGCTTGATTCGTATGAGAAGGGGATCCCATCCCAGCACGACCATCTTCGTCGTCAGATTCACCGAGAAACAAAGTAGATCGTCGGCGTTTTTTGGGTCGAAACACGTCCTCATCATCATCGTCTCCATCCTCATTGACGACCCCAGTGCCCGAGCCCGCCGGTGGAGGCGAAGGCGGGTTCACCAGTGGCTCAGACCAGATATCATCGAGAGAAACAGACATTGTAGATACGAGACAAGTTGTGCTATGATCCGAGCACGATGGTCGCGAACAAGCAATGAGCTGCAGCACAGACGCGTCGCGACGCGTTCGCAGTTGAGCACGTGATGACTGAGTAATCAAATCGATCGACATTTTTGAAATTTTTTGCTTCCGCTTCATTCTTCGAATACCACTCGGCGGGCCGAGGACTATCGGAGACTAATTGACCAGGTTTTAATTGCATTTTGGGCGCACAGCTCGCATGGCATATAAAACTCGGACGCTTCGCTGCTAAGCCAGACACAGTCACTCTGAATTAGAATCACTTGTCCACTTGACGAACATCTTCCTCTCTGTCCCAATACAATGATTGTTCAACAACTACCGAACGTGAAGGCCGGGATTGACTACTGGAACACACAACCAGCCAACCTCGATGGTGTTCTTGGTACATCCTTCGAGTCAATTCCTTAATATTACAGGATCTAACGAGCCTCTACTTTCTTACAGGTGGATTCGGATCTTGCGTGAGTCCATGCAGGTCTGCTTTATTTCATGCATCATAATCAAGCAAGGATGTCTTCAGGCACTCCCTCGTATTGATGCGCTGTCGTCCCGCCATTTTATCTTGAATTTATTTCCACAGTTATCAACTGTGCCGTCCGCGATTCGTCCATTAAGTGCGCAGCCACTGACGCGTCGAACTCGTGCCCTAGACGTCGGGGCGGGAATTGGCCGGGTCACGTCTACTGTTCTTTTACATCTATTTTCCGATGTCGTTCTCGTTGAGCCCGCGACCCATTTCGTTCAAGAGGCACTTCGCAGTGTTTCAACCGCGTCAAGAACCGATAAGTACGCTGGTGAATGGAAGGGCGTGGCCGATGCAAAGAAGAGTGTAACTGTCGTCCACGGAACGCTTCAAGACCTCGATCCACGAGTATCTCCCGAATCGGGTGGGAATTTGACCGTGCTCGGCCGAGTCGGATACACACCACCAGAAAGCGAACTAGACAAAGAGTCTGGCTTTGATGTAATCTGGTGCCAATGGTGTTTAGGTCATCTGTCGGATGAACAACTTACCGTCTTTCTCAAACTATGCAAGGAATCTCTCCGCTCAAAAACGAAAGGTACAGGCGAATTAGAGGGAGTAATAGTCGTCAAGGAAAACATTTGCTTAGAGAAGGAGCGTGGTGTACCAAGGGTAGAATTCGACACGAACGACAGCACCTTAATAAGGTACGTTATATCTTCTTGCTTTGTGTTGTAATGCTGATTGTCCCGGTTCATCGACCTGATAGGAGTGACCTTGCATGGAAAAACGTCTTCGCCAATGCTGGCCTCATTATAGTGAAGCAGGAATTACAGACAGGCTTTCCACAAGGATTGTATCCCGTGAAAATGTGCGTTTTCCACTTATTGTCCTGTCTATAATTCTTAAGTGCCCTTAGGTATGCTTTACGATAGAATGGATTTAGAATATAGAGTTTACACTACTTATTAACTGGGTTGTGTCATTTCAATTCGTTTTTATCAGTTTAATTGCTTGATCTCTTCACTCCTTAAACGTCCAGATATACCAAGCGTACGGTGTCCTATGCAATTCCAAACAGTATCAGCGCCTGTACTTCTGCTCTGCTCGAGATAAAAAATTATTACTTCTTTTGCTACGAAGCATAGGTTATCGATGCTCGGACACTAGACGTCAACCGGAACGACTGCCTAGCTTAAATACAGCTCTCTCACTCGTTAGCTTATACAGTAAAACTCTCCCTCCTTCTTCTGACCCTGTGTGCAATCAAAGTCAGTCATCGAACTAGGTATCCCAAGGTGTCAGACTAACTTAAGTGCTGGAGACACCACAAAGCAAGTCGAAGGTCATGTCAGCTATCAATTCTCACGCATAGTGGTTTCTCCCTCGTCGACGTCGACCTTCGTTTGGTTGTAAGTCACATTTTCCTCTGCTCCCTTTTACGCTCTCAAATTTGATCGGCAGACGTAGTGTCACTCTCCAGTAGGATCCTCACGCACGGATACCGTTCTCGGGCTCTGCCCGTCTTTGGTGGTCGATGTCGCGACAGTGCTTCAATACTTATAATTTAATTGTGCCTGGCGAGGTGGCTTCTCGAAAACTGTACATTTACAAGGTTATCGAACATCTATGTGTCGGCGAGCACAGGCTATGAAGAAGAGATGTTGATCTAGATGCAATACTTCTACCTCCTTTCACCAAGTCGACATCCTTGTGCTGTGTATGTGTTTGGTGATTTGACAGGCATAGCATTACTGGGAGCCGCACTTCAGCCGTAACTCAATTCTATTCTAAGGCCAATCCTAGACCAAAACGCCGCCTGCCTGCTATTAGGCCTCAGCCATCCGGGGAATCGTGCCGTACCTGAGACAATGTATCAATGGAAGCCTCATCTCGAGTGGGAGCTTCTGCTCTGTCCTATGCGCTGCCACAGTATTATCAGCTATTTATAGCAAAGGTCTCTTAGTGAGGAAAGAAGGAGATTAAAAGCTTCTATACTTTCAAAAGAAAAAATATTGTGCTTATCCATTTTTGAATAGATGAACCCTTTCTAAGAAGGAAGGACAAGTTATAATAGCCGGGTTTTTCCTAGTCAAGGTGAATCTGTATATACATCTGTTAAGGTTGGCTGCAACGATGGCTATCAAGACATTTTTCGACAAAAACAAATAGTGAACGACGAGAACAGCAGCAGCAGAAGGCCAACAGAATTTGTCATTGTTCTTGTTGAATTTCTCGTGGGCCAGTAGTTTTTCAGTTCCACGAGGCATTGTCTTGACATACGTCTTCTGTGCAAAATCATAGCCTTCAAGATGCACTCGAGACTCGAGTGTTATTAAGTAGACACTGAGTTCGAGCGATCAGCATTCCCTTATCGCGACTATATTGGCGTGTTAATGCATGTCATTGCAAAGACCCGTACGTTGTCTCTCTAGATTTAGTAGAGTTTTGTATGCCATCCTGGGAAGATATAGCCACAAATGTCAGTCCCTCAATGCTGCTAAATGCGCGGTTCCTTACACACCTCCCATTAATCGATGTCTGTGCTTTTGCTTGCGAATGAATTCCATCTCTTCGGCCGGGGTAATATCTGGTTATCAACGACTCGAACACTAGATATCAACCAGAATGAATTTGTCCATATTGCAGCCTCTATCCCGTCAATTTCTCTTGAGATTATTTCCACAAGTACCGGCTGTCCCGTTCGCATTTTGTCCCTTGACTGCGCAGCCACTGATACTGCGAACTCGTGCTCTTCACGCTGGCGCTAGAATTGGTCAAGTCACATCTGCTGTTCTGTTACAAATATTTCCGACGACGTCTTCGCCGAGCCCGCGAGCCACTTGTTCAGGAGGCATTTCGCAGCGTCTTAGCCACATCAAGAACTGACGAGTTCGCTAGCGAATGGAGGGGCGTAGCTGATGCAAAGAAAAGCGTAACTATCGGCCACGGAACGCTTCAAAGCCTTGATCCACGGGTATTTCCGGGCCCGGTGGAAATTCGGCCGTACGAGTCGAATACATGCCACCAAAAAGCGAACTGGGTGAAGAATCTAGTTTTGAGGTAATCTGGTGCCAATGATGTTTGGGTCATCTCTCGGACGAACAACTCACGGTCTTTCTTGAACTATGCAAGGAGTCTCTTCGCTCTTGCGAAGGGTACAGGTAAATTGGAGGAAGCCGTGGTCATCAAAGGAAATAATTTACTCAGAGAGGGAGCATGCCGTCCCGGGGGTGTAATTCGACGCTCACGACAATATCTTAATAAGGTGTGCTACATCTTCCTTTTTGCTGAATGTGGTTGTCTCGATACCTGGAATTGATTGTAGTGATAATGCACGGAAAGAGGTTTACATGGATGTTGGCCTCGTAATAACGAAAGAGGAAGTACTGAAAGGCTTTCCACAAGGACTGCATCCCGTGAAAATGCGCGTCCCTAATTACTTCCCGTCCTATACTTTTTGAATGTCTCTAGCCTCGCTTTACGATAAAATGAGTCTAGATTGTCTGCGATTCGTATAATGGTTGGTCGGTCTCATTAGGCTACCTCGCCGACGTACTTATCAGTTTTGTACTGGATGTTCCAGCAGTTCCGGAGATACAAAGCGTACGGTGTCTTAACACACTCCGCATCACATCAATGCCGGTGCCTCCGCTCGATTCAAGGCAACTTATCACTTCTTTCGGCATAATATCTGGTTACCAACGCTCGGACACTAGAAATCAACCGGAATGACGAACTGCTTAAGTACCGATATCCAAGATCTTCCCTCTGACCTCCAACCCTGCGACACCTCCCCTCTGCTAGACCCTGTGCCAGTGTGTATTCAACGGCCACTCTTGAGCTGGATATCCTGAGATCTTGGACTGAGCTATGGAGAGGCTAATTCACGAGCCTGTCAGTCATCCATTCTCACGCAGAACGTTAATCTCGTTGGTGACCGTCATTTGTGCGTGAGTAATACTTACCTCTGCTCGCTTTGCCACTCTCAGAAATTGATCGGGCGTACCATCATTCACCAGAAAGTTCTTCACGTGAATTGTTCAATCTGCCTGTTCCCAGCTCCATCCCATTTTCGGGATCATTGTTCTGGCAGTGCATTGGTATCAATGAAGACGCCACACTCGGCGAGGTGGCTCCTTGAAATCTGTACATTTACAAAGTTATAGAACGTCTGTCCGGCGGGCGTAGGCTATGGAGAAGAGATGGAGATCCGGTTGCAACGGCTAGGGGCTCTTTTGTCCAAGTCGACATTCTTGTGCCGCGAACGCATTTGGTGGTTTGACAGATATGGTACTACTTTTGGCCGCATTGAAGCCTCATCTGCACAATCATGTTTACTGGAGCTTGATTCTGTCTCAACAACTAAATCCCGCTGTGCTCGATTTTGGGTTCGTAACCATTCAGACTGTAGTGCCATACTCGAGACAATGTATCAAAGGAAACATCGTGCCGAGTGATGGCTTCTCCTTTGACTTGTGCTTCCGCGGCGTTCCCAAACCTCTTATGGAAAGGATCATTGCCATTTTGATCCATCCAGGTGAAATGTAATGCACGCATCCTCCCTATTTATCAGTAGCAGCTTTCAACCTAACTGTGTCGAATCAGGTGATTCTACTACGCGTGGGCCATTGGCAGTCCTAGGCAAGTCTCGAGTCAAGCAAAGCGATTCAAAATATGAACGTATGTTCCGGGGTATATTATGCACAGATTTTTCATGTTTTATTAGTGCGTATCAATGTTATCCCAATATTGGCACTGCTCTGTTTCGATTTAACGCAGTCCCGGTTCTGACTTCAGACCCTGGAACATGGCGAATTGTGCGAGCCCGCTCGTCCAACCCGTATTTTTTTTCGGATATTGAGATATTGCTCGCTCGAAAATCAAAATGCATTCAAAGCTGATCCGTATTACATACAAGGCATCGAGTTCGTGTTGCAATTTTCACCAACTGGTTTTGTTAGAGTGGCTTAGAACGCGCACCAAAAGGTAAGGATACAATTAGCAAAGGTATGTTCAAGATTACGACTGGTCCATTCTAGCTACATTTGACGTATTTGAGGCGATGCATCGCAATCATCATGTCTGGCGGATTCCACTCTAGCAGTCTCACCCTGTCCAATTTATCGCGGTTATTATGGGTAAATCTTGGTGAGAATTCAGGAACGAGAGTCTGAGGCTTTACCCAAGGCTCGCACATTCCGAACCTCCGCTTGTCCAAACACAGCATGATGGGCGGCTCCTTCTTTTGAGGCATTTGGCGCTAATGTGATCGAGGACGCTGATTCATCTGGGCCGAATTCCCGTGTTGCGAATCCATCAATATCTAATATGCGAATTCCCTTTGTCCACTTCGTTAAACAGAGTCTGGAGCACTGGTTTACAATGGCTCATGCCAAGCGATGGCATCTTGAAACGATAGGCTTGACATTCTGAGTGCCATACCCCGTCTGGATTATCTAGCTCGAACTGTTTAGGAGCTAACAACTATTACAGCCGACGACGGTTCTTCTGCTCGCACTGACCCTTGCAAATATTTCCTAATACCTATGACGAAAATCAATCTTGTTGCTTTAATGCTTCTGCTCGTGGTTCCATTAGGCAGCCATACTCTTCTGTACTCCCAATGATTCTCGCGATGAAGCTTCTTGCGATGCAGTCCATCACGCTCTCGCCTACTTTCTTCGGCCTTCGATCCATGTAACGTGCCATTCGAAGCAAACCTAAAACTCATCTGGATGGCATCGGAGTCGATTTCTGTTGTGGAGAAAACCTTCTCTACAAGGATGTGGTCTTCCCCATAAAGAAGTTTCCATAATCCAGTCAATATAAAAGTCCATCGCGATATCGAAGACTGCTCACCACTATTTCATCGACTTTTCTCTTGCCTTGGAATGTCTGCAGAGCCTCGTGAAGCCATGTCAATGACTGGACATAATGAGCGAGTAAAGAAAAGAAGGCGTAACAGGCAACCGTGTTTCGCTTGTGCCAGCAAGAGGACGAGGGCAAGTTATTCTACTGGGGCTGGGGAAATTGTTGCTAGTTGCTTACTTTTCCGCAGTGTACGCCGGTTGCTGTAGGCCTCTGCGAAAAGTGCCGCAAAAACGGTCGAAGTACCTGCCTGCCCCACGTTCCATGGCAAGAAACTCTGAGAGCGGCGACCCAATATGGAAGCATACCACATGTACGCATACTTGTTATTTACTACCACCCAACCTCGACTCAATGTGCCGCAGCTTCCATCTCAGATCACTAGCTCATCCAACACTGGCCCATCATTGCTTCAAGTTGCTCCGGGTCACCCACCTCAAACAAGTGTCAATTGTGGACAATACAATTTCAGCGCGACCGCACTTCAGCATGGGTAAGCTGGAAGACGTTTTTTATTACTTCACGAGTACTGATATTGGAGCGCGTTACGCAGGTACCCAGTCTCAAGCCCGAACACGATGTCGGTCGACATTCATAGAGTCGGCTTCTATCCGCCTGAGGTCCCACAAACGCACATGGCAGCACAGCAAGGCATTTATGCATCAGCACCGCCTATGAACTCAAATATATCCAGCCAGAGCAACGTATAGTGGGTCCACCCAGCTGACGGATGACGCTCGCATGTACTAACTGAAAACAATGATTCTAGTTTACAACAGTTTTATCCATCACCAGGGCTCTGTACCCCACCCTCAACCTCATCTAACAGCAACTCTAGCAATGCCAATTCGCTATCACCAACCCTCTCAGGGTATTATTCACCCAGTGACTACGCTGCAAGTATGAGGCCTTATGACTATGCACCGGGTGCAAATATTGGCGAACTTTCGTCTAAATTCACTTACGGCTCGATGTATTGATCGATTTAAAAGGAAGCCTCACACTTCCTCAAGCCCTTGTGAATTGGCTTCGTAGAATATAAGACGGTCTATCGTTTTGTATTCAATTTTCTTCGCTTCCCCCCCTGTCATATAGAGGGAGCTGTCTAGCACAGCACCGCGCTTCCTCCTTATTTTTCTGTTCCGCCTCTTTTGCTGTACAGTGGATCTTGCGACCTAGTACTTTACCTTGAAATCGTGGGACTATATTTCTTATTCCTTTCGGATTTCCATGGAAGATTATTTGCACCATGCACTTTGTCACTTGTTATTGTCGTTTGCTTTCCCTCGCACCCCTCCTTGCCTCCACTGTATAATACCCACCTTGGTTAGTCTGATTAATGCTAAAATTAGTTTTTGGGCTGTGTCTTTGTCGGATAGAACGTCCCGTAAAGCCGATTGACGCTGTCGTACTCAGATACAGTTGAAAATATCTTATTGCATAACGTCGGGAGAGGCCTCAGACCTATGCAATATGAGCAATATGCATTATGGTAACCGTGTGAAAACATTATTTAATTAGGAACCCAACATTCGATATTACTTTTCAATTTATTTGAAGACATATACACTATGACAAGAAAATAAGCACATATTTAGAGCATCAAGAAAGACAACCAAGACAATGACAAGTACAGTAAACATGTATATTACTGTAAAACTCAAGGAATAGTTTGTAATACAAGGAAATACAGTCAGAATCTGTAGAAACAAAAAGATAGAAAAAGCTAGTCAATACAAATAACTTTCCCCCACATATCATGAAGAGATCTTTGCTGCCCTATCTTGGTCTTGTGGCAGCATCAAAGACATTGTAAGCAATGAAATGTCAATCAGAAACATTCTTTTTGTATTGAAGTACGTCAGAGAACAATATGTGAGGCTTCTGGGTACAAAAATCACAACAGTAAGCAGTCTAATTTCCCAAAATGCTCAGAATTTTGCATAATTTTCTCACAAATCTTGATGCAATATGCAATAGACTATTTTTGTGCATAATTCCCTTATCCCAAGCTGGGATTAGGCAGAAAGCTATGCAATATTCAATTTATGCATTATAATGTGATGCAATAAGGTATTTTCAACTGTAGCTTGATCTTCTCGAAGTGCAGTGCCCGATCTCGAGTTCAAATCCACGAGATCAACTCGATCAATTCCGTAGGCGGGTTGAACAGAAGTATGCGTTCAGAATCATTGAATAGGGTCACTTGTCTCCGACCAATATGTCATACACAAGCTACAGATGCCGAACCAGGAGAAGAGATAGCAATCATGCGGACGAATAATTAATCTACGATGCTTGATGGGGACAAACAAAAAACGGAAGAAATTGGGGACATCCAACTCAGAAGTTATCCAAATTAACTCCATCCGCCACCTGACCAACCACCTGCACTGCCTGAATTCTGAACCACCGTCGTTCGAGCAGGGTTCAGCCCAGAGGCTTGAGGCGCCTGTTGATTCGGGAACCCTCCAGGCCGCGGCGTCTGGAAGCCAAAGCCCGCGGATGCACCATAATTCGATGAAGCGCCAGGAGGTGCAGAGTAAGGATTCGGAGTCTGTGCCGGTTGTCGTACAGACATATGCCCAGGCGTCATGTATCCTGCGGGCCTGCCTGGTGTTCGTCCCGGAGTCATACGGCCTGCACCGTAAGGTGTCTTGTTACCAGCAGCACCTCCACCGGCCGCGGCATTTTGGGACTCATGCAGGTATCTAACAGGCAAATGATGAGCAAGCGGTGACTTAAATAGGAGTTTTAAATTACACTTACCGAACTTTGAATGCATTGCACAGCTCAGCAACACCGGCCGCAGCAGCGTCAAACAAGTAGTACGCCTCAGGAGCTACGCGAACAGGCTAGGTAATATTGTTAACTTTAGTCTTATCGTAATCATCATTTACCTACCCATGTCTGAATTGACGAACCCTTCTTGGGAAGGAAAGACAAGTTGAAATGGCCAGGTTTCTTCCTATTTAAGGTGAATCCATATATGCTCTTGTTCGGATTGGCCGCGACGAAGCTTATCAAGAATTTCTCTGAACAAGGGTAAGTAAGAGAGTGCAGAACAAAGTATTAGCGGGAGGCATACGGAGTTCGTCGTCATCCTTCTTGAATTTCTCGTGAGCCATGAGTTCTTCAACTCGTCGCGACATCGCCTTTACATGGTTAACAATCAGTTCATCGAGATCGGCAAACTCATATTTCCCGTCCACAATAAGTTGACCACCAAGCGTCTGACCCGAAGGATCGGCGTTGGGCTCGACGACGTCTAGAGACTCATCAGACATAGTTTGAAAACAACTTAGCTATGTTCCTTACCGATGTGCTGATACAGATTGTCAGCGACTTTCCAGGTCACTGCCAAGTGGTTCAATCCCTTAGAAGATGGTCGAATCACCACGTCGCCCGGATGTTGCTTATCCAAAAACGTCTCTGCCTGAGCAGAATTGAAGTTTTGGAAGTTGGGATGCTTAATAACTCGACGCGTGCGGTCGACCTCTGCACGCTTCTTGCGCTGCTGTACATCATAGTCACGTTCGGCCTGGGTGACATTCCAGTACTCGTCTGGCTTCCAGCGTCGGAACTGCGCATCACCGACGGCGACATCCGATGGTCGAGACGAAAGCTCAATGCTAAACTGATCCTTGACCAGGTCTGATTTAACATCAATAATGACACCTGGAAGAGTCTGCCCTTTCTTGACGGAGACTGTCCCGTCGTCTGACTGATACATTCCATTAATGATGCCTTCGATGCCCGAATCCAATTTTACGACCGCAAAGCCTTCCGTTAGCCGTATCACAAGAACGGAGACGATCAACCCAACACGCAGAGTACGCTCCGTTTCACCCGTCAACATAGTAAGCACTTCTGAGGCCTCAGGAAGGACGAACTTCGGTCGAAGTTCCCCAAACGGTCGAATGAGTTCCGCACGAATGACATTCAATGTATGTCGCTTGAGTTCGCCACTCGTTTCCTCCATGCTTATCGCGAAATCGTCGAGGTTGAGCTCATCAAGCTTCCTGACGTTGTCTGAGTCCTTCATGATTTGGCCGACAACATTCGAAGGATGTTCGTCATGGACATCTTCCTCATCGAGTTCTAGAGCATCAGTGGCCATCTTCCGAGCCAAGTCATAGTCCTCAGGATGTACTCGAGTGTCATCAAGTGGATCCGGATAGTTCGAGTAATCAGCGTTCGCCCCACCACGACTCTTAGGTTCTTTATACTCCGGGTCTTGTGCTATGCGAAGGAAACCAGCAGCATTCAGGAAAATGCGCATAGTTAAAATACCCGATTTGACGAATTGCTCGCGATTAACCAGGTTACCACCCTACGAAGAAAATGAAGCGATATGCATAGTTCGAACACGGTAAAACTTACCAAAGATACAATCTTCTTGATGAGAGCTTGAGCTTTGCGAGGGCCCAGTCCAGCAACGTATGGAAGCAAGGTAGCATAATAGGGATCATTGACAGCCCGATTGATATCTACCCCGACTTTATTGACAACATCGACTAAGACGCGCTCAAAGGCCGACAACAACTTCTCAGTCGGAATCTGAGGACATAAGTCAGATACTCATCCATGCCTACATTCTGGTCACTTACAAGAGGTTGTACTGCGTCGTCGAATGTTATGGCAGTCAGATCTCCTCCCAATGCAGCGAACTCGTTTAGAGGGCTCTGCGCATAACGCGCCAGACCAACACAATACCTCGCGACTAGAGGCAAGTGCGGGAACTCTTCAGTCGCACGTTTGCTATGTTGATACAAACGCGCGACCTCGTCCTGAACGTAGATCACCGGAATGTTCAACGCCTGATCATTCGATACGTCATCCATGAATGAACTTTCATTGGGTCTGAGAATCTCGATATCGTGTGGGTTCAGAGCCATCTTGACATGGTGGGACAAGGTGGCCGTGTTAATTGACAGCCCACCGATTACAACCACATCTGGTCTTCGTCGTTTCACGAGGTCCCTGAACTCATCCCTATTTTTCGAATCCAGTAAATTATCGATCTGTGAATGTTCTCGAAGACGACCTGCTTCGTCGAGAAAAACCAAGTTGATTTCATCTCTCTTCGGGTCGCCTTTGCCCCATGATACAGCAAGAACGGATGCTTGTTCACCCTCGTGTAAGTCAGGAGGATGATAGGGTGCCATATTTACCCTCTGTTCCAATACGGTTAGCAGAGTCATGATACAGAGGAAATCAATAACGCACCTCATGCAGAGCATCAGCACAACTCTTCGCTAGATAGTCCTCGACCTCCTCGCGAATGAATTCCCGAACCCACTTCGCACCCATGGGAATGAGGTGCTTCTCGACGGCATCTTCGACAACGAGAGCGCGTTCTTCATTCCAGACCTTCGCCATTTCACTGAAACTGTCAGATGTGAACGCTTCCACCAGTTGGTTCACAAGTCGCTGTCGAACATCACTCGGGAGGGAAATAGTAACTGTCACCAAGTGCTGTGATTCCGCCTCAAGTATATTGAGGAACTGCGTCGATTGCAGCATTTCCTCGATCGGTTTGTTATAAAGATACTTGAATACCTAGACACTCGTTTAATTCCCAGTCGAATGAAACAAGAAAATTTGACAAACATAGTATACGTGATGGTCGTCGATTTTTGTCTTCCCTCGGTCCGTCGGCAATATGGAGATTTGTGCGTGGTTCTTGAACGTATCCCTGACGTGTCTTCGCAATAAGGGATCAATTCCCAGCTCCGTTGCTATGATCATCCTGGCCTGACGAAGTAGATCCTCCGCTGGAAGGGCCTTAGACGGGTCCGGGTCAGCATATTGCTCTGCAAACGCAGCAGGCGACAGATCTTTGTCCTCAACGAAGTGGACATTATGACCAGCAGACATGAAGTTCACAACAATTTCATGCGACTTTATCCCATAGCCCTAGTTGTACCGTGCTTAGAGCTAGTTTGATATAAGAATTCAGAAAGACTGGGGCGCACCTCCGCGATTCTAGAAATAATACTTTTTTTAGCAACTTCGTATGCAGACATTCGACTTGGAAGCTTATGCTTCCTCGTTTCTGCCTGCTCTTCCTCGTCCCTGAACGGGGACACGAGCGTGCTTTTCTTTTTGTTGTCCTTATACTTCGTCCCAAGCCATTGCGTCACGTCCGCTACGACCTCCACACTATCCATGTTCGGCACTAACTGACCCTCATAGTACTCATCATGGGCATCAATATTTTCGTAGATGCGCTGCAAGGCTTTCTTCCTCTGGCATAAAGAGCGAAACTTCTGTCCAAGAGCATATATTCGCCACAGATCGTCCTGGTTTAGGAGCTCTACGCGTGGTGCATGTGTATCTTGAGGGTTGAAGTAAGAGATGAAATCCCGTCGGTGTGCGTAGATATATGGAACCTCTAGGAACTGTACGAGCAAGAATTCCAAGGCACGGGTAACGGCTCCAACGAGTTTTTCAAGAAGGTAATGGAATTTTCCATTCGGCTTGAAAAAGTCACGTTCCTTCGCTCCCCCGAGACGCGGTGTGACCCAAGAAGCAGCATCAACACACTCTGCGGGAGTGAGTGCTTCCGGGAATGTAATACTGGCATTCGATGACAAGGTGGAAGTACCAAGCTGCATACGTTCGGGATAATCTTGAGCACGAATGAGGTCATCATCCTCCGTAAGTAGTCGTGCTTTTATTTCAGACGGCTCAAAGACCTGAGAATACCAGTAATTAGTAAACAAACAAGGTGCACATAATACGCAACAGCTTACATCCTGATACTTCATCTCTGGCTTGCCGGCTTCCTCCGCCATGATTTCCTCTTCATCATCCACCAACGCCCAATCATAATCATGACCGTCTCCAAAGACGTCATGAATCTCGTCCCAAGTACTACACTGTGTCAGCCCGGGATAGTTAAGACCAACTCCAAGGGTACAAACCTTGCATCAATGCCCGTAAGTTCTGGTCGATTTCTCAAGGCTTTTCTGCGTTCCTTCTCAAGACGCCTCCTCTCTCTCCTGCGCTCCTCGCGCTCTTCTTCAGCCATAGCACCTGCACCCTCCTCTTCATCTTCTTCGTCATCAATAAAGTCGTCCATATCCATCTCATCATCATCGTCACGTCCACCAGCGCGGTCGTCGTCCCAAATGTTTTGAATATCATGGATCTCTTGGGCCCCAATGATGTTCGCCTCGTCCAGGTCGTCATCGGATGACTCAACAATACCTTTCCGGCGCGAACCATCACCGCTTTCATCAGAATCACGGCCACGGCGCAGCCGCGTAAGATGTCGTGAGCGGATGCGTCCACCCGTGTTTTCCTCAAGAAGCTCTAGATCCTCTTCATCGAGATCCTCGTCCTCATCGGGTTCACCTGAATAGTACATCGGCAGTATGCCATTAGAAAACCATGGTTTTGCGTATCCCGCGAAGTGTACTCACGTTTACGGTGTTTATGCCTGTGTTTGTGCTTTCGACGTTTCTTCGAACGCCGACGCTCTTCTTCGTCATCTTCTTCGTCGTCTCCTTCCTCCTCCTCATCTTCATCCACAATGAAACCTTCTCGAACGCGTCGAGCAGCTTCCTCGTCTTCTTCCTCCTCCTCCGAACTGTCATCCGAGATGGCCTTGCCCTGCTCAATTTCCTCGCCTTCACCTTCCTCATCTTCGTCTTCCCCAGCATTCACACCCTTCGCAACGCCATTCACAGGCGAATGTATTTGCACATCCTCCTCAGGCAGAGGACGGGTATCCAGGTTCATGTCGTCGTCGACGTACGACATGGCGGTAAGAGAGCAAGAACACAAGCAGCTCTCCGTAACGCACGTTAAGGAACCGTTGGCTTTGGCTATACTTTCCCACAAAGAAGCAAGTATCGCTTACAAAGCTATTCTAAATTTAGACAAACAAGGACCTTTGTTTCTTCGTAAGAGTGGCTCGTCTCAAAGTAGTATAGTTATTCAAGTTATAGGTCAAACAAAGCATAATACTAATATTTCGTAGAGCAAGGAGACGCGCATTTTTTTACCATCAAGCTCTGGACTTACCCCTTTGGAAATTCATCATCATACTGTTTTAGGTTTATTCAAGAAAAATAATTTTGATGAGCCATTTCAGCTGGCTAACATGACTGACATCCGCAGTCTGAACTAATCCGGATACATATGTTATTTTTTTGCATTTTAAATGCTGATTGTATCCGTACTAAATCCGGTTCCCGAGATTTCCCGTAAAGAGGAACGCACGAAACCATATGGTTATGTAATACTTGCGACGTCATAACGATGAGTTGTTTGAAACTTGGGCTTTGCTTGAAGTAAAATTAATTAAAAAAGGGCCTACGATGTAAGGAGAGATAAGTTAGAGCATGCAAAAATCGTCATCCCCTGTCCTATTTTGTGCGAAGCGTCTCGCGCAGACGCATTGATCTTCAACTACGCTCATGAACAGTCTTGTCTCCACTTGATTGCCCGCTTCTATCTACTCCTCGACCCTTGTCCACCCACCCAATAACTTCACGCATCCGATGCACGTCCAATACACCTTCAATTGAATCATCCTCAATAGCGTGTATAATCGCCTCAGCAACATGGTCGACATGAATCGGCGGTACGGTCAACGCGTTTGCAATTGAGGAAAGTGGTGATGGAGCTAGAGAGCCCGGAGTCAAGTCAGCTTGGTTATCATCTGGAGACGATTTTCGAGAAGCGGATGATGACGAAGAGATCGCTCGGAGAATAGTTGCAGGTGTCGGTACATCATCTGGTACACTACGATGTACGGTTGCCGATAAGTCGAGTAATGTTGCTATGGGTGTCGTTAATGGGCGGAAATGCGAGTGATAAACGAGACCTGTCATAGGGTAAAGGTCAGCACTATTTCTTTCATGCTAGATTGCTGAATAAACGCGTACTTGGTCGCACAAACACAGATCGTAAGTCTGGTTTATCACTTAACATCCCTGCAATACCACGCTCCGCATCGCGCTTCGTCTCGATGTAGCGTGAAGGAACTACTGGTCGAAAGATATCCTCTGCCGAAAGGTAGATGAATGAGCGCCTTCGTCCCTGCTGCTGCTGAGTGGTCTCTGGAGGAGCACTGGTGGTAAATGTGGAGCAGACGGTCAGAGCTATTATTCGTTAAAGCACGATTATTAGATTTCAGTGATGAACTTGAAGGGGAGGGAACACGAACCTGAACCGCGATTTATCCTCTCGTACTCTCCTCCACCTTCATCAAGCGGATTCCGTCCACCTCCAAATATCGAACTCGAAACACCACTAATCACAGCACCTGCGAATGCCAACGGATCACTTCTTCTCAACGCCTGCTTATATCCTCCTTCACTACTCCCACTTTCGAACAACACGCCTAGCGTATGTACAACCGCCGTTTTCCCATCTAGCAAACGGGTATAATCGTGTGGTCGTAAGGCATCTCCAGCACACCATTGGACACGTTCTGTCCACGCCGGTGAATGTCCCTTTGGTGTACGAAATGGTCGTCCAGAGGAACTGAGACTCGTCACTCGCATTCCGCGTGCGAGAGCGGCTTTGCATACTGCTGAGCCTATTTCATTCGAACGTCGTCAAACCGCGGTATCCATGATGCAAGGGAGAATTTGCGCATTCCAAACGCGTCCATTCCGGAACACATGAAGCACATTATAGAGAGAGAAAAATAGCCAAATTATTATTAGAGCAGTGCATCTCATGAATGACAAGAGGGCGTACCAATGAATCCATTCCCTCCAACGACGAGGATATTCTGCATGACTGTGCTTACTTTATCCTGACGCGAGCCTGAATTTTATTTATTATAAAGTATAGTTCACGTCAGAAAGCAGTCTGTCTTCTTGGAGGCTTCGCGTTGCAGCTTTGATACTAGTAATAGTCTATAGTCATCTAGGTTGGAGAGGTTGACGAATGTAGATTCCGAAAGAGCCGAGTTTCGGATGCATCTCCATTGTTTTCGTCGATCCGGCTGAGTCCGGGCTATAAACCTTTATTCAATTCAATAAACTTTATTGAAATTGTTATTCAATGCAAGGGACACATTATAACTGATAAACAAGTCATCTTGTAATAAACCACAAATAGTTTTTTTACATGGATGAAGCAGAACGGACGTTATGCTCACATTCACAGAAGCCATGTTACTTTCGAGTGACAACTTTTTTTATTTGCACACACCAGATGTGTCGTACAAATTCAAGCATAGGAATCTCGCAATAGGTACAAAGCCATTATTACCATTCACATTCACGCAAATCGCAGTTTGCACTTTATTTTGAGCAATTGGAATCGCATTTATTTGTTACACGACCGACACAGGACCACAGGTCTCGCTAGCGCGTAACCTTCAAGAAAGGCAGGGCACAACAGATACATCAAGTAGAGAGGTGAGAAAGGCAGGAACGCAACTCGGCAGCGCATGCGCATGAATTCGTAGATAGGGACATGTCCCTTATTTACACCTTGCGCAACAAGGCGCATTGAGGAAAGAAGTGTACGGACAGCTCGCACCGTACGAAGGAGAATTGGAGAGCAAATTGACCAAAAATGAAATAGAGCAAAAAACCCGGAACAGGAAGGAAAGTGGGGGAAAGGCGAGGAGGGAAGCAATCGAAAGCTCGAAGGTTCTAGACAAATTCCCAGGAGATAGGGACAATGCCGGTCGAGGGGTCGGCGATCTGGTCAAACGCGCCCGTGCTGAGATCGATGCTGTTCCCATTCTCACACGTCGGGCAGGCATCCACGATCTTCACGGTGACCTGCTTGTTGTTATCCGTGTTCGTGATCTTCACCATTTTCCCGCAAAGATCAGAGACAACGCCAGTGTCACCGTAGCGCTGAGCGTCAATCGCGGCGATGAGCGCTGAATCGTCGAACACCTCATATCCGCACGCTCCCTGGTTACCATTCTGGAGGTAGAAAGTAGCGAAGCCACCGGTATTGACATTACCCGAGGATGACGATGTGGGTGATGATTTAGCAGAGGACGACGTCTTAGTGCTCGATGCCTGGGAAGAGCTCTTTGAAGAGGAGGGTTGGGCGGGAGATGGCGCAGGTGTCGACTTAGGTTCGGGAGCCTTGGTGGAAGACGGCACCGAGACGGCGGATGAGTTATTGTCATCACCATCGTCCTCGCAGTCCTCGTCGTCATCGTCATCTCCATCATCCTCGTCATCAGCATCACAAGAATCGTCGCCAGATGAGACGTTCGAAACGGGAGTGGGAGACGAAGCACCAGAAGCTGATGCAGTCACCGAGGTCGGAGGTTCATCATCCGGGGTAGTAACGGTCGAAGTAGGCTCGGCAAGGGAAGCAGACGCAGACGCAGATGCCGAGGGAATGCACTGGGGTGGGCGAGCCGTTTCAAGAGTCTCGTCTTTCTGGATAAGTAAATGCAGTTGCCTGTCAGGGAACCGAACTGAGTCGCTTGTCATGACATAGATCACTGACCTTGAGCGGATGGCAGCATTGGTCAAAGAACGCCTGGCCATGGAAGTTCTGGCAGCCAAGCGCGAGGTAACGAGTGTGATACGCATTGTAATCCTCGAGACCTTCGGTCCACCATCCCGCTGGAGGAGACTTACGGGGAACAACGCGCGCGGATACGGCCGCAGCAACTGCGATAACGGTGAAAACTGCCTTGGTAGAAACGAACATTATGTCTTTCGCTTGCGCTTAACGATAGAACTTGCAAGAGAGTGTATGATCGGGTCGTTCAGTGAGAAGTACCGATGAAAGGACAGTAAGTGCAAGAGAGCGACTACTTGAAGGAAAGCTAGGAAGGAATGCGCTGGCAGGGAATGACGCTTATTAGTGCGAAGACCGTACGAAAGCAAAGAGAAGAGGCACAAGCACTCACCAAAGAAGGGGCGCAGTAGGGAAGGGGGTAGATGGATGGGAGAAAGAAAAGGTGGGAAAACACCAGGGAGGACAGCCTGCGCGGGAGCCGTATTTGTATGCGCTCCTAAAATTAGATGTTCCATAATCGGACATCAAATTACGGACACACGTGCCCATCATGCACTGAAACGATGCATCCCTTCTTCTCTGTTCTCGCGGTGGTCTTCAATTTCCGCGCTGGACGTAGGACAGCAGTTGCGCCGTCATCGTCGTTGAGCCCGCCCACGTCCTTCTGCATGCAAGATGGCTGTCTTGATGTTTACTTGCTCGGCACACCTGTAACTTGCTCGTTGACATGCTATCAGTTGAAGGGAGCAAATGGAGATGATTTCGACCTGAAGATCGCACTGGCGCCGAGTCGCCGACTGAGCGGCCTAGGAAATATCAATTTAATTGATTCCCACATCGGTCGGAGGCACGGCGTAACGGAAAGCCCGATCAATCTCTAAAGACCGCAGTATGATTATGTAATAAACGTTGTCACAGTCATTCTCAGCGTCACATGGGCACGTTGTCACGGACACGAAGGCATCTGGTCGTTGCTCAGCGCGCTCAGCAGACACTCACACTACTCGTTCATCTTACCACGACGCCCAAATGAGTAAGCACGATATTACTATCACTCTTTTGCAAGCGTAAGCTTACATTCTGTTGTCTCGGCAGATAACGCGCCACTAGAGAACCCGTTCGCGTCAACTCACTCGCTCGACGAGAACCCTTTCGACCATCCGGACGACCAGGCTGCAGCGCCGGCACAAGATGCATCAGTTGCAGCTAGGGAAGCAGAGCTGAACCGACGTGCTCAGGAACTCGATGCGCGACAGCGGGATCTGGAACGACAACAGCAAAATATGCGACCAAGGAAGAACAACTGGCCGTTCTGTACGGAATTTCGGACTTATTCTTGCGCATCATGACATCGTGCTGAACTCATGTTTATTAGTCTTTCCTCTGATATATCACGAAATCTCAGACGAAATTCCGACCGACTCTCAGCCCCTAATGTACCACTTGTATTATCTCTGGCTCATCCTTGGAGCTACTCTCATCGTCAATATGATCGCCTGCATATTCATTCTACTTGCCGGTTCAAGTGATGGTGGACGAGATCTTGGCTCCAGCATAGGGTACGCGATGTCATTGGTGTCATTGAGTAACATCTGAATACACCACATTCACGCTGTTTGACAGGTACATTTTCGTTATTGGCATTCTGTCTTTCCTTTTGTGGTACAGGTAGAAGTCGCATTCTTCTCTTCGCCTTACCTCTTACTAGTACTAATGTACTTTTAAGACCAATATATAACGCGTACATGAAGGTACAGTGCTCCCCTCCCGTTTCTTGAGACGCAAATTAACTGTCTGTTCAGGAACAAGCACTTTACTACTGTGCGTCATATCTCTGCGCAAAACCATAACGTCTTATCCAGACTAAACTCCCTTCGTAGACTTCTTTTTCTTTTTCTGTGGTTGGCACCTTGTATTTTCAATCTACATGTACGTTCTTTCCATCTATTCTGTGAACGCGTCTGACGCTTGTTTCCAGGATACTAGGCATCCCAGGGTCTGTCCATTTTACTTCCTTTACAGGCCCAGTTTTACTGACATATTTTTGTGAATTTCCTTATGGCCTGCCTTCCCCCGCTCAAATAGGACGGGCTCCGCTGGGTTCATTCAGATGATCCAGATGTACGTGAATGGTCATATTGCTGCCGGTGTATTCGGAACGATCGCGACGCTTGGATGGACTGTCCAAGGTCTTGGAAATGCTTTCTACTATCAACAGGTGCGTGTCTACCCATTTGTATATTCGGTATCTGGTATCACTACTCACGCGTCAATGTTCCATTTTAGATCTGGAAGCACCACAATGCGCAAGGACATACCCTGGATAATGTATGTCTAGACCTTGTAAACCGTAACATCACTTCTGTGACTAATGAGTCAATTGTGATAATAGGCAAAGACAGAGCTCGCGACTCACTGGGCCAAACGCCAGCTCTTTGGTAGCAAGCAGTCTTCGTCAACAACGAACTAGAACTACTTGCATGATCTCTCGATTTTCTCATCACTCTCCGCATTCTGACGTTCGATTTTCTCAATCTGACTTGGCCCCCACCCCCGTTTGAGCTACGTCTCCGTGTATATACAATATGTGATGCAATGGGGAGACGACGGGCTGACAGGGAAGGCCGATGCGTTTTTTTCATGACGTACCACTGATGGACATTTTCGTATCTTATCTTTGTTGTGTTGGTACTTATGCAATACCATTATTAACGACTTCGTTCTTGCATGGAGAAAAATACTTGCACAGTAATGCAATATACCAAACAATACTAATTCCAATGCATAAGTACTCATCGATGACGTCTAGCAAGATTACTATTGAATCCCAGACACTCACAATACTGATTCGAGTGCATAAGTACTTGTCAGTGTCATTCAACTAGGCAAAAAGCCATTCAAAAAAAAATCTGCCAACAGTGAATAACCAAGGCTCTGTAATTATGCTGTATTATGGACAGCTTCTGGAGCAGTCTTGCTAGATCCGAGTACCAGTAAGTCACTACATATTAACGGGTATAATAACGACAATACGTTGAAGGCTACAAAGTCTACGGTCTACAATCATTTGTGAATCATTACATTGGTCCATGCGATTCCGTGCCACAAATTCTGCCAATCGATTATTACAGGCTCAGGCTGTGGACTTTTGAGTGGAATGTAAGTAACAACATGATCAAGTCATTGGAATTACATTCAGAATTGAATCTCCGTTATCTCCTCTCATTATTTAGCTTTGAAGAGCGGATAAATCCGACTACCACTGCCACAATCACGATATTGCGAGTCGCTTGTCTCCCTCTTATCTCCTGCTGTTAGCCATTGCAATCCATCATGACTTCGACGCACGCTAGCTCAAATTCTGTTACGAATGATATTAATGACAGTCGGTGAGCGAGTCATGCATATTGGGAGAAGGTCAATTCTGAGCTCGACCAACGATGCAGGTTTCTCTACTTGAAGGGTAAGTAAAGCTATCGTCGGTGCTGTCAGACACTCATTATAACTGTTTTCATAGAGATTACGGTCGACTTCACTCGAACACGTCCAAACTGCAAACTTCAAATCAAGCTCAAAGATGAAATGAAGACGTGGTACGAATCGAAGGTATTCGGTGAAACAGAAACTCTACAGTGGAACTGCGAAATGTATAGAGTCCCGACCCATATATTGTTGGCCGCGCTAATCAACTGTGTTTATGAGATATATAAAATCCCCGAGCATGGCTATGGTGCAACTCCAAAGCTCCGGTAACACACTCAGAAGAGCTTGGACTGCTAAATTGCAATTAGACTTTGGTTCGACTGATTTCCGTGAAAACGACACGGCCCATCAATCTGGTATTTTGCTCCATCTAGAGCAGCATGTAGAAAGCTGACGAATGTACATATTCAGATGTGAATCACGGCATTACCATAAAATTGACATTCGGAGTCTCGGGAAACGCACGAAAGCGTGATTCATACAGTATATAGCAGCAATTCATGAGCATTCCTACAGTGCGTCAATGTTGCGCGATTACTTGCCAACAAGGCTGTGTCTGCACTCTCAACGAAGATATCTATGCTAGAGAAGATGGACAAAGTTCTCGGGTATTTCGATCTTGTACTGAAGTTCGGGTTAGTTGGCTTCGAGGTAAGCATGAAGTTCGCATTACAGTTCCTATGACTAATCAATCAGGTATTTCTCGTAGGCTCATCCTTTCGGCGACGACCGGTTGGGCACGATACGATTGCTAATTGGGTTTGTTTTTGTAACGTCGAGGAACAGACCACTTCCAGTGAAGGCGTTGCATGCCTTAATTCCTTCCGAGTTCGAACTGGAGGAGCTAATCGAAACTTTGCAAAAATTGGGCTCAGTGATTACTGTGGAACCTCAGACAGGTGTTATCCGTACCTGTCATCCGTCATTCCTGGACTTTGTCAGTAGTCAGGAACGGGCAAGAGATTATTGGCTCGAGAGTTCAGTATTGGACATGAAAATGGCGGAGGGGTGTCTCGACATTTTGGTATCCGGACTCAAATTCAATATTTGTAATCTGGAAACCTCTTATTTGCCGAATGGCAAAGTTCGCGACCTCGCAGATCGAATTCGCAAGTTTATTCCCCATGAGTTACAATACAGCTGCCTGTACTGGCTGGATCACCTATCGAGGGCTCGAGTCGATGAGCCGTGCGAAGCACCATACAGCGGAAACTTCGTAACGCATTTTGCACCACGAAGTCATTATATTGGCTAGAGGTATTGAGCCTCATGTCTGAGCTGAAGAAGGCGACATCAATTCTACGGGATCTTCCGCGTTTGGTCAAGGTCCATATTGCACAAAGTACTCATAGCTTGTATCTAACGAATTGCCAAAGACCATACACGCAGATGAGGCACTGCGCGACGTTACGACGGATTTATACCGCTTCGTGATGGCTTTTCATGAACCGATAGCAATCAGTGCTCCGCATGTGTATATTTCAGCATTACCCTGGGCGCCTTCCAAGTCTGTTATTGCAGAATCACAGCACCGGAAATTTAGCAACGGACAATTGGTTCTTGAAGGGCTCGAAGAGCGCTGGCCAGCCGCGCTGCGTACACTGTCAGCAGATTCAGGGGTATACTCGATTGCATATTCTCCGGATGGACGTCAGGTTGCCTCCGGTTCATTAGACAACATCATCCACATCTGGGATGCTGAGACAGGCGTATCTATCGGTGAATCACTTCAAGGGCATGAGTCTTCAGTTCTTTCCGTCGGGTATTCTCCGGAAGGACGTCGCATCGTCTCCGGGTCTAAGGATTACACCATCCGCATCTGGGATACTGAGTCGGGTGCTTCTGTCTGCGAGCCGATTCGAGGGCATGAATCCTGGGTTATCTCCGTTAGATATTCCCCAGACGGACGTCACATTGCTTCTGGATCTTCTGACAAGACCATACGCATCTGGGATGCTGAGACAGGTTCTCCCGTCACTAAACCACTTCGAGGGCACAGGGATTCGGTCCGTTCCGTTGGATATTCTCCAGACGGTCGTTGTATCGTCTCTGGGTCTGGTGACAAAACGATCCGTATTTGGGATGCCAAGACAGGTGTCTCCATCAGTAAACCATTTCGAGGGCATGAACAATTGGTTAACTCCGTTGCATATTCGCCAGACGGACGTTGCATCATCTCCGGGTGTGGTGACGGAACCATTCGCATCTGGAATGCTGAGACAGGTGATCCCATCGGTGAACCACTCTGGGGACATGAATCTTGGGTCAATTCCGTTGGATATTACCCAGACGGACGCTGGATTGTCTCCGGGTCTTACGACGAGACCGTGCGCATTTGGAATGCTGAGACAGGTACGCCTCGCTGCGGACCACTTCGAGGGCATGGAGATTATATCAGTTCCGTTGGATATTCTCCAGACGGACGTCACATTATCTCTGGGTCTCACGACAAGACCATCCGCATCTGGGATGCTGAGGCTGGGGCTCCCATAACTGAACCGCGTAGGGGGCACAAAGATTCGGTCCGTTCCGTTGGGTATTCGCCGGACGGGCGTCGCATCGTTTCCGGGTCCGAGGACAGGACCATTTGCATCTGGGATGCTGGGACGGGCGCTCCCATTGCTGGACCACTTCAGGGACATGAAGATTTAATCCGTTCCGTTGGATATTCGCCAGACGGACGTCACATCGTTTCTGGGTCTGATGATAAGACCATCCGCATCTGGGATGCCGAGACAGGTGCTCCCATCTCCGGACCACTTCGAGGGCATAGAGATTCGGTCCGGTCCGTAGAATATTCACCAGACGGACGTCGCATTGTCTCCGGGTCTTCTGACTGGACGGTCCGTATCTGGGACGCCGAGACATGTTTTCCAATCGGTGAACCACTTCGAGGGCATGAAGAACAGGTTCATTGTGTTAAATATTCTCCGGATGGACGTTGCATCGTTTCCGGTTCTTCCGACGAGACAATCCGCATCTGGGATGCTCAGACAGGTGCTCTGATTAGTGGTCCACTTCGTGGGCATGATGATTCGGTCTATTCCATTGACTATTCGCCAGACGGACGTTACGTTGTTTCTGGATCTTATGATGAGACCATCCGTATCTGGGATTCTGAAACCGGTGCTTCTGTTGGTGAGCCACTTTGCGGACACGAAGGACCAGTTAACTCTGTTGGATATTCACCAGATGGATGTCGCATCGTCTCTGGGTCTCATGATGGCACTATCGTCATCTGGAACGCCGAGACTCAGCTGCTATTGGCGAACCACTTCGAGGGCATGAAGGTTGGATTATTTCTGTTGTGTATTCGCCCGATGGTCGTCACTTCGCCTCTGGATCTCTTGACAAGACCATCCGTATCTGGGATGCCACTCGTCATGATTTTGCGAGAGGGTTGCATGAATATCAAGATGCCCTAATTGGATTCTCACGAGATGGCAAGTATGTCGTATCCAATGCTATTGATGATAGCACCCTTTTGCGTATTCCCCCTTCCATTCCAACTGACGGATGGATTCGGACCTCGGATGGAGGTCTTCTGTTGTGGGTGCCTCACGAATATCGGAATGGCGTTTGTGATATGAGACTTTATACCCTTCCACGTAGTGCATCCGGACGTCGCGTGAGGATTGATTGGTCAAAACTATCACATGGTGCCTCATGGACTTCGTGAAGATACAAGATTAGATCGCATCTTCCATATATTTTGGTTTGCGTCGTATCTTTACTTTAGGAACTCCTGCAATAGCGGCCGCACAGTATTCTATACTTATTTACTATACAGTGGGGGTCCGCTTTTCCCTATTGACGCGCGGTCCTGCGGAGTTTAAAAACTTACCAAACTAAGCGGCAAACTAAGCAGTAAACTGATAGACAAGTGTCCGGGTTAAAATTGTCCTTGTAGAAAAGATTTTCTGCTCCCCACATGTATTTTAAATTGACAAAAAAATATGAATAGTATTAAAAAGATGATAAAGAAACTTTTTACAGAAGGAATTTTGATTTTATTAGAAACTAGCTAAAATATAACTGTTTTACACTCCAAATCAACTATATCTTGAGCAATAATTTTCTTCTGACAAAATCCTTCTGTAAATCTTTTAATAATGATTTATTTTGATTTATAGTAATGTTTTTGTGTGAATTAACTGACCTCTGCATGAGGAATGAAATAAAGAATGAGGCCAGAATGGCTGTAGTCACACATTGTCACAGAGAATTTGGCTGATATTTTGTCACACTCGCGTCGTTCCTTTGCAATAGACTGCTGATCACTACTGATTCACTTGTAGCTTACACTTTACTTTAGCCAAATAAATTTCTGTATAACATTTCTCTCAAGTATAACACATGAATTGTATTAATAAGTATAACATGTATCGATATACTCTTTTAATATTGATTTTGTTATGACTACTGATTTTTCAATTAAGTATAAGCAAGGCGGACACTTTGATCACCACATTTCGGCTTAAAATGGCAAATTTTCAAAGTCCGCTCGACCGCGTCTCACAACCGAAAAGCGGACCCCCAATTATACAGATGGGACGTGGTTAGGAGAGGAAAAGGATTCCTAGCACGAAATGTCCAATTGTAATTTATTAATATGAGTAATACACATTCTTTTGAATATCTAATTGTACGTATGCCCCCCAAAATACTAGAATCTTTTGTGATCGTGAGGCATTGTGAGCAATACAATATGACTAGGCAAGCAGCCCAACAAATTGTTCCTCTCAGCTTGTGGGCAGTATGAGTCAATCTAACAACTATAATTGAAGATTTTAAGCAATGACATGCTTTTCTTCCTATGTACATTTTATGATTCTGTGATGCAAATTCAACATTGTATAAAAGTGGAATGTCACCTCAAGACTGAACAAGTGCCCCTGCAGTGGTTAATCTAACAAGAAAGCTGAAAGACAAGTAGTCAACAAGCGAATATACCCCATGCCGGACCCTTCTATCAAGTGTTGATTCGACAAACAATCTTCTCATATCGGTCACTCAAAGCATAATTACATGTATCTATTCCGATTTGAAGTTCTCAAATGGGTTTAGTATTTCGTCAGAAGAGAGAAACGTATAAATTACTCCAAGAAATCTAGAGTACATAATTACAGGCCTTCCCGTTTTCTTATATCACCTCGACGAAAGTACTGAGAATCATTATCATCGATTTCCCCCACCCATACCCATCATCTTGAACATGTCTGCCATGTTTGGCATTCCTCCAGTACCTCCCGTTCCGCCGCCTCCCAGTCCACCTAACCCGCCCAATCCTCCAAGACCGCCCATTCCACCGCCCATCTGCGACATCATGCCTTATATATTGCAATAATCTGTTAGTGAACAACTACAACGAACAAGAAAAGACAGTAACGTACGTTGCATCTCCTCCATATCGAACTGATCTCCTCCCTGTCCCCTCATCATCGTTTTCATCATCTCCTGCATACCTCCCCCACCTCTCATCGCCCTCTGCATCTGCTGCATCATCCCAGGCGGCATCGCCCGCTGCATAGCCTGAATCTGAGCGGGACTTGGCATCCCACCCGCTCCTCGTCCCTTCCCTCCCGCTGCAGCTTGCATCTTCTGCACAGCCTGCATCCACCCGTTCTTCCCTCCAGCTTGTTTGGCCATGTTGGCCATCATACGATATTGGCAGAGGAGTTCTTCTACTTCGCGCACGGATGTACCTGACCCTCGGGCGACGCGTGTGACGCGCCATGTTATCCCGTCTGGTTTTCCGTCTTTTCCGAATGTGAGGAAGAGGGAGCCGTCGGAATCGAGTTCTTGGGCGGACATGCTGTCTGTTATGTATAGCATGCGTTTCATACGGAGCGTGCCTTCTTCGTCGGAGCCTTGAAGCATGTCTTGCGGGAACCCGGGAATCATGGATGCGATCTTGCTTAGCGGACCCCTGATCGACCATAGTTTAGTAGAATACGTGCGAGTGATGGAAATGAAGAGACTAACATGTTCATAATATTTTGTATTTGTTCTCGCCAGTCGCGGATACTGAGCTTTCCTTCCTCGAGTTTCTTCGCCATTTCCTTTTGTTTTTCAGGATTAGCATTTGCGAGGTCGTGCATGTGTTCCATCAATCCTTGTACATCGCCCAAGCCAAGCAGTTTCGATATGAATGGTTGAGGAGAAAATCGATCAAGGTCTGTCAGATGTTCACCAACACCAAGGAAAATGATTGGCGTTTTTGTGGCAGCGACGCTGTAAAGTAAAATATGATTAGTTATTTAAGAAGAAGAAAAATGTCAAATTTTCTTACGCAGAGATAGCTCCTCCTCCCTTTGCGTGTCCGTCCATCTTCGTAACAATAATTGCACCGAAATCCGCACTCTCCTTGAACGCCCGACTCTGCGCCTCTGCCGCCTGTCCAATACTCGCATCAAGAACAAGTACAGTCATATCCGGTTTCACAGCCTCGCCAATTTGCACCATCTCCTGGAACAACTCGCTTTCCTGCTTATGTCGTCCACTCGTATCCACGATAATCACTTCAAATTTCTCCTTCTTGAACTTTGCTACACCCTGCGCGGCAATAGTGACAGGATCCGTTTCCGTGTACGACCCGAAGTACGCTACTTTGGCTTTCGTTGCTGATTGTCGGGTTTGATCGAACGCTCCTGCACGGAAGGTATCGGCACAGACTATACAGGACTTGAAACCTCGCTTTTGGTAGTGAACTGCAAGTTTGGTACATGTCGTTGTTTTACCGTTCCCCTAAGAATATGTTAGTCAAAATAATTTTAATACATATACAGGGGGATCTGTCGTAATGCATAATATTTTAATGTAAATTTCGCATCATCCATCGATGTATGTAGGTGAGAGTGTCTGTTAAAATGCCATGCGACAGTGCATAAGGGTCATAACATATTAGGGTCGGGCTTCTCCCGACGTTATGCATCATGAGTGTTGTGCATTATTGCAAAGCAATTTCGCAGGTTTTGCGAAAGTTGCCGTGAGGATATTCGATGCAATAACTCGCAGTATCATGTAACATATGCATTACAACATTATGCATTATGGCGTATATGATCGTTGTGTAAATTTCACGTACCTGAAGACCGACAGCCATAATAACGTTCGGATGCCCTTTCCTAGGCTTGTACGAATCAACGCCAGGGTCCACGAGTTGTACAAGTTCATCGAATATTGCCTTCATAAAATGGCATTTAAACATCACATACACATTCAAGAAAGAGTTGCGCATTGCGCACCTTCTGTACGACAGCCTTCCGATTCTGCTCCTTCCCTCTATCCGCACCAGCCTCGAATTGCGCTTTTACCTTCGCCTTGACCTTCGATCTCAGCTGCGATACCAGTTTCACATTCACATCTGATTCGAGAAGGGCAGCACAGACTTCCTTGAGGAGCGCATCTATAACCTATATGCAATTCAAGTTCCACGTCAGTCTGAATGGCATAAATCATCCAGTAATGAGTATATGTATGGTAAGATGCACACCTTGTCGTCAACCACAGGTGCAGCTCTGAGCGATGAGAGGGCTGCATTTAATTTCCTGCCTAAATCTGCAAGAACCATTTTAGTGTGGTGGACTTCGGAACCAAGGTGCTGAACAGTGAACACGAAAGCACGGCACGAAGAAATAGCATCACGTGGACCATCAATGGCAATGCAGGTCGCGCGCACGCCGCATACTGATGATACTCTCTAATAATACTAATAGTCATAGTCATACTTATAACCATGGGAAGCGGATCAATCCGACCACCACGCCTCAACCGCAGCGCAAATAGACGCTTGATTCTTTATCTCCTCTCCCCATCGCTCATCACAATCCATCATGAACTCGACACAAGCCGGTTCGTGTTCCGCAGAAAAGAATGAGGACAGGTGAGCGAACGAACTACCTTGGAGGAAGGGTACAATTTTATACTCATCTAATTGTGCAGGTTTCTCTACTTAAAGGGTACGCAACGTCGTTGCTGCTAGGCGCCCGTTCTGACTGTTTTCGCAGAGATTGCAGTCGATTTCACGCGTGCACGCCCAAATTACAAGCTCCAAGTCAAGCTCAAGGATGAAATGAAAACGCGGTATGAATCGAAAGTGTTTGGGGAAGCAGAACCCGTGCGATGGGAATGCAACATGTATACGATCTCGACTTATCCATGGTTGACGATGCTAATCTGTTTTATTGTTGAGATACGTGAAATCTCCGAGCATGGCTACGATGACAGTTCAAGGCTCCGATTGGATGCCCAGAAGAAACGAGACTACGAAGTTGCAGATAGACTTTGGGTCGACTGATTTCCGTGAAAGTAACACGGCCGAACTCGATGGTATTTAGTCATTTGCAGAGTAAAAAAGAGACTGCTGATAGCATATCCAGATGTGAGCCACAGCATTCGCGTCAAGCTAACATTCGGGATCTCAGGAAAGGTGAGAAATCACGAATTATGCAGCAGGTGAAAGCTTATATCTGGACCCATAGAACATCAATGTTGCTCGATTGCTTGCCGGCAAGGCTATCTCCGCTCTCTCAACAAAGATTTCTATGCTGGAGAAAATGGATAGGGTGCTTGGCTATCTCGAACTTGTTGTAAAACTCGGAGTCGCTGCCTCTGAGGTAAGTATGAGAGTAGTGTGACAATTACCGCAGCAAACCAATCATAACATTCAATATAAAATAGCTTAATCCTCGTGCAAAAGCTGCTGTTGCTGGCCTCAACGTAGCCTTCCGGGTCCGTACTATCAGTGCATATTTTGCTCTGGCTAATATTCTCCCCCAGAACTTCCAAAAGATTCCGACGTGTCATCGCGAGTTTGTGGGTATTATGGACGATATTGTTCTGATACTACCTCTGCTTGAATCGTTGCATAAACGTGTTGAGGATGAAGCCGTACGAGCTATCCTAAAGAGTTTCATTGATTTCATTGATGGTATATCTCGAGATCTTTTCAAATATTCTTCTGGGTCGAAACTCAGTAAGTGGGCCAATCCCAGATAGAATGCGGCTGATTGCTTTTGAACAGAGTTTGTGGTGCGCAACTGGTACAAGTCCAAGCAAAATGAGGTCTCGGAATTCAGGTCTCGACTGATACAGCTGTGCTTAACATTGAACATTGGTATTTCCAATGCCATTCGTGAGTCCTGGTCTTACTCCTCAATGGGCTACTGCTCACTGCTTCTGATAAATAGATCATCGTCAGCTTTCAGCAGAAGAAAAAAAGGCTCTGCGGCGATTAAGACCGCCTGAGAAGAGCTCGTTCGACGTGAAGCGCTGTTGTCTCCGAGGCACAAGGGTTGATGTACTGCGAAGAATTGATGGGTGGACATGTTCGACAGACGGATATGAACAGCTTTACTGGATTCATGGCGTTGCAGGGTGTGGAAAGAGCGCGGTTGCGGCATCTATTGCATCTGAGTTGGACTCGCGAAAAGTTCTATCTGGATCTTTCTTCTGCAGCAGGGATATTCCAGAGCGCAGGAGTTCAACCCGGGTTGTTCATGCTCTGGTATATTTCCTAGCCAGAGCCATTCCACCTTTCAAAGATCATCTACTCCGGCTACTGAAGGACGATCCCGACTTCATGGAGAAACCAATATCAACCCAGGCCAGAGCGTTGCTTTCGTATTCCTACGTGGGAGCTTCCGATTGCACACAATCCGAACCTATCATTGTCGTCATTGACGCCTTGGACGAGTGTGGAGAGAACGAAGACGCGGCTTCATTCATTGTGGGAATAATCAAGCTAGTACCGTCTCTCAAAATCATCGTAACAAGCAGGCCCCTTCCGCAGATCCAAGACAAATTAAAGCAAAATGAAAGACTGGTTACTTGCAATCTATTTGAAGTAGACGCTTTCGAGGACATCCTACGGTTCACGCACAAAGAATTTCGGTGCAACAAAGGACTACCTAGAGATTTCTCCGAGGACCAGATTGAGGCTCTCGCTCGGAAAGCTTCGGGGCATTTCATATGGATTACGACCGTTCTGAAGCATGTCAGTAGTCAGCTCCGGAAAAAACGAGAGGTTTTGCGCGGAATACTTGCTTCGACACCGGACGGAGAATCTGAAGAAAAGATCGACGCTCTGTATCGACAGGTTCTCGATGATGTCTCCGGGAGGCCTGATAACGTCTCTAAAAAGTCTCATGATATCTCCAAGAACAAGAAGTCTGACGATCGTCTGAATACAATACGACTACTCATTGGACTTGTGTTCGTAACGTCGAGGAACAAGCCGCTTCCGGCAGAGGCGTTGCATGCATTGGTTCCTTCCGAGTTCGAACTGGAGGAGCTAACCGGGTGTTTGCAAAAACTGGGTTCGGTAATTACTGCGGAAACCCGGACGGGTGCTATCCGAGCCTGTCATCCTTCATTTCTTGACTTCGTAGGCAGTCAGGAAAGAGCCGCAGATTATTGGATGGAGAGTTCGGTGTTGGATATGAAACTGGCAGAGGGAAGCCTTGATATTATGGCGTCGGGACTCGAGTTTAACATTTGTCATTTGGAGACCTCACATCTTCTGAATGGCGAAGTCGGCGACCTTGCGGATCGTATAAGAGGATATATTTCCTACGAGTTGCAGTATAGCTGCCTATACTGGCTGGATCACTTGTCGAGATCTGGAGTCGATGGAGCACGCGAAATGACAATAAAGCAGAAACTTCGTGAGGTATTTTGCCAGACGAAATCGCTATACTGGCTCGAAGTGTTGAGTCTGATGTCCGAGCTCAAGACAGCGACATCATGTCTTCGAAATTTTCCTCGATTGGTCAAGGTCTGTACTAAGCTATACACAAAAGTATTTATCATTTGTGTCTAACGAACTGTTAAAGTGGATAAACACAGACGAGGAACTGCGAAAGGTCATTACGGACTTATACCGATTCGTGATGGCGTTTCATGAACCGATGGCAATGACTACGCCACATATATACATTTCAGCATTATTGTGGGCGCCATCCAGGTCTGTTACTGCAGAATCACAGTCCCAGAGATTCATCAGCGGAGAATTGGTATTGGAAGGCCTTGAATTGCGTTGGCCAACGGCGTTGCGAACGCTGTCGGTGAGCTCCCATGTGACTTCGGTCACATATTCACAAGACGGACGTCGCATCGTCTCTGGGTCTCATGACTCGACCATTCGCATCTGGGATGCTGAGACAGGTGCTCCAATTGGTGAACCACTTCGAGGGCATGAAGATTCGGTCTCGTCGGTTGGATATTCGCCAGATGGACATCGCATCGTCTCCGGGTCTGATGACAAGACCATCCGCATCTGGGATGCTATCACAGGTGCTCCGATTGGTGAACCACTTCGAGGGCACGAAGATTCGGTCAATTCAGTTGGATATTCGCCAGACGGACATCGCATCGTCTCCGGGTCTGATGACTCGACCATGCGCATCTGGGATGCTTCGACAGGTGCTCCGATTGGTGAACCACTTCAAGGGCATGCACATTCGGTCTTGTCGGTTGGATATTCGCCAGACGGACGTCGCATCGTCTCTGGGTCTGATGACAGCACCATGCACATCTGGGATGCTTCGACAGGTGCTCCGATTGGTGAACCACTTCAAGGGCATGGAGATTCGGTCTCGTCGGTTGGATATTCGCCAGACGGACGTTACATCGTCTCCGGGTCTTATGACAAGACCATTTGCATGTGGGATGCTTCGACAGGTGCTCCGATTGGTGAACCACTTCGAGGGCATGAAGATTGTGTCAATTCGGTTGGATATTCGTCAGACAGACATTGCATCGTCTCCGGGTCTTATGACAAGACCATCCGCATCTGGGATGCTTCGACAGGTGCTCCGATTGGTGAACCACTTCGAGGGCATGAACATTCGGTCTGGTCAGTTGGATATTCGCCAGACGGACATTGCATTGTCTCCGGGTCTGAAGACTCGACGATCCGCATCTGGGATGCTATCACAGGTGTTTCGATTGGTGAACCACTTCGAGGGCATGAACATTTGGTCTGGTCGGTTGGATATTCGCCAGACGGACATCGCATCGTCTCCGGGTCCTATGACAAGACCATCCGCATCTGGGATGCTATCACAGGTGTTTCGATTGGTGAACCACTTCGAGGGCATGAAGATTCGGTCTTGTCGGTTGGATATTCGCCAGACGGACATTGCATCGTCTCCGGGTCTGATGACTCGACCATGCGCATCTGGGATGCTTCGACAGGTGCTCCGATTGGTGAACCACTTCGAGGGCATAAATATTCGGTCTCTTCGGTTGGATATTCGCCAGACGGACGTTGCATCGTCTCCGGGTCTTCTGACAAGACCATCCGCGTCTGGGATGCTTCGACAGGTGCTCCGATTGGTGAACCACTTCGAGGGCATAAATATTCGGTCAACTCGGTTGGATATTCGCTAGACGGACGTCGCATCGTCTCAGGGTCTGGTGACGGGACCATGCGCATCTGGGATGCTTCGACAGGTGCTCCGATTGGTGAACCACTTCGAGTGCATGTATCTTCGATCTCGTCGGTTAGATATTCGCCAGACAGGCGTCGCATCGTCTCCAGGTCTTCTGACTCGATGATTCGCATCTGGGATGCTATCACAGGTGCTCTGATTGGTGAACCACTTCGAGGGCATGTATCTTCGGTCTCGTCAGTTGGATATTCGCCAGACGGGCGTCGCATCGTCTCCGGGTCTTCTGACAAGACCATCCGCGTCTGGGATGCTAATGCTCATCTTGTTGCAAGAGAGCTACATAAATCTCAAGGTGGTTGGCTGGGATTCTCACGGGACGGAAAGTATGCCTTGTCTAGTTCTCATGATGATAATACGCTTTTGCGTATTCCTCCATCCATCCCGACTGACGGATGGATTCGAACCTCGGAGGGAGGTCTCTTGCTCTGGATTCCTCATGAATATCGGAATGGAGTTTGTGACATGAGCCTTTATACCCTTCCACGTAATGCACCTGGCCATCCTGTCAGGATCGATTGGTCAAGGCTTCCGCATGGAACTGTATGGACTTCTGTGAAAAGAGATGATTAAAGCAAGTTGAACTCTTGGTTTCTTCTTGTCGAACTTTGATACGTATTGGACAGTAATGTACCGTTACTTTAGAAATATCCTCCTATGATTGATAGAGATACTTGAGCTATTTAATATTCATACATATGTTTCATGATCAGAAGAGGAAAGTTCTCATAGTGCCAGAGAAGGCATATTATAAAGGCCAGCAATAATCAACATGTTTTGAACTTGAATACATACTGGATAACTACACAAGTGTCTCTATGCTAGAAAGTGAATGTATAGTACAGACTAGTGTGTATTTCTTAGATTGTTGTTTTACTGTTTCCCTCAGTAGGATGATTCAGATTATTTACGTTACATGGATTTTGGCCAACCTGATACAGTCTACAGCATATGCACATGAATTCTGATTGCCAGTGCTATAATTACACATGGACGCCCTTTCCTAAGCCTGTACAAATCAACACCGGAGTCAACAGGTTGTATGAGTGAATCAAATATAGCCTTCATTTCACCATACATTTGTTCTTCAAGTGTCCATTTGGTAAATCATGTATACTGCAAACTATGTACAAGACTCTTTTGGTTCTGCTCCTCCCCTTTGCAAGGAATAGCTTCAAACCTGAGTTTTTACTTTACATTTTATTTTGATTTAAAATGCGATACCAGTCTCACAGTTACGTCTGATTTGAGCAGGACTGCACAGACTAATACTTCGTTGAGTAGTTGTATCCAGTAGTATGATGTGCAAATAAAAGGTGTCGATTTAACTTAATAAAATAGATATTTTGTCATTGGGCACAGGCACAGTTCTGAGTGGCAAGAATGCTGTATTTAACTTCTTCTCAAAATCTGCAAGTATTATATTGATACTTTTGTCGATAGTCGGTGTTGGAAGCAAAGTACTTTACACAGAAGCGGAACAAGGAGATATCACATCACGTGCGTGTCTCTCGAAGTCCTCATAAATTCACAAACTCCACTCAACTCAATAACAATACATATACTTACATCTTTCAGTCTTGACACTCCTTTGCTTCCGAATATGGCTCACAGCGACTCAGACGACGACGTCGAGGTCAACGATGCCTTCGATTTCGATGCTCGGAGTAGTGAAGCGGACGAAGTGAATGAGGATGATTTGTTTGATGCTGATGAGGCTTCGGAGCGTGCTGAAGTGTGTTCCTTTCGTTTCTTTCATTATGCAAATATTAGAGACGTTGTATTGACTTTTTTTTGATTTGAAATAGGAGACTGGATCGGAAGAGGAGGAAGAGGATGCTGATGCTGAAGCTGAAGCGGAAGCGGAGGGAGAAGAGGATGAGGAGGATGAGGACGAGAGTATGGACATTGCGGCTGTTCAGAAGGAAATCGTACCGCTGCAAGCATCGTTGCAGCCACCACCTCTTCCAGGACCCTCTATAGGTCATGTCAAGGGTATAATTTAGTCGCACGAACTTTCTAGACACAGAAATACTAAGTTAATGTGCATAGAACAAACTCCAGAACTACAAGAGCGTCCAATGTCGCCTGCACAGGCCCGACGCGCAAAGCTGGTTCCTGCTTTACTCAATCCACGATCATACACTGTAGAAGCAATCTGTGCTATTGCACATCCAGAACCTACACACTCACTGGCTGCTTCAGCATGTATGACGCATCTACTCACTGGTTCACAAGACGGGTACGTCCGGGACTATGACGTCTTCGCAGCAGTAAACGGCAAGACCTTCCTCACCGCACCGCAACGTGCACACTGCGGTGTAGTAGAAGGAACGATGAAAGCTGGACAACTCCGAATGTGGTGGGAGAACCCGGCGTTCCCAACGAGTGCGGACTCAGTTGTCGAGGATCACTCGCGCTCACCTGTCACGAGTCTCGCCATGCACTCGGATGCGTTGTGGGCTCTTGCGGGCACCGAGGTAACCAGGTGTTTCTACCCTAACTGCAGTTCACGTGCACATGGAGACTGACATTATCCGGTGATAATTTGGGTATGCAGAAAGGTCATGTCAATTTATTCACGGTGCGCCATGAGCCCGGTCAATTTATTACAGCAATGGACGGTCATCGGAATCTGGTATCTTCCCTAGCTATCTCGCATGACGAGATGGGCTTTTTTAGTGCTGGCTGGGATGGAGATGTGTACGTGAGTAAACTTCTCCGTGCGTGAAATTATTATTATTGTACTGTATGAGCTAGGTGTGCGCGGAGTTGCTGATCTTTGGGTCTTTTTTTCTTTTTGCTCACGCTGATACGAACCCGCCGGCGTGCGCCAAAGCAATGGGACCTAAACACCGGCCACCAGGTCCGAAAATTCACATCGACAGGTGCACAGGTCGCCGTCGTCGCGGTCCGGCCATTGGGACCAACTCTACCTCCGCCAACGTCGACAAGCGCTGGAGGGTCGAATAATAATAATGCAAGGCAGCAACAAGACGACGATGACGCGAAGTCTGACGGATCATATGATCCGTTGTTCGATGAGCCTGATGAAGATGAGAAGGACGCCGCTGTGGGGATGACGCAAGCGAAGACAAGCGGGAACGAGCAACAAGCGACGAGCAGCACCACGCCGCAGGCGAAGACCCCAGCAGCAGCGGGAGGAGCGACATACCCGCGTGGGCCGCCCGTGCTGGACTCCGCAAGTTATGGTGCGTTCTCGCCGGATGTGTTACTAACGGCGTCAGTAGACGGATCGATTGTACTCTGGGATCGGCGAGTGAACACACCTGGAAAGGGAGTGGGCCGCCTGGAGATGAGCAGCAAGACGCCTCCGTGGTGTGTTTCGGTGCGCGAAGTTTATCTAATTATTGACCCGGGAGTAAGTTGATGAGAGACGGTGTTGTTGTAATGGGTGTACGGCAGGCATGTTGGTCTGCAGATGGTGGGCAGGTCTACGCGGGACGACGTAATTGCACGGTGGACGTATGGGACACGCGACAATATGGGCAAGCTGTTAATGGAGTGCCGAGGTTAATGAAGACGCTCCGAAATCCGACGAGCTCAGGTGCAGTGTCCTGCGTCGCCGCGTTCCCGGATGGGAGACACATCGCGGTGTAAGTTGTGGCAAGCGAATTAATTTCTTCTTTTCCTTTGATGGCCCACCACCTAGTCCCAGTTTCTTTGTCTTTGTTTTTTTATCTTAATCTCCATTGTTTTCGCGATTATTCTTCCGCGCCTTTTCCTTTTTCCCATTTTCCTTTGTGTTGTGTTTTGTATTGTGGTTACTTGTGGTTACCAGGATTGACTAACTGGCTGCAACTGTAGTGCTTCGAACGACAACATCCGGTTGTGGAACGCGAGCGAAGGCGGAGAGGGCACCGAGACGGGCGGAGGGCGAGGACGGTCTGGAGTGCCATTTAAAATCATCCCTGGGCACCATGGAGGCATTATCTCGCAGATGTGTACGTGCCAACGCGCTTTTTACGTCTTTTGAGGTTCCTTCGCGCATGTGCTGACGGATTGTTGATTGTTTTTGCTGTGTATATTTTCTCATGGGAGCAGTGATCGACCCGGCTGGACGGTTCATGGTCAGTGCGAGCAGCAATCGCGGCTGGTCTGGTGAGTCGACGCGGGTGGTGCTCATCCATGACATCAAGCATCTCGGGTAGTGTGGTAGTAATAATTATTATAATGTACATGTATTATAGAGTGTACATAATGGTGTTGTAGCACCGGAAAGACCCCTGCGACCGTGGGTGAATAGAGTTGGGGAAGGAAGAGTGGACGATGGATTCGAGTTGAATGAGCCAGCTGCATGGCTCAAGCATCCCCCGGCCCTATAAAGCCCACAGCACATCCCAACATCTTCCCTCTTTCCCCTCGCTCCCACATCCCTACATCCTTCTAACCTTTCTCCCGCTCAGTCCTCTCTATCTAACAATCTGCTACAATGCCGAAGAGGTATTACGATGCGATCGATGATGGCGCTCCGGGCGAGGACGACGCGCGCTATGCGAGTGCGACGTATAACAGTCTGACGGGTCTGCCGACTCACCAGTTGCCTTCTATGCATTCACATACAAATGCTTCTCAACAACAGCAGATGCATGGGTATGCGACGTATGCGGGTCAGCCATTTGCTAGTGGCTCAGGAGTAGGAGCGGGAGGAGCTAGCACTAGTAATAGTGCGAGTGGGAGTGCGCTAACTCCGTTGTCTATACCCTCGCTCTCAGTCACGCCTCCTGCAAACTTGAATCACCACCACCACCCTCTTCCTCCGATCCCACCGTCCTCTACTGCTTCTACCTTGTCTTCTCTCCCTTCCGTCTCTTCTAGCGTGCCTAGTACTGCTGCTGCTTCAACTGTCGCGTCTACTTCTACCGCAGGTTTAGCCACACAATCACATCCACATCCACACTCTCAAGGCACGACATCAAATAATAACAACAACAACAACAACAATATCAATAATAGCAGTGTGGGTATCCCACCGGACGCACCACCGCATAGCGAGATGGTCGAAGGCGAGGAAAGCTATACCTACCGAGTGACTCCCGAGATCCGCGAGACGCTGTTCCGCGAGGTACATGGACGCCAGTTGAACACTATGCAGCCTGTGTATCAGTTACCGGCTGATGAGGATGAGATTAAGGTTAGTTTCTTTGCTTTCTTTTAGTTTTTTGAATTCTTCGCGATTCTTGTTATTTTGGGTGTTTTTGTTGCGGTGGTGGTTGTGGTGTTGTGAGAATTGGAATTCTTGTGGTGGCTATTTCGTTCCGTTTCGTTCACTTTGCTTTGTTTTACCATTACCTTATTATTATTCCTTCTTTTATTTTTATACATTTATTCTAAAAAAAATCCATATTTTTCTCTCGAATGACGCGTCGAACTCAAAAATTCAAAATAAATTACAGAGACACGAATACTTCCACAAAATGATGTACATCGTCATGGGGGACAAGAACTGGGTCGGGCCAATGGAAGAGGTCCTCAGCGCTCCGTCAGATAGGAAACGTCGGGTCCTCGATATTGGATGCGGGAGTGGAATCTGGGCTATACAGATCGCGGATGAGTTTCCCGAGGTTGAGGTGGTTGGGTGTGACCTTGCCCCGATTCAACCGGAGTGCGTATCTAATTCCGTTTTCTTCTTCTCAGTTTTGTTTTTTCGAGTGATATTGCTAACATGCCGCATGACTTCGTTTTGAACCGACAGTATGGTGCCACCGAATTGCGAGTGCGTATATTTTAGTCTCTTCCGTCTAGCCGCCGTATATCCATAATGAACTAACACCACTCCGTCTCTTTCTTTGTTCTCTTTACCTTTCGGGATTCTTCTTCTAGCTTCGAACTCTTCGACGCACAACTAAACCCCTACCCGGATGAATACTTCGACGTCGTACACGCCAGGAGTGTACACACAGGAATCCGTAACTATTCTCTCTTCCTCGAAGAAATCGGTCGAATCCTCGCACCAGGCGGGCTAGTCATGCTCGTAGAGAGTGAAGTAAAAGCCCTCACAGAAGGGAAGATTCCTATTGACGCCGGACCGCGGGGTGGAGCTCCTGGTTGGCACGCATTTTGGGAACAGTATAGGAGGTGTTTAGCGGGGAATCATATTGATACTACTGTTCCGACTAGGTTGGGAGCGCTTTTGAGGGCTACGGGAGCGTTTGAGGAGGTTGTTGCGCAGGAGGCGACTGTTCCTGTTGGGTTTTGGCCGAAGGGTGCGTAAATAAATCTCCCTTTTTTCTCCTCCCATCGTTTCTCCCTCTTCCATTTTCCCACTCTTTTTTTTAAATCTCACACAACATCCCTTCAATCTCAACAGACGAGAACCTCCTAGCAGTAGGCGAACACGCCTGGATGGACCACGACCGCTTCATCCCGGGTGTCCGACCCTTATTCCTCTCATACGGGCTATCAGAGTTTAGGGTGAAGATCCTGGTGGAGGACGCTCAGCAGGATTTGTATTATCCGTTGACGAGGCCTTATTCGTGTGTGCATGTGAGTCATGCGAGGAAGAAGGTGTCGTGGACCCCGCCGAGGAGGAGGACAAGGAGGTTGAGGCGATGATAAGAGGAGGAAGGAGCGAGGAAGAAGGGAGAGGAGGAGGAGGGAAGGAGGGGAGGGGAAGAAGGGGATTGTATTTGTATTTTTCTTTCTTTCTTTCTTTTTCTTTCTTTTCTTTTTGCAAAATGCAACGGAGTTTGTAGTTGTTTCTTCTCACTTTGCTTCAACACGCAGCTTTTTCACGGTTTCATCTTTACCCTTTTTTTCTTCTCTCCTTAATTTTCGTAATTTCGAGGAACGTGAAAGCTAGTCTTTCTGTCCCATCTTTCTGTTTTTCCTTCTTCTTAATTCCTTCAACGTTGTTACGTTCTGGTGGTTTCCTTGTAATTTTTTCTCTTCAACACTGGATTTACCCCTCTTCCTTTGCAACCTTCTTTGCTTTGCTTTGGCTTTTCCGTTTTTCTATCTCTGTTGCATGTGGTTGTAATTGCGATTGTACGTCTTGTTTTTCTATTCCTGTTTTATCCCATTGCTATCCTATCTGTCTATCTGTCTCATTTTGTGTCCATCTGTCATTTCAATGTGCTGCTTGTTACACTTGTCTGTCGTTGTCGAAAGTGCTTTCTGTCTCTTCAGGTTTTTCTTTCATTTCTTTCTGCATTGGCTTTGGCGTCTAGTTAATTGGTGTAAATACCCCTCCTCCCCTCCTTCAGCGTAACCTTCTTTACTTTTTACCTCCTCCCTCTCTTCTCCCTCTCTCTTATTGTTTCCTGTGGCATCTCGCTCCTCCAGCTGTTTCAACAGGCTTGTAAAATAAAAATGCGCGATCGACGTCGAAAAAGACGTCGTTCTCTCTTTCTTTTTAAAATTCTCACTAGCTTTGGGTTGAAAGTTTACGTTCAGCAACGCCATTTCATAAAGAAAGATAAATTTATCCTCAAACTCAAATTGCATAAATGCAAAAATCACAGAAAACACGTAACTGTCATATAATTTCCCATCCCGCCCTGACCGAAACACATTCAGACATTCAGACATTCAGACATTCACACAGATGTATATATCAGTTGAAACGCCTATATTGCTTTTCAAGCCATTCGCAGGGAGAGGTCAAAGTCTACAAAGAGCACATAACGACACGACCGCCACCATCACATACACGCGCGCCAACTAAGTCTAAAGGGTAAAAAAGGAAAGGAGGGAGGGAAGGCATACAAGTCGACATCAACACCAACGCCAACACAAAAAGTACTAGCAGTGGCAGCGATAACGGAAAGTAAGCATACAGAGGGGGGGGGGGTTAGGGATACATAACGCAATGAGTGCTGCCGCAAGAATCCGACACAAGCCATTCCGGAAGATGAAAGGCGAGCATAATTCCAGGTGAGAAGAACGAAGAACGCCATGGATAGAAAGGGGCTCAACGGGAGAATAATAATCTGACTCAAGAGGAAAACGAAAGAATGGACAGCGCGCATGCACGCACAAGTATATCGTTAAAGTCAGATAATTTAAGCTGCTGCTTGAACAGACTCCTTAACGGCGAAGTCGTTCAGCACAGCGATCGCCTCATTGACTTTGCCTGTCAAAGCCTCCTGCGAATCGAGCAGACCCATCAACTCGTCATCTTCCATCTCAAGCAACATGCCGGTGATCTTGCCAGCAAGCTCCTCCTCCATCCTATTACAAGAAAAAATTTAGTTCAAATAGTGTCTTATTTACAATAGAATGGAATACGAACAGAACAATCTTCATGTAGAGTGCTTCGCCAAGCAGCTGCTTACGCTGCATAGGCGTTGCGGCGGCAAGGGCCTGGGGTGTGATTTGCGGGACGTCTGCCTCCCCAGCTGATGCCTCAGCACCTGTGGCAGGAGTCGCTGGGCCGCCTTGGACAGGTGCAGGTGCACCACGAGGTGGAGGCACGCCTGCCTTGGAATATGCCTGCGGGCGAGGGGCAGGTGCACCTGCGGGAGGAACACGATTTGGAACGACACTGGGACCTGGTGGAACGCTAGGGCGCACACTAGCACCGTTAGGAGCGGGTCCACCACGAAGAGGTGCTGGCCCTGGACCAGGAGGGGATTGTCCAGGGCCGACACGAGATGCATTAGTGGGACCACCACGAGGCCCACCACGGGGTCCGTAAGACGGAACGGGTCCATAGCCCTGGGGCGGACCTTGACCATAAGGCGGCATTGGCATTCCCTGACCGTTTGGCGCGTAACGCGGACGAGGCGGCATGATGCCAGGTTGTGGGCCGCCATAACCCATCATGCCCCGACCTTGAGGATAGCCTCCTGGGCCAGGGGGATAGTATATCGGTCCGTTAAGGTATGCGTTCGGGATACCCGCTGCAGCAGCCTGTTGCATCCTAAAGTTGTTCCGTGCGGCGATCTGTGACTCAAGCTGCTGCCTACGGACTTCGCGCCTCTGCGCAGGCGAGACGTACAATGGCTTCGAGCCAAGCATCTTGTTGTTCATCTCCGCAACTGCTTTTGTCGCCTCTTCAGGAGACGAATAACATACGAAGCCGAAACCCTTAGAGGTGCCCTTCTCATCCCGCATGATCTTGCAGCTCGTAATAGTACCGAACGGCTCGAACTCGGCACGAAGCTTGTCATCATCCATGTCGTCTTCGAGATTCTTGATATAGAGATTGGCGCCCTGATACTTGCTAAGCTTCTCCATTTTCGCTTGCTCATACGACTTGCGTAATTCCTCTTCACGTTCCGCCTTCTTCTGCGCACGAGTCACGAAGAGCTTCTTGCCATTGAGCTCAGTGTCATGAAGCGCGTCGACAGCCGCCTGTGCACTCTCGTGGTCCTTGAAATTAACGAAGCCAAAGCCCTTGCTCTTGCCCTCTTCATCCTTCTGAACGACAGCAGACGTGACTTCGCCGAATTTCGCGAACATGTCATTGAATTCATCATCCGTCACTTCAGTATCGAGATTCTTCACGTAGAGGTTTGTGAACTGGGACTTTTGCTCATCAATATGTGCCTGACGCTCCTTCTTGGAAATGTAATGGCCGACAAAGACTTTCTTGTCGTTCAACAGCATTCCGTTAACGGCCTTGATAGCTGTATCGGCAGCTTCGGCGGTGTCGTAATGAACAAACCCAAAGCCACGGGATCGGCCATTCTCGTCGGTCGCAACTTTGCAAGAAAGTACATTTCCGAAAGCAGCAAAAGTGTCGTGAAGAGCCTGGCGGTTATGCTATCGTTAGAAGCTCCCTATGGAGGTCGTACGAGTTGTTGACGTACCTTGTGGTCAATCTGCTCATCAAGGTTCTTGATGAAGATATTACCCTGACCAGTTTTGCGCAAAGCTGGATCACGCTGAGACCACATGATGCGGCTGAAACACTGATGAGTGACGCCACATCCTAAAGTATCTGTACAGACTCACCAAGCGCGATTTTTAATGAGAGAATAATTCAACTGCTCAAGTGCACGCTCGCCATCCGCGGCATTGAGATAGTTGACATACGCGTAGCCAAGCGAGCGCCGCGTCACCGCGTCACGGCAAACGCGGATGCTGTATGACGAGAATACCATCGATAAGCATCTTGTTTTCAGTACTCATATCATTCAAGCTACGCACCTAGCAACAGGTCCAATCATGTTAAAGATCTCAAAAAGCATTGCTTCGGTGACGGTCGAGTCCAGCTCCCCAACGTAGAGGGAGGCAGACGGCGTAGATGCGCCGGATGCCGGGGGTACACTGTATGGCATCGATGCGTGGACGGGCGCAGGCGGCTGCACGACCTGCGGAGCCGGCGCGGCGCCATCTTGCGCGGGGATGGGAGTATGTTCCTGAGGCGGGGCGGGGGCGGCGACAACGGGAGCGGACATCGTTTCGGTTTTAGACGAGTCTAAAATTTTCTTGAAAAGTGATTTGGATTTTTTCTGGTGTTGGGGCGGTCGGGCGGCGGCGGCGAGGTCGTTACTGCTTTGTTAACTTTTCTGCGACTGTAACAATGCACAATTAGAAAACGAAAGGCCAGTGCAAAAGCGAGGAACGCACACAGCGAGACAACAAGGCGACAACTGATGTAGATGGGTTTTTCTTGATTTTTTTAGGGTTTTAAAGAATAAAAGGTCTTTTTTTCTGCAGAGAATAGTCGTGTCAGTAATCGTCATTCGTATTCCCGACCATAGAGAAGCCAACGGATTGGAGGGAGCGACGGAGAGGGAGACACACCTTTAGAAAGAGATGATGGTTGTAAGAAACGAGGAGCGGATGCCAGTCTGGGCGCCTTGATAATCCCCATTTCAAACTCCGTCAATACAGCCACGCACGTGACATGCCACAAGAGTATTAGGCCACAGCCTTTGCTCTTGTCCCATCGCCCTACCAAGCTTTATATGTATGTGACTCTGCTCTCGCCCAACTCTTCTGTTCTTGCATGAATATAGAGCTGATCGTAGTCTGTTTCGGATGATACTATTTGTCTATAGTAAACTGCTTCATTGATTGTAAATTTCATCTGTGTACGCATTTTAATTGACAACATTCCTCACCTTTGACCACTGACAAAAGTCAAGAATTACATCCCGGTTATCAGGCCCTTTCCTGTACATCATCACAACTTACGGGTAATATTTTCTTTAAAGACACTTCCTTTACTGTTTCTCAGAACGACTTGGAATTGTGATCCTACGATTCCTACCGTTCTGATCTTTTATGCATGTTACGGTCATGCTACAGAATAATTTAAAACTAGGCACTCACATTGCTAGAGCTTGTTATAATACAATTCAAGCAGTGCTAGAGCTTCGATTTGTTGCGAGCAGAGGCTTGACAATTTGCAAAAGTGACTGCGGCCGGGTTGGTAGTTGCTTAAATCAAATTCAAAAATTACTTGCCTGTAAGAGCACAAGTTTTACGGAACGTGCCCTTGGTAAATCATTTTTCCAGCTAGCAAGCAAGGATAAAAACATGCATAAGGCTTCAACTGCAACAGCCCATTGAGCTAACAATATACATTGTATACTGCTTACAACAAAGTAAGTTGCAGCGTCTGTACAGTGTAAGCCTGTGTGTTTTTGTAGAGAAATTTCCTATTTAGCAAAGCTATGAGTCAATAATGCAAAGTATTTATATATATATACCATTCGATACGTTCTCTTGTAAGTTACGGATACAGTATGGACGGAAAATGATATATTTTGACGTCTCTCCAAAAATTAAGTATTATGTACAGAATAATTGCTACAGCTCACTTGAAATATGCCAAAAAACAGAGTGTTCGTGCCTAAAGCAGAATATTATAGATAGTCTACTCTAATCTTCTATCTTTACAGAGGTCCATTTAGAACCGTGTGGCAACCTGGCCCAGTCGATCCTGACGTCTCGGTATTGGAGTTGCAGAGGATAGTAACAGATAGAGGAAGTGGCAAGCCAATTTACTCTAATTTTCTATCTTCACAGAGGTCCATGAAGTGCCATGTAGTAAGTGAGACCAATCAATCCTTACAGGATGACCACGTGCATTGCGCGGGATGCAGATGGAACTCATGTCACATATGCCGTTCCGGTACTCATGAGGGACCCATAGAACGAGACCGCCGTCGTAGCCTCGGATCCATCCATCATTTGGAATAAATGGGGGGTACCTACTGAGTGTATAATCTCCATTAGAACTAAGGAGGGTATATCGTCCATCCTGTGAGAAACCAATTAAACTGCCTTGATTTGCATGAAGCAGATCATTGGCAGGAACACTGGCTGTAGTATCCCAGATGCGGATGGTCTTGTCATCAGAGCCAGAGACGATGTGACGTTTGTCTGGGTCTGGGGAATACTATGCAACACAGCCAACGATTCCTTCGTGCCCTCTAAGTGGCTCACCAATGGCAGTAAACTTCTCAGCATCCCAGATGCGGATAGTATGGTCATACGAGCCCGAGACAATGTGACGTCCGTCTGGGGATATGTAGTACTATAAACCAGATCTTCTTGGCCAACAAGTGGTTCGCACTCGGCAGAGGCCAACTCAGCATTCCAGATGCGGATTGTCTTGTCAGATGACCCAGATACAATGCGATGTTTGACAGAGGAATATTCGACAGAACAGACCCGGTCTTTATGACCGAGAAGCGGCCACGATCTAGTACGCCTTGATCTAACACACCAGATGCGGATGGTATTATCAAACGACCCAGAAACAATGTACCATTTGTTATGTAAATACTTGACAGAACGGATTGTATTTTCATGTCCCCGAAGCGGCGCTCTAATGGCAGCACCAGTTTCGGCATCCCAGATACGAATGGTCTTGTCGTATGAGCCAGAAACAATGCGACTTCCATCTGGAGAATATGCTACGGAACAGACACGTTCTTTATGTCCTCGGAGCAGCAGACTAGGAGAACCGATAACCTCAATACCCCAGATGCGGATGGTCCAGTCGTGAGACGCAGAGACGATACGACGCCCGTCTGGGGAGCATGCAACACAACTTACTGTGCCTTCATGCCCTCGAAGGGGTTCACCAATGGGAGCACCCGTCTGAGCATCCCAGATGTGAATGGTCTTGTCATAAGATCCAGAGACAACAAAACGTCCGTATCGGGAATAAGCAACAGAACAAACCCAGTCTCCATGACCTGGAAGCAGATTATAGGCAGGGGCCCTCGTCTCAGCATCCCAGATATGTATTGATTTGTCATCAGACCCAGATACAATGCGGCTTCCGTCTCTGGAAAATATTAGGATATACATTTTACTTGAGCAATTCATTAGTTTTGTAGTCAAGTAAAAGACAAACACTGGTAGCAAATTCAATGTATAAAGCTGAATTAATAGCTCTTGTAAGAGGAACACAGGAAGTGATCACACTTACTCATTTAGCTGAAGAGATTCTGCAGGTCTCTGATGCACTAATTAATATCTATTACAATAACAATACTGTTATACAAATAGTTACATTAGACAAACTCAAATATTTGGAACAAACAAAGTATTTAGATCATAAGAAAGATTTTATTAAATGCTACATTGAGTTAGAGTACATAAATACAAAATACATACAGACGAATGATTAACAAGCAGATATATTAACTAAAGCACTACATGTACCACAAGTCAAACATCTTACCAGTTTACTCAGACTAGTAAGAGTTTGAAGGGGAGTATTATGAGATGATTAGTTCATCAATGGACAAACCACAAGACAATGACTTCATAATGTCTCAGTTAGAATACATACAATATAAGGACGAGAGACACTGAGCAGTCAATTGTGACCTCACCCCTTGTCTATGTGTGCCCCCCTTAAGTTTTCCCTCTCAACAAGTTCCTATAACAAGACTATTTGTATTTGGGATGCTCAGACGGGGGAAGCCATCAGGGAACCGCTTCGAGGGCATGAACAGGTAATCCGTTCTGTTACGTAGTATGATGCCCTTCTTGCATCATACTGTCTGCATCTGTATAACTGTTCAATATTGATTGATTTGTGCTGCCAAGTTGGAGCCAGACATTGCTTGTAGTTTTTAAGTACATGTAACAATGTTTAAGTGCTAGATAATGCTCCATACCAGGGTCATTAAGGTATTTTGCTAACTGATTTGTTGCAAATGCTATATCTGGCTGTATACAGTCTGTAATGTATCTAAGTGTACTAACCATGTTCATGTATAGTATATCAGACATTTGTTTTCTATTGTTATCAGTTTACAATACTGTTTTTAATTGTGTACCAGGCTGTATAAGTGTTTGTACACTTTGTTTGTTTGTAAGTTTGTAACATTCTATTATACTATTAATATAATGTGTCTGACACATCCTAATGAATCTATACTCTCTATTGTATTGAATCTCTATACTAAGTAGCTAGTACAATTTGCCACTGTCTGTATATTGTAAATAATGTGTAATAGATTGTTTTATTATTACAATAGTATTATTATTCATTACTACAATAGTAATATTGTCAACATGTACAAATAATATGGCTACAGTTATTTCTTTCTTCTTTACAAAGAATACAGTGTTATTATGTTCAGATTTTGTTAATCTGCATTTAAGTAGTATATTAGATAGTGTTTTATACTATCTTCTACTAGCTTGTTTTAATCTGTATAGTACTTTTTGTAATTGTAATATTTGTCCATTCTGTAATCTGTCTATTAAGTTACCTGGAGGAGGTTTAACATATATTTCTTTGTCTTCCATCAATTGTCCATACAGATATACTGATTTTATATCTATCTGATGTATTTTATAATTATTAGATACTGCCCATACTAATATTAATCACACTATAGATAGTCTAGTAGTAGGAGCAAATAAATTGTCTGTATAATAGTTAAGGCTGTCAATCTGATAGTTTCCTTAAACTACTAATTGTGCTTTGTATTTTTCTATACTATTGTCAGTGTATCACTTTATTTTATAGACAAATTGTGTTCTAATAATGTTAATATTATTGTGTGGATTTGTGATTTCCTATGTATTATGATTTTCTAATTGTTTTATTTTGTCTTTCATAGCTGTAATCCATGAATCACAATCTGGACATTGGATTGCTTCATAAAATGAAGTCAGATCCAATTGTATTTCACTTATTTTAGTATTAAATTCTGTTAAATGAATGGCAATATTATCTTCATCCTTTTTACTAAGTGTATACATGTGTTTTATTATGTGTTTATTCTCCATGTATTGTTCAAGCTCAATAGTACATTCTGTCAGTTTCTGTTTCTGTTCCAATCAACATAATTTAGGTTCTACTTCTTTTTCAGTTAATTTAACTTTGTTGTCTGTTAAGTCTGTTAGTTCTGCTACTTTTCCTTTTTTGTTAGGATCAGTATTGTCTGTATCATTGTTGTCTGTTCTTGTTATTCTATTGTCTGATTCATTATTTTTAATTATTAAACACTTGTTTGTATTATTGTTTGTATTGTCTATTTTCTCCCCTTCAATTTGAGGAGGTTTACCTTTGAGAAATTGAATATTTTGTTTGATAGTAATTTTATTATTGTGCCATGTTTTATAGCCTTTACTTTTATTGTCTAATCCTATCCAACAAGCAATGATACCTTGCTATTGTATTTTTGTAGGATTTTTGTTGTGAATAATAATATATTGATCAAATTTGTATATATTATCAATTGTTCTGTGTGTTCTGTAACATTTATAATGTAGGGTATTGTAATTTAAAGTAGTATACAGTGTTCTATTATGAATATAGGTAATATGAATTGCTACTGTTAGTATTTATTCCAGATAAATGTGTCATATGTCTTAGACATGTCTTCTGAGACATACATCCAAGACACACAATATTAGATAGCATATATAATACTTAATATAAGGACAATGAAGCTCATAGGACACATATAATGGTACACAACACATTACAAACTATGCAGTTGACTTGTATCAACACCTACACACTATGAGCAGAGTCTACTGAACCCCTACTAGTGTGACTAACTCTTAGTATCCTTGTGAGCAGTGTGCAAACCTATAGAAGAATATTTCCTATTGTTTAGGAAACATTGCAACCTTAACACACTAACAGGTTATGAGCCTTACACTCCCTGCTCATATCTACATTGTTACTATGCTTTTATCTTACCCTCTACAAACACAATGCTTCAAAATCATCATCTCCACAATTATGATTTCCCCCTCAGTAGTTATATGCATGACTATATGTACTATGATTGTCATCTCAAATGCTTTGGTGTACTATACACTATAGTACAAATGATTAGATACACTCAATCATATTATACTTGATAAGTAACATCAAACTACTTCATTTAATGCTGAATCCACTTGATTCTACACGTATGATCTATTCTACTTGTCTACAAACCTTTGGCACTCCTATCTGAGCATACCAAATGCAAATCGTCTTGTCCTGAAGACTACAATTGCTTTATACAACAAGACATGCTACAATACTCATAGAAGGAATGTATTATCTATGAGGACCTAGACACACCTGTCTGAGCATCCCAAACACACATTGATTTATTAAAATAACTTCGGACGGATTAGTTGCTTTAAAAGTAATGAATACCCAGCAATACTATATTCAAACACTGAATTACTTCATCTTACACTACAAAGATACGTTATAATAATAACATCTCACATAATGAACAAACATTTAATATTATATTAATAATACAAATGATTAATACTATAAACAAAAGAATAATGCTAGCAAAGCATAATAATAATATAAAGAAATACTATTGTGAACATACAATCAAACTAATAATGATTAGACAAACAAATAATATGAAAACGAGAGTATAAATGCAACTAAAGCATAATAACTCAAATATAAAAACAATTTATACTATCACAAACGCATGGTCACAATAAATAACATATATTTACCATATACAAATATATTGCATAGATATATGAATATACAAACGTATGAAGTAATAATAATGCAATCAAACACATAAAACTATTATTTATTAAATAACACAAAGTTATATGCAAATGCAATCGAATGAACACATAATAACAATAAAAACAATTAATAAAACACACGAAACAATGTTGCAAACATTCTAAACATATAATAACAAACATATATACTTATACAAAGTATTACATTAAATTAAAACATAATGCTACAAATGATGAAACAATATAATGATGCATATATGTATAATATTGACACAATATCAATACTATACAGGCAAATACATATCTTATACCTTACACAATTACTATTATAATGCAAAAATCAGACAAACAATAGTTACAAATACACTGTAACAATATTATGTATACCAATCATAAGATATACATGATAACAAAGTATTAAGTCAATACAATTAATACAAACAGTTTAAACAATATAAACATATTTTGGATGCATTGAAAATATTATTAACATACAAAATGTTATAAACAATTAAATGTCACTTAAAAACTTGACAAAATACAATAATACAGATGTAAACAAAACAACTAATGCTATGAAACATTAGAGCCTAACATTGGATAGTCTGAAGGGCCAAGCAACAGAAAGAACACTGTCACCAAGTACACAAAAGACAAACAAATGTTGGAACGAAATCCAAAAGAAACAAACATAAGTTTGGAACTTAATCAGACACTTCACTAATGATTAAACACAATGTGTGACGGATTTAATAGATTACTGCAAACAGCAGAAAGATATTTATTCACAAAAGAATATATCTATGATTAATAAATAATGAATATCATTAACTATTCAAAGTCCAAACAATGTTATAACAGCATATTCTTCATTAACAGCCTTGCTTAAAGCTTGTGCCCATCACAAAAGAATTAAATTAATAAACAGAATGGAAACAAGACACAATAGCTCAAATACTTTTGTCATCAAACAGAAGACAAATGATACTGAGCAAAACGAAATAATGCACTACTCAATGTATGCAAATATAACAAACAAAATACACAAACTTAACATTACTAAACAATACAATGGATTATATTTATCCAAATAACAAACTATTCAGACGTATGTATAACAATCAAACGAAATACACAAGCATACATGCAATCTATTTGAGTATAAACTTGAATAACAATCAGTATAATGCCAAAAAAAGAATTAATAACTAAATTGGACAAAGATAACAAATAACATTGAAATTATTCAACAAAACACATTCATGCATTCACATACAATGCTTAAACAAATAATAGAATGACAAAAACATACAAACAAATTGATTATACATGAAAGCCAATTACTCAAAGTGAACCTTCTTGAATTGAAGGGGAGTAATAACAGCATATATTTACAAAACATAAAACATAACAAACGAACGATTGAAACATAGCAAACGATTAAATGATGTGGAAATATTGACTACATTACTATTTAATGTTGTACATCCTACAAAACACAATTATAAAGTTATTACAACAAATTCAAAGCAAATCTGTTGAATCTGACAAGCAAATCCAATGAATCCAACAATAATATACCTATGCAAGAGACATTTTCTCTAAAAACTTTGATGGTTACACTATACATAACACTATTGAACAAATTATGAAAGAATATATTACAGATTATATACCTAAACATGGAGAAGTATGCTACATGCAACAATGTCGAGCAGAAAAGCATCTCTAGTACATATCAAACTATACAGAATTATAGAACAGAACTATGTCTTCTGCAACAGAATGTATGTTACATCGAAAATAACAATTATGTATCATGTGAAACTTCCAACACTTATTCCCTAACATGCAGGACATAATAGCAAACGAATAACTAAGTAAACAAAATAATATTTGGACATATAACTGGGAAATAATCCAGACAAGCCAAGAAATAGCACATATTCCCAAAGCAATCTACACTAGACGTGTGAAGCACTTGCTAAAATTAAAAGAAGTAACAGACATAACAGCAATCAAAACATTAATCCTTTCAAATAAAACAAGATAATGTCAATCATAATGAACAAAAATGAGCAATACACTCAAAATAAACAAAATAAATTCATATTTCATAACAAACACACACATATATTTAGCAAATAAAGTGAATATAATAATTAAAACAATATCAAACAGAATTTGATACAAAATAAATGATAAACGAATGAATATTATGATATACAATGAAAAATAGAACTGCAAAATACACTATTTCATCTATCTACAAAATAAAAACAACAAACACATATTATAATTGTGCAAAGCAATATATATTAATCAAATAACACTATACAATGATAATAAAAACATTATCACAACAATAAAACAATACAAACATACAAATAATGTTATAGTTTGTAAAAGTCAAAGGACACATTAAACAATAACAAACACAATGCACACATATAACAATATCAAATATATCTATTGCAAAACGGCAAAACAATACAAATGTACCATATGTTTAAAACATAAATAATGTGCCTAAACAGACTTACAAACAGTCAGATGATAAAATAAAACAAATTACAATGAATAAAACCTTAATCAACCTTGATATGAAGCAATCTGACATATCATAAATGATATTACAAATTGCAAACAATACAATGCTTCAATATAAAGGCATAGAACTATTATTAAATGCTTAAAAGGTATGAATACAAAACAAACACAAACAAAGATGATACATGATGAATAGAGGACATCATAATAACATTGACAGCACATTTTACAAGCATGATTCAACAGTTTCATTGTGAAAGTAAAAGTGGAAAAACTACTAGTAACACAATTCAAATACACAAAGTGTACTATCAACTAAAATAACAAACTACAAAGAAAAAGAATGTATTGAATGTATAAAAGCAAATATTGAATGTACACCAATACCAAAACTACATCAATCTCCTCTTGTAAATCAATTTGGAGATCTTATTCATATTAATATTATTAGTCCTATCAAACTGTACACATATAAAAACATACACTACTTATTAACAATTGTAGACAATTCTACTCATTAGTGTATAATACTCAAATTACAAACAAAATCTGATACATATATGTAATATGTATAATGGACAACCAAAATATTTACACAGTACAGAGTTAAAATAAAGCTTTCACAAAGTGATAACAATACTGTATTCCTTAGTGAAGATTTCCAACAATATTTAGATTCATAAGGAACAAAACAAAGATTAACAGTACATCATACTCTACAACAGAACAGAATAGTAGAACAAACTCATAAAACTATATTTAGAGGTGTAAGAGCATATCTAACATCTACTAAATTACTGTTTACATTATAGGCTAAAGTAGCTGTTAGTGTGTTAAGGTTGCAATGTTTCCTAAACGATAGGAAATATTCTTCTGTAGGTTTGTGTACTGCTCACAAGGATACTAAGAGTTAGTCACACTAGTAGGGGTTCAGTAGACTCTGCTCATAGTGTGTAGGTGTCAATACAAGTTGACTGTATAGTTTGTAATGTGTTGTGTACCATTATATGTGTCTTATGAGCTTTATTGTCCTTATATTAAGTATTATATATGCTATCTAATATTGTGTGTCTCAGATGTATGTCTTGGAAGACATGTCTAAGACATATGACACATTTATCTGGAATAAATGCTAACACTCCCCTTCAAACTTATACTAGTTGATCAGGCTAATATAATGTTTGATAAGTGTTTGTTTGTTGTTTTACTAATATCATTTACATCTACAATGTAAATGTTTCGTTTGCTTCATATATTAAGTCCACTGTAAGTGTTGCATTTGTCCAATGTATTATTATAACATTCAATGTAATAAATCAATTGTTAATTCAATTATGATTGCTAAGAGAGCTGCAGGATCTCTTTAGTGTTCGTTCGTTTGTAGTTTTAATATTATTAATGTTATAGTTGTCACTATAATGTTTTATCATTTGTATGATAGTAGTTTTCTTGTTTGCAATTTAATATAATATGTTATAACTTTGTTTCGTTTGTTTTTCATGTTATATTGTTTGTTTTGTGTCATAGTATGTTTATTTCTTCATACTGTACTGTTCTACAGTTGTTCTGTTATTCGTTTCGTTTGTATTTGTATTATTATACATGTAGTTCGTTTTATATTCTTACACTCGTTGTGTAATTAGAATTGTACTTTGTTTGTATTGTTTTGTTTGTATAGTTAATACTATATTTAATAACAATGTGTGTGTTATTAATTTGTTCACATTAATTTGTATTCTAGTTGTGTCTTTAATAATTGTTTAATATAATTGTAACTTATATGTCCAAAGTGTTTATGTATATTATAAATAGATAGTTTGTTCATTGTTTTTAACAAATGATTATTGTACAAAATATACAAGTTATTTCTCAATTGTATATGTTTGATGTATTTATTACATAGTGATGTTATAGTACAATTATCATTTGTAAACATAAAAGAATAACCTTCCCTACATAGTAGTGCTTGACTTATGAGGGAAAAGGTTATTTGTAGATAGTAATAGATGTTTTGTAATGTTATAACACTTTTTTCTTGTATATTCTTTGGGATTTCAATACATATAGATCCAGCTTGATTAAGAGTCATTATTAATCTATTTACAATAGTTATAATTGTAGGAGTTATGTTGTGTACATCTGTTAATCAAAATAGATAAGGAGTAGTATGTATTAATGTACTAGAATTGAGTAAATCCATTGTTTACACATAGGATTTCTTGTTAGCTATGATTGTATTTGTAAATACATTAGTACATACCTAGGAAACGTATTGTTCAAATTGTTTGTCCTGGTTGCTTGGAATAAGAGTGTAGGCATTATTGTTCATTTTAATGTTGCCTTCCTTTAATTCAACATTGTTTTTGTTTGGGTTTTCAATAATAAATGTATTCATTGTGTTTTTTACAGTTTGATTTGTTTTATACACAATGTTAGCTTGATGTTTGGTGCATGCAAGCTTTGTAGCTTTAGTAGGAGGTTTACAGCATTTCTTAGAGAAATGTCCTGTTTTTCCACAATTGAAACATTTTGCTTTTGTCAGATTGAACAGATTTGGCAGATTGAATTTCCTCTACTTATTAGCTTTATACATTGTATTAATGTGTACATTATTCTTTGTCTGATTATTAGAATCTTGTACTCATTTAGCACAGTAATCATTGTAGGCATTCTATAATACAAGGATTAGTTACTTCAGTTTGACTTTCTTATGTTCATTAACTGGTTTGCCTTTGTTTTAGACATTAGTAGATTGTATTATTGTATTTACTACATGTGTATATTACTTAGGAGTAGTAAACAATATTACTACTTTGTATGTAGAGTTGTGTGGTGGATTACTGTTAGTAGACAGAGTTGTGTATGCTTCCTCAAGTCTGTCTAATGTATGTCCAAAATGTTTTACATAGTCTCTACAAATAAATAGTGCCAATTTGTTAATAACCTTTTTATATACTGTCTAAGGGTTAAAGCATTCTTTAAGTACTTTCATTAACTGAGGGATAGACATATTGAAGTGTATATAGTTTGCCAATATTGTGTCAGTAATGTTATTAACTATGTATACATGAATAGCCTTAGCCATCTCTCTCTCAGCTTTGTTCTGTAGTTCATCCTTTAGTAAGTGTTTAAAGTATGTAGCTGTAATACTAGAAACAATGTAGTAGTACCACATCTTGTAGTTTGCTTCAGTCTTAAGCATTGTAATGTTTTGACTAAAGTATTTAGGTACATCAGCTGGTTTACAGTGTGTATCTGTACATAGGGGAACCATGATATGAATGTGTGCAAATGTATGCAAGTAAAGAGTTTAGAGTGTACAGTGGATGCATGTATACAGGGAGCTCAAGGCTCATAACCTGTTAAGAGGGAAAACTTAAGGGGGGCATACATAGACAAGGGGTGAGGTCACAATTGACTGCTCAGTGTCTCTCATCCTTATATTGTATGTATTCTAACTGAGACATTATGAAGTCATTGTCTCGTGGTTCGTCCGTTGATGAACTAATCATCTCATAATAGAACTAGAGACAAATGCAGCTTCTGTTGGGAGAATATTCAACACAACAAACACCATCTTCGTGTCCTTGAAGTGGTTCACCAATTGGAGTACCCGTCTCAGTGTTCCAGACGCGTATAGCCCCGTTAGAAAACCCGGCAACAATGCGACGCCCGTCTGGGGAATATGCAACAGAATAGGGCCCACGTTCGTATCCTCGGAGCAGTTCATCGATAGGATCACCCGTCTTAGCATCCCAGATGCGGATGGTCTTGTCATACGACCCAGAAACAATGTAGCATCCATCTGGGGACTATGCAATAGAGCAGACACCGTATTCATGCCCTCGAAACGGTTTGCCAATGGGATCACCCGTCCGAGCATCCCAAATACGAATGGTTTTGTCGTAAGAACCAGAGGCAATGCGACTCATGTCTGGCGAATATGCAACGCTACAGACTATATGTTCGTGGCCCTGAAGTGGAGTACCAATGGCAGCGCCTGTCTCAGCATCCCAGATGCGAATGGTTGTATCATAAGACCCGGAAACGATGCGACGACCATCTGCGGAACATGTAATGGACCAAACGTCGCCCACATGCCCTCTTAGCGGCTCACCGATGATAGCGCCTGTCTCGGCATCCAAGATGTGAATGGGACCATCATATGTCCCGGAGAACAGGCGAAGTCCGTCTGGAGAATATATCACCGAGTACACCTTGGAGCCAACCGATAACGTCCGCAACGGAATAGGCCAATGCTCTTCTAGCCCTTCCAAAACTAACCGACTACTATTGAAGCTTTGGTGTTGTGATCTTGCAATGACAGACTTGGACGGCGCCCAGAGTAAGGCCGAAATATAAACATGCGGAGCGCTGATTGCCATTGGTTCATGAAATGCAATCGCGAAACGATACAAGTCTTCCATTGCTTCGCGCAGACTATCGTTCATCTCTTTGTACTTCACATATCATGAGATACGCATATCAAACGTTTCGAGGAGCTGAAATTTGACGAACCTTGGGCAGCCTCAGGAAATCTCGAAGAATAGACACTGCCGCCTTAAGCTCCGACATGAGGCTCAATGCTTCTAGCCAATACAGTGGTGCCGTCTGGCAGAATACGCGAATCAGTTTCTGCTCTATCGATCCTGTGCAACAAGCATCGACACGCGACCTGGACAGGTGATCGAGCCAGTACATGCATCTGTACTGTAATTGCTGGGGAATGCATTCGTTTATACGCTCTGCAAGATCGTGGACCTCGATATTCGAAAGATGCGAGGTTTCCAAATTACAAATGTTGAATTTTAGTCCGGATATCATAATATTGAGACATCCTTCTGCCATTCTCATATCCAACACCGAACTATCCATCCAATAAACCCCAGCCCGGTCCCGGTTACCAACAAAGTCGAGGAATGATGGATGGCAGACTCGGATAGCATCCGTTTGAGACTCCGCAGTAATTACCGAACCCAGTTCTTGCAAGGTTTGACTTAGCTCGTCCAGCTCGAACAGGGAGGGAACAAATGCATGCAACGCCGTTGCTGGAAGTGGCCTATTCCTCGACGTTACAAACACAAGCCCGATGAGCAGTTTTATTGTATCCATGCGATCTTCGTCCTCCCTAGAGACGTCGTCAAGAACCTGTCGATATAGGATATCGAGCTTTCTCTCGGATTTCTCGTACGGTGTGGAAACAAGCATCCGTTGCAACACCTCGCGCTTCTGCGAGAGTTGATTACCAACATGCTTCAGAACGGTGGTAACCCATATGAAATACCCCGAAGCTTTTCGTGCAAGGGCCTCAATTTGACTTTCGGTGAAATCACTGGGCAAGTTTACGTTCTTACTAAATTTCTCGCGTGTAAAGAGTAAGATATCGTTATGAGCGTTCACATCGAACAGATTGCAAGACGTCAACTTCCCGGCTTGCCCCAGGACGTCCCATCCTTCTTGAATTTCAGTAAGAGGCGGGCTGGTCACTATAATTTTGAGAGGTGGAACCCGCTCAATTATCCTAGAGAGAGATGAAGCCACCCTTCCACTGTCCTCGCACTCATCCAGCGCGTCAAGGACGATGGTGATCGATCGTGATTTTCCCCAATGAGAAGGCTTTGCGAAGGGATGCAGAATCAACTTGTTTATTTGGGCCTGCAATGGTTTCTCGAGGAGGTCGGGATCGTCGTTGAGTAGTCGAAGTAGTGCCTCTTTGAAAGACAAACTCGCTCTTGCGAGGAAATAAATTAATGCATGGATAAGCCGTACCGGATCCCTACGTTCACGAATATCCCTGCTGCAGAAGAAAGAGCCAGACAGAGACTTCCATAATTCAAGCCTAGACGCAACGGATGCTGCAACCGAGGTCTTCCCACAACCTGCAACGCCATAAATCCAGTAGAGCTGGTCATTTGGATCTTCTGAACGAGTCTACTCGTCAATAATATGCAATTGCTCCATCCTCGTGTCCCGGAGGCAGCAACAAACAGGGTCGAAAGAACTATTCTCTGGAGGTCTCAACTGCCTGATCAGGCTATTATCTGCTTCTGACTGTTGCTGCTGGTCTGCTCTACATAAGCAAAAGGCAGCCTTCCTTGAAAGTTTATAGCTCACGTATAAGTCCAAGGGTCAAAAAGCTAGAAAATCGGAGTAAACGGGAATGAAAATCCTTGGCTTCATTCTTCTTGCTGTTGTACCAGTTGTGTAACAGGAATTCTATGTGAAGGCAGTCAGTCACGGGCTAATCGGAGCTTTGCTATCTTACTGAATTTCGTCTCGGAAGAATACTTCGCCAGGTCCCAAGATAAACGCGAAATAAATTCGGTGAAACTTTCCAGAATTTCCTGAACTGCTCCATCCTCAATACGATCGTGCAATGGCTCAAACAGGGGCATTATCAAGACAATGTCGTCCACGATATCCACAAACTCGCGATGATAGATCGGAATCTCTTGGAATTTCTAGGATAATATTAGCCAGAGTAAATGTATATTATTACTGCAGACCTTGAAAATGGTTTCCACGCTACTAGCAGCGGCCTTTGCAATAGGATTTATCTAGTTGAAGGTTACGATTGGTAAGCTACAAGAGGCGTTACATGATCTTCATCCCTACCTCGGATACGGATTTTCCGAGTTTTACAAGCAGATCGAGATGCTTAAGGACTTTATCCATCTTCTCCAATACGGATATCTTCGTCGAGAGCGCAGAGACCGCTTCATCCGCTAGCAATCGTGCAATTTTGATGTTCTGCAATTTATTGTCACTATCCTTCACAGGTTACATGTATCATGATTCCGTACTTCTCCCGGGACTTCATACGTAAACTTGACGGATATACCGTGTTTCACAGCTGGACGGGAAGTTAGCAGTCTACATATTGTTCCAAACATAACCAAATACCAGCTCGCTCAACCATGTTATTCTCACGGAAATCAGTTGCGCCAAAATCCAACTGCAGTTTAGCAGTCCAATTCCTTCTCAGTGCATGGCCCACGTTTTGAACCGTCAGCCTAGCCATGCTGGGAGATTTCACGTATCTGAAAAAAATAAACAAAAAAATTAGCGCTACCAAAGCAATAAATAGGTAAAGGTTATATATATATATATTCCACACTCCCATTGCAGTGGTTCCGCTTCCCCAAATATCTTTGATTCATAATGCGTATTCCTTTCATCTGTCAGTTCGATTTGAAGCTTGCAGTTTGGACGTGACCGAGTGAAGTCGACCACAATCTCTGAGAAGGCAGTCAGAACGAGCACCTCACAATGATGACGATTTTGTTCACCTTTTAAATAGAGAAACCTGCATCATCGATTAACCTCAGGTCTATTTTTATCCAAGACAGCTTCTGCACTTACCGAACCGCATTATTCGCTGCAAAACTCGGACCAGCCTGCGTTGATGCCATGATAGGATATAACTGAGGAGTAAGGCACCTACATACCAGCTCTGTAGGGATTCCTAGGTATATAAGACTTTATCTACATGAAAGCAGATTGTATGGCATGAAAGAGACGAAGAAGAACAAGTAAAACGAACGGAACAAAGTGCCCAGCAGTGCTATTCTGCTTGTGCGTCCCTTCAAAAGCCATTGCCGTGCCTCATTTGTTTCCTCGTTTGGCCTTGTTCATCCTTACACCTTCAACATTTACATTGTTGTTCAAGTACGGTAGTTGGATCATCTGCTTCAAAGAGCCGACAAAAAGAGGTTGAGAAGACCATCGAAGATTAGTACAATGGTATTATTGTCGGCTTACGGCTAATGCGTCCACTGTCCAGCACATGATCGCATCGATTACATAATCCCGTTTCTTGCACTGTAGGCTGAAATCAATTTAATTATCTATATTTCTTCATATTTTGTAACACTGAACTTACTCCTAAATTGCAATAGGGCACAAATATTTACACGTTATTTACGACTAACGTACATGTTCAAATGAAATAGAAAAATTACCAAATAGAATCATGATTGCTTCTGTGCTTTCTTCCATTCTTTCTTCTGCACAAACGCAGCAGACTTATTACCAAACAAGAAAGCAGAGGTATGTTTGTCTGCACCCGTCTTTTTTGAGATACGAGGTGGACCTTCAAAGAGAATCTAGAGTTTCAGAATGGAGCATATGAGGTCTGGTTAATGGCGTGTAGGTAGTTCAAGGGCAGTTTACACGCACGACCCAGAGGCCCCAGAGGCCAATCGTACCTGAAAGGAGGAATACGCCAAATGAGAGTGCTCCTATGGCTTTAGTGTTGTATGAGACAAAGGAGGAGAGGAGGGATGCTCCTGTCAGTGGGCCGAGTAATGGATGACCCAATGCATCTCGACGGCGTGTATGCGTCCCGAACACTTCGTCGGACGGGATCTATAGAAACAAGAGATTAGGAATGTTTGGAGCACGTGCGAATGTACGCACATAGAGTATGAGACATATAGAAATAGCATATAGGAAGAATGAGAAATGCAGTGCGAGGAATCGCTCGAGTGGTGTGAGGGCTCGCTCGGCGAACTCCGAAGAGACTGAGAGGAAGAGGAGAAAGCGCGGAAAGAGCAGCAGAATTGATGCCGACAAACTCAAGCTGCAGAGTCATACATCAGGATGGACTGTTTAGTAGGGAGGAGTAGGACTGAGAGAAGAGACGTACAGGAGGGCCGATGTCCAAGACCATGCTGCAACTGAGCCATCACGTAGCTCACTGTGTGTATCTGTTTCAGAGCTTGTCGGACCAGAGGAATCTTCCATCTGTCTTCGTTTCTCAGAAAGGTCTTCAAGTTCAATGTCGGTTGTCATTGCAAGAGTCGTCTCATAGAGCTAACGTTGCGCCGACGTGTTCAAGTTAGTGTGTATCACGTGATGATCGACGTTGTGAAAGGAGACGCCATTGAACTTTGCACCGCCACAAGTGGGGAGACCGAGAACACGCAGGACAAGCACCGAGTCCGTGCTAGCCAGTCATCGTTTACTTCTTGACCGTATATCCGTATCTCAAAGACCCGTAATCATAGCCCCCGTCGCCTCTTTAAACGACTATGGCCGACCCAGGCTATAGAGACCCTCGGCCTTCGACTGATTCAGGTCAGGTCCCCGAGTCCGGTTGCTTTCGTCATTGTTAGTCGCTAATATTTGTTTACTATAGAGCACGCACCTCTTCTACGTGACCCAGAGAGAGAATACTCAACGTCCTTCGATGGCTCCTCATCTCATCCCCGAAGTTCACAACGCAAATCATTCTCTTCTCACGTAGACGACATCCTACGCGAACCGCTCACAACGCTCACCAAGATCCTACTTGTTCTCGCCTTGCTGCTATTACTATTGACATCTGTATTCATTGGACTGTTTGCGGGTGCCGAACATAAGCTGAGCCGTGGAAGGAGCGAGAGACGACCGACACCAGCTCCAGGGGTACCAATTACTACTACAAGTACGCAATATGGAACTACTACTACCACAACGACGACAACGGAAAAGACGACAGGTACCGTGACGACGTTACTCCCGCCATCACCAACGACTATACCTGCGCCTTTACCTACAACTGAACCTGGATCGGTACGTACTCGCGGAATGCGAATAAGAGTCATCAGTCTCACATTGATTAATGGTCATTGCGTATTGGACTATAGACGTTATGCACATCCCCGGATTGTGTCATTCTTGCTGCCTCAATTCTTCGGAATCTTGACAATTCGCAAGATCCTTGCGAGAACTTCTACGAGTTTGCCAGTGAGTACTCGCTTTGTCCGGTTTAGCAAGTAGATGAATAATTGTTTGGTATTAGACGGCGGCTGGCTTGCAAGAACCGAAATCCCACCCGGAAAAGGGATCTATGGCTCCTTTGACGTCGTATCTGATGAAAATAAGCGAATTCTTCGCAAGATTCTCGACCCTCCGAACAATGCTTCCATCTCCAGCGTCACGTCAGATCAATATGACGAGGAATCACTAACGAAGCTACGCGACCTGTACACGTCATGCATGAACGAAGATCTTGTCGACGAGCGCGGCGATGCACCTTTGAGAGACGTCGTCCAATCTGTTCGTGACCTCTATCGCTCCGATAATTGGAAGAAGCTTGAGAACAGCAAAGAAGCCGAGAAGCAAGACAATCCACAATACGGCCTGACCTCTGCTATTGCCTATCTTCACTCTCGCGGGATTGGAGGGCTCTTCAACTTTGATATTGATGGAGACGTCGGAGTAGACCCAGACTTTATGACGCTCTGGTTCTTCCAGCCTGATCTCGGTTTGCCTTCCAAGGTTTGTCCCTCGCCTTACATCATATCCAAAAGGTTGCTAAAATGATTTGCAGGAATATTACAAGGAGAAAGATATTGTGAAACTGTACGAAGATACACTAGCGCGTATGCTGCTTGCGCTTGACGATACTCCGGATGAGTCAGCGTCGTATTCCGCGTCGGGAGATGACGTCCTTGTACTCGAAACCGACGAGAAAATCAAGGTATGGCCGCCCTGGCCGTGGCCACCTTGGGGAGGCGAGGATGACGACGACGATGGCCGTGCAAAGCGGCCTTTGAACAAAACAGAGAGAGCAGCCAAGCTAGCAAAGAGCGTCGTGAAATTCGAGAAGCGGGTTGCGAAAGCGTCTCTTGACCTGTCAGTACTACTATCTCTTTCCACACGTAACCTTACTCATAATTCTCTCTCCAAATCTAGGGAGATCATATTACAGGACCCGGTTGCAACATACAACCCCGTCGACTTTTCGGAACTCGCTGAACAGCTCCCTCAGATCGACTTCCCATCCTACTTTAGCACATTCACACCTCGTAACTTCCCTACTCGCGTCATCCTCACATCGACCACATACGCGAAGTCTCTATCCGAGATCCTCTCTTCCACAGATGCTGACACCGTCGAAGCCTACCTCGTGACGCGCGCTTCACTTGATCTCGCTCCGTTCTTGGGGTACGACACAGAAGTGTGGAAGGCGAATCGTGCGCTGAGGGAGGTGCTTCAGGGAATTAAGAAAGGTTCACTTCCAGATCGGAGCGAGTGGTGTGTTCAGAGGGTCGAGGATGCTTTAGGCTTTTCCGCTGGCCGGTTCTTCGTTGAGCAGGCATTTGGAGGTGATAGTAAAGCGAAAGGGACGAAAGTTATCACTGGTAAAGTTCTTCGTTGGAACGCTTTATGATGGACTGATTTATTTTTATTTTTATTTCCATTTAGATATTATCAGCACCTTTAAGGAGTCCCTCAAAAACCTGAAATGGATGGACAAAGAGTCCGCCAAGGCTGCATCTCAGAAAGTCAGCTAATCAAATTAGTTTGATGTAATGTATCTAATTTCGGGGTTTCACTTCGTCAAACCTATCTAGGCCGATGCTATTGATGTCAAAGTTGGCTACCCGCTCTCACCCAATACCGAGTCCTCTCGCTCGATCGCACTGTATTATCGCCTCGTAATTGTCGATAAGGCGGAATTCTTTGAGAGCATGGTCAGCGCGCAGTACGTCTTCTCGCTTGTCTGTCTAAATTATTGGCTGATCATTGGATACTTTTTTGAATAATAGGATCAGCGAAACATTCAAGAAGTGGCAGTTGCTTGGGAAGCAACGCGACAAGCAGATGTGGCTTATGCCACCAAGCATGGTGAACGCATACTTTAACCCGCCTGCAAACGAGGTCAGCTTTAGTCTTAGGAAAGCCTTTCACGACGTTGAGAAGGTTTACTAATTTTTATTCTATACAGATTGTGTTCCCAGCAGGCATTTTGCAACCGCCGTTCTTCGCGTACAAGTGGTACGTCTTCCATCTACTTGTCTCTCATTGGACTTTCGTGTCGTTTCCTCTGCATGAATACCTGAGGTGCAAGAGTTAATAACAATTAACTTCTGTTGATTAGGCCGGCATATATACAATACGGTGCATTTGGGTCAATAGCGGCACACGAACTCACTGTACGTACCCCGTGCAGTATACCTTGTAATGTCGCTACTAATCGACTTTGTTTACCATTGATTCGTACTTTCTAGCATGCATTCGACTCTGCTGGTCGACTATACAACCAAAAAGGAAAACTCGAGCAGTGGTGGACAAACGCGACGAGTGAAGGCTTCAATAAGATTCAAAAGTGTATCTCAGAGCAGTATTCTAGTGCGTCTCCTTTTGTTCTAGCATCTCAAAACCAACGCGGTTTTTTTTCTGTAATTCGCCTGGGATAAAATAGCGGCTAATATTGTTTGGATGTACTAGACTACACGATTGATGATGGCAAAGGTGGAAAGATTCATGTCAACGTGAGTATCCGATAATTCTCGTTACGTTTACATGAGTTTTTAACATACGGTCGTGCAGGGGAACCTGTACGTCCAAGACATCTCCCTACACCTAATACCCTTCGTTCATACTAAATTGATTTAGGACATCCGGAGAGAACATCGGCGACTCAGGACTTATCCAATCCTACCGCGCCTGGCACGGCCAATTCCACACATCCCTCGAAGAAGGCCGCGAACCTCTCTTACCAGGTCTGAACTACACGCAAGAACAACTCTTCTTCATTGGTTTCGGACAAATTTGGGCGCAGTTAATCAAGCCTGCTGCAGCTGTACGTCTCCTTTCGATTTTTTATTTCCTTTCGACGAGGATACTGTACTGATGTTGATGTGTTTATTCGATTATCGTTCGCGTGTAGGTGCAACGTGTACGAACGGACCCACATTCGCCGGATAAGTACCGTGTAGAGGGGACGTTGGCCAACATTCCTGAGTTCGCTGCTGCGTTCCAGTGTAAGGAGGGGACGAAGGTCAGGCTCAATTTATTTTCCTCGTTTGTATGAGCGCGTTACTGATGTTCGGTATATCTGTAGTTGAATCCACCAAAGGAGCAGCGATGCGTATTTTGGTAGAACGTTGGATCATATTGGCTTGCATATATATGACGGACGGATCTGGGGAATACGAGACTGAATGTTAAAATCGTCTACGTCTGTGATCTGTATTGCCTTGCATAGTTATTTAAACTCGTTTTTGACGTTACTCATAACTATCACGTTCGAAATTGTTGATTCAACATTCGTTGGTTACAGGATAAGGTAAAGTACAGTATAACATATCCAAGAAAGTTTCCTTCCTTCATGAATCTGATTCTGAGTCGATTTTCCTTCGTCTCTCTGTTTTACTTATTTTATTTGTGCCTTTATAAGACACCTTTGGTGCTCGGGACGTCCGTTCCTCCCGTCCTTTCGATAGCTTGACGAATCGCAAGTGCGAGAGCTTTGAAAGCCGATTCAGCCCTGCCCAAAGAAAACAGAATCAAAATCAGAAATTTCAGCAAACCGTGCATATCAAAACCTCAAACATGTAAACGTACTTATGATGATCATTCTCCCCACGAAGCACATCAACATGAAGCGTAACACCCGCAGCAACAGCAAAGGAATGGAACACATGAGGGAGCATCTCAGTGGATAGGTCTCCGATTTTTTCACGTTTGAGTTGGAGGTCTGTTACGCAGAAGGGGCGGCCGGAGATGTCGATTACGGCGCGTGCGAGAGCCTGAAGTAAGCAAGAGAGTAAATTATTAATTTATTCGATGTAGAATAGAGAAGAAAAAAAAAGGGTGAGGTGAGATTTGGGGAAGTGAAGAGAAGAGGCTTGTAGGGGAGGACGTACCTCGTCGAGCGGAGCGTGTCCCGTACCGTACCTCTTTATCCCGCGGACTTCACCCAAGGCTTGCTTGAATGCTGTTCCGAGTGCGATTGCGCTGTCCTGTATTTAAATCAAATTAAATTATAAATTTCGAGCTCCTCCGAATATTTTGAAACGAGGGCTAGGAATGCTTATCTGCAGTGTGGTGGTCATCGATCCAAAGATCTCCCTTACACTTCATCGTAAGGCAAAGACCACCATGTTTCGCAAGGGCGTTGTACATCTGAGAAGCAATAAAAATAAAAATATGTAATTAATATAATTGAGAAACGCATATAGACAACATACGTGATCGAGGAACCCGATACCAGTCGACACTTCGATATTCTGCTTCGCACCAGCCTCAGGCGACCAATCGAGGTTGAGCGTCACCTCGATGGACGTCTCACTCGTCTGTCTTGATATGCTAGCCGTCCGAGCTGCCATTTCACCCATTTTCCTTTATATTCGAGAGACGAGCAAAGTGTTGAATGAGGGCTTTCTTGGTGTCCCGAGAGAGACAAGTGCTAATTACAGTATGGTAAACAAATCCATCAAGCGTCGATCTCAGTTTGAATATGAAATGAAAGCAAGCAAGCAGAAATTCCGCTTACGTGATTGGCCATGGCCTGTTCTCTTACCGCGAGGTCATCCAAACTGCTCGTGCATCGGGCAACATGGCCTCACCGCATCCCACGCAGCCTCATCTCTCGCAGAGACCAAACTCGGACACTACTCAACCTTCTTAGGAAGTCAAAGCCCGAAGCAACGACTACTCAAAAATCTGCATCACCACCACCGCGTCAAGTTCTATCACAGGATAACCTCTTCCATCCATTCTCGAAATCCCCGTTCCCCACTATCCAACAACGAGGAGAAGCAATCAAGAACCTCGCCCCATGTCCTGTATGTGCGAAAAGCGCTGCACTCGGACATCCGCATGTGACGCGTAACAACGTGAATTTCGAGTGCCCAGATTGCGGATGGCCGACGCATTGCTCGGAGGAGCATTGGGCCGCGGATACTGAGCATCAGAGGTATTGTGGAAGACTACGTGAGGTGAATGAGGATGAACATGATTTGAGGAGTGGAAGGAGGATGACGGAGTTTGAGTTACCCGGTATGTATTTCTCTATCACTCTTTTTTCTGTGTCTATACCTTGAAGAGAAAAAACTGAAATTAAAAAATAATAGGACCTATGGAATATGACGAAACCGTATCCTTCGCAAACTGGGATGTATTCTGGTATACTCGCGGATTCCCGTCGATGGATACGGAACGTATGCGGAGGCACGCTAGCAAGTTGCTAACATATCCCATGACCATCGCCTCGGTGCTTCACCAAAATAGCGGACTGACACTAAGCAACCAGCGCGTCACTCCCGAGGGGATTCGTTCTCTCGCAGGTTAGTTAATTCATCTACTCCTCGGTTCTATTATTTTGTTTAACACTTAATGTATTTTTATAAAAATTTCCGCTAGCTCTGCGATCTACATTGCACGTCCCGCTCGGCTCACCAGAAACAGAAGAAGCAGGCGTCGGAAAACCCGTGTTCCGCGTCTTTATCCTCGGCGCACGCGCGGAGTCGTCCCTTCCGCCGCATGTTTGGGAACAACTTAGCATGCTCTTCCCCTCGGTGTCGTTACATTTGCATTTTATCGGTCCGCAGGTCTCGTTGCCGAAACCGGAGGAGATGGAGAAGATGCGGTCTAAACATACGACGAAGAAGACCGAGGCGGAGGTAGAGAGCACTACGTCTTCTCCGTCGGAAGAGATCGCGGCCAAGTCTACTGCTAAAACGACACCAACAACCGAGGAAACATCAACATCTCCCTCATCTCCAGAACATACCAAACCAAACTACCTCCCCAACATCTACCAACCCCCCACACCAGCTCCCATACCAACACACAAACGCACACGGTCCTCCGTCACTCTCTACGGCGCACCCTCCTACACAGTCCCCTTCGCGCCACAAATCTCGATGACAGGGATCCAAGCACCCTACACCTCAATTCACCCTCTCCTCTCCGACTCACTCGACCCATACACAGATGTGTTCTTCCTCTTCTCCCCCGGACTCGGCTTCCCCTCCCCCTCCGGCTCCTCTCTCCAAATCTCTTCACCAACAGAATGGGGTGGCACCCTCCCTTTACTCCTCCAATCCAAATGCGCGATTTTCGTCACGGGTTTTAGCCCAGCGGACGTCGAGCGGGACGTTAGGTCCCTCGCTACTGCAGATGGTGTAGCGGGTGAGTTCGATTGGGTCGTTACACCTGGTGAGAACGCATTTGGGAGTGAGAAGTGGGAGGTGGCGGATTTTGATCCGAGGGTGATGGTTAAGACTAATTGGGGGATTTGGGGGATTAGAGGGAAGAGGAGGGATATTAGGGAGTATGGACGGTAGGACAGTGGTAGGATGGTAGACTGTAGGAGTTTACTTGCCCAATTGCCAATTGCCACTGCTCACCCTTGCATTCTCAGGAGATGCACTGGCACTTCGGTTTTGGTAATAGAAAAATTGTAATCTCCACTCCGTTCCTTTCCTTACTGTTTCTCTATTTCGTTGGTAAACTGCAGGAGTAGCATAATGAACTCTATCTAACTATAAATACAGAATATCATAAAGGAACGTAAGGAAGTAAACCATCATCATCAATGCGGGAGACGTAAAAATATACAGAAGAGACCAGTGATAAAAGCCATAAACCAGCACCAGTCGCATGTGAAGTCATTTGTAAAGAACCGTATGAGAGGAAGAGAAAAATGCATAGGGATGAATCGAATCAAAGTCATGCCCAGACAAAATGAAATGAAGTAAAAATGCGTAGAATTCCGATGCTTTTTGGAGTCCTCATCCACTCTTCCCAGTAGGTCCATCAACAGCTTCCTCGACAGCCTCTCTGGCAGTCTTCTTCGTTGCAGCTGCGGCACTTAAAGTCGCTACCGCATCGCGGGACTTCTTCGGTAGCTTCGAATCCACGGGTATGCGAGGTTGGACAGTAGGGAACGTCTCACGAACGGAATTTTCGAGGATAGGCCACATCTCGTCGCTCGTCTCCCCTGCAAGGCTCACGATCTTCAACCCTCCACCAACTCCCCCTCTCCTACTCGCACGTTCCTCCTCAACTCGACGCGTATAATATCCTAATAACGGAGCAGTCGCGCGCTCGTATGCTGCCAGACGACGAGAATAGACTTCTGGTCTATCGTCTGGACGTTGGGTGAGTGGTTCGCCTGTGAGGTCATCGTGTCCTGCTATACGTGGAGGGTTGAAATGTGTGTTGTAGACTCGTCCCGAGCCTGGGTGGACGAAACGCCCTGCGATGCGTGCGTGGAGGATTGGTTCGGGGACGGTTAGGGTTACGAGGAGCGTCAATGGCATGCGTGCTGCTCTACATTATGTGAAACAGTAATATAAGACGAAGCAAAGAGTGAAGGAAGGAAGGGTGAGCATGTATGAGAGATTTGATAGCACGTGAAATACACACCGTAAATGCGTGTCAAGAAGGTCGCCCTGACGAATCGTTCGCGGGAAGCCGTCAAGAATCCAATGTTTGTCATGTAAGTAATCCAACTTCGACGTAGCGATTTGGAGCATTAGCTCGTCTGGTAGGAGGTCCCCTCGTGCTACGATCTCTTTTGCTTGTCTCCCAATTTCAGTTCTAAATTAAATACGATATGTATTAATAAGTTTAGTTTGCAAGGGTATAATTGGCGTGGGTGGGAGGTGATCTGACTGACTTTTGAGCGATATGTTGACGAAGCAGGTCACCCGTCGAGATCGAGACGATGTCAAATTTCTTGACAAGACGTTCTGTCAACGTACCCTAAGTTAAACAAAGTTACAGTAATTTAGCGCCATTGGAAATACCACGTTGAAAAGAAGGCTTGTCAAAGTAATAATTTTTATAACTCACCTTGCCTGCTCCTGGTTTGCCGAACATAACCATGCGTAACATCCCATCCTCTGCGGGCTCACTATGAACAGCTGCGTTCGCATTGGTGTTGAGAGTAAAAGGTATAGCCTTCGTTCGGTCTGGTGTCCCCGAGAATGCACGTCGGCTCGATGAAGTCCGTACTGAAAAAGTTAAACGAAAACTATGTCCTCGTGCTGGACTGAGCAATAACGTCGCCGACATCGTTTGCCTCTTTCCAGCAAACTAGATGGACGAAGGAAAAGATGACTCGGCTGCGGGGAGTAGGTAGCAAACGGATTAGCAATTGAGCAAGTGAAGGGTCAGACGACTTTTAGTCAGAATGAACCGTTGGGGAATGGGTTTGGTGGTCGGAAATTGTGATTACGAGTATAATTACAAGCAGCTACTTACCGCCGCCAAGGCTAGCCCTCGTCAAACTAGCAGTCTCGTCGTGGTTGAAAGCGACGACTGTGAATTTACGCACCGAAGAGAAAGTGAGGCGACGGAGCGGTCCGGGACGCGGAGGTCCTACTACGTACAATGAACAACACAGGACCGCACATGTTAGATTTGCGGACAGGAACCGGCTCATAACTTTATCACCCTTCTTCCCCGCTCTTTCTCCTCAATCATCCGCGGCCAGATGGGTGTCATTGACATTTCGATGTCTAGCAAATGTATCGTCCAGTCTAAATAATAACTCTGTTCTGGAAACAGAATATTTTAAAGCAGCTCATTGTCCTCATTAGTCAAATATCCTTCGTCTCATAAGACAACTTAAAATACTTTATTTTTAAACATGGAGCTCCGGTGCACACACACAGTAAGCTGCTTGGATACTATCAGATGGTATCCGCACATATCCAGGCAGGCAACCTGGGATCGCGGAAGAAGTTCGCATGTATGCAACCCAGCAAAATCAAAAGTTTAGTGCTAGGCCTGAGTAGGTTCCCACGCCTTACCCCGGCGACTCACAAAAACGCAAATCCGACGCGCCACCCTCTTTTCTCCACTAACAAAGGTTGTCCCCTTCGGGGTGACATACGAAAAAATTGGAACGATACAGAGAAGATTAGCATGGCCCCTGCACAAGGATGACACGCTTTTCAGAGTGGAATGCACTTCGGTGCACAATATTTATTATCATTTTCACCTTTCATTTTTAATTTACTTTGCTTTCTTTAATTTCGGATTGTTTTCTTTGGCTATACGTTTGTAATTCAATTTCTTTGTTTTATAGTCCTCAAGATACTACATTTTTATTGAAATTGTAAATGAATCACACCCCAGGAAATTACAGTTAGTTTGTCTGATAATCTTATACATTTACTAGAACTGCACAATCTGTTGAGTTCATGCGTTACCATGCCACAAATACCTGTTTATGCTACTGTCCAAGAATCCAAGGATATCCGCGGGACCGAAATGACCGTATGCCGAACATGCATTGCATATGGTGAGTGGCCCATCATCTTTCAGCAATAATAAATAATATTTATCATTCTACAGACAAACTCTGCTCGGTAACCAACCAACAGCAAGATCGATTGTTCAACAGAATCATTCTTGAGAGGCCTTTGTTCTTCCATGCTGTCGGTATTTTCCGTTGTACCACAATTCGATCCAGATTACTTTGAGGAATTTCCAATGTACGTTATGCCCATGGATATATCATATATATGCCGTTATTTCATGATACTAGTATTTTCTCATTACAGTGTACCTTCTGATGCATTCTGATCAATAGACGTAGTCTGCGTTGTTGTTATACTGGTGTACGTTAAGTTAAGTTGCATACCTTGTGGTTCCATGTCGGTCCCTGTTGTTCATCAAAATAGATGACTGTTTTGGACATTTGGTCTTCCCTTTTACAAATTGCCTTGTTATCCTCGTGCTGTAACCTGAGCGAGCCATTATGTCAATAGAATAAAGATAAGGATTACTTTGCGAACAGGGGCCGTCACGGGACATTACATTTCGATGAGGGCAGATGCTTAGACTACGTATTAACAAATCTTCATGACGTTCATTACAAGGTATGAATCAAAGATTACAATGGAAAAGTAGAACATGCGGAATTCAACGGACTCGTCATTTCATATACTGAAATATCTCTTGGATATCAAGTTTTGGTCATGACGAGCCACGTTCAGCCCTCTCTGTTCGCATCGCAAGAGCGGCCTCTACTTCCCACCTCCTCATTCGCCTCTTTCTCTTCTTCCCCTTACACGTTCCCTTCTCCCGATGTCTCCTTAACGCATCACTCCTAGAAAACTGTGTCCCACAACCTGAGCATGCGAGCGCCTTGTCTTCATCATGTGCTTGATGATACGCCTTGAGATGTCGGATAAGGTCACCAATACGCGCGAAGCCTCCAACGCAGGACCTGCAATCGGATGGTGGGAGCATGAAGGTACTTGTTATCGATGGACGGGTAATGGGGTGCTGTGATGATACGAGGTCGGTATAGGTTATTCGTCTAGTAGTAGAAGTAGTCCTGGCGTTTGGCGACGACATAGGCGCTGGCTTCTTCTTTACTCGTTCCTCGTCCGAATCCGAGTCACTCGTATCATCAAACGAGTCATAATCGATACTAGTCGAACTCTGTACCCTTCTTTTCTTCGAGGCGTGTTTTCCCGACGTAGTCTTGTTTTTGCTATTAATATTCGTAGAGGATTTCCGTATTCGGGCGTTTCTGGAAAGCTGTACTTCGGTCCCGCCGAAGTCGTCTTCTTCATCTACTTCTTCGTCCTTGAATAACACTTCTAGTCGACGTTTCGTAATAGACGCTGCGCGACGTGGGCTGAATGTTCGGTCCAGCAAGGGTATTGGTTCTTCTGTTTCGGTCTGCAATTGCACCCCTGTATGTACGATTGGAGCATTGCCTTCCAAGGCGTCGTTATTAGGTATGCCATGCTGTCTAGAATCCATCTTTGTAACCGATTATTATGACGTACACCGAGGAAACAAGTTAATGACTCACAGCTTTGCAAATTCCATCAACAGTATGCTGGCTAGTATCCCAGTTCAGTGCGTCCTCCTGTAAGGTCTCGCCATTGTGATCGAGTAAAGCCCTTGAACCGCTGGTGCTTGCACTTGGACATTGCACTTGTTGAAGCCCAGTCGAAGTAAAACCATCATTGAACATGGAATCAAAGGGTGGAAAGAGCTGCATTTCCGGTAGTTCTGGCGACACATAGACAGGTGACGGCTGCGGAGATGCAGACGCAGAGTTCGAAGAGGAACACGAAAGTGTCGAAAGCGATGAAGAGTCGGACATAAGAGGAGATGCCGTAAGGCCTAACTGCGTTTCCCAATCATCACTGCTAAGAGCCTTTAGCCAGGCATCATCCTCGATAGTGAGGCTTGAAGTCGAAGCGAGAAGGTCATCGACTTCAATGACGTTAAAGTCAAAACTAAAACGCCTGTCCGCAGGCGTTACCATTGCGTTAAGATCGCCCCGAGCCGTTGCAACGTCATTATTTGGGATATTGCCACAGAAAGAACCGGAGAAATTTGTGCCGAACATTGTCAGTATAGAAGTGAGGCGTGGTGCATTCAAGGAAACGGGAGTACTTGAACGAGATTGAGCTACGTGTTAAATGCGTGAATGCTCTAGGATGACTCTGACACAGTCAGAACAGCGATTATAGGAGGACAGCACAGAACAGGAGGATTTATGCAAGTAATGCATGACCGCGCGCGTATTCAGCTTTATAAATTCCGCAGATAAACAATAACGGATATATGTTTCGCAGCCAAGTAGCACATAGTGAAGTTTCGAAGGGATCAATCGCGTCACGTCAGGGCCCCTTCAGCCAAACAAGGGGAAGAAGCACAAAAGATGCAGCTAGCACTATTCCCCAATTATACGTCGCGTTTGTCCCGAAGCACTCGCCGGACACCCCGTACCCCGCTCTAGGCTCGCAACATAGTAACCGAAGCTAGAAAAGTCGAATCAAGCCAATTAAAGTTAAAGTTCAACATTACAATCAAGCCGAAGCGATCGACACAAGAAAATGAACATAAAATTCCGTTTATCCCTGTGGACAACACCTTCCGAAAACAATTATATAAGGGAAAAGCCGTGGAACATAAGTAAGGCCGTATCGTAGATTGAACATCACTTTCACGGCATGCGAGCTCTTTAGATATTTTACCCTGGTCATTCCGACAGGTCCGCGGGGCCCCATAGCACGCATCGTCCACTCGCATTTCCAGATGCTGCCCTCTCGACGATACTCGGATGAGAGCAGGTGACTGCTTGCGTGGCGGATATTCTGGCATCAAGGTTTATGAATGGCACATGTACTTTGAAGAATGAAAGGGACGTACTTCTGGCTGTCATACAGCCGCACGAGGAGGTCACCCTGCAGAGATAGTTGGTTACCTACCAGGTACGCAGAAATTCCCGGCAGAACATACCTTGCCACTAAAGATATCCAAGGAATGCTTCATGTTACCGATCTGGCCGAGCGAAAGTATACACCCGCAAGAAGAGCAGAACAAATAGGATGAGCCGATCGCGACGAGGAGTAAAAACACGAAAAACAAACCGTGAAGTGTGGATATGCGTCGGGATTAGGTGACCACTGTGCTTTGAAGATAGTGACCCATCTCCCCTACAGATAAAAGTCAGCCACAATCAGGAAACTCGACAAGCAAAAAAAAGCGTTGTAAAAGCGATGCAGTAAAACCAGTTAAACACGACGAGATTTGTTGACTCACTGTCTGACAGTCGTGTTTGATATTGCAGAACGGCTTGAAGGAGCGAAATGCGCCTCCTCTGTTCAGCTCATCACCGACGTCCCATACTATCAACAAAAGCTATAGTCAGCTGCGATAATCAACGTGATACAGTAGGCGTGCTGGTGCACGTCCCAATGCATGGATGACTTAGCATACTCACTTCGCAGATTGTCATCATAACACGTGCTAACGATACTCCTCCCTCTTGGATCCCAGTACGCTGCACTGACTGACTTGTTGTGCCGCCATTCTCCGAGTAACATGTCCTTGCCCTTCGATTGCTTGTATTTCTCTAATTGTTCGGGTTCATAGGCTGGTGGATAATCCGCCTTACTGAGCAAGTTAAGCGGCATGTCACCAAGCTTTCTTGCATCCCATATTCTAGTTTAGAGTTAGATAATCATAGAAGAATTAGACATGAGAAATTCCGTACGTTAACTTTCTGCTATTCGACGCAACCACCAACTTTTCCGGATCAGTTGGGTTGACACTAATACAACCGATCTTTTGGTCCGACAAGTACCAGCGACGAGCCTTTGACTTGTCTTCTCGTAAATCGACGTGCGACAAACCACCCTCGGCATCCGATACCCACATCTCTTGGCCCTTTGGCGGTAAATCGAAGCTGCAGATAAGGGTGCCTTCCACAGAAAATACCTCGCGCGAAATTCCGGTATTGAATGCGGTACTGCGGATAGTGCAATCGTATGCGCTAGTGAAGACCTACAGATAATATAGTCTTAGTAGGCGTAATGGTCGAATTCTTAATGCCTCTTACGCTGTGAGAATCGACTGGATCAAACTTTATGCATGATAAAGAGGATTTAGCCGTCGCAGGCCAATGCGGCTGCAGGCGCCAATACTTCCCTCCTTCTCGGTCGTCAACAACTGGCACGTCTCCGTCCTCTACTTTCACTTCGTCAGGAGGGGCTCTTGCATCCCAAATCCCGAGTTGCCCGTGTTTGTCTATTAGGCCATGAGTTAATTTCGATTCACAAACGATCTGTTGAAACTGCATACCACCAAAGAATATAAGATCTTTTGATTTCTCCGGGTGGAAAGCAGCGCTATAGATTCGGTCTTGCGTGACTTTAGCACGACTGACGATTTTCATTTTCTGCAAACTTTCTCGCAGACGCTCAATTTCTACCTTCTCACTCGCGTCATCGTCGTAAACGAAAGCGTCGCGTGCTGCAATCCGGCGTGGCTGAGGTGTCTGCACTATGGATTGTAGAGTAGATTTAAGATCGGATTTTTCTCCCTCCGTTGCTCCTTCTGGTTCCATGAGTGTTGATAAATCGAGGTCATGGTGTCTGGGACGTTTTGCTTCTCTTGCCCGTTCTTCTGCCGCGAGACGTTCTTCCTCTTCTTGTTTGCGTCTCTTCTCCGCTTCAGCCTATATAATGGGTCATCAAAACACTAAATTCAGAATTGAATCGAAATGAAAATGGTAAACGCACCTCTCGTTTCCGTCTCTCCTCTGGAGTCAAATTAGGATCAATAACTTCCTTTCGCAGACGAAGTGACTGTCGCCTAGGTTCAGGAACACTAGACACCTCCCGTTTCACCCTTTTCGCGGGTTGGATAGGCTTTGCTTTGGGTTGCTTCTCCAGTTCACGTTTCCGTGATACGAGGTTCGCCGCTGCCTCCTTGAGATTGAGAGATTCAAGAAGTGCTTGGTTTCGGGCAATGTTAGCCTGTCGCTCAAGTTCACTGTTTAACAACATAAATAAAAGTCAGTGTTTAGAGATAAAAATTAATCAAGTAAGGATAGACGAACTATTCCGTTAATTTCGGCATCGTGAAAGTTACTTGGTGGTGGTCTAAGTCCGATCTGCGGGTCACGACGCAGCCGGGAAGAATGACACGATCTCGTCACGACCATTACAAATGAAAACGCGCTCAGTCACGGCTGAGTAACATCACGCATTGCTATGTGTGCGCCGATCGCTTAATCGATTGGCATGTATACAAATACAATCAATTCATTCAACTGGAAGTCACGTAGTTACCACCACCATGTCTGCTGCGTCCGGAATAGGTGTCTCCAAAGAACTATCTGATACTTTCTCTGCTGCAGTGGAAGGAAGTACTGTCCGTTTTGTCAGAGTGGCTATCGAGAATGGCATGTCCTAATTTATTTCTCGATTAAACTGCGCTCCATTAACGCGCTTTCGTTCATTTGCTAGAAACGCTTGTGCCAAAGGGTACCACTGATATCGAAGGTGCAACACTAGAAGACGATCTTGAGAAGCTACAAAGTCTGCTCGAGGACAACGAACCTACATATGTGCTTGCGCGCATCGGACCGAACGATGGTTGGTTAGCGATCTCGTACGTCCCAGACACAGCCAGCGTACGAGGTAAAGTAAGTAGGCCAGCCCGCATAATACCAGCTTTGATATGTAACTGATGGAAATATTCGATAGATGTTGTACGCCTCGAGCCGCGCGACGCTTATAAGGCACCTCGGCTCGACGCATTTCACAGACAATCTCTTCGCGACATCCAAAGCGGACCTCACGCCAAAAGCGTATGCTGCACACAAAGCTCATCATGCGGCTCCTCAACCTCTCTCCGCCCGTGAACAGGAAATCGCTGACGCGCGTGCTGCGGAACGTGCTTCTGGTGCCGTTTACGAAGGGAGTAGCACCAGGCGTAATCATCTTGGGACGGTTGTAGGTATGCAGTGGAGTGAAGATGCAGAGAAAGCGGTTAGAGACTTGGGAGAGGGTGATAGGAGCTCACTCGTTCTTCTCGTGAGCTTTACGTTTCTTATTGTATTAGTACTAGCGAGATAAATGAAGCTGACGAAATATGCACAGAGTATAGATAGTTCAGAGACGCTCGTGTTGTCATCCGCTTCGAAGTGTAAGGTGGAAGAATTAGCCGGACGGATCCCTGCAACGGACCCTTGTAAGATACACCTCGCCTTCCCTATAAACATGTCTTGAGTTTCTTGTCTTTAGCATATGCATTCTACGCATGGTCTCACAACCACGGCACTCCATCTCCAAGGCGAGACATAAGTACGAAACTCAACCCCATACACGCTCAATCAATTAAACATTTCAACTAATCTAATCTTGCAGTTTTCATCTACGCCTGTCCCTCATCCTCCCCAGTCAAGAGCCGCATGCTCTACTCCTCTGGAGCTCGAGCACTATACCACGTCGCCAAGAGCTCACTCCTACCATCCCCATCTGAGTCCTCACCATCTGGCCTCGTCGAACGTAAGATAGAGACCTCCGAGCCCTCAGAACTCACTGAAGAGTTCCTCGTCTCCGAGCTCGGACTGAGTTCTGATAACTCGAAGAACACAGAGACGAGCCCGACCAAGGTGAGTAGTGTGGAGAGAGGATTTGCAAGGCCTAAAGGACCTGGGAGGAAACGTTAGAGTAAAGACGAGAGCAGGTGGAGAGATAGACGAAAGCATTTCTTGTACCGTTTGTTGCATTGTAGCTTGGTTGTAAAATAAATCGCATGCACTTTTACCCGCCTGTATTCGAGCTGTGCCAAGCAAGAGGAACGCTTATTCCCATTCCCTCAAGAGTAAATATTACTGTTGACACTAACATTTTGAATTACATTCTTGAGTACAGATACAAGTGACCGTACATGAGTCTACCACATAAATAGGAAACCGTTCCGGAGTCATCCCTGTGTGCATGAGGTACGTGGAACATGTAGATGACGGAATAGATTTGTATGATTGCAGGATGCAAGGCAAAGCAATATAATAGCAAGACGACTCAAAACCAAGAGTTCCAAGGATGATGGAGAAACAAGAGATGAAAGAATACTTAAGGCTGAGGTAACCAACTATCATCGTGCACCCTCGCACAAAGTTTGAAGGAAAAGCTCGAGATCTTCTTTCTTGATCTCGAGGATGTTGGTGTCAAATGTACTGTGCCGTGTACGTGCGTTACATCTCTCCTTCGCATCAAGGAACGCCAAACCGAATTCACTAAAGAGTAATACATAATCAGTCTTTAATCAACTAGACGATGGGCTAAAAGAAAAGCTTACTTCTTTCGAACATCTCCCATCTCCAAAGCAGCGTTAACACCCACGACGAGGTACGTCTGCTCACGTTCATTCAAAGCAGCAACAACAAACGGAAGACTCTTCTTCTTCGATTGAGAGAACGCTGCATGCATGCCCTTGACACGTTCCCGCATAGCATCTACAAGCCAGCGTGCAAGTCGTGCTAGTGGGCCAGGGGAGCAGAAAAGTGCAAGATCTGGTCCTTGAGTGAGTAAAGCGACTCGATGACCACGCATGGTACGAATTGCTCGAGCGTCAATTAACGCAGATCCTGTGCGGATCACTGCACGATGCAAACCCATTGAAAGCCGAAGAGCATCACGAAGTTGCGTTATGCTACCAAAAAATAGTCTTATCAGTCTTCCTTGAGTTAATCAAAGTTAGCTAGTTTACTTACTCATTAAGTGAATCAAAAGCTGTCCAGAAGTTCCGAACCCACCACTCTAACCGCTTCTTTCCCTTCTCTTCATCACTTTCCTCGGTGTTCGGTTTCTGCAATGGTAGTTGACCACCAGGAGGGATGTTTTCCCTTTCATCATCACGCCATCGAGCCTGTTGCTGCCCATGTAGCTGCCAAACATGACCACCACCAAACCATTCGCCACCATTTCGCGCCCCTTCGATTTCTACTTCTAGTCGAACACCACCGGCTGCGTCAAGCAGTGCGCTTACTGCTTCGACACTATCAGCGGCACTTAATGGTGCCACACGATAGCCGCAACATCGAGTAAAGGAGGAATACGAGAGTTCAACCATGCCGTACTCGGGAGAGATCGCCTCGAGCTTGGAATGAAGATCTTTCTTGAGTGACATGTCCATATGCGAGTACGGCTGCTGACTCTGCACGGTTGAGAATCTACGGACTTAAGATTAGCATTTTATACATGCTAACAGGTATGTACGTACCCCATCTTTGCCAAAAGGCCGTGCAGACGCTTACGACCTTTTTCTCGCCATATGTTTAATTTACTAGCAACGTAACCTGAATGCATCATCGCATCATAAAGATTCCAGTGTCGCCAAAGCATGAATCGTAATTCCTCCACTATCCGTATCGAGTTATCATCTGGCCCGCGTGCACTATTGGATGCATAATGCCGTCGATCCTCTCTGACGTCCTTGTTAAGGCGTTTGACCTCATTTGCGTAGAGCGCGTAGTATTGGTCGTATTTTTCCCGCGAAATTCGCGAAGTCGCGTATTGAAAAGTGACTCCGAGAATAGCGAACCATAGTAGATCGTTGTCGGCTCGTGCAAGTACGTTCGCGAGGACGTATACAGTTGAAGAGGCTGCTTGTCCATAGTATGTACCAGACATGTAGTATTTCTCTATCACGGCAGTGTAATGCTCTCGATCTTCAGGACTAAGACGATTTGGATCCTGTAAGACTTTATTAGTATTGTTCATGTGTGATCCTCGAAATAATACGCACATCTTCCAGCCTTCGTCGTTTCCGTTTCGTACCTGGTGATGATCGCCTTCTTTTGCCGGATGATGACGATCCACCCAAACCCTCGTCTTCATCTTCATCTTTGCCCTCTTCTTCCTCTGAGTCAGAGTCGTCATCATCAGAGTCGTCGTCGGAATCGTCCGGAGCGTAGGCGAGAGCTTCCCAAGCCTTCTTCTGTTCCACAAGAGCTTCTGCATCACCATCGTCCCAAATTACAATCTTTTCATCTGGTCCGAATAGAGATGCCAGGTTTTGTGGTCGATTCGAGTCGATGACATGAACACGCAGATGCTGAGGAAATTCCCCAAACCACTCTTCAGTTGGTAGGTCGAAGATGGCGCCCATGTTTATGAGGATGAGTGTTCGCAGCTACTTACATTTCAAGACGCAACCCTATGTTGATTAACAAAGGAGAAAACGCACCTCAACATTGGAAACCATCTCGTCTCGTATTCGCATCAGTTCGTCAATACCTGACACCGGGATAATACGGTGCATTATATCGTCCTGTTTGAAAAGGTCTGTAAGCATGCGAGCAGCACAGAGAGCATCGACGTCTGGAGCGACCAGCATGATGAGTGAACTAGCAGAGGATCGCGGTGAACTGCGATGCGTGGCCAGGATGTCATGGTAGGCTTGTTCGTATCCTCGCTTCGAGGGACTTTCGTACTGCGGTGGGGGAAGATAGACCATTTCTCCTAGCCCAGGGCAGGGCAACGAAAGGTGGGAAGAAAAGGGGAGGGGAAGGGATAATAGTTTGCCGCACTTAGACGCTGACTAGCGAGACGGAAACAAAGTGAATTGTTGTGTGTAGGTCAAACAGAGTCGCGTGACTGCACACGCGCCGGTGTCACGAATCTCGATTACCACGTGCCTGTGACATAACGCGATGCCAGCGTCGTTTATTCCGCCTGCCTTAGCGTTCATTAAAGTCTTTCCTTTTCGTCCATCCAACAACCTCGCTGGCCTTGATAACCTTGAGTACGAAAGTTTGCCCCTCAAAATCCCCAGTTTCAACTCTGTTATTATTCCCAACGCTCGAATCTGACGAGAGGCAGTTGAGCTTGAAACAATGGCCTTGAATCTTGATCGGCCATGCCTGATGGCCGCAGGAATGTACTGGAGTGTATCGCTGGTTTAGAAGACTGGTCTGCCTCTGACATGCTTTCAAGTATCTTGACTTCATGCAACTCGCAGGATTCCTACAAATGAAGCTTCATTTAGACTGTTGGCGCTTAAAGAATGAACGTCGTGGCTTATCATCATTGATATTGCGATAATCGTGACATATCGTGCTATCTCCCTCTCCTTACTGGATAACGGGGCATACGGAAGTTACATAAACTAAATCATCCGCTCCGTGGCTTGCGCGCAAAACGTGTCTAGACGTCTGCTTCCTCTGGCCACTTCCGACATGTATTGCCTGTATCTGCTGCATCGTGAGCCTTCCACCTGCCCACCATTCACCGGCCGACTACTTGCTGCTCCGCGCCTTCCTGTACTGCTCCTAGCTTTTAAACTCCTCGTCAGCTACCACTCCTAGCATAGTAGCCAACACCCGCAGTATCTGCACAATGAACTCTGTACGGGCTCTCCCAATGTTCCGTTCGTCTTCCCAGTCAACAGACCCAGACTCAGAAGTAGTTGTCGGCTGCTACAGGCGAACCGATGAGCCATGCATGCTCACATTCAGAGTTTGTACCATTCTCCAATCGATATTTTACTGCCTTCTCATATTTTCCGTACTCTTTTGCAGGTCGGGGATCCCGTATGGGCCCGCATTGACGGAGTATGGTCACTTGGTGTGGTTATAAGTGATTGCTATTTACAACAAGGCAAAGTGCGTTACTTTCATTGTCCTTCTTGGTTCGCGGTCTAACAACTTCAGCAGTGTGGAGGCCGCCCCATCCCTACTCACACTGTACTAACACGTGTTGGCTCGCTATCCGCACCACTCACGCCAATTCCATTATCAACGCTCTTCGGGACTCTAAAACCGGTTGACACGTATATGGCTTCTTTGCTTCATGCTGAGGGCAAGTTCCCGTCTTATGGCAATGATCGTGCAATAGTACTGGACCTCCAAATGACGGCACGGCAATGGATGGAGCAATGGCGTCGAGAAGCGAAGGCTCGAAGAGGCGGCAGGTAATGTGGCTTGAGCCTGCAGGTGGTTTTCTTTTCCTTCTTGACCTCTTTATGAATGGCCTGTAGACTTGTGGTTAATGTGACCTGGAGTCGTGTTACCTTCGCGAAGCCTACGTTGTGCACGCTTTCAGTACTGTTTAATTGTATAAGTGATACATAGTATATTAATATTGTATCTCTAATTACCTTTGAGCTTCTCAAGTTGTTTGGGTTTGGGCCGCGGATCGCCGTATGATCGACGCTCGTAATTGTATTACCGCGTGTACCGCTTACTTCAACACCTTACCTCTCCCACAATCATGGCATCCTTGCCCATCACCGCCCAAAATCTCATTGGGCTGAAAGGCGTCAAGAATGAGAATATCCACTCTACAATACTCTACAGCCTGGGTCTTCTTCCAGTCAGCTCTTTCAGCACGATGCAACCAGGTACCATTCACAGCTAGCCCAGAACGTGTTCTGAATCCCGAATTTTCGAACTATGTTGACCATCTTATGGAGCTGTGGAACGTTAAGGGCGTCTCGATGGCCGTCATTAAACCTGCAGGTGACGTTGAATTTGGTTCGTGGGGAAATAGGACTGAGGATGGTGAGCCCATGTCACCAGAGGTTCGTCTTTGTTTTGCTTCTGATGTTATGGGTGTTTATATAGCAAAGAATTAATGATTATTGTACTTTCACCAGACGTTGTTTGGGATAGCTTCGTGCTCGAAGGCGTTCCTTTCTGCATCACTAGGTGTTCTATTCGATGACTACGCACACGGGAGGAACACCACTCCGTTGCCAGACGGACTTCGAAAGCTTGATTGGGAAACGAAGATCAAGGACGTCCTTCCCAACGACGAGTGGAAGCTACAGGATGAATGGGCGACGGAGAAGGCGAATTTTAAAGATATTTTGTCTCATTTGAGTGGCTTGCCGAGGTTCGTTCTTATTCGTCTCTCTTTGATATCTTTACTATGAGAGAACGAAACTGAGGGTGAAGCGTTCTGTAGACATGACGCCTCGTATGGTCCCGCAGATTCTCCTGCAGACAATTTGCATAAATTGCGATACCTTCGACCTGCTCATGAGCTAAGGCAGAAGTTTTCGTATAATAATCAGGTCCGGATTTCACTGGTCTGACTTCATGCTTCATATTAAAGCCCAATGTACTTGACATTACAGATGTACGTCGTCGGGTCTCATATCCTATCCAAATACACCGGATCGCATGCGAACTATACTGCGGAACGTATATTCAAACCTCTCGGCATGGAGTCTACTACCTACTCTCCAGATGTGGCAGCCAAGTCTGGTAAATTGACGCACACATGGACAGCGCATGGACAGAGAATACCTTACTCGATTCTTGAAGAAGAGAAGGACTTGATAGCTGGGCCTGGAGGGGTCATCTCTAATGTTGTTGATCTGGTGAGCTGACTTTGTCTTATTTCTAGGGCACTGCTCGCTGGGACTAATCGAATATATAGTCGAAATGGGTAAAGATGCTACTTCACAATGGTTCTGCAACTGCAATGGATGGTCCTGGTGAACCACTCGTTTCTGTTCTTCCAAAGTCAGTGTTCGAGGCGGTGACAACTTCAAACACGATTGGTATGGGCCATCCGACGGCCCCGGAATTTTCTATTGTTGGATATGGACTTGGTTGGCAACGTGCGTCGTATCAAGGGCATGATGTCAGTTTCTACTTGCTACTCCTTCTAATACGAACGTTGTTTCTTATAATGGCATAACAGGTTCTTTCTCATTCAGGATCTATTCCTGGATTGACCAGTCATATATCATTTTATCCAGATGACGGCTTCGGCATAGTAACTCTACTTAATACCGCTGACAAGGATAGAGTTGCACTTGCTCTTCATTATCGAGCTGCGGAGGATATTCTGGGCTTACCGCATAAGTTCAGTGCCGAGGAGTGCGTCATCCAAATATTTCGTTATAATCACTTCACCTTGGACTAAATCTCTTCTATTTTTCAGGCCGCCAACCCCTCCAAGTCCACCGGGTACCCCAAACACAAGCACCCCTCTCCCACTGTCAGCATACAGTGGATTATACTCCAACCCAGGCTATGGTGTTTTCGTACTCTGTGACCCAGAATCAACTTCACACTACTGCGACTCCGTCCTATCCGACTTCCGCGCAGTCGACGCAGCTCAAAGTCTTCCATTCCCACCACAAACCGACGTACCTCAACTATTCGCAGCATGGCCTCGAATTTGGTCATCCCATGTCCGACTTGTTCACGCCGCGAATAACACAAACAAGTTCGATATCTCGTTCACTAGGTTGTTCCCTGAAGGATACGGTGCTTCGGACACCGCGTTTGAGGTATATGAAAGCGATAGGTATGAAGGACAGGTTGAGTTTGTTGTTGATGAGGAAGGGATGTCTGTGATTGGATTTGGTTATTTTGGTGTGGGTGATATGAAAGGGAATAGAGAGGAGGGCGTGAGTATTGAGGATGGATCTATTGCTTGGTTTACGAGGGTATGAAAATGAAGGCTATTCCTTTCCTCAATGAACGGGGGGATTGATTACAGAATTGGTTGTACTCCTTTGGACTGGGCAATTATCGAGTGAATGCGAGCTGAACGAGATACAAGTCTTTTTCGTCGCTTAACTACGGATAGTGTTGTTCGCAGTTATCTGTGCAGTCTGTCTCACATGCTCCAAACACGCCGTAAAGAGATGGTCGTCTGCATCATCCTGCTATCACTCGTCACAGCTTACCATGACCTCAACACAGGTCACTTCGAGTCCCATGGTGATTATTGAGGATCGGTGAGTGACTGAATTGCCTTGGGCTCGGGTGAAGTAATGGCTCTGAGAGCTCATGGCAATGCACTGGCAGATTTCTCCTTTTAAAGCGTACGTAAAGCCGTCACTGATAAATACCTATTCTGACTGCTTTTACAGAGATTGTAGTCGACTTCACTCGTTCACGTCCAAATCGCAAACTTCGAATCAAGCTCAAGGATGAATTGGGAACGCAATACGAATCGAAAATGTTTGAGCCGGGAGAAGCTTTGCAGTGGAACTGCGAAATGTATACGGCCAGCATTAATCCATTCATTATTCACAGTACTAAAATACATTATTGTCAAGATACATAAAATCTCCGAGCGTAGTTACAGTGACAATTCAAAGCTTCGGTCGCACGTTCAGAAGAAATCAAGCGGTCGAATTACGAATAGACTTTGGCTCGACCGATTTCCGTGAGAATTGCACAGCCGAACGAACTGGTATTTGGTTACTTTCAGAGTGTTATATAAATCGCTGACAGCGTGTTCAGGTGTGAGTGAAGGTGTTGCCATCAAGTTAACGTTCGGAATGCCAGGAAAGGTAGGACAGGGCAATTCACAAAGCAAATGGAAATTCGTGATTGTACCTTTAGAATATCAATTCTGCTCGATTGCTTGCCAACAAGGCTGTTTCTGCAGTTTCAACAAAGATATCTATGCTAGAAAAGATGGAAAAGGTCCGTGAGTACTTTGATGTTGTACTGAGAATTGAATTAGCAAGCTCCGAGGTGGGAATGCGGTTTATGTTGCAATATCTGTGGCTAAACAATTGTGGACTTCATGCAGGTTCATCCCTATGTTGAGGCTACTGCTAGCGGCCTTGACGCAGCCTTCAAGGTTTGAGCCGACTAGTTATAGTGTACTACAACTAATGTTCCTTCAGAGATTCCAAGAAATACCAACATGTCATCGCGAGTTTGTGGCCATCATGGAAGATGTCGTTTTGATACTGCCCCTATTGGAATCTTTACACGACCGCATTGAGGATACTGCAGTACTTGATATACTTAAAAGCTTCATTGATATTGTCGAACGTTTGACCCGGGATCTGGACCGTTATTCTTCTAAGACATTAACCAGTGCGTTACTAGTAACAGATTCCTGTAATTCGCATGACTGAACACTTGTGAACAGACTTCCCGCTAGACAACTGGTACAGATCAAAGCAGGATGAAATCACAGCATTCAAGAACCAACTGAATCTGTTGTGTTCAACCTTGAACACTGATAGTACCAATGACATCAGTGAGTCTCCGCCTTATTTGATGGACCACTGCTGATTGTTTTTACTCCAGAAAAAGAAAAAGATCTACCGGAAGAAGAAGAAAGTGCTCTCTGGCAGCTACGACCGCCTGCAAATAGCTCATTCGATCCGAAACGCTGCTGCCTTGAAGGCACAAGGGTTGATGTGCTGCGAACAGTCAATGAGTGGACACGTTCGACAGAACAATGTGGACAAATTTACTGGATTCACGGTGTTGCCGGATGTGGGAAGACGTCAGTCGCAGCGTCTATTTCAGCCGAGTTAGATTCGCGCAAGGCTCTGTCTGGTTCATTTTTCTGCAGCAGGGACATTCCAGAGTGCAGGAGTTCAATCAGATTTGTTCACTCTCTCGTGTATTTCCTGGCTAGAGCTTACCGTCCTTTCGAGGATTCTCTTCTTCGGCTACTTAGTGACGATCCTGAGCTCGTGGAGAAGCCATTGTCGACCCAGTGCAAAGCGTTGCTGCCATGTCTTCGTCTGAAGGCGTCTGCTGACGCGCAGCCTAAGCCGATCGTCCTCGTCGTCGATGCTTTGGACGAATGCGAGGACAGCCATAGCATATCCTCGTTCATTGTGAAAGTTTTAAAGCTAATACCATTTATAAAAATTATCCTGACCAGTCGGCCCCTCGCACGGATTCAGGATGCCTTGAAATCACTCGAAGAGCGGGAGTATAGGGTTTGCGATTTGTTCAAGGTGGATACTTATACCGACATCCTCCACTACGCGCGTGAAGAATTTAAGGCTAGCACGTGTCTGCCCCGAGATTTCCAGGATGATCAGATCGTCGTCCTTGCACAGAAGGCGTCAGGGCACTTTTTATGGGTCGTCACCATTCTGAAACACATCAGCACTTCGCCTTGGAAGAAGGAGATATTGAGAGATACTATTAGCTCGGCTCGCTCACATACATCCTCGGAAGAGCAACTTGATGCTGTGTACCAGCGAGTGCTCGACGATGTCTGCGAGGATTCTGCGGAACAGACGGATACGGTCAAACTACTCCTTGGACTCGTTTTCGTGACATCGAGAAACAGACCGATACCCGCGAGGGCGCTGTATACATTTGTCCCTTCCGATATCAGACTCGAGGACTTTCAAAGCATGCTGCAGGGTTTAGGCTCAGTTCTCTACGAGGAGTCTCAAACAGGTGTTATTCGAGCGTGTCATCCCTCATTTTTGGACTTTATCGGGAGTGCGAGAGCGAAGCGATATGAGGTTGAAACAGCAATATTGGACGCGAATATGGCGAAGAAGTGTCTCGATATTATGGCTTTTGGACTCAAGTTCAACATTTGCAGTCTAGAATCTTCGTATCTTCGTAATGATGAAGTTCCTGATCTATCAGAGCGCGTTGACCGCGAAATTTCTAAACAGTTGCAATATAGCTGTCTCTACTGGTTGGACCACCTGTCCAGGTCTCAACTCGATGGAACAGGCAGAATATCAATAACGGAGAAGCTTCGTGAGGTATTTTGCCGGTTGAAGTCATTGTATTGGCTAGAAGTGTTGAGCCTCATGTCCGAGCTAAAGACGGCAGTATCGAGTCTTCGAGACGTTCCTCGTTTGCTCAAGGTTAGTTCTGAGCTTTATATAGAATCTTCATGTCACATCTAATGAAATGCCAAAGCTCATAAGCATAGACGACGAGCTAGGCACCATCATGAGCGATTTATACCGGTTTGCAATGGCATTCCACGAGCCGATGGCAGTCAGTGCATCACATATTTATATTTCGGCCCTACTCTGGGCGCCGTCCGAGTCTGTCATTGCGCAATTACACCGCGGAATTTTCACCAGTAGCAAGTTAGTTTTGGAAGGGCTCGAAAAGCATTGGCCAATTATGTTGCGAACGTTATCGGTAGGGTCTGAGGTTTACTCAGTGGCATATTCGCCGGACGGACGTCACATCGTCTCTGGATCTCTGGATAATGCCATTCATGTCTGGGATGCCGCAACCGGTATGCCTGTCGGTGAACCATCCCAGGGACATGAGAAAAAGGTCAACTCGGTTGTGTTTGCCCCAAATGGATGTCGTATCGTCTCTGGATCTGATGACTGCACCGTTCGTATCTGGAATGTTGAAGCTGGTACGCCTCTCGGCGAACCACTTCATGGGCACAAATTTCAAGTCCTTTCCGTCGCATGCTCTCCGGACGGGTGCCATGTCATCTCTGGATCGTGGGACAAGTCTATCCGTATCTGGAACACTGATACGGGTGCTCCTGTTGGTGAACCCCTCCGTGGTCATAATGGCGTTGTAAACTGTGTCGCGTATTCCCCAGACGCGCGTTACATCGTCTCTGGATCGTACGACAGCACGGTGCGCGTTTGGGACGCCGCTACTGGTAGACCCGTGAGTAGACGGCTTCAAGGGCATAGCCAACAGGTTAGCTCCGTCGCATATTCCTCAGACGGACTGTACATTGCCTCTGGATCGCACGACAATACCATTCGCATCTGGGATACTGGTTCATACAAACCAGTTGGTGAGCCGTTTCGTGGTCACAAAAGTGCTGTCAATTCTATTGCATATTCTCGAGACGGGCGCCGCATTGTGTCTGGATCTGCTGACAAGACTATCTGCATTTGGGACGCTAAGACGGGCATTCCGATCAGTGAACCGCTCTGTGGCCACGAAGGTTTTGTTGAGTCCGTTTCATATTCGCCGGACGGTCGTCACATTGTCTCCGGGTCTGTTGACAAGACCATCCGCATCTGGGATACCGAGACAGTTACGAGTACCCTTGTTCCCTACACTTTGGAGGGCCAGAGTGTTGACGCTACGTTGAGTGATCTTATCAATCTCATCCGGGATACCAGGACTGGTGAATTGTACCAAGGGCATGAAGATAACACTGATCCTATTGCCTATTCACCAGATGGACGTTACAGTGTCACTGGGTCTGATGGTTGCACCATCCATATCTGGGATATTGAGATGGAAGCACCCGTGGGTGAGCCACTCCAAGGACATAATCTACCTGTCTGTTCCGTTGCATTCTCCCCAGACAGTCGTCATATTGTTTCCGGGTCAGAAGACGCAACCATGCGTGTCTGGGATGTTACGACTGGTGGTATTATCGGTGCACCACTTCGAGGGCATGAAGACCGAGTCCATATTGTTATTTATTCGCCGGACGGACGTCACATTGTTTCTGCATCAAATGACAAAAGCATTCGCATCTGGGATGCCGAATCCAGCATCCTTGCAGGAGACTTGGACCAAGCCCAGGATGGTTGGATTGGATTCTCACAGGATGGGAAGTATACTTTGACTAAATCTAACAGAGATAATAAACTTGTGAGAATTCCTCCATTTATTCACATTGATGGATGGATTCGAACCTCGGATAGCAGACTTCTGCTGTGGGTTCCTCATGAATATCGAAACAGAGTTTGTGATATGAGCCTTGCTTCCTTTTCGCACTATGCACCTAGCCACCCTGTGAGGATCGATTGGGCTAGACTACCACATGGTACAACATGGACATCTGTAAAGATAGATAATTAGTTATAGTTGAACTATTAGTTTTGTTTCTGTCATTTGTCTACAGAATCAAGAAGGAACGTATCTTCCCTTACCTTCCCTTTTTAGAGACATTCTTCTGTTGACCTTTTCTTAAGTAACTAAAATTTTTGGTTTACTGAATGGTTCGTACTTTTAATGATTACCTCGAGTGAATCTGGGACGAAAGAATTATACATATTTAATTTTAAAGTCTCCACTCTTCAGGTCTTTGTCATCTTATGACGTAATCCTTATATGAAGATCGAAATGTCGCGTCTAAGTTCTGACAAGTATCAAACTGTTACTCTGTTTTACGCTCTACTATTTATTGTTTCCCAGTCTCTTTCCAGCTTTTCCCTGTATTTTGGATACTATCTGAACCTTTTGTCTGCTCTAACAGTAATAAGATGCCGGAGCTCAACGCGAAGCCGGAAAACATGATGCATCTACTACTACATCCAGGACTGGTATTAGATTAGCATTGTTGTCGATGATGAATTTGGTATTCTACTGCTGCATTCAAACGATTAGGTTATAGGGATATCTGCTAGATTCACGTCGGGACATTCTTATATCAAGGTCGATACGAGTTGTGACTGGTCAGTGCTTTGTATACTGCATTGAAGACGGGACTAAAGTTGCTGGGCTGACAGCTCCACAGAGCACCCGTCTCACTCAAGAATCGTCTTCACTCACAAAGGCTCAAGTCTCGCCTACTCACCTACTCACTCTCTACCATCATGACCAACCTCAAGGATCTCTTCCGGGCCAAACTGCGGAAGAACGACAAGCACCTCGGCGACGCTATGGGTTTTCCTGCCTCCGATCCTTTTTTTGTCAGTATGGTCAAGGATGCAAGGTCCAAGGGAACCAGTATTACCAACGGGTCAGACAACTCTTCAGAGAGTGTCGCGACTCGAGGCTCAGGGACTACTAGGATCTTCCTTGCTGCTAAATGTCTATTGGCTTCTAGACAGTTGAAGAGGCCAAAGATCAAGCGGTCGCAAAGTCTTCCTGGAATTAAGATTCACCGTTGTGGGCGGTCGAATCTTTTGGATCCATTACGCAGGAAACATCGTCCTCGTCCACTTATCAACAAGACGCTTAGTGAAGCCGACATTCGGTGTCTGCGTTCGGACAAAGCACCTCTCTCCGCCTTGTACAAACACCGCCTCCGGGAATATCGTCTTCTTAAACAAGAGCGTATCCTGAAAACGAATTACAGAATTCCACCCTCAAGCTTAGAGGGTAGAGGGGCAGGAGGAACTGGACTTCGTAGAGGACTAGGGATTCCAAAACATGGAGATATGTCTAAAGCACGATACGCGAGGAAGAACGTCTCCGAGCCTGCGGGAGTATGTATGACAGACTTCTCGTACATCTCTCCCGACATTGTGTCCCCCGCTTTACAAGAAGAGCTTCGTCTGAAGGGGTATACGCGTTCCGTCCTGGGAAGGATATTAGGACCGAATCGACGTGGACGGATCTCGTCAGCGGGTATGACTCCACCGTACCGCGACATAGACCCGTTGGACGAATTCGGGAGGTCACTGAGTCGCTCACTTGCACTCGGGCTTTATGGAGAGGAGTTCGAGAATGGGGAGAGTCTCGAGGAGTACGTCGAGTCGATCCCGTCTCGGTGGTGGAACTCTATCCTCGCTATTCCCTGCCCAATTCGATTTGGTAGGAACCAATTGGCACGTCGCTGGACGATGGCGTTCTACCTCTTCCTCACCTCACTAGGCTTCCTATTCGAAGCCGTCGCGCTCTCCTTCGGACTGCTTGAAAGACGTCGTCGTGGCGATTTCGGTGCGAAGCCGAACACGAAGAAGGATGCTACTATGATTTTGGCGACTGCGATGACTATGGGTATTTCCCTTGTCGCTATTTACGTCCTCTTTGTGTTTTGGACGCAGGTGGAGTGGGCGCTTGGGAGGAGGACGTCAGCGGTTTTGTTCCCAGGACAGGCATTGCTTCTTGTTTGATTTGATAGGTCTTTGATGATGGACTCGTCGATTTCTTCAAGTTCTTCGTCCCCCCTCCCCCTCCCTTGCCTTCCTTTTCATGTTTTGATATCGTTTGCTTGATTGATTGAGAGTGCTCGCCTTCGTTATATCATGTATGGTGCATTGCTTTATCCTGTATCCGAGTTCGTAAATGCATTCCTGTTTTGTAGGGCTATCATCTATGTATGTTGTTGCCTATCTTCTACACCAGGCTTACGAGTCAAAACGTGCTGTGACTATCGAGGGAATGAGGGGGTTCCAGAACCCATAGCAGCCGTCGAGTCATGACGCTAATAATAAACATAATAAAAAACGAAACTAAGTACCTCTGTTGCGTATGATGGTTTTAACGTATGAAGAAGTTTCGTTGCTCCTTTGCGGACAATCACTGAAACAATGCAGCGATTACTGCGAACAAAAGAAGACTCGTGTATTTCGGGAAGGAAGTGAAATGAGTAGGAGTAGTGTGATGTATCATGTATCATTGCATGTCTATCTTTTGTTGAGTACGTCCATGTGATAGAACAGAAGAAAAACAAAACAGGTATTAGGGGAAGAAAGGGCGGGGATTAATGTGCTTTCTCCACACCCTTCTTCCCGCTTTTACTTTTCGAAGGCGCAGCAAGTCCCGCAACTACCCAGGCACCAAAAATCAACCCAAGTAAGGTTATCGCACCACGTCGTTCTTCCTCATCAAGTGGACGAGACACTGTCGTCCTCTTCACCGCAAATGACTCCTGATTCGGGGAGACACCCAAAACATTATGCGGAACTCCGAGGTCATCTAGAACATCCCCGAGCAAGCCGTCGTATTTCCTTTGCGCAACTGATGACGAAGAGGGAGAAGAGGAGGGAGCTTCGGAGGAAGGAAGGAATGTATTGGATGCAGGAGACATCGCGAATGTCGGACCTCCAGCGATGTGAGTCTCGGCGCCTGCCATGAGTATTATTTTCGGAGTGGAGGAGTCTAATGAAGCTGCGCCTGTGCCTGCGTTTCCTTCACGTTTCTTTGCGGAGGAGTCCCAGAAGTCAGGTACGAATGGCTGCATCATTAATCAAATCAAATCATGTGAATATTGGATCAGATGAATATAGAGGATAATAGGGAATGGACGAGAAGAAAGAGAACGAAAGACAGAAGGAGAAAAAGAAGGGTAGAAAGATGTGATCGCAAGATGAAAATGGACGTACCACTTGAACAGCACGCTGCGGTGGCGGCTGCGACAAGTCCGGAAGCTTCACATCAAAGGTGATAGGAGCGAAACGTGTGGTGGCATCAATACTCGAAGCAACTTCAGCATGGGAAGACGATGAGCTCGATACGCTGCGCGCTTGTGACTGATGATGACTCGGCGCGGGGGAGGAGGGCCCAGGCGTGTTGGAGCTCGAAGCAAGCATTGTCTCTGAGGCAGAACGCGCATCAGCCTGCTGGATGCGCGTGATAAGTGTCGCTTTCGCGCCAGAACTACCTCAATCGGGAGTTACTGAGATTAGATTTAGGAAGATGGTGAGAATAGGAAGAAGCGTACGCGGATAGCCCACGGGCGCGTAATTCTGAGCGAAGCTCGGCGACTGTCTTGTCCTCGTATGTTTTGGAAAGCAGAACACTGCTAACGAACGATCGTCGAGCATGCTGCGGCAAGTGCCGAAGACGATAAGACGTGCGCAATGCCGTACGAAGCATGACGACTGTCAATAGAGTCGTTAGAGGAGGTAGAGTGCTGTTTGGTGCAGCGGGGGACGACCCGATGAGTGACGAAAGGCAAGAAAAATGGATAAAGCGTTGTCACGTGATGTTCCAACTTTGGCCGAACTGAATTGATTTTTTTGCCGCTAACGCTTACTACTGACTGGCAACCTGCGCTTAATTGGCTTCGTGTATACAGCGACGTCAGCATCAGCATCGCATACATCGATTGCAATCGCAGGGCGTGGGCTGTGGGCACGCGTGTAACGGACAAGCCGTTCGGGCGACGAGCCCCAGCGGATTAAAGTATAATATAATAGGGCTTGCCTCGTGTTTAGGTCGTGGATTGACTCCTGTTCGGGCAACTGGGTCCCTGCTCCATGCCCATGCCCATGCCCATGCCCTTGGACCGACAGTGATCTGTTAATCTCTCGTGTTCTCTTCCACGCATTTGCCTCCTCTCGCGTAGCACAGGCCGTGGCTGGTCATGCTTCTCTCCCCCGCGTACGAGTCACATTTCCATTCCCTATTATCTCTTTCCATCTAAGCGCCTCCATTCCACTTTATACTTATATTATCTCTCCTCGACTCTTCCTTTATAGGTCCACCGACACCTCCCTTCCATCCGCAGGCAGCATCTGGTCGAAGCTCACGAAGAAAGGCGGTAACAATCGTGACGGCGACAAAGCCCTCCAGCAGGCTCAGATGGCTCTCGCCCGCCAACGTCTCGTCACTCTCGTCTTTGGCGACATGGAAACAGTCAGGATGGTCCGTCCCTGTTCTCGCCTTCTACAGCCGATTAGTACATTTCTGACAACGTTATTTTGGTCTAGCTTCCAAATACCTTTGCGGTACGATCATGCGTGTAGCATTGGCATGTTTAACTTGTGCTCATCTCAATCGCAGGAATTGGAGACTCTGGCCCGAGACTGGGTTAAACCGCCTCCCGACGCAAACTTCTCACTACGCATACCCACCGAATACGCCTCGTTTCAAGCCTCTGTACGCATCTGTCAGCATTATCTCCGTTATCCTGACTCACGCATATATGTAGCGTTTCATCAGTGGACCTTACATCTGGGTGCGTGTCGTTCTCTGTTACACGAGTTCACAACGAGGCTTACCGTTTCTTTCGCATGGTTAGCTTACGTCCGAGGACTCGTATCAAATCGCTATCTTAGGTGTGCAAGGATCGAGAGTCGAAATCTATAGCGATGCTCCGCCTCCGCCAGATGAGCCTCCGTAAGTGATACCCACCTATCATGTCTGGTTGTATGCTCACAATAATCATCGTAGGCCACCTCCGTGAGTTGATTAGTTAAGAATAAAGGCCAAACTTAATGACTGAAATGTTTGCACAGTCCACCACCAGTCCTGGAAATGGACGGTATCTTCAACCTCGAACTCGAAAAGAACAAAATGGTTGGAATCGACGTGACAGTCAGCTCAGATGAACTCGATATGGCACGTATGGAAGATGGTACAACCGTAGCAGGTGTCTTCTGGGGAAAGCTAGACATCGTACACGACGGCGATACACATAAAATGGAATTCAGCGGCACCCGCTTACAAGATCAGACTTATAACCCGGACTTGCTAGTAGACCAACGGGTACTCTCCAAGTTAACAGTCGCTGCGAAACCAGCGACAGCAAAATGCGTGTTGAGTATACTTGCGCCGAGTCAGCAGTATTGTGAGGTCAACGTGACCTTCTCGCCGGCTTGGAAAATCGGGATGACTTGGCCTCCGGCGGAGAGTGTTACTGAGGATAGGTTTAAGTATTTTTTGAGAGTGCATCCTGGTGGTGCGCTTGAACATTTTGAGACGGAGTCCGTTGTTACGTCTATCTATTATGAAGCGATGTACGTTCCTCCATTGGTATCTTCGAGTTTCTATTTCACTCACTGATACCTCGTCTATTCAGGCCGGATGCTACGATGTTCGACCCCATATCCCTCGTATCCCCACTCAACAGCTTTTGCATGCCTTTCCGAGACTTCGTCCCTCACCTAGCCAAAGTACTCGAATCACTAGGCTTAACGCTTCAACTCCGAACTAACTTCATCAAGTACGTATCCTCTCCACCATCTTTCCTCATACCATCCCCTTTCTTCTGTACCAAATGTTACAATAATCATACTAACCATCCCATACTTCGATCTTTCACGCAGCTCGCACATGTCCGCCTTCAGCGCCCACAAACACATAGCCTACCGATTCATGTCCCCAGGTCGACTCGCACGCGCAATCGACATCTCCGTAACACACGACCCCTGCGTCTGGACTCGAATCTTCCTTATGTTCCGAGGGATAGGAGATGAAGAGTTACCAGAGTTTGCACAGGCAGGTGAGAAAGAGGCGTTGCAGCATAATTGGCGGGAGGTTGTAGGGTGGAGTGAGGCGAGTAAGGACCCACATCAGTTTAGGGTGCTTGAGGTTAGTTTGTTGGAGTGTACGTGATAGGCTGGAAAGCTGGGTGGACGAATGGACGAGTTGAGTGACTTATTCGTCTATTTGATCTTTTGTGGGTGGGGAGATGATATGGGGGAATAAGTTTCTGTTACTTGCTTTGTTTTATTGCCTATCTAGCTTTCATGCTTTACTCCTCGTCATCTTGCCATCTTGTCTTCTTGCTACATCTCATCATGTTGTACTCACCTTTTCTTCACTGTATATGATTGCCTTCTCCGATTCTCTGCTTTTCTCTGCTGTCTTTGTTACTTGTTCCTCATTGCTTGCCTTCCGGAATTTCCTAGTCTTAACCATCGTTTTTTTTCGTCTTTTTGTTGTTGCTAGTGATACCTCCGTACACCTAAGTAATACTAAATTTCAGTTCTTTTGTTTGTTCTTTGTTTTTGTTTCAACGTTAAACTTTATCCATCTGCTGCTTCTTGTCTTTACATCACTTGACTTGGCTCCTCTGCGTCTTACGTTAGTGGTTTCTACGTGTATCGATACACTGCCTCTCGTTTATATGATTGGTTTCTTGTTTTGCCGGTCTGACTGTGTGGTTAAACAGGTTTGTTTGTTTGTTTGCAGTGCTACAATGGCATTAACAGTGCATGTAGATAGAAAAATAGAATTTGCTCAGGTGCAATGCAGGGTAACAAGACATAGAATTATACTACCAAACAAACAAATGGTGTCAGCACAGGCCTAGCTAAGGTTATCAAATTATTAAGGTGGTAATGGTTTTGGAGGGGGGGGGGAGGATGATATCTATCCAAAGATTGCCCTGTGTCAAGAACAGAAATTCATAAACCCCGGAAAGATGAAATAGAATACTATAAGCATGTTAAAAAAATCGGACCGCATAAATTCAACAACAGCATAATAAACTCCTGAGTCCTCCCTTCTTCGACGGCCCATGTTCCTCACTCTCTCCTTCTCCAACCGCTTCAACATCCTCCCCTTCCAAATGCTCTCCCTGCTCAGCAAGCGGTCGTTCACCTCCAACCCCATTGCCATCCCTATTTCTACTCTTACCCTTCACCTTAACATTCACCTCCGGCCTCGGCACGTCAAACTCACAAGCATACCGTCCCAAGGGTGAGAGTAACGTCCCCATCGCGCGATGACACTCGACGGTGAAAGGCTGGAGTGGGTATCGTTCGCCGTCGATTGCGAGGTTGCCTGTGGTATCGTGTGGGGTTATACGGAAGGCGTGGACTTTGAAGTAGTGTTGCTAAGGAGAGATTTGTGTTAGTTTGGTTGAAGGGCTTAGATGAGATGGGAGGATAGGATGGAAGTGAGATGGGGGGAGGACGTACAGTGTCTAGCCAGAATGGTACACCTTTCTCGGCGCCGTCGATTGCTTTAAGGAGTTCTCCTCGCGAGGTCTAGCATGAGTCGTTGGTAGGTAAGGACCCATTGCAGCTGCGTACAGATAGAGATATATGCTTACGAGTTCTTGAGCAACGATATCAATCAAGCCATCTGAAGCGTGTGCGACAGGGAATTGCATTAGATCACTACAAAAAGTCATGAATTGAGTTTCTCAGTTTTCAGTCGTACCGGGAAGAACAACTTACCGGGCTACATATGGTGCGCTCCCCGCGCTATACAAATGGAAGAAACGTCAGAACACGTCCCACGAAAGCCACAATCGAAATGGAAAAAAATAATAATCACGTACTAGAAGTAAACAAGCGGTTTGTCAAACTTAATCCAACCCTCATCCGATCCCTCACGAGAACTCTCTGAGTGCATCAGCACAGGCAATGCATCTGCGCTGACGTCGTGCACAAGTGTCTCTAGCTCCTCCGTATGCTGAGCGAGCCAATGCTCTTCATTGCGTGTACGGAACTCTTCAACCATCCGGTCCTTATCTGATTCGGCTAGCTTGTATTCAAGTGTCAACGGACATGGTTTCAACTTCAAAACTGAGATATTCATTTGTAAGCATACTGCAGAATTATTGAGTGGCGAGATACAAACCTCCGTATATGTATCCGAGTATGAAGCGTATGTCACCCATCCATCGTAAAGGCTCGGTACCTGGCAGTTAATATAACGTTATTATTATTTCGGGGAGCAGTATCATGTATACTCACCAAGGTCAAGGTCAGCCATTAGACCCAAGGTGATTGAGAAATAGGCAAAGACCCGCTTGTCTCCCAATGTGATTGAGAAGATGTCCTGCTTCATCTGTTTACCTGAAAGTATGATTTCAATATTCGTATTTGGGGGGGGGGGGGAGTATAGTTTTCAAACGTACCTTTTATGGCATTTAGGCAAGCTATTGCAACGTCAAAACCATCCTACGCGGTAGTTCAGAGGCGTACGATATAAATATATGGTAGAACAAACCTCGAGGCCTAAAATATTAAGTGCCATGCCGTTTGCAGAACCAGTAGGTATAGGTGCTACGGGAATCGCAAAAGCTCCCAACGGATCTTTGTGTTCTGAAAAGCCGTTGTAGACTTCGTGCAGTAGACCATCACCAGACAGCAGGACCAGTGCGTCATATTCAAGTGAAAGCTCTTTGGCTAATTCTAACGCATGTTTCGCTCGTTCTGTGACTGAGTAAACGCGTCAAATAGGTATTTTTATGTTTTGAGAAAAGAATCAATATACATGTGGTATCGATGGAACAGCGAGCTGCACGAAAGATGGGTTCGACAGTCTTCTCGTATATCTGTCTTGCTTTTCCCTAAAAAATAATAATTACGATGAAGCGATAGTGATAATAAGTAAATTCCTACGAACCCGACCACCGTGAGGGTTGACTAATATTCTCAGCCGTCGTTGTCGTCCAATACCTAAGCGCACTCGTTATGAGCTTTCCAAGATGAAATCGAGTAGTCAACGACATGCCTTTATATGCCTCAGCCATGACTGCCTCACACCAAGCCTTCGCTTCATCATTGCGAGTGCCGTCTATTTTCCAAGACGCGCGAACCAGCGCAGACTGTTTTCCCTTCTTCCCCCGGTTAATATATGACAACTCTAACTCGTTGTCCTTAATTTCTGCCCATATGACATTGTATAAGGGTGTATTCTGCAGAGCAGAAGCATCTGTGAAATATACGGAAAACGCGCTTGTGAGATCAGTACGACGCGTCACAAGCGAAACGGACTTACGCGACGCGGAAACTTGGCCTTCAGCCGTCAGACTGAGGGTTACAGGCTTGCCTTCAACTAAAATGTTGATTTCCTTTGACGTCCTTGCTTGGGTATCATCCGCCATGGTGGATGGACCGTCGATGTAAGAGTAGATGAGTAGTCTTACGGGAATCAGAAGTGCTCATCTTGAAGAACACCCGGAATTTCGGACTTTGCAAACCTGTGCATGGCACTGCGGGCGTTCCGTGATGCATCATCAAAACCTTGTCTTTCTTCTTCGCACGCTCTTGTTCCCGAAACCATATTCATGGCATGGCAGTCATGGCTACAAAGTCAATCTGGCAAACAGTGAAACACTACATACTTAGTAGTCACCGAATACTGTACTGAAGCACATTATTACACAAAATACGGTTCCTCGGTCTCCATTCCCTTCCATCCAAACCCAGAGCCAATCCATTTTGCAAATTTTGGAGGCATTATGATTACAGTCTGGCAGTTGTTGACGTTCTGCTATCTCCTGGACTACTTGCTCTCTTGAAAATTACACTTTGCGACACGAATGGCATTTCGAAAATTCCTTGTTCTTTGTCAATCCAGACGAGCCCGTCTCCACGTTTTATCATGGCCCTAATCTGATCTTTGACTTCTTCCTTCTCAGCCTCGGGAAGGACTGCTATGCCGCTCCAGGTCATGAAAAGTGCGACTATACTGTCGAGAGTCCTCGGCTCGGAATACCTAATAGTTGTCTCTTCAGGCGACCCGAAGTTTTGCTTGTATACTGGCAGGTCAAAAATCTCGCGCCATCGTTCCATGTTCTTTCCACTGCTTGGACTATTTTCTCTTTTCGGCAGACACGCATCGTAGCACTGTTTCAGCCAGGCGGCTCTAGACCTATAAATCAAGTCAGCCCTTCCACCGAGATTCGTAACGTAGACTGCACGAACGGGTCTTCTATATTCCAAACGAGGCAGACGACACCATCGGGTTTCAGGATACGTACGAACTCATTCATTGCTGCTTCAAAGTCTAGGCACCAATGGATGGCCTATGCGGTAAATGTCAGTACCTCATATGGAACATGTACATAACTGATGAGTACAACATACCGTCGCAACGACGACCAGATCTGCCCAGTTATCCGGTACTCCCGTATTATCAAAAGTGCCATTTGCCAGACTGACACGAGGATCGTCCATAGTTCTCGTAAACACAACTCGCATCCCTTCGTTAGGTTCCACGCATTTCAGTTCCGCAAGACACTTCTTCCACTCAAGGTTCGCTACAAGTGACTTGGTAAATTTCCCAGTGCCACTCGCGATTCTAACAAGTTTCGTCAAATATCATGAGCAAAGTTCGTGTATTCGAGCGAAATGAATAATTTACTCTACGATTCTCAGTTTATCTTTTACGCTGAGTGCAGTCCGGATATGAGTCACTACTTCTTTCGGATAATACGGGCGCACCCTGGATAAACTAGACGTGAGCGGCAGAAACTCGTGCAGGTGTGAGTTCCCTTACGCGTCGTACAACTCAGCTTTGGTCGCTCCAAAGCCAGCTTGAGATACGGGGTGGACTTTAGGCGGAATAGAGGACGTCATAAATAGCTTTCAGGGATCTGAGAGGTCTTGATTAGAGACGTACTGGGAGAGCTGTTTGGGGCTCCTTTTATACCCATGACTGATCCCCTTAAACCTCAATCTTAACGATTCTTCGGAAGATATTTTACGCTCCTCGCGATAGCACCGCTCCCTGTATAGGTGGGCAGAATGAAACATATTCCGTTTTCTTCAGGCGGAGTGAATTATCGTTCAGTACGAGAATATTCAGTTTCTTTCCATATTCAGCAAGAAAGTTATTCCATTCTCGGGGCCGTGAGGATAAACATTCGGATTCGGTTGTGGCCCCTATCCCGATCTTCCGAGTTGAACGACACGATAAATGATACTTCGAAAGAAGTTTATGAGGAGTGTCGCTATCTCTGAGCTCAAGGACATGGCGTCACCCACTCCTCATCCAAACTGGATGAATTTTCATACGGTGGACGGAGGGTGGGAATCACGAGGTGGAGATTCCTAAGGACGCCTTTACAAAAACAGCGAAACTTTCCCTCGTATGCTAATGAGATCCGTGGCTTGGTCTCTGGGACGCTGTCAGCTCTAACTACAGCATACGAAATACGAGATGTTTCTAGTGAATTCAAATTGCATCAGATGTACGCGTTTTCTTGGCGTACGCACTGGGAGGCTCTATTCGTCGATGGCAACTCAGGAGGCGGTTCTAGATAACTGGATAAAAGATATTCGCGGAGCCGTAAATGTCTATGATGACGAGATCTCGAGGACGAAAGTTCGTGATCTGTACTATACTTTGCCTACGCGTAAACCTGAAGACGTCCCGCCTCGTAATGCGCCCATATCTCCGCTACATTATCTTGCGTTCTTTCATCCTCGTTTGGAAGAGAAACAACTTGCTTCAGACTTGACGGAGACGGATTTTCGACCTCCATTGCCCTTTGGTGCTCGCCGTATGTGGGTAGGCGGATCACTACGATTTCCTAAAGGTAGTGACCAGGGTATATGCGTTGGTGATGAGGCGAATGCGAAAGTATCCGTCGAAAAAGTGGAGAAGAAGGGCTTCGAAAAGGGGTCTCAGACAGTATTTATGCACAAAGACATACACTATATGCGCCAAACTGGCGAAGAACCAATCATCAAAGAAAAGCGGGTGCATGCGTATCTCCCTGAAGAAGCGCGGCCGAGTGGTAAAATACGGGAAGGTAGGCTCTGGAGTATCTGGCTAGCTACATTATTGAAACGATAACTCATAAGTACCCGGTCTCCCGATTCCTCGATTTACTTATACGTGGACTCCGACCGTCACGACCTTATTCCGTTTCTCCGCACTTATGTGGAATGCACATTTGATCCATCTGGATCGTGAATACACCCGTACGAAGGAAGGCTATCCCGGTCAGTTCTTTAATTATGATTTAACACTACGTGATCTAATTAAGGCGGCAGATCTACTCGTTCATGGCCCGTTAACTGCAATCATGCTCGTAGAAGCGTTGCTTCACAATGGCTACCAAGGCCGAATTAATGACTTCGAATACCGGGCTCGTAATCCAGTGTACGTAGACAGGATACAACACATACGCGGTGCGATTGATGCAGATGAGAGTAAAGCAACCTTATGGGCAGAGGATGATGATGGCGTAGTCGGCATGACCGGAAGTGTAGAGTTGCAGCGGGATTGAAACAACTAAAATTGACATTTGCAATTGCAGTAGGAATAAAAAAATACTCAGCAATTATACTTGACGAGCTAATGCATCAACAGTTATGATGGCCTAGAGAATGAAGTGCAGATATTTCTGGCGCCTGCAGATTTACCCAGGGGGATAGATTCTCCTGGCATCATGTACCACTTCTATTAAAGTGCAAGTCCCTCATCCTATTAGCTCTACAGTGTCATTCTAGTTAATATTATTACATAACTAGAGATGTTTCTACGTGTACAGACAACGAATATTATACATTATAAGAAAATTCAAGGACCTATCAAGCGCCTATGTGAACCAGGTTAACCCATCTCTCAGTTGAAACTTCAGGCCGTGCTTTCAGCTCTACAGCCGCTTTGCGAAGGCCGGCAGCCGCGCGCTTATGCCTTTCCTCCACCTTGTCGCACTCCCACATGTACTCATAGACAGCCCTGGCCAAAAAGGGCCCGTCCAGATCAAGTAGCTCCCACATTGATCCAATCACATTTCGAAACCCAGAAAACTGCATTGCTGCAGCGAGGTGAAGCACTTCGTCAGGCATACCAGTACGAGGTTGTTCTGCAGTATGGCAGGCAGAAAGGAATGCAAACTCTGCGTTTGGAATGTTACCCTGGACAACATCGAGTAAAGTTAGCCTCTGGTCCACCCTGTCGTCCTGCTCATGATCTTGAGCGAGCTTGGGAAGTTTGAAGAAAGAATCGAAAGGTGATAAGGCCAAGTTTCCATGACAGACAAAATGGACCCAAGTCGTCTTCCGAAGCGCCTTAATCACTGCATCTCGAGATGCCTTCTTGAGGAGCAATTTAGTGCTTATGCCACAATTCTTGATATTACGGATTTCCCCTCTAGCCGACGGAAGTGATTCGTCGCCGATTACGAGTACCGTTGGTTCCTCTCTGTTCCCGTCCATTCGTGCATTAATGAGGGCTCCGAGTGTGGGAGTGTATGACGAGACATATTTATCCAATAGATACACGGCATTGCCGTCTTTATCCTCGAACGGACCTGCAGCATGGAAGGGAAGCGCAGATAGTACAGATGTCGGGCACCACCAAATGCGTGACCCTTCGGCAATACCGAGCTCTTTAAGCTTGTCGACTACTTTGGAGACGACCCTATCCCATACTATCTGCATCGCTCGGCGGAGTATCTGGTCATACTTTGGTGAGTTAGCTCCATAACTCGTGCGTGTTTCTAAGAGCTCTTTGCATAGAATAGTGCTATCATCGTAGAAGGCTCCATCCAATGGCATACAGACAACTGGCTGGTCTTCACGGCGGAGAATAATGAGCACATCGGATCGATATATACAATGGTTAACCACAATCACTGGACCCTCTAAAGCTGCCCGCTGAAGTGTTTTGAACGGTGTAACTGTAAGAAAGCTCTCGAACCCAGGAATTCGACGTATCTCATTCATAATCTCTTCCTGCTCACTAAAGAGTTGCCTCTTCGACTTCAGCTTCGCCTCAAATAACCTCTGTTCTCTGTGCACGTCCACCACGGATGGCCTATTTGCAACGGCACTTGAATTAGACTGTAATTCAGTAGATGATGTTGTAAGGTTCTCCAGCTGGCAACTAACATCCCTGAATCTGTTAGCGAGATCTCTATGTGTTTCTGCGAGACGATCCAGAGGTGTCCTAAAACCACGCATCTGTGACCAGAGCAAACCCCTTCCTTGCTCCAGCATCTCTACAGCCTTATCGAGCCTGTTTTCCTCTATGGCATAGGTAACTGCGTCTAACGTGAGTGTCCTGTAGTAGCCTTTACTTTTGAGGAAGTCATGTTGTGCATGGAGAGTGGGACTAATTGTGAGGGCGCGTTGCAAGAGCAGCATTGCCACCTTGTAAGCTTTAGGAGTGGTACAGTGAGCTTGACTTCGAGCACGGATAGCCCATGAATTAGCGGACTCAAGACGCATTACGATCCCAGAAAACTTATGTTCGGCAGCATATTCGAATAATTGCATACACCCTTCAAAATCGTCCGTGGCCTCAAACTTGATGAAACGAGAGAACAATGAAATGGCCAAATTGCTCAGTATTCCAGAACGATTCGAATAGCCCTCAGGGAAAAGTACCAAGGCAGCACGGTAATATTCAATAGCCTCGTCTAGGTCTGCAGACTGTGCGTGACGTTCAAATCGCGTACCAAGTGCTCCCGCAAGGTTATTCAGAGACCCGGGACGATTGGGATGGTCATTGGTGCGAAACTTTAGTGCAGCGCGGTGAAGCTCAATGGCATTATCAAGGTCTGCCTCCCTTCCATGCCGTCGAAATCGACTTTTGAGGGAAATTGCCAGATTATCCAGAGCCGTAGGATAAACTGGATGGCCATCCGGACAGAGTTCTAGGGCAGCATAATGAAGTTTGATTGCCTCGTCTAGGTCTGCAATCTGTCCATGCTGTTCAAATCGGCCTCGAAGAGCAAGTGCCAGGTTGATTAGGGATCCGGGCCGATCGGGATGACTATCGGCGCGAAGTTCCAGTGCAGCACGGTGAAGCTCAATAGCCTCATTGAGGTCTGCAAGCAGCCCGTGATATTGAAATCGAGCTCTTAGGGATATAGCAAGGTTGCTCAGAGACATGGAACGATCGAGATGGCCGTCGTGCCGGAGTTCCAGGGCAGCACGATGGTGTTCAATGGCCTCGTCGAGGTCCGCGGTCTGACCACGCTGATCAAATCGACTTTGAAGGGAATTTGCAAGATTATTTAGAGATGAGGAACGACCAGGATGGCTGCCAGTGAAAAGTTCCAGGGCAGCGCGCTGACGCTCAATGGCTTCCTCGAGGTCAGCAACCTGCCCGTGCTGTTCAAAGCGAGTATGAAGGGAGGCAGCGAGGTCACTCAGAAACAGGGGACGATCAGGATGACCCTTGGGACAGATCTGCAGAGCAGTATAGTGAACTTCAATAGCTTCATCAAGGTCTGCAATCCGTCCGTGCCTGTCAAACCGTGTACGAAGAGAGCCTGCAAGGTTGTTCAGAGATGCGGAACGACTAGTATGGCCGTCGGGGAAAAGCTCCAGGGCAGCACGCTGGTACTCTATGGCCTCGTCGAGGTCTGCGGTCTGTCCATGGCGTTGAAATCGGGTTCTAAGGGCTTTTGCGAGGTTGTTCAGAGGCTTGGATCGAAGGGGGTCACCATTTGGGCGAAGGTCCAGAGCACGACGCTGATACTCAATGGCATCATCAAGGTCCGGAATTTGTCCACGCTGTTCAAACCGAGTTTCAAGGGAAGCTGCAAGGTTATTCAGAAAAGCAGAGCGATTGGGATGTCCGTCAGGGAGAAGTTCCACTGCAGCACGATGAAGCTTGATGGCCTCGTCGATGTCTGTACTTTGTCCATGCCGTTCGAATCGAGTCTGAAGAGTATTCGCAAATTCACTCAAACAGCTGGGTCGATCGGGATGGCCGTTAGGGCAAAGATCCACGGCAGCGCGATGATGCTCGATTGCCTTGTCAAGGTCTATTGTCTGTCCGTGCTGTTCATATCGAGTTCGAAGGGCACCTGCCAGGATATTCAGAGATGCAGGACGATCACGATGGCCGATAGGGCGAAATTCCAGGGCAGCGTACAGATGCTCAATGGCCTCGTCGAGGTTCTCAGTCTGCCCAAGCTGTTCAAATCGAGAGCGGAGGGAAGCTGCAAGGTGACTCAGAGACATAGAGCGATCGGGATGGTCGTGGGGGGAAAGTTCAAGGGCAGCACGATGGAGTCCAATAGCATCATCAATATCCACAGTCTGCCTATGCTGCCGAAATCGAGTTCGAAGGGAAAGTGCAAGATTATTCGCAATTGAGGAACGATAAGGATGGCTGCCAGGGCAAAGCTTCAGAGCAGTCCGATGGCGCCCGACCGCCTCTTCAAGATCTGCGGGCTGTCGGTGTTGTTGAAATCGAATTCGAAGGGAGTTCGCAAGATCATTCAGAATCGCCGAACGATCGGGATGGTCACTAGAGCGAAGCGCCAGAGCAGCACGGTGATGCTCGATGGCTTCGTCGAGGTCTGCGGCTCGTCCATACTGTTGAAATCGGGTTTGAAGGGAGTTTGCAAGATCGTTCAGAGTCGCAGAACGATCGGAGTGGCCGTCAGGGCGAAGTTCCAGGGCAGCACGACGATGCACGATGGCCTCATCAAGGTCTGCGGCTCGTCCAAACTGTTGGAATAGAGTTTGAAGAGAGTTCGCAAGATCGTTCAGAGTTGCAGAGCGGTCGGGGTGGCCGTCAGGGCGAAGTTCCAGGGCAGCGCGATGATGCTTGATGGCTTCCTCTAGATCTTTTATTTCTCCATATAGTGTGAAACGCGTATGAGCCAAAATTCCAAAGTTCTTCAAGCTCATCAATGCCTTTTTGCGATCTGGGTGTATTTCGGGACAAAGTCCAAGTGCAGCACGACTATGAAAAATAAACTTGTCAAGTTTGCCTTGGTCCCTTGTTTGCTCAAAGCACGCCAAGTAGTTCAATGCCAATTGGCCATCTATTTGTGAATGCGATTCTGGGTCCACTGAGCTCATCATATTAACACAGAAATGTAGGACACTTGTCAATGATTCCAGATTTTTGATTGATCTACTAAATATTACATTAGAGGAAGAAAGCAAGTCACAAGGATTGCATTACCTGAGATGCTCCCTTGTCTTTGAAGCTGGCTGATTGGTTCAGGCCTTGGGTACAATACTAGGGTTGAGGGTTAGGAGGTGAGCGTTTCTAAGGATCCTCTCATGAACACGTTGAGGCTGTGCATTCGTGATAAAAGTGACAAGGATAAATTTGATACTCATATTTGGTAAGAGTATTACATAATTTCTCAACACACAACAAGATGATTGAAACAAATGCTTAGTTTGCACACACCTGGTGCTAGACATACTTATATCAAAAATTACATTAGTAACAAACAGAGTTATATATGAGTAATTTGTTTGTCAAGCTTCACTCCACATTTACCTGTTAAGATCATCCTATAAATCATTTTGAGGTACTAGTAGCTTTAGTATTAGAGAAAGAGGATAATGCTAACAAGATGTAGTTACCAGATAGCAAAGTTGGAAAGCATGCCCAATACAAGACCTGATGTTAACTTTTGGGACCGAGTCCAGCCAGATAAATAAAGGCTTATGGTCAGATCAGGAACATACGTGAAGGAGTCAATACTTTTTACAAAGCCAGATTTAGAGTAGCAATCTAACATATCTAACCGCTTGGTTCCTCGCAATTGTTTCTTGCCAAACAGAAAGAGTAAGCAGTCATTCTGTATGTATATAAATTACTTGTACCTTATTGATACATATATGACAACAAGGGAGAACTGGAGGAAATTAGCACAAACTATAGATCTCCATATGTCGGCGAAATTTGACAATAGGTCAGATAATTCATGGCATGCCAGTCTATGCAGCAAACCTTTGACAGGACCTCCAGTGCTGGCATACATGGATGAATGGCCGAGGTGAACAGCATTGTGAGAGGTCGAGATCGCCTTTCATTCCTCCATTGCGTCATCCCTAGCCTCCTCTGCCTTCTCTTCTCCTTCTTGTTCCATAGATGCACCAGCACGTATCGCAGCACGAGAACCAACGCCTCCACTTTGTGCTAATGGCTTCGCATACTGCTTGAGCCATTCCTCCGATTCCCAAACTATATGTATTGCAATCCGTCAGTGTCCGTATTATGCTACACAACGAAAGAATGACCATAGACTTACTAGGTCTGTTTCCTGAGACGGCCGCGGTGAGCTTTTGTGGCCGAGCAAGATTGACGCGTAAGACACGTCCTCGAAGTTCGTTCATGTCCATATTGTCTATTGCATCTTGGGCATCACCGGAAGAAGTATACGTTACAAAAGCGAAGCCTCGATGTTTCTGAGCTGAATCCCCGTTCAGTCAATTAATTCACAGTAAATATAGTGAGACGCCTACCTTCTTCCCGATTATGAGTGTTAATCTGTGCTGGTGGAATTTGTACCTCAAGAATGTCACCTGTAGGATAATAATTAGATTGAGACGCTTTGAAGCGTAGATGAAGGACTCACCAAACGTCGAGAATGACTCGTAAATAGCTGCCTCGTCTATATCATCTCCTATACCACCAATGAAGACGGTCTTCTTGGTCTTTGTCCCCTCCTCCATCAGCCCTAGGTCGCTGTTGACGGCAAAGGTTGGTTCTTGAAAGTTGGTGGTCCCGTGACTTTATATAAGTAATCACATTCTTCAAGCTTGGTGCTTGATGTCCTTGCTGCTGCCTGCAGTCATCATGCACCCTCAACGCCTTGCATACGCTGCTCGACTTCAATCTCAAACAAAATTTCGTCTAACCAATCACTCGCGACGATTCCTACGCAAATCCCCGCAGCAGCATGCATTAGTCGGGCCGCCTGACCCTATATCGAATTTACGACCTGTCATATACGATGAGGTCGGTCCCGTTCCATCCGGGCGAAGGAGAAAGGGCAAGGAGAAAGAAAGCGAGGAGAATCTGATGAATACTGGAAAGGATGTCGCTGGACCCTCGACAAGTTTAGTTGAACGTACACGAACGTCACCGACACACCCATATTTACTGGACGAATTCGACGGCGACCCAGTCGATTACCAGTGGCGGATAGAAAGGAGCCGGTTGGATGCTTATAATCATGCATATTGGAAAGACGTGCGTCCCATCCTTCCATGTCCCTTCTCTATCTTTTCTCCTCGTTGAGGTAGTACTGAGAATACTAAATGACCCCCAATATAGAGCAACACACGATTCGAAACCGCCAAACAATCCGTCCTCTCGTCCTTACCCGACTCCGCCTCACCTGAAGCACGCGAAGCGGCTTTATCTGAATTCTACGGAAAATGGCTGCAGCAGGAGCAGGAACGATCGAGAGAATATTCGGATGAATGGAGTCGAAGGAATTTTGGTGGGATCACACTTGCTGCTCGTGCTGCCATTCGACAGTTCCGAACGCGCATTTTCGGGTCCTCACCACCTAGGCCTGGGTCAATTTCTTCTTCGCAATCTGAGGATCAATCTGAGGGTGAACATAGGAAATAACATATTATCCATTCTTATTTTTCATCCAGCAGATCTCTTAGTCAAAAGATATTTTTGAGTCATTGGAATAATAAATCATAGGAAAGCAAGGATAAAAATGCAACGAATATATGTACTATACACTCAAATTCATAGCAATATCCTCCACCTCGAACTCTTCCTTCAACTCCTGCACTGCAAGCTCCTTCACACGCTCAACAACAGGCACAAGGTCGAACTCTACAAGTCGCTGTCTTTCATTAGCATAATCATTCGAAAGAGCCTCGATCTGCTCGTCTGTATGTCCCGGCCATCGGCTTTCCAGTTCCTCACGACTGGGTAATTGCGCTGCTTCGTTTACTGGGAGGACGATGTTTGGTGTGGTTAGCAGGTCATCTGGGTTTGAAGGTGTGCCTTGCTCGAAACGTAATCGGCGGAATGTATCTCGAACTGTTGCGTATAATGCTGTCTTTCGGAAACGCTCGACGAGCTGCGTGTCTGTTACGTTGACTGTTTTGGTTAGTCTCGCCCAGCTGGAAATGTCATCAGTGTCAGTAAATGCGTCGAATGGAGCACAAGACGATGTATAGCTTACTCATCGTGGATGTATATCCGTCGCCAGATCGTTCGGAAGCAAGAAAGTTGGCGAGCTTCGGGTAAGTTCTAACACAGCAACTAATCAGCAAAAGCTACTCTCAGAAATAATGCGCCATATCTCACTTTAGCATTTTTAATAAGTGCGAGAGCAGTTTCGAAATCAAGCGTGCTCTCTTTCAACGTCAGGATATCGATCAAGTCCTCTACACGCAATGCATGATTTTGCAGAACTTCTTTCACAGAAGCTTTGAACTCCGAATGGAAACCTGAATACGTCTTTGGCTTTAAAGCCGGAGCAACTGCCTTCATGATTGCGTCTGCTTGGTTCTCGAGCGATTGTCTCTGTTTTGACCCCGCCAACGGTGCGCGCAGCTCCTCGATTAGTTTGTCATGTACGGAGACATAGTCGAGGCCGTCATGGAAAGCTATGAAAAGAGAGTACCAGTTGGTGAATACGTATCAAAATTTATGGGACATGTCGTTAGTTACCATCTAGTATAGTGTCCGAACGAGTCTGTGACTTTTCACTCTCCGCAATTTGTGATAATTTGCCGATACTTAACATGACCTGGAAGTATTATTATAAGCCCGAAGAACACACTTTAACTCATCAAATTGCACTGACATGTCGCGTCTCAAGGTCTAACGTACGATCAACTTGCGTAAGCAACGTCGACGACGCAGATCCCCATCGACCCTTCCCAATGTCATGCACCCACGACACGTTCGGATACGGATGTTTTATGAAGAACGCATCGATGTACTCGCCGTACGTCTCACTTTGCTCGAATAAGCATCGTACTTCACCTTCACACAAAAATAACTCGATCACTCCCTTTTCAATACCTAGAATTTTCAGAAATTGGAACTTACCATGTTCGACGTACCACAGGTACAACTCGTCGGTGAACTCTTCTTTGTACTTCTCAATGTACTCCTTGATCCGCTCTGCGTTCACATTGCTTGCAAATGGATAAATCGGAGGAGTGGAGTGGCATAGGTCCACGAGTGACCTGAAATCTCGATAGTTTTCAGCAAGGACGAACGCATCCTCCGATTTGCCGTGCTTGACTGCGACATAAATAACATCAGTGTTCGTATAAGAGGATAAATGGATGGCTCAACATACATAATGTTTGCAGTATTTGCGGGCGAACTTGCTGGAAATGTTCCCGGTGGGCACGTTTCTCGGATTCGATGCCAGTTTCGTCAGCAGCAACCGCGCTACACAAAACATCTATCACAACACATCTCCTTGCTCGACTTAGGAAATAAATACCTTTCGAGCCAATTCTGTCGCTCCTGGAAACAACGGAACACCGTCGCACCTAGTCGAGGAAGCTGTCTACGCGTATCCTGAGAAATCTTGTTCTCCGCTTCAGGGGGCGTCTGGATAAGGAGTCGATCCGACAGGTTAAAGAAGTCAAGAACGATATCGATAACAGCTGGTGAGCTAGTCCAAGGGTTCAACATAGGCCCCACAACGCCGTATATACCCATATTTAAGTCGCGGAAACTCCATGCGGATTCTAGGATGCACTAAGTTGAGGTGTATTCAGTATCCTAACGGTAGAGCCTCAAAACCGAGAAGAGCCATACGAGCACGTAATCTGTCCCTCGATACAAGGCATCAGGGGTTTGTTGTGCTAAGTTGTAGTCCCTGATTATCTCTCCTACTTCATGTTTGATGTAAGGAAGAAGGTTTCCAATGTCTCGAGTCTAAAAAGGGGCACGGAATGTTTCAGGCATGTCCACAATAAATGTATTTACTTGTGATTACCTCTAGGCGGAGGAATGCACGCATAACATCATCATGGCGTGATTTATCTGATTCCTCCATGTATGCGTTAATGGCATCGAGCAGTATGTGATCGTCGAGTCCAGAACTACGTTATGAGACAGAATTGGGTTAAACATAACGGACGCAGAATTGAGTGGATGCACATACTTTAGGAGCTCACAGTACAATATCCATAATTCTTGTGTTGCATGTAGTTTTTCAGCGTCTACAACAAGACGCTGGCGGCTTGTTTGCGACATCTATCAACCTCACTCAGCCATGCATCATCAAGTACGAGATAGCGATTTCGCCGACCTTTCCAAGTGCGCCGTTCTCATTAATAAAACCAATGAGGAACCGAAGGCGGTCCTTGCGTTCTCGAATTTGCTGAGAGAGGTCAGGATTGGGTCTCACAACTTCGGCATCTGAAGCGAGTACTGCTCGAGATAGCTGCTCGGCTCCAGAGATTAGACTTTCCTCGTCAACATCGGGAGGGAAGGTGAAAAGAAGAGGGTTCTAAATATTATTATACGCATCAGACAGAAACAGTCAGAAAGGGAAGACAACGGGTTACCTTTGGATTCGACCCAAATAGAATAGCTTGTGTCATTATCGACTTGATTGAGGTGCCCTTCCATGTACTTCGAAAAATGGTCAGGCCGGTGGGAATATCACGCAAAAAAACATGTCCGTACTTCACATTATAGCTGTTAATCTTCTCGATATCGGTAGAGACGCGCATGAGCACATCGCTATTCATGAAGAGCATGTCAGAAGAGTTGTTTAGGACGCCGCAGCCGAATGTTCTGTCCTGGAGATTCTTGAGGGTAAGGAGGCTGGTGTAATTATTATCTGGGTTGCTTTGATGAGCTTCATTGACCACAGGCAAGTGAGTGGAAAAGAGAAACCGACCTCTAGCTGCAAGGGCGACTGCGTCTCCGAACTGCACACAGTATACCCGACCGCCGTCGAGTAAACGTAAGCGAGGATGAATGTTCGCTCGGTCCGAAGATATCTGAAGCAGCCATTGTTCGGTAACACGTTAGAGATGTAGCCTTGAGCAACTCACTGTTTGATACGGCACGGTGCGAATACCCGCAAACTGCATGTTATCTTCCCTCTTCATTCTGACAACAACGTAATGCCGACGCGGCCGTGTATCGATACTCGACTCATTGTCTACTCCAGCACTAAACGAAGCAAGCAACACTAGATGATCCTCGCTGAAAAAAATTGTTTTGTTTCAATTGAGCTTGTAATGAAGAAATTTTAAGCGTACGCGTCAAAAGCGATATCCAAAAGCTCCAAGTCAGATAGTGCTCCGGAAGTGACTTTGAAGGCCTCTTCAAGCGGTGGCAGGAGCTTCTGTTCTATATCTTCCTCGGCTTCGAACTAAGAAATTTTTTTAGTACGGGTTAAAGCATCAAGGTTAGCCAGGCATACTTGTTCCCAGCCCTTATAGAGAACAGTCCAGCGGACAACTTTCATGTCTGCACATATCCAAACTTCGAATCCTTCGTCATTTACATCGGTCACACTTGCAGCTGTTATAAAGCCGCCCGAGTACGATGGTGGTTTTTCGCCCCAGAAGCCTGAACGCAATCGCTCCATTGTACCTTGTGGACGAGTTAAGGTAAATGGATGCGATGCTACGCGAAAGCGTCCTTCAGTCGATGTGATTGAAAGCAGGAATAGCCGTCCGGTCGATGTCGTTGCTACAAATTTCAGTGGCTAATGGGTGGACATGCTGATCAGAATAGTCATATCCGGGCGAAGGTATGACAAACAGACCTCTGCGTATATCAGCGTAGTAACGGTCTCGTCAGACCTAAGGTCTAATAACGAAGCGTCTGTTGCTTCGCCGCCGGTAAGGCCAAGACCGATACTGTCCCAGAAATGCAACTCTCCATAAGGAGAGACTAAGATTAACCCAGGTTCACGCGAGGAACCATATGACACGAGTGCAGAAGACGGTACGGCAGGCTCTGTTTCTGAGAAGCGGTTTGGACAAGGAAAGATGTAACATGTCGGCGCTCCAGGAAGAAGCTGCGAGTATTTCCAAACAAAGCACGTCTTGGTAGAAGCAATAAGACAGAACGAGTTGCGAGTGTCTACGTCTCCGATGAAAGTGTTGCTAACGAAGTCTGAAGTGCAGATACGATTAAGACGAAAATTAGTACAGCGATAAACAGCAAAGACCAACCGGTATTTCTTAGAACCTGGAGCACTTCCGCTGGTAGTTGTGAAACCAAGGACACCTTTTGTTCTTCGGATTGCGCGAACACAACCTCTGAACGTATCCTCGTCTCACTTAGACTCGGACCTGCGTCGACGTCCATTTCTGTCGGAACATTGGAAGCAGTCGACGCGTCACTTGCTACAGACACATGAGAAACCGAGCGTGCAGCTCGTCCACCGCGAGCATGTAGTCGCGACGATCCAGAAGGCTGCCTCCGTCTTGACGGCGTTGGCGAGCGAAATGAGGCATTGTGAGCAGACGGGTGCGGTGACGGCGAAAACATAACTTCCGCCTTTGTGTTGGTAGACTGAACTGAGCCTCAACATTTGCCTATAGGCTACAGCGAAGATCCTGACCTGACGCGACACGCGTAAACAAGTGCAAACTGAGCAGAACGCTTGATCGACGCTTCACACTGACGCTTTTGGCTTCTTTCTCTCTTGCCTAACTCCTCACTTTATCTCGACATCCCTCTCACTCTTTTGGCTCAAGCGGGACAATGAGCTCGCATTCAAGGGCAACAAGCATAGATGAATATGTTATGAAATCGCCTCGGAGTGCCACGCTGCACCAGCTGGATTCCCCGACCTTCTCACGACGCTCCAACGACTCGGACGACTCTCTGCGAGCTCTTGAGCTCAGCGACGGCCCAAACGGCTTTCCTTTAACTGCCGCAAGAGCACGATCGTATTCTATATCTGGTTTTGACTTTCAGCATGACCTCTTGCCACTAAGCGCAAGTGTCAGTAATCCAAACGGCTCTGGTAGCGAGGGTACGAGAAAGGATATTGGAGTGGTAAATGGTGAGGCTACGTCGCTTGTATAGTCATCCTTGCTAATGTGCATACGTTAGGAATTGCTCTTATCATTGGTCTTCAGGTAGGGTACCTTCACTGCCGTTAAAAAAGAATAATTGACTAAACTTTCTTTAGATCGGTTCTGGAATCTTGTGAGCCGGAAACTACGCATTGGAAGTACGTCACTAACATATATTCGAAGCTCCTCGCCGGGAGTCGTTGTCGCAAATACTCAGAGCGTCGGCGCAAGCTTGGTAGTCTGGGTAGCCTGTGGTTTGTTAGCATGGACTGGCGCTTCCAGTTTCGCGGAGCTCGGCTCAGCCATCCCGCTTAATGGTGGTGCTCAGGCATATCTCGCATATGCGTACAACCCTTTAGTATCTTATCTCTTTGCCTGGACGGCTATCACTGCTCTAAAACCAGGAGGGAATGGCGCCATTGCACTCATCTTTGCAGAGTACATCAATCGACTTTTCTTTCATCTGACGGGGAAAGATTCCTCTCCAAACGCGATCCCCCAATGGTCAATCAAACTCACCGCGTGCATAGCTATCGTACTTGTCACTTTCCTAGGCATCGCGGCGAGAAGCTTAGGCACACGTACAGCTGTCATCTTTACTGTTATAAAGGTAGGTAAATGTGTGTGCCACCTATGCTTGTAGCTTATATCTTGTCAAATGCAGGTTGCATCATTGGTGAGAGGATTGACTTCTCTTATGCGTGCAGATATTCAAGGGTTATGCAGCTCCTCATCTCTGTTCTCGGTATAGTTCAGTTAGCCCGCGGGCGGGCCTCTGAGTCGTTCCGACAGCCACTATTCGATGGTACGAGTGACAGTCCGTCTGCGTACGCATTAGCAATTTTCTCCGGCCTATGGGCTCTTGATGGTTGGGATCAAGTAAACTACGTTGGTGGAGAAATGCGAAACCCGGAGAAGAATATACCTCGCACAATTCACTTCAGCATGCTCATATCAATCGTTCGTATACACGTCCTTTACCGGAAAACGCATGACACCTAATTCTCCTGCAGATTCTATACACACTCACGAATGTATCATATTTTGTCGTCCTTGATAAGGTAAATGCTGCCCTACTGAATCCAAAATGTATCGATGTTCTGAGTTCATTTATCTCTATTCCCCACTAGACAACAATTGGATTGAGCAATACCGTCGCGCTAGACTTTGGTCGAGCAATCCTCGGAACGTTCGGAGGCTCACTCTTTGCACTCATAGTTGCTATATCATGTTTTGGCGCTCTACACGGTAAACAAGTTTCAACTTTACTGGCATAGCACCCCTAATGGATTACGCACAGGCTCTTTCTTCACTTCTGCCCGGCTCATCTACGTTGCTGGTAACGAAGGTTACCTCCCTCGTGCCTTTGGACGTCTACACAGCACTCGCGGAACTCCGCTTAACGCAATGCTCCTCCAGGCCGTCGCGACGATGGCATTTATTATTTTAGGTGGTGGTTTCCGTCGACTTGTGTACTTCGCAGTCGTCGCTGTCTGGTTGTAAGTGTAAATGAATACTAACTGTTTACTGAGAGGCTAACGCATGATTCGTCTAGTTTTTATTTCCTGACAGTACTTGGTCTCATAATATTACGAATTAAGGAACCAGAGTTACCGAGGCCTTATAAGACGTGGATCACTACTCCGTTAATATTTTGCGCAGTGCGTGGTTTATTTTACCTCTCACCATTTCTTACCGATTTCTTATTGGTTCAAAACACATATTTTGTAGGTTGCTCTATTTCTACTCCTAATGCCTATCATTGCTGCACCCCTCGAAACGCTTACAGTCGTCGGTACGTATTATTCGCAACGTCTGTCCGACGTGAACGATATTCACATATTACGTTTGATCAGGTTTCATCCTCGCAGGTATACCAGTATACTACCTAACTCGACGACCGGACTCAGAGGGTGCCTCTCGCATACAAAGTGTTCTGTGTACGTGCAATCACTTTCTTAGAATTATGTACACACTTAAGTTAATTTCGATTTCTGCACTACCGTAGCTCCATTCAGTGCCATCATAGCCCGCCTCCGAGGTGCTGGCCCCTCACGCGCAGGGTTTGAACGCGTCGCAACCGCTCCGGAGGGAGAGACCGTTGAGTTATTTAATGCTGCTGGTGCTTCGAGACGATAGAGACCATCTCTTCGACACTTTTTTCATATCTTGTCTGTAATTTAAGGCTTTTTTTTTCTTGTTGCATAGATCCAGAGATTGCAGGATATTACAAACATCATATAATTCTCTTCTCTCGAGAACAGACGTAGTTGTTGCTGCAGAGATGCCCTTGCATCATTTTATTTTATTTTTTGTTAGTTTAGATGGGGACGTAGTGCAGATGCAATGATCAGCTTTACTCTGGTTGGAGAGCAGCAGGAGCGTGTAAGCTGATGCACATATGCTTTCCGCACACGGACTCGTGAGATGCCCGTTTACGAAGTAAGCTACTGTAAAATCATCACACGACACATCCAAGATAGCTTGGTAACTCAACGAAACAATCTTAATCATACAATTCCAGCTTTCAAAGCAACTACAGTATCCTGCGCACAGAGTTAAAATTCGACACACGACAAACGATCCCACAGACATCGAAGAACCAGGATCATGCAACAGCGACGGGTTGCGCGGGTGCTTCGACCTCTGGAGCAGCAGGAGTCTCGGTCTCGATCACTTCCTCCTTCTCAAGGATCTAAATAGCGGTTCAAATGAGCTCGAATAAACAAAAGGATAAAGGAACTGAAGACGAAACGTACCTTCTTTCCTGTCTTCTCAATCTTCTCCGTGAGCAAAGCGAAGTCGATGGGTCCGCGTACCTCGACGGACTGGTTCTCGAGCGAGACATCGAAAGAGGTGACGCCTGCGCCGGTCTCTTGTGCTCTTGTAAGGACGCGAGTGATAGCGCCTGAGCAGCCTCCGCAGTTCATCTGATGAACTCACCTATCAGCAACCTAGTTCTGGGCTAACGAGTTGAGATTATGCACACCTGGACTTTGTATCTATAGAAATGCTCAGCCTGTGTGGCACGTTAAATCAGCTCCACGGTCCTTGACAAATAATACATGACGTTCTCGCACCATTGTTATCTCGCTTGATTCGTCGGTAGTAGAAACGTTATCAGTGGAAGCGGTGGCGTCCGTGGAGACATCAGCAACGGGTTTAGTTATATCGGTTTCGATGGTGGTTGCGTCCGCATCAGAAAGGATGCCATGAGGGACGGAAGTAATTGTGGACATGGTGTCGAATCGGGGACGTTACGACGTCGACGCAGGTGAGAAACGAGACAAAGATGCAAAGAAAGACAAATGAGTCAGCTAGGGTCCCATAAATGATTTGATGAGATAGTTGAAAGGGCTGCTGTGCGGATTGTCTGTCGGGGATGAGACAGAACGGATATAGGTGGACCGTTACCCCGCACAGTTTAGTCGGAGGCTGGCGGTGCACTTGGCATGATAGCCCGAACCACACCGACAAACACTCAAGAAAAGGAGGGACAACTCACAGGATGCTCGTGGACTGAACGGAGGGAGGGGTGATTGAAGTCGGGGATGCGGTTAGCGGTGGTGGACAAAGCGAGACGCGTTCTTTATAAAGCACCGGAAGCAACTGGAAACGCTGACTGTTCTAACTGTTCCATCCATCACTGTTGTCTACTAATCCTGTGCCGCGACGACGGTTGCGCAATCGATGGCCAATAGTCGCAAGTTTCACATCCAGTATTAGCTGCGGTGAGCTGGCAGGCACACAGGTGCTATTCATACTCAGTTCTCCCGTGTCTCGTCTATATCTCGGCCAGCATGTACTCTGCTTTTGCGGAAATCACGAAAATTGGATGAATTCCGCTTTCCTTTAACTTTCAATTCGTCTTGCATTTCAATAATTGTGCGTTGATTTGGGAGAAGCTTCGAGCAACTTGTTCTCCCGAGATCTCAGCCAAAACCACCGTAGTTTCGGCCATATCAAATGAGCCAAATTAGCGACCGTCCCCGTGGAAGGTTCGCTTGTTGCCTGCGCCCTGCGGTACAGTTGTGCAGAAAATTGATCTGATAGATATACTGGACTACTATTCCAAATCCTATATCATTCAAGGTGTCTTCTCGTGTGTCCACAGCCTGCCCATGAGCCTTTATTTATCTGTTTCACATTTCCTTAATACTAGCTCTATTTTGTCATTTCATTGATCTCTGAGTAAATCTGGCTTTCAATGTGCTGCTCAACTTATGTAAGATGCGTTCTTTCCTTTTAGTTGTCGATGCTTGAAACGTCCCCGGCGTCAAACTATCATCAAATCTGCATGGTTCCAGCATGTCCAATAGAGTACATAAGGACCTGCCCTCTGCCCTTAACCACAACATCGACGACATCGTACCCAGGGTTTGAGTGAGGTTGCTGGCTTCGACCACCAAAACTTTCACCTGTCTCGCCTAGTAGAGCACTAGCCATTTCTTGTGGGTTAGTTTCCTAATCGCTTACAATTCGGCACGAATGAAATAACGCCTTTCTGCCTCTCAAGTAGTCTTTTGTGAGGAAGAGCATACTCTACTCGAGCAGCTTTCGGGGACAGAGTCGGGTAATACAATTCTTGTGGCTTGCTTTTGTCCTTTCTAGCTGAACTTACTAGTCAATCAAGGGAAACAATAATCACCAGCAAGCTTTACTGTGGCTCTAATCTGACATGGAAAGCTCAGCAGATCCCGAATTAAATCTTCAACTACACCGCGAGTTGGCACGTAAACACTGGCAACACTTTGGGCAATCGGGTGAACTGGAAGAACTTGACAAGGCTATTCTTCATAGTCGCATTGCACTTAGACTCTGTCCTGAAGAACATCCAGACTGCAGCAAGATATTAAGCAATTTAGGAAGTTTTCTTCTCATGCAATTTGAGCGATCTGGGAGAATAGAAGATTTGGAGGAGGCTATTGCACATCATCGCGCTGCGCTGAAATTTTGTCCCGACAGCCATTCTGACCGTTGCTCGTTTCTGGCTAACCTTGCGGTTTCCTTGGCAACTCGGTTTGAACAACATGGACGATCCGCAGACCTTGACGAGGCTATCGAACATCATCGAGCTGCCTTGGAACGTTTCCCAGCCGCTCATCTCAATCGTCCCTTGTCTCTGAGTAAACTTGCACGTTCCCTTCAAGCCCGATTCGAGCGGCTTGGAAATACTGCAGACCTCGATGAAGCTATCGAGTGTCATAGTACCACCCTGAAACTCTGCCCCAATGGCTACCCCAATCGTTCTTCTATCCTGAACGACCTTGCTCGGTCTCTTCAGACTCGATACGATGAACATGGACGGGCTGCAGATCTCGATGAGGCTGCCAAGCATTATCGCACCTCCCTGGAACTCTGCCAGGATAACCATCGCGATCTTCCCATGACTCTGAATAACCTCGCAACCTCCCTGTCGAGTCAATTTGAACAACATCGAGAGATTGCAAACCTCAATGAGGCCATTAAGCATCATCGTACTGCCTTGGAGCTTTGTCCCGTTAACAACTCCAATCGTCCCATGTTTCTGAGTAACCTCGCAAATTCCCTTCGAATTCGATTCGAACGGCATGGACAGACTGCGGACATAGAGGAGGCCATCGAAATGCATCGTGCTGCCCTGGACCTTCGACCCGAAGGTCATCCCAATCGATTTTCATCTCTGAATAACCTCGCGATTTCCATGGCGACTCGATTTGAACAGCATGGTCGGACTGCAGACCTCGATAAGGCTATCGAGCACCATCGTGCTGCCCTGGAACTTTGCCAGGATAACAACCCTGATCGTTGCATGACTCTGAATAATCTTGCAAATTCCCTGGAAAATCGTTTTGAACAGCATGGACAGATTTCAGACCTCGATGAAGCCATTGAGTATCATCGGGCAGCCATAGAACTCTGTCCCGACAAGCACTCCAACCGTCCCATGCTTCTAAGTATCCTTGCAAATTCCCTACGAACTCGATTTGTACGACATGGACAGACTGCGGACCTTAATGAAGCCATTGAGCACCACCGCGCTGCCCTGCAACTTCGCCCCGAAGGCCATCCCAATCGTTTTACATCCCTGAATAACCTTGCGAGTTCCCTTCGACTTGGATTTGCACACCGTGGACAGATAGCAGACCTCGACGAGGCCATTGAGTATCATCGCGCTGCGCTGGAGCTGTGCTCCAACGGCCACTCGAATCGCGCCATTTCTCTGAATAACCTTGCTGGCTCCCTTCAAACTCGATTCGATTATCACGGACATACTGCAGATCTTAATGAGGCCATCGAGTATCATCGGGCAGCAGTGGAACTTTGTCCCGACAACCACGCCGATCGTCCCATGCTTCTAAACAACCTTGCCCTTTCCCTTCGAGCTCGATTTGGACAGCATGGACGGACCGTGGATCTCGATGAAGCCATTGATCTTCATCATGCTGCGCTGGGCCTTTGCCTTGATGGCCATCACAACCGTTCCACGTTTCTGAATAACCTTGGAATTTCCCTTCTAGATCGATTCAGTCAGCATGGTCGACCCATTGACCTCGATGAAGCCATCAAACATCAACGCGCTGCCCTAGAACTTCGCCCTCGCCCCCACTACAACTGTTCTACAACTCTAAATAACCTCGCGATTTCCCTGGCAATTCGTTTTCGTCATCGCGGATGTTCTGCAGACCTTGATGAATCCATCGAGCTTAAGAACGCTGCACTACAACTTTCCTCCGACAGCCATCCTAATCGCTACGTATCCCTGGATACCCTTGCAGCTTCCCTTCGAAGACGGTTTGAACAGTATGGACAGACCAAGGACCTTGATATGGCTATCGAACATCATCGTACTGCCCTGGAACTCTGCTCTGCCGGCCGTCCTGACCATTCTGCGTCTCTGAGGAACTTCGCATTTTCATTACTGTGTAGATTCGAGAAATTTGGGTCCATCGATGATTTTCAAGAGTGTATAAAGTCGCTTGAACGTGCTGCAGAGCATAAGTTTTCTAGCTATGTGATGCGTCTCAATATTGCTGGTATATGGGCTGCCCTTGCTCGAAGTCATGCTCACCCCACTGCTTCCAGAGCTTACAATGTGGCAATGCTGCTCCTACAACGTGCCCTCGTTGTTGATCCTACTCTTCATACACAGTACGACTTCCTCGAAGGAAAAGATACCTACAAAACGCTTACATTCGACGCAGCCTCCCATGCTATCGAGGGAGATAGGCTCGAACAAGCTGTAGAGATACTTGAGCAAGGAAGGGGTTTATTGTGGTCGCAGATGCGCAGCTTTAGGACACCTCTCGATCAACTTGCAGAAATAAACAGAGAGCTCGCTGACAGGTTTAGGAACGTTAGTCGCCAGCTGGAGAATCTTGCGACATCTTCTACTGTGTTGCACTCTAATTCAATTGCGACTGAAAGCGGGCCCAGTGCATTAGACATAGACGGGGAACGGAGATTGTTCGAGGAGAAGCTGAAGTCGAAGAGACAACTCTCTAGCGAGCAGGAAGGGATTATTAACGAGATACGTCAAATTCCTGGGTTTGAGAACTTTCTTACGGCTACGCCGTTTAAAGTGCTCCAGCAGGCAGCGTCAGAGGGTCCGGTGGTTGTAGTCAACCATTGTAAATATCGATCCGATGCGCTTATTATGCTCTCCCGCGAAGAACGACCAGTCGTCTGCGTTCCATTAGATGGAGAGTTTTACCAGGATAGTATTCATCTGTGCCGGGAGCTCATAGAAACGCGCACAGGTCACGGAGCTAACTCTCCGAGATATGATGAGATACTTCGCCGAGCAATGAAGACTTTATGGGATAGGGTCGTCTCCAAAGTCGTCGAGAAACTAAGAGAGCTCGGTATTGCCGAAGGATCACGCATCTGGTGGTGCCCTACGTCTGTTCTATCTGCGCTTCCCTTCCACGCTGCAGGTCCATTCGAGGACGTAGACGGTACTTCCGTGTATCTATTGGACAAGTACATCTCATCGTATACTCCGACGCTTGGGGCGCTCATTAACGCCCAGACGTGTGGAAATGGGGACGAACCAGCTGCTCTTGTTATCGGGGATACTTCACTTCCATCGGCTCGGGAAGAAATTCGCAAAATCAAGAATAGTGGCATACAGCCTAAATTACTAAGTAGCACAGCATCTCACAATGCAGTTATCAAAGCGCTTCAGAAATCGACATGGGTCCACTTTGTTTGCCATGGAAACTTGAATCCAAAGCCTTTCAAATCGTCATTCAAGTTGTCCGATCGTGGGCTAACTCTACTCGATATCGTCCAAGCGAATCTTCCAAACGCGCAGTTCGCATTCCTTTCTGCTTGCCACACTGCCGAACAGCCTCACAATATTGCACACGATGAGGTGCTTCATCTGGCTGCCGCGATGCAGTTTTCTGGGTTTCGAAGCGTAATTGGATCAATGTGGGAGCTACTTGATGAAGACGGTCCCTTTCTTGCGAGGACTGTCTATGAATACATGTGTAACTGTGATGAGGGTGAGACGAAATATAAGCGTGCGGCTGCAGGCCTTCGTGAAGCGGCTGTCGCTTTGAAGGCACGAGATGATATCGGGACAGAGAGATGGGTCAACCTAATTCACATAGGTGCTTGATTGGCTCTTGAAATTCCTTTTGATGCATAATACTCATTGTATTGTACGTGTATGATGCTGCCCGTGCCTAAGAAGATCTCTCTCTCTCCCGTGGTATGAATACTTGTCTTTAATCCATTGTAATCTGTCCAAAGCAGCTGCCTAACATGTTTATAAAGGGGCATTTATTCTGCTTATTTATCAACAACATTTAGCATTCTATCTAGCAATACTAGTTATTAGTGCCATAGTATTGTCCCTTCAACTACTTCAAAGGAAGGGCTGGTGCATGCCTATGTGCACCTTTCGCATATACCCGGTAATATTCATCTTCATATCCCTTCATTTTCTTAATTACTTTCTGGAGTGCCCCTTTATCTTTGGCCCTTTTAGCATCTGTAGCATCCCTTTTAAGTTTAGCTAGTTCTTGTAGTGTCTCAGCAAATTCATCACAGATCTTCTTAACTTGTCCACTTATCTCCTGGGAGTCCTCCCGTTTGTTGACCTCCTCAATCCAGCCAGTTATTTTATTGTGAAGTTCTTTACTAAAGAGCGGCTCGCAATGAGACGTGTCTAGCCTTATTCTAATTGTGTCCTGGACTTTCTTTAACGCTTTACCCACTTCTTCGTATTTGGATTGGATGGAGTCATATGTAGGCAGGTATTTACTATAGTCTGCTTCTACGTCTTCGTAAGTCTTGTTCACGTCTTCAGATCCGTGCCGAGATGCTGTCGAGCTGTTTCTATGAGTAGCAGACATCTTTATGTTCCTGGGTCAAACGTAGTACTAAAAGTAATGCAGTTGCAGCTATTCCTGGATCAAAGTACGTTGAGGTAAAAGGGTTCAGTGGTAAAGGGCAAAATCAGCGTATTAATATATTTCCCCTTTGCATGGAATACTAGCTGCAATACAGGATAGTAGCCAAGACACATACCTGGACCAACTCAGCAATGTAATTAACTATAACTTAATAAGTCACTCATCTGGCGCAACATGATTTATATTCACTGCACGTCATACCTAGAAGCATGTTTAATAACCATAATTATAGTATGCCTGAGCTGGAGAACACACTTGTATATAATATTTATTGTAGCTAGATAGCTGGGGCACAGAGGCGAGGTTATTCGAAGAGAACTTGTGGCGAAGATAAGCAATATTGCTGATTTACGTTAGCTCAGACATCATTTCCTGACCCTAATGGGCCTTAAGCTCTGCCAAGTGGAAAAATACATGCAAAATGATTACAAATTTACAAGTGTGCAATTGCCAAGCCAGTACTCTCGAACCAAGCAACAACAAACATTGCATCTATGCGAGGGAGGGGGTAAAGTGATTGCCAATAGAGCATCAAACGTTACCGAGTGACACCTTTTAAGGGTTATGAAACGAATTGACCTAGATGTTCAGATGAAACTTGGATGACAGAGCGGCATTACGCCAATTGTATAGAAGTGATTGCACTGGTCGGCGAGTTTATGCCCTCTTGATCACACCTGAACGTGTACGTAGCTATTTCCATAGATACAGATTGACGCAGGCACAACTTGACGCACGGTATACAGTAGTTCAGCCACCATTTGCTTGAAGATGGGGTAGAATCTCAGGATACGTCTCCGTTGTACAAACGGCGCGTCTGTTGATATTGATACTGCTGTAGATTTGCGCGCGGTACAGGAGTTCAGCCTCTGTGATTGGTCGTTTGAAGGATTCATAGGAGTCCAGAACGTCTACGTTGAGTGCACGGCATGTCCATTGGCGTTGATATTGATACCGGAACAGTATGAGATGCGGTGCGGCGATTCAGTCTGAATAATTGTTTGAACTTCGTGTAGGAATCCAGGATCTTCTCCGTTGTGTGCGGTAAGTCGATGTTGATAATGATGCTGGTATAGCTTGACACGCAGTACGGCGGCTCAGTGTTTTTGGCTGTTTGAATGTTGGGTAGAAATCGAGGAATCGTCCATATTGTTTGTACGGCATTTCTGTTGATGCTGATATTGATCCTGCTACTGACGCGCGCTACAGCAGTTAAGCCTCTGATTCTTTGTGCATTGAATGAATAGAAACCCAGGATACGTCCACGTTGCGCGTACGGCATGACAGTCAATGTTGATGCCCGCAGCGGCGCCGCGCAAGTCGGAAACGGGGGATCCTGCAAAAAGGAATCAAGACGGGCAAAGATTACCGCTGACACACACGGAGCGCGGAAGATTTTACGAGGAGATTGGGAGTGCGTAGTTAGGACGGTCTAGGATAGGGTGGCGAAGAGATAAGAAACGTGCAGAAGATTCGAAGGTGTTCCTAATGGCCGGTGGGGCCGCAACACAGGAATAATATCCGTTTGAATTGAAAGGTTCGCTAAGTCCGCTTGAATTTGGGACCAAAGTCTGGATGAAAGAAAAACCAATGGTTTGGTGGTGGATTGACGAGTTGGTAGCCACACAGGAGATGTGGACAATGATTGATCCGGAAGATGGTGCCGTCATGGGAGCAAACCGCTTTTCGTGGTAGCATTGAGCCTCGTTGGGAGGGATGCATGTGTTCGGCACCATTTTTGCGGTCTGGAAGGTTCATGACTACGTGGGCCGGAGGGACGCTGACACCGTCTCTCGGTCGCGGTCGCGGGAACACAGGAAGTTTCTGATCACGGCTTGAAAAGACCGTTTTGGGTCTTCTGTCGTTACCTGACCAAGACAAGTGGAGGAAGTCAAAGTCAGGTTTGTTGTGATCTTTTTATGCTGATAGGTGAATGAATGTTGTGGAGTATTTTTTTGCTTTGCATCTTGACTTGATTACTCCATGAGCCCGATCGACCGTAGTGCGGAAGCACCGAAGGTACCGGGAACGGAAGCGGCGTCGCGTCGGTGATGGAAGAGCGCGTGGGAGATGATGGCAACGGCAATTTGCGTAAGTATGGGACCTCCGATAGCACTAGGGTCAGTCGAGACGTGAGCGCGCGAGACTCAGCAACGAAACTTCTACACGGCTAGAAGGACAGCATGCCGACGGGCGGCGCACTATGCATGATAGATCGTCGCCCAAGTCAACGCTCAGCGTTTTCCTTGCGTTGATTGTTCTATTTATCATGATTGAGGAAAAAGATAGACAAATACACATAAATAAAAGACTGAGCAGTGATCTCCTCCTGCAAACTCGGGCGTTTGGCCCGTGTCTGCGATTGTTTCCAGGCACAGCTTTGGCAGTTCCGGGATTTGCAGCAACAGGAGTTCCAAACGGAGGACTGAGGGGCGGGCGGCTGTGCTCGTCAATCAGGGTAGCTTGCGCATTGGGGTCCCACCATTTTCTTGTCACAGTCCTACCCTGCTTGACGTTTACAAAGTCACGACGAAACCCTAAAACCATCGTCAAGTTGCAGAAAGAAACGAGGAGACGGAGTGCCTTTGGATGACGCGCCGCACCTGTGCAGTGCTTGTGTTGCTGGCATGGGAGAGTTGAAGAGTGTCAGCGAAGTCCTGCCGATTAGCGTGTTCACCTGATCTGCGCATTGCCGCATTTTCAAAGGCTTTCAGTAAATTATTTGCCACCGATGGACAAAAGAATCATTGGTCGAGAGCTTTCTAGCTTCAAGATTTGAAAACGCGGGGCGTCAGGAAGGCATATGTACACATGGATGAATAAGAAAATACCATGTCGAGACCCCAAACTGGGCAACAAGGAAAAATAAGCGAGATGAGACGGGATGGCGCACCCTGCGATAAGTAAACAATTTAATTTGCCGACAATCCAGGCTGCTTATTATTATTTCACGTTCACCTACCGCTTTCTTCCTATCCGTCACCTTCTCTCTCTTTCCCGTCCGTTCCTTCCTTACCCTCCCTCAGCCGTCCCATCGCCCACTGTCCACGCCCACTGTCCTCGTCGCAAGCCGTGCCGACGACATAGACAAGGTCGACAGAGGATCAAGCACCTCCCGACGACGCCCGACCCACACATTTGGCCAAGGAGTGCGAGAGATTATTTCCAGCTCACAGCTGCCAGGCACATTTACACCTCGTTGCGCAAAACCTCCTCGCGCATTCGACTTTCCTCCCCTCCTTCCACTCCCCCTATTCTTTTTCCCATTCCGTACGTGCCAGTTTGTTTCCTCGCTCTCTTCTCTCCGATAGCCACCTTTGGCATCTCCCTCCGCAGCTATGACCTGCTTCTCTAGAGGCAGGCGCCTCTTTACTGCCGCAGCTGCCGCTTTGTCGGCGTTAGCACTCGTCGCTGCTGCGCCGTACAACGCAACATATGATGCGTGGAATCTCAACAAGAATCAAGCCGCGACCGACCCGACGCAATACACAACCACGCGAGCAAACACGACCTACACCCCCTCACCGTCAAACTGGCGTTCTCTACCGTTTTACACAATCCTGCTTGACAAATTCGCAGATGGTGACCCGACAAACAATAACTTCTTTGGGCTCAAGTATGAGCATGACTGGCACGAGACGCAGATGCGGTTTGGCGGGGACATAAAAGGGTTAAAGAACAAGCTTGACTACCTCCAGGGCATGAATATTCGAGGCGTCTACATAGCCGGTACAATATTTTTGAACATGCCGTGGCAAGCTGACTCCTATTCGCCTCTTGACTTTACCACGCTCGATCCTCACTGGGGTACTATTGACGACTGGGTCGAATTTATTGACGAGATTCATGCACGGAACATGTATATTATGATGGACTTCACCGTCGGTACGATGGGTGATATGATTGGTTTTCAAGGGTATGTCAATTATACTTGAGTCCTGCAGTAACGTTAAAATTTGTCATTGGTTTTTTATAGGCATCTAAATGAGTCTACTCCTTTTTCGCTGGACGAGTATGACGCGGTCTGGAAGAAGCCTTCTTACACACCATGGGATTTTGAGACCTATAAGGACTTCTCTTTTGGCAATGGACACAATAGCTCTTGCGTCATGCCTCAGTTCTGGTGGGAAAATGGAACCCAGCTGACAATTACGACGAACGGGTGCAAAGCAAGTGACTTTGACCAGTATGGTGACCTGGAAGCTTTCGGTGTCCATCCAGATTGGCAGCGTCAGCTGACTAAGTTCGCGAGTGTGCAAGATCGTCTGCGTGAATGGCAGCCGGCTGTCATGGCCCGGTTGCAGAATTTCGTTTGCATGGTTATTACTGCACTCGACATCGATGCGATCCGTATCGACAAGTCAACGCAGGTGACTCTTGATGCACTTGCGAGCTGGACGACTGCGGCTCGCAAATGTGCTGCTAGTCATGGGAAGAACGATTTCCTTATTGTCGGTGAAGTCACTGGTGGTAACACATTCGGTGCCCTCTACTACGGACGTGGTCGCACTCCTAATAATTTGCCGAACCCGGATCTGCCGACGATTTACAACATCTCTGCAACAGATGATCAATTTTTCCTGCGCGACTATGGCCATAACGGACTCGACGGTGCTTGTTTCCACTATTCCATCTATCGTGGACTTGAACGTTTCCTTGGGATGGATGGAAACCTTCAAGTTGCTGACGACGTTCAAGTCAACTTCGTTGATGCTTGGAACCAGATCTTCGTTACCAACGACTTCTTGAATCCATCTACAAACGTCACTGATCCGCGACACATGTTCGGAACAAGCAACTTTGATATCTTCCGTTGGCCGAGTTTGGTGAATGGTACCCAGAAGAGTGCACTTGCGACGTTCATCACATCGCTTCTTATGCCTGGTATTCCCTTATTGTACTATGGCGAGGAGCAGGCGTTCGCAATCTATGACAACGGTGCGAGCAATTATCTTTATGGGTAAGTGGTTCGCTTTGTATTACTTCACACCCTTTCTTACGAAGCATTAGCCGTCAAGCTATGCCAGGTAACAAGGCATGGCAACGTCATGGCTGTTACAAGCTCGGTTCCGACCAGTTCTATGGTTTCCCGCTTCAAAAAGCAATTACCGCGTGCATGGACGATACAGAAGCGCTTGATCATTTTGATCCAACGGCGGAGTCTCGCAGGCTTTTCAAGCAATTCTACTATCTGCGCGAGCAATATGCAGCACTCACAGATGGGCTGGCTCTCGTCCAGCGTGGTAACTGGACTCATTTGGAGACCATGCCGGGCTCGAACCAGACAGCGACTGAGCTCGGTTTATGGACCGCATCGCGCGCTGGTATTCCGAATGCACAGACACTCACTGGATCCAATTACACAGCAGACGTCTGGATGCTTTACACGAACGAAAATATGACGCAGACGTATACGTTTGACTGCAAAGGCAGCTCTTGGATAAGCACTCCTTACGAGTCCGGCACGACTATCAAGAACTTGGTTTATCCATTTGAGACGTACCAGCTTGTTGAGAGTCAGTCACCGTTCTTCAACGATGGAAAGGCGCCTTTCGTGGGTTGCTTGCAATCTATCTCGATGGATCCATTCTCTTTCAAAATCTTCGTGCCGGAGGCGAACTGGGTTTCCGTGCCACCCATGCTTACGAAGTTCTCACCGGGACATGATGCTCGTCTCTTAACAGTTGACGGTGATAATAACTCGACAAACATCGATATCCGTCTTGAGTTCAATGTCGCGATGGCCTCCTGTGATGCTGTGACAAACGCGTTATCTTTCAACGTGTCGAGTTCTGGAACAGGTTCGACTCCATCGGTGACGAACGTCCAGTGCGGGAATTTACCAAACCCAGATCCACCAACCATCATCGGATCAGGCACAAGTTCTTGGTCGTGGAATGCAACGCTTACGAACGTTCCAGACGGAATTATTATGCTTACACTTGACAACCCAGCGTCAAGCAGTGGAATTACGACGGGTGCAAAGGATCATTTACTGTTGCGCAAAGGCAAAGCAGACAATGTCATGGTGTTCCCGGACAGCGACTACGATAATAGTGCATTTACATTTGATAGCAGCAGCAAGACGTATACTTTCACGCATAAGGCAATTGGCGCAGATAAGTTCAGGTATTCGGTGGACTTTGCACAAACCTGGTCCCAGTGGATGGACTGGGAAGCTACAACGACAATTGACAACGGTACCTTCTTTGGGGACAAAAACAGGAATTGGTGGGAGGGCCAGCACGTCATTGTGCAGTGTACGCGCTTCATTTTTTCTTTCTAACTGTCTCAACTGATTACGATGAACGAATATTTAGACTGGTCAGAAACTGCCGCGAGTGCTTATCATGCGGTGCATGCAGACCATGATTACGGCTTCAAGCGTCGTGTTCCTCAATTCCTCGCTCGTGGTCCATTCAACACGTGGGGTTTCGACTCCGGTGTTAGATCACAGATGGAGCAGACAGGCGACAATACTTGGGAGCTTGAGATCATGACGAGCTGGCCTGCATTTGTCCAGCTGAACGTGTATGGCTTTGATGACTACTTCTACGGAGACACGGACGGCGATGGGATCTTAGACCGCCTCCCGCCGAATTCCGTTGCCGCGAACTACGTGAACATGAGTGCGCCCCCCAAGCCACATCTTGCATGGAAACTGGTCGTAGATGACCACTTAATGTCATGGACGCTTGAACCAAAGGGCGAGAGCTCCGTTGCGGCGATTTTGTATGCGCTTTTGCTGTCGATTCCAGTCATTACTGGTACACTCGCAGTTCTCATCTTCATGTGGAGCTTCTACGGGATCAAGTACAATAAGTGGGGTCTCAAGGAGAACAAGCCATCGCACTCGAACTACTTTCCTATCCTTGGTTCACTTGGCAACAAATCGACGCATGACCTCAAGGATGGCGCAAATGAGAAGCATGGACACACAGGTCTTGCTTACACTGGTGAAATGATCGGCTGGCCTGAGGATAAGAATAAACGGCGTTGCGTCCTCATTGCTACACTAGAGTACGAAATAATCGACTGGAAACTTAAGGTCAAAATCGGTGGTCTCGGTGTCATGTCCAGTCTTATGGGCAAAGCTATGACAGATGTTGATCTTATTTGGGTCATCCCTAAGGTGAAGGACCTCGAGTACCCTCCTGGAGAACCCGCAGAGCCAATCGAGGTTATCATCTTCGGCGAACCGTACCTTATCGAAGTCGAGACTCACGTTCTGGACAACATCACATACGTTATTCTCGATAGTCCGGTCTTCCGCGCACAGACAAAGGCCGACCCGTACCCGGCACGTATGGACGACTTGAGCTCTGCGATTTTCTATTCGACATGGAATCAGGCGATAGCTGCGACTGTGCGTCGCTTCCCACAGATTGACATCTATCACATCAACGACTACCATGGTGCACTTGTTCCGATCTATTTACTGCCGAAGGTTCTCCCTGTGTGTTTGTCGCTTCACAATGCCGAGTTCCAGGGTTTGTGGCCACTCCGGACTAAAGAGGAAATGAAGGAAGTCTGCTCAGCGTTTAACATAAGCAAGGAGCATTGCACCAAATATGTGCAATTCGGAAACACGTTCAACTTGTTGCACGCTGCGGCCTCATTCATCAGCGTGCACCAGAAGTCCATCGGTGTCGCCGGTGTATCGGACAAATATGGTAAACGTAGTTGGGCACGGTATCCTGCTCTGTGGACGCTGAAGCATGTTGACTCGCTTCCTAACCCGGATCCGACGGACATTGCGGCTCTCGATGAGAATCCGGTTGCATTGAAGGAGATTCGCATTGATGACGAGGCGGAAGCGAAGCGACCCGAATATAAGCGACAAGCGCAAGAATGGGCTGGCATTAAGCAGGATCCCAAGGCTGATCTCTTCGTATTCGTCGGTCGGTGGTCAAAGCAGAAAGGTGTGGACCTTATTGCAGATGTCATGCCATCTCTGTGAGTATTTGTCTATTCGGGTTTTGTGCGGTACAAAATATTAACTTATATATTTAAGCTTGGAGAAGCGTTCTTCCATCCAGCTTATCTGTGTCGGTCCTGTTATTGATCTTTACGGTCGGTTCGCCGCCGAGAAATTGGCTCGTCTAATGGAGATATATCCGGATCGCGTCTACTCGAAACCAGAGTTTACTGCCCTTCCTCCATACCTGTTCAGCGGTGCAGATTTCGCGCTTATCCCGTCTCGTGATGAGCCGTTTGGTCTCGTTGCTGTCGAGTTTGGTCGTAAGGGTGCTCTCGGTGTGGGTTCGCGTCTTGGTGGTCTTGGTCTTATGCCGGGATGGGTGCGTAAACTCTTCTTTTTCATTGAGCTTGAATTTTCTGATGAGTATTGTACAGTGGTTCCCTGTCGAGTCGACGTCAACAGCACACATGCTTTCGCAGTTGTCAAAGACAATCAAAATGGCGCTCAAATCCACGGAGGAAGAGCGTGCGCTTCTACGTGCTCGCTCTGCTGTCCAGCGGTTCCCTGTTGTCGAATGGCGACAGCGTATGGAAGACTTCCATAAGCGCAGCATTGGCACAAGCCGGCAAGTAGCTGGCCACAATGCTTGGAGGCAATCGGATGGCGAGCTAGTACACGCCCCTCAGGTTGCTCACTTGGACCACGATGATTGGGATCCTGTCTATCAAGCCGAGCCAACTCAGCCGCAATGGGACACACGAAGCATGATGGAGAACTCCAGGATGTCGAATGTGCCACCGTCACCTGGAATACCGAATTCACCTGGTCAATGGAGTCAGTCAACGCTTGCCCCACCGCGCATCGATGAGCATGGGCGACGACCTTCGACGGGTTCTGACGATGGTGAGGATTACTTCTCGACAGCTCGATCGCGCGCTCCTAGCACTATTGGCACACCTTCAGAAGGCGGCGGCTTTGATAGCTTCTTGGCAAAGGCAAACAAGACAATTGCGAAGGAACAGAAGCATGCACCAGATCCTTTCTTGGATGATGCGGCACCAAAGAAGCCGTTTGGCCCACATTCTCGAAACTCATCACGGGACTCGATCGCATCTATAGTGGACGAGAAAGCGAACTCTCCGTTGAACAAGGCTATTGCTTCGGTAAATTACTCTTATATTTATCATGATCATTTTGGTATACTGATAACTTGCTTTTGCAGTTTACTGATGCGGATGGCGAGGTTGCTCAGGAGTTCATCCAGAAGCTTCAGAACCTGTCCTCGGAAAACTCGAAGAGTGAACTGTCAATCGAACGCTACCTGCAGAAGAGCGAGGAGGCTTTCTTCGATAAAGTGCGGAAGGAGAAGCTGTCGACGGCAGCGAGTATCCGGTCGTCGACGCGCGATTCTGTTTGGGGAACGCCTTCAGAGTACGAGCCGTCGCGCCCTCACTCTCCGAGCACGTATTCTTTTGCACCGAGCTCCCACTACAACGGAGGATTCAACACGGAAGAATACAGTGGTCCTTTACCGAATGAGAAGGGCGAGGTTGTCATGACTCGGCTACAGATTGCTTTGTCGCACACTATTGGAGGCTGGCCGCTCTACACTATCATTATCGCAGCGGGCCAGATGTTAGGAGCGACGAGTTTCCAGATCACTCTTTTGTCTGGTCAGAACTTCCAAACAGATCTGCAACTGTACGTCCTCGGTGGAATCTTTCTGGCCTCTTCAGCTGTGTGGTATACGGCTTTCCGGCTCAAGCCATCTGTGTATGTGCTATCGGCACCGTGGATCTTCTTCGGCATTGCCTTCTTCATCATCGCGTTACCTGCTGTGTCTTCGGTATTTGACAAGGTGCATTACGCGTTACAAAGTGCTGCGACATGGTCATATGCAGTCGCTTCATCCGCAGCGTTCTTGTTCTTTGGTCTGAATTTCGGTGAGGAGGCTGGTGCAGCGACGGAAGTCTGGACATTGCGTGCGTGCGTCGTACAAGGTTCACAGCAGATTTGGGTTGCAGCGCTCTGGTACTGGGGACATCAGCTCAATGGTTCAACGGCTACCGCACCACCGTGGTGGATCGTTCTCGTTCTTTGGCCATTGGCCATCATGAGCTTCGTCTTTGCATATCTCTTGTTGTACGGTCTTCCGGACTACTACCGCCAGGTCCCGCCAAAGGTGCCGAACTTCTTGAAGACCCTCTTCCGTCGTAAGCTTGTGTTATGGTTCCTTGCATCCGAGATTCTGCGTGACTACTGGTTGAGCGGTCCTTACGGCCGTAACTGGTCGTTCCTTTGGTCTGTGCCGATCCCGAAGTGGGCAACGCTCCTGCTTATCATTACCTTCTTCGTCGTTGTGTGGGGCATCCTTATGGTGATCCTCACATACTTCAGTAAGACACATACATGGTTGTTGCCTGTGTTTGCTGTCGGTTTGGGTGCACCGCGTTGGGCGCAGATGTTATGGGGTACTTCGTCGATTGCATACTACTTGCCCTGGGCGGGTAAATCGGGACCGTACCTTGGTGTATCGCTCTGGCTCTGGCTAGGTGTACTAGATGCAGTCCAAGGTGTTGGTCTGGGTATGATCCTCCTTCAGACTCTCTCTCGGTTACATGTTTGCGCAACGCTGGCATTTGCCCAGATCATCGGATCTATTTGTGTGATGGTCGCGCGGGCCTCGGCTCCCAACAGGATTGGTCCTGGTAATGTCTTCCCCGATGTTGGTACATGGGATATGGACGATGGAGTTAGAGATAGTCCAATTGGCAAGCCAGCGTTCTGGATCGCGCTCATCTGCCAGCTTGTCATCGTAATCGGCTACTTCTGGTTCTACCGCAAGGAGCAACTTTCACGACCGTAATGTCTTCTGCTTCACCAACAATGGACTCCTATTGGATACATATGCTTTCGTTGTTCCTTCGGTTCCCGTATTCTCTGGGCTAAATTTTCACTTTCTTTATACGTATGTGGGCATATTGTGGCCTGTTAAGTTCTCCCTTACAGGACCTTACCAATGGACATTCGTTGCGCGGGACTCAACAGCCAACTCATACACATTAGTAGACTATCCATATATCTACACTCGCACACTACTACTATTACTACTATTACTACAACACTAACTAGCATTCTACATATAGTCCAACTCACTTTTTTTTTCTCGTTTCTGTAATCATCGAACTGTAGACACGGCACTCTCTTTCCTTTTTTTTCGTTTGGTTTTCACTTTGTCTGTCGCTTTGTGATTGGTATCAACGGACGCTCCTTTCTCACTCCTTCAGACCATACTCGATATATAAAACGGCTTCCGTGGACAAGATGAAGTAGGATTACAAAAAAAAATCTGATAATGATACACAATTTTGTTTACATTGGCAGAAGTAATATTAGGACCTAGACGGCATACCGATGCTCTATAGTTGGGGCTAAGAGGCAGCTGGCAGTGTGTGGGGACCATAAATTCTGAGTAGACTCCATTGTTGCGTCTAACTCACATTCAATAAAAGCTCACGTGTTGGAGTAACGCACTGGATTTAATTAGTAGTAATAGTCGTAGAATACAGTACACTTCTCAGGTTGATTGATTGATTCCTTGAATCCGTTCTTTTCCCGCTTCTCTTTCATTCAAAAGACCGGAATGCGGATCAATCCGATTGACATGCCCCTAACGCGATGGAAAGGGACACTCGTATCTCCTTCATCTCCCTCTATCACTTAGCATCACTATCATGACCTCGAAACAAGCTGGTTCGAGTCCTGCACTGCACAGCAGGGATCGGTGAGTAAACAGACTGTCTTGAACGAAGGAAAGACTCTGAAGTTACTTCACAATGCAGGTTTCTCTACCTGAAAGGTACCCACAAATCATTGTTGCTGTCAGGCGCCCGTTCTGACTGTCTCTGCAGAAATTACAGTCGACTTTACTCGTTCACGCCCAGACTGCAAGCTTCATCTCAAGCTGAAAGATGAAATGAAGACCCCATACGAATCGAAGGAATTCGGAAAGACAGAACGACTGCAGTGGAACTGCGAACTGTATTTGATCTCGGCTTATTCATCAATGACGAAACTAATCCATTTATCATTAAGATACGTGAAATCTCCGAGCAAGGCTATGCTGACTATAAAAGACGCTGGTAATGGCTTGAAAAAGAAGTGGAATGTCGAACTGCAATTAGATTTCGGCTCGACGGATTTCCGTGAGAATGATACCGCCGAACGAATTGGTACTTAGTTAATCGGAAACGAATTACATGGATCACTGACAGCATATGCAGATGTAAATTATGGCCTTATCGTCAAACTAACATTCGGAGCCCCGGGGAAGGTATGGAATCAAAAATTACACGGTTGGAGAGATGTTATACAACTGTGCCTGCAGAAGTTCGTTTTTGCTCGATTGCTTGCCAACAAGGCCGTCTCTGCTCTTGCAACGAAATTGCCTATGCTGGAAAAGGTGGACAGGGTCCTCAGCTATTTCGAACTTATCGTAAAATTTGGTCTGGCCGCCTCCGAAGTAAGTACAGAATTGATATAATAATTCTTCGCATTTGCTGATCATAACCTTCAAATAGGTTAACCCTTGTGCAAAGGCTGCTGTTGCTGGCCTCGACGCGGCCTTCCAGGTTTGTGATATCTGCGTGCATTTGCTCTGACTAATCTTTTCCTAGAAATTCCAAGAGATTCCGACAAATCATCGCGAGTTCGTGAGCATCATGGGCGATATCGTTCTGACAACAACTCTGCTTGAGTCGTTACACGAACGTATTAAGGATGAGGTGGTACAAGAAATCCTGAGGAGCTTCAGTGACTTCGTTGACGGTATATCTCGAGATCTGATCAGATATTCTTCCGAATCGAAACGCAGTAAGTAGATCAAGCCTCAGATAGAATGTGGTTAACTACTTTTCAATTAGCGTTCCTACTGCGAAACTGGTACAAGTCCAAACAGATTGAGGCAAAGGAGCTTCATTCCCGGCTGATGCGGCTCTGTGAAATTCTGAACCTTGGACTTACTTGTGAGTCGAAGCTCTAGAATAGCTGCCCCTTGCTTATATACCACAGGTCATCAACTGTCAGAAGCGGATGAGAACTCCCTTAGACAATTAAGACCACCGAGGAATAGTTCTTTTGATCCGGATCGCTGCTGCCTGGAAGATACCAGGACAGAGCAATTGCTCATCATCGACGAGTGGATTCGTTCAGAAGATCCAAACGACCAACTCTATTGGATTTATGGTGTTGCCGGCTGTGGGAAGACCTCAGTCGCAGCATCAGTCGCATCGACACTAGATTCATGGAGGTTTCTGTCTTGCTCCTTCTTCTGTAGCAGGGACGTTCCTGAGCGTAGGGATCCGGCCCGAGTTGTCCATGCTCTGGTTTATTTCCTGGCAAGGGTCAGTTCGCCTTTCAAGACCTCCCTACTTCGGCTGCTCAATGATGATTCCGACTTTCTCGAGAAACCGTTGCAGGCACAAATCAATGCGTTGCTCTCTCATTCTTTTGCAGAGCCTTCTCATTGGGCAAACTGTCGGTCGGTCGTCATTGTCTTCGACGCCCTGGATGAATGCGAGGACAGCGGAAGGGCGGCTTTGTTTCTCGCCAGAGTAATTGAGCGGGTACCTCCTCTCAAAGTCATAGTAACCAGCAGGCCTCTTCCTGAGATCCAAGAACGATGGGACATATTGGAGCAAACCGGGAAATTGACGTCCTGCGACTTATTCGAAGTGAACGCTCACAATGACATCGTGCTCTTTACACGCGAGGAATTCAGAACCAATTCGAAGTTACCGCGTGATTTCACTGAGGATCAGATGGAGGCACTTGCGCGAAAAGCTTCAGGGCATTTCATATGGATCACGACCGTCCTGAAGCACGTTAGCAATCAACTCCGGAAGAAACGCGAGGTGTTGGACCGGATACTTGTTTCCACATCGGACAAGAAGTTTGAAGGGAAACTCGACGCTCTGTATCGGCAAGTGCTTGATGATGCCTCTGAGAAGTCCGACGACCGCGTGGAGACAATACGACTACTCATTGGCCTTGTTTTTGTGACGTCAAGGAACAGACCGCTTCCGGCAGAGGCGTTACATACATTTGTTTATTCCGAGTTCGAGCTAGATGAGCTAACGGAAACATTGCAAGAGTTAGGCTCGGTAGTTACTGTGGAACCTCAGACAGGTGCTATCCGGGTCTGCCATCCATCGTTCTTGGACTTTGTTGGTAGCCGTGAACGGGCTGGATGTTATTGGATGGAGAGTTCAGTGTTGGACATGACGATGGCAGAGGGTTGTCTTAATATCATGGCATCGGGACTCAAATTCGACATCTGCAAACTGGAATCTTCGCACGTTCCAAACTGTGAAGTCCACGATCTTGCGGAACGAATATACAAGACTATCCCCTGTGAGCTGCAATACAGCTGCCTGTATTGGCTGAACCACCTATCGAGGTGTCGAGCCGATGAAAAAGATGAAATATCGATCAAGCAGAAGTTTCGCGACGTGTTTTGCCAGGCGAAAGCACTGTATTGGCTGGAGGCGTTGAGCCTCATGTCTGGATTGAAGGCGGCGGCATCAAGTCTTCGAGATCTTCCTCGTTTAGTTAAGGTCCGTATCGCATGACGTGTTTATAACTTGTGTCTAACAAATCTATAAAGCTCATAGATGCAGACGAGGAACTACGCAATTTTATGACCGATTTATACCGTTTTGTGATGGCGTTTCATGAACCGATGGCAATCAGTGCACCACATGTCTATATTTCAGCCTTGCTCTGGACACCTTCCAAGTCTATAATTGCGGAATCGCAGTACCAGATATTCACGAGCGGTCGATTGGTTCTGGAGGGGCTCGAACACTATTGGCCCATCGCTTTGCAAACATTATTAGTAGGCTCTCAGGTGTGCTCAGTTGCATATTCCCCAAGCGGGCGTTGGATTGTATCTGGGTCCGATGATAAAACCATCCGCATCTGGGATGCGGAGACCGGCGCTCCCATTCGTGAACCGCTTCGAGGTCATGATGACTGGGTCCGTTCCGTTGGATTCTCCCCAGACGGACGCCACATCGTCTCTGGTTCTGATGACAAGACTATCCGCATCTGGGATGCTGAGACGGGAGTTCCCATTTGTGAACCGCTTCGGGAGCATGAAGATTCGGTCGTGACTGTTGAATATTCCCCAGACGGACGTCGCATTGTCTCTGGGTCTCGTGACAACACTATCCGCATCTGGAATGCTGAGACGTGTGTTCCCATTTGCGAACCACTTCGAGGGCACGAAGATTCGGTTGTTTCTGTCAGATACTCTCCGGACGGACGCCGCATTGTCTCTGGGTCTCGTGATAACACCATCTGCATATGGAATGCTGAAACACGTACACCCGTTTGTGCATCGCTTCGAGGTCATGAAAATTGGGTCGTTTCTGTTGGATATTCCCCAGACGGAAGACATATTGTCTCTGGGTCTTATGACAAGACCATACGCATCTGGGATGCTGAGACAGGTGCTTCTATTTGTAAACCACTTCGAGGACATGAAGAGTGGGTCGTTTCCGTTGAATATTCCCCAGACGGACGTTGCATTGTCTCTGGATCTCGAGACAACACCATCCATATCTGGAACACTAAGACTGGTATTCCCATTTGTGAACCGCTTCGAGGGTACAATGGTCTGGTCTACTCGGTTGGTTATTCTTCAGACGGACGTCGCATTATTTCTGGATCCAGTGACAACACCATCCGCATCTGGAATGCTAAGACAGATGCTCTCATTCGCGAGCCACTTCGAGAGCATAATGGTTCGGTCTACTCGGTCGGATGTTCCCCAGACGGACGTTGCATTGTCTCTGGGTCTGGTGATAAGACTATTCGCATCTGGGATGCTAAGACGGGTGCTCCCATTTGTGAGCCGCTTCGAGGGCATAATGGTTTGGTATATTCGGTTGGATATTCACCAGACGGTTGTTGCATTGTCTCTGGGTCTTCTGACAAGACCATTCGCGTCTGGGATGCTCGGACGGGTGTTCCCATTCTGGAACCGCTTCGAGGGCATGGAAACTCGGTCATCTTCGTTGGATATTCCCTTGATGGACGTTGCATCATTTCTTTGTTCGATGATAAGACCATCTGCATCTGGAATGCTAAGACGGGTGCCCCTATTGACAGGCTGCTCGGAAAGGGTAAACGTGGTTTGGTTCGCCGCGCTAGATATTCCCCATCCTTCTCTACCATCTGCATGTGGGATACTGAGACGGGTGTTCGCATTCGTGACGTGCCTGGAAAGTATGAAGTTGGTACTGAGCATATTAAGCATCTCTCAGACGGACGTTGCATTGTCTCTGGATCTGATGAGACGGCTATCTGCATATTCAACAGTCACGACCGAATCTTCATGCTCTTGAAGTGGTTCACAGACGGGAACACCAGTATCAGCACTCCATATTCCCCAGACGGACGTCACATTGTCTCTGGATCTCGTGACAAGACCATCCGCATCTGGGATGCTGAGATAGGTGCTCCCATTTGTGGACCGCTTCGAGGACATGAAGATTCGGTTGTTTTTGTTGGATATTCGCCAGACGGACGTCGCATTGTCTCTGCGTCTCGCGACAAGACCATCCGCATCTGGGATGTTGAGACGGGAGCTTTGACTTGTGAACCGCTCCAAGGCCATGAAGATTCAGTTGTTTCTGTTAGACATTCTCCGGACGGACGCTATATTGTCTCGGGGTCTCATGACAAAACCATCCGTATCTGGGACGTGCAGACGGGTGTTCCTGTTCCTATTGGTGAGGCTCTCCAAGGGCATGAAAGTTCAATCAACTCCGTTGGATATTCTCCCGACGGTTGCTGCATTGTATCCGGATCTTCTGACAATACCATCCGAATCTGGGATGCTAATTGTCATATTCTTGCGAGAGAGCTACACGAATGTCAAGGCAGTTGGTTTGGCTTCTCACAAGAAGGAATGTACATTCTGTCAAGTTCTGACAGAGACGATACACTGTGGAGAATTCCTCCACATATTTCAAATGACGGGTGGATTCGAACATCAGATGGTGGTCTCGTACTATGGGTTCCTCACGAATATCGGAACGGAGTTTGTGATATGAGTCTTTATACCCTTCCACATAATGCAACTGGGCACCCTGTCAGGATTGATTGGCCAAGACTACTGCATGGTACTACATGGACTTCTGTGAAGATAGAAGATTAGACTAAAATTGGACTATCAGTCTCTTCATTTTAAATATCAATGTATCTTTGTTTTAGGAACAGTCTACTGTACTAGTAGTGTATACTCTATTTACTATACAATATCAGACTCTTACTATTGATCACCTGTATCTCTTGTGATTAACAATTCTTGTTGACTTACTATTTTGTCCAAAGAAAGAGGTGGGTTGATTGCTTCAAAAAAGCTGGAATACATACTGTTGAGAGCTAGTCTTATTCAATCCCCAATCACTCATGTCCATCATCTTGAACATATCTGCCATGTTCAGTGTACCTCCTGCACCTCTTGCCCACCCCCACCTCTGACTCTGCCCAACACACCAAAGCCCTCCAAGGCTGCCTATTCTGTTTCACATTTGCAATGCTATGTGTTAGCTTAACTATTAGTGAAACCCTACAAGGAAGAAGAGAAGAGGACAGTAACTTGCATTGGATCTCCTCTCTGTCCTGCTACTATCTGCCCAGTTCCATTTCTTGTCCAAACACTGCCTAGTGAACAGATTATGATCTAATCCTTGTTCTTCACAGAAGTCCAAGCAGTTCCGTGCGACAACCGTGACCAGTCAATCCTAACAGGATGTCCTCTCGCGTTGCGCGGAATAGTGAAAAGGCTCATATCACAAATGCCATTCTGGTATTCAAAAGGAACCCACAGAACGAGACCACCGTCCGAGTCTCGAATCCATCCGTCAGTCGGAATACAGGGAGGTAATCTCTGCAGCGTGTCATTGGTATCAGAGCTTGACAGAGTAAATGTTCCATCCTGCCGAAAGCCAATCCAACGTCTTCGACTTTCATGCATCTTGCCTAGAAGAATGTGACAATTGGCATCCCAGACGCGGATTGTCCTGTCGGCGGACCCAGAGATTATGCGACTTCCGTCTGGGGAATATGCAACAGAAAGAACGGTCCATTCATGCCCTCGAAGCGGTTCACCAATGGGATCGCCTGTCTCAGCATCCCAGATGCGGATGATCTTGAAAAACCCGGAGACAATGCAATGTCCGTCTGGAGAATATCCTACAGAATAGACCTGATCTTTCTGTCCTCGAAAGAGCTCACCAATAGGAGCACCTATCTTAGCATCCCATATGCGTATTGTGCTATCGTAAGACCCAGAAACGATGTGAAAGCCATCTGGTGCGTATGCAACACACTGGATACCTCCTTCATGCCCTCGAAGCGGCTCACCGACTGAAATACCCGTCTCAGCATCCCAGAGGCGGATCGTCTTGTCATCGGACCCAGATACAATGCGACATCCGTCTGGGGAATATGCAACAGACCAAACGTTGCTTGTATGTCCTCGAGCCGGTTCGCAAATAGGAGCACCTGTCTCGGCGTCCCAGATACGGATGGTGCGGTCATGAGACGAAGAAACAATGCGACGGCCGTCCGGCGAATATGCAACAGCATAAACGAAATGCTCGTGCCCTCGAAGTGGCTCACCGACTGCAATACCCATCTCGGCATCCCAGATGCGTAGAGTGTTGTCATAAGACCCAGATACAATGTGACGACCGTCCGGGGAATATCCAACAGAAGTAATTGGAGCTTCATGCCCGTGAAGCGGCTCGCCGACAGGAGCACCTGTCGCCACGTCCCAGATGCAGACAGTCTTATCAAAAGTCCCAAAGGCAATATGACGCCCGTCCGGAGAATATGCACCACAATAGACCTTTTGTATCTGCCCTCTAGTTGGTTCACCGGCACGAACACCAGTTTGAGCATCCCATACACAGATCGTCTGGTCCTTAGATGCAGATATAAAGCGACGTCCATCCGGAGAATATACTAGACACCAGGTCCCTTTCTCATGGGCTGGAAGTTGTTCACTGACAGGAGCGCCTGTCTTGGTATCCCAGATGCAAATGGTTGAGTCAGACCCAGAGATTATACGACATCCGTCTGGTGAGTATGCAAGAGACCTATTGTGCCAATCATTCCCTTGCAGTAGTTCGCCAACAGGAGCACCTGTCTCAGTGTCCCGGATGCAGATTGTCCCATTAGACATCCCAAAGGCCATGCGGCGTCCGTCTGGGGAACATGCAATAGAACAGACACGATCTTCACTCTCTTGAAGGAATTCACTGATACGGACACCCGTTTGAGCATCCCAGACGGAGATGCTCATGTCATGAGCTCCATAGATAATGCGACGTCCGTCTAGGGAATAAGTTAGACACTGGTCATAACTCTCATGCCCTCGAAGCGGTTCACCGATGGGAACACCGGTCTCAACATCCCAGATGCGGATGGTTTTATCAGTAGAACCAGAGACTATGTATCGTCCATCTGGGGAATAGGCAACAGAAACAACGTAATCTTCATGCCCTCGAAGCGGCCTTCCGACACGAACACCTGTCCGAGCATCCCAGATGCAGATTGTTCCGTTACCAGATCCAGACATAATACACCGTCCGTCGGGGGAATATGCAATACACTGAATCCAACCCTCATGCCCTCGGAGTGGTTCACTGACAGAAGTACCTGTCTCAGCATCCCAGATGCGTATGGTCCTGTCAGCACATCCAGAGACGATATGCCGTCCATCTGGAGAATATGCAATTGAAGTCACGTCGGAGCCCACCGGTATCGTTCGCAGTGTGATAGGCCAATACCTTTCGAGCCCTTCATCCACTAGCTGAGCGCTGGCGAAGTCCTCGCAATGCAATTTTGCAGTAACCGACTCGGCTGGTGCCCAGAGTAAGGCTGAAATATAAATATGTGGTGCACTGACTGCCATTGGCTCGTAATACGTCATCACGAATCGGAACAAGTCTTCTGTGGATTTCCGAAGTCCTTGGTCCATATTAGAGTACTTTGTGCTTCATTAGATACAGGAACTGGACACTTCGGGATGCAAGAGCTAAACACGAACCTCTGGCAAATACGGAAGATCCCGAAGAATAGATACAGCTGCATTCAACTTCGACAAGAGGCTCAGCGCTTCCAGCCAGTACAGCGATGTCGCCTGACAAAACACGCGAAGCAATTTCTGCTCTATTGAGCTATCATAAACAGCCTCAGCAGGAGACCTCGACATATGCTCCAACCAGTACAGGCAGCTGTACTGTAACTCTTGGGGAATATAATTCTGAATTCGTCCCGCAAGGTCACGGACGTCGCTATTCGGGAGATGCGAAGTTTCCAGATTACATATGTTAAACTTGAGTTCCGATACCATGATATCCAGGCATTTCTTCGCCATATCCTTATCCAATATTGCCATTTCGATCCCATAATGCCTCGCTCTTCTGGGACTTTCAACGAAATCAAGAAATGAAGGATGACACGCTCGGATAGCACCTGTCTCGGACTCCTCGGTCAGAACCGAACCTAACTCCTGCAATAGTCTCTGGAACTCGTCAAACCTGATATCGATAGTGACGAAAGTATGCAGCGCTTTCGCGGGTAGTGGTCTATTTCTTGAGGTCGCGAAGATGAGTCCAATGAGCAGTCTGATTGCATCCATTCGCTCCTGAGAATCCTCACAGGCGTCATCGAGCACGCGCTGGTATATAGCATCGAGTTTTTCCTCTCCTGGGGAATTTGAACGGGTCGAACAAATAATTTGCGTCAATGTATCCTCCTTTCTCCAAGGCAGAATGCTGATATGCTTCAGGACTGTGGCAATCCATATAAAATGTCCAGATGCCTTCTGTGCAAGGGCAACAATCTGATCATCGGGGAATTTCCTCGGCAGACGTGTGTTGGACTTGGAGAACTCTTCACGAGCATAGTGGAGAATATCGGCATAACTGTCCACCTTGAACAAATCGCAAGATCTTAGTGTCTCGAACGCTGTCAACGCTTCCTGTATACGTGGAAGGGGTCTGCTTGTCAAGATGATCTTGAGATGAGGCACCAATTGTAAAATTTTCACAATGAACGAAGATGCATCCTCGTTGTCCTCGCACTCGTCCAAGGCATCGATAACAAGGATGATTGGCCTGGATTGCGTGGAATCTGACATCGTCAGGCGGAAACATGACAGCAACGCTTTGAATTGGGTCAGCAATGGCCTATCCACAAGTTCAGGGTCTTCCTTAAGCAGTCGTAGGAGGGCATCCTTAGAAGGAGGGCTAGCCCTTGCTAAGAAATACACAAGAGAATGAACGAGTCGGGTTGAACTCCTCCGCTCCGGGATGTCCCTGCTGCAGAAAAATGAACCAGATAGAGTCTTGCGCGAATCCAATACGGCTGAAATTGACGCTGCAACTGAACTCTTTCCACACCCCGCAACACCATGAATCCAGTAAAGCTGTTCACATCGATCTGTCAAACGTATCCAATCATCAATCGTTCGTAACACAGCTTTTCTTGTGCCCTGGAGGCAGCAGCGTTTCAAGTCGAAGGAGCTTTTCTCTGGCGGTTTTAGTTGTCGGAGTACCTTTTCGTCTTCCTCTGAAAGTTGATACTGATCTATGTCACAAAGTCAATGAAAGTTGTCCATAGGAAGTTTCGCGACTCACGAATTTCATTGGAGATAGCAATATTCAGGGTTGAACACAACCGATTTAACCGGTCGTTGAATGCTTTGACCTCATTCAATTTCGATTTGTACCAATTGTGCAGCAGAAACCCTGTTCAAGGGTAATTAGCGATATATAGCTCAGAGATTTTCGTACTTACCGAACAGCGGCTTAGAGGAATAACGATATAGATCTCTAGACAACCGTTTGATGATGTCAATGAAATTACTCAAGATGTTCTTTACTGCCTCATTCTCAATGCGTCTTTGCAATAGCTCAAGAAGGGGTAATAACAAAACGACGTCGTCCATGATGTTCACAAACTCGCGATGACAAGTCGGAATCTCTTGGAATCTCTACAAGTATGTTAGTTATAAGAAATCCCAACTCATTGACTCCTACCTTAAAAGCTGCGTTAAGACCAACACTAGCGGCCTTGGCGTAAGGGTGGGCCTATGAGATTGTGCGATTGGTTAGCCACAGAAGTCGCAACACAACTTATATGCTTACTTCGGAGACAGCCGATCCAAAACTCAGGAAAACATCAAGATATCCGAGGACCTTGTCCATCTTCTCCAGCATAGATATCTTTATTGCGAGAGCAGAGACGGCCTTATTGGCAAGCAACCGAGCAACGTCGATGTTCTGTAGACACTATCATAAGCATGTACCTGTAACAGATGACTTTTCGTACATTTCCCGAGACTCCAACTGTTAGCCTGACGGTGAACCCGTGACTCAGATCTAAAAGTATTGTCAGCCATGTTTGCACTACATTACTATTGAACAATTACTGGTTCGTTCGACTGTGTTGTTGTCACAGAAATCGGCCGAGCCAAAGTCAAGTTGCACTTTGGCAATGCAATCCCTTCTCAGAGCATTTACAGAACTCTGTATCGTCATTATAGCTATGCTTGGGGATTTCACGTATCTAAATAATATAATTAATTAATGACCCCAATCGATAAAAATTAGCCGAGTAAGACCTCATACACGTCGCAATTCCATTGTAGAGCTTCCAGCTCTCTGAACACCTTCGATTCGTACCGTGTTTTCATTTCATCTTTGAGCTTGATCTGAAGCCTGCACTTCGGACGTGAACGAGAAAAATTAACAGCGATTTCTGTAAGGGCAGTCAGAACGGTGCCAAATTAAACGATGACTTCTCATGCCTTTTAGGTAAAGAAACCTGTATCGACGGACGATCTCAGCGATTGTTCTTTCCCCAAGGCAGTCAACATTCTGAACACACTTACCGATGCGTAACGTCGTCCACGGAACTTGAGATTGCCTGGGTAAAGGACATGATAGATCACGATGGGAGTTGTGTGGAAGAAACGATCATCTTATTATGTCGTGTTTGAACGAGGCATTCATATGTCACTCGGATTGATCCGCTTCTTACTAGCGGCAGAAGCAGAGGTTGAGACTCATTTGAGAAAGAATTTAAATATGCTGTCCATTATTTGAAATTCACCTGATTTTCCGAGTCGAGTAACTGTGATGATCGCATTTAAGATCAGCAAATTAATTGGACTTATGACATTATCCAGTTACCAGATACAGTAGAATCTATCCTGATGCATAACGTTGTGTAAGTACCTCATTGATGTATTATAACCCTATGTACTGGCAGAGGATTTCAGATTGCACACGAGGGAAAAATCATGGATTATCAGATTTGTGCATCTTGCTATGCATAGCTAATCATACATACAATCCTTTGTACACATCTTACCTATCTACATTTCTCTATTGTTACTGTAGTACAAGTTTTCTTACTTCCTGCGCAACACGACAACAGCCGTTTTATACGGGTACTCAAACACTCCCTTCTCCTTATCAATCCACACCTTCTCTTCACCTTTCTCAACAATCTCGCGTATTCTCTCTCTCACTTGCTTCTGAACATCTGGTGGCTGGATAGCAATGTAGCTCTTGCTGCATACGCGGTCTTGCACACTTTGCTCCGTGGCGGGAATAGAGTGAGAGACAATGGTCTCTTCGTGTGGATTGAAGTTTGCGGCGTAGGAGGGGACGGAGAAGACGGCGCGCCAGAGACCGAGGCGGTACTGTGGAGAGTTTTGTTCATAGGTTTCGTATGAGTCGCGGAGGGTGGCTACCCAGCGGGCGCGTTCCCTAAATTTGTCAAATTATTAAACGATCAGAGTAAAGCGGTGGTGTAATGCTGACCTGTCTTCGAGGTTCCAGATGAAGACAACTATCCCGTCAGGTTTGAGGACTCGCGCGAATTCCTTGATGGCGGCCTCGTGGTCGGGGCACCAATGGAACGCCTTCAAGTCACAAACATAAATACACACACTTATCAAAGTAACGTGTATGCATATATGCGCACCTGAGCAATAACAATCAAATCTGCCCACCCATCTTCCACACCTGTTGCGTTGTCGAACGTACCCTCCGCCACGCTTGCTCGGGGATCTGTAACGGTTTTAGAGAAGACGCTTCGCATGCCTTCACTTGGCTCAATAGCTTTGATTGCAGAGACGCTGGATTGGAAGGAAGGGTGCGAGAGAAAGCAGCGCGTGAATATGCCTGTTCCAGCACCGATTCTGCAAAGAAATTAGTATATGTAGATAAATTGGATGGAAGAATGGGAACGTACTCGACGACGTTAATGGATTCTTTCGACCCAAGTGCTTTATGGATGACTTCGAGTGCTTCAGGTGGGTACGAGGGGCGTGCTCTGCAGTGAAGTGACGCATATAAGCAACATAATAACCTGCTAACAGCATGCAACGAGACGAATTGGAACTAATCTCACTTATCGTAAAGCTCATTCGTCCCCTTCCCAAACCCGGCCTTTGCAAGGTCGTGGACTTTGTGTGTAGGTATAGCGGTCATGATACTAGTAATATGACAGTCTTAACACTCGTAAAGGTGTGTTTTGCCCAGCCTGCAACACTCGATAGACAAGAGTGAAGATAGGGTCTGATAAGCAAGAGTAAGACTTAAAGATGTGTTCGGCCGAGTCAGAACAAGTAGTCCTCGGTATATATAGTATGCATGAGGTCGTGTGAGTCGTTTTTTAGGCAGCCGACGGAATGAAGTATGACTCCGTTCCCGTCATTTCGGCAGGTGATGGTCTAATATTAGCCCGCTATTTTGGCATTATTTGTTATTCGGTAATGATTGGCACTGAGGAACAAGCTTAATGGATGACTTCCCGTAAGAATTCTGCTAGAAAAAAGGCATCCTATTTTCATTCTCTCTGTATATAAGTGAGATAGGATAGATTTAGACAAAATTTGCTTCCTGTAACACCAAGATTCATAGATGCTATAGCTAAGGACAAATGTTCTGAGAGAACATGTTGATCATCAACTATACTAAATACAGATGTAACTCCGATGACAAAGTGACAGGCAATCAGGGATACTGTCATAAGTGTTGGCTATATTACCATATTTATTATTATGAACATATTTCTCAAGTTTAGAGGTTTGTACAGGGGGGGGGGTACCCCCCTGTACAGATTTTAAGTTTATTCATGGGGTGTTGTTGACTGAAACTATGGTACACTAGTTGGTTCCCTTTGGACTGATGATTTAGACATGGTTTTTAGTATTTTTCTTGTCAGAAAGCCTTACAGGAAGTCATCCAATAATAATATTTCACAACAATATTGAGCCTAACACTATTAAGCAATGATTAATGGAATACTTTCATTATACCTTATCCTTTCTGCCGGATATGTGAAGAAATTCCATTCAACTTTTGTCATAATAATAGAGAGTTTGTGCCTTCAAACTAGATAAGAGGCCTTGTGTTGCTCACTGCTCAGTTCTGGCAAGCTTTGTACTACAAGGATTCCTGTAGGCTAAACCCACTGAAGGTTCGCACTTGTACAGGGCAAAGATACGTCTCTTCCCCGAAGGCATTACGTTGCTTTTACTAACAGGAATGTAGGAAGACTATTCAGCCGGGCAAACGTTAACTATACAAAACAGGGCCCACAAGAGATGGCTACATCAGTTGCGTCTGCTGACATCTTCGGCCTGAGATCTTCTCATACTCTGAGAATTACCATTAGGAGATCTGGGGCATTCTTTGACCACTGATGTCCTACAGTCTAGATCTCCGAATTATAAGTCAAATAACTTCTAGTGCTGTGTATGATACCATCTATCACCAACAATGTAGCGGCCATCATATTCCGATTCTCCATATAGAGACAATTGGAGAGGAGTTCGAGGTGCTTGCTCTGAGCACTAGTAAAGCGTTAGTGCAAGCCATGAAGCCCGAGATAACTTGAGTTTGGTCGAAGGCACGTTCCCAGCGACTTTGCGTCACTGTACGAACGTTCGAGGGGCTCGGATAAGAAGCCTTTTTCGAGGAAAGAGACTAGAATTGTAGGCTTCGCGAAGCTAGGTCATTGACTTGAGATCCAGCCGGGATTGTCAATGTAGTACCGAAAGCATTCATCTTGCATTCTTGACGAACGGAAGCAATTTCAGACCAGAGATGCTTGTCGTAGAACGTAAATATTGAGCATGGCCTCGAAGTGGCGGCACTCTGCGAGACGACCCCCAGGCTGACAAGGTCAAGTATAAAGCGTAAAGACTTCCCGCGAATAGACCGGGCCAGTGCACCGAGGACAAAGAAAACAGAAGCACATCGGACGCAATGTAATCCTTGTATGGAACAATTAACATCGGCTAGCTTTTGTTAGCAGGTCAATTGAATTTGAAAAGTTCTACCCATGGCCATGATAGTCGCATGGCAACCCGATGAAACAACGTGTTGAATATGGCCGACTTGAGAGGGCTCGAGGCAGACAGCTGATGCTGAGATGTTGATGCTGATGATATACTAGAAAGTACTGTGTACAAAAACGAGAGTATCAATTGACTGTCTAAATAAATCATTACGTTTACACCGCTCTAAGGCACGTACTTGCTTTCCTTCCTCACTCTCCATACCATATCGTGCTCGTCATTGCGTACGACGCCGACGAGGCATCTTCGAGCCGTGCTCGAGGTAGTCGTCGTTGAGTAAGAAATCGAGAGTAAGGGACCGGGCGCTAGAAAACCGGGTTGTAGACATCGCGCGTCGCCAACGTTACAGCCTGTACTTTGCCGCTCAGCTATTCAATTCGCGGTCCTGACTCCCTCATCACCGCCGCTTTTCTCCCGCGACTAACGGCTCGAGTCCTCGAGATCCACTACTCTTACTCTACCTCCTTAATCTCTCTTTAGTCTACTACTCGCCTCTCTGGGCCTTTCCTAGTCGCACGCAATGACTGCTTTGGCCCCTTCTGCGCTGTCGACGTCTCTCGCAGGGCCGTCCCAAGCAGGCCCAAGTCCTCAATCACAATCATCCTCTCCCGCAAGCCCAACAGCAAACTTCAGCAGCGCGCAGCAGGCTGGTCTCGGTGCTGTCGCGGCAAAGACTAGCCACTCGCATCTTCGTAGTACGTCGCGTCCAGGCACACCTACAGCGATCAATGGCAATGGCAGCAACTCCATCAATGGCAACTCAAGTGGTCCGTCGCTCGAGCCGCCGCCTGGTGTCTCGTATGCTGAGTTTCTCGCATCATGGGGCGATGCGCACGTTGCACGATGGCTGAGCGCGCTCGATCCGCATGGAAAGTGTGCGGCACACGCGTCAGCATTTCGTACAGCAGATGTGCGCGGCAGCGTCCTCCTTGAGCTCGACCAATCCTCGCTCAAGGAAATCGGCGTAACCAGCATCGGTGATCGCATACGCATCTTAAACGCCGTCAAGGCGCTCAGGTTGCGCTGTAGTACACGGCATACACACGCACAACACGTCGCTGGAGTGGCATTGGGACATGGACAGGGTTCATCGAGTGTGAGCAGCGTCGCGAGCAGTAGCGGCGGGAGCTCTGGTACGACTACGAATACTATAACGCACTTGAGCCCCAAGCTCACTGTTACCAACACTGACCCAGCCGACGCCTTCCCACGTCAGCATCAGCGTAACCGCTCGCGTCCTGCACCTCTGCAGTTGACCAGGTCATCGCAAACGCAAAATGACCTCCCGCGACTTATTCGTGATGCCGGACCTGTACCCGACAGCGCGCGCTCTGCTACTTCCATGCGCCCTCTACCCCAACCAAGTAACCAGACGCAGAGCCAGGTGAACACGCCACAGGGATTCTCATCGCATTCACATTCTTCGTCGGGTTCTGGTTCTGGCGGTAATTTGGGAGCGAGTGGCAGACAACATTTGCCTCCGTTGCCTCCACCGCCTCTGACGAAGCCGCCGCTCCCACCATCCTCAAGTGCTCGCGGACAGCCACCTCGCTTACAAGCTCTCCAGCAAAGTAGCGGGCGTCGTACTCCGACCCAAGCCGAAGCGCCACCACCGCCTCATTATGCACCCCCTCCAGTCCCAGGTCAATCCTCTCAAGGACAAACACAAAACCAAAATCAAAATCCTCCAACTGTCCAGACACCAACTCAATCTCAGAATCCTGCACTTCTTACGCCGTCGTCTTCCACTTCTGGTGGTGGTTGGAAGGGTGAGTATGGTTTGCCTGCTGGTCCTCGTTCTGGCCAAGGTGTCAATTCTCGTGCGACATCACCGCTTCCTGGGTTTGGACGGCGCTCACCAGGAGGCGTGAATACACATACGAAAGCACCGAGCTACAGCGCAACTACAGCTTCCTCTAATATGAGCGCCGGAGTCAAGACAGCTCCGCGCCCGAATACAAGCGGCGGACACCCTTATGCAACTGCAAGTTCGGGTACAACAACCTTACAACCCCCACCTCAGAGTGGCGGCAACGCAGCCTTGTCTGCTGCGCTTTCACCTATTGCGGAGTCTTTTATGGGACAAGGTGGTTTACCGACACCGGTTCCGCCTACCGCAGGTTCTTCCGCTTCATCTTCTTCCATGACACTTTCCACAAACCCTAATGCTTCGGCATACCATGGGCGGGGACCATTCCGCCCTTCAACGCCCTCTTCGCATACTGCTCAAGGCTCGGGAACAGGTGCACCATCTTTGGACGATCTGCGTCGCCGACTCGTGCGCTTTCGTCTTGCAGGAGATGGACATAGTGCTATGGTCAATGTTGCAGACTGCACAGACGGTGTCGAGATGCTTGAGCGTGTATTGCGCAAATTTGGAAAGCTTTCTGGATCAGGTCATGTGGATGTCACTACTGAGGCCGATTCTGATGAAGGCGGTTTGTGCATCGATGGCTGGTCTGTGTATCTTGATTGGGTAGAGGGAGAAGGACCAGGTATGTTCCGTTTATTAGACCACAACATGGACAAGGCAAAAAGTTTTCTAATTATATTTGTATATGCTACAGCGAAACCACTCCGCGAATCCGAGCTTCTTTCTCTATGCAACGCGGGTCCTGATCACCCTGTGCGCGAGCGCGGACTAACCTTACGACGCAGGAAACGCTCGAAAACACTACAACAAATATTCGGTGATGTTCCTTCAACGGGTACCTCGGGTTCAGGCTCAGGGTCGCTCTCGCCACGCTCACCCGTTCCAGCAATTGCAGCCCCGCAAGATGATGACCAGTACCTTGGGAACTCGAGCGTTGCATTCCCGCGCACGTTGACACCAAGCCAAGAACGTGAGCGAGAAAGAGAAATACGCAACATGAAACGCGCAAGTTCGATTAGTGTACTTAGTGGATTGGGCGTACGCGATCCGGAACGTATCCTTGATACGTCTGATACGTCTGCGCCGTCTGTGCCTATAGAGAACAAGTCTGGTGGGAAGAGTCCTAGTGCGTCGAGCTTTGCTGGCAAGATCCGGACGTTCTTGGGTGCTCGTCCACCGAGCGAGTTGATTGCGACGCATTTGCCTGCTTATTTCCCCAGTACGCAGCCGAAGATTTTACGTCGTGCTGTACGTCAGTCTATGCGGTTCAGCTCTGGCGCGGGTATTGGTGGACGACCTGAAAGTGGGATCTCTGCGAGTGGTGTGCTTGGCCAGGCCGGGAATCGTAGAGCGAGCAGGATGAGTACTTCTACTGCGGGAAGGTCGAGTTTGACGCTGGAGAATCGGCGTTCGAGCATGGCGAGTCTTCCACCACCTCCAGTACCAGATAAGAATAGGATGTCGCAAGACGAGGTACCGCGTATGAGTATCTCAGCTGAGGACGGTCATTCCACCGATCTTCATGAGAGTGAAGGTGAGAAAGGAAAGGAAGATGAAAGTGGAAGGCCTACGACTCCGCACCTCCTCCCGCCTGTTGACTTCCCGAGCGAGTCGTTCGCGGATTCGTTCCACGATGTTACCGTTGGTGCTTCGACACCTGGTAATGGCATGGGTTCGGGTGCACGGTCAGGACCGACACCGATGATCTCGCGTACACCTTCGACGGCCTCCCGCGTGTCGCATCGGTTTAGCTACATGTCGGAGCTGCGTGCACGACGTGACCTCTCGGATACTGCAAGTATGCTCACCGTTGACGAGATCACTGCGGAGGTTGAGTTGAACCGCCGAAAGAGTTTAGCTGCGAGCATTCGATCTGGAGAGAGTCGCTCTGCTGAGACAGGATCCATAGCCGGTAGTAATACTGCTGTAGGCCACAGCGAAGAAATGGGCGAAGGTGGTAAACAATCTCCCGCAACAGAGGAAGAGAGCTATGATATGGTCGGAGAGGACGAAGGTGAAGAGGAGAGTGACATTGATGATGAAGACACGCTTGAAGAAGAGTTGGAAGAGGATGAGGAAGAGACGCTTAATGTGGAAGATGATCAAGATGCTCCTGTCAAGTCTACTCGAGGTAAATATCCTCCTTTGCTTTCTATCTGATTTCTGATTTCTAATCTACTGCATAGGAAAACGCGGTGCGAAGTGGATCCGCGGCGCTTTGATCGGTGCCGGTTCTTTCGGGAGCGTGTACCTTGGTATGGACGCAATGAACGGACTTCTTATGGCCGTTAAGCAAGTCGATCTCCCAACCGGCTCAGGTCCGAACGAACAGCGCAAGAAATCCATGCTCGATGCACTCGAGCGCGAGATTGACCTCCTTCGGGAGCTTCAACACGAGAACATCGTACAATATCTTGACTCCTCGTCAGACGAGAAACATCTGTACATTTTCCTCGAATACGTTCCTGGTGGAAGTGTCACTGCCCTCCTGAGGAACTATGGAGCATTTGAAGAGACGCTGTGTAGGCACTTCGTGAAGCAGATCTTGCAGGGCTTGAGTTATCTGCATAGTCGGGATATTATTCATAGGGACATTAAGGGTGCAAATATTCTTGTGGATAATAAGGGTGGGATTAAGATTTCGGACTTTGGGATTTCGAAGAAGGTTGAAGAGAGTGAGTCTTTCTCCTTTTTTCCCGTTTGATATGAATCTGATGGGATGTGCTTTTTTAGCGTTCTTGAGCGGAGGTGTACGTGCACATCGGCCTTCGTTGCAGGGATCCGTGTATTGGATGGCTCCAGAGGTGGTTAAGCAAGTTGCGCATACACGCAAGGCCGATATTTGGAGTGTGGGCTGTCTGGTCGTTGAGATGCTGACGGGTAACCATCCGTACCCAACGCTCAACCAGATGCAAGCTATCTTCAAGGTCAGTCCCTCTCTTTCAATCCATCACAATTCAAAATATATGCGCAATAAATTCGTATTATTCCTGTGACTAACTTTTCGTTTTTTTCCCTGCTAGATCGGCTCCTCAGCCAAGCCAACAATCCCATCAGATATCTCACCCGAAGCAGAGGACTTTTTGCAAAAGACGTTCGAGACGAAGTATGAAGCAAGGCCGGATGCGGATGAGTTGTTGCAGCATCCGTGGATCGTTCATGGGCCTTCGTCTTCGTCTTCGTCGGGTTCGGTTGGGTCGAATGCTAAGCAGGGTTCGACGAAGAGTAAGGGTGCGAAGTCTGGTTGAGCTTGTGATCCCTTGGTTCGACTCTTGTATTGAATTGGTTCTTCGACATTGGTATTTGATTCTGACTGAGATCTGTTCTGTCTTGCCTGAGCTGAATGCTTGGTTGGATCTTGACCCTGCAACTCCTTGCCTTTCGAGTTTTTGATTCCTCTTCTTCCTTCTTTCTTGTTTCTGCTTGGGGAATTTTCTTTATTTTCGCTCTTCTCACTCTGTTATTCTGTTTCATTCTTCTTTCATATATTCTTCTTTCAAATTCGGATTGATGTTCGAATTAATTCGCAATTGCACGCCCCACGTTTACGTCCCCTCCTCGACTTTTTGCGCTATCAATCAGTATTGCATTCGCATATTTTAGACTTTGCCACCACGGTATGCCGGTTTCCCTCTGTATCCTTGTGTCCACGTTATATACACACAATATCGAACTTCATCCAATTCATCTATTCGTCAACTGTATACATACTTCTTCATTTAACATTCATTTTAACAGGAAAAAGTACTGGGGGTGCGCTTTTCGGTTGTAAGATGCGTCCGAGCGGAATTTGAAAAATTACCATTTTCAGTCAGAATGTGGCGGTCAAAGTGTCCGCCTACTTGTACCTAAATTATAAATTTAGTAATCAAATTTAGGTCAATATAAATGTATTATACTGAACGATATTGTGCTAATAAGTTGAATTCATCTACTATAGCCAAGGAAAACAATGAGTAAAAATTAATACAGTGTATGCAAAGTGTATCTTGCTAATGATCAGTAGCACTGAGTAAAAAGATGACGCGAGTGTGACAAAAAATCGAAAAATGAACAGCCAAATCTACTGTGATAGGGTGTGACTCATTACTTTCGAGCTTCATTCTTTATTTTACTTCTCATCAAGGGATGAGTGAACTCTTTCAAAACATTGATGAAAAACTATATAAACTCAATATGAAAAGATTTACAGAAGGAATTAGCTAGAAAAAAATTGCTTCTTAAGATACAGCTGATTTGGTGTGTAAAACAGTTGTATTTTGGCTTATTTCAAATTAAATGAGAATCCCTTCTGTAAAAAGTTTCATTTGCATCTCAGAAGCATGAAATTTATTTTTCTATTATTTTATCTTAGGTGTGGGGAACAGAAATGTTCCTGTACAATCACTACTTTTAACCGGACACAAAATTTGATCACATAAGCAATAAATTTCTTAATTGGAAGCCGTGGGAACGGACGCGCAACACAAGGGAAAAGCGCACCCCCAAAAGTACTGTACCAACCATTACAACATACATACAAAAACAAAGTAAAAACAGACTATCTCGAAGATTCATCGTGGCGTGATCGTTGAGAGAACCAAGTCGTATCTGTCTGACTATGATTGCGCTTAGACTTGTAATGTCTGATCAAGTACATGTTTGTCAACATTATGACTGCTGTCTGCAAGAGTGTCTTCAGCATACTGAGTAGCACATGCATAGGCTAATTTTTGATGCGACAGCTCATGGACGGAAGCCCAAGTAGAATACATATATTCCTTTGTAAACAAGGTCAATAGTACTAATGCACTATATTTTTTGGTAGGTCAAACACCAAAGCGAATTGTCTTCGCTCTCACATTCATCCACCTTCAAACTTCCTTCTGCCAAGTTTTCCTTCCTCGATGGGGACAATTAACTCTCTTCATCAACATCCTTTTCCTTATCTCTTTTCCTCTTCCCCGTCGCACGCGTCCCAGGCCCCCAGTTCGGCGTCGGGTTCTGCTGATAGCGTACTAGCTTTACTTTCGTTGAGAGTTGTGAGGTGGCCAGTGGGTGGTGTGAGAAGTTGGCTTCGAAGCTGTTTAATTGAAGGATATTAGTTTACGATGTTTTGATTGTAGAGTATGCAAAAGGAATAGGGAAAATATGACAGGGTTAGAGTTGAAGCCATAAAGCGGTTTAGTTGATTAGGTGGATTCGGGAGCTTTGGGAAGGGGAGATGGAGTTCGAAAGTTTAGGTTGTGCAATTTGAGTTTCGTGTAATCAAATCGAGACTCGTGTTGAAGTAAGGCACGATTCGTAGGCGGTAGGGAAGACGACAAGTGGGAGGGGACAATAACCACGAGGCTCGAACAAAAGGTCCGAGGTATACTCAAGGGGAAGGAATAGAAGACGCGAAGTCGAACGAGATGTCAACAAAGAATAGAACAGATGACATACCGCGGCGTCTTCCCATGCAAACAACTCGACGGCGAATTCGGTGGTATACTCTCCGGCTTAACCGGATGTTCCTTCACCCACCCTCTAAATACATCATGCACGTCTTGTCGTGTCGCGTTCGTTTTGAGTGAGCCTGCTAGAGCGTGGGAGCGAGAGACGGAGAAGCCTGCGTGGAGAAGTGCATTTCTTTATTGAAATTAGGAAATAGGATTCGTTAGTAAATTGAGTTCTTATAAGTAGGAGAGTAAGGGGAGGATGCCGGAGACAATAGCGTTCAAAGGGGAAAGCAAGGGGGGAGGGAAGACAGACGTACGACGTTTCTTCCAACGAAGGCGAGACGCAATGGAACGTCCCCGCCAGCCGACCAGGCGTGAAATAGAACGGTATGTGTAGTTCCTATTCATTCAAACAGTTCAGCAATCGAAGCAGGTTGATAAAAGCCAAAGTCGATTGAAGCCGGGGGGGGGGGAGGGGGGAAGACAATTAGCACAACCACTACAAATTTAGAGTAGACGCGAATAGATTGAACAGCACGAACCTCTTTTGTGACAGTAAGCATCCCCTTCATACGCGCCGCTGTACCATAATTCGTCAAGTTCGCTTCGACATGTTCGAGTGCCTTCGATACAAACTCCGTATCGTGTATCGGGCCAGCCCACATCGGACCAGCAACCTTCATACATCCGAAGACAAAGGACAATAAAGAGTTTCCCCTAGTCAGCAGACACGATACAATACTCAAACAGACGATCGTAGATAACGTATAACGTACGTGCAGAGTACTATCACACTCCGGACACTTATCACCCACCGGTGGACCTGCACGCGTTCGGAACAACACATTCGTCTGTCCAGTCTTGTCAGATACCTTCTCTACGATCTTCCCCAATGGTTGTTCGTAGAACGCTTGACAACCCGAACAGATGTAGAACGTCGATGTCTTGCTGAGGATAACGTATTATCAGTCACAGTGTTCTTCAGGTATGGATAAGGTTATAGAGAGAAGAGCGAACCTCGCTGCCTTTTTGACTTCAGCTGGTCCGGTTTGTATCCGGATGAAAAGTCGGATGTAGAAATCAATGGATAAGGAGAGGAGAGGGTGGATGAATCGGCCGTAGCGTGCTGCTGAGGTAGAGACGGCGTGGAGGACAAGTCGAAGTGCCTAGGGCATAATTGTCAGTTTTCGTTCCAGCAATAGACTCTTAACAAGCCAAACTCACAGCTTCATGACAGTATTCAGCCTTAACGGGTATACCACCATAATTCGAGAAGCTACGGACCAAAACAAACCTCAATCAACAAGCGAACAGTGTAGTGTACGAAAGAGCCATACCATTTTTCAGGATAGTTATTTGTAGCAAGGACACCCATATCCGTACACGTAATACAAAGCAGCCCACCATCGTTCACACATTGAACAGCAGCGTCAATGAACGGTGCTGCAGTCCCGTACGGGTCAAGGTCCACACAGTCGACGCGTAGACGGTCAGGGCGATGTGAGTACATCAGAGCACTTCTCACATCAAATCCCAATAAGACAAATATATAAAATTATGTTAATAACAACTTAACGAAAGGAAGGGGAGTGGAGGACTTACCACGCATCTCCCTCATTAATCCTCACTTTCGCAGGTCTATCTCTTCTCCTTGCCATTCGCTTTGTCATATCTTTCTCTTCACTCGCATGTCCGTTTTCCACAGTATTCTCTTCTTTCTCTTCTACGCCAGCATTTTCTGACCCAGATTTGTCGCCTAGGTCATTAAGCTCAACGTTCCGCTGAATAGCTTCAACAGCAGGCGGCGAAAGGTCATTCGCAATCACATATCTACGAAACAGAACAAGCACGAAAGCATAAGTACGGGGTGTTAGATTGTTTACAGTATACATATGAAGGGACGAACTTGACGAGTGGTATCTCCTTCGCATATCGGATCGCTCGTAGACCGGTCGCAGAGAGCGGTTCGAGGAGGGTGAAATGATACGGGACGTACTAGTAAAAACAAACAAATAGTAAGTCTTTCATTGTCGATATACGCACCAGTAACATAGCATATAAATGATAAAAGGCAATTTTATACGTACTGCTGATTGTTTCGTCATATCAGCCTTCGATTCCGTCTCAGTAGGAACAACGGCAGGAGCTTCAGTCGATACATCGGTCATAGGGATGTCTGTCGTCGTAGCAGCTCTAGCAGGAGCCTCTTTCACCTCCGAGTCTCCTTCACCTGTATCATCCATACACCCATTACCATCATCAATTCATTAAACAAGACTAATGCCAACCACTCACTCTTCGCCTTCTTCTTGCCCCTCTTCACCTTCCCCTGCTCCACCTTCCCCGCCCTTTCTTTCCACTTCCTCTCCTTCACCCTATCAAGCTCCTCACTCCATGTACGTATACAAGCCACACTCAAATCCCTATTAAATTCCTGTACGGGGTTGAGAAACGCCTCGTCCGTTGCAGGAAGCAGAATGCGCGCGCTGCCTTCTGTATGAAGCGTGAAGCCTTCTGGGATCTCAGGGAGTGTCTGTGAAGCCTTAGCCATGTTTGAGTTTCCACGACGTAGTCGATTTATGTACAAGGGCGTTGCCCTCAGGCTACGCAAATGATTAATGGCGAACGTTTTCGAGCGAGCACAAGTCAGAATGATTCAATGAAGTTGGAACCCAAAAAAAGAAATTTACGCGACGATCATTCAGAATGACACCAGTCCTCACGTGGTCGTCAATTATAATAAAAAGGGTGTAATGGCACATCAAATTTATCAAATAGCAAACAGTACATGGATATATCATTATCAATACATCGAAAGACAGACGGACAACCCAGAAGCCACAAAACAATGTCGCCACTTTACTTCGCACCAGCAGAGAACTCTGTAACGTCTATGAGTATCACGTTCCCACGATAGGGAAAGAGTATATACGTACTCGTAACAGACTTGGTACCCTCAGAGATAGCGTGCTTGGCAAGTTCTCCCGGTAGGATGAGCCTCACAGATGTCTGAATTTCTCGAGACGAGATGGTTGACTTCTTGGAGTATTGTGCCAGCTCTGCTTGCCGCATCAGCATCAGATTCATTAAAGGCACATCATATGCTACTTACTTGAAGCCTCAGTTGCAATACGCTCAAAGATATCGTTGACGAATGAGTTAAGGATAGCCATCGCCTTGTTCGAAATACCGGTATCAGGATGCACTTGCTTAAGCACTGTTCACACGACGTGCCATCAGTCGTGTGCACACCAAAGCCACGAGCTCAAGACACGTACCCTTGTAGATGTACGAGGCATACGTCTCCTTGCGAACCTTCTTGCGCTTCTTCTTGTCTCCCGACGCAGCCTTCTTTGCGGTCTTTGCAGACTTATCTGCAGTGGTCTTTGCGGGCGCCTTTGAGGCGGGCGGTGCTTTGGAGGCCGTGGAGGGAGGTGCCTTGCCACCAGTTGAAGCAGGCTAACGGAGTAAGTTTATGAGCATCCAACTAGCTTATCAAAAGCATTTACCAACCTTAGGGGCCATTGATATTATTTAAATATACGAGAATAGGACTCTGGTGTACTGTCAAAGCACAAGTCACAGTCAGAACGTGTTTCTCTCATTTGATTAGCATACGTGGGTGCAACATACTGTTTGAGATGCGATTTCAATGCGACTATGAATCACAAAACGAAGATGCAGCAAAGAAGATGGTGGTGGAAGGAAGAAAGGATGAGAGCTCGACGTCGCGGCTCTGGCCCTTATAAAGCTAACACAACAGACGGGCACGTGACTTACGGATTCCGCGTCGCGACGCGTGTCTGAGGCAACAACACTTCAACGTCTTAACGGAAGCGAAATCATGAGACAAGCAACGGTATATTCCGGCCTAATGGAATCACTTTACAAGTCAAGCAGTACAAGAATTTTTTTCTTCAGCAATCAAGTTTCCTTCCGCATTTCCTTTCTATACGTCTATCCAGTCTTCCTGACCTAACATTGTAACAAGAACCTGAGTCTTGTCATACACATCTACGTCTATGCACCGCCTGGTGACGCAGTTTGGTCCTTCTTCTTGATGGAGCGCTCACTAGCACGACGGATTGCCCACGTAAATTCGTACGTCTTACATGCGTCCTCGTAACTGCTCAGGATAAGGCCAGCCTCCTCATCGTTTTCCTCAATATCCTCAATCACGTCGATAAGATTGGAGACCTCCGAGAAAAACGGATCGTCATCTGGGAAACGATGTGTCTCCTCATAGTCATCTCCTGGGCGACGGATATACAGCGTCGGCTGGACATATGGGTTCACGAGTCTTGGTCGCCCATTAGTTCGCGTTCTCTATAGTACATGGTCAAGAACTCACTTGAGCGAGTATCCATCACAGAAGACTTCAAGCTCGCAGCTATAGTTCGTGCCCTGAAGGGAAACAGCATGAGTCAAGCTGCCGACAGCGCCGTTATCATATTTCCTGCATAACCGTAAGTATCCACAAATGGGAAAGTAAAGACCTTGATATACCAGGTGGCAGAGGTGACACGAGGAACTCTGTTTTCCGGTGCAATTTTTGACTCATCAATGGACATCTTCGACAGCTTTCCCGGCAATTCATCCCACTCGACTGAATGCGCCTGGACGGATTCGATATCAACATCACCTCCGAAGTAACGCGAGAGATCGCAGAAGTGAGTGCCCTGCTCGACAATGGGACCACAGCTAGCAACAGATCCTCAGTTCATGCAAGAGAGCGATTAATAAACCACGAAACGATACCTCTTCGATTTATCCCACCAGTCGGGCTTCGCAATGGCTTCATACGCACAAGCATAGCGAGCGACGGTGGCCATCACCGTCAAGTCATTGTCCAGGATAATCTGCTTCATCATCTGCACGGCTTTGAGATAACGAAGCATGTATCTGTCGGACTCATAAGTCCTACCATTACACTCATCGTAAATATTGCTTACCCAACGGAACAAATGCTTCCACTATCGTTAATCGCCTTCGCCACAGCAAAAGCCTCGTCAACCTCTGCATCAGGGTGCGTCGCGACAGGTTTCTCAATGAACATCGCAACGCCAGGGAAGTGCCTCAAGATCTGAAGTTCCACATCGCGTCCGGGTTTCGTGTTTCCACGGAACATCGGCGGGCTGCCAATGACGAACGCATGCGGGCGTTGCTTCTCCGGCATACTCTTGACGAACTCGTCAAAGTTCTTGTAGATACGCGTGTCCTTATATGCAGACACCACGAACGAGTCGCACTTCATCTTAAGCACGGCCTGGGCGCGCTCGACCGCCGGGTCGATCAAGGCGATGACCTTGAGACGCGGGCCAAGTTTGCTGGAGACATCGTATGTGTTAAGGGAGTAGAATATGGATCGGACGCGATCACGCACTGTTCGAAGCGGAACGAGTGGTTCCACGGTCCCTCGTCCGAACCTATTCATCATCCCAATTCAATTTTTTTTGTTTTGCAAATTGATGAAAGCGCATATGTACATACCAAACATGATATTCCCCGCTCCAATAAAGACGACATTAAAGTTCTCGGATCCACCGATATGCGTCATCCTGGAAAATCAGGGTGGCATCCATTTATTCCAGAACATATGACAGGAAAAAAATATCGGGTGGCATGGGCGCATATAGTGAGGTATAGTGAGCGAAGAGGGGGCGTTGGGAAGGTAGGACACTCAACTTGTCCATACGGACGAGCCTTGACGGATCGATGGACGACTTACGGGACTGCGCGCCCGACGGCCTGCGCTCCGAGAAACGACGCTCGGACGGGCGGCGCGAAGAAGACATTGGTGAATGCATGTTGTTGTTGTCGACGTCGTCAAGTGGAGGAGTAGCAAGCTAGCTAGATAAACACTCTATAAGCAGAGATCCGTCAGCAACGAGCGCGTCGGCGGTGGCGGGCAGCAGCAGGAAGGGCAGTGGCCAAGAAAGAAAGAGAGATCAGAGAAAGCGGAGTGGACAAGAGGGCAAAGAGCAAGTGGAGATCTATCAATTATCTCTAATACTGTGCTGAGTTCCGAGCCGGAGAGCCGACCCTAGCGCTTTTTAGCAGGTCTTCGTCTTCGTGTATGTACATCCAAATGTCTTATCCAGTAATTTCGTACTTCTCGATATCTCATCTCAGCTTTATAAGTGTATAAAAGTGTATGTGCGAAGTCCAGGGACCCCTGGGTATATTAACTGGTACAATGCATGCATGTGTCTTGTCGAGCAGAGCAACGATGAAGGGAACAAACAGAAGAAATTTGAAGGGAAAGAACGAGAAATCAAGTCGAAAATAAGAAGAAAGAGCACCACAACAGAACAACACCAAGAATATAAAATGAGTGTCATTATGCCGTGTTTTCGTCACCGTCAGAATGCGCCCGCAGACGTCCCCTGCTGATGCTGATGCTGCTGGTGTTGTTGTCCACCCTCCGAATTCTCCAACCCCTGCTTCGCCTTCCGTTCCCTAGCAGCAAGTATCGCCTGTGTCCGCCGCTCAGCAGCAGCCAGTCGTTCACTCATCGCCTTCAACTCTGCATTCAGCTTCTCGTTCTCTTCAGCGAGTTTCAGCACATTCGACTGTCGTTTCTCCATTAGCTCTTTCTTCCTATAAGTTCCATCCGTCCACAAGTCCAAGCAGCAGCAAAGTCGCCACGTGGCGATATATAGCATCACGTCCGTACCATCGAGATAACAACGTCAATGACAAGTGAGATGAGACGAGGATTCACATAGACACAATAAATAAGTAATTATTGGTAAAAGTAGATGAAGAAAGAAGAGAGAGGAAGACAGGACGTACTTTGGGTCAACATCCGCACCCTCAAAGTTGATATCCCCGATAATCGAATCGAAAGACAACGAAACGTCAAGCTTCGTCTCAGGCAGCAAGGGCGGCGCAGACGGTATAGGAGGCATCGGCTCTACGCTATTGCTCGTCATCTTCGACATCCTCGACCTCCTATCCACCGATCAGCTCTTGCCATTATACAGAATATTGCTAATGTTCATCCTGACCTGCTCTCAATTGACGAGCGCGGCTGAGGCTCTTCGTCCACCGGGTAAGTTTCATGTGCAGACATGACGTGTTCAAAGAGCAAAGGAGTCTAATAAAAAAGCTGAACGCGAGGAAGTGGAGTCGTACTGAGAGGATTGATCAAAATGACGAAGGCAGATGTCTTGTCTCGGTCGCAAGGCGGTTGGTCGCGCCACAGCCTCCCTAATTACAATACTTTCTTGTCTTTGTACGTACGCAATTGTAACAGCCTTGTCGCTTACAGTCCACACGTATTTACCCGAATTACACCTTTCCTTGTCTTCTAAGTTCCTAAATCCTATTCGTTCTTACAGTGCAGCCGAGCCGGCGCAATCGCTTTTCGCGTCTCTATATTCGTCGAATGTATGAATGAATTTGTAGACCGCATAGACGCGTTTATAGACGCGTGTGAGCTTCTAGCCCTCGTCACGTAAGGCCATACTCAAGGCAAGTAAACTTTATTCGTTTCATGAACATTCTTTATACAAAAACAGAAGCACAAGGAAAGGAAGGAGCCGAAGCAAAGCGTAGAACTTAAAGTGTGGAAAAGAGATAGAAAAGCCGAAATAGGAAGAGACCATTTTTGTCTCGTTCAAGAATGAACTTGGGTTACCTTCTTAAACCTTCACTTTGTCGGTCGATGACCTACGCCTCGTCTTCAGAAGTCGTATTCACAATCTTACCGAGAGGTGTCTTAGCCATGACACCCAAAACTTCAAACAGCACCTGAGTATCACATCGTCAATTTGTTCATATTGACTGAACTGCCTCTTGAAATCACTCACATCAGCGGCCGCCATAGTTGTCAACTCCGCATTTGTATCATACGCAGGAGCAACTTCCACAATATCAGCGGAGATGATGTGCAATCCGTCAAGTCCACGAAGGATTGTACGAAGCTCGCGAGTCGACCAGCCTCCAGTTTCTGGTGTGCCTGTCGCTGGTGCGAAGGCAGGGTCGATAGAGTCGATCTAAAATGTAAATGCGATTCAGTCACTTTGCCAATGAGATACGTGCATACATGCAGAAACCTACATCTATGGAAAGATATACAGGTTTATCACCAACGGTCTCGCGGATCTTCTTGATGATACCGTCGGTACCTGCAAATTCAAAATGAGTGGCAGCAAATATGCTATGAATCCTCGAGGTACCGACCGATAGTGTCAATCTCGCGCGCTTCAATGCGCTGGAATCCAGTCGCATCATCATTCTCATAGTCCGCAAGGCCAGAGAGGGTCGTTCGAATCGCACCGTGCTAGAACAAACAGACAAACTAGGATCATAGTGCACTCTCTTCGAACAAAGGAGGAAGAAAACCAAGGAACGAAGACACTTGCAATTGAGGATCCATTCTTGATTAGGCCTTCCTTGCTCGCCCAATAGAAGTATGTGCCGTGGTTAATCTCTGCTTGAGCACTTGGCGCGCCGCCAAAGACGCTTGGTTTCCAAGTGTCTAGATGCGAGTCGAAGTGGATGACAGAGACGGCACCGTAAGCGGAATGGATGGATCGTAGGAGAGGGAGTACTATCGTGTGGTCTCCGCCCAATGTGATAATCCGCGGGTGTTCCTTCCCATCTTGTGCAAGCGGGAAAAGTTGCTGGTTCGTAACCGTGTCCTTTCCGAGCTTAGTCGCAGGCTCGCGGTGGAGTAACGATTTATGTCCGTCCTCAATCTGCTTAATGGCATAAGCATTATCGTACGGAGTAACAGGGATGTCTCCACAATCGACGATAGTCAAGTTCGCGAACGGGTTGACAGCAAGCGGGACGTTATATCCTCCGTACAGTGTCAAACGACGTGAACCAGCACGGATGCCTGCTGGTCCAAACCGCGCACCTGGACGATAAGAGGTACCTGTGTCGAACGGAGCGCCAAGGAAAGCGATATCGAAAGGAACGTCCTTTCCGGACCCAAAGCATTGCACCCAAGGAAGCCGGGCAAACGTAGTAATCCCAGAAAAAATAGAGTCGGCAGTCACTAGCTCTCCAGTTAGGCTCAAAGTACTGAACAAGTGCTTGGAATAGAACGTTACCTGTATCTTTGGAGAAATACGAAGCCTGGTATGGATATTTGACATAGCTCATCGGCATCTGGTCATCATCATGACTTTCATGTGACTTCACGACTACAAGGAGCGCCGCTACAACGAGACTCTTGAATGAGTTGATCATCATGGTGTCTGGACTTAGAGGAACGAAACCTTGGAGCGACGCACTCCGAATGTCTGGGCATTTAACTGTCTGAGACAGGACACGTGCGGTGAATAATAACGTCAAAATCCAGCGGGGCACGGGAAAATATATTGAAATTTCCACCATAGACCGGCAATTCCATAGCGAAAACCTGCCTCGTTTTCGCATTCTTGTGATAAGTGCTACTTCGTCCGCATCCACGACAGTGCCTCCGCCAGTAATGAGGATCCCTTTAGGTTGCCAGGATGTTTTTGGGGGAATCAGAAGCGAAACTTACCATTGCTCCATGCTTGAGTGGGTTCTAGAGAGTCCATAAGTGGGCATAATGGCATGTCTTCACATCTGGAACCACAAGACCCAGAGCCCCATGATCGGGTTGACTGTGGACATGAGGAGGGGCCTTCATGCCATGAGGACGAAAGAATCATTCTCGGCCAAGGAAGACTCACTCCGTTAACAAGTACTGTCAAAATTTATGGTCAGTTATTGGACAAACAAGCATCCAACGTGAGAGAAGTGCATACCATGAGGCGATTTCAGTAAGTTTTCACGACTGAAACAAGTAGAGCGCCGGTGGAGAACCGGGCCTCGTTGTCGCTTGGAATGTATCAGTCGGACCGAATGATTTAAAACTCTGGAGTGTGTTGTCATAAATCCTCCTTCCTCGTCGGCAGAGCTATTTCGCTATCGTCGATAGGGTGATAAGCCGGAGGTGGGGGACCAGGAAAAGAAAACAGACGGACATACTCTGAAAGGTACTCCTCCCCAGCAAGTACCTAGTTTCCTGCATCCAACCAAGTTTCTTCGACACAGTTATGGAGACAGATCCACTGTTGTCGAGTCATTTGCGAGCCAGCGATGAAGGGGACTCTGTAGAAGATCGTATAGAATTAATGCGCGACTTCAACGCACGACTAGTAATCTCTCTCTTCATCGACTCTGTGCCAGGTAAGTTTACTTCTTCATGCTAGGCATACTCCGCAAGTTTGCTTAAGTCATCCAGTAATTCTGTCATATATCCTGCAGAATTCGATTCAGACAGTCGCTGTTCTCGTAGCCGGAAGACTAGGACCCAATGAATTATCCGCTGCAGCGTTTTCCTATATGCTCGCCTTTGTCACAGGCGAGTGCACCTTCTTTCCCGGTTCAATGGAGCCATTTGATCCCACAACGAAGATCTGATACCATAGGTTGGTGCATCGCCCTGGGCGGGACGACGGCACTGGACACTTTTGGATCGCAGGCATTTACTGGCGGGAAACGAGCTTCCGATGTCTCCATTCATTTCGAACGATGCCTGATTGTACTTTGGCTGCTTTTCATTCCCGTTGGCGTGCTGTGGATATTCGTTAAGCCTGCTCTTCTGGCTCTCGGGCAAGAGGAACGTCTGAGTAGCGACGTGCAAAGCGTGCTTCGGGTGTTAATCATCGGCGCGCCGGGATACATCGCATTCGAGAGTCTGAAGAAGTATCTTCAGTGCCAAGGTAGCCGCCATATTCGTATTAAAGCCGGCTCGCTCACCAAGTACACAGGAATTATGCGCTTGTCGACGTTTGCGTTGATCATTGTATCGCCGATAAATGTTGCACTCAATCTAGTTCTTGTTCATCATACGTCTTTTCGCCTGCTCGGGTCACCTCTCGCGCTCTCTTTAACTTACTGGCTTGCCTTCATCATCCTTATTGTCCTTACCGCCCTTTCGCCGCAACACAAGCGGAACAAGACATGGGGAGGCCTCCATCTGAGAGAAGCGCTTGATATCTCCGAAATCTGGAGGTTTCTGAAGCTCGCCCTTCCTGGAATTTTGATGGTTGGAACGGAATGGTACGCACGGAGTTGTCAGATACGTATATTTTCCAGCTGAAGTTATGTGTAGGGCTGCTTTTGAGATTGTTGCTCTTGCGGCGGGGAGACTTGGAGCCTTGTCACTTGCTGCACAATCAGTAATTATGACAACAGATCAAAGTCAGACCTCATCGGGTCATTTGTTTTATTGAATGCGTGCTTACCATCACAGCAGTTTTGAACACGCTGCCGTTTGGAATCGGTGTTGCCGCTTCAGCTCGTGTCGGTAACCTCATAGGCGCACGTTCAGCGTATGGCGCAAAGCATGCCGGGCATGCATCCGCACTGTTGAGCGCAATCGTTGGAGCAATCGTAATGGCCACAATGTTGGCTGCAAGAAACGTCTATGGGTATATTTTCAGCGATGACGAGGAAGTTGTACGGTTAGTAAGCAAGGTGATGCCGCTAGTCGCATCGTTCCAGGTAGGTCTTTAAATCATGGATAGTCCGCGTCCTAACGAGTTGATAGGTGGCAGACGGCTTGGCAGGATCATGTGGTGGTGTCTTACGAGGGCTTGGTACGTTTAAAACAATCCTGTATCGCGCATAGTGTAATGCTTACGCGTTTATAGGTCGACAGCACATTGGTGCACTATTCAACCTTGGAGCATACTATGTTCTCGCACTGCCCATGGGCATTGGACTTGCATTCAGTCCACGCACACACATGGGTTTGCAAGGACTTTGGGTCGGTGCGTATCATCCACGTCCCATATAATCTACGAACAAAGAAATTTAATCGCGGCAACCTTTCCGACAGGTCAAGTCGTTGCGCTCTTCATAGTCGGGATTGGATTGTACCTCGTTGTTTGGCGCGGGACAGACTGGGATGTAGAGGTCCAGAACGGAATAGAACGGAACCGCGCGGATGATGCCGCAAAAAGGAGATACGAGGCTCGAGTTTCAGCAGGGGAGAGCGAAGTCAATGCTGGAGAATGTTAGTTTCGAGGATCAAGCGGGCAGTCGGTATTTGTTACGCAATAACATTGAGAAACGAGCCAATAAGATAGAATGTGCTGCAAGTACAGAAGAACACTTGACGAGATCAGGGAGGAGGTCAGCGAATTCATGAATCTCAAAGAGTGCCGAACAGCAAGACCGTTGTAACGCAGCCTGATTCATGTGAACAGGACAGATACAAGCCACAAATATAACCCATCATGACAGTAGAAAAGCAGAAATTAACGTATGATGCTTGCAGTCGCCTGGAAATGTGTCAAGTTGGCTGATGTTCAAAGCATCCATGTTTTGAGACGCGACGCGCGTCGCGCTCCTCAAAATTTCGAACTCCGCTTCACTATTTCACAAACGCTGATTTTATTTTCGCGATATGGTAAGAACATGCCCGTTGATGAGCATAAAAAGTAAAAACAAATTTCTGCATGTTACTCCCGAGAGAATTGCAATATATTACCGAAACAACCTTTATGCTTCATATCGGGATTGTGTTAATACAACAGTACAAATGTATGCTTCATAGAATAGGAAATTATTTCTCATTTGATTTAAGGTGGTGGTTTCAATAGTATAATGCGTTAATTGAGAAAACTTCAAGATTCTTTAATAAGGATCAACATTTATTCTGTGCAATTTGGCACAACTTTATTATGCAATGAAGCCATTCGGGCACATAAATGAAGCTGGAGATAATTCCGGCCTTGCCGTTCAGTCTCTTGGTATAAACAGGTCCTGCGCGTCAACAAGCCATAATAACGCGAACACGTGAGTCTGTTCAAAGCTTCGTGAATGTATCATATGCAATTAGTAACGCAAAGAGGCTGATTCATTTTGAATATGCGGAACAATAAATACTTGAGCGCTGCACCGTTTCTCTATCTACATAGGCTATGTAGCCGTTCATGTGAGAGAGTGCACCCGAGCGCACATGTTCCGATTTCCAAGGGAAGAAAATGGAAGAATGCAGAAATGCGGGGGACCTGTAATATAATCGGGTGAGACACAGTCTGTCAGGCCGATAGCGTCAAATCATCAACAGGAACGCGGTAGATTGACATCGCATTGCACTTAGTACTGGAATATGCATGTCGAATTCGGAGTGTGTCGGAGCGGAAGAGCGGCGGAAGAGCCAGTGATAAAGCTCGAGGCAGCTCGACACGATACTGGGACGCCATTGAACTGAATTGAAATTTAGTTCCTGTATTATACAATGGTCAAGTACGAAGGAATAGAGCAGGTGACCTATGATATCGGAAGAAATCTTTAAAGCGGGGTTGCATGTCTCGCCGAATCGCGTTCCGAGAAAACGCGATGACGATCACGCGGGGATCGGGTAAACGAGACTGAGACCCCTAGGCTGATGGTCATCTCCCTTTCTGGGCTCAAACTACCTGAAATGACTGGATAGGGTCCAAGCAGAACGATGATAGAAAAAGAGAAGATTGATCGGATGTCTATATCGCGAGATTCCCATGAGTTCTGTTCCTGTTCGCGCCATTACCCGCATCAAGAACTCTATAAATACTGCATACACTCGTTCACCTCTTCCATCACCTATTCGCTCATATTCACCTTCCACTCGAACTTTTTTCAAAAAACTCCGTACCTTCTGCTCATCTCGTCCCATCATGTCCGTCCTCTCGGGATTTACTATTCCGACCACGCAGACCGCTGCTGTCGTGCCATCCATTGGTAAAGACATTGAGATCCAAACGCAGCACCCTGTTAAGTCTGCAAAGGATCTGAAGCCAGGCGAATGCCTCGTCAGGCTCTCACACACCGGCGTCTGCCACACAGATTTGCATGCGAAGCAGGGTGACTGGCCCGTCCCGCCCATTAACCCACTTATCGGTGGGCATGAGGGTGTCGGTGAAATCGTCGCTATTGGCGAGAACACATCTGGTTCACCTGTCAAACTCGGAGACCGTGTCGGCATTAAGTGGCTCGCAAACTCATGCCTGGACTGCGAGTTCTGCCGGAAAGGCGCGGAGATGAGTGCGTGCATATGCTTCAGAGCCATGACCATGTGAAAGATATTTCGGAACTGATTCTTTGCCATAGACTGTGTCAATGCACAGCTCAGTGGATACACCGTTGATGGCACGTTTTCGCAATATGTCGTATCGTTCGTACACCACGTTACTCCAATCCCCAAGAACCTTGACAGTGCTGGAGCCGCATCAATCCTGTGTGCTGTACGTACCTGAAATTTAGTAGATGCAGATAAGATAAGATTGGTCCTGATAATCTGTTAATTTATCTCAGGGTGTGACTGTCTACAAGGCTTTGAAAAACAGCAACACTAAAGTTGGCGATTATGTTGTCATTCCTGGTGCTGGCGGAGGACTTGGTCATTTAGGTAAGTCTTCATAATTTGCACATGTGCGTCCAATCTCACAGGCGTTATCAGCGGTCCAATATGCCCGTGCAATGGGTCTGCGTGTAATCGCGATCGATACTGGCGAGGATAAGGAGAAGCTTGTTAAGAAGCTTGGCGCAGAATCGTGGATCGATTTCAAGCAGTCTAAGGACCTCGTTGCCGATGTAAAGGCTGCATCAGGCGGACTCGGGCCCCATGCCTCGATCGTTGTCGCTTCGCATGTCAGTGCGTACACTCAGGCGGTCGACTACTTACGCCCAACGGGCACGCTTGTCGTCGTCGGCCTGCCGAATGCACCACTGGGTGCGAATGTGTTCTGGACGGTCTTCAAGTCCATCACCATTGTGGGCAGCTACGTCGGAAACCGCCAGGATGCAATTGAGTCGCTCGAGATTGCCGCAGCGGGTCACGTTAAGGTCTATTACGAGCTGAAGGACATTAAGGACCTCAAGGAGTGAGCTACTTTGCTGATTACCTCAATAACTTTAGAACTAACATAAAAACGCACCTTATCAGCGTTTACGAGAGTATGGAACAAGGCAAGGTTGCTGGTCGTGTGGTCCTCAAGGTCCACTAGATTTCCCTAAACATAGTTTGATGTGCTCCGAACGATCTAACGACGCAGGGAAGTTGCTTGTTCAAAAATCTGGTTGAAGTTGTAGCTGTAGACTTACATATGTAAAAAAAAAGTGACTGTGTAGTGGTACATTAGGAGCTGTGTAAAATAAGTCTGTTATATATATCTGCAGTTCCATGACTGTTGCGGTGTCCTCTATACCTGCCTTGAACGACAAAAGACTGTGCTGGTTCTCTCATTAGAGTACCTAAAATTAAATGAGTTTCACGAGGTCTAATAACATTCGCGGATACTCATGCTTGGGGCCACGTGTCGCTAAGTTATGATCAATGAACATGACAACGATGTACGGCCGCATAAGAAGCATACACAATATTTAAGCCGTCTTTTGCACCGCGTCAGAAGATGAATCGCGCGCGCAGCCTGGCCGGGCGCCGTTAGGAGAAATCAAGGAAAATTACATGCACAGCAATTGTATGCTTCCGGACTGTCCAAGACGATGCGATGTCCAATTTGGAGAAGGCACGTGTTTGCCTCTATTACATAAGCGCTAAAGTAACCATGAATGGGATCGTCGCCGGCTATGACCTCATCTCTTGGACACCTCATTTTAGGGACTGGCGCGGCATCCGTCACCGTTGACCGCAACAACAACCGCGGATAAGCTTATCCGTGGCTAAAATTCCCACGGCTACCACAGTAGCCGCGGTTAAGCAAACCTTCGCTCGATACCTGGTGTAAGTTTTGCTCTTTTAATTTTCTTATCACACTTTTTGTAGTTACATGTCAATCAATATGTACTATTAACTCCACTAATTAGTATGGGTATAACAACATTAAAATATACAAAGAAAAAATATAAATAATTGAAAAATTAATGTAAGTAATTGAAAATATACTTAAGAACCAGTAGTTTGAGATGTTTTAGCTTCAAGAATTGAAAAAGCATCATTAATATTAGAAAAAAGTGGGGTATCATTCCAAGATCCAACAGCCATTTGATGAAGGAGAGTTTCTTTAAGCCTGCCTGATTAAACTAGTGCACAGAGACATTGTAATGGTCATATGCTGGTGACTTCCATTTGTCTCTACTGGCAGCTTCAATACACAGTATAATTAGCAGTGATACTTGGGTAAATAAAGTATATAATGCACTAATAATCTCTTCATCACTTAAAACCCAAACTTGATCATCCGTCTGATCATATATAGAAGTCTTCACTCTTCTCCAGGTTTTTGGTGCGGAAAGCTGTACAGGCAGAGCTTCTCCTGTGATAGAAGCAGCTGCAGCATCTATGAATGATGCTGGTGTGGGTGATGAAATGATGCCAACTGGCACTCGAGACATATTGTAATTTTGAATGAAATGAGAGTGAGGAGATGTTGGTGAATTGATTTGAGACATTTTTTTTTGACTTTTTGTGTAGTTGAATTAACAGAATGAATGAAAGTAGTTGGTTTATTTTTTTTCTACCACAATAATGTGGCTACCGCGAAATCTGCAGTAGCTGTGGGAATCTTAACCGCGGTTAGCATATCCGCGAGAATCTTAACCGCGGTGCGGATCCGCGGTTAGAGCTATCCGCGCCAGTCCCTACCTCATTTTGTCCACATGAGTCGGTGCACTTCGCTAGGAGTCTCGTTGCTGCCGAGCTCGATGTTCATCTCTGGGGTGAGCAGACTTTGAAGGAATTAGCGCACCCCGAACGCGTCCGGTTCCGAAGAATCGCACGGCGTTGCAACTTGCTGGTGTGAAATTATATTTATCCTTGGACTGGCTTGGAAGCGCACCTTTAACTTGTCCCCGCGGGAACTCGTTCCCGCCGCTCATTTTGTCTCTCCTCTCATGTCGCACTCTTGACTTTTCCCACTTCGTTCTTTCACATATACGTCGGTAGGCAAAAGCAGCTCGCTGTCGACACTGTTTCTTAACGCTGAGGAGGCGTCGGCACGGTAACTGCGCGTCCGTCTTCCGAGCGATCCGCGCAATCTTGTGGAGTGAGTTAAACCGACGCTAACTTCAGCTCGCGTTGTTTTTCGCTCCCCAGATACCGACAAACAGAATTTGTGCCTTCTACATTTTCTCTTCTAACTCGAACGTCCTCGATTCCATTCGTTTGCAAAGTATATCGTGGTTGGCTTCTCCGTCCACTTCACTTTTGGAGGGAATATCCGGAACGCATTTCGCATTTATTCTAGCTGCTTGAAGGCCTTTCCCGGCAGGTACGAAAGAATATGGCGAAGTTGTTCACTGGAATGGGACGAGCCACAGGACTCCCTGCAGGTTTCCGCATTCACACCGGCTTCGTGCTCACGGTCCTTAATGTCTTCGTTGGTCGTGCTTCTGCTGCCTCTTCATCCAGCTCAGCAGAGCCTTCGAACCCTACCGCACCAAATTTTATGGATGACGTCACTTGGTTAACTGCTTACCTCTGGATTCACTCGCTTTCGAAGAACAGCTATGTGTACATGTACATCCTGTGGTTTACTGTTGGCGTTGTTTTCTTTCTGCTTTCCTGGGCGACATGGTCTGGGGTGCGCGTCACTGCAATCGGCGCGTGGTGGTCGAAATGGGCACTTCGACGGAGGACGTGGAGGAAGAAGCATACACTCCAGAAGATGGAAGCAGAGGCAAAGAGACTTGGTGTTCCGGTCTCAGCTCTGCATCGTCAACCTCGGTCGCTTCCAAGTAATGCACAGATACTTTCCGCTGTGGCATTAATTGTTCTTACTGTCGTTCTGTGCTTCGTTGGCCCCGATTATATCAATCCCGATCTCAATTTATTCCAATTCTCTTCTTCCTCCTCTATGAAGAAGCGAGCTCAACAACAAATTAACGACTCGACGTTATTTAACTTCATTGCACACTACGATATAGCCAAATCTTGGTGGACTATGGCGGCACGTTTCGGCGGGATGGCGTTTGCGCTCTACCCACTTGTGATCGTGCTGGCACTGAAGGCGCCACCCTTCGCACTCTTCGGGATCCCTGGTCTCGTGGCGTACGGGCATGACAAGATGATCCGCCTGCATCGTTATGTGGGTAGATTAGTGTGGTTTGTCACAATTCTGCATGTCATTTTCTGGGTTGTGCAGACGTTGAAGGATCGGAGAGTGATGACGGGGAAGTTGGTTATCGCATATGTCTGGCAGTACCAGAAGTTTCGCTTCGCTTGGGTGGTTAGTGTCCTTAGTCTAATTATCCTTTCTGAATTTCTGACAGGACTTCTGCGACCGATAGGCTTTCATCTCGATGACGATCCTAATGATCTTCTCCCTTGATTGCATCCGGAATCCGCACTACGAGCTTTTCTACTTCGTACACATCGTCTTCACACCTATGACTATCGTGTTTTCTGCTTTGCACCACCCTGCTCGTGGGGTATGGGGTTGGTGCGCTGCTGCTCTCGCTTTGTGGGTTGGCGAGCGTTTTTGGCGGCTGTGTTGGTGGGTGTATGTCAATGGTATATTCCAGGTCAGCAATGGATCGAACCAGAAGGGTGGAAGGTCGACAAGAAGGATGGGGAGCTTGAGGCCGTATACATATCAGTCTCCGTCGGAGAAGGAAGGTAACGTTGTACATCGGCCAGCACCCTCGCGAGGCAGTGCTGCAACACTCATAAATCCTTCAGGGCCTCTTGAGATGAGGAAAGAGCAGGATGAGGAACAATGGGAAATGAATGCATTACCACTTCGAGCACCTGCGCCTCGTCGGCCAACAAATGGAACTGAAATGGATCCCTATGAAGGATCGGATTCCTATAGTAGGCCTGCTTCAACTGCTTCGGCGTCGACTGCAAGCATATATACGGACACGCACGCTGACGACCCAACACCTACACCTGGAGAGTTGGTCGAACTTGCGCGAGTGCAGACAAACAGCTCATCAGGTGGAAACGCGCGGCGGATGCCTTTGCAGATTGAAACGGGCACCCCAGTACCAACACCGATATATCCTCCTGCAGCCCTTTCGAAACATGGCTCTGCTCAGTCACCCGGAGCAGGTCCAGGTCCAAAGACTAGCGCGCGTCACTTGGCCGCTTCTCATAACTCGGCTCTAAGTCATCGTTTTCATCCTCAACCACCCTCGAAGATATCTCACCAGAGCAGATATGCACCTCCTCCCGGATTTGCACTCGCGACACTCCTACCCGGTCGCACAATACGCTTGAGATTGGTAACACCTGGATACCAGACTTGGGCACCCGGCCAACATTTTCTGGTTGGCATTCCAGCCGTGTCACGGTTTACAACGCATCCATTCTCTGTTGCGAGTGTGTGTGACGAGCAGGCAGCTCTGCACGTAGGCCCTGATGCATTAGATGACGAAGCCGGAGACAAGGGAAAGCAACTTGTACAAACAGAATCGGGTCGCGAGCTCGTATTGATTGTGCGAGCTAAGAAGGGCTGGACAAAACGTCTCTGGGATCTTGTTTCCTCTCTACAATCCCAAGGTCTTGTTTCTCCACCCGGAGAATCTCTACCTCCAGATTCCCGGCCTCCACAGGACACAGGTGTTGTCCTTCGTGCGCTTGTCGACGGCCCATTTGGTTCTGCGGGACGAACACGCTGGGGTCGCTATGCGAGTGTTCTCATCGTCGCTGGTGGTTCGGGTGTGAGCTTTGGTTTGAGTATATTGGAATATATATGCTTGTGCATCGCAGGGCGCGATGGGAGGTTTCTGGGCGGTCATCCTGGTGGATGGGGTGTTGGGAAAACGGGCTCGTGGATCACGCAGCGTGTGAGGTTCGTTTGGCTCGTTAGAGAGTATGCTCACATACAGGTTTGTTCTTACCTATTTTTCTCTGTTGAGCTCTTATTCATGTTTTCGCCTTTGACTGCAGTGGGTAGTGGGCTCGCTCAGACGTTGCCTTACAACCATCCCAACGGACGCTCTTGAGCTTAATATTTTCGTGACTAACTTCCGACCGCCGCAAGGACTTCTTACTTCTCCAACAAGTCATTTTGGCGGAGGCAGCGTAGATGGACACGACGATGTTACAGATGATGGACTGCTTAAACCACCGGCACCACGCTTTCTTAGTGGCGGAGCGGGAGGAGGCAGGAACGTCAGCGATGGACAGCGTGCCTCAATATCTTCGGACGATTCGTATGCGTCAGATATCTCAGTCGATAGTATCGTTGACTCGTATTTCGATGCTGATACTGGAAACGGAAAGCATGACGGTGAAGCAGCGGATAGCGTTGGCGAACTGGGACACGAGACGCACATGTTAGACTACACGAATTTCGATGGCGATGACGACACACCGTTGCCAGGCGAAAATCGGCTTTCCAGACGAATCATTAAGGAAAGTAAGATGCGTCGTGCACGAACGCGAAAGGCTCAGAAGGCTGCAAAGGCGAAGCAGGAACTGAACGAACGTGTTGCGAACGCACAGGCAAGGGCTGAAGCGAGAGGCGAACCATATGCTTATGCGGGACATACGAAGTCTCCATCGGAGGAAACGTATGCATCGGGATCATCATCAAAGCGACTGTCGTCGCAATCTACTGCTCCACTCCTTCCTTACGCTTCTTCAAGTGCGTATCACGACACTCACGGACAGGATATTTCACCCGTCTCCCCCGCTACGTCGATGTATTCCGCATTCTCTGCGTTCTCTGCATTTGATCGGCACGCATATCCTCAGGCTCATCCTCGTCCACGCACTCCGCCATCCTCCTTTAGCGTGTTCGGTCTTCCTGGAGCCAGCTCAAACGAGGATTCTCCCAAATCAGCGCGTCGCATCTCTACCCAATCGACATCCACAATCAAATCAACAGTACAATCGTCGATGCCGTCGCTTACACCGACTGCTGCGACACCTGGTGGTGTGCGATGGCTGGATCCTTCGAGTCCTGGTGGGCTAGACTCGAAAGCGGGACTTGAATCAGGGTCTGGACTTGCACTCGATCCTCAAGAAGTGCGAGACTTGCAGGTCGTATCTGAGTGGGCACGTCCTGGTAAGCCTAAACTTGGTCGAATTCTTGCCGATGAAGTCGAAGCATCCAAGGGCCGAATTGCTGTTGCCTGTAAGCTCTTTGTTTCTTTCCGCTGTGGATGTACGGGCTTTTTTTGTATTAATTGACGTATAAATTACAGGCTGCGGACCTACTTCGCTCAATGCCCTCATGCGAAAGCTGGTCGCCGAGCAGATCAGCCCAGGTCGTGTTGCACGGGGCGATTTGCGCGGATCCATTGACTTCATCACAGAAGACTTCGAGTATTAAACCTTTTACACTGCTCCTTAGAACACACATATTTTCTTCTCATTGCAAGCTACGTACAGTAAATACAAACGGACTCCGGATTCTTTGTTCTAAATATACCCTACCCTACATGCGATCTTGATGGTACAATACAGTAGTGTTATGTACCAAGCTTCAGCTTTCCTTACAGTTATCTTGCGCATTTCGATTTTTCTTACAGCTTACTATCTCAATAGCTTCAAATCCGTTCACTTGAATGTAGCATATGCTCTACGCACACGGTACTCGTTCGTTCCGTTTTTGCTTTGTCTCTAGACATTCCTGTAAGCATTTGTGTCAGCAGCTTTTGAAGTTTTGTTACCTCAGACCCACATCTTGTATTACAATTTGCTATATTAGACCATTGACAGTTCCAAATGGCAGAATGGGGTTATCTAATATCCTCCATTACTGTCCGTCAGTGGTCTGTGATAGTCTCTGTCGTGTCTCAACAACCCGTACTCACGAAGCCTCTGGGTTTAGTTATGCGTTCTCAACTGAATGCATCTTATCCAAACGCCTTACACACTTATATGGTGACACGCTATCTTCAATCACACTTCTTTAACAAGACTAACCGTATACCCTGTGCTACACGGCTCATGTAGGTATTAGACTCGTTCTCAGAGCAAGCGACTCAGTCACTCAATTTCATTTGTTATCGTCTCTGTACAGAGGATTGGGCTATTAATGCACAGGTTTCAAGCAATCAGTTGTCAAGCAGTGAAGCTCGACTTCTCTTTGCATATTCTTATTGTAACAATGGTCAAGGTACATTTTGAGATGTTGTTCCCTTATAAAATTGGTAGTTCTCAGGGTATGCGTTCCTCTCTCTCACAAACGTACGCGGTCTTGAGGGCCGAAGCTCATGTTCTATTATAGACTCTCTTTATTTGTGCAATTCAGGTCTGCCGGTGACTGGCCAAAGGTTCTTGTGTCCGTGTTGGTGGATATGTACAAGGTAAAGAGTCAATATGGGAAGTCTTTCAGTTTTTCCATGCGATTATGCGCCTTCAGCAGGTTCAACGTGTAGGAATACCTGTACCAGGATTACCAGAGTGCAGTCCTGAACTATGTGAGTCGGGAGGTCTAGTTTGCCTATGGATCCAACTTCTCTTTATTCAACAAGACCAAAGAGCGCTTTACTAGTAGAAGGGTTGCAATTACATATTCACTATTGGCCAAGGGTATACAAACCTGATTAGAAACGTCAACCTCAATATTGGACCTTCTTGTTCGTTCCGATCAATATCACACGAATGTATAGCGAAGGCGCCCAGAAATAGTGGGCTAATATTAGACCCTCATATAGTACTCGGAATTGGCGGGACGGCTTTAACTTCATGCTGTTTGTGACTACAAGGATCATTATATATTCCGAGGTCTGCCTGCTCTCACTACGCTGACTGTACTGTATCCAACGCTTCCCTCTTCTTGAATCGGTATCGTTGAGCATACACACTGTTATTCGACCAGAGCTAAAACCGGCACCAGCATTATGACTGCTATACCTACACAGAAAGTCAACGACCTTGCTAGGGATGGGTATGGGAAAGGGAAGAGTGAATATTATGATAAGTGAGTAATCGCTCTTTGACCATCCTATTGGATATATTCTATTGTTTACCATTAAACGTGAACAACTGATGCACCTATGCATTCATGCAGATCACGTCCTTCGTACAAACCCGAAGCGCTAGAGATTGTCCATAAAGCTCTCGGACCCAGGGAATCCATAAACGTTGTCGAGTATGTCGCGGTGAATCCTATCTCTTCTTATCCCATCGTCCTTCCGTCAAGACCCAAAACACGCTCAAATCTTTTACATATAGATTCGGTGCTGGAACAGGCATATTCACGCGCGCCCTCCTCTCGCACCCTTCCTTCCAATCAACCATCTCCGCACTCAAAGCCATCGAGCCTAGTGAAGACATGCGCGGCTTCTTCTCTAAAGCCGTTACGGACTCTCGAGTGAATATCGCGGAGGGGACGTTCGATAGTGCAACGGGTGTGGAGGATGGATGGGCGGATTTGATTGTTACCGCTCAGGTGCGTATATATGCGTGTGATTAATCTGATAAGTAAGTGTGAGCATGTTCGTATCTTGAAGGCGTTACATTGGTGTCCCGACTACGAAGCTGCCGCCAGGGAATTCGCGCGAGTCCTCAAACCAAACGGGATAACAGCATGTATCTGGAACCTCGAAGACCGGTGAGTATTTTATCGTCTTTATCATCCCCTTGTTCTAAATTCCTGACTGCTGTCAAATCAGTGACCGCGCCCGCTGGGTTGCCAACCTCCGCGATTCATTCGAAGCCAACAAAAATCGGCCTTCATACTATTCCGGACTCTGGCGTACCATCTTCTCCACGCCATCCTACGACCTGGACTTCTATCCACACGAAGAAACCGTCTTTTCATACACAATTCCCGCCACCGAGCAGACTGTGCAAGGCCGCATATGTAGCATTAGCTACATGGCGATCGAGCCTCCAGACGTACAGAAGAAGGCACGCGAAACGATACATGAGATTGTTGAGAAGGATGAGGAGAAAGTATGGATTGACAAAGAAAACGGAGTATTTGAGTATCCGTATAAGACGTCCGTTGTTGTTTTTCGCAGGAAGTGAGGAAAATGATATATTACGGTGATAAACTAGATGGATAGCTGCATGTAAAGAATCTAAAAACGTGTGCATATGTAGATTATGAAAATTACGCGATCTTATTACACGTAAATCCGTTCTTCTCCGACAGCTATTTTCTCATGTGAGGGAACCATGATCTCTCTCACTGCAGTTTATAAGTAGATGCACAACATTGAGCTGCACACGCTGAAAATGTCCTGTACACGACTAAGGCCCACGTTATCGAGGCACCATTCTCGACTTCTCCCTTACGCGAACGTAGCGTGTCTGCAACATAAGTGCCGATATTCGTCAATTATCTCACCTGCCCAAGAATCCCCGCTCAACACATGGATAACCCAAACTCTCCCTGTTACAAAAGAACACAATGACTTCCTCTCCGCCTCTAAGCTTGCTGATCTCTTCTGCACATTGCCCACTCGATCTCACACCTCCCAGACGCGCGCCTTCGCACCTGGAGCTTCACTAAGCCCTTTACATACTCTGGTGTTTTTCTATCCACGTTCGACAGAAGATCAACTCGGCACGGACAAGACAGATCGTGAATTTTGTCCGCCTGAGCCGTTTACGAGACGCATGTGGGCTGGTGGGACGTTTCGTTTTACTCATAATCGAACGGATGGAAGCTCGAATGGTCTGCAAGTTGGCAGAGAGGCGACAGCACGCGTGAAAATACCTAAGGTTGAGAAGAAGGGCTTTGAAAAGGGTTCACCAATGGTGTTCGTTCACCAAAATATCGATTACGCGCACAAGGGCGAAGAGGAACCACTCGTTAGTGAGGAGAGGATTCATGTGTATTTGCCTCGTGAGATGCGTGCCAATTCGAGGGTGGCACGAGAAGGTCTGCTTCATACATTCCTCAGGTTCGATTAGATCTCAATTTAAAATGCAATTTTATTGGTAGTCACTGGTTTACCTAAACTACATTACACCTTCTCGTGGACGCCATCCCCGACCACGCTGTTCCGTTTCTCCGCTTTAACATGGAATGGGCACTTGATCCATCTTGACCCCGAATATGCGCAGAACGAGGAAGGTTATCCAGGTATTTCCTAATTTGCCGCCCCATTCTCCATTCTTCAACCTTTCACATGCGCGTTCCTTGTCAGAACGGCTCGTCCACGGACCTCTCACAGCGCTTATGCTCGTAGAAGCGCTGTATCATGAAGGTTACTCCGGACGTATCGATAACTTCGTTTATCGCGCACGAAATCCTACGCTTGTAAACCGACGGCAGCATCTTCGTGGTGCATTCAGCCTGAATGGCGACAGCGCGATACTATGGGCGGAAGATGACGATGGCGTCGTGGGCATGACAGGCACTGTCGACTTGCTTGATCCTGTTTCAAGCAAGTTCTCTTAGTTACTCTACGGGTTGTTATCGACGCAGCGCAATGGGACTTGTAGACCGCGTTGAGGAATTCCAGCAAGTGCAATTAGTCCGGATTCAATCGTTCGCAGTGCAGGATTCGTAGACAGTCCACAGGGAAGTGGCGAACCTTCGCAACTCATCCAACGAGCTGGCTCAAAGAATCAATCCGAACTCCGCTGCAACGCATACACCAACACCAAAAGTGATCCACAAAAGCACATCCACGCAAGCGCCTGAGAAGTCGAGCACAAGGCAGTCTCGCACTGACTATCTAAGCACAGAATGATAAACAAACCGGCACAAGCGCAGAACGCAGCTAGAGAGATTTGTGCTTCTTCGCAGCATGGTAGACAGCTTACTCCACCACCATTCACATTGGCACACGGATTCGCACTACGCTCGGCATCGTTGGCATTGATGATGTTGTTGAGGAGTGGTGAATGAGCTTGAGCTTCGGTGTCCAAGTCTACAGGCGTCGATACTGTGGAGAGGTCTTCGTCCGATTCGGAGACGAGTTCTCTTCGCCCTGGGAAGTGTGTTTGGCTGTTGAGATAGGTGTTCATAGCCGTTATCGTGCGCAAGTCATCTTCTGAGGTTTCAGACATGTTGACCGTTGAGATTGGTTAGCGCACTCAGGTGTGGCCAGTCGAGAAACCAAGAAAAGACGATGAGCGAAGCAGTGTGAGCTAGTAGGAGGAAGCACAAGTGGAGGTGGATGAACGAGTGCTTGCGCCTGCACGACGAGGTGTGGCAAGGTGGCATGCATAGTCCTAGAGAGAGGCTGTAACGCTTTGATCTTGTCGAGAAGGAGACAGCTAGATCTCGCCACAGATGCATAGTACTGGTGCCACACGAGCCACCCAATCCAAGTAAAGGAAATCCTGCGTTTTTGACTCCTCTTGGACCATCTTTGCGCTACCAATTCAAAATCTTAAGAAATATCCATATACCTTCTATATAAGATATAACTCGGACTTAGCGGTACACTGTACAGAAGCTTGAACGCTTCGAGACGTCTTGATGATGTCGATCCCATTTCGCTTATCGGAGTACGAAACTTGAGATTCAGCACGGCGCGTTAATCACGTGGTATAAATCCATCATCTCTTCCTTGATCGAGAATCTAGAATACGAACATACATGGATAAACAATATCATTAGAAGGTAATTCTATGTACTATGTATAGTAACACAGATGTAAACATTGGATACACGAATCCGAAAAGTTAGGAAATGAGAATACAACAAATAAAGCGCTCCTCCGAAGTGGACAGTTTGGAAACGGTCAGGAAATGGGGATACAATAACAGTGACGCTCTTCCGAGGTGTACAGCGGAAAGGGACAACCTCAGACGGGTTGCTTGGTGCTCGATTTTGATATTGTGGTTCTTGTCCTCGAACCACTTGAGCCTGCTGAGGAGTTAACCCTGTTAAGAATAATTGTGTTCATATTAACATCAGACAGTTTGTAATGATGAGCCAAACTTACGACTTAAACTCCATCTTCTTGAGGTTTCCAAGAACGATCCCTCCACCAGTACCAGAAGACGAAGGAATATCCGAGCTGAGAGTGACGCGAACGCTGACGTCTTCCGAGCTCGTTTGGCGATGTTTCCGGATATTTAGAAGAAGACGTTGACTCCAGATACTCGCAGAAGCAATCCCGATACCGAGAGTGACTTCAATGTAGTCGGCCTAATTGGGAGGAATGTCGTCACGAGAGTTTTAAAAACGGAGTATGACTGTCACTGTTAAAATAAGATACGCACTCCACCGAAAACCCATACTAATTGATTAGCTAAGAAAGGTATGAATACCCTATGAATATTCCCGCGAGTTAGTCCTTGTAAGTTACGAGCGCATACTAAAATATACGTACATCCAAAAGAATAGAATTGAGTCTCGGACAAGGAAACGCAAAAATCCATAATGGCCCTTCTCGGACCACCATCGATGCAGCATTATTCCATTCGTTTGCACAGCTTTGTACAATGCGAGGACGACCAGTATCAACTCCGCTATAAGGCATGGGATCCAGAAATACTTGAACAAAATCGGTACGTTCACGTGGAAACACATATTATGTTCGGATGCTTTTCCAAGGTTGACAAACACAGCTGGTATCAGACAGAAACAAAAATGAGATCAGCGGGTACAATTCATGTGGAATGATTTTGATCCGTCTTACCCTTCTCTACTACCATTATCTTAATATATATGCCGCACATTGATCCAGCTGTCGCCACTGTTGAGGCAACTAACGTGGTAACAACCGTTTTGCATTTACTGAACATCGCGAAGAGGCGCAGTTCTAATGTTACTAGAGCAGGCCGTCGATGATTAGAATGAAACGGAAATGCTTAAAAAATGAGGTCTCTTACAATGAGATAGAAATCCAATTATTGATCCCGCTGTCCATTGAAAGCGTGTCCATGCAAGACCTGCTTCCAAATTTCTCAGTAACTGAACTGAAATAAATAGCAGAGTTAGATATAACGAACATCTGTGCAGAAAATATAATGTCAGCTCCAAATGACAACATCAGTGGGCATAGTACAGTGCAACTAACAACTGGAACGGTGGATGTCAGCTGCTTACACATGCTTCAAAAGTATATTACGTACATTGGTTGGTACTTCTCGGAGGAAGAGAACTGTATCATAGTCAGTCACCTGAGACTTGAGCAAGGTAGCTTGATAACGCACCAATATTTATAAAGCTAATGCATATAGCAACGGGTTAGTGCGCCCCAATAACGAAGCCAGAGAGAATGCATACAGAAGCGTCATGAGTGTGAAATATCGAAGCTGTGAATTCCTATGAGCGCTGTCGTCTTCCCGAGATAGCCATCATAAAAAGCGTATACTGACGAAAAGAAATAGTATTTTGCCATAACTGAACGGGCTCAGCTGATAAGGAGAACTTCCTCAGTACACGTACAAAGAGCAAATGAAGTATGTGTACCCAAATCAACATCACTTCATCGTCGAAGGTGATTACTTGCAACACCACCATGCATTCAGCCAAAGTTGTAACTCGAAAGCAAACCAAGAAACCTGCTCACGCAGCTCGTAAAGGTACATGACCAATGACGATACTGACGTTAAGTTTCAGCACTCCCCACCGCAGCAGAAGAGACACGAGTATACGCGACTCACAGTGGCACCATTTTGTGATTTGGATAACCTGAATGGTGTGCTCGATACCGCTAAACGTATCAATGTTCACCATGTTCTATAGTGACGGCGGTAGGATAGATCGAGCTCGAGTAAAGGGAATCCACAAGTCAAAGTCGGGAATAGGTACTGCATCCAAGTAACGCTTTCTGAGCTGCGACAGGTGTGGAGAATCACTTTATGTCGCTGGAGGTCAGAAGGACTAGCTTCGGAAATATTTAAATACATCCTCAATCTAGAGATGGTCCGAAAGATTGAAGATGACTGTCGAAGTCTTCTGTGTCCAAGAGCACACCCCAGCGCGTGATGGACGAAAGGAGAAATCAAAGAAGTATTTACGTGGGATTCCGAAGATGCTTCAAGTAAAGTTGACAGTCCCTGGACCACAGGCTTCTAGAGAGAACGGCGGTATCAATGGGATGAGCCGTCACTGTCCGTACTAGACTAAGATAGTCCGCCGATGAAGGTTGATCACATGGCGATTGGTTTCCCAAGGCGTCGGGAACTGCCATGTGAATACATAGAAATAGAAAACGCGACAGTGAAGACGAATCTAACTAGCAATGGACAACGCTCCGAGCTGAATACATCTGAACGAACTGAACACAGAACAGGACCCGAGCTTGGTCTAGTCACCTGACTTCACTGCGATTCGGACGCGATCTAAATAAATAGATGCCTTTGCCCTCCGATCAAATCTAATAGTAATACCGCATCGCCAGCGCGCGAAGATCAGGGTGGGTTCGTGACGACAAAAAATACTTGCCGCGACCACCACCACCACCACCATCTCCTCACTTCACACAGCATGAAATTTTGCAGAAGCTGGTATTATTACACTAATCATAAACATGAGCACTTTAATTGGTCATTCTTGGATAAGCTCCGCTGAAGACAGTGGTCTCAACTTTGCTTGAGTGCTACCTTGGGCCCTTCGACCAGATATTCCGAGTTCAATCATTATTAGAAATCTTGGCCTGCCGAAGGTACGATTTGCTCTGTCGATTTACATACAATATGTTGGGTGGATCGACCGTATACCACCCCACAAGCATATCCAGAATGTCTATAATATTGTCGCTTTGCAAGACAACTCCCACCCTTATCTCTCTCGGGCAGTAGAAGTGGTATGGTCACATCTGTCGTTAGCTCGAATGCTTTCTCACCAAGTGTGAGAGTAAAGCCAAGTCCGAAAAGAATTCAAGGCACGTTTGTTGAGAAACGTTACTCAAAATGGGTCAACGTGGTATTCGCATCGATTGGAATACGAAGGCGACGAAGTCCGTGATCTTTGTAACTCCGAAGCCTCGGCGAAGTTAGTAACTTCTGCACCGCAGAAGACCAAAAACTGTTAGACTCTAAAGGAAGACGAAGAGGAATAAGAAGAACAGAATTGCAACGAGATATCAGCGCTGATGCTATTCTGGTGCTGCCTTGATCGGCATCTATCCGCCGTTCTCGATCCAAAAGACTTTGAAACTTTCAACCGGACAAATAAATTCTACTACTCCCCTTATTCATTTGGTTGCCTCGGCGTTTGATGTAACCAATGAAGGGAAACTATTGTGTTGTGGCTTGATACATACGAGGGCTCTATCCGACTCGGAAATGTGGGTCCTTCTTGGACGAGCGCATCTTGCTTCGCTGATACTGCTGACCTCTCGCAGATTGTCTTCTGATAAGTCGTGGCTGTAACGATTGAAACCTGTTGAAAACAAAACGGGTTGGTGTAACGAAAATGTGCAAGCCGAAAAGCTGGATTACTGGTAACCGGACCAACTCAGATTGATCACAAAATGCAAGACTAGAACAGAAGACACGGTAACTAAACCATTGTAGTTGTTCCAAGGCACACAACACATTACATTCCTTTCTTCTCCAGCATTGCATCCAATTGTTCAGTTGGTGCTGAGATGAGCAGTCGTTGGCATAGAATTAGCGCAAGGCCTATGCATGTATGCTTGCATGAGTGTTTAGACTCTACGTAGAGCCGACTTCAAAATCAGTAAAGATGCCAGATAAACAGTTAATAATACATTCCATAGAGTTTATTACGACAATAATCAAGCACCTATATGCACAAGATTGACCCATCGTTCAGTCTGAATCCCCTCCCTCGCTTTCAGCTCCAAAGCTGCTTTGCGAAGACCCCCAGCTGCCCTCTTATACTTCACCTCTTCCTCCTCACATACGTTTATGTACTCATAAACAGCCTTAGCAAACGTAGGACCATCCGTATCAAGTAGCTCCCACATCGAACCGATTACGCTTCGGAAACCTGAAAATTGCATGGCCGCTGCAAGGTGAAGAACCTCGTCATGAGCACCATTGTGAGACTGTTCCGCAGTATGACAGGCAGAAAGAAACGCAAACTCCGCATTTGGAAGACTGGTCTGGATGATATCGAGCATCGTTAGCCCACCACCCGATAAGTTGAATGAAGAGTTGAAAGGACTTGAACTCAAGAAGCCGTGACAAACAAAATGGACCCATGGCGCTTCCTGGACAGCTTTGATCGCTTCATCACGAGACGCTTTCTTTCCGACGAGTAATTTGGTACCCATTCTGCAATTCCGGATATTGGAAATTTCCTGCTTAGCCGACCAAAGTGAGGTATCTCCGATAACCAGCACCGTCGGATCGTCTTCGTGGCCTCCTGACCGTGCATTTATGAGGGCTCCGAGCGATGGCGTATATGACGAGATATAATCATCCAATAGGTATTTCCTGGTGCCGTCGGCATCCTCAAATGGCCCTGCTGCATGGAACGGAAGCGCGGACAACACGGATGTAGGACACCACCAGATGCGGGAGCCTTTGGTCACTCCAATTTTTTCAAGTTCAATGACGACCTTGGAAACAACTCTATCCCATATCATCTTCATCGCTTCACGAAGCTTTTTATCATAAGCACTCGAATCGGCGTTGAACCTTCGGCGCGTCCCCACAAGCTCTTGGCACAGACTGATACTATCCTCGTAAAACTCATTGTCTAACGGAACACAGGTCACCGACGGGTCATCGCGCGCGAGAATGATGAGACAATCGGAACGGTGTTTGCAGTGGTTAACCATGATAACGGGACCTTCCGAAGCTGCTTGCTGCAGTACCCTGAATGGTGTAGCTTCAAGGAAGCTCTCGAAACCTGGAACGCTTCGAATCTTAGCAATGACTTCCTCTTGCTCACTAGAAAGTCGTTTCTTCAACTTTAGCAGGTCATCAAATGATATCCGGTCTGTTCTGACGCCCGGGCCGATTGATCCATTGTCGTTCATGATGGAACCGGGCATCAATGCAGCGTGAGTTGATCCAGAGGAGTCCTGAAACTGCGTAACTGTGACCAGAGAAAGCCCCTCCCCAGCTCAAGTATCTCAATGGCTTGTTCCAATTCATTTTTATGTATTGCATAGGAAGCGGCCTCCAAAGCGAGCAAGCTGTGCTTATTGTTTTCGATGAGGAAATCATGTTGTTCATGGAGGGTTGGACTTATAGTGAGAGCGTGTTGTAGTATCGATATTGCTATCCTGTAAGCTGTAAAAGCTGTGCTGTGATCGCGCAGTCGTGCAAGTGACTCCCATGTACGTGCTGCAGCAAGGCGATCTGATACTCCTGAAAATGCATGGACGGTACCGAGCTCCAGTAGTTGCATGCATTCTTCATACTCCTCCACACACCACCGTTGCTTGATTCGCATATTCAAGAAACCTGCCAGATCAATTAGAGAGGCAGAACGCTGAGGATGGCCTTCGGAGAGAAATTCCAGAGCGGCTCGGCTCAACTCGATGGTTTTTTCTAGGACTTCCATCCTCTCATATAGCAAATATCGACTGGACAAGGCAGTTGCAAGGTTGAAAAGGGACATATAACGATGAGGATGGCCTTCGGGGCGAAGCTCCAGAGCAGCTCGATGCAACTCGATTGTTTCCTCGAGGTCCTCTGTCTTTCTGTGTCGTTCATACCGAATATTCAGGGAAGTCGCTAGGTTGTTGAGACACATCGAACAATCATGATGGCCTTCGGAAAGCTCTACGGCAGCTCGGTTCAATTCAATGGCTTCCTCAAGGTCTTCAGTCCTTCCATACCGTGCATATCGGACAGATAGGGAAACTGCAAGGCTGCAGAGATACGTTGGACGGTCAGGGTCATTCACAGGGTAAAGCTCAAGGGCGGCTCGTTGTAACTCGATAGCTTCCCCGAGGTCCCCAATCCTTCCATGCTGCTCATATCGCATGCGCAGCGAAGCTGCGAGGACCTGGAGAGACACAAACTGACGAGGATAGCCTTCAGACCGTAGCTCGAGGGCGGCTCGTTCCAATTCAATGGCGTCCTCAAGGTCCTTAGGATTCCCGAGCTGCTCGAATCGAATGGACAGTGAAATCGCAACTTCGATGAGAGATATAGAACGGCCAGGATGGCCTTCACGGCAAACGTCAAGGCAGGCTTGGTGTAGCTCGATGGCCTCGTTTAGGTCTTCAATCCGTCCATGGCGCTCAAATCGGTTGCGTAAAGAGAGTGCAAGACTGCTGAGAGACGTGGAACGATCAGGATGGCCTTCGGGACGAAGGTCGAGGGCGGCTCTGTTCAGTTTGATGGCCTCATTAAGGTCCTCAATCCTTCCATGCTGCTGATATCGGGTGTGCAAGGAATTTGCAGGGCTGTCGAAAAATGTAGAACGTTCAGGGTGGATTTCGGAGCGAAGCTCGAGGGCGGCCCGGTGTAGCTCGATGTCCTTGTTCAGATCCTCAGTCCTGCTGCGCCATGGATGTCGGGAGCACAGGGAAGCTACAAGGCTGCCGAAACACTCAAAATAATCAGGGTCGTCTACAGGATGTAACTTGAGGGCGGATCGGTATAACTCTTTAGCCTCCTCAGCGTCCTCAGTCCTTCCATGCCACTCATTTCTGGTGGTAAGGGAAAGCGCAAGGATGCTGAGCGTCCAGAAGCGAAGGGAATGACCTTCGGAGCAAAGATTGAGAGCAGCTCGAAGCAGCTCGATGGCCTCCTCAAAATCCTCAGTCCTTCCATGCCGTTCGTATTGGCCGTGCAAGGAAATTGCAAGGAGGTTGAGAGACATAAAACGATCAGGATTACCCACAGGACAGAGCTCAAGGGCGGCTCGGAGCAGCTCAATGGCCTCGCCAACATCCTCAGCCCTTCCATACCGTTTGTAGCGGGTGTGCAGGGATCTCGCGAGGTTGTTGAGTGACATAGAGCGAAAAGGATGGCCTTCGGGGCGAAGCTCGAGGGCGGCACGATGTAATTCGATAGCCTCCTCAATGTCTTTAATTCTGTTCTGTTCTTCGTATCGTCTGTGTAGATAAGCTCCAAGGTTATTGAGATGAAAAAAAAAGGAACGATTAGGGAGGCCTCTGGGGCAACGGTCCAGAGCGGTTCGTTCGAGCACAATAGCTTCTTCTACATTGTCCACTTGTCTCCATGTCTTGAATTGTCTTGAAATGAAAAGGAGCACAACTATACAGCAAACCAGAGCTATTAGGATGCCCCGGCACAAGTTCCAGAGCAGTAGAAATGTAATCAATATCACCCTTGATCTCCGCCTGTTCCTCCGGTTGCGCAAAGCACTTGCAGTGTTCAAGAGCCGGATCTTCATGTGTTTTGGGATCATGTTAATGATCCTGCATAGCAGCAGCTGTCCCCGATTTGCTTCCATCATCAGTGTGCCCTGTTCTAGCAACAAAATATCAAAATACAATCCTTACAGCAAAAAGAAGTTAGTATACTGATCAAAGATGCTTTACCTAGGTAATATTAGTAATGGCCTGATACTGGTGAGCGAAGCGCATATAGTCACTCTCCCACCATCCATCCCTACATTTTCGTAGAATAGCGAGCAGTAGCGTTTAAGCACAGTCCAGTCTACGAGCTCCAGTTCTCCTATTCATCCACGAAGGACAGAGAGAAAAAATTATTAATCAGTGATAGTACAGCATTTTGTACACACCTGTGAAAGTAAAGAGTTTAGGAGGGGCCTGGCAACAAACTATATCAATAAGCCTTTCGCTGGTTTGACATTCGCACAAAACCGGACAGAATAGAATAGACCTCATCCGGAAAGTAAGAAATCTCGTCTGATACCACCCACGCCCAAGCCTTCGCTCTATCTTTCAAGAAAATGTTAAGTTCGATAGTCCATCCATCTATGCAAAGTTGTCCTTTAACGAGAAGAGGCAAGTCACTCTCCGGGTTTCGTAGTTCTATTATTCCTTGCTTGATATCACGGAAGAAAGTTTCTAGTTTCAGAGATATGTCCTTCCTTTTTCGATTCTGTCGTTGGTCCGTCGAGCGAGTAATGTGAAGGTAGCGTTCTGGTCAGATGGATGATGTTGGAATGAGGAGCTTGGTCAAAAGCACGACGCGCACGACCTCCCACTTCAGTATTATCGGTAGTTGCGACAGTAGCAGAGTTGGAATCAGAGTAGTTATAGCTCAGAGCAATAGCTGAAATCAGAACAAGAAACAACGTGAAGGTAGCGAAGCGGACCAAGGGATGGCCAGAGGAAAGAAACGGTAGAGCGAGAACTGTCGAGACAAAGAAACGAGAAAGGTCTGACTATATGCGAAGCCGATGCATGATGTAGCCTTCACGAGCACTTTGTACTGCAAGGACAACATTCGAGAGTACCTGCGCGCTTTGGGATCATCGAGTAAGAAGTTTCTAAAGCGTTTATATATCGCGTGATCCCGAAAATGTTCTCACGGTTACCAGCTGCCAGCAGCGCATTAACGTAGTCCGTCGTCAGTTCCAGTTATCCTCAATCAGGATGACTGTTGAGGTGACGCTTTAGAGCAGCCCTTTCTGACTCGATGGCCTCCTCAAGCCCCTTGGTGCTTCTATACTGCTCGAATCGAGTGAGCAGGGGAACTGTGAGGCTGCTGAGAAAGAAATGCCAATCAGGATGAGTGCAAGGAGTTTGCAAGGTTACCAAGAGACATATGACGATCGGGTGTTCTTCGGGTCGAAGCTCTAGAGCAGCCGTGTCTAGCTCGATGGCCTCCTCCAAGATCCTTACTCATCTCATACTGCTTGTATCTGGTACACAGGTAAGTTGCTAGGTTTCTGAGAGAAATAGATTGATTAGGGTGGTCTTTAGTGTGAAGCACCAGAGCAACTTGTTCCAACTCGATGGCCTCCTCAAGGTCTTTGCTCCTTCCATGCTGTTCGTATCGAGTGCACAGAGAAGTTGCAAGGCTACTGAGAGAGGCATAACGATCAGGATGGTCTTCGAGGCGGAGTTCCAGAGCAGCTCGTTCCAACCCGATGGCCTCCTCAAGGTCTTCGCTCCTTCCATGATGCTCTTATCGGTCGTATAGAGAAGCCGCAACGTTGTTTAGACAGGTAGAATGATCTGGATGACCCATCAGGGCAAAGCTTGAGAGCAACCTGGAGCAACTTGATGGCCTCCTGAAGGTACTCGGTCCTTCCAAACTCTCCAAATCGAGTGAACTCGGAAATTGCAAGATTGGTGAGAGCGATGGAACTATCAGGATGGCCTTCAGGTAAAAAGCTCCACATAAGCTCGTTCCGACCCAATGGCTTCTTCCATATATTCTATTCATCCCCATCTCTTGTATTGTTTTTACAAAGAAGTGTTGCAAGGTTATACAATAAAGTTGGATCAATTAGGATACCCTGCAGATTGACGATTGAGAGTAATTCGACTGTAATCAATCGGACTTTTCAAGTTCTTCCCGATCCCCGGATTGTTTGAAGTGCTTCTAGTGTACAGATGGAGGTAGGTACTAAGTAAGTCACGTGTAGTATTATGTAAAGATTGTTCCAACCTTTATCAGTGCACTTTATAGCCAACAACACATCGTGCCAATGTAATTTATCTATTATATGCTATAGATTTCATTGTAAAAATTTTATGGAAAAAACTACAAGTGTTCAGTAGTATTTGTTGCATGAAAGAGTGGTAGTGCTGATCCTTCCCACGCACGTGACTTACTTAGCACCTACCTCCATCTGTAGAATGGCTAGGTTGTAATATTTTCAAGATCTGTCATAGTGGATAAAGATTTTCAAGTGCATTTTCAACTGCAGCACGACTTGTTTCCAGGTCTTGTAAGCTTCAGCTACTGACTTTGTCAAAATGGTAGATGCTGTTCAGCAAATCCTGAATTCATGCTCAAGATTTCATTCCAAGACAGATGTATGATCGACTGAACCCCAGATTGAGACACGCTACATTAGTACATAAACCTTGACTAGACTGGAATGTTCGGAATCTCATTGAAACGGGACAAGAACTTGAAGAAGGGTCCAAGCCAAGCCAAGCAGAGTCTAACTTGACAGCCAATCAAAGAACGTATGTATGTATTTAATAATATATATTACCCGACCAATGAACAGAAAGTGGATGAGAAAAATCCCGAAAAAAAAGCGAACGAAAGAGTTTAACATTGTCGTGAGTGAAAAAAAGACACAGGACAGATAAATATTAATTTCGTATTTATGTATTTAATTTAAAGTCGCTGTGGTGTCCAATTCGGTACGATACGAGCCACGAGACGGTCAAATGCTAGTAATACTTCGCGTGCTGAGGGACGAGCAGAGTAGGAGGCGTTGAGCATGGGTTGAGCTAGTTGGACGAGACAGGGGAGGTCATGGCCGGATAACTGGAAAACGATAAATAGAGCATAGACAAAAATTGTCATAAGTAAGGGTTAAGTAACGCATTTGAACGTTGGTTCGAACACTTACTTTACAAGCTCGGAGGATAACGACAGCCAACGCCCACACGTCTACCTTAAAGGGGTCTGACTCTTCACCACGTTCAAGCTCTGGAGGGACTTCTGTTCCTTTACACCCGGATATTCGAGGCGGTGTCGACTTGTCAGTATATCTCCGACTCAGCTCAAAGTCAATGTAACTGTAACGCCCGTGGAAGTCCGTGAGAATGTTACGGAGCGAAACATCGAGATGTACAATTCCATGCGCGTGCATGAATGCTAGGCCCTGCAATAGCTATTAGAATGGAAGAAGGTTCATAGAACAGAAGTGTATATGCCTCAATGCATTGTCGGACGGCTCGTAAAAAGTCAATGGGAGGACACGGCCTACACGGGTCAATAATCTCGGAAGACCACTCTTCCTGGACAATAAACGCCACGTCTGACTCGGGCACTTCAATAAGGTCAAGAACGGCTACATGGGACACATAGAGATACACATCAGGTAAGCAAAGGAGCTACGCAATAAAGTATGCCTCCTGTAAGCGGCAAGGATCACTCACGGATCGTATGGTTCATCGGATCATCACGAAGCGGAGGAGCCGATAGCATACGAATGACCTCATACTGTCGGCTCCGAAGACATACAGCCTTGACCACGAAACGCTTCCCATCGAATATACGCGTCCCACGAAAAAGGTTGTCAGGCTAAAAATAAGAAGAGAGAGACCCAGAAAGTTAGACTGGCTTTGTCGTGGGGTGTTGTGAAGCGGGTTAGAATAGCGTTTGATTCACCAGCCCGGCATCTTTGCATAGTGCATCTGGATTCGCTCGACAAGCCCGAGCATAGCCTTGCCTGTGACAGACGTTTGTAGGTATTGAACCTTGAAAGACACGTTCATAGTACTGTCTTGCGTCTCGTGCCGTGTCCAAACGATAACCACGCTGCTCGAAGAGCTTTCTATAGCATTCCCAATTGGGTGTGATCCGACCATTTAGCTCGTCTTCGTCGAGAGAAGAGACGGACGAAGATGAGAGATAAGAGTCTCTACTTGACGAGGACGAGGCAGAGTGGTTACGGGGACGCATGACGAGCACCGAGTCTAATAATCTCTAGATTATACAGAGGGAAACAGTTGTACTGAGCGGATTAACAACATGGGAAGATGGACAAGGTAGGTGGCTTATATCCTTATAGACACCCGAGTCGGGGGAGAGGCCTGAACGAAAGCACAGATTAGGAGGCATTCGGCAAGTGATAGAGCAACAGGTGAAGATTGGGAGGACTTTTTTGAGTGTATAGCCGTTGAGGAGCGTAGGATCGGTACCGAATGCGGTAGAAAGTCAAACACGCCTTCTGACATTTCGTCAGGGCTAGGCAGAAAGAGGGAAAGGTATTCGCTGATGTCTGGGCAGTATTGAGTAACCGCCGACGACGACCCGGAGAGAAGGCCATGATTGAACGGTGGCAAAATACGATTGAGGAGTTGGATTCCCAGCGAGAAGGAGCGCCTGTGCTGGCCCCCGTGAAACCACCGAACGCTCTACCCAGTAAGGATATTCGGTGTGGGAGAATGAGAGCAGAAAGCGGTAGACCGTGCCTCAACGTGGCGACGAGCAGAGATTCTGCAGACGGCTGTACTTTACGGCGCCCTCGGACATGAAATACCGGAGCCGCATTTGGATATCGATACCCACGCACTTGGCGGAACACGTGCCTCGTGTCACGCTTCAATTCTTACTGCAGTAGGTTTACCTTACTCCAAACCACAATGGCCTGGCAGCAGTACTCGCATTACCACCCTCACCCTCAAACGTATCCACAGCTCTACCCGCAACATGAACAATACGCTCACAACTACCATCAGTGGTATGGCTACTATCAGCAGCAGGCACAGCAACAGCGCCAGGTTGCCCCAATTCCGCACGCTCCGCCAGCAGCAACAGCATCAACAACAGTAACTGCACCCATTCCAACCGCTACACAAACCCCAGCCACGAGTACTACCTCATTCTCTCAATTCGATCCGACCAAGCCAAATCCGGCATTCAACACGACGTTTGTCCAGCAATCGGTCGGCGGTGTCGGTTCTAGTTCGGGCAGCGCACGAGGTCCACGGAGGCAGTCCCAGCTCAAGGGACTTTTCTCAAAAGAATGTGAGCAGATCTTAAAGTTATAGCTGTACCTTCCTTCTTTCATTATGCAGAAGTGGAGTCGTGTGCTCTGTCTATTCTCATACTCATACCGATAGTACGAGTGTGAGTATCTGTCGGTGTTGTGTTACTGTACCGCTGATCTGGCACACCGAGCGTCTGGGTGCTATGTATCGTCCGAGGACTATCCGGTCATTGTCGGTCATATAGCTATTCATAGTTTCCTCGGAGGCAATGCTGTTAAAAGCTTTCTGGTCGAATTTGATATTTTGCTTGCTTCATGACGTGGTTTGGGACGTATACTCACACATTTGACAGTACCAAAGCTCATGTACGGGTTCGGCGATGACAAGCAGGTCGCAAATGACTCCGTGGCCGTCATGGAAGAAATCCTTATTGAATACATCGTTGACGTGGTGCGTCATGCTCTCCCTTTCCTTTGTTGATTGCAACACCCTGACCTTCTTTCTACACATCTTTAGTGTCAGACTGCGCTCGCACCTACACGAAGAAGCCGTCTACACATAGAGGATTTACGACGTGCGCTGTCACGATCTGGTGACGCGAAGAAGCTTGCCCGTATGGAAGAACTTCTCTTCATGCAAGAAGACATCAAGCGAGCGAGAAAACAGTTTGAAGAGAATGAAATGGGTGGAGGTAGTGATTACTAGACCTTCTTTGTCGTTATTATGACTCCTGCATGCAATATCTGTATGACAATACACTGAATCCTGTACAATACGTCGCAATAAAATTAAATGTCGTCCAAGCCACTCTATCTAAGTATTCTCATTTTGCTGTCCTTCAACTCCCTGAGCGGTCTCAGCTTCCTCCAACTTCCGCCTCTTTCGCTCCAAGTATCGCTGTCGTGCACCTTGCACGTCTTCTTCCGTATTCCGCTTCGCAACCATCCTCGCAGCAGTTTCCCGTTCCTTCTGTTCCTTCTCCTGAGCTGTCCGTTCCGTCTCCTTCGCAAGCTGCTGCTCAATCTCTCGTCTTCTCCGCTCATTAATTTCTCGTCGGCTCGCAGCGGTACCTACAGCTCGATGAGTCTCAACTTCACCTTCCCCTCCTCCATCCTCTCCTCCATTCTGGTTCTTTGGTTTTCCTTTGGTGTATAATCCCAGATGTCGAGTGTTGGGAGCAGAGAGGTTTAGTCCGGCGGATAAGAGATCGCGTTTGTCGACAATTTGGTTATCGTCATTTAGCTCGACGGATTTACCTTCTTCGCGTGCGCGTTGGGCGAGTTGGAGGTCTGAGATTGGAGTGTAATCTGTTGGTTTGGTGATGGTGAGGTTTTGGGTTTCGGGGCCGGAAGGTCCTTTGATCTTCTTGGATTGATTACCTTGATGATTTTGTGAGACGGAGACGGCGGAGAGCGTGGCGCTGTGTTCTTGGTCGTTTTGTTCGAGGAGTTGACGGTAGAAGTGGGACATCCCTGTTGTTGATTTTCGTTTTGACTTTTCTGCTTCTATCAAGTCCCAAAACGAAAACAAAAAAAGTCAAAATCAGCATTCATCAAGAACCTCGAACCTCGAACCCGAATGAACTGAACACAGGGAGGAGATAGAGAAGGCAACTAAATAACTTAAATAACCTACCTTCGCGTTTCTTCTCCTCTTCCTCAGCTCTTCGTACTTCAGCCATTTGATCTTTATAAGCTTGCGTAACGAATTGTTCCTTGTCGGCGAACTCGTCGCCTTCGGCTTCTCGTTCACGTTGGATCATCTTTTCTTCTGCGCGTAAGCGGTCGAGTTTACGGATTCGAGCGGATTGGAGGAGGGCGTTTATGTGTTGTGGCTAACGTGAACCAGTTAATGTCAAATGATATATATTAGCGAATCTGTAGCTGTAAGTATGAGAAAGGTGTGATACCTTCCGCTCTGTCGCCTCCTTACTCTTCATCTCCTTCTGCCTCTCCTTCGCAGCCTGCATCTTATCCCATACTTCATCGTATTCGAATACGGTCTCGTCGACTTTCTTGGCTTCTTCTGCGCGTCTCAGTTGGGCTTTAGATAGTTTGGGTGCGGATGGTGGGGCTTGAGAGGCGAGTGTGCGGTTTGTTAGGAGGGATGATTTGTTGGAGGAGGAGGAAGCTGTAGGAGCTGCGTCTACTTCTCCTTCGTTATCATCGTCGATTGAGCCGAACGCTGGGGTTGGCTTTTTGAGTTGGGGAGTTGTGTTTTGGGTGGTGGGTGTAGCCTTGGGTTTGGAGAGAGAGAAGGAGACTTTCATGGTGGGCAGTGTCAAGCGAGTAAGTCAGTGACGGTTTGAGTTGACGCAGGGATCGTCAGAGGTTGCACTTCTTTCCTTTTCGAGAAACGACTCAAAAGTTAGACGCGTCTCCATCTAGCGCGTTTTTTGACTTTACATTGACTTTACAGTGGTATCGTAACTTCACAAGATGGCATCCAGTGCATTTGACCGAAGACGAATAAATGGGCCTGAGGAGAGCTTCACTCCTATTTATGCGTCTGATGAAGAGGAAGGAGAGCAGCTTGGAGTAGGTCCTTCGAAAGGGCGACGAGGACGATCGGCTTCGGATATTCGCCCAATTTGTGCGTTGTATTGCATTGCATTAAATTCATGCTCATTCATCTAAATTTTTAATATGATATACGTTTCATTTAGTCCTTAAGACGGGGTTGATAAGCCAAGCAAATGGATCTGCATATATTGAGACTGAGAAGACGAAGATTGCATGTGCAGTGTACGTCCTTCTTGTTTTCCATGTTCAATCTACCAAATCTGTTTGTGTTAATGCTTGATGCTTGGTGTTTCAGGTATGGCCCTCGACAGTCTAAGACCTCGACTTATCATGAAAAAGGAAAACTACACGTCGAAGTCAAGTTCGCTCCTTTCTCATGTGCGAAGCGTCGAGCTCCAATGCGGGTAAGCCAAACACAACTCAGCCTATCACCTTCACCACTCACCACTCCTCACCTCAAAACTTCACAATTATAAAAACCTGTAGGACGCAGAAGACCGCTCCGTCTCAATCCTAATCCAACAATCACTCACCCCAGCCATTCGCTTAGAACTCATTCCCAAATCCAGTATCGATATATTCCTATTCGTCATTGAGAATGATGGAATTGAAGGGTGTGTTTCGGCGGGAGCTATTGCAGCGAGTACGGCTCTTGCGCATGCGAGGATTGATATGCTTGGATTGGTTGTTTCGTGTGCTGCTGTGCGTTCTTAATTTTTCTTTTTCACTTAGCTTTTTCGTGATAATGTTCATATTTGCTCATAATTTTTTTAAATAGGCGACGATGCCAAAAGAGATATGGCTCGACCCAACTACAGAAGAAGCGCGCGCTGCACGAGGTCGGCTTACACTAGCTTGTGTTCCTGCGTTGGGACTTGTAACGAACGTGTGGCAGACGGGACAGATGAGTATTGATGAAGTGGAGAAGGTACGTCCGTATTGTGATTTTATTGATATTCGAGGGATATGCACGTGTGGATGAAAACTGATGTTTGTTTTTCGTTGGTGGTGTAGTGCATTGATGCTTGTCAGGAAAAATGTCGAGATATTCATGCTGTTGTAGCTCAGGCTCTTTTGGAATCCCAGACTGGTTGAAATATATATGACTTCAAGTCTGATGGTGGGACCGACTCGTGTGACTGTCAACTTCGTGCTTCTAATCACAAATGATTGATCAAGTCAATAGTCTCAAATTGTACAGATGCTTTGACCTGCTGTTTTGCTATCCATTCATTGTAAAAGCCGTGTTTCATGTTCCCAAACATGGTTGCAGGACGTAATTGAGCTATGCAATCACCTTCAATAATGTTGTTCGGGTTCCACTTATGAAAGGTTTGACCCTTACAGTATGCGTTTTCATTCCAATGGAATAGTATATAAGTTGCAATATCATGAATATATATACTTTTCGTCTAGTGCAATACAGTGTTCAAACAAACATGATGGCGTTACAGTGGTCATGCAAGGCGCCTGTGAGAAGGTATCTAAAAAAATGGAACAAGGGACACTCAGAAACCTGCAAAGCGTCAGTTAAGTGTGACTTGAAAGATTTCCTCTTGCTTGATCACATACCGTACTTGTTCCCGGCCTCTTTCCGATTTCTTTTCCCCTGCGCAATCTTCTCCTCCAAAGCCTCGCGGTTCATAAACGCATCCGCCAACAAAGAATGTAACTGATGTCTAGACCTAGCCACACCAGACATCTTCGTAGGGTTCATCGCAGCCTTCGGTACAGGTCTATCCGTCTCACTTCCCGCTTTCTCAGTAATCGCCTTTTTCTCCTCTCGTGCCGCACGTGCAGCATCAGCCAATTGCTCCGCGTTCACCTCAGTAGCGTCTTCGCCATTCGCACCTGCACCTTCGAAGCCCTTTTCGCCGCGCTCGTATGCTCGGATTTGCGCTTCGTAGTCTTTTTGCCAGCGGTTGGAGTAGGTTTTGTAGTATGTTGGGTCGTGCATTGCCCAGCTGCCTGAGGGGAGTTGGTAGTACCCTGGATATGGGTCGTTGATCTTTGGAGATGGAGGGCGGAATTCTTCGATCTTTGGGGCTGAGGAGATTATTGATGGGATTAAAGGAGTCGATGTGGAAGTGTCTGGAAGGGGAGGTGCGGATGATGGTCGGCTGTTGGGAGCTGAACCTATGAAAGCAATTTAATCAGTGTACCGGGTATAGTTGGACTTTGAGTACCAACCCAATGAGAATATATCTATTGCAGGCGCAGTCGAAGGCCCAGAAGAGCTTATGGATGCTTTTAATGCTTCGGATGTCTGTATCTTTGATTTCCCCTTCAGGAGCATTGACGGAGGGATCATAGACGTAGTCGTATCATCATATTTAGTCACAGCTTCCTGCACAGCATCATCTCCGTCCACAGGTCCTTCTGATACAGGAGGACGCTCTTCCGGAGCTTTGGCTTTCTGAGAAGCAGCTGAATACACAACACCAGGCTTCCCACCGCCAAGCACACGCTGCGGAGCTGCAGGCTCCGGCACAGTCTTCTTCGGTGCAGGAAGCATTGAGAGTAATGCAGATGCACCTTTGGCACCTCCGCCTAGCTTGGGTTTCTTCGCTGCGGGTTGCTCGTCGGACGAGTCGTCATCGCTGGCGTGCTTTTCGAGCTTTGGAAGCTCGACGACTATCTTCTTTGGACCTGTTGATTTCTTTTGTTTCGTCTTTGGAGGTGGAAGAGATAGGCCTTTTGGTTGAGAGGAGGTAGAAGCGCCGGGAGGAGGAAGTTGGAGCTTGCTTGATGATCCTGGTATGGCACCGTTGGTCGTGGCTGATTTCGATGTTGATGTAGCTGTGCCCGGAGAGTTCGGTGCCTCATCTTCACTGTCACTCCTATAGTCGAGACCTAACATGCCGAAACGTCGTGAGTGAAGAGACGATACAGGAGTAACAGGACGCCAGAAATTCAGCCGAGGTCAGTCACATGACCCAGCAGAGGCTTATTGAGTCACGTGCGATTCGATCATTGTTTGTTTATGTTAGAATTGAAGGGCGATGTCTTGTACGAAACGTAGTACAGTTGAAAATGTCTTATTGCAAAACGTCGGGAGAGGGCTAAACCCAATGCATTATACAATTTATGCATTATGACAATACATTTTGGCTGAGGACCTGAGTTTTGGTCTGGCCAAAAGTCTATGCATTATGCCATTTATGCATTACAATGTGATGCAATAAGACATTTTCAACTGTAAGTCCCATGGGCATCTGTTCTCATCTGCACATACGGCGTTAATGCAATTATAGGCATTGACTCCTTGTGAGTAGCTCCGAATACGTGTATATACTCATCTCCAAGGAACGTGATTAGTAATTCAGCATGCCGCAACAAGTATAATAAGATTCATTTCTTACTACACAACCGGGTATCCTATGCTATAAATGGTTCTAGGTAACTGATTAAGCGCCAAACGCTCCTTTAAAGGGAACAGGGGACAAGGTATCTCCGTTTCGTGCGTCTATACATATTAAATTATTATATACTTGTATGTATGTATATCAACACGTTGCTGTCTAGTGGGAATGAGAATATGTATGCCGTGAATGGTCCTTCACAATAGGAGTCACCTGGCCAGAAACGTATTGAGTATTTCCTTGCACGCAGCGCTAATTCTGGCCGTCTCGCCTGAGATAGTGGAAGGACGAAATTGGAGTGATTGTTGCAAGCATCATGGGAAGAATGTGATTAGAAGCTATCGGCTCCGTAACTACTCAGCACGCATTAGAATATGACTTCCGTTATAGCCAATTGAATGCCTGAAAGCTGCTAATAATTACTATACCTCATATGAATGAATTGATGCGGTGAATGAAATGGGTGTTGAAGCACGATGAACACTGCATTCTGCTGGGGGCGGTAACAATCTTAGAAAATCCCGTCTCTACCATCAAACAGTTGAGAAAGAAAGTCGAGTGCCGACGTGTTTTATGATTTCACTGCTCTTGGCAAACGCACTAATAAGACTCGGAGAAGATTTGGGTCCGCGGCAGCTCCATCGTTGAAGCAGAGGTGATAACGTAATTGATCGTCCCTAGGAACCAGATTCGAACAGTAGTGACCGCGTAGCTCCTTGTTGTCGCTGTCTTGTACTTTCCCCTCCATCACCTCTGCTCATCGTACCCTCTCTGTCAAATAGCCTCGAAGAGCGAAATATCATTCTTGTATAATAGTATTTTTTTCAGGACACTCAACAACATCCAGATCAACATAGACCACCAGTGCGGAGTGGCTTAAACACGAGTGGCAACACGCGCCTCATGCACCAAAGCGCTTCGTCAAGAAATCGTGCACAGCGTCATTCTCTTCACTTATAGAGCACTTTCCGGCGGCTTCCTCTTCTTTATATCTATCGTTTCATTCTCTACATATTGGCTTCCGCCGTAGATTCTGCAGTCTATGGCCAGTCGCCACCACTATTCTCTTCCAGGCGCGTCTCTCCTCAGATCCAGGAGCTCATCAAAAGTACGTGTATTTATTTGTAAATAAACTTCGCGTCTTGCAATTAACACTTAATTTTTTACTTTCTGCCCGGATATTTTGAGTAGAAGGCGGCCACTGGTACTGCCAACATACCGAGCTCTAGTCAGGACACGAGGCAGTCTAGTTCTTCACGCGCTTATTATTCTGACGCTGGCCCAAGGAATGCTCCGCAATCCCGACCACCTTCTGCGACCGGATACAAGACAAGCCATCCAAATGCAAGCGTTACTGGGTTTCAGGCTCCGAGTAGCACGCGGCCGTCACCTGCTCAGCGTCCTGCCACGACGCCACAGCCCTCCTCTTCACGCACTCGCATCGAGGTGCCAGACACCCGGGGTTATTTCTCCAAGATGTTCAGCAGAAAGCATACCTCGGCGGCCACACACGGAGATGAGAAGCATAAGAGCTCAAGCAAGCGCACTTCCCAAGCGTACGCGGGAGTTTATGTACCTCTGACTACACCGCAAGCACCGACTGCGGGACCGTCTACGAGTTGGCAGGCTCAAGATACATCGCTTCGCACGCGTGAATCAGACCGAGAAGAGCGGTCTCGGCAAAAGTTGAAGGACGAGCGGACGCGCACGGAGAAGACAAAGGAGGAAAGAGAGAGGTTGCGAGCGGAGTATGCAGCGAACAAGGCAAGGGAGGAAGCAGAACGGACACAAGCCGCTGCGGCGAGGGTAGCTCGTGTTGATCGTAACGCCCCGCGGCCCTCTCGAGAGGAGAGCAGACAGCAAGACTATGAGTCAGACAATACACGACGGCGCATGCAAGCCCAGCAAGGCATATCATCTTCTGTTCAGAAACAAGAGGTACATCAATGAAATTCCAATCATCAGCGTCTGTTTATTTCTGACTTGTTTATTCAATCAGGCGCGCCAATCTCGTTACCTGCATCCTGCACAATTTCCTCCTGCAATGTCATCACGGCCCACTACGTCTGCGCGGGATACCCAGCAAACCCTGGGGCCACAAGCCGCAGCTCGTCCACCTGGGGTACCTGTTCAGCCCTCTTCCTCCAGCCAGTCTACTTCTGCCTCTCACCAGCCTCAAGCATTACAATCTACTCCTCCAATTCGTACAGAACCCTCCGTTGCTCCAACTCCTTCTCTTAGGCCACCACTTAATTTAGGTACCGCTCCGGCTCCTCCTCCAAAAGTAAACTCCATCCAGTACCAGACGTCAGAATATTCCCCCAACCGTAACCCGGTCCAGCCTGAAGTTGTACCGACTGCGTCCAATATGCTTCCTCCGTACCAGGCCCCTAATGTAGACAAGAATAGGCTTGAACGGGAAGCTGCGGAGCGAGAGGCCCTGCTTTCTCGTGAGAAGGAACGGGAAACGGAGAAGCGTCGCGAAGCCGAGAGAGAGGCCGCCGAGCGAAATGCAGTAGCTACTCAGGAACGCGAGCAGGAGAGACGTAGAGAAGCCGACAAATTGAATGCTGAGCGGGAGCTCATGCAGCATCGTGAACGAGAGCGGGAACGGGAACAAGAGCGAGAAAGAAGAAGAGCGCGGAGAGCTGAGCGTGAGCGGCGAAAGGAGCTCGAAAATGCGGAACGTGAGCGTCAGAAAGAAGCCGAGCGCACAGAACGCGAGCGGCTCAGGGCGATTGAACAAGCAGAACTGGAGAAGCAGAGAGAAGTGGAACGTCTCCAGCGGGAGAGGAAGGAATACGAACGTGCCGAGAAAGAACGAGCAAGGGCTGAGCGAGAACGACGGGAAGCAGAGCAATCAGAGCGCGAACGTTTGCGGGAGAAGGCAGAAAGGGATCGAGAACGTGCTCATCGGTCGGTGGCAAAACATCGTACACATCGTGATAAGAGCCAATCGCTACCCAGTAATCCACCCCCTGGAGTAACCTCTGGAAGTGACACTGAAAGGATTACCAGGACTGATGCTGTGAGCATATTCAGACCATGATAGCACATGCCGTTTATGCTGATCGATCCTGCTAATAACCCCAGAGACTTCGACCTCAGAGTCAACCACCCGTTGCAGCATCTGAAGCTCGGCCGACTGTCGGGCCAGCTACGCAACGATCTGAGTATAGAAAACAGGCTATTCCCACACCAATCCCTGTTTCTGCTCAGGACTCCATGCCTAAGCAAGATGTATGCTTATGTTTTCCTTTTTTTCTTTTCTTGTCGCTGCATGTATTGATTGCCATTCTGCAACTAAATTAGAGTACTTACTATGGTAACACTCAACGTGCTCCCAGGTCTCCGATGGAACTACCCATAGCTCCGCCGCACGCTGAGAAGTTTAATGTGAGCTTCCATCTCAACAGTGCGTTTTGCATTTTAACGCATATTCCGCAGGATATCGCGAACCCGCGAAGTTCATCTGCAGTTCCGTTAGGGATGCAAGCTCAAGGGCTCACACCTCCGAAAATGCCCGAAAGGTCCCATACCGATCCTTTGTTGTCGAATGACCAGCGTATCGGAAGTATGGAAGTACCAGGTAATCCGACACGATGGCCGCATCTACTTTCAGAAGGGTCTCAAGCAAAGCTCGTAAGCATTTACGCTTCTCAGGGACCTCCAGATCGCATTCCATATCGTGCTACCCAGAAGACAGCTCCCGTCGTGCCTGTAACGGAACACGCGCCCGCTCCCTCGCTAGCATTGCCAATTACGCTAGATACACTTGACGGGCGCCCTCGCTCATCACTTGACCACTCAACTCATCGAGCTCCTACTGTTCCAGCAAATGTCGCAACGGCCCCGACCGTACCACCCAAAGTTTCCCAACCGGCTCCAAGTCTTGTACCTCCTCTCGAGCAATCGACAGCTGCACAGTCTATTATGAACACTGTCAGCTCTTCTTCTGCCACATACAAGGTCCCCCCGCGTGCCGACGCAACTATGGTATCATTACACGGAAAACCGCTTCCGTCCCCGGATGCTCGTTTATCATCAATTACGACGGAGCTCGGGCAGCAGGCGACTTTCGTCACTCAGCAACCTCCCGAAGCACCACCTGTATCCGCTAAACTCTCAGCTGGTTTTAGTAGCTATTCGCAGACTGTTCTGGGTTTAAACAAGCAAATGTCGCGGACTACCGCTCAGGACCAGCTGACTGGGCAAATGTCTCGAGTACCTTCGAACAATTCAACGCGAAGTCCGCCACGCAAAGCTGCCCAACTCCCTATTGAAACGCCGACCGGCGGCGCTTCATCTACATTGCCAATCTCACATACACCTTCCGATTCATCTCAGTCAACGGAGAAAGGAGGTCGTCAACAGTTCTCCGTCCCTCAGCTCGCGCAACAGCCAGTGGCAATTCCCTCTCAGTCTCCGCATCACTTCGTTCCATCTGCGTCGGCTACTCCTATTCCTGCTTCAGTTCAAAACGTCGCTTCAACCGCTAGAGTCCCTCATGAATCAGTCACGACATTACATCATCAAGCTATATCCTCCGCACATTTTCAGCCTGAGTCTCATCCACATCAGCCGCCGTATCCTTATGTTTCAAACAAAGCTGAAAACCGTACATCTCGTTATGATTTGCCATCAAATAACCGTGCAGCTGCACCTTTATCTGCTACTATTCCCGATGTCTCTAATCATCGATACCCGTCAAACCAGAAGTCGTCTCCACAGAGCAAAGCAAATTATAATCCACCGACTAATGCACCTTATTCGACGCAATCGTACCAGCAATCACATGCGATGTTGCCTTCGTCTTCCCAAGATAATTATTTGCCTTCCCGGACGTCAACGCACGCAAATAATATTTCATCTTATTCCGCCGCTATTGCCAGTTCAAACCCGTTATCACAAATGTCGTCTACAGTGGTTTCGCAACAAACTCTACATGCACCACAAACTTCAATGTACCATAATTCTTCTATTTCGCATAACGATGTACCGACACGTCACACGCAGCACGCACAGAATCAGCCAGTTAGCTCGGATGGGCCAATTGCGTTGTCCCACAGCAGTAATGCAATTTATAATACTGCTTCAAAGCCTTCGACACCATCTGCCTATGTCACTTCGACTCGCCCATCCGGTCCTTTCATTAATGACACACCCTCATCCCTCGGCGCTGGCTTGTCCCTGGATTCACCTCCGCCGACTTCCAAGCCTCAGATCCAGAACATGCCTCACTCGACGGAACAAGCTACAGTGCAATCAGCGTCTGGGCCTCCAACTACCTCCACCCAGGGCGCAAAGCAGGTACGACCTGCTGCACGGTTGCAGAAGCCGGAGTCTCCGCAGGACATGGACAGTCCACCCCCGCTTACGCCGTCCTCATCTTCACGTGATTCCCATGAGGAAATCTTGATGACACCCGCTTCCCTGGACATCTCCCGTGCTCAAGTGAATGTAAGGCAAGCTCCGGACAGCTCCCAGAGATCGGAGAAGAGAAAGGGTGGTATATTTGGGCTCTTCCGATCAAGTTCTGCCAAATCCACCAAGGGAAGAGATACCAGAGACAGATTGGAAACGAGGGAACAAGAGTCGAGGGCACAGGTACAAGGGTTGTCTTCGCATGATCAGCGGTCCGAGAGTATAACTCGGACGCGATCGGCGAGACCTCCTTCGATGGCGATAACGGCGGAGCCAGATCCTAATCCAACAAATGCAGGACCTTCCAGCCTCCATCAACGAACCAGACAATCACGGGCCTCGAGGCATGTTCCGCCGCCAATTAACATTCCCATCCAGTCAATTCCCTATCGCCTTTTCACTTCCAAGTCAAAGCGGTATCGTTCGATGTCTTCCGCGTCACTGGAGGCGCTCGATGGGACTGCAGTAAGTACCTCATGTTCCCAAACTTTAGATATTTGTATTAAGCTGTCTGCTGTGCAGAATAACACTGTCGTTGGATCGCCGACTTCCTCCAGGATAAGTGCGACGTCGACTGGACCACTTACGCCACCCATTCGAGACCCCATTGAAGCGGCAATGGCGTGGAGGAATAACGAGGATGTATTCCTGGACCCAGGGAGCAGTCGGCGGCGGCGACCGGGGGTGACATTCGACGTAACGAGCGATGAGGGCCAGAAAGATGGTGCACAGTACCGGCGTTCTTCGCGCTTGCAGAGGCAGCGAAGGGAGCCATTTGCTTGATACAACTGGCTTCGCGGGTGTTTTGTCGTCCATTTTGTAAATGGTGATGATCATTTTCAGTTTCGGGCTTTCGGGTGTATCCTAGAGCATGGTGTACAGATAATTACTCGCGAAACTTTCGGAACAGTCGCTCAGCAAGAAGCGCATAGGCAAAATGTAATATGTTGAACACAATATCAATTAGGTTCGCCGTCGAAGACGATCGTGGTGTGTGAGTTTGCACTATGCGATTACAGTGTGCTCGTCAAGTAAGCGAGACTGCCATAGAAAGACACGTGTTGTCAGCGCCAGTCACAGGATGCCTACGGGACTGAGATATCGCTATCACCGCCGTGGACAGGCCGTAAGAGCTCATGGCGAGGGCAGGTCGATCATCCGACGGGTAATTCAGCCTCGACGGTCGGAGGTCCCAGCCACTCTCCGCCGTTTGCCTTAAACGCTCCTCAGTGCTATATATACCGCATCCGAAAAATGTAGTCTACTCAGAGCCTCCTCTCCCACAACTTTCTCATATAACACCCACTCCAACTAGCTCAACCGCATATAAGCAATTATATTTGCTGGAGTAGTCTGGGGCACGGTTAAAGGCACCCGTCAATCGTCGATCAACCCAACTGTCATTATTTAAACATCCTTACTAACTATATTTTAACCTTTATGCAAAGCAGCTGAATTTCTATTTCTGTTGCTTTTTCCGTGTTCCTTCGACTTTGAGCCTTGCTTTGTTCTACTACTACTTTCCCATTTTCCGACTGGTTTTGTATTCATATTGATCAGCTGGTCTGTGCATTCCTTGGCGTAATGGATATTGACGATACGGAGAGCGTGACCAGCGCGCATACGGCTACTGGCACGATTAGCAGCCGTTCGACACGGTCCATGCTCACTGGCACTTCCATGGACGGTACTCCTGCTCCATCGGTGTACTCCTACCGTTCGGACCGCGATAGTCGAGCTATGCTACGCGAAATTGCTGGAAGAACATTAAATTCAACAAATGACCTTTATCTGCTACCCGCAGGTTCGTTAGTTAATCAATATGCTCTTTGGATTTGTCAGCTTAACTGCGACTTGATCGTATCCCTATCCCCTCTTAGATGAAGGCGAACATGGCCGACTGTAAGCCAGGACTTTTATTTTTTAACTTTAAAATTTTAATGTATTGCTGGTTTGTACTGAAGGCTAAATTTCGTTTACTTTTAGGGATAAGCAGCATCTAGTCAATCTTCTTGCGATCGGAGGGCTCTATATCGCAGTAAAAGAAGTTCGCGAGGCCTTAGTTCCGATCCCCGACCGCCAAAGAGCTATCCTTGATCTCGGTATGTGTTGTTTTTTTTCAAATCCGACCCACCCATCCATCCGTACTTCTCTCTTCCTTTCTTCCTTTTAACCAGCTGGCCACTAAATTGAATGACTTAGGCTGCGGCGGAGGAAATTGGTAAAGAAGTCTCTTCAGTTTTTATGTATCCGAAAGCAAGAACGTTGTTAAAGTATAGCCCCGGAATGATTATAGGTGTATGGGAATGGCTCAAGAGTTCCCCCATGCTCAGGTAAGAAAAAGTACTCCGCCGATGTATTTAGCGCTTGCCTCATTTCAGACGTGCTCCCGTACTCCCGTGTCTTAGGTAATCGGAGTTGATTTGGCACCGAGCACGACCAGGTAAGGTCGATAACTTCTGCCATGACAAATTCCTGGCGTTATTGAAATTCACAAGGCCACCTCCCTTCAATTGTCGGTGAGCATACATTCCCTACTGCCATTTGTAGTCAGCTAATAACTTTAACGTGACGCAAAGATTTGAATTTGACGACGTCCGTTTGTTCCTTATTCCGGATAAATCCCTATACTCACCGAATACTTCTCCCCCGGCTCACACACAGTTCACTCTTGGACTCGAACATTACTACAATTCATTCGATGTCGTACACTCTCGTTGTACAGCGAACGGGGTTAGTATACTTCTCCTTACGGCGAGGACAAAAAGAGCCTGATTAAGCTTCAGGTCGTAGATTACGAAGGCTTCATTCACGAAGCTGCGAAATGCGTCCGACCAGGTAAATCCGTCAGCCTAAACTACAATTAGGCATACTTCTAACGGCTGGTGAATCACATAGGCGGTGTTCTGCTGTACACAGAAGGAAATTTAGAGATGCAAAGCGAACAGAAGATTGGGCAAGAGCCTGCTTTTGGTGAAGGTGGTCCCAATCAATCGTGGCTTGCTCGGGCTACGTTCGGTGGGTCTTTCGCATGTCTTCTTCCCATCTAGCATTCAGGTTTATTGACCCTACCTGAAGAGGCGTATAACCTCATGAAAAAGAGGGGAAGCTATGTGGACGCTGGCATTATGCTTGGTCGATGGATGGAGAGCTGTCCTGATCTCACCGACGTTCAATATCGAGAACTATGGACTCCGATCGGCCCATGGAAGAAAGGTGAGAGAGCTTCGCCGTAGTCATGATCGTCTTATCACGACTTCTGAACATCCTCCCTCCCGGACTTTCTTGCGACATGCTTTATCGGGCGTCGGACATGGTTCGTTTGTTCGTTTGTTCATTCGTCCTTCTATCACTCGGATCGTCGTTCCACATGGGTGTATAATTTACACTAAGGTTCGACGATAGAAGAGACGCAACGCCTCGAGATGGTAGGGACATTGATGCGACAGAACATGAAGGTACGCACGCCGATTCCTTCTTTCGCTTATGTGCATCAGCCACTCAGGGCTTTGGCGTTATTAATATTTTATTTTATTTACTAATTGAAACACATCTATATTTATATCTATCCGCCTACGCGCTCGATGACGACTTCTTTTTTCTGGTTTCGCGCGGACATAGGAGTACGTGAGGTCGTGTAAGCCGATGTTTGTCGCCACGGGGTACCCGCCCGCGCTTATAGAACGGTTCGTGGAGGGGACTGACAGAGGTTAGTTAACGATTTCCCTCTTCGAGTCTTGATTCTTTCCCCGGTCCTCCTGCCCCTTTATCGTCCGACATCTATTGAAGTCTGGCTTCCCGTCGGCATTACGTTCCCCTCATTTCCCCCTCCTATCCAATCCTATCTTCACAAAGGAACAGCCAGCCAACATTTCGCACTCTTTACCATCGACGAGACCACCCCCTAAGTGCTACGAGCGCCTCTCCTCTCCTCGTGCATCAATGTAAACAACCACACTAACGCCTATTACTTTCTTCCCTCTCCGATTACACTAGAACTTGACGAGCTGAAGATACACATGTACGTCAAGTGGCACCACGCGTGGGGGAGGCGTAGAGAGAAATCGAACCGTCCTCTGGGACCTGCGACTCAGTTGAGTGGGACTGGGGGTGCGATAACTGTTGATGAGTATGAGACACAGATGATGGTTGGGTAGCAGTAGCTTTTTCTGTTTCTGTTTTTCCTTTCGTTTTTGTCTTCGTATGAGAGATATCGTTATGACCTCTCTTCTTTTACTTTCTTTTCTTCGTTGCGTCCGTGTTTAATCTCTAATCCTGTCGCTGTTCGGTTGTAAAACTTCATGTCTTTGTCGTTTTCTTTCACTGAATCATACTTCTGGGTGACTTCTTGTATGGTGTGTTATATCCTGACGTCCCGTTCAAAATGTACAATACAATACAATACAACACCAACCACATGCTGGTCCTGCACGATCAAATAGAACCCTAACCCCTCGATATCTTCGATGATTGTACCGCATGTGCATAATGTAGAGATTGACACAATATCGGGGTCATTGAGCACATCCTGTAATTTAATAGTAGCACTTAAGATTCTCACTTGAGAACTAAGGACCTATGTGTATCCATGGCCTTCTTGCAGAGCCCTGATAGCGATAGCATTTAACGCTTACTCCGAACTTAATGGCATCAAACAGCAGCGTGTAGAGAAGCAATAGTAAAGAAAACTAAGGACCGACACACGACGGGATAACAAGCTTAAGACACCAAAAAACAGGCTAACGGAAAGAGGAAACGTGGAGAATAGGAACAACGCAACGAACGGGATGAAATTAAACATCAGATCATTGCGTTTAAAGGAGTGGAAGGTTTCGGCACGCTGCACACTTCTGCATCGAGTCACGAAGTAGCGGTTGTATAAGGGTATAAAAAATATCAATAACAAGCTCCTCGTATACGAGAAAAGTCCAGAACATAAGGAATCGAGACAGCAACCAATAAGAACGTGGGAAGGGCTAATCCGGGTACTTTTTGGCTAGGATTTTAAGCGGCAGGTGCAGGGCGCGGTTGCTCCTTCGCATTCTCCTTCAGTGCCAACAGTTGCTTCGAACGGAAGGCCTCGTAATGAATCTGCGCAGTTGTCTCAATCAAATCTTGGAGGTGCGTGCTGGTTGATTTCGATTATGATCAGACAAATTGATACCACGAGGACAAATGTAAACCGAATAAACATACCGCGTGAGGAAGTTCCTGAGGTAGACGAACTCGCAGTGGTTCTCATCCTCGATGTTGATGACACCCCACCTGTTCTTGCGGCCGCGTACTTGCATGCCGTCGATGAGAACATTTCGCTCTGAACCGACAACAGCGAAAGGAATCATGTTCTAAAAATAAAACAAGTACGGATTAATTTAATGTGATTATTGTAACCATCAGGAAGGAGAAATACCCGGATTCTCTCGTTAAGGCGGAGCTCCTCATCATCATTCTCGTCCGTGTCGAAAGGATATAGAACGATATTGTGATATACCAGCTCAGCACGAATCTAGAAACGTTTTTCAAATTATTAAAAGGTCCGCAACACAGAAAAAAAAGGAATATATACGGACCCTCTGCTTGAAAAGGTCGCGTTCCTCCATTGTCAAGCTGTCCGCCTTCGCAATGACTGGGACAACGTTGACGACTTCGCTCAACTTCTTCATGACAATGATGTCAATGGGACGAAGCGAGTGGCCAGTCGGGTTGATGAAGTACAGGCAGCAGTGGATACGCGTATCCTGGATGTAGCGGTCGCGAACAGCAGTGAGCTCCTTGCGAAGGTACGCGCTGTGTTGGTCCTTAATGTATTTTACAATTGGATCCCAGCTACAGAACGCGTCATTACTCCATCACGCCGTCGATAAAGCAGTCAACTTACCAGTTCTCGTTGTTGACCATGTCTCCGTATCCAGGCGTGTCAACGATATTCAACCGCAGCCTTACACCATTCTCAGTAATAACTGTTTAGATGCATTTAGTTCTTACGACACGAAGTGATATCGTGCTTGCTGGACGCACCATGAGAGGCTGCCTGAATCTCGGTCGTCTGCCGAATAGGCTCGTCATTCTCAAACCGACCTTTCGAGTCAATCAAATGCGACGCAAAAATCGAGTTAATCATCGTAGATTTTCCGAGACCAGTCTGACCTGCAAGTGATGTTCAATTAAGCAATCATATTCCATTTTCGTCTCGTAAAAACTAGGGAAAAGAGGATGATACGCACCAACGACAATGACATTAAATTGGAAACCACGCTTCAAGAGCTTGTGCTCGATCTGCTGCGTGATAGTATCGAAACCAACATACGAAGTCGCGCGGACTTCTTCAACATCGACGGCGGCCATTGCAACGAGTGTTTTGAGGAGGAGCGGAGGTGGACGTGGACAGACGAGAAAGACTGCTAACGGACGCGACGACGGGAAACGAAACTCAAAACGAGCGTACGTAAGCAGCACTTCTTCCATTTGGAAACCCGGAATCAGTAGAGCTTCTTTCAGTCCTTACTCTCTCTTTGCAAGTCAGTTGAGTGGGGATTCCGGCCCTCAAACCATTAAAGTAAACAAGGAGAAAATCTAACAGAATGTATCTATGTATTACGATCTATCTATATCTGCACCTTCACGTATCTTTATTATATCTTGTCTAGTCAAACCCGCTTCATCACAGAGTGACCGGAATATCGAGTTTTCCCTGTCGAAAAGAGCAAGCGGTGTATCAAACTCAGCAACCATTCCTCCTTCCATCACAAGTACACGGTCATAGTACACTGCAAGAGTGCATCAATATAGTTTTTGGTTAATGACGGGTGCTAAGTACTTACCAATTGTCTTGAGACGATGCGCGATACAGAGCAACGTGCAAGTGGAAAACTCCGTCTGAATCGTCCTTTGTAGCTTCGCATCTGTTTCGACATCAACGCTGCTTGTAGCTTCATCAAGGACAATGATACGGCTGTTCTTCAGAAGTGCCCGGCTGAGTGCAAGTAGCTGCTTCTCTCCAGCACTGTAATTTGAACCTAAACAGGACAGTCAGGTACTGAGGGCGTAACTTGTCGTTTCTCCGCACCTTCATCGCTCACCGCTGCGTCCAAGCTGAACTTTCTTTCAGCGGCTGCGTCCATCGGGGTTCCTTCAGGCGGTATCAACCAAGCTCGTCTCAGCGCTGAAATGATTTCTGCATCGGTACGAGTATTCTGAGGATCACTGCAGAATTCCAATGCCGTTCATACGGGTGAAGTGGTGGCCTGGAATACGAAGTCACTCACAGGTTATCCCTTAACGTTCCTAGGAAGAGTGTACTATCCTGCGGGACTAGTGCAAGGCTCTGGCGCAAAGTATCCAGGTCGACGGATTGAATGATTACATTGTCGATTTCGATGGCTCCATCGCTAAGCTCGACCATCCTGGGGGGACATCAATAGTTGTTTCTAGGTTTGAACGTTAGACCATTATTTACCTGAAGAGCGCCTGCAGTAACGAGGATTTGCCTAATCAAAATTTAGCATAGATTTGAATAACATCGTGGAGCATCCCACCTGCGCCAGTTCTTCCGACTATACCAACCTGTGCAGTTTCATGTCAGTGTTGGAAAGCACGCAAACAATTTATTATTATTACAGACCTTTTCTCCAGGCTTCACTTCAAAGCTAACATCTTTCAAGACCAGAGGCAGGCCCTCACGATATGCAAGGCCCACGTTCTTGAACTTCACCTCACCTTTCTCTGGCCAGGAAGGGGCAACATGGCCAGGCTTCGTCGCAGTACCTTCGCGCGGGAGATCAGTATATACGAGCACGCGTTCAACGGCGTTCATGTTTTGTTCATTTTGTGCGAACTGAGAAACCCCATCCGCTATTAACAAATAGATGATGAGTTGAAAACGGAGTAAGATCACATAGACAAGGCGCACAGAAGACCTGGGTAACTGCAGTGCATAAGTCTCAGCAAACTTCTAGGATGCATTTATAGGCCATACGTACTGCTAAGGGAGTAAGAAAGAACGACCCCGATTTTCGATGGATTGACAGTATTCCTGAAGCCCGCTGCGAACAGTGCTATTCCGAGAATAAGGATGTTCCCGAATAAATCCAACCGGACGGACAGCCAACGTTGAATGGAGACAGTCATATAATACGCCCGGTTCTCAAGATCAAGACCGTGCTCCGCTGACTCGACAAATCTTTCCTACATAGGAGTTGGGATTTTAGATGCATAAGGTTTGTCTCGGGATATCCTACCTGTTCACGGTACGCCCTTACGGTAGACAGTCCAGTTAGCGTCTCAGAGTATGATGCATACAGAGCAGAACGCATCAGTGAATCGAGGCGCTTTGTCTCTACGCTGCTCTTCCTGTAAAAGCTCGAAACCAAGTAGTATAGTACGCTCAACGGGGCAAATATAATTCCGAGATAAGGGAAAGTATAGAAGACCAATGCCACTGGATGATAGTCAGTTGTGGCCATGGTATCAAGGCAAATTAACCACGACACTGACCCGTTCCAAAGACGTTGCTGAATGTCAACATTAACTTGAGAGACAAATAAGTACGCATAACGAAAAGACATAAAACAAAAATTACCATGAATAAAGTCATAGATAACTGGGTATCAAGAGTATCTTGGTCCTTGGACAGACGGGATATTATACGACCTGCAAATAGTCAGGATGAATGTCGAAAAAAAAATGAAGTAACGCGGCATACCCATTGGGGTGGTATCAAAGAATGAAACCGGGGATCGCAGTACACCCATCAAAGCAGCCTTGAACAAGCGAAGACTCGCATATAAGCCGACCAAACTTCATCACGCTGTATCAGTCATCTATCTAATAATTGTAAGCACCTTTTGCGTACCTGAACGTGAAGCTTGTGATAAACGAAAAGATCGCTTGGGCTATACCCAATGCTGCGTAAACACCCATATAATCTCCCTCCGAGAAGTTAGGGATACTACTGGCAGTCCAGAATCCGAGGAACAGATTGTTTCCCACTGTTATAACGAACGTTAGAAGTCGAGAAGACACATGACAACTTCTCCAGGCGTACCTGAGGCTCCTTGCGTGAGCGCTAACAGCAAAATAATGGTCGGTGCCCAAATTATTCCGCCTGCATACTTCAGATATTTCTTGTACACGGTCAATGGGACAGCTCCGATATTACGTTCTTCCTCTGTCATGAGCTGCTGTTGCGGCTTCTTTTCATCAGGACTTTGGATAGGCTTGATGGAAGAATCGCCTTTGACGTCCACGTCCTCGTCTGTATCGACCAACTCCGTCTCTTCATTAGCACCGAATTCCTCAAGAAGTCTTGCAAATTCCTTGCCATCTTTCATGAGGCTCTATTTAATCAGTTAACATTCAATTTCAAGAAGACGGTCGGTGTGAATGAATATTGACCTGGTAAGTGCCCTCTTCTGTGATTTTACCTCCCTCCATCGTATATATGTAGTCAGTCTTAGCTAGAACATGCAAAGCATGCGTCACAAGAACGCGCGTCTTATTCGCGAGTGGGCCGTTGAGAAGACAGTCATCTAAGATCGCCTTTCCGACGTGAGCATCGACTGCACTCAGGGGATCGTCAAGCAGTATAATATCGGAGTCGGAGTATGCTGCTCGAGCGAGGGATACTCTCGCCTGAAGTCGGTTTAGAATTAGTGTTGTGAAAAACTATCAAAATAGTTGTTTCACCTTCTGTCCACCGCTAAGATTAATCCCTTTCTCCCCGATTTCCGTGTCAACACCGTTTGGTAGCATGTCGATATCGTGCTGCAAGGAACATGCCTGGATGATCTTTTGGAATCTGGAAAACAAGTTCAGAAGTTTACGAGGAGGCAATGAACATGATCGCTTAACTCACTTAATCTCATCTTCTTCCCTACCAAAAAGAACATTTTCGCGCAACGTTGCATTCATAATCCACGCCGTCTGAGGAACGTATGCTACACTTCCTCCAAAGACGACCTAATTGGAATATTCATCATGAAAACGGAGACAATGGATCGTGAGGCAAAGATACTTACCTCTCCATTTACTTTTCTCATTTCTCCTATGAGACTTTGCAAGAGAGAACTCTTCCCACTCCCGACACGTCCTACAATGGCAACGAACTGGCCCTTTGGAATATGCAGCTTAAGATCCGTCAGCTCGAACGGCTTCTCTTTCTCTTTCTCTTGCGTAACGACATTATTGTTTGCACCTGCATTTTCCTCATCGAATTGGGCTCGAGTATCGGATGTCCCAGCCGTTGCTGGTGCAGGTAGAACTTGCGGTGTATTCTCTAATTTACCTCTCGACCACCAACGTCTCCCATTAGTCGTCGAATTCGAATTCTTCCCTTGTCCAGAATCACTTGACTTCTTCGGTTTGTCTTTCCCACCACCTCTAGCACCCGTTCCTTTCCTACCAAACTTATCTGCATCGACCTTACCAGCAGTCTCCCAAGCGAAAGAACCATCGGCTCGAATTGCGCATTTATTAGAAGGGGCGTCATTAATAGTGTATGGTTCTTCGAGCTCTTCTGCGAGTAAGAACGTGCCGATACGACCGAGCGCGACAAGGGCATCTGATACATTGCCGAGGACCATAGGGAAGAAGAACATTGGTGCCCGAATAATCTATCAGGACTATTAGTGCTGGCAATAAGTTGACACATAAGATTTCTCACGTTGAAGAACTGCAAAGAACTAAAGATGATCGCAGGATTAAGGTCATGTCCGCTAAGTGCATAAGTGATCTAAAAATATGGCTCGATCAGATAAACTCGTCCTGTTCGCATTAGTGGACCCACGCACGAAAGAGAGGACTGCAGCTAATATTGGAATAGCGGTAACGACAGAAATCAGAGCCGCCCGTGCGATTCTAGAAGGAAATGTTTCTGTATTGTACAAAGAGCGAGTTATTTCGGATACATACGCAATGCGTCTGATCTTAACGATTTCCTTCTCTCTCAGTCCGCCAATTTGGTGTGCGTAGAATGCCTCCCAGGCATAGAGCTTAATTAAACGTATCCCTTGTAATACCTAACACCGGTAAGCCTTGTGTTGTATAAACAAGAATGGAAAGACTTGCCTCTGACGTCAACCTCACTCGACGATCAGTAATCTGCACGCCAGAACGACGAGACCTGAACATGACCCGCACGAGAGCAAATTGAATGGGGAATCCGATGATCAGAACCTGTGAGGGATTCGGAGTCGGTCAGCATCATCCTCATCTGAATGGGACGTCATCTTCTTACGCCAAGCCCAACAAGTGCAGAATATCCAAGCTACTTTGAAGTGAGTTGCAAGTCGCACTGGTTCGGGAATCGATACATACGTTGTTTATCAAGAGTGCGACACCAATAATGATCTACAGAATCATTCAGTATTTGAGGCCAATCAACGGATAACAATCGCGCACCTGAATTGGACTGGTCCACAAACTATTTAAAAAAGCGAGCATTAGAACCTGACTATATGCGGAATATCGAGTTAAAAGCTGTTACTAACTTATGAAAAGTCGCAGCAGAAAGATCAAGGCGCGTTGCATCTACGCGACTTCAATAAGTTGTACAATATACGAAGGTGCAATGCCTACCAGTGGATATCATCGTCGTTATCTGGCCAACACTGTGCTTTGCTCGAGCGCGTCCGGACAGACGTAGGGATTTGCGAAAGATTGCACCAATGAGCTGCTCAAATGTTGAGCACCAGAAATAGTCAGAATAGAAAGCACGGACCGCAGATCGGATGAGTAGTCCATTCGTCATGGTCGCTAAGAAGCAAGGCAAAAACCCTCAGCGTATTTCAATTGTGCAATATAACCTGTACATACTCATTGTATAGTGGTTATTCATCTGCAGACGTGATTAAGTAAATGGGTATAACATGAACTCAATGCAACTTTACTGACAAGCGATGCAGACTCTGTTAAACAAATGTTAACCTGTTAATGACAAGGCGCGGTAAATGCCAGCGTACCTTGCATAACAAAAATAGCTATTCCTAGGCCGATGCCATATCCAACATTTCGAGGTCGTTGCGTTAGGCCTGGAATAAATAGCAAACATCAGAGGTTAAGAAGTGTCCGACATGGAAATTATAAAGACAGTTAACGTACCTCCGGACTTCGCGAAGATGAAGGCTTCCGTAAGCCAAGCAAGAAGGAGCTTCGTGACGAGTGGGGTCGTGGTCTTCAGAGTATCTGCAAGAGTGATTAATTACTTGAACAGGGATCGTTGATATTATTCCATCGAACAGGGAAACACACCAGAGAAGAGCTTCAACAATCCAGCAGTCCACCAGCGCCAGAAGAACGCAGCATGGATCGCAGAAAGGAGAGGATGTTTGGGATACTTTGTTGGACCTTCTGCGCTGGTATTCTTCGTTTGCTCTTGCGCGGGCTTATGCCTAAAGAAAGACAGCTTGGGTTTCGCTTGCTTCTTCACCTTGGCCTCAGACAGCGAGTCGGACGGTGTTATTCCACCGTCATTCGCCGCTTTCTCAATGTCCCTTTCCCCCGTGCTTGCGTAGTCGCCGACGTTCTTCTCCTTCGCACTTGGTCCTGCTATATCCTGGAAATGTGCTGGCTGCTTGTCAGGCGGAACGCGGACATAAAAATGGCTCTCGACTAAATTCGTAAGGGCATCGGTGCGGCGGTTTGGTGGAAGACTCCATAAATCTAATCATTATTAAGTATTGATTTAGCATTGATAGGGAATTTAATATTACTACTCACCATCCTTTTCAAGTGGTCTACTTGCGCCTACATAGAGGAACGGAGCAAGCCATTCGAAAGTTAATCGAGACAGAAATCTTGGAGGTGATAAGAATGTTGATCAGCATAAACAAGGCCGAGATGGCGAATAAACTTCAACGAACGATGCTTCGCTCTGTGGAACTATTTTGTCCTTTCCAAAAGCTGGTGACGCAGGTTCGCGCTTGAACCAATTGCGCGGATTGGAAATAAGCATTTAAGCTGTCTAGCTTTAGAGCAAAGCACGTTATAGCATAGGAGCAATGCCCGAGGAGCACCACAGGAAGCAAGACAGTATGTTTAGACCAAGGGGGTATGTAAGAGGACGAGGGCTGCCAATGAACACTTAACAGTTATTAATGCGCTTAGTCTGGAGATGTACGTGTTGAACCGGCATAACTGGCCGAGTCATAATTCGTCAGACTCAGAGGCCGGATATTTCCACGACGTTATTTGCGCACGATCCCCTTCTGTCGCCAGCGTCACGAGAAGCCGTAGCGTAGAAATTAGAATTGAAGTGTCCTGAGTTAGCTGCCCGACGCGTCCGGTCTCCGGAGCGCTCCATGCGTCGGTCCAATACCGACTTGTTGATTTGCATCCGTTGGCCTGCTTGACATATTCAAAACATAAGTATTCTCGGCCTGACATTAGATGACTGGGCAAATTCCCAAGTTGAAATTGAATCAATAAATGTGCGGGATTGACTCTATGTTGTGTTGCCCGGATTGCCAGATTGAGCGAGAAGTGTAGAATCTTCTAGATTGAGCCGCCAACCACGAAGCGCGTATTTCACCTCTCCTTCGAATTTCTTGCTGGCTCCTACTTTGCTTTCCTTTGACCTCGGTTTTCTCCTTGCTGCTACTTTCATATAATTCTCAGTTTCCTGCAACATGTCATCGACGACGGTAACGCCTATGCCTCTGAGTACTGCCAACTGGCACTGGAAGAACAAGAACGTGACATCTTGGGGAAAGAGCTGGTTTGAGCGCGAGCTGACCACAATCGAGATCAAGGAGGGTGATGAGGTGGTCTCAATCTCAGAGATGACGGACATGGATGGTGATGTTGAGCTGGGACAGCGGAAGTCGAAGTGAGTAGCATTACGCGTCAAGTCGCGTAAACATGACAGGAACTATGTTGACCAGACCATGCGCGTCTTGGCAGGCTGATCACGATCTATGACTGCTCTGTCGACTTGAAGTGGAAGGGGACCGCATCTGATGGAACGGAGGTGACTGGAAGGCTCAAGATTCCTGAAGTATCGCACGAAATCACTCTCGATGGCTTGTCGGACTATGTGGTACGTTAATCCGTCCACGTAATTTATGCGATATAATATTCATCATGCAAATAATTAGTACAACTGGTCTTTGTCGACTGATTCCACTCCGGCTGTAGACAAATTATTTGCATTTGCTAAGGCGCGTCTTCCAGCAGCTCTTGAGACGAAGTTCGCCGAGTTCCCTACTGCTCTTATCCAAACGCACGGAAAGGACCTGCAGATTGGATCGCAGGAACCTTCGCGCACGAGCACACCTGCACCTACTCCCGCTCCAGGGGCTGCCTCGTCGTCTTCCAGCGGCGCATCTGCGCCAAAGGTAGTCAAACAGGAAAAGAAGCCAGTGAACACGTCCAAGGTTGAGGTGGAGGGTTCTTTCATGGCATCTGCAGATGATCTCTTCCAGATGCTAACAGACGAGAGTAAAATTCCTTTTTGGACGCGCGCCCCAGCTCAGGTTCGTAAGCACTATCAGGGAACTTTCATGAGGTTCACCATTTCTTGGATATATGCTGCAGTCAAAGCCCGAGCCTGGACAAGCATTTTCTCTTTTCAATGGTGGTGTAAAGGGCGAGTTCGTTTCTGTCGACCCTCCAAAGCAATTCGTTCAAAAATGGGCGTTATCAAGCCCGACGTGGCCTTCTGGTAAGACGTGCAATTGCACACATATTGTCCCATATTCCATTGATATTCGATTTGCTTCTAGAACATTTCGCCACTCTGGCCGCCACGTTCGATCAGTCCGGAGATTCTACAAAATTAATCCTATCCTTAGACGGTGTCCCAACCGGGACGGAAGACGACATCAGACGGAATCTTGAGGGATACTAGTATGTATCATTTTTACCTCTCGCTTTATGTTTGTCCCTTTACTTATTCTTCGCTTAGTATTCACGGTTTAAAGTCGATTGGGTACGTGCAATTGGTCTTTTCTGAACCACCTTCGCCGTCCCGCTCGACTTCACGGTATCGGCAGCCGTCCAAAAGGACTGAGGAGGTGAAATCCGCAAATGATTCTTCTCGTCCTCTTGCTATTCTCCTCGCGGTCATTGTTTTGGCTGGAGCATTTGCTATTCCGTATTTACGACAGTAATCTCGCCTCTTGGTCGAGCGGGACGGTATTAATATAGGCAACCTATTTCTTTAATGTTTCCTTGAATATCTTGGGTCTTTGCAGAAGACTAATCAAATTTATTGGACCTTCTTTGCGATTACACAGGTTGGGCTCTGTTCTTTAGACGACATCATTCGCACGGCCTCGTACAGTGACTCAGTTATTGGGTAGCTAAAGAGCGCGTGGTACTGGGCCTTAGCATAGTATAATAGAATTGCAACTGTGGATTGTGTATGAAAATGCAAGTAGTAGACGAGTTTATCTGTGTTGTTGTGTTTATCTTTCAAAACAAAATAAAGTTTGTTTCTAACTTTGATGTGAACGCAAGTCTATTTGCTGACTAATCCAATCCCATTCGTCACGCGTTCAGAATCAGGGATGGGTTTCAACATCTTTTGCTCTTCCCCACTCACATCGTTCGAAATTCACCTGTTTTTGCTTGCTCTCTTTCTTCTTCCTCTATACCTTAACCATTAAACGCGTGCAATAATGGCTACAAGCTTCATTGGGTGAGTATTGTTAGCATTGGTCGTCATGGAGTTCTCCACCTCATGTCACTTTTTCTGTGTGCAGCAAGGCCATCTCTCTCCTGTCCCATTCCGATGTCCGTTATCGAGGTATTCTTGCTGGGCTTGATCCGTCTAACTCGACTATTCAACTGCGAAATGGTGAGTGTATTCATCGTGTAGTTGTGTGTGAGATGGTGTTTGCTGATGGTTGCGACGACTTCGCTTGGCATGGACATGTGCAGTGTATTCCATGGGCACGGAAAATCGACGGTAAGTATCTTATTCGAACAATGCTGCCTTACTATATGCATCTATTTGCACCGTGGATGTGAACGGGTTGAGGAGGTTGAAGTCTGGTTGTTGCATACTAGTCGCGAGGATGCTTCTATTACCTTCTTTCCTGTCCCCTCCTGAGCAGTGCAATACGTGTCGTGCATGTCATTTCGAGTCATACTGACTCGATTCTATTTTGCGATTTCTAGGTCGCCCGAAGAGTTCATACCACCAGCAGAATTACCATACCAGTTCATTATTTTCCGTGCTTCCGAGGTGAAGGATATCGCTCTTGATAACGATCAACTTCCTGTACGTACGAGGAGCGTCCACGATGATCCAGCTGTCATTGGGGTGAGTAGCGTTTTTTAATGTGTCTTCACTTCTGTTGTGATGCAACCACTACGGATGTAACGGGTATTACCCGAGTGTCCGAGAGCGCAAACAAACCGTGTGGATACTTCCGTTGCCTTCCTTCTGATCTTTGCCATTTACATTCTTACCCCCATAACTTTGTAACAATGATGCTAATATAAATTACAGGCCTCAGGTCCTCCGATGGCAAATGGAGCTTATGGTCAATTCCAACCCGGCCCTGGTCAAAACGGCATGGTGCCTCCACCGCAACAAGTGCCAGCAACACTGGGTCAACGTCCTCCTGTGAGCTCTGTACCTCCACCAAGTGCAAGTCCTGCAGCACAACCACCCTCGGCCACAAATGGTACTCCTGCTCCACAGCCGCAGGTCAGTGCTGGGAGTGGTCGTACCAGCAGCAATAGCAGGCGGGGAAATAGCAACTCTGTAGCGAATGCTGCTGCATCGATGGAAAAGGTTGAGCGCGCTATGAGCGAGGTCCGCCTATCTGCTACCAATAATCGTCCACGGAGAGGTGGAGGTGCAAACCAGCATGTTGAAATTACTGTTCCGAAGACGGACTTTGATTTCGAGAGCTCGAATGCACGGTTTGACAAGTCTGCAGTCGCTAGCCAGGCTGGTGGTGATGATAGCGACACGAACACGAACCCGTCTGAAGAGGGTGAGATACCGTCGAAGGCTTCAAGCAAGTCTCCGAAAGATAAAGAGAATTCGTATAATCCGAAGAAATCGTTCTTTGATACTTTGTCATCGTCTGCGAGCAGTGCTCCTCAGCATGTCGCTGGCGGTCGTGGAGGCGGAAGAGGGAGGGGAACGGGTAAGAGTCGTCGGGAAGAAGAAAGGGAGAAGAATGTTGCTACTTTTGGTGAACCGGGTGGTGTAGGACTCATGGGTCCAGGTGCTTACGTGGGTGGATATGGTCACGGACGTCGTGGTGGTGGGCGTGGAGGGAGACGCGGAGGAGGTCGTCGCCCACCAGCTGCAGCTGGGTCTGGGGCAGGTCAAGGAGTAGTTTCTACGTAATATAACCCCACTCTCTCTGATGCCTTTTTTTATTTTTTGTACGGTAGTAAGCTCGTAACATGTTGATCCATGAAATAGTGATATAATGAATCTCAGCGTCTGAATGGGCAACGAATAGCCTCCACCACAAGTATGGCACAAGGATAGTTCACAGAGCTAACATTGTTACATGTTCATACCTGATGGAAGTAGCCGATCATTCTTCTCGTTGCGTTGTGAAAGTAATTACAATATTGGTATTAGTTTTATCTCTATTATTAGCCATGCGACTCTGCACAATTACCAAACACTTCAAAAGATAAGGATTATAAATATGACATACGCTATGCGGGAAGAGTGATGCAGTTCTCGTCAATAGCACGTGAAGTTTGAATGCGACCTAAAGCCTATATTGTATAGCTCCCGAATGGGAGACGGAAGACGAGACAAGACGAGACGAGAGAAATTCGGTAATGATTCGCTCCTCCGTCATAGATAAGTTAATAACCATTGAAGTTCCTCTGCGATGTGCTTCGCTTCTGTCTCTCGCTTTCCTTTTTAGGCAAAAGACTCATGCAAAGTAAAGGTGTGCACGTGCACACCATCTAAAGCGTCATCGCCTTGTTTCTATCGAGCATGTACATATGCACTTCTGCAAAACATATTCTCAACTTCTTCTAACCCTCCCCCAAGAACTCCAAGAGAATGCTATCGAATATAGACAGGTAAGCGATTCTCTTGTCCTTGCAAATATTGGAGTTAGACTAAACCTGTTTCGGCGGAATTAGCTCAAGAAGCTCATAAACAAGGTGGTCAACGAGCTCACGTCGCTTGGCCTCAGCCCGGCTGTCTTGCAGAATATATTACAGAAGAATGATACTGCTTCTGGGAGTGCCAAAGGAAAGCAGCGTGCATTTGGAGAAAGGCCTGAAGAGATCGTAAACGTTGGGGATCAGGATGATGGTGTAGCCGATTTGTCTAGACCACAGACGACGAAGGCGATATACGAAGTGATTCACGACGGAGAACACCTTCAGCCTCGATTACGCGTATGGGTTGGAAGACAGAAGGATACGGACAGTGGAAATCGTGCTGGGGATAACGTTGATGACAGTCCTCGAAGTCCGGCATCGGCAGCTCGTGTGACCATCTTGCTTGACGCCCCCGAATCCCTTTCGTCATCTCCAGTGGATGCGGTAGCTTCGAGTCAGGAAATTAACTCAGATTACGTCGGAAACAGGGAGCTGCTTCTTGTTGCGAAGCCTATAGTCGCTCGACCTAGGCAAAGCTTGATATGGACGTTACAGAAGCAAGCAGAAATCGAGGAAACTGAAGAGGCAGCAACGCCCGAGCTTCCTTCTACCGAAGGACAAGAAAGTAATGTCCCAATACCTGTTGTCCATCCTGTCGAGCTTGTGCGCAGACAGTAAGTTCATACGCGTTAATCTCTCTATGAAAATTATCTCAACGAATACAGGGTACTCGTAACTGCTGATGGAACACGCGAACTTATTATACCACTGGAATCCGACATGGCTTTCTTTGAACTCTTATACACGGCACTTCAGTCCCTTTCTTCTCGTCTCCTGGTCGTTCGTTCTGATTTCATCGGCAAGCTCGACGCTCTTGCTCGTACAATTTCTCGGACAGCACGTCCGCAATCTGCTTCTTCGCGAGGGTTCCATCCATCATCATCGCTCGGCGATGCGGAGGCCATAAGCGCACCGCTGATATCTCCGTTCTCTAGTTCTTTCGTCCCTGGGGGAAAGGTAAAGAGCGACCTATACACATGGAGGGAGATATTCCAACTTTACGTAGAAGCGGAAATTTTCGAGAGCGTACATGAACAAGATAGGGGCGAACGAAGTATTGCGGAAACGGAGAGACGGCTGGCTTTCTTTGCGGAACAAGTCACAACGCGAGGCTTGAGTGACAGGAGGAAACTCAAATATAAGGAGAGTAGAGATGCCTTAGAGAGCTTCTTGCAACTCAATGTCTTTCTTGTTAACCTGAAGAAGGTATGTTTTCTGCTTCTTCGACCCCTAAAGTCGAGTAGCTTAAGGTTACGCAAGTTCCAATTTGCTACTGCAGAGGCTGCACGAAAGATTCTCAAGAAACACGCAAAGAGGACTGCTCTTCCGTTTCCCATTCCCAGTCTGGACGGCTCGTCTGCGTCTCTACAAGGCGATAAGCAGGTGTCTTCTCTTCTTCGAAGAGATGGGCCAGGAGTTTTATATGCTGATATTCTTACTCTCATTCCGACGTCCACGTTATCCCTTCCTCATATCCTCGTACAAGCAATAGGAGAGACTCTGCTTCCTATCATCCCTCACTTGGATGATTACTCTTGTTTGATATGTGTGAACATTGCGTTCAAGCCCATCCGCCTCAGCTGTGGCCATCTGTTCTGCGTTCGGTACGGCTCATAATATCAAAGCAAGTAGCATAGAATTCACCGAAGATTTTTTTAGATGTTTGGTCAAGATGCAAAAGCGAGGTCAGGATCATTGCCCGTGCTGTCGCGCACCGACTGTTCTCAAGGCCAACCGTAGTAAGTCTAATTTCGCAGGTAATTCCTTCTAGGCGTCGATATTGATTTTTTACTTTTCCAAATAGCAAACGTCGACTGGGCGATGCTCAACTTCATGCAAGATTGGTTCCCGCGAGAAACTGCGAAGAAGTTGAAGCAGAATGAGAAAGAGGCTGCTCAGGAGCAGCTTGAGGAACTTGGGATTCCGGACCAGAGCTGCGTGGTAATGTAAAGTTATTATATATGTTGTTATGTCTGGTATTTGTGGATACTTTCTGTTGCTGTATTTTTTGTGTATTGGGTCATGTATACCTCATCAATTGTGTGATATCGATCTTTCGGTATCAATACCAAGTCCTTATTATGTTGTGTTGTTGGTCAGTTATTCATAGGTGCACTTTGTTGCTATTTCTTTTCGTACCCGGTCATGTATACTTCATCACTGTATGATATCGATCCTTTCTGGTTAACAATGCCAAGTTCTGCTGATGGCTGAGATAAAGATAAAATTGGTTTGTCAGCTGCCACATCCGACGTAAGCAAACGTCTGTCATGACAAAGTTTGAAGATTTTTTCAATGTTGAGTAAAGACATAAAAGTAGTTCAAACAGAATAGATACTGTAACATATGTAGCACAAGACCATTTATAACAAGACCCACAAATAGTTCAGACAAGAACTGCGGTCTTGTTTGGAAGGCCAAGAGCTTGATCGTACAGAACGGGGATTTTCATCCTGGTAGTATGAGAACCCAAGACGGGCTCATTCCACGCAGCGAACTTGGTACGATTTTTGCTCTTACACGACTTTGACTCATTCAACGACAGTAGGACAGCTTCAAGGCTGTTGAAGGGAATTTAAGCCCTTCCTGTCGAGAGATCTAAGGATCGTGTACCAGAAGTTACGAAAAAATAGTGAAACGTAGAGAAGCAAGCATGCGCAGCAATTGAACACAAAGAATCAACAGTCAAAATGGACACGAGAAACCCGATCAACTGAGGGATTGACTATGCAACGTTGAGCAATGATTAGAAGATGCCCAAGGAGTTGAGATGGAGAAGGTGACGATTTTTTGATGGTGACTGTACTTTCCCACGACTGGCCTGCTCTGTCACGGCTTTACTTACCGTTCCGTCCACGACCCAATTGACTGCACGTTCCACACCCCACTGACTCTCCCGCCCTCCCGCCTGCCCACAAGGCGCACATCTGCGCTTGCTTACTCTACATAGACTTACCTGCCTGGTTATTTTGGCGGTCGGTGACACAACATGGTGAGTGTCTTTCCGCTGCGTCATCTTTGAGACGCGTATGGCTCCATGCTTGGCTCTGGGTTGGGCAAGACCACGTACTAAATACCCTTTTTCCCTTTTCTGCCTCCTTTGTATGGCTATACATTCTTCAAGTCCGACCCAATGGATGCTCTGGACGAGAAGCTGAATGGGACGCCAGTAATGGAGATTGATGAAGCTGTGTCTGTTCGAGATCGTAAGTCTTTCCTGGTACTTAGTCGTGCCGGGCAGGGCCTGTATGCGCCAGATAAACTAAGCGAATTCCTCTGATGCACAGGAGATGCGTTTGCGGCGAAGAACATGCCCGATCTTGGGCATGAAGTAAAGGATTTTGCCGTTTACACATGGCGATTGACCAATTGGCGGAAATTGGAGAAGAAACTGACAAGTCCAGAGTTTGAATGTGGAGGGCATCGCTGGTACGCTGCAATTTCCTTGTTAGATTCACTTCCCACTTGTTTACAAGCATTGGTATAGGCGAATATTGTTGTTTCCCTTTGGAAACTCAAACGCGCCACCGAACGACACCGTATCGGTATACCTTGATTATGCGGACCCGAAGAGGGCACCAGAAGGCTGGCACGCCTGCGCACAATTCGCACTTGTCATCTCAAACCCCAACGATCCTACCATCTACACTGTTTCTCGTGAGTCTCGTCTTGACGGAGCGATTATCGCGTCTCACTTTAACGCTCAACTCGTATCAAATGGATGACTAATGCACAGCCTAGATGCCCACCATCGCTTCATCGCCGAGGAGTGTGACTGGGGCTTTACACGTTTCAGTGAGCTAAGGAAGTTGTTCACGGTACAGGAAGGCCACAACCGTCCAACGATTGAAGACGAGTCAGCGGACGTCAGCGTATTTGTGCGTGTTTTGGAGGACCCAACCGGCGTTTTATGGCACAATTTTGTGAAGTCCGGCAGCTTCGTTTGGTAGTCTGTTGATCAAGGCACTCATTTTTGCATATAGCTATGACTCAAAGAAGGAGACCGGTTATGTTGGCCTAAAAAATCAGGGTGCAACATGTTACATGAACTCCTTACTACAATCACTTTACTGCACACGATACTTCCGACGGGTGAGATACTTACATCGGATTTCGGGCTAATATCACTTATACTGATGCGTATTGATTATTTCCCGTAGGCTGTGTACCAAATACCGACAGAAGATGATCATCCGACTGAGAGCGTTGCCTTAGCTCTGCAACGCGTGTTCTACCATCTACAAACTTCTGATCAGCCAGTTGGTAAGTATTGACGCATGGTTTGCAGTTGAACTTCTATTGACTATATTCAATGATTAGGCACAACTGAGTTGACGAAATCGTTCGGCTGGAAATCCCTTGACTCGTTCTTACAACATGACGTCCAGGAGTTCAACCGCGTGTTACAGGACAAGCTCGAAAGTAAAATGAAGGTTCGTATCCGCTTCATTGCTGGCGTCGCAATTGCAAATTTTGATTTTTAAACAAAGGGTACGAAAGCCGATGGTGCTATCAGTAGGCTCTTTGTAGGCAAAATGAAGAGCTACGTACGTTGTGTAAACGTCGACTACGAGTCATCGCGCACGGAAGATTTTAATGGTAAGCCCATTTTCCCGTACATGTACTGTTCTTGAACTTACGAGTCCTTTCAGATATTTCTCTTAATGTAAAAGGGATGAAAAATCTACACGAGTCCTTCCGGGACTATGTCGCTGTAGAGACACTGGACGGGGACAACAAGTACCAGGCAGAGGGATACGGACTGCAGGACGCGAAGAAAGGAATCATCTTCCAATCTTTCCCTCCGGTTCTACACATTCAGCTCAAGCGATTCGAATATGATATTCAGAGGGATGCCATGGTGAAGGTAAGAAGGACCGCTTAATATGCAAAGCTTTTCGGACCCTAATTGTTGTTATGTAGATTAATGATCGCCACGAATTCCCCTTTGAGATAGACCTTGCCGAGTTCCTTGACGAAAACGCTGATCGGAGTCAGTCATGGGTGTACAAGCTACATGGTGTGCTCGTACATTCGGGTGATCTGCACGGCGGACATTATTTTGCTCTCATCAAGCCTGACCGCGAGACACGCTGGTTGAAATTCGACGATGATCGTGTAACACCAGTGACAGATCGTGAAGTGCTCGAAGAGAACTATGGTGGTGAACCATTGAATGGTCTTACGTCCCCGGCTCAGCGCCAACAAGTGCGAGCGATGAAGCGTTTCACGAATGCGTACATGTTGGTGTACATCCGAGATGTTGCGATTGATGAGATCCTAGCACCCTTCACAGATGCCGATACTCCTGCTCATCTCAGTACGTGATTCTTTGTCCTGCATTTCAAACCTTAATTCTCATGTTGTCTCGTAGAAAAGCGGCTTGATGAGGAGAGGCTGCAGATAGAGGCCAAACGCCGAGAAAGGGAAGAGCAGCATCTCTTCTTAACCGCAAAGGTACTTTGCATTTGCATTACTTTGTTGATAGAACATATGCTCATATATGATGGTTTTCGAAAGATCATCACGGATGAAACATTCCAACAACACGAAGGCTTCGACTTGGCGTCGTTTGACGACAAGAACTGGCCTCCTTCAGATCTTCCCGCCTTCCGTATCCTGAAACAGGAGACATATCACACCTTCAAGGGTCGTGTGGCGCAGCACTTTAATTACCCGGAATCAGCATTCAGGTTGTGGGTTTTGGTGAATCGACAAAATAAGACCGTACGACCTGACACGCATATTCCGGAGAACGAGCAATCATTGAGTGAGTCCCCTTCCATTGGATCGGTTTTCAGTCATACTCATTAGTCTCAGCCATGGAGGTTATCCGTAATAACATGGCTGCTCGGCAAACTGATCTTCGACTCTATCTCGATGTGGTCACAGAGGTAGGTTTATGCGTAATCCTTAAAGTAGTATTACTCATGCAAATTCCTTCCTGTAGCCCGAAGTCGCTCCTGGATCAATCATGATTTTCCTCAAGCACTTTGACACCTCAAGGCAAACCCTTTACGGCGTTGGCAAGTGCTACGTGCAACGAAACGCAAAGGTTAGCGATCTTCATGGTGTCATCAATGAGAAGATGAGGTGGCCTGCGGGTACGCCACTCAAGCTCTATGAGGTCAGTCATTTTTGCAAATCCGGAGACCTTTCCACTAATGTCTATTTAGGAAATCAAACCGGGCATGATCGAGCTCATGAAGGCGAAGATGACGTTCGCACAAAGTGAGATCCAGGATGGCGACGTTATCTGCTTCCAAGTCGATATCAGCGAGAAAGAGACGCATGATCTTGAGAGCCAGGGGCTCTACGCAAATCCTTTGCACTTTTACGACTTCTTACAGAATCGAGTTATGATTGTGTTCCGACCCAAGTTTGAGGAACCGGATGATATAAACCCAGAGTTCGATCTCGTGCTAAGCAAGAAGATGAACTACGACCACGTCAGTATTTCTTTCCTCTCGTTGTACATTTTATGCCTAATCAAGGGTATACTTTTCAGATGGCTGCAAAGGTGGCTGAACGCCTGAACCAAGACCCTATAAAATTGCGATTCACGACAACTATGCCTTCAACTAATCAGCCAAAATCCATCATCAAGCGTTCCCTTAACCAGTGTATTTCCGACATTATGTCGCCGAATAATTACTCCCACCCATCCTCAACACTCATACTCTACGAACGACTCGAAGTGAGCATTATCGAACTAGAGACCAAACGTAGTTTGAAGATCGTATGGACTGGTATTCACAATAAGGAAGAGGCGGCGTACCCCTTCCTTCTGCCGAAGACGTCCAACATTCACGATTTATCCGAACAACTCGCCAAGAAGGTAACTTTAGCACCAGGAGGGACTGGCAAGATTCGGGTTTTCGAGATGACGAGGGACGGAAAGGCACAAAAGGAGTTCACTGGAGCGGAGATGATTGGAAATATACCTGAACAGGTTGAACTATTTGCGGAAGAGATACCACGCGAGGAGCTCGAGGCGGATGAGGCAGACAAGATCATCAATGTCTTCCACTTCTCGAAGGAGGTATCTCGAACGCATGGTGTACCGTTCAAGTTCGTTGTCAAGCAGGTGAGTTTTGCTGACTTATTTGGTCGGAGGGTGCAATGTCTAATTTAATAAAAAGGGCGAGAAGTTCTCAGAGACGAAGAAACGCTTGCAAGCACGCATCAACGTGTCAGACAAGGAAGTATCGAAGTATCGATTTGCTCTGGTACAGGCAGCCACGTTCAAGCAACCATCATACATCGAAGATGGTAAGAAGAAATTCCTCGTATCTGTCGCAATGAATGATTCTAACAGGTGTTCCTGCAGAGGACATGATCTACGACCACAAATTTGCACCCGACGATTGCCTCGGTCTCGACCATCTAGACAAGTCAGGGCGGACACGTCAAGGCGCAGGCGAGAAAGCGATCGTCATCAAAGGGTAAATTGTGGTTGTAGAATATTCGGTCTCCTGTTTTCGGAATTCCTGCCTAGTGTGCCAACACATGAAATCATAACAGACTCACTCTTCGTAATTGTATGCTCACGAGGGATCAATCCATCATACATTTGTCCTTGTTCCGTTGCGTTTATTATTGTCCTGTACTTTTGCTATTACCCCACCAATTTACAGTTTCTGTTCCTTTCTCGTTACTTGCGTACTGTCTGCACTCCTTTTCCAGGACAAAACCAAACTCGAAAGGGTGCGGAGATGTCGAATTACTACCCGACAGATGAATATTTTGAGTACCTAAGGTGAGTCAACGTACATGATGCTAGGGTAAACGGGATATGTAAAGGAGACAGTAGAAAGGTGGAAAGAAGGATAGCATGTGCACGGAGTTTTTACTTTCGCTTCTTGCCCTTCTTGCCCTATTTCGTTTCTTATTTTCAGTTTCATTGTTCAACAGTAAAACATTCAGAAGACACGTACAGATTTCCTTGAAGGCTTTCCAGGACTAGAAGGTACCGAAATGATTTCACCGTCGCTCATTGAAGCTGCGCTGTCTCCATCCGCCCCGACAGTCGGAGGTGCTAAGCTACCATTCGACGTTGAGGTCGCTGGTTGTGGAGCGTTAGCGGGAGGTTGAGGTTGTGAAGGTTGTGGTGTAGGAGATCGTTGTTCGGTCTTTGGAGCTACGGTCTCGACTTTGACGGTTAGTGGAGTTTCGGTGCTTGTTGACTTGTTTACTGGTACTTTCTTTGAACCGTATTTGCTTTCTATCGGTTCAAGCAGTCCAGGTTAACTGTTATTAATTCGTGTCGTTGTCAATTAAAAGGCTTTCGGACTTACCAGCTTCCGCACGCATCTTGGGGTATTCCTCCAACATCTTGCGTACTTTCTCATTCTGAACCATCTCGCCCGCGCTATTGAAGATAAACTGTCCCCAACCATTCATGAAACTATTCGCCTCATGCATAACTTCCAAAATCTCCGCCTCGGTTTCTTTCTCTGCAGCGAGTATGGCATTCCAGAGGTCGTCACCGATCGAACCCTTTTGGAGAAGAGCTTGTGCGGCCGGTTTGTCATCGCGAAGACGGATAACGCGTCGGACGTCTGCGCATGCGCGTTGGATGAGGGCGGCTTTGAGGAGTGAGTCGGGTGCTGGGGGGTTGGTTAGTCCGAGGAGGGTAACGTAGGCGTCGCGTTCTGGATGTGAGGGAAAGTATGGTTCGAGTTTCCTGTCTGGTTGACCAATACCGGGATAAATCAGTCAGTTATGTTATTGTGGTATGATTGTGCACGCCAAGCTGGAGAATGAGGAATGAGTCTTGACACGATACCACGTACTTGCGGAACGTTTCCGGTATAGGGAGCTGAATATGCCAAGTCCGCCGACGACAATTATTAAATAGAGAACTGGGGCTAGGATGGACGCCATGGTGAAGAAGAGCTATTTTTTGGCAGTGATGAGCTTCACCACCGCCGAATGGTGGCGACGGACAGGTGCAAGGTTATAGCAGGAATTGAAGGACTTGCCTTTGGACACGTTGTGCAACTCAAATGCTCCGCTGGCACCTAGTAACCGTGAGAACATTTTCAAGGTCACGCGCTCAATAAGACGCGTCTCGACGCGACGCGACATCTTGACTTCCTACCCGATGGATCCAAGGGTGCAAGTGCTGTCGAATGTCGTCCTTGCAGTGCGAGATGCTCGTGAAGTGATACACCATGCATCGGCTTCGCATATAGTCAGATACTCTCGTCTCTTTGTCTCGACAATTCTCGCTCTACCGTCTCTTTCCTCTGGCCATCCCTTGGTCCGCTTCGCTGCCTTCTCGTTGCTTCTTGTTCTGACTTCAGCTATCGCTCTGAGCTATAACTACTCTGATTCCAACTCTGCTACTGCTGCAACTACCGATAACACTGAAGTGGAAGGTCCTGCGCGTCGTGCTTTGTCCAAGTTCCTCATGCCAACGTCATCCATTTGGCCAGAACGCTATCTTTACATTATTCGTTCGGCGGACCAACAACAACAAAGTCGAAATGGAAAACGTATTTCTCTCCAACTAGGAACCTTTCTTCGTGATATCAAACAAGGAATAATAGAACTACGGAACCCGGAGATTGACTTGCCTCTTCTCCTTAAAGGACAACTTTGCACAGACGGATGGAACATCGAGCTTAACATGTCCTTCAAGGACAGGTCAATGGCTTGGGCCTGGGTTATATCAGACGAAATTTCTTGTTTTCCTGATGAGGTCTATTCTATCCGGTCCAATGTAGGTGTTCATCTGTCAAAAAGCTGATTGTTGTTGTATCGTCAGGCCCAACCAAGGCCCTTTACCTTCGCAGAAGGTATGTGTAATGGCTTGTATCATTACTGATTGCCAATAATTTCTCCCCCCTACTTGGTGTGAACAGGCGGGATGGCGCCTGTAGACTGGACCGTACTGAAACGCTACTGCACATTATTCTACGAAAATGTATGGATGGATGGTGTGAGACTGACTATATGCGCTTCGCTCACTAGTATCTTATCAATAGCTCGACGATATAATTGTCTGGCCTTCCCTAGACTGCGTCCCACACGCATTTATCCAGAGATGTATCCGGTCGATACAACACGACCTTCGCATGGCTTTTGGCGCACAAAGGACCTCCGTGTTCTCATTTGCCACGGCAGAAATAGGGCTTTCAGTATTCGACGATGCGTTCGTCTTTGCCTCCCTCCCATTCTCGCGTATTCCCTCGAGGGTGTCCAACAGAAAGGGAACTCAACATGCTCCACGTTCTTGCGCACCCTTATTCAACCGCCTCTCCGAAGTCCTAAGTCTCCTCACTTCAGGCCCTCACCCACTGCGCGTTCTTTCCTTATCAAACGCTTCAGCCTCATACACAACTGCTCTGGAGACACATGCGTCGTCTTTGGAGTACGACGCTGTGACGCGACGAGAGTGTATAAAGAGTCTGGGTGTACAAGGGTGGCGCGAGGAGAGATTGTATACGCGCTTGGAAGCTGCTGGCCTTCGGGCGGGCGTGGTGATGAAATGGGTCGTTTTATTGGAGGTCGAGGACTAGATTGGGCTGTAGATGCCATGAAGACTAAAGAGCTTGGACTGGTATTCCTTATCTTTATCGACAAACTACAAAGACCACTGTAATGCACTCAGCGATTGGACACAGGGACATTATTAATGTATGCATGCTATACTGATACTGTATCCTATTCTATATGCATATTTGACGATTTATTTTAGTCGCTAGTACCATCACAATGTTACCAAATACTTAATTACAACAAAAGCGGGTTTGAAGCAGGGTTCAAGGAAATTATATCAGGAACAGTATAGTTGCTGCTTTCTAGCAGTCCGTGTCCAGTATATTGCCGAATCTTGATAGCATCTGGGATGAAGAACATTTCATACTGCAATGCAGTGGCAGGATCAAACACCAACAGAATATTGTCTGCGCTGATGCCAAGGATTCAGAAAAATACAATCTTGCACTACTCATCACACTCGCCTCATTCACAATGATCATGAAAACGCCTTGTCCATGACAACTATTCGTGTCGTTTGTCACATCTGTCATATTTATGATTATGTATATTTTTAACTTACCATATTTGTAGATAGCAACCGAATCTATTGTACCTCATCGCACTGCCATCCTATTTCTGGCATGGCCAGTACAATGAACAAGCTGTTGCCTCGTCCTTTGAGCCACGACGTTTTGCCTCTGCATACTGTCTCACACCCCAGACACAGTTCTATCCAATTGACGAAAGAAACAGCTAACCGTCTCCTGACATTCTTCAAACGTGAACTTCTTCGTAGTACTTATTCAATTGCCCAATAATTCACTGTCTGTGGGACGGAAGTGCAAAAGCAGGCCATCACTCTTACTACCCAGGTAGATCATCTCTGCCTCCTTTTGCTGCAAGACTTGCATTTTGATTCCCTTGTTACTGAAACAGACACACTGAAAGATGGAAATAAGTTGGAAACAATTTCTGCTACGCATGATCGTCAAAATGGTTCTGAACCACATGAATATCCGGCTCTTGAAAAGTGTGGGTATTTCAAGCAACCAGAAGACATTAATGGCTATACTGTATACAGTTCTACTACTCTCCAATGTTCGATTGGACATCCCAATCATTCTGATTTGCTGTTTGGCTATGTTCCTTGTCATTTCGAGACAATTCAAGCAACGGAGACAAGTGGACAATGTAGAAGAATCTATTGTACTAGAACGAGCTGCCCTGGAGCGTTGCCCCAGAGACCATCCTAATCGTCCTATGCATCTCAACAACCTTGCGGCTTTTCTGCACAGACGTTACAAAGAGTGCAAAAGGAGTGAAGACATCGAGGAAGCTATCAAGTTACATCGAGCGGCTCTCGAGCTTCGCCCTGAGAGCCATCCTCATCGCTCAGTGTCTCTCAACAACCTTGCAAGGTCCCTGCACAGCTGCTACGAACAGCAAGGAAAGATCGAGGACCTTGAGGAGGCCATTGAGCTACACCGAGCGGCACTTGAGCTTTGTCCCGTGGGTGACCCCAATCGTTTTACGTCTCTCAGCCTCCTTGCAATTTCCCTGCGCAGCCGATATGAACGGCGTGGAAGGACTGAGGACTTTGAGGAAGTCATCAAGTTGCTCCGAGCTGCTCTCGTTCTGTGCCCCGAAGGCCACCCTACTCATTTCTGGACTCTGAACCTCCTTGCAATTTCCCTTACCTACCGAAATGAACAGCATGGAAGGACTGAAGACCTTGAGGAGGCTATCGGGTTATACCGAGCCGCCCTCGAGTCACGTTCTGTGAGCGATCCTGATCGCCTTACCTGTCTCAGCAGCCTTGCAACTTCCCTGTCCTCCCGATATGCATGGAATGGAAGGACTGAGGATCTTAACGAGACCATCGAGCTTCGCCGAGCCGACCTCAAGCGTCACCCCGAAGGCCATGCTCGTCGCTCTGCATCTCTCAGTAGGCTTGCGCTTTCTTTGCGCACCAGATATCAGCAGCAGCATGGAAGTATTGAAGACCTTAACGAGGCCATCGAGATACACCGAGCAGACTTAGAGCTTCGCCATGAAGGTCATCCTGGTCGTTCTATATCTCTCATCAATCTTGCAATTTCGCTGTCCATCCGATTCGAACAACTTGGGGACCCTAGTGACCTTGAGGAGGCCATTGAGTTGGGACGAGCTGCCCTCGAGCTTCGCCCTGAAGGCCATCCTCGTCGTTTTAGGTGTCTCCACGTCCTCGCAAGTTCACTACGCCTTCGATACGAGCAGCACGGAAGGATTGAAGACCTTGAGGAGGCTATTGCACTGCAACGAGCCGCCCTTGAGCTTTATCCTCTGGACGACCCTGATCGTTCTACGTGTCTCTGCAGCCTTGCAGCTTCCCTGTCTACCCGATACGCGCAGCACGAAAGGACTGAAGACCTCGAGGAGGCCATTGAATTGAACCGCGCTACCGTGGAGCTTTCCAAAGACCATCATGATCGTTCTATGTATCTTAACAACCTTGCAATTTCCCTGAATACTCGATACAATCAGCATAGAAGGGAAGAGGACCTTGAAGAAACAATCAAATTGCACCGCGCGGCTCTGGAACTGCGCCCAGAAGGCCACCCTCATCATTATATGTCTCTTATCAACCTTGCGTCTGCCTTGTTTGCTCAGTACCAACAACATGGGAGGATGGAGGACCTTGATAAGGTCATTGAGTTGAGCCGCACTGCTCTGGAATTTCTCCCCGAAGGTCATCCTCATCGTTCTTCCTCTCTTGCCAGTCTCGCGGGTTTCTTATATATTCTAGTCAAGCAACGATGGTGTACGGAAGAGTTTGAAGAATGCATCCGATTACTGGAGCTCGCTGCCACCCATAGATTCTCGGGATCATTCATGCGCCTACGGGCAGCGCGTCAATGGGCAGAAATTGCGCGATCGCGCAAGCACGACACCACCTTTGCAGCTTATAAAGCGACAGTATCGATACTTCAACATGCTCTCACCGTGAATCCAACTCTTCACTCACAACATAACTTCCTCCTCAGGAGTAATGAATACAGAGCACTCACCTTGGACGCTGCTTCTTATGCAGTAGAGGAAAATCAATTGGAGCAAGCCATAGTGATACTTGAGCAAGGAAGAGGCTTGCTCTGGTCGCAGCTTCGCGGTTTCAGGACTCCCCTAGACCAACTAGCAGAAACGAGCAAAGAGCTCGTCGATAGATTCAGGGATGTTAGCGGTCGGCTGGAGAACCTTGCAACATCGGACGACGCACTAATACCTGGTTCCACCACGAACGGAAACGGATCACTTAGGCCAGGCGTCAAAACGGATCGAACACGATTTGATGAGCTGCTGAAGTTGAAGAAACGGCTTTCCAATGAGCAAGAGCAGGTCATTGATGAGATTCGACGAGTTCCGGGGTTCGAGAGTTTCCTTAAAGGCAGTCCGTTTAAGGAACTGCAGCAGGTGGCTTCCGAGGGACCAGTCATCGTGGTCAATCACTGCAAATACCGTTCCAATGCCCTCATCATTCTCTGTCGTGACGACCCGTCGGTCATCTGTGTCCCGTTGGATGATGATTTTTATGAAGATAGCATCAGGCTGTGCCAAGAACTTGTGGAGACGCGCCAACGATTCAACGCTGATTCGTGTGATTATGATGAAAAGCTTCGTGAAGCAATGAAGATGATATGGGACAGAGTTGTCTCCAAGGTTATAGTTGAACTTAACAGAGTTGGGGTCGCTAAAGGTTCTCGCATCTGGTGGTGTCCTACATCCGTGTTGTCAGCGCTTCCGTTCCATGCAGCAGGACCGTTTGAGGCTGATGGTGTCACGAAATACTTATTGGATGATTATACCTCGTCATATACGCCGACACTCGGAGCCCTGATAAATGCACGGTCAGGCGGCGATGAAGACGATCCGACAGTGCTGGTTATCGGAGATACCTCACTTCGGTCAGCTAAGCAGGAGATTTCCAACATCCGAAATTGTGGTATGACCACCAAACTGCTCGTCGGCAAGAAAGCGTCTCGTGATGGAGCGATTAAAGCTGTCCAGGAAGCGACATGGGTCCATTTTGTTTGTCACGGGTCCTTGGATTCAAGCCCTTTCAACTCTTCATTCAATCTGTCCGGTCGTGGGCTAACGATGCTCGACATCATCCAAACGAGTCTTCCAAATGCGGAGTTTGCGTTTCTTTCTGCCTGCCATACGGCGGAACAGCCTCACAACGGTGCCTACGACGAAGTCCTTCACCTCGCAGCGGCCATGCAATTTTCTGGTTTTCGAAGTGTGATTGGTTCGATGTGGGAGCTTCTTGATAAGGATGGCCCCATATTTGCTAAGACCGTTTACGAGTACATAAACGAATGCGAGGAGGGAGGGGTGAAGTATAAGAGGGCGGCTGAAGGTCTTCGCAAAGCAGCTTTGGAGTTGAAAGCGCGGGAGGGGATCCAGACTGAACGATGGGTCAACCTTGTGCATATAGGTGCTTGAGTGATGTTGTCTTAAAATTTAAGCTCTATTAGATAGCAGTTCTATTTTGCTTATCTAATCTTGATTATTCATCATGATGTGACTTTGGAACGCTGAGTGCTCACGTGACACAACTACACACAAATCCTCTATCAACCCGGTTTGCCAAGTCTAAGGCAGCACATTCTCGTCTCGGAATCAAAAGGAGTGAGAGGAGAATATGATGTACTGTGCGTGTTGGAACGATCGCAATATGCCAAGAATGCCCAGGGCCAGGGCTGCTTTCATCAGTCCTCACTGTGTCCACCGTCGACAGAAGACGAAGCCAAATCACAAGGCATACTCCAGTCCTGAAAGAAGTATGTGTACATCCCGGTCAGAATTCTCTAGAAACAGAAAGATAAACGACAAGTTTAATCCTTCCGTAGTCCGCTTTACTACCTTCTCGCTGCTCTTTTCTCTAGCCTCATCCATCATTTTGGGTTGCAACTACGATAACTCAAACTCTACTGGTCATTCTACCAATGTTCCCAAAATTGAAGTTCCTGTACGTCGTACTTTGACCAAGTTCCTCATCCCGATATCCTCCATCCACCGTCCACTACTCGTTCGGCGGACCAACATCGTCAACACAGAAAGTGTATCTCCGTGAAACTAGGAACTGTCCTTCGTGACACCAAACAAGGAATAATAGAGCTACGGAACTCAGAAAGCGACTCGCCTCTTCTCGCGTGAAAGACAAATTGCACAGGTGGATGAAAGATCGAGCTCAACCTTTCCTTGAAGGATACAGTAAAGGCTTAAACACGTAATAAGCCAAACAAGATTTCTTGTTTCCCAAATAAACTCAAGTTATCCGAGTATAAGTAAGTGAGTACAATGTGTATTGTGCTATCACTGATAACGCAGGGAAATCTTTACTGTGGATAACTAGTAGAAACAGCTCCCGTGGACTGGACAATACTTAAATGTTACTAATTACTATGTACAGATTTGGGGAACTGGCTATATGCGCTTCGCTCCGGTACTTTGCCCATCCCATAGCTTGAGGACATAGCAATCTGGCCTTCCATAGACCACGTTCCACACGCGTTTGTCCGGCAGTGTATTCTGTCAATATAATATGAGCTTTACACAAAACTTCGGGACACAGCAGACTCGGAAAAGCAGACCTATGTTCTCGTACTACGGCAAAAACAGGGCCTTTAGGTTTCGACGATACGTTCGTCTACACCTCCTTCCCTTTCCACGTTTCTCTCCTCATCAAACGCTCTAGCCTTGTACGTAACCATTCCGTACGGGCGTGCATCTGCTCCAGTGTATGATGCTGTGGTGCATATAGAGTGCACTAAGAGGATGGGAGTACAAGGGAGGCGAGAAGAAGTTGTTGACATGCTTGAAGGCAGCAGGCTGTATGCATGGTTGGCGGTGAGATGAGTTATTCGCTAGGGGTGGAGGAATAAACAGACGTGCTAGAAGTTATTAAAATCAGAACATTGTTTCTGGATGGGACGGAGCTGACTGTAGATAACGCTGGTATTCTTCGTGTTTATTGATGAGAGAATTACTACATGCAAAGTGCCAAACAATGTTACTACTAACATCGTACTCTACAAGGTTTAAAAATATAACGATACTGAACAAGATTTATTTCATTGCAAACGAAAGCAACTTGAAGCACCATTGGACGGACGTGCATATGATTAGGTCAAGAAAGACAGAACAAAAAAGCAAGTTGTACAAGACAAGCAAGATCCGGATGTGGTTTCTAGTAAGTCAAAGTCTCCAGAATACCGTCTAAAACCCTGATAGCGTCCGGGATGAGGAACTTCTCGTACTGCAGTGCAGCCGGGAGACTGTAGCATAAAGAATATCAGCATCGTTAGCTCATGGAAGATAACAGAAATTCAGTAGAATGCATTAGTAATGAAAGATACTCACTCCCAAGCAGCAACTCTCTTCACAGGCGCCTTCAACCTCAAAAAACACCTCTTCTGTATCTCAGCAGCAATTTCCGCACCAACCCCACCCGTCACACTTGCCTCATGCACAATAACCAACCTCCCAGTTCTCTTCACGCTCTCCTCAATCGTCTCCACGTCCCACGGTAAGATCGTCCGAAGATCAATCAATTCTATATTTGCAGAGCGCAGGGAGTTAGGTATATAGGGGAAGAGCGTAGGAGGAGGGGAAGTGAGCAGGTGCATGGCTGTTTCGCAGTGGTAGAGAGGTGTGCCCCAGGAGAGGAGTGTGAGGTCTGACCCCCTTGTCAGGACTTCGGCGGAGGAGAGGGGGAGTTGGAAGTCGTCTATTGGGACTTGTTCGACTATATGCGAACCATGTTGATTAGGCTCTTCACGAATATACGGAAAATAGGAACGTTTGCTTACCTGCGGAACGGTAGAGAACTTTAGGTTCCATGAATATTACCGGGTTGGGATCTCGAATTGAGCTGAGAAGGAGACCCTTTGCTTGGATTGGTGAACGAGGGATGACAATCTATCAAGCGGCACGGAGATTAACATTGCTATGTGTTATGACGATATCCAAATTAAACTTGATATACCTTTATCCCTGAGGCTCCAAGAAAGAATCCCTCAGGACTCTGAGAGTGATAAAGACCACCATGACCGACAGACATGGTCGGTGTGCGAATAGTAAGACCGCCTGCGTTAAATTGACCTCCGGAGCGGTATCGGTATTTCGCGGCTTCGTTTACGATCTACGCATATAGTGGTTGGCACTGGTTTAGATACGTCCTCATGCTATGTGGAGATACATGGGTAAATGGGCAAAGATGAAACGTACTTGGTCGAATGCAGGGTATATGTAATCCGAGAACTAAGGGAATGGATTTTGTTTGTTTTAATGAAAGTGCATTGGACCAGAATGTAAGGTTACGGACCTGGATTTCTGCTATTGCGGTATGGCCCATTGCTGCAAGTCCGATACCGAAGCCTACGATGCCTTGCTCTGTGAGTGGAGTGTTGAATACGCGTTCTTGACCTGAAGCATGCGCTGTGAGTAAATGCATCCGTTACCTGCAAGGTTCAACGTACCAAACTCCTCCGCAAGTCCCTTTGATAGGAACATCAGATACTCTCTACCGTGCTACATTAGTTATTGGACGTACCATGGAACATCTGAATACCCCACCAAATGCAACGTCCTCTCCGAATAATATTGCCGTGTCATCCTTCATCATCGCATGACTAGTAGCATGTTAGCTCAACGCAAGCGCGCTATCCATGACGATACGGTACCTCATAGCATCCCGAACTGCCTGGTATACGTTCATTTTGCGCGCATCGCGTCCGCCGATGATTTCGCGCGTTGGAGTGGTGTCATCCTCGTCGGTCCATTTGATTCCGGGAGTGCGTAACGCGCCGTCGCGTGTCGACTTCAATAATCGCGAAGTTGCGATGGACGGGAGGTGTCCGCCTGCTGGGGGAGGCTCGAGCGACGCGCCCTCGGAGGCAACGCCAGTGGAGCCCGTTCCGTTTGACTGGTGCCGAAGCTGTTGTTGGAGTTGGTGTTGGCGTGCCTGGAGAAGGTGAGGTGCAGGCGTCGATCAGAAGTGCGTGGAGGGGAAATTGAATTGAAAGTCACCAACTCGTATCAGTGTTGTTGCCCTGGGCGCACGCAGCCGATAAAACTTGTGCATCGTCTGCATCGTCGTCGACGACGTGGACAGCATCGACGTTCACGTCAGAGTGTGAGTGTGCCACGGAAGTCCCGACGAAGCCGCAGGCTCAGCAATTGTTGGGTGCAGATCCGACGCGGTGCACACGGAGAATCGACACCAGCTGACTGAACTGCCAGCCCGGATCTTCTTAGCACCTCCAGAGACCGCTTCCTCATCGCGCGATCAATGGAGAACGACTTGACCTTCGTCGCTCCAGAAGGCGTATACTCTAACGTTGAGGACCATAAGCCGACGCCCTACAACGCTCACATCGTCTATCCGACTACCTATCCCACAAAGCTATCCACAATCGTACTTCATTATCCGATTACTAAACCCGGAGTCACCCCCGGCCTTCCTCACTGGCAACTTCTCGGCGGTGGGAAGGACAAGGAAGCAAAGCACAAAGAAAAGGAAAGGGATAGAGAGAAGGAACGGGAGGATGGGCAGAGTCTGTCAAGCAGCGACCGTCCCGGTACCGACGAGGAAGGCAATAATAATAACAATTCAAACAACGAACTGCTGCATTCGCCGACATTGCAGCCGCAGCCACTATCACCTTCGCATGAGTCTCCGAAGCTCTTCTCGTCGCCGTCAATCAGCATGGCGAGAAAGAAGCCCGCATCCAGGCCGAAGCACAACATCCGGACGACAACATCGACGTTCGTGACGCGGATACAGAGCGTCGAGAACCTCAACAAGATCGTACAGAACAAACAGGGCACAGTGACCTATCTCTTCTACAATTCTGCAAAGAACTTCTTTTGGACGGAGCTCGGCGTTAAGGCAAAGGTATGTATGCAGTTGCAACGCTATCACTATTAAGCTTCCGACGACATGTGCTACTATGCTTCCGTTTTGACAAATAATAACACAACCACAGGAACCGCTTTCGCGAATAACCTTCTCCGCCTTCCCGACATGCCACGATGTTAACAGAACGACAGCAAAAATGACAAGCCTTGACATCGTCATCGGCTTCAACACCGGAGACCTCATCTGGTTCGGTACGAGCCACTTTCCTTCCGCATAAATTTCATTGATTGATGTGCATACACAGACCCAATCACGGGAAGATATATGCGGCTAAACAAGCAGGTCGGTGTGGGCGCCTAAAGCTTCCGTCTGTCTATTTACAATTACTGAAAAGAAGGAATTGTTCTGTTCTATGTTCGTAGGGATGCATCAATAACTCTCCGTGCACAGCAGTCCGGTGGGTACCTGGCTCCCCATCCGTCTTCGTCGCCTCCCACGCAGACGGCACAATCATCGTATACGATAAAGAGCGTGAGGACGGTACGTTCACTCCGCAGCAGCCATTTAAACGCCATACGGCGCCGCCCGTAAGCCAATCGGGAAGTAGCAGCTCGTCCATCCCCTCTGATGATGCAAGTTCTCGGGAAGAATGGGATCCCTTAGAGAGTATTTTTGTTACCACGCCGAAATGGCTTCCTGTCACTTCGCATACTGGGTTGAACCGCGGGAGATCGGAGAAGGAGCGGACTGCGAAGAACCCAGTGAGCCATTGGAGAGTATCTAAACGAGCTGTCGTGGGTAAGTTAAGTTACTTCAGTATCAGGGTATTATGGATTAAGTACTTAAAACTGGGATATCCCATTCCAGACTTTGCATATTCAAGCGATGCGCGGCTGGTGGCAGCGATCTCAGACGATGGATGTCTAAGGATCATAGACGCTTTGCAAGAGTCGTAAGTACACGTATGTATCTCTACTTTTGAGCATTTATTCACAATAGATGACAACAGGCTGGTCGACTGCTTTGCGTCTTACTTCGGTTCATTCACATGCGTCGCGTTCTCTGACGATTCGAGATTTGTTCTCGTATGTCTGATCTCCCTGATCACTCAAATGTCATTTTCTGTATCTCGTCCTCTAACTTTAATCGTAACAGACGGGAGGACAAGACGACCTCGTCACGATTTTCTCGATGACTGAAGGACGGGTGATTGCTCGATGTCAAGGACATTCGTCGTTCATCTCCTCTGTTGCGTTCGACTCTGTGCGAACAGACAAGCGGTCGTATCGGTTTGGTAGTGTAGGGGAAGACAATAAGCTCATTCTCGTGCGTTTAGCTTCTTTCTATACCAGTATTGTTTGGTTCTCACCCGTGCAACTTTTGGGTACCAGTGGGACTTCTCCGCAGGCGTGCTTCATCGTCCCAAATTACAGGTGCGTAGAAAAAAAAATAAAGCATCAACTAGGCGCAGCAAATTAAACATACTAACTCTATTCAATCTTACGTATTATGTAGGCAGCACAACAGCAACGAATGTCCATGTCCTCAACACTTTCCTTAGCACTTCGACGACGGGGCGACGCCGCAGAGGGTTCGACTCTACATCTCCCTCCACCGGCTATGAACGGCGAAGAAACCTCTAAGTATCACCCTGCTCCATCGCGTAATGAAGTTGCGGTGGTTCAACCCGTTCTTGTGAGTCTTCTCTACTGACTCTTACCTCGCTTTCTATTCCTTTCTTGTATTCTTCGTCACTGACGAACTTGTATTTGCTCTCAAACGCTAAACGCCTGAACACCTCGACAATTGACAATTGGAAAACAGACAAAACACATCGAATGCGACCTCCTAACCGGACTCGCCTTTACACAGTCCTCCGTGTTGACAGCTTCAAAGAACGGGGCGGTGAAGATGTGGGTTCGACCCTTGGCATTGCGCCCGAGGCCGACGAAACCTAGGATATTGCATTCGCATATTAATCCTTCGGATATTCTTTAACTTAATTTTGGTTTTTTTAAGTTGTTTCAAATGGAATTGGAAGACGCACCCATATCACCTTTTTATGCTATGTCTATCTGTGTATTTTATTATTTTGCTAAGTCAATGTGACACTTTTCCCCTCCCCTCACTTTCTTGATTATTGTCTATCCGGAAAATAATTTCTAGCCTTTTTCTTTTCACTTTTTTCTATTTCCATAACATTATATATTTTCCTGCAAGTTTTAGGTAGCAGAATGGACTATCTACACAGTAATATTTGACTATCTTATTATCCTGAGATCGACTTGGAGTGCATCTAGTTCCTTCTAGTTTCGAGAGTGCTTATGGTAAACAAATCCCGAGTCAGTATTGCAGGATCTGATTGCATAGCCTTTTTGTTTAGCCCAAGCACAGATTATCATAAATACTGGGTAGATTTTGCTGTAGCACGACCAAAAATAAAAAGTATGGACCCACAACGATCACGTGGGTCATTTTTGTAAACTTTGGTGGACAAGGGTCGAAGTCTCCGTCTTCATTCACCGATGAGCTTATTTACGTCTCGACAACTTCTTCGGCAGAGAGCACTGAGATGGCATCATCAAAGGGAACCTCTGATTGTGGAGCTGAGGAGATGGTATTCTTGTTCTGGCAGGGAAGGACTTGACACTGTTCACGGACACGAGCATGGACCAGGTCCGAAGAAGGGTGATCGTGGTATGTCATTATTTACTGGTTTTATTTGAGGGACAACCGAACTGATGAGTTGTTATTCGCCCGTTTCTTCATTCTTTCATTAATACATAGTCGTTGTCGCTATGTCCGGCGGAGTAGACTCTTCTGTCACTGCACGACTTCTTGCGGACAAGGTACATAGTCATCTCACCTCCGTAGCACGCATGGGCTGACTTCGCTCCGTCTGGCCCCTTTTCTTACCTTTCTTTGATACGCTTTCGTTTGGTGTTTGGTAGGACTACGATCTATCGGCGGTGTACATGCGAAACTGGGATACGCGGGATGAATCCGGGTCGGATAGAGGGTGCGAGTGGGAAAAGGATTGGGAAGATGTTCAGCTTGTGTGTCGGCAGGTCGGTCTACCATGTGAATTGGTGCGTCCATCCAACATTACGCTTTTCCATATTTCTTAAGGATTTTTCTGAAATCAATTAGATTGACCTGTCGAAAGAATACTGGACGTCCGTATTCGAGCCGTCGCTGGAAGCTTGGCAGGCAGGATTAACGCCGAATCCGGATATTTGGTGTAATCGGTAATTAATGCAACCCTTCCATGCTGTATCATTTGTACGTGTTATTAATGTGTCTAGAGAAGTGAAGTTCGGTGCACTCATGGATCATGTGGTTAAGAAGAACGGGGCTCAGTGGTTGGCAACCGGTCAGTCGCTAATAATCATAATAGGAACGGTAAACTGGAACAACGGCTTATAGTCTCTTTTAGGTCACTATGCAGGCGTTGGGTGGATACAATCCGGTCCTTTAAGGCCTCGACCAAGACTGGTCCGAGCAGTTGATAGAGACAAAGACCAAACATATTTCCTTTCGAGTATAACGGAATCAAGCTTAGAGAAGGTAATGTCCACCACTCATACATTACTCATTGAGTCTAACCAAATAAATTCTAACTCATGTCGTGCACAGGCTATCTTCCCATTACATCGTCTCCGAAAAACCGAAGTCCGCGAACTTGCTGCGCAATATAAGCTTCCTACAGCGGAAAGGTGCGAAAGTATGGGCATCTGCTTTGTCGGTGAGAAGAGACGGTTTGAAGATTTCTTGGGTACGTTCTCAGATTCAAGTTGCTTCTGACTTTCTTTCGTTAACTGAGTCCGATATAATCGATTAGCTGATTATATACTACCGAATCCTGGCCCTATCATAGACTTAATGACCGGGAAGGAGCTGGGAACGCATCAAGGCCTCTGGAGATATACGATTGGGCAAAATGCGAAGATTCCAGGATTACCGGTGAAGATGTTCGTTGCACGGAAAGATTCGAAGGAGAATCGCGTTTACGTTGTACCTGGCTCGTAAATATTTTTCGTCTTTACATTTTGAAGGTCGATTTTGGGCGGCTAAATTGTGTTATTGGGATGTTCAGGTCTCATCCGGCATTGTACAGCTCAGGTGTCCTCGTCCGGGACTTCCATTGGATTTGGGAAGATGAAATTCCACGGGACGTCGACTGTCAACAACCCGGTCTCAGAGGGAGAGTCAAAATCCGACATCGTATGACAGACGTGCCGTGTACAGTCAGAAGGTATGAAAGCTTTCTCGCATACGTTGTCTCATGATAATCTTATTCATTCTATGCCAGACAATCATCCAGAGAGCTTTTTATTTTGTTTGCAGAACCGCTGTTAGCTGTCACTCCTGGACAGGTAGCTGCGTTATACGATGTGGACAGAGAATGGTGTCTTGGGAGTGGTGAGATCGTACAGAGCATTCCCGTGAATCCCGTTAATGATACTGGAAACTGGCTTAATAAACTACTATAAGGACACTACTTGTTCTATACAACTACAAAAACTGCATCTCCCGTTCTCTTTCTGACGAATAGTCAAGATAATGTAACTATTAATGACAAAATACAGTAACTTTTTTTAACGGTTGGCATTATTATTGACTTCGGGGATAAACAAGGCATGCACCTAAGACCTCCCACAGCATCTAGTGATTATCAATCTTTGTTAAATAAGAGTTTAGCACAACATTAAGGGTATATTACTGCAGAACTCTCACAGCATCCTAGAAGAAATTAAGCACTAGAGACAAGTAGAATTTAAGAAAATCTTAATAGCAAGCTGTAAAAATTAAACTACTTGTTGTAAAATGTCAAAATCATAGTGGCGCATGTATTAAGGGGGAATCAAACCCCCGGCGGGTCGATGGCAACGACCCAGGTTACCACTACCCCATCAATGCATAATGCATAGAGTAGACGGAATTTATAATAATATATGTTTAATTCCTTTATGACAAAGGGATGTATTAATGTTAAGTTAAGGAGGCTTATTGTGACTAAGCTACTCCAGTACACTGTATGTTGATTAGAATTTATGCAAGATGAATTCCACAGTGTGTAAAGATAATTCAACTGTTTATTTTATATTTTTAATATTATTATACATAATAACAGATTTACTATATTCATAATAATAACCTTGTACACACAACATATAGAATCAAAGAATCCTTCCATATCCTACCCATTTAATACACTACTGTTTGGTTGTATATGTACTCAGTCATTCTTGTAGAAATACAACATGAATATGAAAACAGAAGAGAAAGTAGACAACTAGTAGGCAAACTCAAGGTAGTGCATGCACCAAGCAATGCTGAGCCTTGACTTTCTGCCAAAAACTCACCTGTTTCGGCAGAAAGTACACAACTAGCAATGCTCCAAGTAGTGACACCAAAAAAACAATATGGTACTTTGTTAGATTGTAGAGTAGAACATTTTGTTCTGAAAGGTTTGAAATGTCATAAAACTTGATAACAACATCATTATGCATATTGAAATCAAAAGTATAGATAGCTTACATTGTGAAAATTCGAAAATACTGCCAGAACCATCAAAAACTTCGACCCAATAACTGGTTCCATCACAAAGGAATGCTTCTTTCAAGTTTATGAGGAGGTGATCTCTAATAATGTACAGAAGCACAGGGCTCAAGGCAGAGACCAGGTAAACAGCTTTGTTAGCACTGTCGACAAAGAAGGTGGCTATTCTGAGTACAGCTATCGCTGTCAGACCAAGGGATAGTTAGACAAGTAAGAGATATAGTATTGGTGAGTTAATTTCACTGACAAGCAGTAGTACATGATTTGGTCTTTGACGATGATTTTGACAAGTTGGTGTCCTTTGAAGCTGCCCGATTCTTATCAGAGCCCATACACTTTATAGAGCGTCAAACACAGCAGAAGGAATCCGTTCACAGTGGGTAACGCCCTGCAAGCCGCCAAAGAGACTCAAGATACAGGGACAAACAGTCTACCAAGCGATTGCTAATTCCTTCTGATCGATAGCAGCCAGGGAAGGTGGTGTGAAGTAGCGAACATTCGTATCGGGGGAGCGACCGACGACAGATGGTGGCGTATCTGGGAGATCCTTGGAAAGAGCTGGAAGCAACCTCCAACTCGAAGCGGCTCCAATGCCTTATCCCCCAATCCTCTTGCCGCCGACATAGCAATGAACTCAGAGTAATCTAGCTAACACCTGGGGTCCAAAATGAAATGTATCCAGAATGAATCGAAACACGAGGATCAATTTATTCAGTTATATCTGAGCATGGGTGTTTGTGGGTGCAGATACTTTTATAACAGGACATTACGTACATGCTCCTTGCATCATCCATCATATCATAACTCTACTGCAGGAATATTATAGTGATATTTAATTGATATTTGTGTCACATGCTGAAAGTAATTCTGTACTGTCTGATAGACAGTAATATTATGTTCTACAATATGCTTGTTATACATGTGATGATTGTCTAGGCGTTAACTGATGTTCTATGCTGTGCTGCATGTCGAAGCAACTGCACTGAATCCGAGGGGCATAAGACAGTCATGAGGCAGTAGCTGCAGCAGCAGAAAAGCCTTGGATCAAAGTCGGCTCCCTCCATACAAGCCAAAACAAGTCTATAGAATTTCATGGCAACCATCCGTCCCGCTGGCACCAACGCTCTCAAAGTCCCTCATATAATGTGTATTTCACCCGAGCAGAGGAAGAATGGGAAGGTTGTCCAATATGCACTAGTTGAGAAGCTGGATGAGAAGAATCCGGGCGGGACTAGAATCAGGATCGAGACAGTCAAACTGCAGGTGGGAAGTGAGGTTGCGAGGAAACCAATCGACATGACACACCACCGCCAAAGCAAAAGATGCCGGAGCGATGAGGTCAACTCAAAGGTCAAGGAGAGCCCTACGGTTAGAATTCTTGACTGTGACGACTGTCGAAACGTGGATGACCTGCGCGTATCTTCTTGATGCTTCAAGGGGCTTCGTCGAAGAGGACTACTGATTCTCCGCCGGTTCGTAAAATAGGATGAGCATTCTAGAAAAGCCTTGGCCGTCATGAAACTCGATTTACGAGCATGAGCACGAGGACTGAAAAGGAAAGTCGAGCACAAAGGCGACTTACATCGTGAAAATTCAATAAGATTGCTGGATCCGTCAAGATTATCGACCCAGTAACTCGCTTCATCGTCTAAACACCGAGCGCCAGCTTCTTTCAAATTGATGAGGAGCTGATCTCCTAGAATGCTCAGAAGTACAGGACTTGCAGCTGCGATCAGAACGAGTGCTATGCCAATGTCGCGGACGAAAACGGTGGCTATTCTCAGAGCGGCAATCGCGATCAGACTAGGGGGAATGTTAGGTGTGCAAGAGTTCGGTGGACAGTAAGTGGATTCTACGCACAAGCAATAGTAAGTTGTTTGATCCTGGACGATGATCCTGACTAGTTGGAATCCCTTGAAGCCCGCTGATCGTCTAGAGAACTCAGCGGCCTTATAAAGCGTCAAACAGAGTAGAAGGAATCCGTAGGCCGTCGGTAATGCCCTGTAAGCTGTCAAGCCAACGTATATGGATATATAGAGTCACAAGAGCGGCATACCATGCAATTGCCAGTTCTCGCGGGGGCTCCACAGTCAATGTACAGACTGTGATACCTGTCGTAAGGTTCAGTGCGTATGCTGGTTCGTAATGATTAACAACAATAGGCGAGGGCACGAAAAAGAGGATGTACGATTTTCCACAAAGGTAAAGTAAATGAGGACTCCGAGAGAACCAGCGGACTGAGCGACCAGGAGAAGCTTCAGACACACATCCAGGATCTTGTCTTCTACGAGTCAATCCGTGTGAAGCGTGGAGTGATAGTGAACGTACTTTGACCATATAAAGCCGCAACCCGCAAGATGAGGATGTCTGTCAGCGCATTATTATTGTTTTAGCTTAGTGTCAACCTTGCTACTTACAGTCGAGCAGTGTGATTATGGACCAGTCTGGATGATCGCTGAGAGTGAATTGCAATTGAATCAAGTCGGAGCTCTTACTGGATATGGTTCCGGTCCAGAATGTGACGCGACCTGTTGCAGCTCAGCACATTTTGGGTATAACGACAACCTGCGACGTACATCTAAAAGAATACAGTGTTTATAGAAATTGGAATCCGCGATACGTTCTCGCAAGTTACACTACTCACAGTGAAGTGGTTTGTGTTCGAAAGCCATTGTCTGTCATACGAAAGCTTTCAATTCGTACTGCACAGAGGTGGGAATGGTTATACCGGATCCACTTACAGACTACTCGTGAAATACCACCTAATAGCCCGAAGCATCGATTCTACTCGGGGGTCAGAAGTCTCGAAAGACATGGACGGAGACATACATACTGCATAGAAGATACAAGTAACAGTAGTTATTGGACCAGGCTTAAGAAAGAAATTCAGAAATCAGCCCACGTCGTAGGAGACGACCAAGGTACTGACCCAGAAATATTTCGCCTACACGAGCACTCAGAATCTGATAACGTCAACAACGGAAAAGTCCATACCTCCCTGTCCATTCGGAGCGCTGAGAATGAAGTGAAGGCTAGCAGCACGAGAAAGGAATAGTCAACATACTCCAGTAATACATTAGAAGACTGCAGAACGCTATGGCGAAACACGCTTCAATTCTGATTTGGTAGACAGTCGTCGACGGAACAAGCATGGGCAGAGGTGGCGGGGTCGAACTAGATGAAAGTAAAAGGGGTGACGACATGACGGAAAGGTTCAGAGAGGGTTCGGGAGGACGGTATGGTACACATGTGCAGAACGGTATATAAAAAGGCAGGCTTAGGAACCGGGTAATTTCTGATCGCTTACAGCCAGGGAGGGCGGCGGAGCGTAGCGAACAATCACTACAGACGAGCACAACCGACGACAGATGGCGACGGAACCGGAAGACCCTCTGTCTCTGGAAACAACTGAAAGCGACCTCGGTCTCGAAGCGGCTGCAATTCGTGATCTCGCATCCCTTTTATCAGCATAGCAATGAACTGAGAGAAATCAGACTTATGCCTGGGGGTCCAAGATGATATATACAGTATCTAGATGGAATGAATCGAATGGAAGGGACCAATTAACAATTTAATTTATTTCGGTCGTTACCGAATATGGGTGTATGTGGGCGCAGAAGCTATTACGTACTAAATATATCGATAATTTCACATGCATATATTGCACCAATTTAATTTACACTTTGCTACAATAGGTTCTCCTGATCCCATACAAGGAGAAACAAGAAGTCAGACAAACGGACGTCACCAGAGCAGCTGATTCAGATTCAAGCTAGCTCGTCCTGTGTAATCTGAAACAGGCCCCTCAAAGGTTCTTTTTCGTTCCATATTCCATCGGTATCGTCACGATCAGCGAAGCTCTCAACTAAAGCGGACTTCATCGCAGTAGAAAATGAGAAGAAAATCGTCCAAGACGAACCAAACGCGATTAGCCCAAGCAGGACTAGGATTCGGATCGGAATAGGCAAGGAGGGAAGTTGCGAGGTAAGCAAACGACACTTTACAATCGCCATCGAAGGATACCGAAACGAAGAGGCCAGAAGTGTTCCGTGGTTAGAACGTGATGACTGATTACCTGCAGAAATGTGGCTGAATTGTGTACCACTGAAGGATGCCTGAAACGACCAATGCCAGTACTCCATCGGTCCGTGGCATAAAACGAGGATGCCAGAGAAGTCGTAACATCATGAAACTCGAGACGCGAGAATAAGCCCAAGCGCTGAGAACCGAGACAAATGTTGAAGTAACTCACATCGTGAAAATTCAAAAACATTGGTAGATTCCTCAACATCATCATTCCAGTAACTTATGCTGCCGCCTAGAATTCGGGAACCTGCTTCTTTCAAGTTGATGAGGAGCTGATCTCCAAGTATACACAGGGACGCGGGATTCGAAGCAGAGACCAGGACGATTGCGACGAGATGGCTCTTGACAGTAAAGGACGCTATTCTCAGAACAGAAATTACAATAAGGCTTGCGAAATGTCAGATGATGCGTAAGAAATTGGTAAAATACGAATGAGTTTGCTCACCAGCAAAAGTATATCGTTTGATCCTGGGCAATGATTCTGACGATGTCAAACCCTCTAAAGCCCGCTGAGCGTCTAGAGTACTCAGCTGCCTTGTAGAGCGTTAAACAGAGTAGAAGGAACCCGTTCAGAGTTGGTAATGCCCTGCAAGCCGTCACATAGAAGTCTGAACCGAGTGACATGAGCGACATACCAAGCGATCGCCAACTCTCGAGGAGGGAAAATGCGCAAGACACAAATTGTCATGCCTTCTGCGATCTTAGCTGAATGGACTATTTTGTAATAGTTAATGGCAAACATAGTCATGAAAGAGGAAAATGCATACCATCTTCCATATGAGTGAAGTAAACGAGAACACCGAGAGCGGCAGATGACTCGACAAAAAGGAGTGCTTTCAGACACACGTCCAGGACCTTGCCTTCTAGGAGTCAGTTCGTGTCCGATCAATGCGAATAGTGGGCATACTTTGTCCGTACAATGCTGTGATACGCATGATGAGGATGTCTGTAAACATGATATATATTACTACTATTGCATGAACTCAGTATCAGGGCCATTTCTTACAGTCAAGTAGAACGATTGTGAGCCAATCTATTAGTCGTGAATGAGCAAATAACAACGTAGACAAAGCAGGGCTCTTACTGGTTAGTATCAAAATCCAGAATGTGACATGACCTGGATTCGACTCAGCGACAATATGAGTAGCGCTGACAAATTGCAACGTACACCTGAAAAAAAAGGAAGGTAATTAGCACGATCTGACTACTCGATTAGCATTCACTATTCACATCACAGCGGTTTGTCTTCGGAACCCGTTGACTATCATGTAATGGTTTCAAATTAGGTCTTTGCAAAAAGGTTTTGCTTTTCAACCTACAGACGACATGTGAAACAGCTCCTATTACTCCGATACATCGGTTCTACTTGAACGTGAGAAGTATCCAACTCTAAGACACATACACGTACCGCATAGAAGATAACGCTAACGGTAGATAATTGCCCAGACTTTGAAGAAGCCAGTCAGACAAGTTCGCTCGATAGTAGTAAATGATCCGAGCACCAACCCAGAAATATTTCACCTGCACACACATCCAGATCGTTAACTTGACGATATTAATGACAGAAACTACATACCTCCTTGTCCAGTCGGAGCACTGCAGGAGTAGCGTGAGGACTGGCAGTACAAGACAGAATAATCAACATACTCCAATAGTATAATAAGAGACTACAGTATGCAATTGCGAAGTATGCTTCAATCCTAATATGGTTGAGAGACGTTGGAGCGGCGAAAGAAGGAGCAGGCTGTGGCGTCGAGTTAGTGGGGAGGGCGTCGCGGAGCGACATGGCGCTGAAAACGTTTAATGGAGGATTGGACGGTGTGCTATATAAAAAAGGACGGAGCTAAGGAACTGGGTGCTTTCTGATCGCTTGTAGTCAGGGATGCGTCGGGGAGTAGCGAACGGGCGGGGACCCGATGACAGATAGCGACAGATCCAGAAGGTCCTCTGATCTTCCGTTCCTCTTGAACGTAGCATGTTTTGAGGTCCAGAATGATCCAAATATCTAGATGGTAAGACAGCGTAGGGCCAATTTATTAATTTATTCGGTCGGTACCGAACGTTGATCACATAATAAAATATTACGTACATGTGCTCTTGAGCTATCGGATGCATACATGGTGCTACAATTATACTAGCGGTACTATAACCGCGACTGAACGTTGTACCAGTCTTTGCTACGATGGACCCTCCAATACAAAAGAAACGATAAGGTACCGAAAGGACATCCAGACACCCGTCACCACAGCGACTAAGAATTGATTCCAATCCAGCTTCCTCCGTGCAATTTAAAACGGGTCCCACGACTGTCTATTCCACCAGCACTGACGCAGTCGGCGAACTTCTCATCTGATGTGATATTCGTTGCAATTAAGGAGGAGATTGATTGTTAGAGCGCTCCGCCCACCAGTAACACGAACAGGACTGACGTCGGGATCGGGATGGTCAAACGAAGGGTGGGAAGAGACGTTGCGATGAGAGCAACCAAGCTCTTGAGTCGCCGTCGAAGGATGCCGAAGCGAAGAGGCCAGCTCGCGAGTTAGAAGTGTTCCATAGCTAGAATGTGCTGACGGATAAACTGCCGAGTGTGGCTGAATTGTGTACCACTTAAAGATAACTAGAACGACCAAGGCTGGTACTCTATCGGTGTACGAAATAAATGGAAAAAGCCAGGGACAACGCGAACGTCATGAAACTCGAAACGTGTATAAGTAAGTACGAGCACTGAAATCGGAGGACCAATGCGAAAGTAGCTTACGTCGTGAAATTTCAATTTCCTCGATCAAGTAACTCGTTCCATAATTTGTTCTGTCGCACAGAAGTCGCGATCCCGCTTCTTTCAAGTTGATGAGGAGCAAATCTCCAAGAATACATAGGGACGCGGGATTCGAGGTTGACAGAAGGAAGACTGCGGCGGTACGATTTTTGATAGTTAAGGACACTATTCTCAGAACAGCCAGTAACATAAACCTGGGAGAGTCAGACGCATAAGAACTGGACAAATGCGAATGAGCTTGCTCACCAGCAAAAGTATATCATTTGATCCTGGGCAATGATTCTGACAAGTTCAAACCCCTTGAAGCCCTCTGATCGTCTAGGGAATTCAGCTGCTTTGTAGAGCGTCAAACAGAGTAGGAGAAACCCGTTCGCCGTTGGCAATGCCCTGCAAGCCGTCATGGAGAAGTCCAATAGAAGGCACATGGATGACATACCAAGCGATTGTTAATTGTCGTGGAGGGTAAACGCCCAACGCACAAATTGTAATATCTTCTGAGACTTTAGCTGCGTGCACTGATTCGTAATGATCAGCAACAAACATCGGCATAGAGGAGGGGATGAAATACCATCTTCCATATTTGTGTAGTAAACGAGAATACCGAGAGCGGTGGCTGACACGGCAAAAAGGAGAACCTTCAGAAACACGTCCAGAACCTTGCCTTCTCAGAGTTAAGTTGTATCCGGCGTGGATGAATAGTGAACGTACTTCGATCGTATAAAGCCGTGATTCGTATGATGAGGATATCTGTAAGTGCGTTATGAATTGTCGGCATTGCGTGAACTCCGTGTCAAACACATTCTTACAGTCAAGAAGAACGATTATGAGCCAATCTATTTGTCATGGATGAGCATACAACAGACCGGATAAAGAAGAGTTCTTACTAGATATGACTATCATCCAGAACGAAACGTAACCTGGACTCGACTCAGCGACGAATTCTGTAAAGCGTTGAAAAGCTACAACGTACACCTAGAAGAACGATGGTCAGTGCAAATTAACTACTTGATGAGTATTCATTATTCACAACGCAGCGAATCGTATCTGGAAACCATCATCTATCACGTCATGGTTTCAATGTAGTCGTTTCAAGAAAGATCCTTTTTCTTGACGTACAGACCACATATGCAATAACGCCTACTACCCCGACAAACCGGTTCTACTCGGAGGTGAGAGGTATGCAGATTTCTGACACCAACACACGTACCGCATAGAAGATAACGTTTGTGGCAGTTAATTGCCCCGTCTTTGAAAATGCAAGTCAAACGAGATTCGGTTTGTAGACATCCAGCTTAGCACTAACCCGGAAGTATTTCGCCTACACGTACGTTTAGACAGTTAGCTCGACAATATCAATAACAGAAAACCCATACCTCGTTGTCCATTTGGAGGACTGTGAGTGCAGAGTAAGGACTGGCGCGACACAAGAAAAAATTGTCAACATACACTTGTAGTATAATAAGAGACTGCAGAATGCGATGGCGAAATATGCTTGGATCTGCACATGGTAGAGGGACGATGGTACAACGAAGGAGGGGTGAGCCTGTGGCGTCGAGTTAGCGAGGAGGGACATGGCGTTGAAAAGGTTGATGACAGATTGATTGGTGGGCTTTATAAACAGACAGACCTAGGGACCTGGTGCCACTGGTTAGCGTGTTGTGTAGCACTAAACATCTTCTGATCGCTCCCCGCCCAGAATGGCCGATGGCGGCGGGGAGGCGCTGACAGCGGGGACCCTATGACGCATAGCGACAGATCTACATAGCAGGTCCTCTGACCTCCCCTTCGACTGGAACTTAACTCATGTCTTGATGGTCGTGATTATCCATAATGATACGCTGCTACATATCTAGATGATAAGATAGTCTAGGGTCAATTTATTGATTTATTCGGTAGATACCGAAGTTGAGGAACGATCACGTAAGACAGGTATTACGTACACACCCTTGAGATTTTGAATCCATGCACGCTGTGGTGGTGTTGTAACTTTCCACTGTGCGCTGTGCCACTCTTTGTTGCGATGGATTCTCCTAGGCAAAGGACACGAAGGAGCACTAAAAGGACATCCAGGCAACCATCACCAGAGCGAATAAGAGTTAGATCCAAGCCAGCTTCTTCCGCACAACCTGAAGCAGGTCCTTCAAGGAAACAACCAAGGCTGTCTAATCCACTGGCACAAACACAGTTAGCGAACTTCTCATCTGGCGCAGACTTCATCGCATTTGAGGGGGAAGATGATGATCGTCCGAGGCGTTCCACCCGCGAGTGGGACAAAGGCAAAACCGAGCGGAATTGGGATCGAGATGGTCATGCTGCTGGCAGGAAGAGAAGATGGGAGGAAAGTGACCGAGACGACGCCTCGTCATTGAGACATGCTGGAAGCAAGAGGTCAACCCATAGATTGAGGAGAACTCCATGGACAGACTATGTTGATTGGGATAGCTGTCGAAATGTGGCTGAATTGTACGTAACTCATAAATGACGTCGCTCATAATTTATTAATTATTTAAATAAGGATGCATAAAGAAGTAGAAGCATACTTGAAATACGTCTCACCTACTCCAGTCGAACATGAAGTGCGATGGATGGTCGTCCAGCTCATCTCCAGTAGCATAAAGAGAGTCTATTCAGACTCGGAGGTCTTGCCATTCGGCAGTTTCGGCACGAAGCTATATTTACCACAGGGGTGCGTATATTTATCTATGCTGTTAAATGTGCTGCTCTTGTATACTCATTGAGACATAGAGACATTGATCTCGTGGTGCAGTCAAGAACTCTGGCATCCTTTGAGAAAGTCACTGCATTGAAGTCACTTGCGAACATAGTCAAGAGGACTGGACTTGCAGATAAAGTTACCATCATCTCGCAAGCTAGAGTACCCATCATCAAATTCACTACATTATATGGTTGGTGTTCTTGAAATTTTTGCCCTTAACCTTGCTCACTGTCTTTTCGCTAGGTCGTTTTGCTGTCGACATTAGTATGAACCAATCGAACGGCGTGAAGACGGGAGACATGATCAACCGATTCCTTAACGAATTTCCCGCACTTCGCGCAATAGTCTTAATCGTCAAGTCTTTCCTTAAGCAACGTAATCTGAACGAAGTCTATTCAGGAGGGTTGGGAAGTTACGCAATAGTCTGCCTCGCTGTAAGCCATTTGCAGGTAGGCCAACCAATCTTCCCTCCTTTCGTCACCACAAAGGATTTGAATGGAAGTGATAGTTGCTTACACTAGCTTGAAGATGCATCCGAAGGTTCGACGTGCAGAGATCAATTCTGCGAAGAATCTCGGCGTTTTGACGCTTGAGTTCTTTGAACTTTACGGGAAATATTTCAACTATAACAACACTGGCATTTCGCTACGTCATGGTGGTTCGTACTTCGGCAAGCAAGAGAGAGGGTGGAGGGATTATAACAAGCCTTACTTGCTGTGCATTGAAGATCCTGGTGACATTAGTCAGTCGTATTCTTTCTTCAAGACAATTTCTGTATTGACGAATCACGCTTTGTTTACCATAGGTAACGATATCTCTAGGGGATCTTATGGAATAAAGAGAGTGAAGCAGACGTTCGCCGGCGCGTACGATATGATGCTCTCGTCTATCTATCTCGTTGCACAGATCCTGAGCGCTCGACAAGACTCTCGAGATGTAGATTTAAGGAAAGGCAGTATGCTGGAACGCGGTGGGGATGAGCTGAGTGTACTGTCAGCTATACTTGGTATCAATCAAGAAACGATTAACCATCGTCGACTTGTGCGAGAAGTGCACGAGGAGGGGGAGCTTGCACGTATGCTGGGCGTTGAACCGCGGGTGGGACTTCCTGGTGGGAAGACGCGGGGTAGGGAGAAGGAGGCGGAGAGCGTCGTTGAGGCTTGGGAAGAGGCGGAAAGTATGAGTGAATCTGACGAGGACGGAGTGGATCACCAGATGGACGTGAATGCACTAAATGGACGTCTTCAGGATGACCGAGAGAGCGAAAACGAGAGTCGGTACCGCATCAAGGCCAAGCAGAACGGGAAACATAGGAGCTCACGAAGTGCAAGTGCGAGTGATGGACCGAGTAGCCGGAGACAAGCTGGACCTTCTCGGGTGGCAAAACGATCTCGAATAGACACGGCGTACTTCGTTGCAGACGAGGACTCCGAGAGCCATGCCACGACCGAGCAATTTGATCGTGATGAACCGATTCGATCTTACGTCGACCCGAACGTCGACTCCACTGCTGCTGGGTCTGGCGACGATGACGATGATGACGGGCTTGACGAGATTGAACGTGCGTACATCGCTGCTGCAGATGCTTTCGCCGACGACGCTCATCAATTAGATGACGAGTATGACTCAGGTCCGGCGTTTACGGAAGAGGCTACAGGTAGTAAAGGGAAGGGAAAGGAGAAAAGCATAAATGGACGGATGAATCTGAAGAGATCGTTGAGTGGAGATGAACGACGTGCGTTCTGGGCTTCGAAGTCAGTACTTGGTGGAGATCTTTCAGAATTTGAAGAGGACCTTGAGTGGGGGTGAACGGCATGCGCTCTGGGCTTTAAGGTCGTTACTTGCAGAAGATTTTTCAGACCGTTCGTAACTGTTCCGCCACTAGCTTATGGGGGTGTTTTGTTTGTTTGTTCGTTCTTAGAGACTTGTTTGCTGTGCTGTGCTATTTGCTATCTGATACTTCACACACATACCTTCTTGGATTCCAGTCCGGACCGAATCACAAGAACACAGACTTTAAGCATACACATAAACGCCAGATATGCAAATGCCAGATGCAATAATCTCATAATATACAAGACACTTGGATTACTATCGGATTCAGAGCAAAAAAAATAAACAAGAGGAAGAAAAAAAGGGACAGATTGAAGATTATGCGAGGTGTGTAAATGAGTAAATGAGAATGAAAAGAGTGAATAAAATATTCAGCCTGTCTAAATCCAGAGAAAGGCGAATGCGAATGCGAATGGATGCATGATATGACCGTTCGTTAAGTAAGTTAAGTAAGTAAAGAGAGGAAGGGTGTGGTAGGTGATAGGTGATTGGTGTTGTTCAAGTTTGTTGAGTATGCTTATATATCCAAAATGTATGACAGTGACGAATGAATGCAGGAAAGTAAGGCAGGGAAAGCGGAAGAATGAAATGGTGGGAACGACAACGACGACAACGATGACTAGGATGGGAGAGAGGAAAGAAGAATTGAAAGAATATATACATGCAAATCTAAGCAAGAAACCAACGGACGGACGGACCGACTGGCTACGTGAAACCAAAAACCAGAGCAGCTAAACTCGAATCAACGAAATAGAGGGAGAGAAAAAAAGGGAGAGAAAAGAATGGTAAAAGATAAAAGGTAAAAGGTAAAGGATAACAACTGACAAAATCTGAGCAACTCAACCCGTCTGACAATCCAGTAAACCCAACAACTTGATGAACCTCAACGTTCTAGTTTAGCTAACTAGCTAACTTCCTCCCCCGCTCACATCTGCACTCCCACTCCCACTCCCACCACCAAATCCTAACCCTAAAGTAACGCTCATCCGACTCGCTGTACTACTCACCCTAGCACGAGAGTAGGTGGACGTCGTCCTCGTCCTTGAGGAAGAAAGTGAGCGGGTGAAGGAGCTGAAGATGGATTTGCCAGACGAAGATGAGGTTGGGTGAGAGTGGGGGAAGCTCGATGGAGGTGGTTGTGGGTCTAAGTTGGAGTTCATAGAGGCGTTCGACGACGATTCGTCCCGCTGGTGGTGTGAACGGACCGAGAACGAAGGGAGTCGGAGGGATGATTTGGATTTGGCCTTGCGTGCTGCTGAGTAGGGATGGGAGTTTGTTGTTGAGAGGGAGAGTGTAGATGCTGAGGCAGATAGTGATGGGGATGGTGGAGCAGGAGAGTAGGAGTTCGACGCCGAGAGGATGTAAGAATGCGAATTGTGATGAGCGTTATTTAGAGAATAATGGAGGTCTTTACTCGGTGGAGTTGGCGGAGGGGGAGATTGTGGCTGCGAATGAGGGAACGGCACAGATTGTCGTTGTGCGTTCGCGTTGGGATTGTGCTGGAAATGGGTAGGAGGCGAAGGCGCTCGCGATATACGCAGAACAGGCGACTTCGAAGGCGGCGTAGGTGGTAAAGGATTCCTCTCCTTTCTCTCTCGCTCCACCTGGTCATTGCACAAATCCTCACTCCTCTCAGCCTGCCTGATGCTTTCCCTCTCCCGACTCTCCCTCGCAATCTGATCCCTCACCTCCTCACTCCGATCCGACTCAAAACTACTCGGCACATTCCTGGGTACATTCCTAGGAACATCCTTCGGCACATCAGGAAACGAATCAAACAGCTCCGGATCAAGCGGGCTCGGACTAGCAGTCGACGACCATGCAGAAGTTGAAGATAGAACTGAGACTGCTGAGACGACCGAAACGGGGCGCGGCACGTCCGGCGTGTCGTGCTTCTCGTACTTGGCTAATCTCGGAAGTTGTTGCTGTTGTTGCGACGTTATTATCGTGCTGCTCTTACTCTTCGCTGAAGATTGAGAAGAATAAGACGTATAAGAATACGCTGATGGGGATGGAGATGGGTAGGGGGACGAAAATGTAGATGAAGAAGGGAGGACAGTGGAGGAAGGGTAGGCGGAAAGCGTCACAGAAGTAGGGGTAGAATCACACGTGTATGTTGTTAAATCGGAAGTCGGTGTGGTAGTCGTCGTCGTTGGTGCAGTCGTTATCGTCTCGTTGGTGTACGCAAATTGCTCGAGATCGTGATGATCGAGACCTACACCTACAAACAGGATCGGGGAACACAGTCAGCCTCGTGCCCGCCGTCACCTGCCACCACTGCGAGCCGTGGCGGTCACAAACGAACGAGCCATGCTCAGCAGGGGAAATGATAAATAAAAACATTTATTTAAACTTACCTCCTGCCAATGCGAGAGTTGAATTCGATGAATTTGACTTCCCACCGTTCCCGGTGGAACGAGACAACATCCTCCCAAGCATCGTGTTCGTCCTTAACCTATCAAGCGATTTCTTCCGAATAGACGTAGAGGACGACTGGCCCGGCGACGAGGGACCTGAACCTGAGCCTATCGAATGTTTGTCGGAATGTTGTTCTATTGACGAGCCGACGTCCAAATCCAAGCTGTGTCCATTACCGATACCCATGCCGATGTCGAATAGTGGTGGGTTACTACTCAGGTTATTTAGATTACTTAGGTCGAAGGTTGGTGATGGAGGTGTAAGCACTGGTACGGAGTCTTCGGAAGAGGCGTTCCCTGATGACCGACTCCAGCTTTTTCGGTTACCTGCGCTTGTATTCGTCGTGCTCGTTTGAGAGATCGTTAGAGGACTTGGATCTTTGGGAGGTGGAGCAGGTCCTATATCCATCACCTCTTCCAAAGGCCATTGTACACCTACTCTACTCGGGAACTTGACGTGTGACGTTTGGGGCTTGGTACCATTCATTGCATTCGCATTCCCCAACTGCTGTACAGATCGAAATCCCTCCGCATCAGGACGCGGTGTCCTCACCTCGCCATCACCCCCAGTGAGTCTCTGCTCGAGATACATAGCCTGTGCAACGAGTGCCGAAAGGTCTGGAGAACCAGGTGTACCAGGATCACCCGTCTTCGGGTGTATCACCACTACTTGCGTTCTTGGGACTGTTGATCGAGGGAGCGTTGTAGGAGGTGCTGGAGCAGAAGTGTGCGTCTTCTTGCCATGCACGACAGCATGGAATGACTTTGGTGCGGACTTTGGTTCTAGGGAAGGTTCTACGTAGTGCTTCTCGTCCTTCTGGAGATTTAAGGGCGCGGGAGGACTACGTCGACGCGAAGAACCTGAACCGGTAGATTGAGGTGTGAGAGGGCTTTTCTGTGAAGCCGAAGTTGGTGATGGGACACTACTCGGAATGCTGACGGTTTGCGTAGAGTCCCGCCTCTCGGAGGTCCCTGAGATGTCACGGACTGATACTGAATCACTCGGAGAAATAAAGCTCTCCCGCACGTTCTCAGAATCCTTCGCACTCTCAGCAGACTGCATACCATCCTGCTCGAGCGTGTCTACCTTCGTCTCGTCTTTGGAACAAGGCGGTAGCACAACGTATTTATGCGGCTCGCAATACGCACGCTCACCAACCTCAAGTGACGCAGAAAGTGGAGAAGTCGAGACCGTAAGGGAAGTCGACACACTCGATATATCCGAATAGAACGAATCGACTTGACGTCGCGGATCAAGTGTGATCTCCTGAGCTTCCGAATAAAGTGATGACGCGTCTTCCGACGTCGCGGGAGGAGGCGACCCAGCAGCAGTTAAATTAGGTGAGAAAGTCGCAACGACGGGAGTCTTGACTGAACTCTCGTCCTCCTGTTCCGCTGGTGCTGATTCTCCTTCGGTTGTCTCCGGCCGCGGCGACGCGTCTGGCCCAGGTTCTGGTTCTGCTGACTGAACGTTGTTAATGTCCGATGGAGGCACGCTATCCGCACGTTGTTGCTCGGCGACGGACTGATGGTGTTGATCTTCCGGGGTAACGTGATCGTGATCATCAATGCTCGTTGATGCCATCGAGTCCTTCTCTCCAACTGTGCGAGACATGCGGCTGTCCTCTGCATTCGCCAGAGGTTGCCGAGCATTATTATCACTATCCGTATCCGAGACCGAAGAATCAGAGACAGAAACAACTGAGCGCATTGCGTCTGCACCTGAGATAGAGCTGCGACGCGCTTGAGTTTTCGCCTCGTCGTCGTCGGAAATAGATAGCTGCATAGTATTGGTAGACATCTGCACATCAAGCACGGCGCTGCTCCCGTCATCGTCGAATGTGCCTGTGTCGCCTGAGATGCTCGAAGAGAAGGCACCAGAACTGGAAGAAGATACGATGCCCGCCAAGCCCGACGTGGAAACGCATCGTTTGCGTACGGGCGACCCGTCCCCAAGCTCAACAGACAAATTCGAACCAGCACTCATACTAGGTACAAGAGACTTTGCAGCTGCAGAAATTACAGCCGCGTTTCCTGTAAGCTGATGCCGTATCGCAGAAGGCGGGGAGCCGAGGCCAACTGCGGGAGTTGCGCGGCTGACACTCGCAATACGGTTTCCATACAATTCTCCCCGTTTGCGTGCTGCAGAGCCCTCGTGTGTTTGTTCTAACTGTAGTGGAGGAGCACCGATGCCAAATGACCCGCGGGGGACGGGTACACCACCCTTCTGCTCGAACTTCGCGATGCGTTCCCGTAGCGCTGAGCCAGAGCCAGCTGGGCTGTTTGCAGCTGAGGAAGACGCGGACCCATTGGGTGATCCTAACGCTGAAGCCCCCGCCCCAGCCGCTGCTGCCGACCCCGACGTCGCGCTACCAGAGGCATGCGGTGAACTCGAATTGGCTTTTTGCTGTAGGAGAGCTATACGCTCCTTGAGGTTGACCGGCGTTACGACACGGTGCGCCCTTTGGGATAAGAAGTAGAGTTTTGTTGTTGTCAACGTACGGCTCTTGGCATGAAAAAAAATGAAAATGTAGTGAAATGAACGAACATTATTGGCGCCTTTAACTACAGCAAGCGTCGTCAACGTGAACGACGACGAATGTGAATGCGAGGGAATCGGGAGAACGAGTGAGAAAGGGAAAGAGGGAGAGATGGAGACTGAGACTAACAGAGCCCGTTCTCGTCTAATGTAAAAGATCGGGCGGTCCTATATTTGGGCATGGCTCGCTTCTACTTCCGGTCGCTTAGCCCGCGACACTACAAACAAAACGCGCAAAATTACGCAAAAAATAATATTGGGTCATCATGCACACGACACTACACTACAGCATTGTAAAAGAAATTATAGAAGTAAAACAATATCCAGTGTATTTATTTCTACTCTCGCTCCGATGCCCGTTCGAGCTGCTGCCGTTTGCGAGCTCCACCACTGTTGTTGAGCGTGTCAGAAAACGTCACAAGGCAAAATGCAAAACGAGAAAAATATGAAACTCACGCTGAAGTGTCAAGTCCCCGCTTCTTGCCGGCTTTCGCTTCATCCAAAAACTCGTCCACGCCAAATACGTCGGCAGTCGTGTCCTTCTCGAATTGCACAGGACCCTCTCGGACCTCCTGATCCTCTGCACCCTCGAATCCGACACGCGCCTTCCCAAGTCCGAACCGATCATTATCAAGCGCTTTCCCGATACCCTCTTCCGTGCCGCCCCCAAATGAGTCTTCGTTCCCCTCCGCCATATTCCCGTGCGCTTTGTAAATCGCCGCTGCTGCCGTCGAACCGTGGAAAAGCGGCCTGTCATACAAGTTGTACGCATCGTCATCCGCAAAACCGGACGCTAGACTCTCTTGGTTGAACAATCGCGAGTCAAGCATCGACTCCTTCGACATTGTCGGCTTCGCAAGTCCAAGTGCAACTTTTTCAGAAATGTCGCGATTCTGCTGACGCGCAAGCATCTTCGCACGTTGTTCTGTACCCATATTACTCATACGCATCTCACGTTCACGTTCGCGCCGCTTCGCTGAGCGCATCTCGTCACGAACTTGACGTGCTTCCTCGTCTTCTGCGCTGTCTTCGTCCTCCTCACTGCGTCTCCCTCCTCGGTCAGATTCCGCTTCGGATGCCGAACCTGATTCGTTGTCGCTGCCATATCCAGCCAAACCTGTTTTCATAGCAGTGGTAGACACTGCAGTTGGTCGGGCAGGGATTCCTGAGCGTTCTTCTCGGGCTCGTTGTGCCAAAGATCGCAAATGCTCCTCCTTTGCCTCCTTTTCTTTCTGCGCAAGCTTCTGTTGCATAAGAGCACGCTGTCTTACTTCTTCTCGCGCATGTCGGTCTGCGACGAAGAGCGCTTCAGAGAATTTAGCAAAGTTATCGTTAATATGGACCTAAATAAAAGGTCCTGTGTTAGTAAAGCACCCCAATAAAAATAAAGCGTAAACGGACATCTTGAAGACCACGGCCGTCTGCGGCAAGACGCTTGTCTAATGGAATAGTGAAACCCTTGTTATTCTTCCAATTTGAGATACACGGTGGGATCATCCATTCTTTTTGCTCCTGTGCTGTGGCTTTTCGCGGCGGGCTACGCAGAACAGGAGGTGGAGGACTCGGTGGACCTCGAGGAATCTTTTTGTGCTTGAAGCGAGGCGGTTCGAGAGGGTCCTCCGCAACCTCAGTCATTTTGATGATACGCTGCTTAAGTCCATTGGAGCCTCCTTGCTGGCCGGGAGTGTACCGAATGAACGACGATTTTCCCTGGCCATCGGGAACGTTCTTCACTTGTGCGGACTTGATCTTTCCGGTGACGAGCTTCTCTAGTGCTTGGCGGGTACGTTCTGCAGTTTCTGCCACCTCATCCTCTGAAGGGCGCTCCATAGCACGTCCGGCTTCATCGAGGTCTTTCCGGTGTGAAAGTGGTACAAGATCCTTGAATTGTGATTGTACGTGCTTGCCCTCGCGTTGACCCTGCTGTGCAATAGCATCATAGCGTACGTTTCCTTCACCATCGACTTGTAATGCAAGTGTGTTCCCGGAGGAAGCCTTCTTTTTGCCCATTTCGAGAGGATACTGTGCGACATGGCATTCAGGATAGGCACCACCATCGCCTGCGAAATTTGTCAGCAGACACTCGATTGAGTATACATGGAGAATAGACGCACCGTAGTCTGACTGAGACGTTGGTTTCCAGCCTTTTCGTTTGCCGTACGGTGGGACTGCCTGTCTGGTCACAACAGTTGTTGAAGAAGCGACAAATTGTGGTTGCTCGTCCTCATCATCGGAGACAGTCGGAGCATATACTGGGTTAGGAAGGAATCTAAAGACAGCACATCAGTATCATAGCCAGGAGAGAGTGCAGATAACTCACGAAGCGAGAGCAGCCATGGCGGTCAGTGTCAACACAGTAGATTTGAGTGAGTGAAAGTGAAATGAGAGTGACGATCGCTGACACAGTACAGTCACGTTATCTAATTATGTAATTGACAAGAGTTTACCCGCTACGGACAAGGCGCGTGAAGGGAGTGACCAACCACCCGCGTCGACAATTGGCCGTGACAGACGCGTGCAGCAAGTCGGCGCACGTCCTCCTCAAGCCCGCCCTCAATGTCCAAGCCACGCAAGAGCAGCATAGACGGTGCCCGACGCACTACCAAAGCACACATCCCCTTCCGAGCAGACGACCTAACACATGGAAAGAAGACAGGCTTCAACGTCCGCGAAGTCGACCGTCGCTCAGATGGCTTTGAGAAATTCGACGATGTACTTAACCAAGCAGATGCTTTCACACCACCACATATGCGCGGACGTCGACGCAATTATAATCGAGAGTTGACCCCTCCGGACGAAGATGAGTTTGACGAAAACGGTGAGATGTCTATGGATATTGACGATAGTGCGTAATAATATGCTTCCGTTACACTGGGTATATTGACACGGAGCTAATGCCCGGGATGACTTTTGACTTTTGTTTCTCTAGCTATGACTACAGGTATTGGTGTAGACAGCCCGAATGTCTATTTCAATAATGCCCCTCGGCCGAGTGCACCGTCGAGCGCGAATCGCTCCGCTGCCACCGGTCTCAGCTCGAACCGCTCTTCCTACATTGACTTTGATAGCATCCCTTCACCTCGTCCTTCAACCTCCTCGCAACGTATGCGCTCACAAGCAAATGGTTCTGGTGGAGTCACGCCACTAGGCCGCAAGAAGTCAAACCTTTCTCACCAAACAGTCGTCCCCTCCAGCCCAGAGGACAGTGAGAGTGACAACGAACCTTTACCAGACCCTCCACCTGGAGATGACTTTGATATGGGATACGACTTCGGGGGTTATGGTAACGACCGGCCCGCCGTTGAGTCGTCATCACCTGTCGCAGCAAGGACAAGCTTCACAGAAATAGCTCAAGACGACACCGACCCACCTCCCATGGACGACATCCGAATATCGTCCCCACCCGTAAGGATCGAAAAGAAGAAGAAACCAACGAGACAAAAGGAAAGTGTAGCAGAGGAGGAAATGGCATTGGAGGAGGAAATCGAGCGAGGCTTAAGGGAACTTGACGACAACACCGACGCCGAAGGCGAGGAAGAGCAGGATAGCAAAGGGAACCAAAGTTCGAAATCTCAAAAACGGACGAGGAGCGAGGAGCAAGCGCTGAAGGAGAAGAAGAAGCCTGGTAGGCCGAAGAAAGCGCGGATGGAATTACAGCCTTTAGGTGAGTATTGTGCCTTACTCAATCTCTATTTTGGGAAGAATTTCTGAATATATGCTCTCATGAAGAAAACCAAGAAAACATCATGCCAAACGGTGTCCGTCGCGGCACTCGCGCACGTTACAAACCCCTAGATTGGTGGCGCTGCGAAAAAGTCGTATACGGGCGACGAGAGTCCGGTACGTCAATGGTGCCCGTCATCAAGGGTATCATTCGAATACCGAAGGAACCTACGGGTCCGCTTGGGAGTAAAGGCAAACGAACTAGACGTAGTCGGAGTAAAGCACCGCAAGGTGATGACGAGGAGGAAGAGGATGTGGTTGTGTTCAATCCTGAGGAAGGGTGGGATGATAAGACTGACCCGACGGGTGTTGTGTTGGATTATCATAGTGGGAAGGAGGTTCAACGAAGTATGTCTCTCTTTACCTTCCTTTTTGGCTTTGCTTGAACGGAGGTATTTATGGTGGTTGCGTGTATAGGACTGGTGTTCACGGCGAAGATGATTACACCCGAACCAGCGATGAATAACGAGTTCTTGTACCAGAAGATATTCGGAGATGGGGATTTCATCGCTGCTGGGGAGTTGATTGTACCTGTTAATGGGAGGAAACCTAGTAAAGCGAGTAGGGATAACACTTATGTGAGTGTCTCGTTCTCATCCTTCGCACTTATTAATCAACTAACCATTAAATGAATTTCATTCCGTTCTGATAAACAATGAATTAGATATTCTACCTCATCGAAGGAGCCATCAACCTCAAAGTCCACCGAACGAGTTTCGTAATAGCGTCAGGAGGAATGTTCCTCATTCCACGAGGGAACACGTATTATATCGAGAACATCTCTCAACGACCAGCGAAGTTGTTCTTTGCGCAGGCAAGGCAGGTGAACGTGGATGAGGAGATGCCTTTGCTGCCTGTTGTTCGTGCAGCACCTCATTCCGGAGGAGGGGGGGGGAGGACGAAGTCGGTGGGTCCGGGAACAGGCGGTCCTACGTCGGGAAAGTCGAGTAGCTTGGCTAGGAGTTCGAGTGTTGCTATTACTGGTGCTTCTTCTGGGGATAAGGAGAAGAAGTCGGCGAAGCGGGCTGTGTCATTGTCAAAATGAAATTTGGTACCTCCTCTCTCGCACTTTCTTTCTTGTGCCTGTTGTCGGTTGCTCTGAGTCTCGTCCCTCTTCTCTTCTCTCGTTTCTTGATCCCTGCACGTTTCTTTTCTTGTCCCGTCTCGTCTACTCGTTTGTTCTGCTGTGACCGTGCGTAAGGTATTAATTTTCTAGTCTCTAAGCTCTCGAACTGGACCGGTTCTTTTTTGTTCGAGTCGCTGTGTGAATATCGCTATGTACGATTATGATTGCTCTCTTTTCGTTCCCCATTTTTCTTCTCTCTTGAGGAAATCAAGCTTTGAAGCATACATGTATACTTGTACAGTTTTTTGTGGGTCGAATATTAAAAAAATTATGGAGGATATTCCTCGTGCGTGAATTGACTTCGAGGTTGGAAGGTATTCATAACACAAGAGACTCAAAGAGAAGTTTGTCTCGGAGATTGAATTTCACGCGTCACGGACGCGTTTCTCAAGTCGCGTCTCAAGGCATTTGAACTGTGGTCTTTCTCAATTTCCGCTCTCGCTCAGTAATCTTGACTTACACCTCAACAACTCCATACTGAAACTTATACTTATACTTATACTTATGCCTATGTTCATGCCACAATGGGAACAGTAACACCAACACTTATACCTCGACTCCCAGCTATACCGCTGTTCTTACCGAAAGTGCCAACTCCGCATCCGATGCCTTTGCCTCCGTACTCTAATTCATCATCGGGGATGGGAATGGGGATGGAAGGAAGGAGGAACTTGAGGATGGAGATGGAGGAGTTGAGTGAGGAGGAGGAAGAAGTTGAGATGCAGGTGCGTCCTTGTTTCGAACTGTAGTACTTGTTTGTATGGATATGAACGCCGGGTTGATGATGGATGGGTATTTAGTGGAAAGACGCAGTACAAACGCGAGGGTTCACGCATTTACGAGTTATTGGGAGGTTACTTACGAGGCAGGAGGAGAAGAATGATGTACGTCTCTCATTCATTCACATAACCCCCCTCTCTCCCTTCTCCCTCTATTATTAATTTAACTTCAACACTTATCCGTGTTATTATGTTATTGGTATTGACGTATGTTTTTCAGCAGGCGGAAACGGACACGGACGAGTCCGGTTCGGCACATTCTGGAGAAGGGGACCAGATGTCTGGTGTTAACGAGGGTGAGAACCCGTCTGAGCAGGAGCAGGAAGGTGAAGCCGACAATGACGGTGAAGCTGATGGTGACGTTGATGTAGAGGGTGAAGGAGAAGGAGAGGGGGAGGAGCAGGAAGAACACGATTTGGACGCGAGTATGGAGGATTTGGACGATGATGGGCGGAATGTGAATGGGACTTCTTTTGATGTTTCGGAGGGAGATGTGGATGCGGAGGAGGGGGACGAGGATGTTGAGCTATAACGCTGCTAGGTCCATTGTTTTCTTTGTTGTTATTGAGTTGTACTTGTAGGCGGTAAGGTTGTATTGCATTTCATATCTATCTTTTTATTGTCTATCAATTATACCTTCCCGTTATCTATACATAACACATCCTATCCAAATGAATGTACAATACTGATATACTGAGTCATTGCATTTCCCGCCCTGGCCTGCGTATCGTGCTATTCATCCAATATGAAGCTCCACAACTTGGAAGAATCTTTGAAGTCATGGTGTACGATGCTCACAAGCCACCTTTCACTACGAACTGACTCGAGGAACCTCCGTTCAGCTGAGTCTGGTGGGTACACGAGCGACCATTGTTCCCAGATTGAGAATGCTTCCTCCTAGATGACAAGTATTAAAAAAATTCAGTACATCATTACTATGTTGCCAGGAAGAAATAAGGAGGAGGATGCGTGACTGACTAACCTTCCAGGAGAGGAACGAAGTCCTGTCGATAATTGTTGACTGTGCGATTTCTTGTCCTGCGAAGACACCCCATGTAACAGCGTTCCTACCACTTTCTGGGACGTTTGTTCGCAGTTCTCCCTGCCAAATTGTCATTCGTTTTATACCGGTACGAGACCAGAACAATATGCGATAGAAACACACCTTCTCATTAGCAGCAAAGAAATCCACCCATCCATCACCTCTACATCTTATCTTCCTCTCCAATAACTCCACATCCTCCTTCACCGCAAAGAACTCGACGAATCCCTTTTGGAAAACATACCCACCCGCAGGTCCCCAGCCGAAAACCTCGTCTGAGGAACTCACGCCGTCTACTGCAGGTTGCGAGAACACGGTCCACCAGCCTCGACGTGTCAGATCTTCCAGGTGTTTGAGAATGAGTTGCGATTCATGTAAGAGTGGGTAGGGTGAGAACGGTGTGGAGGAGAGTTTAGAGTGTAAGTGTGCGAGGAAGAGGTTTGTGAGGTCTGTTGGAGACTTGGGGTTGCCCCATCGCGCTAGTGCTTCTGCTCTCTGTTTTGCGAAATCAAGATGAGATCGTTAGGCAGGTTTAACGGTGGATTTGGTATTGAGACTCACCGATACGCCAAGGCTATTCGGAACACCAGAGTTCCATGGATCCAATTGAAGGCCGAACGCAGGACTCTTAGAATCACCAAACCGTCCATTCGGGAACTCATCCCAAGTCGAAGCGTTGTTAACCTCTCCTTTACCCGGTTCAGGTATGTCAGGTAGAGGTTTCGTCGATAACTTGTCTGTAGCAGTTTGTGCTGCATCGTGAGGCTTTATAGTGAACTCGGGTGGTTCTTGTATCTCGTCTGCTGGGTCCTTTTCGTTTTGGTTATCAAAGGGTACTTTAGAACGGATAAAGAGGGAATACGGACGACGATGAGTCTATTTTCATGTTTCGGAGGGCCTCCGATCCATTGAAGTCCTTCAAGCACCTTTCGTACGCTCCGCTCGAGGTTTAACGTACAGAAGTGAACACCACTGACATCCCCGGAGTCGATTAGTCGCCTGATTATGTCCATTGCGAGTGTTACGCCATAGTCCTTCACTTTTTGGTCATCGTGCTAGAGAATTATGTGGATATATGCGTGCGAATAAATACGGGAATGTTCTTAGAAAAGCTTACCCGTAGAGGCTCAAGATCGAGCTTTAGTTTTGACGGAACCTTCGTCCCACAGAGTTTGGTTAATCGTAGAAAGGTTGCGTAATTTTGAAGCGGCATGATCCCTGGGATGACGGGAACATTGATCCCTTTACAGTAATATGAGCATTAATGAGCTAAAGAAATGAGATAATGGGATCCTCGGACCTTTCTCCCGTACTTTTCTTAACCATTTTAAGAAGCCACCGACGTCGTAGAATAGCTGAGTTATGATGAATTCAGCTCCAGCATCAACCTTAGCTTTGAGATACTCCAGTTCTGTATCTTCGTCCACATCGGACTCTACATATCCGTCAGGATAAGCTAATTGCATTCAGTCAGCATATAGATGCCGGTTTGATATTTGTTCGCCTGAGACTTACCTGCAACTCCTATGCAGAAACTGGAAGAAAATTCCGGAGAGGATTTGATGTACTTCACAAGATCAATAGCATGTGTGAAACGCGGGTCTATGGGTATCCAGTACTCTTCTCCTCGGGGTGGGTCTAAGGGAGTTATGATTTATCCGATGTCAGAGTGTGCGATAGGGATGGGCTGCATACCTCCTCGTAGAGCTAAGATGTTTTCGATTCCCCGTTCTTTAGCTTTCTGTAATGAGTCAGTATGGCATTGTACCTAGAGATACGCGAGAATATACCCTTAGAACGTCGTCAACTAGACCCTGCTCCATATTCGTGCATGTTAAATGCATGAGTGTGTCGATAGCATGTTCAGTTTGGATGATCTCGGCGAGCTCAAGGCTCCTATCCTTTGTTGTGCCTCCTGCACCCCAGGTTACGCTGACGGCGAGCGGATCGAGCTCGGACATGCGCGAAACACGCGTGAGGAGATTGGCGAAGCCCTGTGAAGTTTGACATGAATAAATTTTCCAAGAAAACATATACAAGACATCAGTGCGCACCTCATCTGTTCGCGGTGGAAAGAACTCAAAAGTGAAGAAAGGACGGGAAGAGGTATGTTGTGCGATTTTATCTGAGAGCTTCATGGTGGTTGAGGCAAGGAAATTACACGGCGCGTAATTCTGACGCGAAACTCAAACTGTATGCAGTCGCGTGGAATAAATAAATTGATCTGCCTCACTCAGTGACCACCATGTCTGACTCCGAATCCTCAATCCCTCTGCAGTCTCTCTATTCACGCGCACTCAAGGCAGCTTCAAAAGCCTCTTCTCTATCAACAATCGAGGATGATACTCAGGTCGGCTGTTCCGACTGAGCTCACTTCCGCGCGCGGTATTCATAACTTTGGCTTTTCGTACGCAGAAACTCGTAGAATCTGCACTTGCGGATCTCCACATACTCTCGTCTCGCATCGGCTCTTTGTCTCTATTCAGCACGAATGAGACCCTCGAGGAAGTCTCGACGAAAGATCTGGCTTATATGACTGTGCCGTTTGTCCTTGCGGAGTTAGAAGCAGGTGCAAGGTCCACGAACCCGGATGATAGGCGTGTTCGACTACGGAGGGCCCAAGTACGTCAACTATTTGGGTTTATTCATGTTTATGCTTATACACTGCGAAGGCACATCTCAGGTCATTCGTTTCGCTGCTCGACTCGTACAGTGTAATTCCAGAAGAGGAAAAGAAACTATATGGACGCAAGAGTTCGAACATTACGGATCCAGCGAAACGACGGGAGACCAAGATTGCCCAGTTTAAGAAAGAGAGGGACCTCAAGAACAAAATAGCTGTGAGTCAATCAATATTCAATATCTCTTGCCTTAAGTTAACGCAGAACGCTAGGCCTTGAGAGCCAGTCGAAGACTGCCAGAAGTTGACCCGTCCAACACATATGACCTCGTAGAGTCCGTTTTACCAACTACAAATAGCGAGGACGAAGATAATGAAGACGCAGTTCGAGAGGCGATCTTACTCCTTCTCCGACTTCAATGGGCCCAAGCTTCGGCACATTGGGAGAGTATCGACCAAGAGCTCGAACTACTTGCGAAAGCACCTCGAGAGGAACTTCGCCAACAACAATCAGAGCGACGTACCGAGGAAGATGATTGGAGACTTCATGCTCCGTCAGGGTCATTACTCAATAGACAAGGCCCTCTTTTGAATGTCAGCGGAAAAGTAAGGACACAAATGGTTTCTATTTTTATTCTGAGATTCTAATACTGTGCATGTTAGCCTCTTCGCCCCTTCACTATCCTCCCTACTGGTGCGAGCGAGCGAGCACGTCTCCAAAGCGAGGTATTCCGACCGGACCACCGTCTTCCAACAATGAGTATCGACGAATACCTCGAAGAAGAGCGTCGAAGAGGGAATATTATTACTGGTGGAGGGTGAGCAATTTTCTCATAAGTAAACTTGCTACTCATTCACTCGTTTTAATATTATCTTCCAGTCCGCAATCTGCCGCTGCTCCGACAACGAAAGAACAACTTGCTCTCGACGCCGAGATGGACGGCACACGTTCGGGCGAGGACAAGGCTGAAGAGAAGAGACGCGAAGACGAGAGATGGGCGCAGTTCACAGATGCGAACCCTCGTGGAGCAGGTAACACAATGAATCGTGGATAAGGGGAGGTATCGCAGCAGCGGAACGATGTGCAAATGCAAATATATATATCTTGTAAAACAGGTATCCGAAACATACAACAATAGGAAGGAAAGTGTATTATAAACAGGTAAAAGGTAAACAGGAAAGCAACAACTGGCATGTAATGAATACCAACCATATCATACCATATGGATATGGAAGCATGTCTTTTAGCATTGGCAATTCGACGCTTCTGGGATTTCGTTCTCGTTTGGCTTGGTTACGTCGACCTCTAAATAAAATAGCGCGTAAGAAGGAAGAATCGTAAGCCATTTTTATCGGGAGACGGCATATGCAGATGAGACTCACTGTTATTCTCTGCATCCGTAGCTGCAGATTCCTTCTCCATCCCCGGTAATGCCAAAGCGATCTTTCGGAATAGACTCTTTACGTTATGGCCTGCTTTTGCGGATGTTTCCATGAACATGATTTTTAACTCGTCTGCTAGTTCTTGTGCCTGCTCCAGGGTAACTTCTCTGTGTAAACAATAATAAGCGAGTTATTCCATGACGGAAAGGTTTGAGATATGTGAGACCCACCGTTTATCCGAGAGGTCAGCTTTGTTGCCTACTAAGACGATGATTACGTCGTTCCCTCGCTCTGAGCGGACTTCGTCTATCCATTTCCTTGTAGACAGGAACGATTGGCGGTCTAAAGCCGAGTAGCATAAATATGGTCAGCTCGGGACTCCGAACACATGTAGACTCGAGTAAATACGACTGAACTTGTGATGTCGAAAACTACGATAGCAACTGACGAATCCCGGATGTACGACGGTATGAGAGACCTAAATCGTTCCTACAAAGCGTAGCGGCCGTGTGTCACCATGCGCATTCTCTCTACGGAATTTGATAATTAGAATTAAACGTACCTGACCCGCTGTATCCCATAACTGCAACCTCACAGTCCTGTCCTCGAGGTACATCGTTTTGCTCAAGAAGTCAATCCCGATAGTCGCTTGGTACGTGTTGTCGAAGGTGTCGTACATGAATCTTCATTGTGTTCACGCACACACGCACGCGAGTACACGTTAAGCGAGTAAGTCATAGGTTAGTAAGTTCACCACGTTTTACCTCGACAAGATATGTGGAAACGTACCGAGTGATGAGAGAGGTCTTTCCTACTGACTGGTCGCCGAGAAGGACAATCTTGGTACGTTTTAGAGGGGAAGACGAGAAGTCCGCTGACGCGGGGGTCTGCGGGGTAGCCATCTTCTCCGACCTGACGTTTCTCCTGCGTTACTGCTTATTTATCTGCACGGTATAGTTAAGCAAGTAGAGGGTTCAGCAAGCTAAGCCACAACTAGAAGGAGACGGAGAAGTGTGCTGTAACTCGGAGGTATTGAGAAGGAGGAAAGTTGGTCGTGTGTCAGGCGGCGCGTTTTGCGAAAGTAAAGGTGAGGTGTGGCGGCACGGTTACCCGTTGCCGGAATAGGGAAATTTCGGTGCATTTGATTTCAAATCCTCCGTTTCTCTGCAACCACGATCAGGCAAACGTGCTAATTTTGTCACTACGAATGGAGGTACACGTTCACAGCGGTTAAATATATACATTTTTGTAAGTTGTAATGAGACAGGGAGGCTGTGTGCTACAGAGCAAGGAAGCAATATCGACGAAAGAAAGCACTACGAGTGGACTAAGCATCATCTCTATTCTACAAACGGAATTAATAAATCAGAAAGATCAATACAGCTTCTTGAATCACAATGAGACAGCACAGGGGACACGGGAGAGTAGCAAGCAAGCAAGCAGTGCGGAGAAAACTCAGAAGCAAAAAGTAAAAGCAGCACTGGCTTGGTACATATGTACAATAATAATAAACTTTAGATTCTGTGGTCGTCCATGAGAAGTCAATAATCAGATTCGTCAGAGTCGGAATCTGGCGGACGCAGTACACCCGCGATTCTTGCGGGAGGGGGTTGAGCAGAACGATTGACAACTATATCATTGGGGTCCATTTCTTCGTCGTCATTTGTTTCTGCGGATGCAACATTTTGAATAGTCCCAGGCCCCGCACAGTCTGGAGTCGGTTTGACTTTAGTCGCAGAAGCGGCGGATCCACCTGCGGGCCAGCGTTCGGAATATTGTTCATCAATTGCGTTGCCCGACGCCATGCGCCTCCACGCCTCAATCAGGAGCCTGCAATCACCTCAGTAAAATCCATCTTTTTCATGAACATAAACAGTACTCACAGACAGTCGTTCCCGTTCGGATCAACTGGAATATCCAAACGACTGGCTAGGTCATGTAATCCACCGAGACTACGCTTTTCTAGTCTCCTGAGTGTTAGGAAGAGTGCTTGAACGTCAATGACGTATATTTTTGCTGGTGCTGCAGTCTCCGCCTCTTCATCTTCATCTTCATCTTCATCTTCATCTTCATCTTCATCTTCATCTTCATCTTCATCTTCATCTTCATGTATTTCGCCATCTGAATCGATAGGGATTGCGTCGTTTCCACTTGATGAGTCCCGGAACTCGGTAGCAGGATTGTCACGGGCTAATGGAGAATAGGTACGCCGACAAGGAGTGTCTTGACGTCGTGGAGAGCGAGACCGCATGCGTGGATCGGACCGAGAACCGTTTGCGACGTTTTGATATTTATTCGAATATACACGGTGGTCATCTCGATGGTCCGTTTGTCCGTCAGCCCTGTAATTCAAAGAGTCCACTTGTTGCTGGCGTTGCCCATAGAGCAGTGTGGATATCCCGGTCTGCTCGTAGGAGCTGACATCGACTCCTAGCTTCTTTAGGGCATTTAGAGTCACCTCTGCGTCGTAGACAAGCAAAAAATCCTGCTTTGAATCGATAGATGCAAAGAACTCATTGAGTTGCTTGCTCAGGTCTGCCTTCTTTACTACCGTGTTAGACACTTCTCTAGAGGACTATTAGAATATTAGAACCATAGCTAGCGGCAAGAAGAAAATCAAATAAATACCGTTATCGGGCCAGTGCTAAGAGCAGCATGCTCTTGGACCTTGACCCGTTGGATTGGGTGTTCCAGTTTATCTGCGTAGTTATCTTGATCGAGTTCGCGGCATTTTACGCTTGCGAGCTCCAGAGCTAGCACAGTAGGTTCATTTTTCCGTTTCTCGAAGGTGTCGAATTGCCACGTTTGTAGCACAAGAGACACGAATGAAGTGGAGGCAATCCATACAGGGAGTTCACAGAGTCCAAACTTTTTGAGCTTTTCGTCGTTGTCGATAGGATTGCGTATTGCGTGCCACAAGAGCCTGAAAAAGCGAAGTTAATAAGTAGTCGCTGCGGAAGGAATATTCTGATACCGCTGATGTTCAAACTGCGCCCGAGCTAGATTTTCTTGCTCGTACATTTTGTTGGCCTGGGAAGAGTCCTTCCCGCGCGCCTTGCCTTTCTTTGGTACATAAGTCTTCAATTTTGCCTGAAGCTCTTCAGGAGAATGAAACGTAATTGGTGATAACGACGCATAGAGTGAGGCATGCCTTGGAGGAGGTGGACTCCGAGCATTGGGCGCGAAAAGTCGGATATAATTCATCTGTGCCTGGCAGACGAGCAAATAGGATGTTCCGTTACTCAATACGCCAAGGACAAGTTCAATCGACGCCTTTTTCTTCTCGTCCGGATCAGTGCTAGCTTGATTATAGGCTGAGAGTGCCTCAAATATGAAATTGGACTGCCCATTGGTATCATAAGGAGGATACCTATAGACGTCAATGAGTTATGAGAAAAGCGCGTCATATTAAGGACATATCAGACCATATGTTAGTATGTGCACCTAGACCTCCCACTTGATAATAGTACATGAAAGGAGTCAGAGAGAAAGAAGTTGTATACGCCGCGCAGCCGAGGCAGTGATATTTATGCCTAATTACTTTTCCAAATAAGGTAATATCATGCTGCGTTACAACACGCCCAGTCACACTTACTGTACCATGTACCGTGGTTAAGACTGCTCAACTGGCGCAGCTGGATACTCCCCACTCACGCACCATTGTACCTCGGACAGCGATGGGCATGGAGGATGAGAGACCAGCAAAGCGACTGAATACCTCTGAGAATGACTACTTTGAGGATGCATCGAAGGAAGTACTCTGGACGGATATCGAGCAGGTCCTTAAAACCACTGAGACAGATGACGCCGAACGCGGTTGGATAGCGGGACAAGCCTTCATGATTTTTGGCGGCAGACCCGAAAGCAAAATTCAACTCAGATCTCGCGGAGGAAGGCAACTGCAAATATCTATAACGTGCCCGGAACATGCTCTATTCACGTTTTCAATCCAACAAGCCGTTCGAATTTCACTGCGAGGCGCAAGTCTCTCCCGGCTGAAAGGTGGAACCTCTGCGCCAGGGCATTTGTCTTTCAACCTCGTTTTCAAAGATGGCGCTGCTGTTAAGTTTATGACTGGAGGGAAGGGGATACAAGCCGGCCAAATTATTGACTCGTGGCAAGGCGAGTACTCTTCATTTAATTAATTCGTCCGCAGCTAACAGAACAATTTTTTTATAAGTTCGATCAGAGAGGGTAATCGAGAATGAGCCACCTGTTGAGGATTGGTTCATGTCTTCTCCAATAAGGCCTGCCACAGCTGAAGCTCCAAGTCCCCTTGATATGCGAAAGGATAGTGACCTCGTTAGAGCTTCTTCGTCTTCTTCAACGCCTTTCCCAGAAACGCCCGGAAGAAATCTGCATGCTATTCACCCTGAGTCTTCCGTTGCGATTAGCAGTGGTGATGCCGATGCCGATGCCGATCTTGTAATGCGACAGGACGTCCGAGAACTTGCTCAGTCTAGTATCGTTCAGGGTAGCAAATCACTTCCCCACGACGTCGATTTGGATGTTTCAGATAGTAATACTGCACATGTAGTCGACCGCCGAACGAAGAAACCCAAAAAGCGAGATACCAGACACGAGCGAACTCGCAGCACGCCGCTTGAATCGAACGCAGAATCAGGAGATTCAGGGCTTGCAATAAGACCAAAAGCAACTCGAGCTGAGAGGAAGAAGCGTAAAAGAGAACGGGCTAGCAGTACTACCGAGAGGGAGCCCTCACCTCCTAAGCGTGACCCAGCTTTGGATCTAGTTGCTGGTCTTGTAACTGAGGTATGTCTGCCAATACCTTGAATTGTGGTTCTATGTTCTTACCAAGAAGTAGATGGGCGCTTATCCGCCTCTGGAAGCAATACAGGGAAACAATTCTTATAATGTCATTGGGATCGTGGTCTCTGTCGAGGAACCCGTCCGCACCCGAAGAGATGGTATGCTTTACAGCTTGTCTCCTAGTTTCAGTATTAATTAAGATTATTTTCAGATTTCAAGGTTACTCTGCAACTAGTTGATCCGTCAAAATTTCAGAACGGCTCGAACTTCAAAGTTACGTGCTTTATGAAACAGGGATTTGAACACCTTCTGCCTTCAGCAGACAAGGGTCACGCTCTCCTATTGCGTAGCGTGAGGGCAGCAGATTGGAAAGAATCGGTGAATGGAACAGTGTACGCTGAGCGACTGAAATGGGTTGCGTACAATCCTGACACTGGTAAACTGTACTATCCAAAGGACAGTGACGACGCACCACAGAGTCCCACATTTTCTGCGGCCAATGCTTCTTACAAACCTAATTCCGCTGAACTGCATTATATCGTACAACTCGGTGCGTGGTGGCGTGCAGTGAGGGAAGAAGAAATGCGTGGAGCAATCCAGATTGCTGATTATACGCCAATTCGTCTGGAACATCGCTTGATTGGGACGTGCGAAGTGGACAAATTCTTCAATGCCACTGTTGAGGTATATTGTCTTTCTACTTCTCTTCCACTCACCATGTCGCTAATGCATTAGTAACACACCACAGATTTTGAGGATTGAGGAAGCTGACTCGTTCCAGACGATGCTCGTATTCACAGACTACACGCCTCATCCACAGCGCAGTATTGAAGGATATTATGGGCAGTGGGGCATGCATGCGTCAACGGGCAGAATCGATCCTGCCATTCTCGATACAATGCAAGCCGGTACATACTGGTCCATTAACAACATGCGCCTCAAAGTTGGTAGCACTGGAAACCTCGAAGCAGAACTTTACGGTGCGACCTTTCGTGAAGTCCACGATGATGATAGCGATGCGCACTTGGAGGAGTTATTGAAGTACGTAGACTGTCACCACATTACTTTCTTTTATTAAGCCGATGGTTATAGGCGGAAAGAAGCCTATCTTAGGGAGCATGCGAATGAATTACAGGATGGCAGAAGGAGCGAACATGCTGAGTCATGTCTTTCAGACATTTCAGAGCCGGGTCACTATCACGTCATCGCAGAGGTAAGTATATAGTTTCTTACAATGAAATTCACAGTTAAGAAATCCCTTTTACAGCTTCTATACCGGGTAAACGTGCGAGATACGTTAATAGACTTGTATGTCACCGACTACACAGAGAATCCTTTGCTTGCTTCATTCAAACCTGAAGGATTGAAGCGGAAGCTCAACGGCTCACCAGTCACCGTGTTACAAATTGGTGCTTGGGATGGTGACGAATTCGTCCGGGACATGGAAATCGGCTGTGTTTATATGTTCTCGGATGTTCGCATTTCACGCCAGCATGACGGCGATTTGAAGGGTAACCTCAAATTTGCAAACAAGCGTATTACGAGGATGAGTGTGAAGAAGTCCGACAATCCTGCTGTTCTTGCACTTCTTGGGTAAGTAGTCTCAAGTTTCATGCAAACCTTGGCTGACTAGTCCCATCATTCAGACGAAAGAAAGAGACTTCGGAGGGCCGCCAAACCTCTCCTGCTATCCGAAGAAGCTCTCCTGCAGTGGAACACCCGATTGAGCTCAAGATTTCTGTCAGCACGTCAAAAGCAATCGTATCGCGGCACACAGATCAGCCACTATACAGGATCAAACAAGTGAAAGCCGCTTCAAAATGGAGATACCCGAACAAGTTTCGCCTGATTGCTCGTATTGTTGATTTCTATCCACTGGACATATGTGATTTCACCGTCCGTATGTGCAATAAATGTAAACAATAGTACGTATGATATGACATTTCGTAGAAATCATCATACTGACTGCTGTTTGATTTTACAGTATAAAGGATAACTATAATGCTTGCACCGTGTGCGAGGACATAATGGGCGAGCATGTTCAGTGGGAGTACAGGTTTTTCTTCCTTCTTGAGGATGAAGAGGGTGAAAGGCTTTTCGTTCACGGACACGACGAAGCTGTGAGGATTTCAATTTACTTTATTATCCCTCTTTATTTCTGATTATTTATGTCTGATCTGTAGAAATACTTCCTCCGAGGTCTCAAGCCCTGCGATCTGAAGGAAAACCACGATGCATTACGTGCATTACAGCGTCGATTACAAGGCTGTCTTGGGAACATTGAGGAAGTACATGAGGGGTGGAAGCGCAAAGAGGAGGTTGAGCCTGAATATGGCCCCTACTTTGATCTTGCTGTTAGGAGCTGGGAGATTTCGGATGGGGACGTCAAGAAGATCGGCTTTGCGCTAACTGGTTGTGAGGCAGTTGAGCCGACCTGAAAATGACCAGATTTTATGCATCTTCCCTTGGATTTTTTTCTCTTTTTCTTTTTTTGATTATAATCCATCCTATCTGCATTTTCGACATGTTCTGGTATCTTGCATTTACACGTTGTATTGTTATTGTTAGTTTGCATATGTCAAATGACTTGAGAAGAAGCGTCGTTTTTTAACAGCCGATGTGTGCTCCCACGATGATCCCTGCTAACAAGGCCCGCGCGTTCAGGCCGACGGCGACGAGGCCGCTCTGTTCCTCACGATGAGGATATACCTACCGCTGGCTCTGGTAGCTTTGCTTCACTCAATCATCGTGGATGTCGGGGCTTCTTCGTCGTCACATACTATTGCCAAACGCAATTACGATGCGTATGAATATTTCGTTCTTGAACACGATCCGTCTGTTCCGTTACGTGACGTTCTTGATGCTTTGAGGCTAGAGTTGGTAGAGCAGGCTGGGCAGCTACGAGATCATTGGCTTGTTCGTAGGCAACGGCAATCTGTAGAAGAAGATCAACGGAGGCAGAAACGGGACGTACTTGACGCGCTCGTTCGCAAACGATCTGTACATGACCTCGAGCCTGAAGTCGCACGAGCTTCAAAGGCTGTCAAACATCTTGCGCTGCAGACTCTCCGCAAACGCGTTAAACGAGATGACAGTAATTTCGTATCGCGTCAGACTGTCGACTGGCTCAATATGTCTTCAAGTGCTGTTGCTGAACGAGAAGGGATAGTAGATCCTATCTTCGGAGACCAGTGGCATTTGGTTAACGATGACAACCCCGTACATATGGTGAACGTCGCTCCAGTGTGGGATATGGGTATCACAGGTCATGGTGTTACTTCTGCTATGGTAGACGATGGGTTAGATTATGAGAGTGACGACTTGGCAGCTAATTTCGTGAGTTGTATTATAAGTCGCTATATTTGTGATTCCGCTTTTGACGACTATTTCCTATTCCTACATCCTTTTTCGTACAGGACCCGGTTAACTCTTATGACTTCAACTTGCACGTCCCTTTACCGAAACCTGTCTTATTTGATGATCATCATGGGACACGATGTGCAGGACAGATTGCTGCGGTGAAGAATGATGTGTGTGGCGTTGGAATCGCTTATTCTTCCAAAGTTGCAGGGGTCAGGATATTGTACGTCTTTGTGTGATGCTGCTCTTTGTGGAAGCTCGAAAATTGACGGAGATACAGGTCTGGACCGATCTCGGATGTCGACGAGGCTGCTGCGCTCAACTATGGATTCCAAAACACGTCTATATACAGTTGTAGCTGGGGACCATCAGACGACGGTCGATCAATGGAGGGTCCGAGTTTTCTTATACAGAAAGCTGTAGTTAATGGTATCGTTAATGGGCGTGGTGGCAAGGGCTCTGGTAAATCCCTTAATTCTTTCTCGGAAGTAAAGCTTAACCCGTGTAATTTTCAGTTTTTGTTTTCGCAAGTGGGAATGGCGGGGCGCAGGGTGACCAGTGTAACTTTGATGGATATACCAACTCGATATACTCTGTAACTGTCGCTGCTATTGACTATAAGGGTCTTCATCCATATTACTCAGAGGCTTGTGCAGCAGTGAGGACCAATCTGCTACTCCATTTATATTATTTACGCTGATGCCCTTCTGTAGAATATGGTTGTTACCTACAGCTCTGGTAGTGGGAAACATATTGTGCATTTTGCTTTTCTTTGAAGCCGTGCTTTTCATTGAATTAAACTTATAGGTAACAACAGACGTAGGGAAAGACAAGTGCTCGCATAGTCATGGCGGTACATCCGCTGCAGCGCCTAACGCCGTTGGAATATTTGCTCTGGCTCTGTCTGTGAGGTTTGTCTCTATTTTCAAACATAGGGAGAAATGCCTGTGTTAAAGTGCAGTTTCCAGGCCTGATCTCACCTGGAGAGACATTCAATACCTCTGTGTACACACCGCCAAGATGATCAATGAGGATGACCCTGATTGGGAAGACACATCAGCTGGGAGGCGCTTCAGCTACAAATACGGTTATGGAAGTCTAGACGCATACGCCTTCGTAACGGCAGCACGAAGTTGGAATCTCGTAAAGCCGCAGACATGGTTACATACGACACCAATACAACTAAATAACGGGACTATGACACTCGAAGGGAAGATGAGTGGCGGAGAACCGCTTGGTCCTGGCGGTGTCACGAGCAAGACTACGATCTCGGCGGATATGTTGCAAGAGACTAATTTTGAAATGTTGGAACATATCACGGTTAAGGTCTGGATTCAACACACGAGGAGAGGCGATGTTGAGGTTGAGGTTGTTAGTCCTAATGGGATAAAGAGTGTCCTCGCTGCGAGACGGAAATACGACGCGGATAAGGACGGTTACCCGGGTTGGACATTCATGACAGTCAAGCACTGGTAGGAATTCGGTATTTCACCAATGAAATATGTGTTCTGACGATTTTTGGTGGTACAGGGAGGAAAACCCAGTTGGTGATTGGACCATCCGGATTTCCGATCAAAATTCCGAAGACCAGAATGGAAGCTTCTTAGGATGGCAAATGACACTTTGGGGCTCAACAAAGGATGCTTCGAAAGCACGGACGTTCGTGCTCTCAGACCCTGAGACACCATTCCCACCTCCAGCGGATCCAAATGACATTCCCCCACCTTCACCAAGTGCGACAATCAGCAAGGTTCACCCGAAACCGACAGAGCATCTTCCGGGCGATCACGGCAGCGCAGAGGGCGAAGCTAGCAAACCGGCATTCTCAAGTGCGCAGAATGACGCTGCAGAGGCGACTACAACTGCAGCCGCGGGAAGTGAGTCAATGGCACCTACGGCGGACGAAGGTTGGTTCCCTGGCATGTACAACCTCGTCAAGAACTCCAAATGGGTGTTTGGCGCGGTTGGTGCGGTCATTATTTGTGGTGCTGCTGGCGGGGCTTTCTTCCTATGGCGTCGACGCGCTGCACGTCGAGCACAGTACAGGAGTGTCGCAGGCGATGAAGTGTCTATGCGCACAATTGACGGAAGAGGTAGGAGGCCTGCAGGCACGAAAGAGTTGTACGACGCTTTTGGAGAGGTTTCAGATGATGAATATGCGGATGAAGAGACTGGTTTGCGACAGCCTTTAGCTCAACATCAGGAGTTAGGGTTTCATTCGGGATTTTTGGATGATGAGGAGAGACCTCAACCACTTTATTCCGACGTACCTTCTGAATTAGAGAGGGAGGGCGAGGGCTCGGGAAGCGCTGAGCGCTCGAAAAGTCCTTCCAGTGCGGACGGAAGCTGGGAACACGCGGATCCATCATAATTAATCATTTCGGACATGGAGATAGATACAACTTGTATATTTTGCACTACAATCAAAAACAAGGAACAGCAAAGTCGACAGATGGTGCACGAGAGAGTGAAAAAGAAAAACTGATGCCTCCGTAAGCACTTGTTAAATATTGACGAGCCGCAATTTAGTATTGTTTGCGACTCTTGTCCAGACATTATAGCCTTCGTACTGTATAAGAAGATTTTGAGTATTAGAGTAAGAATAAGATCAAATGACTTCATACCTGCTCGACGCATTCCATTAATTGCGATTCAGTGTGGCCTGCAGCAAGAACCCTGCTACGTATATCCACCAAAGAGAGCTCACCCCTCTCTTCCTCCTCGTCATCAACATCCATATCTCTTTCACCTGAAGGACCCTTTCCGAGGCGCCCACGACCACGCCTGCTGCTGCGCCGAACACCTTCCTCTGCAGCCTTAGCCATTTCCCTGATAATTCTGAAGACCTTGCTCATTGCAGTTTGGTCTCCACGTTCACCATCTTCCTCATCCTCCTTCAGACTCTCGTTACTAGCTTCCATAAGACGTAAAGCCTCGTCTACGTCGGGAATATCTACGGAATCGGAGAAGCGCAAACGCGCGAGTGCTTGCGATAGACGAAGAACTCCCAAGAGTGTTCGCGCAGAGGTGTATGTATGTGCCTTGTTCTCCTTTTCCTTTTCTTTCGAGTGCTTGCGCAGGCGCACGTAGGCATCAACTACATAACTAGACACCTGCGGAGGGACGGTCGGACGCTTTTCACGGGCCTTGGCGATATAATGTCTAAGAATGGACAGTGAGAACGATACTTGCTGGACCAACGATGAAATTGTACCTCATCAATACAGGTTCAACTGGATCGTATTCCAAAGCTGGGTGTTCATTGTACATGTGAACGTGTGTGACATGGTGAGCAAGACGTTCATCATCTTCACGAGTGGGCTTATCGAGAATCAAGAACATAACGTCGAATCGGGACAAAAGAGCCGCAGGGAGATTGATGTTGTCAACGGGTGAGAGTTTGGTGTTGTATCGGCCGTAGAGAGGGTTTGCAGCTGCAAGGACAGATGTCCTGGCATTTAGCGTTGTTGTTATTCCCGCCTTCGAGATAGAGATAGTTTGTTGTTCCATGACTTCGTGAATTGCAGTTCGATCCGACTCATCCATCTTGTCGAACTCATCAATACAGCAGATCCCGTTGTCGGCGAGTACAAGTGCACCACCCTCTGAAAACTCTGTGAGTAATTTCGTCGAACATTTATAATATAGCCCTTACCCAGCACCATCTCGTCAGTAACAGGATCACGCATGACAGCTGCGGTGAGACCAACGCCAGAAGATCCTTTTCCAGTAGTGTACACGCCTCGTGGAGCGACTTTAGCAATATACTTGAGTAGCTGGGATTTAGCCACTCCTGGGTCACCCATAAGACACATATTAATATCTCCCCTAATCCTCAAACCATCCCCCATAGACTTCGTTACACCACCTACGAGTAACAGAAGCAATGCCTTCTTCACGTCATCGTGGCCATAGATTTCGGGTGCTATGCTCAGTGCCAGCTTATGATACAGATTAGGATCCTGCTTCAGTTCCTCGATGGCCCGTTCTATCTCTGGTGTCATTTGCATGTCGCTGTACTGCTTCTTTAACTGGTGTATGTGATGTACTTCAAGGTATGTATCAGTGAGTAATCCTGCGCGAATGGCCTGGTACCCAGTATAAGGAATAGGCAGAAATATGCCTCCAAGGTGAACAATGTCGCCTGGGTTCATCATGCGCGTCTGATTTCCGTAGACATGGATAGACATGGAACGAGGGATGTGCCCGACAGGAACTTGGTCCGCCTATTCATGATTTTGTCAGCATTGAAAATTGAAATACTCTGCAGCAAAAATTTACCATTTCTTGGATTTTTACTTCTTGGAAAGGACTAAACCGGCAAGCACGTGTCTGCATGTGCAATGACCCGCGAATGTTGTTCTTTTTGCACTCTTCACTTTGACAATCAACTATAGGGGCGAATTGCTTCTGCTTGATCTCCTGGAACGTCTCGGCGCCGCATACGTCGCAGGTATAGGCATTAATCTGAAGTAAGGGCTTTACTTCCGAAACACGAGTGACAATGCCTCGGACCGTAATAAGCTTGCCTAGGTGTACACCTCTGACATCGCGCACCGCCATGGACACGTCGGATTTCAGAGGTTGGAAATAAAGGTTGCTATTCATCATCTCGTAAGCGACGGAGACGTATGCTATCAGAGTTGCTGCTCACTATCTTCGCAACAAGTGCACAGGAAACTCCGGCTGCTGTGTATTTTCTAGTTGATCGTTCCTCTCTCTTCTCTGGTGCAAGATAACATCTATGACCTCGTCCTGATCGCTAATGTCCTTAGTAGGCCGTGGCATTAGCTCGTCTACAGCCTCGCAAAAGAGGTCAACATAACGCTTGGCGTTGTTGCAGATGCGAAACACCAGCTCGGCCACAGTTTTTTCATACTAAAGGGGTAGATCAAGCAAATGATTTTGAGAGTATAAAAACGAGCGTACAGTGAATATGTCTTCTAGTTCAATGACTAGCATCTGCTGCTCGCGATTTGCAATTTTTTGCTGAACGGCAGCTGAAAATCAGTCTGGTAGGAAGATATTTTCACAGACATACCAGTTGGCTTTTATACTTCAGCCTTCTCAAAGAGTCGCCATCCCGTCTGTCTCCAAGGTCCATCTCTGCAATTCCACGCGTCACATCTTTCTGTCCTTCAAACGTACTTACGAACGCCTTGATTTTCTCTATCAACGAGCATCAGCTGCGAAGTATTACATTTATAAGACAAATTATCACCTTTTTCATCGTCGTAGGATATATTCACGGAGTGGACGGGTAGAGACATGGTTAGCGCGTCGCAAGGAGCAAGCACGCGTGCAGCGAGACGCGTCGAGGTTGGTGGCAGTGTCGTCGGAGTTTAAAGCGTGTCGTTCACGCGTTGGATCCTTTGTTCAAAGTGAACAAGGTCAATGGTCTTGTCACTCTTGTGTTCCCTCTCTTCTGTCTCGATGCGTTTTCTATATAAGCTGTAGATAGGGACGCCTTATATTTTTCTCTTTTCCGCTTAACTTTTAACGACCCAGTAATGTCTCCGCGGAAACGAACCAGTAATGCAGGACCCTTCATTACTCTCCCCAAGAAACGCCGAATATCTGCGCCTTCATCTGACAATTTACTCTCGCCGCTGAAAGCTCTGACCTTTGACACTTTCAGTCACTCTGTATCATCTCCTGCCACCACGGACTCGGGCCAAGCCAGCTCGTCCTCAATCAACAGTGCGTTACTGGTACTAATTATTCTCTTGTGATTCTGAAATCCCTCACGATTTAGAGTACACTGTCCACGAAGATGAGATCAATGAATGCGACGATCTCTGTGAACTTTTAGCTGAGTCTGACCCAGCCCCCGGGAATCGAAAAACGCTTCCGGTGCGAATATTGACCTCATTTGATATTTACGACTACGAATCGGAGGACAGAAAAGTTCTTCCTATGGAAGTAGATCCGGACGAGGATTTAGTATGTTACGGAGCGTCTGGCTTCACAAGCGTGCAATTCCAATCGGACGACGAGGACGAGGACGCATTCTCTGATGCAGTAGATGCATGTATACCCGTGAAACTCACCGCGATACAGGAAGTCTGGACAGACAAAGAGTTAGCTGTTTATCTGCAACAGTAACATTCTTAGCTAAGACAATTAAATAGTGAAATCTGGATCCGAACACATTTTGCGTGGTACATTCTTGAGGACCCCTCAGAATCGTATCAAACGTATTATAACAAAATGAAGGCTCTTGCTCAAGCATATTCACGCCGACCAGCTCCTCGGCCCTCACGAATTAAGGAGCCCTCGACATCATTCCTGACACCAAGGGTTGGAAGCATTGCCCAAGGACTGTTTCTGAGATCCTTGCTGATGATCGGCGAACGCCCTTCTGTGGACCCCGATTTGCAGAATGTTTGTGTACAGGACATCCCTTTCGTCGTTCATGCTACCGACCCCGACGCAATAGCGTGGGGTGAAGAAATTCCCGCCTCACAAGGCCTTTATAAATCCGTTTTCATGGATGGAGTAGAGTATCACGTGTGTTTTCTCGTGGACCTGCTATTTATGTTTTCAGCAGACAAACTGACAAGCTTTTAGATGAACGACACAGTGGCAGTATCGACAGATGGAAACGGGGAAACTGCTGCCGGAAGCTCTACATGGTGAGTTCCAACAGATTTCTGCAATTTTCCCTAAATACTTACTGATAATGCAAAGGTTCGGCATTATAATGTATTTCTACGAAGTTGCAGAACGCAAACCTGGGAGGAGTCCCAGATCAGGGAAATATTTCCACATAAGGTGGTTCGAACATGGTTCTCGAACCATTCTGGGAGAAACAGCGAATCCACAAGCACTCTTCCTTCTTGATCAATGCGATGATAACCCTGTAGAGACGATCCTGCAGAAAATTTCAGTCCGCCATCTCAGTGTCAGCGATCTTGAGCCACTAGTTATTTCTGACAATGATGTTGGTTCGAGCTCGTTCCATCTTAGGTGAGCACGTCTTGCCAATGCTCTCCAGACCCACATTCAACAGAATGATGGATACTGACAATTACAATTAAAGCTATAAATGGGACCAGGACAAAATGAGCTTGTCAGCTGTGGACTTTGATGCTGAGAAATCTCCCAAGCCAAGCATTGCACGTGCCTATGCGGCTCAGCCAGAATACGAGAAATGTTATTCTTGTGCAGTCAAGGATAGTTCGGCATATCGGACAAATGAAGAGTCACTGCCAATGACGCTGGAAATCTATGACAAGCATTATCATGTTAATGACTTTGTATATGTAAAAATGCCCACAAGACAAATCGGGCTATTGGAAATCGCTCAGATCGCTAAAATCCTACCTTCTGACGGAAATCCCCAGCTGGAAGTGACACTCTTCGAACGGCCTAAGTATACTCCTAAAGAAGCCACTCCTTTGTTGCAAGTGAGTTTACTGCTTGTTTATCTGGCCTGCATGTTGAAGAATTTTCACAGCGATCTTTGCTGTCAACAGGAAAGGTCAAGAAGATGTCTGCTGATTGTCTGGATGGACACTGCTTTATTTTGAGAATATCAGACATTGATGACATAGACGCATGGCTGGAGGGCCCTGACAATTTCGTCATCGACCAGAAAAGGCCTCTAGAACAATGCCAGAAGTGTTTGATAGCCCGCGAATTGTTTTCTGAGAGTGAGGATTCGGTCAAGGAACTACCGCTACGTGCTATGGACTTGTTTTCCGGTACGAATAGTCGTCAACTAAATTATTCGTGAGGACTCATCAGTCATCCCAGGTGCTGGTGGATTAACGACGGGCATGGACCAATCAGGCTTCATCAAAACTTGTTGGGCTGTCGAACGTTGCCCTGCAGCAGCCCAGTCATTGAAGTATGCATCCTATATCCTGGGCCTCACATCAATTGACCTTTCGCGACGCACAGAGCCAACCACGCGGACACAGTTGTGTATAATCAAGATTGCAGTGAACTTCTCAAACATGTGGCAGAACTTCATGCCGGTAAAACGCCTCCTACTCTCCGGTCTTTGGGACCCGAAAACGAGGCTCTGCCACCGCTTCCATCGCCCGGTGAAGTTGATTTGATTATGGGCGGTCCTCCATGTCAGCCATTCTCCGGAATGAATTCGTGGAAGGTACGTTCTACAAAAGTTATTCAAAGGAAAGGGTCAAATACATCTGACCTAATAATTTCTGCATTCTCACTGGCATCATTTACTGCATTTACTGTTTTTGCGTGATGGTATAATGCATGTGCCTCTGGTTTAGCGAGTCGATGACATCAGGTACGATCTTCATAGTTCTTTCTACTAACATGCTGACACTTACATTTTAGGCAAACTTGCATTCCGACCGTATTGTCTTACGTGGAATTTTATTCGCCGAAATATGTTTGTATTGAAAACGTTACTGGCCTGTTGTATTATCGTCTGAAAGGACGACAAGAGGGCCGCAGGATTGTTGGTGGAATAGAGTCCGGTATGGTGAAGTTCGTTATGCGAGCGTTTACAAGTCTTGGGTAAACCTCTTCTATTTTCTCTTAAGGGACTTTTACTTACACAATGTGCAAGCTATCAGTGTCAGATGAAAGTCCTCAATGCTGCAGACTACGGCTCACCACAACAGCGGAACCGTGTCATCTTCTGGGCTGCACGCCTTGACTTAGCTTTGCCGAAATGGCCCACACAAACACACATACCACGGCAAGGCCACAAGGCCGTCCAGCGACGAATCACGAACGGTTTTCTAGCCCCGCTCGCGTCGCGTAATGAGTCAGGTGAAAAGCACGAGCAGGCACCTTTTTACGCTGTCACAATAAAGGAGGCGATCGACGACCTGGTAATGAAGTTTGCTGTTGATAAGTTGTTGAGAAGACTGATGTAAGAAACGAACATGTAATAGCCCGCATGGGACTGGTGGGTGCATTTTGATTCACTCATATTGCTCACAGGGTTTGATAATTATGCTATCCAAGGGAAAACCCAGGTATTGTTTACCCAGATGGTGCAAGAAAGCAGGATTCCAACAAGCCAACGTTTCCGGCCACCGTGGATCAGCGGAAATTGGACACGGAAGATGCTCAGGCAGTATCCGGGTACAACTATCCTGTTCGCTACGCGTCAGCGCCAAGGACGCTGTACCAAGCTTTCTGCCGAAAGGGACAAGGTCATTTGGCCAGGGTGGAGGCGCACTGCACGATTCTGTATCCCTCGCTGGTTGTGGAGAGGTCTGATGAGCCCCGAACTTATAATTAACGTACTAGATATAACTTTTTCAAACTTTTATTCAATACAGAACAGTGAACGTCCCTATCAAACCGCTGGCCAACTTTAACGGTATGTCTGAGCAGAGGTTTCTCGTTGCTCACGAAGACTAATTTATCCACATTCGCATAGACCTTCCAAAGTCATTAAAGGGAGAAAAAGCTAAAGGAGATGCAGAATCGAAGAAAGGTGCGTAATACACGAAAGTGGAAGAAAGAGTCAATGCGTGATCCGGGCTGAGATGATCTAAACCGGACAGACACGTATTGGCGGCTGGATGAGAACGAGCAATTCCGAACGCTGATGACAAGCTATAATCCAGGCTCAAAGGGCGCTTGTGTTATTCATCCTACGGTATGTTTGTATCTTGATGGTTATGCTAGAATCATCTTGTTCCAACCCGTCCGTCCATATAGGATAAGAGGGTACTCTCAGCTCGCGAGCTTGCACGTGCACAAGGCTTTCCCGACGACTATGAATTCTGCCCTGCAGAAGAACGAATAGCCGTGAAAATGAGAAACGTACGTTCTTGAGATCTTCTTGAAAATTGAGGCTGATACCAGACACGCTTGCTCGGTACCAGATGCAACGGCAGATTGGCAACGCTGTTCCGGTTCACTTGGCGTATGCACTTGGAAGAGCCCTCGGAGAGGGTTTGATTCAAGCAGAGATTGAGGGTCACCTCGAGGAATTTGAGAGGGGTCGGCATACTGACTCAGATGTGCATAGTATTATATCAGAAGAGCTTTGATACCTGCTTTGGCATTGCTTTGTTTGATAACTTGCTGTGATACCTTGCTGTGATTGTACGAGCTTAGCAATTCGTCCTGTAATTATATTATATTTGCTTGATATTTTCCTGTCTGATATTAGTCAGATCCGGAAATGAAAATATGAAGACCGGATAGTCGCTAGAACCGCCCTACCTCTCTCATTCCTTACCCTGAATCAACTTCGCGGTTCGTTTGCGTGCCACTGCGTACGCCAATTCCATGTATGGACCTCTGCACGAAGTGTGAGATTCATTTAACTTTCGGCATGTATAAACAAAGTATAGATTTCAGTATAGAAATCGTATTTACGCCTCGAAATCATATGATAGGAATATCCAGCGGATTTTTTTTAGAAGTAGTGAACGCTCCAGGATTACTGTAAGTCATTACATAAGGTTTGGTGATCGGAGAGGCTGAGCTACAGCCTCTCGTCAAAGATCAAGGTCCACGGCGCATGCAACTTCGTTTGTTTTCAACAACGGTCACCCAGGTACATTTCATGAAACGATTTTACATCTTCCTTCACTATTGCAAAACTATGCTTCCTATATTGGAGAAGGACTGCAGTCTGCAGTTACCAGTAGGCCCTGGAATGGTAACCATCCGAGCTTACCACGATCCATACCGTGGTTTTTTCTTACCGTGGTAAAAATTCTCACAGTTACCGCGGTAATCCACGTTACCGTGCCAATCTTCGAGTACTTGACTGGGAGTGTAATAAAACATTTTTATATACTTGATTCTTACTAGTGAAACCACATGTTTCACTCTACATATAAGTGTATACAGCTAATATGTATTATTATATAATAAATAAAGTTGTTATCTCAGTATAAGTTATAATTTCTACAATAAAAGTAAATTTTTTCTCACCCTAGTCTACAGCATCCACTCAGCACGATGCAAGTGAACAACTCAGCACGTGACAAAAGAACAAATTTCACACAATGAAAGACAACAACCAAGTAGTATTGTATGTTCCACTCCCTATCAATAGAAGCACTTCTAGTATTACATCCTTCTAAATACTCAAAAAGTAATATATTACAAACTTTAGAGTTAAAGAAGTGCATATAGGAAGAATATGTTTTCTTACTCTTTCATCGGTGGATTCACAATAAACCACGGTAACTGTGGGAATTTTTACCGTGGTACAGTTACCGTGGGAACTTTATTACCACGGTATGGATCCACGGATAAGCCTATCCATTCTAGGGCCTAGTCTGCAGGTGTCAAGCGGCGTCGGATGTGTCGGAGTCTGAACCGCGTCAAGTCCGCTTCAGAGTCTACTTAAAATACTTTGCATTTTTTCTATTCAGAATGTTCACGCTGATCTTGCTTGGCTTTCCATCGTTGGTCCGTGATGTCTCCCCAGAAACGAAGGTGTAAGGCAGAGCCCTTGAGTGTTCATAAGAAATGCCGTATACTCTCTAAATTCTCGTCTTCCATATACCCTTCGCCTATGAAAAGTGCTTCTTTTGATTCGTTTGGTAATTCTATGTCATGCTCTACAACGAACTCAGGTAAAGTCAACTCGTTAACCTCATCCGAGGCGAACAGTGAGTGGCTGCATTCGCTATCGTTACTGTCTCTGACTTTGTACACAATGCAGAGTACATTGCCCTCGAGGACGAGCTCGAGGAAGACGATGATCTCTGTGCTCTACTTGGTGAGACTGATCCGGTTGCTGGAGACGACAGGACAATTCCAGTCCGTGTACTCAGCTTCTTTGACGTGTATGATTACGAGTCGGAAGAACGGAAAGTACTACCTATGGACGTCAATACGGACGAAGATACAGCATTCTACGGAGCGTCTGGCTTAGTCAGACCGCAACTTCAGCTAGAAAACGAGGATGAGGACTGGTTTACAGATCTACAAGCTGTAAGTTTATCTGTAAAACTTACGGCCATACAGGATGTCTGGACGGACGCATCGTCAGTTGTTCTTCTTATTCCAGAGTAATTTTTCAAGCTGAAACATTGACAGCGAAATCTGGATACGGACGCATTTTGCTTGGTATATCTTAGAATACCCTTCAAGGATGTACTGGACGTACTTTGATAAGGTGAAAGTTCTTGCCCGGGCTCACGCACGACGACCAGCTCCACCAGCCTTGCAAGAGAAAGGGCCTTTGGTATCATTTGTAACTCCAAGAGTTGGGAGCATTGCCCAGGGATTGTTCCTGCAATCCTTGATAATGACCAATGGACCTCTTTCCATGGAACCCAGTTTACAGAATGTCTGTGTCCCGAACGTCCCTTTCGTCGTTCATCCCACAGCTCCGGAAACCATTACATGGGGCCAAGAAATTACTGGTACAAGAGGATGCTTTAAATCTGTTTTCGTTGATGGCGTCGAATATCACGTATGTTTGTTTCTGAAATCGTGATTCCTAATTGAATACAGGATTAAATAGTACCTAGATCAATGATACAGTAGCCGTGTCCGCTCCGGGATTATCAATTGAGGGCGAAGGTGGGAAAACCACTCCAAGGAACTCGTCATGGTGAGTTTATACTTATCCATAGTGTTTTTAAACGTTTGCCGAGTAAGCAAAGGTTTGGCATCATCATCTATTTTTTCGATAAAACAGGACGCAGATCCGATGGAAGATCGAAGTCTTCGAAGTATTTCCATCTCAGGTGGTTTGACCACGGTTCTCGAACTGTTCTTGGCGAAACAGCTAGTCCGCAGGCCCTCTTTCTTCTCGATAAATGTGACAATAATCCCGTGGAAACTATTCTCCAGAAGATTACTGTCTGTCATCTTGGGACCGATGTTCTTGAACCAGTTGTCATTCCAGATAATGATGCTGGTCCAAGCTCTTTTCATCTCAGGTGAGCACGTCGAACTAATATCTGCTATAATTACATTCAACAAACAATGAATGCTGACAATTACCATTCAAGCTACAAATGGGACGAGGAGAAAATGACGATGTCGACTGTGGACTTCCAGTGTGAGAAATCGCCAAAGTCAAGCACCGAACGTGCTTACGCAGCTCAGCTGGAGCATAAGAAATGCTATTCATGTGCGGTCAAGGATAGCTCAGCCCATCAAACCAGCGAGAGGTCACTTCCGAGGACTCTTGAAATTTATGATAAGCATTATCATGTTTTCGACTTTGTGTACGTGAAGGAAAAGGACATACGACATAGGCTGCTGGGAGTTGCTCAGATCGTCAACCTTCCCCTGCACAGAGGAGATTCCCAGGTAATGGTGACATTCTTTGGAAGGTCGCGGTGCAACTCTGATGACAAAACGCCCATACTGCAAGTGAGTTAATGATGGATCTAATAAGACTGGGTTACGTACTGAGAAATTTGTCACAGCGATCTTTGTTTCCGACAGGAAAACTCGAGAGAATTCCGCCTGAGCGCTTGGACGGCCATTGTTTCGTTTCTGAAATTTCTGATATTGACGACTTAGACGCATGGTTGGAGGGTCCCGACAACTTCGTCGTAGAAAACCAGAAGCGGTCACTAAGGCAATGCATAGAATGTCTTGCAGCTCGTAAGGCGTATTTAGAATGTGAAGAGTTCATCAAGAGGAGACCGTTACGCGCAATGAACTTGTTCTCTGGTTATAGTCTTCCTTATTTTATACTGATAGAAACTTACTCTCAACCATAGGTGCTAGTGGGCTAACGGTGGGTATGGACCATTCCGGATTCGTCAAGACTTGCTGGGCTGTCGAGCATAGTCCTTCCACGGCTCGATCACTGAAGTATATGCCGAGTTACTCGATCTCTTACACTATCTGACCCTTTTCCTCAATGCATAGAGCCAACCACGAGGGTATCATTGTATATAATCGAGACTGCAATGACCTTCTGAAATACGCAGTAGACCTCGAGGCAGGTAAACGCCTTCCTGATCTACTCTCTCTCGGACCTGAAAAGGAGGTTCTTCCATCGCTCCCACGTCCGGGCGAAGTCGATCTGATCATGGGCGGACCTCCGTGCCAGCCATACACCGGACTGAACAGGTTTAAAGTGCGGTTACATTATCTTTTCCATGATTTCCACATCAACTAATCTGGACATATTTCTTCCTGTATGTCAATCATATTATCTGCTACCCCTATTCATCTTCATGATTAGCGCATTGATGACATACGGTTCGGTCCTGGTAGCTCTTCCTACTTTCTGTGCTGACACTCGTATATTTAGCCAAACCTGTATTCCGACGCTTCTGTCCTATGTGGAATTCTACTCCCCGAAGTATGTTTTGATTGAAAACGTAACTAGTATATTACATTATCGCTTGAAAGGACGACAAGAAGGTCGGAAGATTGTTGGTGGAGTCGAAGGCGGTATGGTGAAGTTTATAGTGCGGACTTTAACAAGTCTTGGGTAAGAAGAATATCATTTTGCATTTGACAGACTGACCAAGGCATGCATTGCACAGGTACCAATGCTCACTCAAAGTTCTCAATTCCGTGGATTACGGTTCGCCGCACCAGCGCAAGTGTGTCTTCTTTTGGGCCGCACGACGTGATTTGTTATTGCCAAAATGGCCTATTCCGACACACATACCGCGGCGGGGACATAACACTGTCAACCGTCGAATAACTAACAATTATCAAGCTCCATTAGCATCACGGGACGGACGAGATGTCAAGCACGAGCGTGCGCCTTTCTATGCAGTAACGGTAAAGGAGGCAATTGACGATCTGGTAATGAAGAGTTTTCTTTTGTTAAAATGTATGTGGGATTGACGCGAGAAATATTTTTTGCAGCTTCCATGGGACTGGTGAGTGCATTTAAAATCCTAATACTGCTGACTTTAATCATTTGCGATTAACAAGGGAGAACCCTGGTATTTTCTATCCAGCGGGAGCGAGACGGTTGAGGTCTCTGAAACCAGCATTTCCAGCCGCTGCGGGAATACGGAGGGTAGATACAGAAGACGCACAAGTTTCTGGATATGGCTATCCAGTTCGATACGCCTCAGTGCCGAGAACGCTGTACCAAGCATTCTGTCGAAAGGGACAGGGCGAGTTTACAAGGGTGTATCACCACTGTACATCTCTGTTTTCGGTGAAAAATGTCGAGAGGTTCGATAAGTTCAACCTCGCGATGCATATCAACACTGACATAAAGTTTCATTATGCAGAACTGTGAATGTTCCAATTAGGCCCTGTGCGAATTTTAAAGGTACGTTAGGCAAGAGTAGCCGTGATCAAGTGTTTCTTAATCTATACAATATTTTACAGACCTTCCACAACCGCTTCGTGTTGGTAGTGGAAATAAAAGAGGGAGGTTGTGGAAGGGTGCGTACGAAATGTTTGTTCAATGTTGGATTTGAGCTAAGAGGGTTGGTATCGGACAGATACATACTGCCGCCTAGATCTAAATGGACAGTTTCATTCTCTGCAGACAACGATTCATCCGGGTGCAAGGAATGCCTATATTATCCATCCTACTGTAAGCATTTAATCTTAGACATCCACTCATAACAGTGAAGTTGAACTGGATTCTCTGTTACCCTAACAGGATAGAAGGGTGCTCACACTCCGCGAACTTGCCCGTGCGCAGGGCTTTCCAGACGACTACGAATTTTGCTCTGTGAAAGAGCGGGCAGACCTGCAATTAAAAGACGTACGTTTTTGAGCTTTCCTTGCCTTGACATTTCAACGTGGTGATAACAATGCACACCAAGATCGAACGCCAGATCGCCTGTGCTGTTCCTGTACAACAGGCATACGCACTTGGTAGAGGTCTCGGCGAGAGTTTGATTCAGGCTGAGATGGACAGCCGCCTCGAGCGGATGGAGTCCGAATCAACAACTATTTCGGATGTGCAGAGTACTGTCTCAGAGGAGCTGTGATACTGTCCTGTGTTCATATATATGCTATCTTAATGCTTTGGGATCGCAAATAATTACCATGTAGTCGGATAATACGCTTTACTTTGAGAATTTACATAACAGGACTGGTTTCCAGAGAACACAACATAGTAAAACATGCAAACATGCAGGCGTTTTGCTGTATCCCGAAGCACATCACTCTCGTGCAACACCACCAAGTATCTGCTCGACCCGCGTCACCTTGCTTTCGTTTCCCGTACCTGGAGCTATTGTACGGTCTGTTCGTGTACCAATGCGAATGTCAGTCGCGATTCGTGGGGCACCTCGAGTGTGGACTGCCTCATGGCAATCGTGGATAGCCTTCATTACTTCGGACCAGGAGCCTTCTGAAAAACACCGGGAAGGGCATATGTGAGATATGTGGGATGTATTGAGTAAAGCTGTCATTTGACCTACCTATATTCGTTCCATAGCCACTGACGAATGCTGTCTTGAGCAGATTGTTCGACGGACAACAAGAAGCTTTAAGCTCACTGCATCTGTCATTCGCATATTTAAGAACGTAACAGGGGTTGTGACAAGCGAGAGCGACATACCTGGTATGTCAACCCTGACTTCTGAAGGACGAGCTGGCATTCCGCGATATATTCCGCGACCTGATAGCGTATTAAGTATATATGTGTGAGACCCAGCGAGTATGTGTCCTACCGATGGCTCCCCAGTTCCCATCGGAATCAGACAAAAATCTATCATTAGGATCAGCGGTCAGTATACCAACTACTTTCTTTAAATACGTGAGATTCTGCCTACCAGCCACAGCATAAAGATCATTCGACATCGTTATCTGTCGTGGAGGGTTGGTGATATTGTGCAAGTGATGGCTGTGCTGCATATATGCATGTCGTCCGATCGGCGCGATCGGCGCTCGCCAAAAGTTTTGACTTCCATTATTGACTCGTGCTGCTAACAATGCTACCATTCTTACGTTCTATCCTTCATCACCTCCTACCTACCTTTCTTGACCTTCCCTCTTGACTGTTTCCAAAAATGTGTATGCTGTGCGTATTGATATCACGATATTTATTTATTTGGCCTTTCTAACATAGCAAATAGTTCTGACCCTTCGGTCAAGTACAAGCCGTACACTCCCTTGAATCTTCCCGACAGGCAATGGCCTTCAAAAATACACAACAGAGTACCTATATGGTTGTCTACGGATCTACGCGATGGGAATCAGGCTCTTGCAATACCGATGACGGCAGAGCAGAAGAATATATTCTTTGATCATCTAGTTAAGTGCGGATTCAAGGAGATCGAAGTATCGTACCCTGCTGCGAGTGAAACCGACTTCAATTTTACGAGAAGCTTGGTCGAGAAAAGAAGGATACCCGACGATGTTTGGATCCAGGTATGCAACGAATGCCTTTGTTTTGGTAACTCTCGTTTACGACATCTGTGCTAGGTCCTTACTCCAGCTCGGGAGGATCTTATCCGTCGGACGTTCGAATCAGTTGCTGGTGCCAAGCACGTAATTATCCACATGTATAATGCTACATGCCCTATGTTCCGTGAAGTCGTATTCCAAAATTCCAAGGCTCAAACTATTGAGCTGGCTATCAAGCATACACAGCTTGTCAGAAGGTTGACGGACGAATACGCGGAGAAATTTGGAACGAAGTTCAAGTATGAATATAGCCCGGAAACCTTTACACAGACGGAACCGGAATTTGCGCTTGAGATTTGTGAAGCGGTCAAGACAGCCTGGGGGAAGGCTGATCCTGGAGAGGATCGCATTATATTCAATTTGCCGGCGACGGTTGAAATTGCTCCTCCAAATCACTATGCTGATCAAGTTTGTTCTCGCATTCATCTAGTGGTTTCGCTACTCATTATCCGTGTAGATTGAAAACTTTTGTCGAAATATCTCCGAAAGAGAGAAGATCATTGTCAGTTTGCATCCACATAATGACCGCGGTGAGTATCAGTTACGACAGGTCTGCATATATGCGTCATTTCTCACCATGCTATTAGGTACTGCTATTGCAGCTGCTGAATTGGCTTGCATGGCTGGTGCAGACCGTATCGAAGGCTGTATATATGGGAACGGCGAACGCACAGGAAATGTCGATCTTGTCAATCTTGCCTTAAATCTATATACGCAGGGCATCCATCCAAAGCTCGACTTCAGCGATATTCAAGCGTGCATCGACATTGTGAATCAATGCAATGACCTTCCCGTACATCCTCGACATCCATACGCTGGCGAGCTCGTCTTCACCGCATTCTCAGGTTCACATCAAGACGCGATCAAGAAGGGCTTCGAGGCGCAGACAAGGAGACATGCAGAAGCAGCGGCGAAGGGCGAGCTGCAAATTTGGGACATGCCATACCTCCCAATCGACCCTCGCGATCTGGGTTGCACGTATGAGGCGGTCATCCGCGTTAACTCGCAATCTGGAAAGGGTGGCATTGCGTATATTGTGAAGACCCATTTGGGCCTTGACATGCCTCGAAAGATGCAAATTGCTTTCTATAGTATCATACAGGAGATATCCGACCGCGAAGCGCGCGAGATGACGGTGGACGATATCACCACTGCTTTCCGTTCTTCTTACCACCTTGGTGGACCAAAATACGACGGTCGTCTCGTCTTGCGATCGTTCAAAGTCACAGACGAACCGGTATCGGATCCAGTGGATCAAACTCCGTTTGAAGAAGGTGAAGCGCCTGATGAACGACGTCACTTCGATGGAACTCTTTCCGTTGACAGCGTATTCAGAGTAGTACACGGTGATGGGAACGGTCCCTTATCGGCTTTCTTGGACGCATTGAAGATGCACTTGGACATCGACCTTTCTATTCGAGAATACAGCGAACACACCATAGGCGATGGCCAGAATGCAAAAGCAGCGTCATACGTCGAGGTCGTGGAAGCGAAGCGCGAGCCTGGACAACGACAGGAAGGCTGGTGGGGAGCAGGAATCGATACGGACATAGCTGGTTCCGGTTTACGCGCGGTCTTGAGTGCGGTCAATAATTATATCGGTGATCGTGCATTGCCTGAGTTGAAGCTATCTGTCGGATTCAATGCGCGTTCCGGTCCGGCAGACGTGGCTTCTGTCATTCTCAACGAGCTTCAGTTAGATCTTCCACGACGCATGCAAGCTCACTTCTTCGAGGCCGTGCAGCGCGCCTCCGCAGATGGCGCGATCAGCTACGATGCGCTAACTGCGCTTTTCAGGAAGACATACGGCTTCACTGTACGCGAACTCCCAATCCTCCTGCAAAAATTCACAATGGAACACCTTGGCGAAGGCGAAGTGCGCTCAATAAACGCAACGGTATTCATTAACGGACAAGAAATGCTCGTCACTGGCGAAGGAAACGGTCCGTTATCAGCTGTCTTGGCTGCATTAGCACCTCATCATGATGGAACGTTCACTGTACGCGAATATTCGGAACACTCGATTGGCTTGGGTGCAGGCGTGAAAGCTGCATCGTATGTGGAGCTCATACATACTGTTGACGTCGACGGGCATCAAAAGAAATCAAGCTGTTGGGGAGCGGACATCGATGAGGATATTAGTGTTTCTGGTGTTAAAGCATTGCTCAATGCTGTTGCGCTGCATGTACCTTTGCGCTCGAAGAGCAATGGCACAGTGGTATAGTGAAGATCTTTTTAAATATGGAATTGAGAGCGATACCGGATATAGGTTCTTTGTATATTACAAAACATCTTGCATGTAGGACTTGTATACATTCATTTTAGACAAACTCAAGCGAGTTAGTGGACTATTATACGTGGTAACTTGGAAATGTGCATCTAGATAAATGGAAAGTCTTGGTATCCTCCAATAGTATTCTGTATATCAGGTTCGTAAATCATTGCATGATTCGGGGAAATATATTCGAATTGTGACGGCAGTTTTCCCAAGTCAAAGCTCAATGACAGAGCTGCCTTGGGAAGGGTTATAAAGAACAATATCCATCATCTCGTCATTGTCCGGCTGTTCAATCCGCGGCTTCTTACGAGGGTGGTCTTCCACGCCGTCCTCTTGCTTGATCTCAGGAACTTCCTCCTCAGATTCAGGCTCAAGTTTATCGCCCTCATCCAGGTCAATAGGTACACGGTCTGCGTCGTTAATCTGATACACTCTGACGACCTTGTGTTTCTTTGGAATGTTACGCATCGCCTGGGTCTCTGGCTTCTCGCGTTCAGCGACTCGACATACTTCGACATTGACGCCAGCTTGACGAAGAACGTCGATCCACACCTAAGCAATAGGATCGTAAGAGGAACGAGGTTATCAGAACAACTTTGGAAAATATACCTTCTGGTTTTCGGACAGATTATCCCCAGGACCTTTGACCTCTACGAATTTCGCCAGGTTGTCACTCATACGCCAGACAATCAAGTCAGGCACACCACTGTGACGCCCTCCGTAATCTTCGCAGAATAACTGGCAGATCACGGAAAGTCCTTCTCCGCCAAGGCACTATAAGAATATATGAGTCAGCATCTTTCAAACTCCAATGGCTTGCGACGTACAGTAACGATTTCCACAAGATCTTGCTTCGAGAAGTCATTCCAACGAACACCCACACACATAGTATTGTTCTCTCTGTACTTGTCATCTGTTGTTGTAAGAATCTCGGGAGCCTTCCCGTCTTTAATCTCCTGGAGACGTTCTTCGATAGCATCCTTACGCGCAAAGTAGAAACATTCAGTCGCGATATCAAGCGGTGCAGATTGATAAGGTGTTTCAAATGCCCCTGCCACAGAAGAGAAGAGGATATCCCAGAATAGAAGACCCCAGATGGTAGATATAATGCTTGCTTCAGAGTGAAACCTGCAGAAATCAGTCAAAAGTGAATCCAAGTGTAATTTTATAGCAGCGGACATACCCTTTGTATCCGTCGAGCTCATAATAATGTAGAACAAGCGTCTCGACGTTGACCTCTTCACCGCTCTTGCCATACCAAAGGGACTTCCCAGTCCATCTTTCCTTGGCTCGTTCTTTCTTCAGCTGATCGAGGTGTTTTCTTACAGCATCCTCTCCTTGCATCTGTATAGACACGGGGACTACGGCTTTATTGTTGACTTTTCCGGTTTTGTCAAATGCGATACCAGCCCTGCGTTGTCGGACCCGCTCGCCAGTGATTTTCACTTCAGCGGCTTTTTTCAATCTCCCAACGCATTCATGGCGGTTTTTAACGGGTATCTTCAAACGATTCTCCAGACGTGATAGTCGGCGTTCGAGCGACTGTCTACTCACTAATTATTTGGAAATTTAATAGGTGTGTATTTGGATACCGATGCAAGGCGAGCACGAACCAATGTGGGTATCCTCATCATGAAGGCCTTCGATCACAACGTCCATGGCCTTCTGGAGCACTTTCTTCTGCTCTTCTTTGGATAACGGTACTTGCTCGCCATTTATCTCGCGTCTTTGGCGTACAACATGATGCATTAGCACAAGAGCCCATCGATCATACCATGCTCCACGTTTGCCGCGCCTCCAGCGACGCTGTGCTAGAAGTTCCTGGAGGAGCGCGATTTCCCTGTCGAAATCTTTCAGTTTCCCATATGCAGTCGCACCTAGCAGGTTATGTCAGTTGGGCATTTCACCTGGAAAATATGTCTCAAAACTTGCCTTTGTAGACGATGCGCGTCAGAATGTAACCCTCGTCAAAACGCTCAAGCCCATGAGGACGCGCTTCCAGCTCACCACGCTGGCGAACGAGTTCCTGCCATCGAGGATATACCCGCTCAAAAACGCTCACGACATACTTCGCGTTTGCAACGGTCTGAGATTCTTTTTCCGGAGCAACTCCAGGTTCTACGTCGATTTCTCCCTTCGCGAATACACTCACACTACGACTTCGCAAAGTTCCGCTTGGTCCAGGATAATTCTCCTTCTCAGCATTACCAGAGGTTTCAGACGATTCGTCGCGTGCTCTTAAGGTGTGCGGAAGAGGGCCATAAGTAGTTGAACCTTTCTCCCGGCCATGAGCCCAGGCATCAATATGTTGCTCCGCAAGTTCGACATCGATATTGCCCTCAAGCATGAGATCGATAGCTGCCTCCATCCGAAGTGCCTCTTCATAGGAAATAAGTGCCTCTCGAGAGGTGAATATCTCTGTCGTTCGAACGTAAGTATAAAGCGGATAATATCGTTTGCGACATCGTCTCAGCAGAGCTGGCGTCAAAAGAGACGTCGGATGTTCGGTTCTGAAAATGAATATACATTAAAACAAGATACATAAGGTGGGAAGCCACGATGCTTACGAGCGGAAGTAGATAATATGCAATCGATGAAATAAAGCGTTAATTGCATCGTTAATGCGAATGCAATTTTCTGGATAAACTGGGGTAAGAGACAATATCGACAAAGTTCTTGTGCACTTACTCAATATCTTCATCACCAGCCCTCTCAAAACATCCATTTGTACCTTGGCCTTGCTTACTGGTTTGAATGACAAGCACGTCTGTTTCAGATGTAGAGATTTTGAGTCCTTTACAGACTTCTTTGATCTCGAGGCACTGGATGCAAAACCACCCAGAGTCGTCTGTGCAGATGCACAAGCTAGGAGGCCTTCCACCAGTGCTGACCGCTTATACAAGCGTTGTTAGTATTTAGAGGTGGAACTTAATATCCCTTTTTCTTACCGTCGTAAGCGTACTTGGAAGCTTCAAAGTCCTGGCAAGACCTTTGAGTTCTTCAACAGTCAAGCATTTCAAGAGATCCGACAAGGACGCATGTGATTCGTCCTCTGCGTAATAATCCAAAAGGCTCCGGCTACTGTCGTTCTTTGGGCTCGGGTCACTGACTTTGGCGCTTTCGGCAGGGATTCGGTTTTGGTCTGACAAACTAGTGTCGGCTGTTGGTGATATATTTGCATTTGTAGAAATCGACTCTTCTTCTTCATCGTCTGATACTAGGTCAATCACTTCTGCATCTTTATTCGAACTCGAGCGACGAGGCTTGCTTCGTGGAAGATCGGATAACGCGCTTTTTTGAGAGCTGGCATTGGAACATAGGGTACCACAAAGCTCTTTCATAGCTTCGACGATACCCTCTGTCCCTAACTCTGCGACATATTTAAGCTGGTCAAGACGGTACCACTTTCCAGTCTTTCGGACCAGCAACCGTGCAAGGAGATACCTGGCCTTATCTATGACCATCCCTCAGTGAGAGTCAAACTTGAATACGGATCAAAAGCATACATGAGAGAGTGCTGTATGCAGTGAAGAATGCTAGCTCCTCATCGGAGAATAAGAAGTTTTCGCCCTCAAGGACAGTTCTCACCATGCCTTACTTGTGCATTAGCGATCGAGACAGGATGGTTTGTTGAGCGCTTACCTTCCACTAAAGACACGTACATCGACTCCCTTGCCTTGCCTTTCCCTCTTTTATCTTCAACTTCTTCTGGTTCTTCTTCATTTGGCATTTCATCTTCAAAGCCAACATCTTCGTCCTCGGTCTTGCCCGGTGCGCACCAGAAGATGAAGTTATCTGCAGAAGCCATAATCGTATAAGGCGCAGTATTTCTTTCCTCGTAGTAATGTCTCGATTGTTTAGTTGTCTAAAATGATCAGGGTTGTGTGAAGAAAGGGATGTGCACAATATTCAAGAGATAATCAAGAAATAAATAAAAGAACAGGATAAGCAGACACTAGACAGCATATGTCGCGACCCGTGAGGTAAGGTTGGTTTGGGAAAACATAAACTCGACCAACCTGTCACAGTAGTCACGGCACAGCCACTTTCCCCTTTTGGAAGGACCCTAGCGGCAAAAATCAACGTGAAGACTTTGACTTTTTTTTATATCCAAGAAATTTATTACTTTTTGGAATGTTGAGGGTCTGTAGTCTAACATTTGACTCATTTATTTGTCTTGTGCATGTAGTTAGATTCATAATGTATGTTTTTAGTACTTTAAAAAAGGTTGACTATATCTTGAATATTTATAGTGTGAGAAAGTGCCAAGATAGCCGAAATTGCTTACCAAATTATATTAGTAATATTAGTAATGCACTATATATAGATGTAATTATATAATATTATTTTAACTGAAGCGGCAAAAATTGAGAGAAAAAAATTCAAAACTTCACCAAAATGCTTTTTATGGCATTCTGAGGTAGAAAAAAATAATTTTTTCCTTAGTGAAATAAGTCACCCAAAATTTAATATTTTCTAATTTTAAAAACATACATTTGTAGCCCAGATCAATCTGAATCTTTCTATGTTTTTAGAATTTAAATATTGGTTGTGTGGAAGAGTGAATAACGTTGCCGTCGTTCGCGTCCAAATTAGGTTAGTCATCTCGCGTCACGGTTGGTCGAGTTTATACTTTCCCAACCTTAGGTGCTTGTACTCCGTGACAGAACGCGTTATGTCACGTTTAGCTTCTGTGTGAACTTACCGAAATTCAAAGTTCTGCTGAATCACCCGTCTCAATTCATTGGCAAGGGAGACTTGCAGGAGAGTTGCGGCACAAAAAAGTGAGATGCCGAGAGTAGTGCAAGCCTCTGAATAATTGAGGATGAGACTTGCAAAAGACTTGCAGAGGCTTGTAACAAGTCACGAGATTTTAGTTTATGTTGATTTTGCAGAGGAAAATGAGAGGAACATAGTATTTCAAAGTCCGACAGCTCTGCAAGTCTCACACTCGAGAGCACTTGCAGGACTTGCACAAAACTTGCACGGATTTCGTCTGTATTTGGCAACTATTAAGGTACATGTCAATTTTTTTTGCACCCCAAACATCTCATGCCGACGTGCAAGTCTGCCTTGCCAATGAATTGAGACCAGCTACTTACCTAGTTATGTCGCGGTGACCATCCTAACTTCAGCAACTCGTCCTTGGAAACCAATACATCTTTTAAGAGGCTCGGGCAATCAATATTCTTGAACTAATTACAAGCCCTGTCGCAGCATCAATCTATCGCACACATCCTAATGATCTGGGTGCAGATCTGATCAACCATCTTAATAGCAGGGAATCCGAGAAGATACCAGCTGAGTGGGACGCTTGGTGGGGATGGTGTGCTGAACGTGACGACAGTTGGAAATTACTTGTCAGGCTAAGCAATACCACTGATTCTACGAAAGAGCACGGAACGGACGGAACGAAAGTCACTGACGAATATGGAATGGATTTAATACCTGCAGAGTTAGCACACCTCGTATCACGTTCAAAGGCGGTTTCACTCTCTCGACAACGACAAGATTTTCCTGTACTAGATATGGGCGGTCCAAAGGCCCTTCCCAGTGGGATGTCACCGAAGAAGTTCCACGAAGTCTCCCGAATGACTACCTACGTACTTGGACTATTGGATGCTTTTTACCAGGAGCATGGTACTAAGGTACAACATATCGTTGATATTGGAGCAGGACAGGTAAAGTATATCCGTATTACTTTTAAAGCTAAATCTCAATTTGATTGGCTTGCCTCACATAGGGCCATTTATCACGGTCTCTCTGTATGCCCGACCCAATATTGCTCAAACAACAGTGTTAACCAGAACTATAAAGGTTATGCAAGGAATTTGCATGTCCTTGCTCTGGACTCTTCATCAAATCAGAGTGGCTACCCTGGCAGCCGAATCATGCGGTCAGACGTGGAAGGGACATTGACTTATAGGACCTTGTGGTTAGGACAAGAGCCAACTTTTGCATCTCATCCAGGGAATTTTGGTCAGGAAAGGGAGTTAGGTGATAACGCGGATTTTGAACAAACAATCGATGAGTGGCTGCACACCTTTAGATCGAAAGAAGATCCTTTGGTCCCGGATGACACAACAAGGAGTCCGATTCCTGTTGTATTCGTAGCCCTTCACGCATGCGGTTCACTCACACCAGCCATTCTGCAGAAGATACTGGACCATCAAGAATGTTTACTCACCCAAGACAGACCTTGGTGTGTTGCGGGTGCTGTCATTGTTGGCTGCTGTTATAATCTAATGAGGGAGGATGGTAAGTGCATGCAGTCGTTTCTAAGCAATCAACTCGTGCTTTACTCACAAGACCCAATAGATTTCCCCCTGTCCCGAACTCTCCAGAAGCACATAGAACAAAAGTTTCATGGCTTCTCATTGTCCGCAAGCCATCTGCAATTGGCCGCTCAAGTGCCTTCTCAGTGGTTGAGCTCACCAGAGAGCGAAGCTGCAGCCGACCTTGCCATAAGAAAGATTGTCTACAGAGCTCTTGCTACTCCCGCCCTAAGTTATCTTACCAGCAAAGATACGGGTTTCGGTGAAGATTCACTGAAGCTAGGCAAACTCAACAAGAAAGCTTACGAGTCCTTCAGACTGTACCTGGAACGAGCTGGTCAGAAATTGGAGTCCAGCCAGCAGTTTCCACTCTTATCCCATGCGTCGCCATCCATGCGTGCGGACTCATACAATGATGATTATGACGAACGAGGCTTCGTCCGCAGCGATGGTCTAGATGCGAAGGGTACTGGTTATCTTACGAGCAACCGAGGCGATTCGATGCCGGACTTTAGTGGTTCAGAGACAAACCTACTATCCGTTTTTAAACACGTTGTTGGGCGCGACCCAGAAGAAGCCGAGACTTCCTCTCCGGCAATACTTACAAAGGCACTTCATGCCTTGCGATGCCTCCTCGGCCCACCTGTTGAGAGCTTGATTGTTCTTGATCGATACCTTTGGCTACATGAGGAGCTGTCCGGCACACCCCAACTCGAAGTCCGGTTGGTCAACTTGTTTAGTCAGGAAGCAGGAAGTGGTAGAAACGTAGGAATAGTAATAGGCCCACGTAACTGTAGCATTAATCATGAGGATTAACAAATACACATGTCCTAGTATAATGAAAGCTTACAATATTGATTGACTGACAATCCGACTGATCACAGCCAGTTATCCGTCCAAAGTCCTCAATATTCAGAACGAGTTGATATTCAATATAACAAAACAAGATACATTTCATCAAATGGACAGAGGTAGTATCAACTCCGCGCGGTGTCGAAACGTGCGAGCACCAATTCAGGCATTTAGTTTGACAACCTTACTTCGGTGCGGATTCCCGCGGCTCAATACAGCTTACCTGTCGAGTGTACAAATCGAATAATTTGACACATAATCATACATGCTCGTTGTCCACGGGTTTCGCAAAATCGGAAAGCACGAGTTTCTCCCGAAAGGCTGCACCATCCGAGATGAATACAACATCTGGGCTGAGCTCAACCGGGCCTTGTCCCGTTGCAGGATGTTTCCGCACAAGCTCGTCAAACTCCACAAGAAGATCTTCCACCCTGACATCTGCTTGCTCGCGAAGCACGTTTTCCCAGTGCACTCTGACTTTTTCTGCGGGCGGTTCGTGTCCCGTTACCGAATTATACTCCTCTGGGTTGACAAAGAAGTTTGCCCTGCGCAAAGTTGCAAGGAAGTCATCCGCGGCTTGCTGGCTTAACTTGACGACAGGAGGCCTCTGAGGTCGCATGTGTATAGACAATTTTGACCTGTTAGGCGATGTAGGATCAACAAACTCCTTGAACATAGAAACGACTTCGTCTTTCGTCACGCTCGTGATAAGCTCGGCATCACGTTCAAGACGCGTGAAGTCGAGATATCCAGATTCGATGTGAGTCCAAAAACGAGTCGTCTCTCCCGCTAAGTTCTTCAGCTTCTCCGTCCATTGCTGCACGAGACTTCTCTTGTGCTCTTGAAAAAGCGCATCGTCCATCGTTTCGAGAATTCCGCGCATATGTTCAAGGAATGCTTCAATGCGGGTCTCCAAATACTTAGGGTCCTTCTCCGACTGAACGACTATTCGCAACCCCATTGATTCCGTGCCTTGCCAAGCAGAGCAAAAGACAGTGTATCCCAACTGTTCCTTTGTTCGCAAAATGCTGAATGCAGGCTCTCGGAAGATCTGCACCATCAGTCTGAAGGTCGTACGAAGCCGAACGTCCGAGATCGTGCCAACATGACAATAATAAGAGTTACTTGCATTCACTTCATCGGGATTCGGGACGGGAAGCTCCCAGACATAGTTGCAAGCTGTATAACGGCAAATTAGTATTTATTACCAGTGGTCAGATCATAGCGCGTACGTTTAGGCAAAAGATGCGAACGCCACCAAGGAACGTTCTCTTTAGGAACGTGTTCAGAGCTGAGAATGTCCTTCGCCATCGATGCGATGCGCGTGGCGTCCTGACTGTACTGTGAATATCATTTAGACAAAGCCCATTAATGACAGCAGCATACCTCTTTCCGAAGATTTCCGTTAACCAAAACCAGGTATTTGAATTGTGACAGGAGTTTCTGGACATGTCCCTGGAGTTCTCCGACAGTTATCCCTGCCTAACCGTCAGTCTTTGCAGTCTATTTTCTAGATGCTGTGGGATTGGCTCACCTGTTATCTCCGCAAGTTTCTCTGTAACAGTGAATTGGTGACCCGAGAGGAGATATTTCCCATAATACTCAGACAGGTTCCAACTCTGTCCGAGGAAGAAGTTCTCCCACCCTCGCTTGGCCTAGAGCGGAACGCCTAACTCAGAATTCGTAATCGTCAGCATGTAAGGAGGACTTCTTTACCTTTTCCTTCATGACGGCTAGCCGATCTTCTTTGATTTCTAAGTTCTTGGCCTTTTTGAGGACGTGCTGCGCAAGAACATGCAATTTATCATTATAGCCACTGAGATTAATGTATAGTCCGAGAGCAGTCGATCCGAAATTGTAGTCAAGTCCGGCGAGACTTGCATCGTATGAGAACTCCGTTAGAGCGTCTTTCACAAGATCTATATAAAGGTGCGTCATGACGGATGCACGTGCAGAGTCACTGGCAAATGGCCTAGAGAAAGAGAACTAAATGAGAACCAGTTCTTTTAAGTGATAAGATTTCTAAACCCACGTTCGCGCTTCTATCACCACTTGTGCTCGAGGGACCCAGAACTGATCGTCTTTCTTATGCCAGACATCCATAAGTGGATTACGAAGGATGAGTGAAGGCCGCTTTAGTGGGATAGGAACATCGATCTTGTCGACGTCAACGTTGCTCGGAATGAACTCGTTCGGTCCGGGCAGATAAAGTTCGGGTATATCGTTTGGGGCGCGAGCCTGAAGAACGGACGTCACTACTCGTCGGATACAGTATCATGGAACCTTAAGTTTTTAACTCACCGCAGAGATTATTTCTTCGTCTAATCTACCGACAGTATATTCCGTTCCGTACCAAGGCTCTATGGTCCAAGGGCCTGCATTGTCTATTGTGCTGTGATCCTTCGCCATAACTACGACACGACCGTTCTCAACAGTCAGCCTAGAAAGTGTATCTCGCACAAGCTGTTCATCCCAGGCCCACGTCAGTTTTGGTCCACTAAGTATGAGAGATCGTGAAATAGGTAGCTTCATGTTGCCAGAAATCCGAGAAGCATAATTCTCTGGGCGTGCCTGCTTCTCTTCGAAGCGGAAATGCAATTCAGCGAGCGCTTGGATCTCACTCTGTGTCCACGCAGGCAGAACAGAGTCTCGTAGGAGGTTCAAGTACTTATAGCACGTCTTGAGAGCCTCGCGACAGTTCTCTGTGACGCAAGGGAATGATTCAAAAACAGTACTGAGCACACTACGACACACGAACTCACGAAAGCCATCTTTGGTAAGACGAACAGTTATTTTGAACATCTCAAATCCACGCCACAAACGCTGTTGTCCTGCGGTCAACGCGGTGATCCAGCCCTTGTTCTTCAGGTATGAGTGCAAAGAACCAGGCCCTTCATGCCCGATGAAATGTGACAGGTACCTGGTCGGTTTTACCTCCCAGAAAGGAGCTTGATAAGGCAGAGGATATGACAATTCCAGTTCATAGAAATCCATAATCGTCTTGACATGCACAACAGACTATTAGATAGATAATATGATCGCGTTAGAATCGTGGAACGCAGACTGCACGACTGAGAGTACATACGCCACGCTCATCCTTTCCAAACGGGTGTTCCAAAATGAGAGGGACGGGGTCTTGTCCACGGTTCTTGATTGGCGAGAACATTACCGCAACCATGTGAGCAAGCTCATCAAGAGATTCTTAAAAACTATTTAGTACGAAATATGGACTATCAAAAACAGCACAAACCTTTCCCAATAACTGTCAGACTCATCCGGCTCGCACAGTATTCTTTGCTCCACCATTCGATCAGACGACGCCTAGTCTCTCTTCCGACACTTCCTCCGTCAGCATCGCTTTCGTGGTTCGTTGAATTTACTGGAGGGGCTGGGGAAGCCGTCTGACTAGGTGTTTGTGAAGGTGCCGCGCCAACACTGCCGTCCCCGTTTACTAAATCACCGAGAGACGGCTTGTCTATAGGCGCATTCACTGAAGGTTGTTTTAGTGACCGTGCAGCCTCGGTAAGAGTAACTTTGTTCCCCGTTCCGAACTTCCTCCACGGGTGGCCTGGACGGGAGAGATGCTTTTTCAACTGGAATATTCGCTTCACATCTTTCTGCAAGTTCTTCTTGTTCTCCGAATCGACTGCATTGAGCTCTCGTAATGTACAGGACGGCGCAAACAGAGGCGAATGAAAGAAGCCAGAGAAACGCTCCAAAGCACCTGCAAGTGCATTCGACGCAACAGAGAAGTAATAATTTGTGTTTGAGGCGGAGGTGGAGGCATTGCAGTACCCAGTGTTCTTAGAGAGGTACTAGAGAATACGTGACTGAGTACGAGAAGACCACAATCCCAAGAAACGTGAAATTACTTCTTTGTATTCGTTCTCTTTTGGAAACTGCTCCGTTCCCTGTAATGATTACGGCAGTAAGCATATGTATGATATTATTCCGAGTTGGACACACCATGAACGAGAGATGCTCGCAGAAGTGAGCTAAACCGGGCATATCATCCTTCAAAAGAAATGGGTGAACACCAAAACGGGTATCGAGGCATGAAACATACGGGATCGAAAAGATGTCCGACAGCAACATCCATGCCTGCAGCAGCCTTGTCCGTATTTGCATCGTGCACCAATACAGCCTGGAGGCCATTTTCGAGGCGCACGACACGATAGTCGCGATCATCCGCTGGGCTCTTTTGGATCGGCAAGCTATAAACGTGATAAGCAGGCGTGCTGCCTTGCGCGGGTACAGGCGTCCAGTTCTTCTCGTCTTCCTCTAAAGAAACGTTAGCATTGAGATGCATATCCTGCATCACGGACGTCTAAGTCTAATCGTATATGAAGGAAACCAGTTTGAATGTTCCTAGGACTCGCAAGGACAGTACGTTTCCTCAAAGCAAGATGGGAAGACTAGAAAGTTTGAGGGAACGTATGCTATAAAATGTCGGTCGAAGGCATGAACGGAGAAAGACAAGAGGGCACATAAACTAGTACTACTAGTGTGGCGAACTCGAGGAAAGCCGAGGCGCGATGGAAGATACGCGACGGCAATTGCTTCGCGCCGTTGCAGATTCATGACAGACCTCGTATTTGACTCATCTCAAAAGCTAAGAACAATCAGCTGGTTTTCTTTGTTGACCTTGCAGGACTTTCTTGCCTCAGCAGTACAAGCTACATATAATTCTCGAATCTCGTTTTCTTAGCCTTTAATTATTTCACACATCTGAATCATCTGATATCTATCAATATTGAGCAGCTGTATATTGTAACACATCAAAGCTTGCATTGATGTCTTCGCTATAGAAATTTAAGATTGACATGCTTGTGTAGATTAATATTGTTGGTACAGAGTCTAATCTGTTCTTCTGTTGAGTGGTGGCTTTATACCACTCTCTGTAAGTATGTATTACTTCTGCTTATCATCTTGAAGAAGGGTTTCCTGCCAATATTTATACAATAGCATGCTGAAAGCAAAACACTGTGAAGTCTCTAGCAAATGCCCAATTATTCCAAACTTCTGGTCCGAACAATGCGCTCGATAATAGATATTCAGAGCAATGAGATGTTCAGTGCAATTGCAGCACCAAAAAACAAGATACATATAGCCGACTAGACAGGGATAACATCCCATCAACTCTGCATAGTGTCAAACGGTGCAAACGCCTGTTTAAACGCCTGAGCGTCCGCTTTCTCTTCTGCCTCCGTCTGACTACACGCTTTCCAATCTAGTCGGTCAGGTACGCCGAGTACCCTACACAGTACCTGTCTTCATAGCAAGAGGAGGAAGAAAAAGAAACAAGTCAACAACGTGCAATATATATATATATATATGTGTGAGTGAGAAAGCAGCATACCTTCCAAACTGAATACTAAACGGCACCTCCTGCTTAATCAAATGCACCATCTTCTTCCCATCGGGTAAGTCTACCCTAAAATAATTCCCTCTCCCTCCCGAACACATCTCCAGCGCCTTATCCGGGTCATCCTCAAACATCACTCCAGCCAACCCTCCTTCCGAAATGAACGCCTGCTCCACCCTTTTCGCGTGTGTACTCGTCGGTACAGGTACAACTTGTACATGCGCATGCCCACCTCGTCCGCTCAGTATACCCACCTCGAACATCACAGCCCCGCATCCGTACTTCGCATACAAAGCGCGTAATGCAGATTTATATTGCTCGAGCTCGGCGACTATTGGTACAGAGATATCTGGTGGCATTGCGGAGAGTGTTGGGTAGTGAGTGATGGGTACGATGAGTACGTGACCTCCCCCGGGGATTTTTGAGATTTCTGGAGAAGAGTGGGAGCCTGTTGGGATTATTTGGCCTTTTGGGAGGGTGACGTAGCATTCAGAGCCAATGGAGACGAGAAGGTGTTTCCTATAGACCTTCTCTTAAGCAAGGAAAGTCGTTTTAATGAATAAGTAGGTAGATGAAGAACATACGCAACACTAGGATTTGAAAGACAGAACCAACATTCGCTCGCTGTCAAGCATTCCAATTTGATTCAAATTCAAACTCAGAGTCAGCGGTAATGATTAAGCCAAGCGTAATGAGCGACTTACTTCCAATTTCATGAACGGGGCCTCTTTTTCGGTGTCTCTGTTCATGTCGACTCTGTGCAGCGACTGGGCAATCCTGGATCAAATGACCCTCGCTGGCACATGCTCGACAGACATAACCCGGCGGCGGTTTCCGACCGCCCGTATCACCTGTCGCGTTCTTTTCGGGGCAATCGCGAATGAGATGTCCAGGCTATACAGACTTGCTGAGTTTTATAGAAGGGATTCGACAACTACATTCTTACTGTATTACAGATTTTACAAATGTATCCTTCGGGAGGTTTGCTACGTTCGGGGCAGTCGGTAATGAAGTGCTGAGGAATGATATCAGTCCTACTTGTATTTCCCCGCTTGGAAAACAAAGTACTTACTTCCGTTGAATCGCATCTCCGACATTTATACCCTGGTGGAGGCTTGCCGCCTTCGCCTTTTTCTTTTCGTGATAATCAGTAGTCGAAGATGTCCATGGGTCGTAAATCCATACCATGCCGCTGTTTCTTTGCTACTGGCTGATTAATTGCTCCAAAGATGAAGTTATCTACCTCATCCATGTCGACGGGACGTTTCGCAGACGCTGAACCAGTAAACGTAGCGGAAGTGAACGGATTTGCAGTTGCGTTTGCGGGTTTTACTTGACTTGTTGACGAAGATGGCCCAGGGGTTATCGAGAAAGCATAGAACCACTACGATATTATCAATCATTAGACGTAAAACAAAGAAGACAGTTCGTCGTGTGCCTTACTCGAGGTTTCTTCGTCGTCCCATGGTCTCCGCCGAATGCACCTAAACTAACGAACCGAGATATTCTCCCATCTTCGTCTGCCCACGCATAGGGTTCACGTTCCCAAAATTGCGGAGGACTGCCCGACCCAGTCGCAAAATGATACTTTGGTTTTGCTTGGCGCACGATATCATCCACTGGTACAACACCGTGTCCGTCACCCGGAACAGAGTTTGACCCTCGTGTTATAGATGCAGGCCAAGCTTGACTCATGAATATATCTACGAGATGTGATGAGGTTGATGCCTTGAGCAGGGAGGCGAGTGAAGACGAATTTGAGGTTGTTGAAGATGAGGTAGTCGTGATATTCGAAAGTAACTTCTCAACGGTTTGTGAAGAGAAATATGGATCTGAGAATCCCTATCACAATGGTTCAGTATATGCACACGATAATGAAATTTGATAACGTACCAGAGGGGCCTCGGCTGATGAGTATACTTGCTCATCATATAGTCCTCCGAGGCAAGCTAAACGTAGGCCGTGTGAAGTAGTGAACACACCGGACTTGCCTACAGCAATCACTTAGAACAAGTCGTACGGGGCATGATAGCTCTCTCACTCAGCAGAAACAAGTTCTTGCACAGTTCACCTCCAGATTCTGCATACTTCTGAATGACCGCTTGTGGGATGGGATTATCTCCTTGCATAATATAACACGAAATCGGTACTTCATGTTTCCTGTCATTAGAAGTTGATAACAATTGCGCGGCTGCGTAACACACCGTCAATTTCACCGTTCAGAAGCTCCTGGACTTCTTTTGAGGGATCGGCATCCTCTTGTGGTCCGAAGAAATCGCCAACAGATATGCAGAGCTCGAATTTGCCATGTTTCGCGTCGATAGACTTTACTTTTGCGAATAGGTCTCGAATGGCTCCAACAGCCGGTCCTACTGTCAGTCTACATATATTTCATTAGTTTACTCGTCAGTATAGTTACTGCATACTCACATTTTCAATGGCGCCTGACCTGTCGACGTCGAGGACATGTGCGAAGAGGTGAGAGGGAATGGTCACGCGTTTTGCGCGTAAGACGCTCAAGAGTCAAGGCGCGCCTCGGGTGCGTGCGTGCAGTGCTGACAGGGACTCGCTTTGATCCCGTCTAAGCAAGCTCCTTGCCATCCTCCGCTCACCACCCACATGCTCTCAATAGCCAAACTCTTGGGGTCGCTCGTCCGCATCCTCCTATACCCACTCACAACATCCCTATCAACACTCCAGCGTTTGTTTATCTACTTTACGACCTGGCTGCCGAGTACATCCAGGCGCCACGTCGCTAATGATGCAGCCAGCGTTGCAGATCGCTGGGTACGCGAACTCGAAGAAGAGACAGGTGCGATTCGCGAGAGTCGTTTGAGCGATTTGAATGCTTCTTCCTCCGCGAGTGGTGCAGACGCTCAAGCAGGACCTGGTCCGAGTACGCTGAGCAGACGAAATGAGAGTGCGCGCGCTACTCGGTTGCAGATACCTGAGTTTTATCTTGGGAGCTATGAAAATGCGCTTAGGGAGGCGCAGAGAGATGCACGTTTGCTATGTATTGTTATTGTTAGTGAGGAACACGAAGATGTACCCGAGTTCAAAAGGTGAGCGAGCGTGATGCATCAAAGAAAACGTCGTTGGCATACTGAGCTAATAACAAAACTCATTCTTGTTAAGAACGACCTTGGTCGACCCAGAGTTCAACAAGATTCTCAGGAGTAACGATTTTTTGGTATGGGGTGGAGACGTTAGGGACTACGAAGCCTCTCAAGGTACATCATTCAATCAATACTCTCATAAAGTACTCACTCGTCTGATTATATGTCTTTCCAGCCTCACAAAAACTCGGAGCAACAACCTACCCCTTCGTCGCCTTCCTCGCTAACCAACCCCGTGGCGGTTCTCGAGGATCAACAAGCTCACCCGTTCTTACAATTCTCTCTCGACACCAAGGTCCCTCCACTCCCTCCGATGCCGACCTCCCAACCTCAGATCTCGGACCAACCTCTCCGCGCGCACTCTGCATACACCTCTCAAACTCATTGCTCCCGCGCGTAACACCCTTCCTCGCACGTCTACGTGCCGCACACGCCGAACGTCTCGCCCAACGCCGCCTAAGAGAAGAACAAGACGCCGCCTTCGCTCGGTCAGCAGAAGCAGACCGTGCCCGCGTTCTCGCAAAACGCGAAGAAGAGCGCCGTCAACAAGAAGAAATCGAGATGCAAGAACTAATTCGTGTACGTGAAGAAGCAGAACGTCGAAAAGCTCAAGACGAAAAAGAAGAACGCGAGAAGAACCGATTATTATGGTACCGCTACGCACGTCGTTCCTTACTTCCACCTGAAGCTGCACCAGGAAAGGGATCGATTCGCGTTGGTGTACGATTCCCGGACGGTCGTCTTCAAGTCCGTCATTTCTCGCCATCCGACTCGGTCACGTCTTTGTATGTCTTTGTCGCTTCTCAACTTATTCCGAAAGAGCATGCCCCTGCTGAGGACCCAACTTCACCACCAACGGGTTTCACTCCTGGAGAAATGGGCATCTCAGGAGACTCCTGGTCGTTCAAGCTCGCGCTTTCTTACCCTCGTCGGGAAGTACCCTGGGTAAAATCCACCCCACTTTCAAATATCGACGGCCTAAAGGGCGGCGCACAACTCGTCGTGGAGAGTATCCCAGGACACGCTCTTATTCCAGGCAGCAATGCACAAAGTCAAGGTGACGGAGACAGTGATTATGATACAGAAGAAGAGTAGATTACACATATGTAATGGGAACTTCTGCTGCTACTGCCTACTAGTACTAAACGGTATACTGAGAGCAGTGGGACAAGGGTGACTCTGGATCGGGTATTGAACTATTGATAGACAGAGACAGATTCTACTCATGTTCGTTGCAATATCTTATAACAGACCTATTTTCTCCACTCCAACCGTATCGCATCAACCTCGTATACGTATCTCACTCATCGCTTTTGCATCACAAAAGCAATGACGTCCAATATGAAGGCCTACTGAGTGAGGATTGTGCGGACGAAGCTCTCGTAATTCACGTTTCCGTCACTAAGAACAAGCAAGGCGCATAAGTATTCATCCACTAGCACAGGAGAGTGAAGAAACATACGGCCCAATTTGAATGCCCTTAAGAAGTTCGTCGACCTCTTCATCCGTCATCTTCTCACCAAGTTGTGTTAAGATGTAACGCAGCTCTCCTGCACCGATGAACCCGTTCATCTCTCTATCAAATACTTGGAAGCCGCGAAGGAACTCCTCTTAACGAGCATCGAACCAAAAAGATAGGTCGCATGTCAGAGGAACCAACCATCTTCTGCTTCCCGGTAGGGAAAGAACTTGGACGTACCAGCTGTCCCGGCAGGCTTGAACCCATCCGGCCTATTCAAGATCGTAAGGAAGCTCTTATAATCAACTATCACGACCCATCCACACAAATCAAAGACAAAGAGTGAAAATCAATTAAAGACACGCTCGACATGAAAATAAATTAAAATAAAAGAAGATAAGCACGCACCATCCCTCGGAGCAGAAGCAACGATATCCGCAACCTCCGCCTGAGTCGGGTTCTGCCCCAACGCACGTAGGAGGTCACCAAGTACCTCACGCGGGACTGTCCCCGTACCCTTCTTGTCAAACAACGCGAATGCTTCTTTGTATTCTGTTTCCATCCGAAATCAATCGCATTGGATAGTTCATTCATATAGAGATGCATAGACGGAAGAAGAAAGTCTCGTTAGTCTGACATCGCCAATACGAAATAGCCAGCAAGTGCCAGTCAACCTGACGCGTACCTGCGTTATCACTCTAGAAGGAACACATACCCCAAATCAGTCATTGAAGGGCCGAAGAGTTCTGAAAGCAACTCACCATTTCGAGTTGACAAAGAAGTAGAAAGAGATATACAGAGATGAAGAATAGAGTAACGGTTCAGGGGCAGGGAGCGTTAGGAGGTTGAGAAAGAGTTTGAGTTTGGAGACGCGACTGTCAACGCGTAAAAGGAAACTCGTTCAGTAGGCTTCCGTCCTGTTTTGGAAATTATCGTACCAACTCAGTCTCTTTAGTTAGTCGAATTAGCATGGTTGCCAACTTGACTTGGAGAAGAAACGTGGAGAGAAAGTATTAAATTATCAATAATACTGAACAGTACTGTCCCTGAAAGGAACTAAGCTATTAGTGAGAAGTGTGCTAGTTAGACATAATATTATAGCAGTTTCTTATTAATTTCCCTCCAGCTTCTCGCCAAGGAATATCATTATCATTGCTTATTTCAAAGTTAGCTGCTCCAGAAAAGAGGCATAGGACTTTTTGAACGCTCTATTATCCTATTTTTTAAAATTAATCACTGGTCATCTCATATTTCTCCTCTTTCTAGGGTTCTGTTCTCCCGCCTTGTTTCACTCTAATCCACATCCTCACGGAACAAGTGTCAAAGGGTGAACAATAGTAGGCATGCTTGTATAAACGTCGTCAATCGTTAAGGATACAACACAACAGAGTCGAAGCCAAAAGTTCATAGTCACAATGAAAACCCATCCCAGGCTCGTAACTACAGTCATTGGGGAATAGGGGAGAAACGATACAGCTCGGGCCATCATATAAACAGGTGAAAGACGAAATCGGAAGCGAATAAGAGGAGCAATAAGAAGCAATAATAAAAGATGCGTATGGATACAATTGGTCTGAAAGTGAAGGAGAGGTCGTCGCGACGCGGAAAAAGATGCCTATGTACAACTTGAATGAAGCATGAAAAGGCATTAAATGTGTTGATTGAAAGGGTATAAATAGAAAAACGCTGAGAAGGGAAGATGACGACTGTTTTTGTCTTCCTCTTTGTCCCTGATGAAACGAATCGAAATGTGGGGGAATAAGAAGAACCAGAAGTCCCAAAAGAGAATAAAAACCAAAAGACCATCGCGAGAAGCTGATGACGGGGATACTTGCAGGAGACCTTGAACAGGATGCTGTAAGCTCAGATGCCGAATAGCTGATAGTCGTACTGTACTGCCTGACCCCAGAAGCTGGGATCGCACGCGCCAATGTCAGCTAAACCGCCCGAATCACCAAGTACCATTGCGTTCACATTAGTGCTAGACACTGGGTTCCAGTTTTGGAATCCATATGCAGCGGGCGAGCCAGTTGCAAAGAATGCCTTCAAGCGTGCTTGCACCTGTGCCATGAGACTCTTCTGTGCGCTTGATGGAGAAGTTACTGTATTAAATACAACCTTGATGTCGTCTTCATGGCAGACCTTGCGTCCTTCAGTACAGAACGCAATGTCTTCGTTGTCTGGATATGTCGCACCGACAGCATATTCGCCGACGAACACTTTACCACCTGCTCCCGCCCACAAACGTGAGAATGTCCAAGACGGGCATCGCCAGACTTGATCTGTTCCGATTGTCTCGATTAATGGGCGAGTATCAACGGACGAGACGTTGGCTGCGTTTGTGGGTGGTAGGACGTAGTGTTGCGAGTTTAAGACTGTCGACGTTCGTGCAGAGCCAAGAGACGCGTTAACGACGACAGGAAATTCGCTCACAGGAATCGGGCTCGTGAGCATGCCGAAAATGGTCGGACCTGCTTCGTTGCGTACCGTGGAGACTATGATCGACTTTGACTGGCCTGGAAATGGTGCGGTGGCGTCAAGAGGGGAAGCTATGAGCGAGTGATCTGTGACCGGCCGCATAGGCATGAAAGCTCCGGTGGAGGCGTCTAGCGAAGGAGCCTGCCCGAAGACAGTTTGGGATACGTTTAACACATCATCTGTAGACAGCCCGTTTAGGCATGCTGTATCGCTGGAATCACAAGGGAGTTGAGACTTGAGGAAATTGTTGAGCGTCTGAAATGCTCCTTTAGAAAGGAAGCCGAAGTTCTGAATGGAAGGAATATGTTAATATGCGTTCGTTGTGACCACCAATTTCACTGACCATCGGGTCTGAATGTAAACTGGCGCCTCTGAAAAGATTGGATGCAGAGGGTGTGGCAAGAAGTGCTCGGACCATGGTTGCTCCACTACTCTGACCCGCGATCGTCACTCTATTCGTGTCACCGTTGAAACTGGGTAAGGTCTTCTGCAAGAACTGCAGAGCGGTGATCGTGTCTTTCACGGCAAGGTTGCTTTTCCCATTGGGAGAAAGAAAGCCGAATGCACCGAGCCGATATTGTATAACAGCAATTATAGATCCGGTTGCCTGTGCGAGAGCAGCGCCGTCGAGCCCTGGTCCCGTAGCTGAACCGATTACAAGAGAGCCTCCATGGATCCTGGTTGAGAACAATCAAGGTTAGTATTGAGAAAATAGTGATCGACGTTTCCAGATATGGAAGAAAAGGCGTCATGCTCGTCGATTCGTTTTTCCCAAATCAAAACAAAACAGCACATGCGCCACCCCAGCGACCGAAAAGAAAATCCAGAAACGAACACGTACCACATCATTGCGGGAACCTTGCTCGTCGCGGCGATAGCGGGAACATACAGGATCATCGACAGGCAGTCTTCATCCGTATTCGAACTGTTCTCATCAGACTGAGGTTGCGGGCACGCGAGCGGCAGCGCAGATGGATCCGTAGCGCCATTTCTACGCGTTAATTGTCAGAGGGGCGCGTCGAAACGATGTTTTATTTACTGATGACTCACGGGAGCTCCCACTTCGACACCATTGTCGACTCTTGCCACCTCTCGGCTGTCGCATAGCGTACCGCGAACCGGCCGACGGACGACGTGTCCGCTACGCCGGATGCGTCGCCTAATGGCGTTGTAATTGTGACGGATGCGTCATTTTGTGAACCTTTGGAGTGCGATCCGCACAAGAGGACATTCAGCGGCTTGATGCTGCAGAGGAAGGAGAGCAGCTCGGCGATGGCGTGGCGCTGCCGCGTACCTGCTGAAGAGGCCACTGGAACGGGCGTGGCACTACTGAGCTGTGGCAGAGCGACGAGGAACAACAGCGAGTGCAGGAACACGCCTGAGAACGCAACCATGATGGACGAAGAGATTGACCGGTCTGTTGGGAGTGAAGTCGGCGAGACTGCTTAGCAGGCTGAGGACGACGGGGGAGATGAGAGAGGGGTATAAGTACTGGCGCGCTCGAACCAGCGAGGCTCGGATGGAAGGAAAAGGAACTGTTCTGGGACCTGAACATCAGTTTCAATTTGAGGCCGCACAACAGCTGCTCGAGAATATCTGTGCCACCCAGTTGGTCATGGTTACCGCATTTGGGCCTACCCACGAATAGCTCTCTTTGTTCTCCTCGTCCCTTCAGGTTGTCCTTTCCCTCGTCTCTCATCTCCTCGCCTCTAATCCGATGCCATCAGTATTCTTACCACTCGTTTTTCTACCGCAGTGCCTGACCTGCCCAGCATCAGGACCCAGAAGCCTGATTGCCTGAGATCCCTCGAGGCTAATCCGAGCCTTCCACTCACACATACACCCGAGAAGCACTGTCTTCAATAGACCTCCCTTGGCATTTCCATCAAGGGCTGCAGACAAAAAGCTCGAGGGTCAAGGTGCTCGCAATTACCTGTCCAGCGACACTCCGAACATGCGACGGCGATGAAAATCGAACGCTCCCACGTCTTGTATTTTTGCATGCGCCGCTTGCGTTGACAAACAATCGAGTTCCCCTGCTTACCGTTCCCTTCGCAGATCCCCGCAAGAAAATTGCACCATCGACTATTGGAAGAACAAGCACTCCGTGGGTTAATTGAAATACATTATTGAAACAGATGCCCTGATCGCCGTCTGCCGGTTGGCTTCAAACTCAGCGTCTAATTTTGAGTGCTTCCGGGCTGCTATACACACCATTAACGCTGGCTGTGCCAATGCCGCACTTCTAGTCCGCATTTTGTGCGAGCATTTGTGTAGATACTGTCCGCTGGCTGTCAGAGCGGCGCTCTTCCCTTCGATCTACTCCAAACAGCCGCAAAACGCTGTGCGTCTCAACAATATTGTTCGCTTCTTTGTCTTCTCCCGCTGGCTCCGCCATATTCTATTCTTTCGTTCTCTTGCTTGGCCAAAGTCCGTTAGTATATGGATAGCTGGAATGCCCACGTTACAAACCACAGAGGGTACTTTCTCTTCACACGTCGACCGCAAACTCCGCTGGCTCGACTGCCAGCATACTTACAGGCACCTTGCGTAATGCGAGGAAAAAGGTACCAGAAGGCTTGTATTCTTCATGGTCTCGATCTTGACGCAGTCAGAAAAGCCTCCACTCACCTTCGTTCACCTCAATCCGCGTTCCTGTCCGGCCCGCCGTCGAGAGCCATGATCGTGTCCCTCTTCTCCCGCATCCTTGCCGAACATCTATCAGACGGCTGTCATCTCCAAATAGCTCCCTATTATCCCATCAAACTATCCATAAATCTGTTGTCTCTGATCATCTCCAGGTTCGCTGATACGTGAATAAGTCGTGTGCTTGCTTGTTCATAGTGGCTAAATAAAGCTTGGCAATAGGGGAATGAGCATAAGGTCGACAGGCACTTCAGTAAAATTTGTCTGTTTATTTTTAATACACGAGTACGGCGGAGGGATCGGGCTACTTAACAATAAGTGACGAAAGTACAAGGCTAAAGGCAAAGAGAGGAATTGCGGTTGCTGCGTCCCGTATGCCGTTCGGGAAAGATTGGCTGCTTTTCGCACAAAGGCGGACAACATCCTCCTCTGCAAACAAACCTGCTAGTAGATCTATAACTTCAAATTTATTTTGATCATCCCAACGTATGCTATCGCCTATCAGATTCCAGACAGCGACGCACTAAGCATAACTACACTTTTAACCGTGCATTACCAACATTACCAACAGTATTCCAATAGCCATCTCGAAAGGCGCATACGCACGCGGTGCGTAAGGTCAGACGCAGCGTCCACCGTCCACTTCAAGGCATACGCCCGTTACGAACTTGGCTTCATCAGAGGCCAACCATCCAATTGCAGACGCTACATCTTCCGGCTCATTGAGACGTCCCATCGGCACTGTTGCCGCGAACGAAGCCTCTGAGTTCTTAAGGCAAGGAACTCATCGGTAAGCAAGCCAGAAAATATTGGGGAAATGCCTTGCCTTGCCGAGGAAGGTCGCGAGAAGAGGTGTATGACCTGCAACGGGGCAGACGGCGTTCACACGAATCCCTTGCTTAGCGTATTCGACTGCTAGACTCTTCGTGGCGATGTTGACCGCGGCTTTTGAAGCGTCTAGTTTGAGTCGGCCGCGTTAATATTAAAAAGAAGCATTAGCGTGTCCTATCGGGGTACGGCTCTCATTACGCAACTGTACCATGTCAGCCCTCCACGAGGCCTGTAATTGACATGCCATACAGCAAATCAGCTCGAGGAGAACAAAGAGCTGTAAGAACACAAATCAAGTCGCATACCGGATAGCAGCAGTACTCGAGACTACCAGAAAACATGAGTAATGAAGACAAATAAAAACAGCAGTTGTACGCCCGTCGTCCATGTAAGTCCGAGAGAAACCTACCATTCACAATGACGCCTTGTTCTTCGGAGAGGAAGTGCGGCACGACGGCCGAAACGCAGTGGAACATGGAGCGCACGTTCAAGTCAATGCATTTGTTAAAGTCTGCTTCCGTGGCTTCGAGTGTAGCCTTTTAAAATAGAGTATGGCTATCGATGAATCGCGGTATAAGGGAGCGAGAACACGACGCACCTTGTTCACATAGCTTCCACCTGCATTGTTAACGAGAACGTCTAGACCACCAAACTGATCAAGGGTACCCTTCACAAGAGAAGTCCACGAGGAGGACTTTGTCACATCGGCTGCACAGTATAAGACCGAATGAGCTCATTGCAACGCGCATTAGGACGCCAAAGACATCTTCTGTCATCAACGCACTCTTAATAAATGTCACGGAACCCTTGAGTTTCTCTTTCCCAAAGGCGTTTGCGAGACTCTTGCCTCTCTCCTCGTTCTATGGAAACAAGCTAGAATCATAGCTAAGGATGATAGACAGGGAGCCATACAATGTCCGCAATAACGACGCTGGCTCCTCTACTAGCCATCCATCGCACAGTAGCCTCACCGAAACCAGAGGCGCCCCCAGTAACAATAACTCGACGCTTGAGCCATCCTCCGAGAATAGGGCTTGAAACGCGCATGACGCCTTGGTGCTTGTTGAACGGTAAACTGTTCCGCCGCTCTAAAGCATCCTTTCTTTGTCTTCGAATTCATAAAGGTGGGGTCATGGGAATTTAAGAACTTAAAGAAGGCTCTCTTCCATATCCCCATAGATCGCTTCGTTAATGATGAGTCCCTACTCCCTAGCTCCCAAGTTATGATTTAAGCAGCTAGAAATCTGAGGTAGTCGGAAAGCCTCCAGTAGCAAGCATCGATATTGTCTTGAGGATCAATATTCAGACTGAAACCGAAAAACAAACTGGAAAAGTTTGCGGACCACTTCGACACGGGATATAAAAGGATCTGCACTTCTCACTTTCGGCAAATTATCGGGGGGATGATTGGTATGCGTCGCGATTCAGGACTCGCACGATTGATTACATAACTTGTTCAGTTGACAAATTACTCCGACGATTTGCCGTTCACAATTCAGGGAAATTTCCCCGACAACATCCCGGTAACTTCGTCTTTACCTGAAAAGTCAAAAAAGTCTAAAACCCTTTGCTTGTGGGGAATTAGACTAACTTATAGTTGTCCCCATGACATAGTCTATCCTATTTCAAACTTACTTCTGAGGCCAGCTGCCCATTGTTGGGATAAAAAAAGTCTGATAATGACCTCTGTTTTCTTGTACCGAAGGTAACATAAAAGGCACTTAGGAGGTGTTTCAATCCACCTAGCCCGCCTCGTTTTTATCTCAAGACCTGTCAGACAAATGGCGCTCGAAGACAAAGGCAATCAGACTCTCCCACTGCGTTTTGCTGACCTAAAACGCGAAATCCTGCCTCAAGATGAACCGTCAAAGGCCCACTTCGTCGCTGCCTGGAATGATGTACTCGCTGCGCTCCGCACAGCTACGGAGGAAATAAAGTCACATGGATCTTCGGTAAACCAAACCGATCATCTCACATACTCAAGGTTTTTCACAAACAAATACTACAGATTATCTCTCAGGTCGAGTTCTCAGAGCTACAGAATCTGAAGCCAAAGGAAATCGAGGCCATAAAGAGACGTGGTACGGTTCTGATAAAGAATGTGATAGACGATGACCAGGTAGTTTTGTGGAGAGAGGAACTCGAATCTTTCGTCAAGATAAACCCTGTTGAAGGTACATCGCATAAGCGTTTCCCCCTACACGACCGCTAACTATCGACCTTCGATTCAGGCTTCCCGGAAGGCGACAAGCAATTCTTCCAGCTTCAGTACGCCAACCTTTTCATATCCGAAGGTCCTAATCAGTGATTGTATATTTCAGCTGGACGAAACCGCAGATCCAAGCCCGCGCACATCCAAACGTCTTACAAGTCTCTACCTGGCTCAACAAGTTCTTCCATGTGAACTCGAAAGAGAAAGCACAAGCCAAAATACTGAAGGGAGTAGAGATGTCTATTCCTTTATCATACGCTGATAGATTTAGGATCAGGTAATATCAATTCTATTATCGTCTCCTTCCTCTTTACTTATCTGAACCGTTGCAACAGACACCCTGGGACTCATTGGAATGAGTTCCCACCGCATATTGATGGAGGAGGAATTGAACGCTGGGTGAGCACACAAACCATTCGATGCACGAGAAACAGAACGTTATGATTGATATCTTGTTCAGGAAGAGCCAAGTTTCAGAAACTGTTTCACAGATATCTTGCAGGGTAACTGGCAAAAGCATGACCCTTACGACCTCGTTGAGAGGTTGAATGCGAGGACAGATATCTATGGTCGCCCTGATCAAGTACGACACAAATTATATGACTGGCTTCATACGCAGTCATTGATTCGTTTGCCAGGCTAGTGTATTCCGCACCTTCCAGGGCTGGCTTGCTCTAAGGTTTGGAATGTTTCTTCATCGTATCATATGTTAATTAAACTGACGTGCACACAATATCAGTGATACTGGCCCAAACGAGGGAACACTCAGAGTCTTTCCAGACGTTCTCCTTTCAAACGCGTATGTCACCCTTCGACCGTTCTTCAGGCTCAAGGACAACCTCGTGAAGGAAGATCCACTAGATCCAGAGAACTGGGTACTTGGTGAGCTCCCCCGCTCCTCTAGCAGGTGTTCATCTCATCATGCTTAAATATTTGTGAAGATGTAAGCAATCCTGATTTCCCGGGTATCTTCCGCTGGGGCGACGGATTCTTCGGCCCTCGGATGAGCCATGCCACACATCCTCATCTTCGTCTCGATGATTGCATGACGCCCATCCCTCATGTAAAGCCGGGTGACATGGTATTTTGGCACGCTGACGTTGTCCACAGTGTTGAACAAGAGCATAAAGGAAAGGAGGACTCTTGCGGTATGTTGCACTGTTTACTTCTATCTCTATAGTGCAATTCTTATTATTGTGCTCCTTGTCTATAGTTATATATATCCCCGCCATGCCGCTTACGCCTCTGAACTTGTCTTACGTTGCAAAGCAGAAAGAGGCCTTCCTCAAGGGCCTCGCTCCTCCGGACTTTCCAAAGACCGCTGGAGAAGGTACATTCGTCGGAGCTGGTAAGGAAGGAGACATAGTTGGGGAAGTTGCGAGGAAGGCCATGGGCCTTGTGCATTAAGTAATTAAAGTGTGTATCTCAAAGGAATCCTCAAATTTGTGGTGTATAAATCTGTAGTTATTCACGTTTGTACTGAAGGTCATGATCGAAGATTTTTCAAAATCTCTGCTGGATTGAAGCGATATAAACTGAGAATGTAACCTTTGATGGGTTCCAATAGATATTTCCAAGTCAAGTAAGGTATAAGGTGAATATAAAAACTGTATAGCTAATTCCCTAAACGAGCTTGTAAACACAGCTAAGGAGATGATACAGCACAAGGGGGCAAGGGAATGGTACATATAGCTTCCTTCCACCTGCCTTATTATCGAGCCTAGTATTTCACCAGACTGATCAAGTACTCTTCACGAAAGAAGTCTGCAGGGAGGACACTATCACATCGGCTGTACAGTATAAGTCTGAATGATCTCATCGCAATGTATGTTCGGACAAAATTTCTTAATCCCGTCGACAACGCATTCTTAACGAACTCCACGAACTGCTTAAGTTTCTCTTCCCTCATGATATTCGTGGCGGTCTTGCCCAACTTCGTTCCAAGTCAAACAAGCTAGATTCACGACCCAGACGATGGGGGAGTGCTGTGTGACGGTGCTTGCTCCTCTCCTAGCCATCCAACGTTCAATCACTTTGCTGAAGTTAGGACGGCCGCAACTAACAAGATCGCATCGCTTGAGCTAACCTTGTTGAACGGTAAATTGTTCCGCCGCTCTAAAGCATCTCTGCCTGCCTTCGACTTCATTTGGTGGGGTCATGGGAAAATTCTCCTCAGTGTAGATCACATGATTTATAATGGATAACCTAGCCCTCGGGCTTTGAATAGAGCAACTAGGAATTCTAGGAGAGTTGGGAGGCTTTCAGAAAGCTGCATCGATGTTATGAGGGTCAAATTTCAAACTGAAAAGCAGGAAACCCTCAAAGACCAAGCTAGCACGTGACGGAAAGGAGATCTTCGTTTCGCGCAACCGGCAAATTGTCGGAGTATTTCCTGACCTGTACTCGCGCCAATTCCTTGAAAGTAAAAGAAAACCCGTCTAACACCGTATGCCTGTGGTAACTTAGACTGCTTATAGTTGTCCACATGACATAGTCTATCTCATTCCAATGCTACTTCCAGTTCTCGATCAAGCCGCCTATAATAGAGATAAGAAAGTCTCATGATGTCCTACTGAAGGTAGAGTATAAAAAGGCACCTCGGAGGAACCTCGCTGTCTCTTCTGTCTATTCAACCACTCCTCGTATTTACTTGCAAAGAATCGTCCAGGCAGAATGCAGCTTGAAGATAAAGGCGTTAAGGCTTTCCCACCGCGCTTCGTCGACCTGAAACGCGAAATTCTTCCCCAAGATGACGAGTCAAAAGCCCGCCTCGTTGCTGCCTGGAATGATCTTCTTGCCGCGCTCCAGTCCGCTACACAGGAAATAAGGTCTCAAGGCCCCTCGGTATACTAATCCGATTCCCTTATATACTCCAGAAATCACAAACATAAATTATAGATAATCCCTCAAGTTGAATTTTCGGAGATAAAGAATTTGAAACCAGAGGAGATTGAAACCATAAAGAGACGAGGCGTTGTTCTGATAAAGAATGTGGTAGACGATGATCAAGCAGCGTCCTGGAAAGAGGAACTTAAAGCCTTCGTTAAGGTAAACCCCGTTGAAGGTGCAGCACTTGACCGATTTATCTCCCACGAGTGCTATCAGTTAACCTTTTCACAGGCTTCCCAGAAGTAGACAAGCAATTCTTCCAACTTTAGTACGTCAACTAATTCAGTTTTATTGCCGGAATCAATATGATTAAATAATACAGCTGGACGAGACCACAAGTCCAAGCCCGCGCACATCCAAATGTCTTGCAAGTGTCCACCTGGCTCAACAATTTCTATCATGTGGACTCGAAGGAGAAAGGAGAAGCGCAAGTATTGAAGGGAGTGGAGATATCCACTCCATTATCATATGCAGACAGGTTTAGAATTCGGTATGCTCTTCGCGTTTTTATTCAAGTTATTGCTCTCTCAGTACATTCGCTGAGTTATTTTGAATAGCCACCCCGGCGTACAGTGGGACGCACACCCACCACACATTGATGGAGGAGGCATCGAACGTTGGGTAAGTATTTGGCTTCATAAGAAATGGTGTCATTTGGTTAACATGTTGTCCAGGAAGATCCAAATTTCAGAAGCTGTTATGCCGATATCTTGCAGGGTAATTGGAAGAAGCATGACCCTTACGACCTTGTCGGAAGGTTGAATGCGAAGACAGACCTCTATGATCGTCCAAATCAAGTACGACACAATTATATAATATGATTTCGTGGACAGATGATAATCTATTCGCCAGGCTAGTGTTTTCCGTACCTTCCAGGGCTGGCTTGCCCTCAGGTCCGCGATGTTTCCCACTTTCACCACGTTACTTAATGACCTTATATGCATACAATGGAAGTGATACTGCTCCAACACAGGGGACGCTCAAAGTGTTCCCAGACGTTCTCCTTTCGAACGCATACCTCATCCTTCGTCCATTCTTCAGGCTCAAGGACAAGTTAGTAAAGGAGGATCCTCTCGACCCAGAGAACTGGGTGTTTGGTGAGCTTCCCCCCGTACCCCTTTCTCCAGTAGACCTTGTGTCTTACCACCTTGTACTTGCAAATCCGCATAAAGACGCAAGTACCCCTGGCTTCCCAGGTATCTTCCAGAGGGACGACGGGTTCTTCGGTCCTCGACTGACCCCTGACTCGCATCCCCACCTTCGGCTCGAAGATTGCATGACACCCGTCCCTCACGTAAAGCCGGGAGACATGGTATTCTGGCACTGCGATGTTGTCCACAGCGTTGAACAAGAGCATACAGGAAAGGAAGATTCTGCCGGTGACTCTCATTGCTTTCTTCCATTCTTGTGGCATAATTCTCATCATCGACTTTTCTATCTATCCGTAGTTATGTATATCCCTGCCATGCCACTCACGCCTCAGAATTCGTCCTACGTGGAAAGGCAGAAAGAGACTTTCCTCAAAGGTATTACTCCTCCTGACTTCCCTAAGACTGCTGGAGAAGGTACGTTCCTCGGGGTTGGGAAGGAAGGCGACGTGGTTGGGGAAGCTGCCAGGAGGGCTATGGGCCTTGTGCATTAATTGAATGGTACCTTGAGGAAATTCTCAAGTCTTCTCCGACTACCAATGTATAAAGTTGTATTATTGACAATGCTATCGAGGGTTATCAAGATAGACTTTCAAACCTGTTGCTGAAATAAGACGAGACCAACAGAGTATGCGTCGATTGCTGAGTTTTAAATGTACGTTTCCAAGTTGAGCAAAGATATCCAATGGATATAAATACTATATGAATGATCCCTGGAGATGTGCTACGTGCCTGGACGCCTCTTGAACCACGGTTCCTCACTTATTCGTTCCGCTTATGGTGGATAGTACAAGGTGTCTTACTCGAGGAAATTGCGGACGCCCGCTCTAAATTATTGGCAAAGATAGACAGGTCCCTGCCTTACAACATGGCGCTATGTTGTTTCCGGTATCCGTATTTCCAATTAGCTGTCCAAACTGCCGTCATAAATACTTTACAATTTCGCTTGTCGAGAAACTACTTCTTCAAGGTCCGTAAATACATCGAAATTGCGTAAAAGATTCATTTTCTTCGGTACCTGAGCGATAAGCAGTCCGTTAGCAAGAGCCGAACAGATACGAGCTAGGGGCAGAAGGTGAAAGGGTGCAATTGGGCCAGATAATTACTCACAAGAGTTCCTTTCTGGGGTACGAATATTGTCCTGTGCAAGCATCCTTTCCTCCCTCCCCTTGCTTCGTCGCCTTCGAGTACAAGGATATGGGAGCCATCTGGTGAATTGTGAGGCACTAGGTGCTGCGGATTGAACTCCATCCGTCCGAACATACTACGCGAGAGTCGCGCGACCTGCTCACGGTGCGCCGACGTATTAATGTTGATATTCTCAGAAGAGTCACGCTCAGCTGCCGAACCAGGACTGGACCCAGACTTGAATATATCGTTGAGAGTCGTCAAGATGTACAATTGTGGTGGCATTAGTCCGACCTCTCCACGCGCAAAGGCAGCTAAAGTTACACTCGGATGTATGTATTCGGCGGAGACTACTTCGGTCGTTTGCGAAGTCGAATTCGGACCAGCACCATCATTTGGCGAGTCAGGAGTGGGAAGTCGATGCGTATGCGTTCCTGATGATGGACCTGACAAGGCGGAAGCGACCGGAAGGAAAGTTACGAAGAACTTCGCGCGAAACCGTCTGTGAGCAATCTTATTTAGCAAATGCTTCCGTTAACGGCGAGACGGTAAAATTACACAGGTGAATCGGATGGAGTTACCCATGTTGAAAACGGCAGGAGAGACGAAGTATCGGCGACTAGTCCGTGCTCCGATAAAAAATCGGTGAAGAGCCGTTTGCCTGCGTGTATTGCTTTACGTGCTTCGTCACATAAACTTTCCGGTATCCCAGAATCCTCGGAGCCCGTAACTCGCGAGGCTAGGAGCACACCAGTCTCTTCGAACGTCTCTCTAATTGCAGTCATCTCTAACGAACTGTCTTGTGCCGAATCATAATTACCGCCAGGAAATACCTTCCATGGTCCGTCAGTCGGGTCGGCGATACACAGTTCGCAAGAAAGTGAGTGAACTCACGTGTGCACCTCCAAACGAACGAGACTCTGTATGCCTTTGGACCATAAGAATCTCGTTCTTCGCGTTGACGACAATCAGGCTTGCAGAAGGTCGCGGAGGCGATGGAGGTTTCTTGTGTTGTGTTGACGACATTATACGCGTCTCTAAGGCTTGTATTAGGGCTAAGTTCCGTCGTGCATAGGGAACGACGCGCCATACCAGTACCAATATTTCTATAAAATGCCGCTGGAAGTGTTAACGTCCGGTCAAAACGAGAGACTACAGACCGGAGCTGGCTGTACGGCACTCTAAGCATGTGAAAGAAATAAGAGCACCCCAGCATATTGCACAATGCCTTGAATTCAATAGAAGCAGCCGTGCGTTTGTCAGCTCCGCGGAATCTACATGTGTGCCGTAATTTCTCAAGCTCAGGAAATATCGTTGATGTTGAACAGCTTTGACCGCGGGCCGGAGGCCCATGGCCAGAGCAACGTGCAATTTATCACGTGGTTTATTCAAGCGCATTGCATTTGCAGGCACATGCATGTTTAATCTCTTTTCATGTCGTGTAAATTAAAAATAATATAATCAATGAATTATACAAAATGCATGCATTTTATAATGTGCTATCCGAAAATAAGTTAATTTGAATAAAATATGATTCAAATTTTCGCCGTTGACCTTCATACTTCTGACATCCGGTATAATCCTGTCCTTTAGGAGACAAAGACTGCGCAAATACGTTAATACGTGGTAAGATTAAGAAGTATACTAACTTACAAGACAGTGCGATCACGAAATACAGCGCAATAAGCCTATATGCACATTAATAATCGTGAAGATAACTGAAGGCAAATCATCTCACATAAGGCCTTCCATATAATTTGATCTCCCGTCCCTGAGAATTGGATAGTAAGATATAGAACAGTCGAAAAAAGAGAGAGAGGAAAACCTCACATAATCAATAGATTCACAAGGAATACGGAGACGAATAGAGTGATAGTCTACGTTTCAACATGCGAAGTCAGTTCGTGTTTTTGAAACAACCGAAAGAAGTCAAACCTCAAACTCCTCGAAATGCAGAGTAAGCCGATGGCCAGTCCTGGTCATCAAACATTAGTGGGAATTTCTTACCAAACACGTTGAAGTAAACTTACATCCAACCAATAATGACGAGCAAGGGAATAACAAATGTTGCAATTTGCTAAACGGCCGCAGTTCAGGAACGCATCAAAAAGAAAAGAAAGGTAGAGAGCGAGGGTGACTTACGATAGAACTACCGACGCAAATGCCAATAGTAAGCTCTGTCTTATCCTTTATAGCCATCCAGACAGAAGTGACATGCTCTACTGCATTCGCAACAATGGGAAGTAGGATGATACCGATGAATTCTTTTGGGATGCTATATCGTCTTGCCGTCTCCTCGATAGATGCAACCACTTCAAAGTCAAGCGTTAGCAGACCAGTCAACGCTTTATACGAAATTAAGGAGAGGCTCACGCGTATCGGCACAGAAACCACAAATAATCGTCACGAGTAACAATCTAAATCAACCAACTTAGATACATGTAAACCGTACTAAATCGACTGTACTCACGCAGAGCAAGCAGCAGGGACATTCATCTGCGGGATTTGATCCTCCTCAACCTGTGTATTTTGATCTTCAAAGTAATCCACGTGCGTTTTTAGCTAAGATATTAATAAATTCGATTAGATGAATCATTTCCAAGTGAATGTATTTCCGGTCAATGCTCAGACATACCTGAAATATAAGATACCCGACGTAAGTAACGAGGAGTATGATAGCCGTTCCTCGAGAAATAGCCAATATTCCGGCTGTCGTCTCCTCGTGGATCCTGCTTTTCCCATGTCCCAAGAGAAATTGGCTGACTCCTCCCAGCTCCGAAGGCTCCTGTTCGGCCATTTGGGAACTGTGGTAAGCAGCTGGAAGTACTAGTGCTTTTCGCGCATTGCAATCGTCAAGACCTGTCCTTCCTTCAAGTAAACGATAAATTAAGAGAACGCACTGATACAAGCAAGTGACATAAGCTAGTAAAAAGTAATAAGATCATTAGTCCCATGCAGCGCTGGAAAGTAGCGACGAGCTTACTGAGCTCGATCTGGATAATGACGTAAATATCAGTCGGCACGAAATACTAGCTCTAAAAGCTTACGCTTGTGCACCAGACTCATGATACAGGAGGTCCTTATGGATGTAGCCACCTTTTTGGACTCAATTAGAAGGAGCTAAAGATATTTATCAAGAAGTAAAAACATACCAGCCAAAAACGACATCCCAAGCACCAGAAGCAAATTCGATAATATCGATCCCAGCATCTAACCACCCGACTTCAGCAAAAAGTCAATCTCTGATCAACCTCATTCCAACTCACGGAGGTCTGGACTATACGAATTTCATCTGAGAATTACACCGTTAAAGAAGTGTTAAATCGTGTAAGACAAGTTTATGCACTTACTGTGCAAGAGCGCAGCAACACCAACAATAATCTCAACCGCATTCCCAAATGTATAATTTACAAGTCCCGACAGTGTCTGACCCAGCTTAAGCGAAAGCTGCTCCGTGGCGTCTCCAAGGAGCTTCAGAACGTTAAATAGTGTGGCGTCAATTATTACCTCTGAACTCGTCGGAGAAAAAAATGAAATATAAAGAAGAGAATCTACAACTTACCTTAGCACACGGAAGAATTGCGATGAAGGAGAAAAGGAATCGAAGCGCGGCATCCCAATTGAACCAATTACTGAGAAGACTGAGAGGGACGAAAACGAGGAAGATGTTGAGCCAGGAGCCAAAGAGGAAATAGCGATACGAAGTAGCCCATGTTGGTTCGCCCTCAGGTATGGCAGTCTTAACGAGCCGCTGATGGAACGGTATCCGACTAGGAATCCTCCTTAGCTCGCGGGTTTGTCCATTCTCTAGATATGCTGTAAGCAGACTTGTTCGCTCGTTTGAAGGCTCGGTAGACATGGCGAGATCGAGTGAGAGGATGGCAACATCTTTGCATCTGAGTAGATATTAATCCCAGACTAGACTGTGTGTGGCGTCTCACTATCTTGCAGCGCGCACCAGTAACACTTTGCATCTCCCATTCGGAGGGGCGAATAAAGCGCAGGAGACGGTTCACGATACAACATTATAGCTGGTGCGTATGAATGGAGCTGCACCGCACAGTTCACCTGAAAAAAATTTGTGAAGTCAAAACAACATGGTGGAACAGTCCGCCACGAAGGGTAACCGCTGATATTTCTGGAATATCGCAGATATGATAAACAAATGGTGTAAAGTACCATATCTCCATTGATATCGCCCTTCATAGTGATTTTGCAAAATCCTTCAAGATTTTTGAATGTAGTCCGGTGTACTAGGAGTGCTCCGCAACGCGAATGACGCAATAACGGAGCACATCTTCGATCCACAAGACGAAGCACCTTCTGAAACATGTCCGTCGATACGGCAAGGATTGCCGCGGTTTGTATTGAATTAGCTGCCCCAATGTTACGGAACCCGTCTGCTACTATCGGACTTAAGCACATCCGTCCCCGAGTTAGACGCCCGTTGGTCTTGATAAAGGAGATCACTTGAGTTTGACAACTAGCGCCAAGCCCTTCGCGTCGATCACCCCGAGGTCCCCTGTAGATCATGTCGAACTCCCGAAGCAAGGCTAACTCTGAAACACTTTCAATTCGACATGTCAGTAATATCATCAGTCACGAGGAAATGCAAAGTGTATCATAAATTCCTCTGTGTAAAGAGGTTAAGCAAATGGAGGACACAAATAATCAGTAGAATGATATAATTTTCGAAATAAGCGGTGAAGAAGGGCGGGGGTAGCGCATCGGAATAAGAAGTGAAGGAAGAGTTAAGAATGACAAAAATAAGACAGAGATCGAGAGTTGTAGAAGAACATGGATTGGTATAAATAATCCGCGTTTCACAGAACTCAGGAAACCCAAACTAAAAGGAATGTGAGCCGCGAAAACAAGGAGTAACAGAGAAGTTGAACTCACATGCTAATGCAATCACGAGGTACAGAGTGATCAACCTGCGTCCATACAAGTGAGTGGGGATAGTAACAGCGGTTAGCAAAATGGACCACTTACATAAGGCCCTCCATGTAGTTCGACCTCCCATCCCTACAACACAAATATCGACATGAATGCGGCATGAAGCAGTGAAGGAGCAACGCACATTATTAGCAAATTGACCAAAAATACAGAGACAAACAAGGAGATTGTCTGCAATGACGCAACGTTAGTAAAAATAGTATCGACCTGAGTGATATCGAACCTCGAAGTCAGCGAAGAACAACGTAAGCTGGTGACCAGTTCTAAATGAACTATCAATTTCCATTCTGAACTGCATCTAACGAAGAACTTACGCCCAACCAACAATAACGAGCAAAGGAACGACAAATGCTGCGATTTGCTAAATGAAAAGAGTTAGCTACAGATAACTGCATAAACAATGAGACGCACAATGGAGCTGCCGACACAGATACCAATTGTGAGTTCGGTCTTGTTTTTCATTGCCATCCAGACGGATGTGACATGTTCTGCAGCATTTGCCACTATAGGAAGAAGGATGATACCAATAAAGGCTTTCGGGATATGATACCGCGTTGCCGTCTCTTCGATGGACGCGACCACTTTACAACCAATATTTGAGAAATTTTTCCTCGAGGAGACAAGGGAATAACATACGATAATCAGCACAGAACGATGTAATGACAGTCACGAGCAATAGCCTGCATCCATGAGTAAGGTATGAGTGAAATAACACAACATCAGTACTTACGCAGAACCCGCTGCAACTGCGCTCATTTCCGGGGTCTCGATTTCTTCATCTTCCTCGTCACCACGTTCTGCGATATCGTGTCCTGCGTCATCGGTTCTCCTTCTTGGTTGAACAAAGAAATGAGCATGCGTTCTGAGCTAAAAAAAATCGGTAAGACATCAGAACGGTCCATCACAAACACGAGCTCACCTGAAAATTGAGATAAGCGGCATAGACGACGAGAAGCAAGATAGCTGTCCCTCGTGAAATGGCGAGCAAACCCGATCTCGACGGATCATGGGGACGGGAGATTGTCTCGTCTCCGGTGAGAAGAGCGTTAAAAGCTTTACTGAGACTACCTTCTCCAGTACTAAATGGACCCTCATCAGCTGCCTTGGAACTGTGGTATGCAGCAGGGAGCACGAGAGCTTTTGAGTGTAAAAGGAATCAGAAACGAGAATAGAGAACAAGGCTGAAGGAACACACTGATACAAGCAAGTGTCATTAACTTGAGTTCATCACAAAATTAGACTTGCAGCTTAATAGTTGCGTAACTTGAGCTTACTGATGCTGATCTGAAATCAGTGAGGTCAGACTTGGCTTCGGTTAATATCATAATCTCGGGAACTTACGCTTGTGCGCCTGTTTCATGGAAATAATTCTCTTTACGCATGTAACCACCTTTCAACATCAGCATAAATTAGCGGAGCGCCAATTTGGGGGTAGTACCAGAACAGGAAGGACACGCACCAGCCAAAAACGAGCAGCCAAGCACAAGAAGTAAATTAGATAGGATCGATCCCAACATCTGGCCCAGCTGGATTTAGCAAGGCGGTGTTTTACAGTTTTTTCTTCTGCACGCTTACAGATGTCTGAACAATGCGGATTTCATCTGGTGACCGCGCGTTAGAGGACAAAATCAGAATGGAAGGGCCGGGACAAGCGCGTACTTTGGAGTAGCGCCGCCACACCGACGATAATTTCCACGGCATTGCCGAAAGATGCGTTCAAGAGACCAGAAAGTGTTTGACCGAGTTTGAATGAGAGTTGGTCAGTGGCGTCCCCTAGGAGCTGTACGTGGCGTCATTAGCCTCCTTTAACGCGCTAAACAAAGCTGAGACAGGCTTAAGTTAAACTTGCCTTTGCCAACGGCATAATTGCAATGAACGAAAAACTAAAGCGTAGGGCAGCATCCCAGTTAAGCCAGTGACTGAGGAAGCTGAAGGGCACGAAAACAAGGAGGATGTTCAGCCACGAGCCGAAGAAGAAAAACCGGTAGGATGCAGCCCAGGACGGTTCTCCTTCGGCTTTAACAGCTTTCAGGAAGCGTTTTGTGAAAGGAAGGTGTTCGTTGTCATTTGTGAGTGAATTTGTTCGCCCATTTTCGAGGAGGGCTGTTTGCTCGGAGGGGGGAATAGCAGCCATGGTAGTTGGGGATAAGGTGCGTGTCCTCAGTCGTAGTTTATCGAGACCTCCATTACCGAGCCGTGCACCGCCTCACCAAATCCGAAAGGGATAGAAGAATCAATGACGCGCTATCGAAGTCTTTCCAAATTTAAGTGCTGATCTAATCCGCATATCATTAGACGCCGAGACGAGTGTAATAAATTACAGTAATAAATAAAAGCCATCCGGTTACAATTGTCTATCCCGTGCTACGTAGTACTACCTGACCGTGTGGATCCTCGTCAGTGCGTGTCCTCACAACAGGCCTTAATAAATGCGATATATCCGCATACCTTTCTATTATGCCATGCTTGTCTCTACGCATAGCAATTACTGTAACAGACGTATTGAAACACTTGCCAAACCTCTGTGCTGTTTCAACTGTCTTTCCGCGGACAAGTTGCCGACAGAGGGCTCCTATGAAGCCGCCATGGGTGACGACAAGGATATTCTCCGGACGTGGTAGGATTGGCAGAGACGGCAGGCTTTCCCCGATTGTTTTCTTCCACCATCCGTGCGCCCGGCTGACGAAGCTGTATATTGTTAAGATGGATAATTCTAAGTTAATAAGAGAAATTTATGCATACTGCCACGCCGTTTCAACGGACGCCGGCAGCTTATCGCGGTCGTACGATCCGACCTTGGCACCTTCCAGCTCACCCATATTCTGAATGACAGATGTAAGAAGCATAACTTAAATGGGTGTAAAAGGTGCTGACACGTTCACGGAGCTGTTCGTCAGCGAACAACTCCGTGTCCGGATGATGGGTTAATATAGCCTCAGCAGTCTAGCATACATTTATTTGGTGTTAGAAATAGTCGCGCTCAAATGCACACCTGCATAGCTCTCTTTAAATCACTCGAAAACGCGATAGTAAACTCCATGTTCTTCAGCGCTTCAGCGCATAAGCGCGCTTGAAGCAAGCCCTGGTCGTTGAGAGCTGTGTCCATCTGGCCCTGGATGATGCCTGCAAAATTCTCGGCGGTTTCTCCATGGCGGACGATAAAGACGCGCAGGACAGTGCTGGACAGAGAAGTATTACACATTGAGGGACGATGTGGGGGAGAAGAAAGCATGGTTGGCATCAGCGCACCGGGTTTAAATATCAAAGTGGCTACAACAAACAAGCAGACAGACAGGCAGACAGACGGCAACATATCGTCGGCAACTTGCGTGATCTTCAGTCTTGCGCCACCCAAACCCGTGTCCATAGCTTTCACCTGAACCAGCCTGGGAGGAAGTAGGAGAAGGGCCGTGAAAAGACAAACCGAACCATTGCAGTACTTGGTGAAAGGCAAGCAAGACAGGGAACTTGACAAGAAATTCAGGCTTTAGGCAGCAGCAACAATAACTACTTTGCTCTGGTAAAAGACGTGGATAGTGTCAGAGCCTCAGAGATGTATAAGACAATAGTACTGGCAAGACAGACAAATAGAAGCAAGAGTATGAGCCATTGAGCCTTGCCTCTTCTTACATTGCCTTTAGGCGCTTCCAAAAAGTTGCGCGAAATTCATGAACGAGTGTAACTTCTAATTTGTGAACTTGCCTGATGCAAATAAAGAGGCCAAAGAACAAAGCTCGAACCAAAACAAGGAGGATAATCAACCACGAGTCAAAGAAGAAAGAAAGCGGTACGAAGCAACCCAGTATGGCCCTCCTCCGGCTTTGATAGATTCAAGTCATGCTTCGCGAAAGGAAGATGATCAAAACTCTGTCCGCTCGCCAATTTTTGAGGTTGAGAAGGCTGTTTGCTCAATGGAGGATAGCAGCCATGGTAACTGGGGATAGAGTGCGTCTTCAGTTGGCTAATATAATGAGAGGTAGATAGATATCGGGAACAGCCAAGTGAGTGTGGACCGCCTCTCCGAATATGAAAGGATCAATGACGCGCGAAAGCTTCCTTCAAGGTCCTTGGACCTCGGGAGTCGGCCGAAGTCCTTTCAAATTAAATGCTTATCTAATCCGCATACTGTATGATTAGACTCCGAGTTGTAATAAATTAATCATGCCAGTTATAGCTGTCTGTCAACTTCTACTTGGTCCTCCTGTGGCTCCTCGTCCGCATTAGTCCGCACAACAGGCCTCAGTAAATGCGATATGTCCGCGTATCGTTCTAGAGTACCATGCTTGTCTCTACGCATACCAATTACCGTAATAGACGTGTTGAAGCACGTGCCACGGCCCAATCCAACACCCTGTGCTGGCTCGATCATCTTTCCGTGGAGGAGTTCTCGGCAGAGTGTCGCTATAAAAGCGCCATGAGAGATGACGAGGACATTCACCGGGCGAGGTTGGATCAGCAACGAGGGTAGATTCCTCTCAATTGTTTTTTTCCACCATCCGAGCGCACGGCGGACAAAGCTGTATTCTGTAAGATGAACGGTCCGAGTACTTTAGGGAATGGTGCGAACTGTTCTGCCGTTTCAACGGACGCTGGCAACTTATGACGGTCGTAAGTCCCGACCTTGGCACCTTGCAGCTCACCCATATTCTATATAACAGATATGAGAAGCATAACATGACTGAGTGTAGGAGGTGCTGACACGTTCACGGAGCTGGTCGTCCGTGTGCAACTGCGTGTTCGGGTGATGGGCCAATATAGCCTCGGCGGTCTAGCCCATATTCAGTTGAAGCCAGAGGAGAACTAGGTACAGATGCGCGCCTGTACGGCCCTCTTTAAATCACTCGAAAATGCAATAGTAAAATCTATATTCTTGAGTGCTTCTGCGCATGTGCGTGATTGAAGCAAGCCTTCGTCGTTGAGAACTGTGTCCATCTGGCCCTGAATGATACCTGCGACATTCTCGGCTGTTTCTCCATGACGGACGATGAATACACGCAGGACAGTGCTAGAAAGAGAGGAAGTAGACATTAAAAGGAGAGATGGTGAAGAGAAGAAGTCATGTTTGCTATTAGCAATCGCAATCGGATAAAAAGAGCTCCAACAACAATAATGTGAGAGACCAAGGCAGCAACAGTTCGTCGGCAGTTTGCGTGCACGTCGATCATCACTGTCGCGGACTCAAAAATAATTCTTGCTTTTTTGTCCATTCCATAAATTTCTCCTGCTTTGCCCTGGGCCAGTATGGCTCGCCAACACGCAGCCAAGAAGGCCGCACATGCATCTACAAAACTCACGAAAAACTCGGGTCTGAAGAAAGAGGGAATACTAAAGAATGCTGGTAAAAATTCAGACCAACCACCAAATGCAATTGGCAAAAAGTCGGCGAGGCACGACAATCTGCGAGAAGATATTCTGGCTCTAGGCGGCGATGATGAAGACTATGATTTGGTGAAAGATGCGGACAGTGCAGAAGAAGTGTTAAACACCGGTAGCGGCAAGACAGACGTGAGTAGCAAAATACTTGACGTTTGTCTCTTCTAATAATGAATATCTGCAGTCGGCGCTGTCAAAAGACCTGGCGGGGTTCATGAAGGGACTTAATTTCTCACATGTGAAACCATCAGATGTAGTGGAGGAATCTGAAGAGGAGGAGAGTTCGGCTGAACAGAATTCTGAAGAGGAAACCTCATCTGAGGCAACCTCAGATGCATCCGTCCAAATAGCAGAGAAGAGAGAAGAAAAGCAGAAAATTACCATTCCTAAAGTAGGACCAAACTCTCGACTAGTAAGTCACTCGTGCTCTCGTTTTTCATTTGTAGATACTCAAGAATAGATTCAGCTAATCGAACCCACTCCTCATTGGTATACCGCCATGCCTCCGCTTCCACCCTCAAAAAGCACACCTGCGCCTCTATCCTCACATGTCCTCACCACCAAGCAATCACATGCCTCATCACTCCATACATCCGAGCTCTCGGCCTACGAGAATGCAACCTCCGCAAATAAACTTACCGCTTCCTCGTCTGACGCTGCTTTCCTTCAACGTATCCTTTCTAGTGGTACGCTCAGCGACCGTCTCTCAGCACTCACGCTCCTCGCACAGAGTAGTCCATTGTATAATACACGCGCGTTAGAGACATTGCGTGGAATGGCGCAGAAGAAGGGGAGGGAAGAGAGTTTGAAGGCGCTTCGTGCGATTTGTGATTGGTGGGTTGGTGGAGGCGCGCCCGATAGGAAGCTTAAGTTGGTCCAACTCGCATTACAAAAGGATTAAGCAGTTTCTGATTACATTTGAAGGTATTTCATTGATCAGCCGATAAATCATCCTGGCGTCACGGATCGACATCTCTTGCTTTGGCATTTCGAAGATTGGCTGAAGAAATACTTTTATGGGATTCTTCAGATCCTCGAGGTTTGTCCCTTCCACATCGTACATACTGAAATTCCAGGGGACTCATCAATGTATCTATTTGACTTAGACTCTTTCTCTGGACCCTCTCCCATACGTTCGACTACAAGCAATAGCCCTGATCTTCACGCTCCTTCGTGACAAGCCAGAGCAAGAGCAAAACCTTCTCCGATTACTTGTAAACAAGCTTGTAAGTCATCATTCCTATTGTGCAGAAATTCCTATTCAGTACGTTTTTATATGCTATATAGGGGGACTCTGAGCGTTCTGTCGCCTCACGAGCATCATATCATCTTCTACAACTTCTGCAAGCTCATCCATCAATGAAAGCCGTCGTCGTACGCGAGGTATCTTCGCTCATCCTGAAACCCAAACTCAACAGTGCCGCGACGTCAGCGACAACATCCTCTGGAGCAACACATTTGAAATTCACTACCGAAACGAAATCTGCTCCGAAGTCCAAGACGACCAAGTCGAACGATAAGACGGAGAAGAAGGATTTGCAGCAGGAACATTCGAGGTATTACGCTGCGATTACGTTAAATCAGATTATGCTTGCATCCACGGAGGCGGATCGAAGTATTGCCGTTCAGCTTATTAACTTGTATTTTGAGCTGTTTAAGGAAATCCTGGGCTCGCCAGCAACGCCTCTTGATAACGCGCCTGATGAAGCCGTAGAGGAAGTGGATCATACGCGGTATGGAAAGGAGAAGAGGAAGAGGCAGGAGCGGAAGAAGGGAAAAGAGAAAGAGAATGGAGATCATGAAAATGGATTCGCAGAAGTAGAAGATTCGAACTCAAGGTTGATCTCTGCGATTCTAACGGGTGTTAATCGCGCATTGCCATTTGCGAAACTAGGGTTAGAGAATGTCGAGTTCGTGCTTTCCTCAAACCTTTTGAATTTAGCTCTGCTCAAGCTGATAATGTGTTCTTACAGATTCAGCAGACACATCGACACGCTCTTCCTCATCTCTCACAGGTCAACCTTCAACATATCTCTCCAGGCCCTCCGACTCATCATGCAAATCTGTCAATCTCTCGCCTTATCAGCATCACCAAAGCAATCAAAATCCACATCGTCTTCCTCCACCCACGCTTTATCCACATCAATCACAGACAGATATTACCGAGCACTCTACGCATCCCTCTTCGACACCCGACTCAGCTCCTCATCCAAACACGCTATGTATCTGAACTTACTCCTTAAGTCGTTGAAAGTGGACACGAAAGTGGAAAGAGTGAAGGCGTTTGTGAGGAGGTTTGTCCAGTTACTCGTCGGTTCGGGGAATGGAGGTGTCGAGTTCGTTGCTGGGGGATTGTACTTGCTTGGCGAGGTGGGTCTCTTATTGTCATTCCTGCTTTAACGTGAGCATATGCTTACCTGCCTTTCTATAGCTCTTTAAAGCACAGCCTACCTTGCGCAACCTATTAGAAGAGCCGAACCCTGACAACGTTGACTCAAATACGTACGATCCGAAGAAACGCGACCCACAGTACGCCAACGCGGGTACTTCTCCAATGTGGGAATTGGTTAGTCCGCTTCTTCACTTTCTTCTATATTGAAATATAGCTAACACGGCATATATCTCTCTTCGGTAGACTCCTCTCCTATCACACTACCACCCCACAATCCGTCTACACACCTCCCAACTCCTCTCAGGCACCCAACTCACCGCAAACGCTGACCTCTCACTCAACACCCTCTCGCACTTCCTCGATCGCTTCATCTACAAAAATCCAAAGAAACCGAAGCCGAAAGGCTCAAGTGCGATGCAGCCTGGTGCGCAGGATGATGGCACGGGTATGATAAGAATCATCAAGGGGAACCAGGTAGGAGGTGAGGAAGTTGTGAATGATGAGGTGTTTTGGAAAAGGGATGTTGGAGAGGTTCCAGTTGATCAGGTCTGTGAAACAATTTCTTGAACCACATCGATTGATTGATTGGTATTGCGTTGGCTAATATTTTTCGTGTGTTTTGTTTTGTTTAGGTCTTCTTCCATAAATACTTCTCGAAGAAGAACGAGAAAGAACACGCTCAGGCTGAGAAAGTGGCGAAGCGGAAAGGCGCAGCAGGAGTCGACGATGCAGATGGTTCTGACGAAGACGAGGATGAAGCATCCGACAGAGACCTGAGCAAATTGATGAAATCCGCAAAGGAAATATCGGAAAACGAGGATGATGAAGATGAGAGTGAAGGAGAAGCAGAAATCTGGAAGGTCAGCATCTTCATCTCCATCTCATCTCATCTCATTCCATCCCTCTCCTCCTCTCTCCTCTCCTTTTTCATTCATTCGCCTGTTCTTCAACAACACTTAACCAACTTTCTCATTTTATTACCTTTCATTAAAAATATTATTATTATTTAGGCAATGCAAGCAACGAACCCAGACCTCCATCCGGATCTCAACCCGGACGAAGACGACGACTTCTCCATCACTGATTCCAATTCCGACACCGGTGCCGATTCCGATTCGGGTGCTGGTTCTGGATCGGAAGCAGAGGAAGGGGCAGACAGCAGGAAAGCCGTAACCGAAGAAGAAGACGAAGACGAGGAAGACGCTCTCTCCCTCGCCGAATCCTCCTCCGCAGAAGACCTCATCTCGCTCTCGGACATCAACCTACCCGAAGGGCTCATCGAATTCAACTCCTCAGACGACGAAGGAGAGGACGGAGGGGAAACGGGAGAATGGGGTGGATTCGAATCTACACAACCCAAAAAACGAAAACACGACAAAATGCAAGAAACCGACGATCAGCTGAACAAGAAAAAGAAACGACGAAAACTACCCACGTTCGCGACGTACGAGGATTACGCGCAGCTTATCGAGGGAGAACCTGAGGATAATATATGAATACGAATACAAATATTGTATAGATCAGAATGTTCACGTCTTTAATTTCTGTATATGAAGAAAGTAAAGTTTCTTCTGCTTTCAGGTTGAGACAAAAGACAACCGACAAAAAATAATTGACGGATATTGTTCGTCATCAAATTCTTATATCGCTACATACATATCTGTATTGTATACCTCAACAAGTCCATACATACAGTAAGTAGTACTTCTTCATATTCGTAGGTCGCTCAATTTCTAAACGTCCACGGAAAAACACCCTCAAAACCCTATATCAACAACAAACAAGACTATGCCAAATCACGTAAACCACAAACGAACCCACAATCATGAGAGGGGAGGAAAGGAGAGTGAGCAATATGGTTGAAGTAAAAGGGAGGTGGTCAGTGTGTTAGCCAATGCAGAGGGTTAAAAAGAGTTCCTTGTATGTAGAACCGAAACCTCCGAACGTCTATAACCTGCTTTTTGCAGAACAGAAAAAGAGAATCAATCACACACACTCCCCTCCCTAATTCTTCCTTTCCTTTATTTGGTTATTATTCGTCCTCTCGCCTCTCTGGCTCAGTTTACTTCATAGCAATAGCGCTTCAACGTCCTTTATTACCGCATTAACACGGTCTTCTGGGAACCGCGACCTTAATGAAGGTAACGCTTGTCGGATCTCGCTCGTCTGTCCTAACGTGAGACTTGCGTTTTGCGTCTTCAAAGCGCATAACTTTAAACACAATCAATCAGGACCATAGAACAAAGGGCAAAAATCATGCTTTATTGGTGTATACTTACCGTGTTACCCAGAGCAACGAGTGACCTATACGCCGTTTCTGCATCCTGCCGCTCTTGGCGGAGAACCTAGGAGCCCCGATGTTAATTGGTAGTCACTTATAGCCCAGTGTAACAATCACCCACCATCGAAACCAAAGACAAATGTTGCTCGGCGACTGCGGAGGACACAATAGGTCCCTTCAGGCGAATACAGGAAATGCTATACGATACATCGTTAAGCACACCGGCATTCACATAACTGCGAGAAAAAGCACGCACTTGAACAAGAGAGTCGCCAGCGCTACTCTATGATTCTTCATCAAGGCATCATAAGGGGCACGTCCAAGCTCTCCCAGGACCGCTGCCGCCCAGTCTCCGAGGCTCGCGGCAGTGCTCTCCTGGAAAGCATTCGCAAGCGCCCGCAACGTCAACAACATGTTCGTCTCGCGGGACTTCGGAATCGGCCCGTCCCACGGAGTGTCCCATTCCGCAGCCTTCAATAGAGACGAGAAAAACTGCTCGGCAACTTTCGAGTCCGAATACGCTGCAGGGCAATTCCCGCTGACCAGTCGCGCCAAGTCAATTACTGTATGGGCCTAGAATTTAGAAGAGCGAAAACGGAGCTAACGCGCTCTAAACGCACCGGGGAAACGTGAGGACGAGGGCCAACGCTCCAGAATTTGCTCTATTGTTTCTAAATGCATCTTATTGAGAGGGGGAACAGTGATTTGGGCTGGGGTCGCCAGCGCTTGTGTTAAGTATACATATGCCTCATCCAGCTTAGCTGATTCCGGCGGATAGATTGCTATTGCCGACGTTGACTTGTAATCGTTCAATCGATGCACCATCGAAAAAATGTGAGAGAATAACTCACGATTTCATTTCGGAACCCATCATCAAGTTCACCGATTTTGCCCCGCATAGCATTTACGTTACCCTGCTTAAACGACAGAAAGGACATCTACACACAGAGTTACAGTTAGTCACCCCTAGACCATAGATTAAAATAGTCAATAGTGTCTTACCACCGGGACAACGGACGTTGTCCGTGCAGCTGGAGGTGGTTGAGAAGAAGATCCGGGCGGAGCATACCTCGAGCCGCCAGTAAATGGATCGCTGGACGCTGAGGATGTAGACGGGGCGGTTGTAGAAGGGGCCTGGTAACGAGATGCACCGGTAAACGGATCACTATAAGATGATGCTCCTGCGGGATTTGAGTTCGGACCAGCTTGATATCGTGATGCGCCTATGGGTTACATGTTGTTAAACGGTGTTATTCAATCTCGTCGCTCCGAAGGGGCGTAACGCACCGGTGAACGGATCAGAGTACTCTGAGCCTGATGTGAGGTTTACGCCAGTCGTGTTTTGTTGAATGAACTGCACGACTTGGTCAATGTAGCTCATAGGTAGGTCGTGTGAGGCAAGGAAGCGCTGAGCGGCGTTATATGGGTTTTCTACGGGTTTCAAAAACGAATTAATATTCGCATGAGTGTGGCGAGCACAAAAATCTCACCGTTCGCGTTGTAGGGAAGTTTCAGCGGGGGTACACCGTCTTGGATATCAACGTCAAAGACATAGTCATATTCTCTCCCTTCATGGAGCTGTTTTCGCCCGGACCCAACGGCATCAACAACATCGCCAATCTTTTGCCAAGTCATGCTAGCAGAATCCCACTGTAAGAAGATTAAGCAACTAGCTGCTTTAAGTATCATACACGGAAAGACTTTCCTGGTGAGCTTCGACGTTAGCACCATTCCGGACCATCTTTACCTCTCCAGGCTTCTTGCCTTCCGTGACACCGGAGGTTAAATATCTGCTTAAGAGAGAAACAGAATAGTCGCACCTGGAACTGTGAGAGCCTCCAGACCAGATAAATCGGTCTTTTTCACATCGCCAATTTGCTGCCTGCGGAAATCGGAGAAAGGGGGAAACATCGGCATCAGAGAAGCAATCGACAACAGGAGGGCCTGGACTGGGCTTACGAGGGAAGCGCTTGGTTCGCAACAAGGTCTTCAAATTCCTTGATCTCATTTGCAGGTGCCCATCGTTCTTCCGCGGTACTGAATATTCGCACGACGCCGTCGCTGGCCCCAGTAACAATATCGCCATTTGGCATAGATGATACACTCCATACGGATGTCGCGGGATGGACGATCGTCTGTACACATTCCTCATCTGCAAAGAAAAATAAAAATAAAAATTCACCTTTAGACAAACGAATACAAGACTTGGCACATGACAACTTACCCCGCCACACGCGCAGAGTGCGGTCCTCTCCGCTGGAAGCAACGTCGCCATTCGGTAAAGCCGTAATTGAATAGACAAATGAAGTGTGACCTGAGAGCGTGGAGACCACATCGCCCTCCGTCGTCCAGACACGAATCTCACTGGACGAGTCACTCAATTAGTTCTTTCTTTGCGCGAAGGCAGCGGAGATGAATGTCTACCCGTCGTTAGAGCACGAAGCAAAGCCAATGTGGGGGATCAGCGCAAGGCCTCGAACAGCCTGGCTGTGGCCCGTGAACGTCCGGAGATGCTTGTGCTTCATCCATAACCTGATCGTTTTGTCCGCGGAAGCTGCATAGCTGGGCTCAGCTAAAGAGCAAGGAGCGACAAAGAGCCGAGTGTAACGTACCAGTGAGGAACGTCTCTTCTGCCTCGTCGAGAATCTGGACTGCCCACACGGATTGTTCGTGACCTCTAAGCTCGTAAACCTCTTGAAAGTTCCTCCAGACCTTTGCGGTTCTAGCATACGTAACACTTTAAAAAGTGACTTGCATTCCGGAAGCATGAAAGCATACCGATCCCACGAACCAGAAATAAGTAATCCCGACGATGACGCGTTTAACGTGCAGACATTATCCGTATGCCCGACCAGTGCATATCGAGGCTCATCTGAAGGTGCATCTAGAGGATAAACGTTGATGACAGCTTCATTGCCGCCAGTGACCAGGTAACCTGTGCGCCACAACGATCAAGTAGATGTCAATCAAGCGTGTACTCAAACAAAGAGCGACTGCCGAGGATGAGCCTACCATTTGGCGTGTCTGGTGAAGGTGGAATGTACGCGACGGCATTGATATACTTGACACCTGCTTGGAAAGTGTACTCCTGCGTAAATGCCTGTGAGCCCGGCGAACGCGTCCAAGTGCGTGCAGTCTTGTCACGCGAGGCGGAGAGGACGAGATTATCGGATGGAGAAGCTACGGCGCGTACCTGCGAGTGCAAAAGGGAAGAGTGAGTTTGGCGGAAGCAAAAAGACGCATATATGGGACGCACATCAGAAGAGTGGGCGTGGAGAGACGCAGAGAGCTTAAAGGGCATGGCTATTCGACGGGTGGCGAGGCGCGGTGCGGAAGCGCAGGTGGGTTGCGAGAAAGACGAGAGGTAAGGGGGGAAAGGGAGGAAGATTGGGGGATATTTGCGGTGGTTGTAGGAGGAAGAGAGCAGAAGGGCGAGTCCGGGCTGGTCTAGATCTTATGAGTTCCCCTCACGCCTCCGAGTTGCACAGCAGATAATCACAAATATGACGCGTCCGGTCGTCTCTCCGATCCCTTCAACACTCGCCGCCTCGGCGTCGATGTCCTCAATCAGGGACAATTCATACAGTAATAACCAGTTGCACTCCTATCCTAGATTTTCAAATGATTTTGTTCATTACATACTTTAGGCACTACTCCAACAGCAACACTTGTACATTCGAGCTAACCTCGATAAACTTCTCCTTTCGGGATGTAGACACACAGTCGATTGCGAAGCACCTCCAATTGAATATAACGTGTATTATTATTATTATTACATATGCATTCGCTGATTCTGCTCATTTCAATTCAATCTACACGAAATGTACACCACGCTAACGAGCCTCAGACCGGTGGGTTCCCAAGGCCAAAGGAGATACGGAGGTGCCCTCTATGCCTTGCTCCATTAATTCATCTCCTGCGAGGCCTCTCGCAGCAGGTCATCGGCCGTGGTTCAAAAGAGCACGATGAGTTGCCAATGGCGAGAGTGGTTTGAAACGAACAGCGAGTGCCGCGAACCTGCTTTTCTATCACGTTTCACCTTAGGGCCGGCCCAATACTTATTCACCATTTCTACATGTATTCGATCGGAAGCAGTATACATAGCAGTCAGCCCGCAGCAGTCATTGCGGAGTACAGAATATGAGAATGTCTTCTGAAGCATCGTTAATAGAGAGCAGTACATCGTGGAAGCGGTCCAGTTGGCATGGGAAGAGTTCGTGCGGAGAAATAGAAGATTACCAGGCCCAGGTCAGTCAAAGTCCGTTTGTATGCAGTCTAGAGACACGTGTGAGGGTGAAAGCACAGAACTAGTGGTACCCCAGATAGTACTCGTCAAGTCGATGTACATCAGCCGCTGAGATAGTGCAGAATCACAGGTTCCCTTTCCTGTTCGACCTATTATCCTTCGATATCGACATTCTCTTCTACGACCGATATCTTCAACTTTTTGCTCGTTTGCCTCGCGTCTGACGACGGTTCACTGCGCCGCTTCATGTCCACCACAACCATAGTCTGTGGAAGTTGCGTGTCATCTTGAGTTTGGGTTTCCACATGCAGTTGCGCATCCTGTGCGTCTTCCGTAGAAACAGGGTTCCCCTCGGGTGCACCCCTGTCCCGAATGGTTGGCGATTCATAGTCCGTTCATAAGCACCCAGAGAAAATATTTGGCATACCTCACTTGTGTATGCTTCGACAATTTTCAATACGCAGTATAAACAATGGAACGTGATGGACTTACTAGTCGTGCATCAGAGGGCACGTCGTGCGCAGTCTCCTTCCTCTTCACGGTTTTCTCCCTCCTGGATCCCCGGCCCTATAATGACAGGGGGGTTATACCTCGCTGGTATCCCTGGGAAAACGACGCACCAGCTTTATAATACTCCTCTCCGCCTCGCTATCAGGGCTAAAGTAATCCCGGTACAAAGCCGTCTTCTTGCTTGCTGCGTGGAAAACATATTTCTGAATCTGCTTCGCACTTTTGACCTTCCGAGCTGTCGAACGCGTTCCGCGAGAACGCGTCTCTAGCAACCCAAGACTGTCTGTCTCCGTTACCTCAAGCGATATAAAGCCTATGCAAATCATACTCGTTATCGCATCCTGATGAGATTCAAAGTCGTTCCCACCTTCGTGTTCAAGCCGGTTCCATAGTTGCTCGGCAAGTGAGGCATTGCATTTAGACAGTTTCCGGAAGACCTTCAGGCTCCCGGGGCTATGCTCTTCTGCAATTTTGATGGCTCGACTGTTTGGACAGACATCGCATTGTCAGAAACGTATTATCATATAACGAGAGAAGTAAATACCGGAAATTTATCAGTTCCTCATATGCAGCAAGGATTTCAGGGAACGTGTGCTTAATCAGGTCGAATTTCACATCACCTCGCAAGCGGCACGGGATGCAGACATATTTCTGGGGGAGTCGAGAATCATTGGCTGAAAGATAACTGAAAAGAACTTATTATTTTGTGGGAAGCACCAGCGATTAATTCCGCTCACGTACCCCATGCACCTAGTAGTTGTGCAAATGTGAAGCATTGAGAAGAATGGAAACGAAGGAAGCGAACCTAATATGAAGCCACTTTCCGCAGGCCTCACAGAAGACTACGTCGTCATCATCCTGTCTTCTCTGTCAGAAGGGAACGAACTGTTGACTTTGCTACTCACTTCATGTCCGCAAGCACAACTTATGGTTTCCGTAGCAGCTCTAACGTCCGACGCCCTGGACAAAGGAGTCTTAGGAGCACTGTCATCAACATGGTCCTGCGAGTGTGATTTAGTATAATCACGGCCGATGTGGTTCTCCACTTGCGTCTCGATGTCTGTTTAAGAAACACTGTGAGTCCGGGAAGGCGGTTGATATCAAGTAGTAATAGAAAGTTGAGGACCAAGTATTTCATCCTTGTCCGCAGCAGATTGATCGAAGATTGCCTTTAGAGCTTGGGTATCGATTCCCCGACTGTCGGCTGTTGCAATGCCAAGAGTTTCCAGAGCAGTGTGTGGTCTGTTCGGATACCCAGGAGCAGTGCTCATCAAAGAACGCGCTTGAGTCGACTCAAGCTGTTGTGTCGCCTCCAGGTCTTCTGTTTCTATTCTCTTCGCCCCCTTTGAACGATCAGTTGGAATATTCCGAACAAAAGACATGTACGCTTACAAGCTGCCCAAGCTTGGTTGGAGTCACATCGGGTTTTCCAAAGAACTTCACGCTGGATTCGTCGATGTCCATTGCATCGTCAGCCTCGCGCTCAATCGGAGCGATACTTCCATCCGCTTTCCTCAAGCCAAGCAAGCCACCGAATCCGATGCCCGAGTCGTTGATATAGTCGGGATCAGCTTCTCCATCCGCATCGTCGTTGGTCAATTTAGAGTCTTCGGCGCTCCAGGCGAACTTGCGCTCTTCTGCGTCCTTCCGTTGATCTTCCAGCTGTCGAGACCGCCCAGTTGTATCTGTGGCTCTCTGAAGAGCCCCAAAACCTTTCTTCGTGACTTCCTCGATGCCCAGATATTGAGATTCATCGATAGCATCATTTGGCAAAAATTTCACAACAGACTGCACTTGCAAATCGATTCTGCTATTCAGTTAGCGAGGTTCTATGAGATGAATTCAAAGAAGTACGAACCCATGGTACGGTGTTGAGATGGCGCCAATACTGAATTTCTCCGGTACCTCGGATCTTCCGTGAGTCGTAAAGACAAACTTGTCTTTCTCTGGGTCTCCGGGTCGAAAATAAGGGGGCTCGTATTCCTGGGGTGTATTTTCTCTATAGAATAGCTTGAAAGTGGCAAAACGACGTTCTGGAATGCTCGGTCAAAACAGGTTCTCAAATGAAAAGATGGTAAAATACTCGGTAATGGGTCTAATGACTGCGTTGCAACAATTAGTTTCTTGACCAAATCCTTTGTGAATATCAGTGATAATGCCTTCTAAAGAGATTAGTTCCATACTTTTACGCTCTGTTTGACGTCTCCAAGAGTTGGCGCTTTCCCGTTGGATATCGCTTTCGCAACAGCGTCTGAGTCGTTTAGCTTGGAAGAAGGATTAAGGGATAAATCGTTGAGACGATCATCAAGTGACATGACAGGAACTGTGGTTGAGGTTCCTGGTACCGTATAGTACTGCTGAGGTCATCAGGCGACGAAAGGACTGTGACAGAAGGCCTACGTACAGTTAAGTTATAGGTGTAGGATTCCACGATGCTATATACCACATTATTCTCTGCACTGTGGTGAGAGTAAAGGCGCTTACTTATTAGGATCGGCATTGTCCTGTCAAAAGGTGAGCATACCGGAAAGGGAGAGAAATGGCTCGAAAGCAAAAACAAACCAAGTATATTGCGAAAATAAAGCTCTTCAAGTATTGTCGCTCAATTGCGTCAAAAATCCCGTGTTCCTTGACAAAAACGTTTAGCTAACAGCCCAAGAAAGTAAAAAGTGTCTGAACCAGATAATTAAGTAGTTTATCCGCCTCTGTCGAATATCCACGAGTCACGGTTTTCACGCGGACGCCACTTATGAGTCTAGAGTTCGTATTTATAGAGGTTTCTTGTGAATCGAAAGCCATTGAGCCTCGTAGTCCCGACGTTAACCGAGCTTATCAGAAGCTTAGCTCGGTGTACAATGGATGTGCGATGAAGCAAATACCCTCGCCGAAGTTTTCATCTGGAAGTAGATTGCTGTTTGGCAAGGGCGATTAGCAAGTGCAAACAGACCAATGTCGACGCCGCATATATGCGCTCAGATAGCTACAACGCACTAACTACTGACCGAAGGTAAGCGATACATCCGAAACTGGCACTAAGTAATGTCTTGATGACGGCGAGACTCTGCTGGGAGCTGATCGCGGTCTACATGAAATTTAAGCACAAAATCTCATTGTTACTTTTCCCACGAGGAACGTGCCTGTTGGCGCAATGATTGAGCCTGCATCATTAGTGCTGATGGATTAAGAATGGATTGTACAGAATAGAGTCAAAGGAGTCAAAGGAGAGTGGAACTCGGGACGCGGAGTTCAAGACACGTCCCAACGCGTCGCGTCGAAGACTGGGAAGAGACGGAAGCAAAACAAAGTTGCTTTCGCACGTTCACGTGCGTGGTGTCGTTGCATATGGTCAGCACATAATTCTCGTCGACAGGTAATAGCACATACAGTCGAGCCAAACATATTTGTTACTAGCACTATCATGTCAACGAATGAAGCTTCTCAACAACCTGCCACAAGTGATCATATCGTATCTAGTCTACCCCAAGAAACACTTGACTTTGCCGGAAAGGTGTTCAACCTTGCGCGAAGTGGAGGAGACGAGCTACTCAGCGCGTATCTGGACGCTGGACTTCCACCGAACCTTACGAACGAAAAAGGTGACTCAATTTGTCCTCGTAAATTAACCTAGCTATTGAACAGCTGGTATCTATCGCTTAGGTAATACACTTATTATGCTGGCTGCATATAATGGTCATGCATCCACTGTGCGCGTACTTCACATCAAGGGCGCGGATCCCAACAGGCTTAACGATCGAGGACAGTCGCCACTTGCTGGTGCCATTTTCAAGAATGAAGAAGAGGTGGTCCGTACTCTCGCTGAGTTAGGTGCAGATCCGCGGGCAGGAACACCAAATGCGATCGATACGGCTAAGATTTTCAGGAAGTCGGAATGGCTTGATTTGCTAGGAGCAACGGAAGAAGAGAGGAATGCGCCAGTGCCGGATGCTTTCGGTCTCGGGCCTGGTTAATATCGGAATGAAGCCAAGAATGCAATTGCAATAGCTGCAGATATGTCCAAATGAAGATGCGTGCCACCAAGAGATCTAGGTCGAAACATAGTGGAACCAGGGAAACACTAGTACCAAAAGAGAGCATGAGAAATACTGGTGTCTAGGTGAATTTGATACTGCGGGACTCCAACTGCAAACAAAACAGAATAAATTTCCATTAGTTTTTGTCCAACCCATAATATCTCAAGTACATACGGATATCTCTCCGCCTCGGTAGCTTCCACGTTTCTTCTTATTCTTCTCCTTTCGAAAGCCGTCGCCACGCGTTACGATTAAATCAGCATTTGCCTTCGCTCCATAATCACCGGTCTTCCCAATCTAGGAGAAGTAACGATATTATCAGTTCCCTGGTATTGAAATGATTCTCGGGACACGACGAACATGTGTGTGGTAAGAATTATCCTTGAGCCGCTCGTCTACAAACTTGACAGAGTCGGCTTTTATGCGTTGGAACGGAGCGTTGTTTTTTCGCGCTTGCTTTTCTATTTTAATATTCCTGTCGGCGATTGGCGTGCTCGTCGTGGTAGGAGTTGACGTGCTTCTAGTGTCAATGGTAGTCGGCGTACTGGAAATGCTTCCTTTTACGGGCTTATCAGGAAGACGCTCTCCGTTCAGCACTTTATTCGGTTTGGATTCCACCGCATTCGTCGATTTTGCAACAAAGTTGCCGCTTTCCGTTTTTCTCTTCTTTATCGGTGGCTCCTTCTTTCCTGCATCGGAGTCTGAAGAAGATGCAGAACTAGAACTAGATGAAGAGTCAGGTCCAGAATCGGAATCCGAGGAAGTCGATGACGAGGAAGAGGAGCTTGAAGACGACGAAGATGATGACGAGGATGCAGGCTTCTTTCTTTTGGACCTGTCTTTTAGCTTCGATTTGGAAGCAGATGACTTTGCACTGGATGCCGATGAGTTAGTGTTGGTGTCGGTGTTAGTATCAGATTCATCCCCCGAACTGGAATCGGATGAGCTGGAAGTCATCTTCGCCTTCGTTTTCGCAGCAGACTCGGATTTTGTCCCATTAACAGATCCGCTGGTGGTCTTCTGCCGTTGTTTTTCTTTTGCGGAGGATCCAGCATCCGAGTCGGAATCCGAACTAGTATCGTCAGAGTCGGAATCGCTTTTCGAAGATGCTTTATTTTAAAACGTTAGCCAGCATATTCTAATTACGGTGTGCATATCCACATACCAGCTTTCTTTGAAGCAGTATCAGATGAAGTCGAAGAATCGGAATCAGCATCATCCGTGACAATAAGTGCTACACCGTCGCCATTAGCGATATTTCACTGACGCAATACCAGTCAGAACGTACTGGTAAGACTCTGACTATTGCATGCACAAGCAATTAGATTTGCACTCCCAGTTGAATAGAACAGGGACTAACTCACAAGGCACTTGAACTAGAAGACTGCAGACTCTCCCATTTTCCCGCAAGCTCTTTTGCTGAAGGATGTTTTCCTTCAAATAGCTTTTGAAGCTCACGCCAGTCGTCCAGGCTCTGCTTCACGTTCTTGGCTACTTCAACATTTCCATTACGATTTATCGCTTCCAAAAGCTTCTCGTATGCCTGGACTAATGACGAGGAATGACTTGACAGGTTAGGTGTTAGAACTACGAGAACAGACAAAGGAAATTCACCAGCTGTGGAGGTGGGTGTGCTGGACTTCGTCTTCACCATTCCAAATGGAGTGTTCGCAAGTTAACAAAGGAGCCAAAATGTGAGCCAAAATTTTTTGGTCCCTTGTTGGTCATGTGACTGCGCATACACAGGCACAAGCGCGCCTTGCCTCGTTTCCTCATCGTGCTCTCTCTAGTTTCACTCAATTCGCATCACCTCTCGGCAACAACATAGACATCAATGGCACCGATCTCAGGCTTGGCGCCATCGTCTGAAGTGAGTTATACATTTGACTTTGAGCGACCTCTCTGATAGCAACACGAGACCTACGATGGATCCTCATTGCGCATAGCCATCGTACACGCCAGATGGAACAAGCCCATCATAGACGCACTTGTCAATGGTGCCATCAAAAAGCTCACTGAGCGCGGCGTGAAGCCGACCAACATTGTTGTGCAGTCGGTACCAGGAAGCTTTGAGCTTCCCCTCGCTTGTTCGAAGTGCGCCATTCGTTAACGACGAGAGAATTTAATTAATTTAACATATAGAGTGATCGGCGCTGCGCATGTCCAGGCTGGTGCAACTGCGACAGACCTCCTCGGCGGTTTAACTTTCTCTCCTACTGTCAGGTCCGGCTCGCGTACCGGGACACCAGTACCTTCATCGGCGTCTTCTTCAAGCCAGCCCTTCGATGCAGTCATTGCAATTGGAGTTCTCATCAAAGGCTCTACTATGCATTTCGAATACATCTGCGACGCAGTCTCTCATGCACTCATGCGTCTGCAAATGGACTCTGGAGTTCCCGTTATTTTCGGCGTTCTGACAGCGCTTAATGAGGACCAAGCACTGGACCGTGCTGGCATTGGGCGTGGGGAATCCAAGGGACATAACCACGGCGAGGACTGGGCAACAGCAGCCATCGAAATGGGCGCACAGTCAAAGAAGTGGGGTGATGGTAAGTTTTAGAAGGACACTATGTATGATGAAGAGAAAGGAATAGCAACTGTATACTTGGACTTCCGAGCTAATGCAAGAATCCTCCCGATATACCTGCCGGGAATGGCGGATAGCCGTCTGGACTCCCAGGTATTGTGTAACCCCAAAGAACATAATTTCCTTGCTCTGTACAATTGATGTATGTCCGAGTGCTCGCACCTCTCAGTGCTGCGGATAGACGAATGCCCCGTCATAAATTCATCTCTTTTGCGGAAGTGCTTCCGCCAAGCGAGGTGACTTGAGAATCCGTCTGTCCGATCCGGAGGGCTGGTGTTCTTCGCAACTTGTTCCAGCGACTAATGGATTTCCTCTCCTTTGTTCAATTACGCTGTTCTTCAGCACATGATCTCAAAGTCGTCAGTCTACTCTGACAGTTTCTATTGGTGTTCCCAGACTTCGAAGTCCTTGGGAGAAATCTCCCGCGGTTTATTGGACTATGCAGACTTGTTCATATTTACTTCTGGATGGATTGAAGTGATACTTGTACGCTTTTCTCATTCAAGCGGACTTACCTTACTCGGAATGCCACGCTCCGAGCCCACAGAAGGGCTATCTACTACTTTGTATTTTGAGTGCTTAGACTACTGTTCTCAGGAAGAAGGTCCTGCTTCGCCATCTGGCTTCCCTCGTCTGACCTTGTATATCACCAGCAATTAAGTATGTGGATTCCATCGTTATTTACTCCTAACCATTGCATTGATGTTGCTTCTTGAGGTCCCAGGTTATTCCGGAAGACCAGATGCGAATGCACACAGGACTTCTTCTCGTTCACAGTCTCCTAACTTCTCCGGCGCCTGCGCAGCAATGGATGGTGGTGGCTGATTTCCTTGGTGGCATGTGCACAGAAGTGTTACTTAACCTCTTCTTCCCTTCTTTTTTGTCGCAGCTGCGTACTCTTCGGATTTCCAGTAATTTTAACCCTCATTTTTTTGAGCTCCTAAATTGAACAAACGTTCCATAGTGTCCACCAATGGTTGAAGCGCAGCCAAGGCCGGTATGACCGAGTCCCCCGATGAAATGCAGTCTTGTTTTCCTGTCCACGGACACATGGCATGTTCTCGGCAGTTGGCAAGTTTCAACATTTATGACTGCCTAGTTTATTGAAACGTGAGAGCCACGGACTGCAACGTTCCAAGCCGACCGTACTGGGTCTTGTGCAGAAATCGGGGTCAGTGGATGGCGCGAACTTCCTAAAGCAGAGAATTGGACGCATGAAGCCCTTGACAATCACCATGTGCATACAGCCATGATTTCGTGCTTTACGGTCTGGTAAGTCCGAGTGGGATTACTTAGACTTGACGTTCCGGGCGGAAGGAACCATAACGGACGTTGACCTGAGAATATCATAGCGGATATATCCATTGGTTTTATAACATAGTGTTCTGAAATACAGGCTTTTAACAAGAAACATCAATTTAAGCACGGAACACGGAACGCAGGCACAGGTCTAGGAACGATCAGAGGATTCTCTTCGCATTCTGGGGGGTTGAGGAAGACAAGAACTATGGAAGAACACTCCCATCATGATTCTACACCTCGTAGCGGAGTCGTGGAGATGCTATGTGGCATGGAATGTTGGATATGTCTACTCTGTGGTTAAGCCAGGAAATATTCCGCACTTGCTTTAGCTGCAGATTTAAAAAGAGATGTATGAAAACTGATCAGGTCTAAACAAGGTAAGGTCCGGACTGCCACGCGATTGCCATGCGACGGAGTTTCAAATAGAAATAGCCGCGAAGATGCAGGAACAGAGAGTCATTTACTTGGACAACTACAAAGAACAAAGAGTACCTATCTAGCAACTCAGACCCTCCTTCGTTTCTCATCGTCGGCCCAAGCTGCTCGTTAATAAATATCTACAATGATGATCTTATTCCCCCTTCATATTTCTGCTCTGCTCACAGCCAAGTAGCCAACTCGCCGAGGCCGTACACATGGTTTGGGCTCTGTTCATCGCCACTTGGCTTCTCACGTTCTTGCCCTCATCATTAAGAGCCTTTCCTACCCAGGCCTCGGTTCGCATTCGCGCAGGTATGTCGTAGTCCATGGTTGCAAGTACTCGGCTGAGCAATTTTAAACCCATCTAGAAGGTGACACCGTGTCGGTTTCTACGAGTCTGGGCAATGCAACTGGCGTGCCAGACACGAACTCCGTTACGCGATTCTCAGTTAGATATGCATCAGCGGATCGATGGAAACCGTCTGTTATAACAAGCTCGTGGAATTTACCGTGAGCTGTGAATCTAATCGTGTCTGCATACGTGGTTTGACGTGCCTTTCAAAGAAATAATCTGACGGATCCTTCAGCAACTCCTCGGGCATGTCCTCAAATACCATCTAGCGAAAACAGTGCGGATACCGACGAGGACTGTCTATCTATGATCTTATACGTTCCTACCAGTGGAACGGACATGCCGACGATGATGTGGTACGTAACATAACCTTCTGCCCAAATTTTCTCCAAAGCGTTGCCCGGTAGTAGAAATTTGACGTGGCCTGTGCAGGATACATGGAGGTTCCTTTGTCGTTGGATCGGCTACGGGACCAGGCCTCGACGGCTCTACTTTGGCACAAGCGACAAATTCAATAGTCGCGGTCATCCAATATCGACTCGGTGCTTTCGGTTTCCTCTCTCCGAGCAGAGAAAGCAACCTGGCCGTGAATGATGTTATCAACGCATTGAGGTTCTTGCAGACGGTTGTCCCCAGTTTCAATGGTGACGCGAACAAGATCACAATTGCGGGACAGAGTAGTGGAGCATCCATGGTCCGAGCTCTTCTAGCAACGCCCTCAGCATCCGGTTTCTTCCAAAGTGCAATTCTGCAGTCTGATCCCATGGTAACATGGAGTTTCTTTGTCTTGCTATGGAGAGCTTGGCTAACATGCGGAATTTAGGACTACGGGTTCCTCTCGACAAGAACGTTCAATACTCTGAATGACTTCTTTGTTTCTCAGCTACAATGCAGTGCGAGTGACACTGATTGTCTTGCCGGTTTGTCAACGGATGACATTCTTAACGCATCAATGACGGTTTTCGGTACTGCGAACTCCCTGGACCCTTCCGCAGGATCCTTTGAGCCAATGCGACCTGTGAAAGACGGTTCCCTGATAACTTCCGCTCTTGATCTGACAGAGTCCTTCCCTGGCCAATCAAAACAACTTCTTATCACAACCGTCAGAGATGAAGCAGGGCCGGCAATTTACGGGAATTTCACAACTGCAGTAGCGGAAAGCGAATGGGATGATATCGTTAATGCGACTCTCGGCTCCACACGCGCAGCGAAAATCGTAAATTCGTCGTTCTACGCTGTTCCTGCCGTCTTCGCGGCGAACACATCTGCTTTTGATGCGCGAATACAGCTGGAGGGCCTCGGAACGGATCAAATCTGGCGTTGTCCGTCTTGGTCGTTTGCGCGTTCGTGGGCCTCTGCAGGAGGGAAGGTATTCGTTGGCGTCTTCGCCGTCGGCGCGACGTATCCAGACAATTCGGCCATCCCTTTCTGCACCCAAGGTGTTTGTCATGAGAATGATATCGAAATTGTATTTGGCACAGTTAACTCGCCATCTTCTGCACAATCGAGCCTCATCTCATCCATACAAGCCCGCTACAAGGCATTCCTTGCTGGGGATGCTCCGGATGCATCCTGGCAGGCTGTTTCGGGTGACGACACGAATGCGATCATCCTTGGTGGTACCAGCGATGGAAGCAGGGCTGTTGTTGGCGCTTGCGATCCCTCATTCTGGGGTTCGGCGGTGCAGTACGACTATCAGATCTTCAATGCATAAACTTTCGGGCCTCTCCTTCATCTATCTTCGGGATTACTTTCAAGGGTGTTTATATCGTATTATTACTTGTTTCTGTAATCCTTCGCGATTTGTATCCAATAGTCGTTTGCATGTTAGCAACTTCGTGTTTCGTACTAAATATATCTTCATTACTCTTTACATTCTAGTCTCTTTTTTTGACTTCGGAGTCCAGTCAGTGTTTTGGGCATTAAGCATAAGCAATGAGCTCTCTTCTAGAGTGTCCTGTAGTTAGACACGAGGGGAACACGTGCGATATGTCGATCTGTCGATCAATTACGTGACACTTCATAGGCTGAAACCAAAATACAACATCCGCTGTAACTGTTACTGCGCCAACAACGATGAGGTCTAGCAAATCTAGCCGACGTGCTAAAGGCAGCAACGCTGCAAGTCCAACAGCTGAGACTGCTGCTACTTCTGCTGCGGACACTGACAAGCAACGCTGTCCGCAATGTAAGGATGATGACGAAGACAACGCAGAGATTGCGCTTGCCAAAGAAGACTGGGTGCGCTGTGAGGGTCGGTGCAAGACCTGGTACCACTGGCGATGTGTCGGTGAAGGTGGGGACCTCGAAGCTATAGACAAGTGGTGCGCGTGTTGAGTCATTGAGTACGCCTGGCGAAAAGAGGTTTGTTGAACAGATGTATGTGTATAGGTACTGCAAACCATGTCTGGCCGCCGATCCGAAACGCGCGATCACGTTGAAGCCGCCAGCACGCAAGTCGGCGCGCAAGAAACCTGCACGCGACTATGCCAGTCTACATAATGGTATCCCTGCTGCAGGCGCCGACAAATGGCATGCGCTCCTTCAGGCGAAGGAGGCTGCGGGCGCGTTTGCACGCGACCCGTTCAAACGTATGAAAGGCGCCGAGCTAACTCTTGAATGGGCAGACCATAATCCGGATGCCCTGTTAGAGCCTGTGCTTATTGAAAATCCGGAGGGTCTGGGTATGTCGATGCCTGCGGAAGGTCTCACCGTCTCGGACATAGCGCATATCGTCGGCGAACAAACGCCAGTGGAGGTCATGGACGTCGCAACGCAGTCCAACACGCCGGGCTACACGCTTGGGAAATGGGCAGCCTACTTCAACACACCGGAAGACTCTCGCGACCGTATACGGAATGTCATCTCTCTCGAAATCTCTGAAACCCCTCTCGGAGCTCAAATCGTCCCACCACGTATCGTACGTGACCTGGACTGGGTGGAGAAGTTCTGGCCTGTAAACAAACGGGGTCCTGGACACGCCTATCCTAAAGTTCAACTCTATAGCCTGATGGGAGTTGCAAAAGCATGGACAGATTGGCACATTGACTTCGCTGGCTCCTCGGTTTATTACCATATTCACAGTGGTGCAAAGACATTTTACTTCATCCGACCTACGCCTGCTAACCTCGCCGCTTATGAACGATGGTCTGGTTCCGAGCTACAAACAAGCACTTGGCTGGGTGATCTCGTTGATGTTGTGTACAAGGTTGATCTTGTAAAGGGCAATACAATGATCATCCCGACCGGCTGGATCCATGCCGTATATACACCAGTAGACACGATTGTCTTTGGCGGGAACTTCTTGCATTCATATAACGTTGCCACACGTAAGCTTATTTCGTGTTTTCTTTGCTGTTGAACCAGCACTGAACTTTTCCTAGAACTACACGTACGCGAGATTGAGAACTCGACTCGAGTACCCAAGAAATTCCAATTCCCTTTCTTCACAAGGTACGTAATCTATCCTCAATGGCAACAAACAACTTTTCTCGTCTCATCTCATCTCATCTCATCTTTCTTAATTTGATTTCTCATTTAATTTAGACTCTGTTGGTACGTCGCAGAAGCATCCCTCCGATCCCTCAAAGCCCGCGAAGACTTCTCTCCGCGCGTCCTCTCTTCATTAGAAGCACTCGCCCGTTTCCTCATCAACGAAGTCCACTTAATAGAACAATCCGACTCTCGTTCGTCTTCCTCTTCGGGAGTCGCAGCCGTCGCTGCGCCTAGTACCGACGGTGCAAGACGCAAAGAAGCGAAAGAAGCTGTACCAGGGGATCGCGTGAAGGATGCGTGTGCACTTGCTCGGGAGTTGCGATGGCGCGTGAGGATCGCGGTGCATGGAAGTAGTGATGCGGAGGACGAGGGGACGGAGCATTCGGTGAGGACAGGTACGAAAAGACGACGGAAGGGAGGAGCAGGAGGTGGTTCTGTGGAATTGAGTAGTTCGGAAAATGGACATTCTGAAGCAGATGCACGGTTAAGGAATTTTGAACCGAAACGATGGGATGCGTATGATATACAGGCGTCCTCTGTGAAGGAACGGGTTCGACGGCCCATTCCCGAAGGCAATGAACGTCCACCTACACTTCCTATTGGCGAGCCGGACGGAAGAGGAGAATGGGCACAAGCATGGCTTAAATTCGACAAAGACATCAGCACCATAGTAAAAGAAGAGAAAGAAATGGACGTGGACGTTGAGAACGTTCAACCGGAAGTTACGACTAAACACGAAGTCATGGTTCGAGTACGTCGGACAGCGCGTGGGCTCGAGCGACAACGGGTAGAACGAACAGTGGAAATGTGGGACTGGGATGATGACGCTGCGTTGACGATGGAACAGGACGCCTCTTAGAATGCATTGTAATCGTGTTTTCCAATTCACTGGATCAATTGCTTGCTTGTCTTATTTGCGTAATATTCTCGCTGGAAATATTGATTTTACCTGGGTTATTTGATCGCGGTGTGGAAATTTCTAGTTTATTAAATGCTTATTTAAGTGCATACATAGCATACAGATGAACAATCTGGCCATAAATATTTTCTCGAAATTGAAGAAGTCGAATTTCTTTGCATCACCACGGATCGTCTGTATCGTCTTCTGCATATAACGGAATCAAACACGCCTGAATTACAAGTTGCACTACTAAGGTCGAGCAGTTTACAGAACGATCAAAATTATACATTCAATGTATCTTTTCTTAAGTTTCCTCCCGGTCCGAGTCCCCGAATCCCGGAAAGAGATTCCGCAAACGCATCAAAACATCAAGAAATGAAACATACTGAACAAGAAAATATCTCCGAGAAAAGAAAGAAGGGAATCCCTTTCTGACAAGAAAAAGGAAACGCCGCGTCCTCAACGAACTTAGTAACCATATCCCCCATCTCGGTGCTGGTTCATCGGCGGCCACGAATAATGATGATGCTGCTGCTGGTCATACATGGCCTGATGATACTGTTCCTGCGTCCGCGCCTGTGAGAAAGGGTGTGCTACAGCTGAAGTCGGTGAAGGTTGAATCGCGGCGTTCTGAGGGTGCGCGGACATAGGTATGCCTACATGCATACCATAATGGGCTCCGGGGTTAGGTGGCGCCGGTGCAATTGGTGTCGGAGCGAACGTCGTATGCGTGGGCGAAGCAGCCGACACGTGCGTATCGTAACGTCCTTGCTGCTGGTGCTGCTTAGGCGGCCCACTCGAAGAAGGTGGTGGTTCGGTTGGCGTTACGGATAACGCAGCGTTCGGTACCGGTGCTCCTCGCCCTCCTCTTCCAGAACTCGAAGACGCTGATGTAGATGGACGCCCTCCGTCGTGACCTTCTCGTGATCCTTGTCCACCTTGAACGTACGGAATAGGCACGTCGTCTGTTTGCTTTGAACGCTTGGCCCAACGAAGACCGCATGCATTGCATAGTGTCTTCGGTCCCTTTGGACCCTTGCGCCATTCCGGCGAGTCGGTTCTCCCGCAGGTAACGCAGACATATTGCTGTGCAGGTACATTAGTTTTCTTGACCTGGACGTAGGCACGGAGAAATACGTTAGAAATAATTGGTACTTAAAATTAATGAGACTATACCATACCTTCTTTCTCTTGCTTCCGTCCTCACTGTCGTCATCTCTGGGGTTTGTATTTGGTAAAGTAGAATGTACGAATCCGGTATGTATAGTGCCAATGCCGCCGGCCGCGCTACCAGAGAGAGGAGACTGCGATGCACTACTCGGAGGTCGGGCAAACTCGAATCCGGAGAATTGAGTCATTGTAGTCAACGGAGCTGAAGCAGCATGTTCGTCAGCGGATGCAGGCAGAAGATCCTGTTGCGCTTTCAGTTCTTTAAGACGCTGCGTAAGTCTCTCGTTCTCGATTTTCAGCTCCAGAAAAGTATTCAGACTATAGGAACCCTCTTGTCAATGAGTGTTTTAGTATGGTAGGAAGGTCGTCACATACACTGCCATGTTCCTGCTAGGGTATGGCTTCGCTACGACGAGGAAACATTTACACTCATTGTCATTCGGAGTATATAATGCATGCCCTCGAACTTCGAAAAGTAGTTCCTTCTGGCTGTCTTGTTTCTCTTCATCAACTGGCTTGCATTTCAAGCGAGCGTGACAAGAAAGGTCTTGCCGAGAGCTCAAACTATTTTGAAGGTGGTTGTTAAAATGTCTCTTATCGTCGTCTTCACAAATTGAAATTCAATTAGTAAGACGAATATCGCGTAAATCACTAGCTTACCGTTGACGATGTCCAGGACGTCCGTGTCCACTAATTCTTCCACCTGCCAGCCGAGGAGGTCAGTTGTATTTGGGCCGACGTATTGAATTTCTTTGTCGGTGTCCAAGATAAGAAGGACGGTGTCGGGTAGTTCGGAGACCAAAATATCCGTCCATTTCTTGCGCTTCGTAAACTCAAACGTCTGTGCCTGTCGTTGTGAGTGAGGTGCAGCGGGTGCTGCGAGGGGCGACTGGAGGGCCATTGTCGCTGAGACGGTGGTGGTGGATGGGGCACAAGAGTAAGTTTGCCCGGACGTTGGATGGAGCCGCTCCGGTGGAGGAAACGAACAGCAGCCGCATGTGCTCCATTATGGGCATACTCAGGGCGCATTGACCAGCGCCTACAGACGTGCTGCAGCCGTTTATTGGCCGTCGAGCCCGTCCTCTTCGCCGCGCGACGTCATCTGGTGGAGGACGCCGTAACAGAATGAACGGAAGCGAAGTCGCAAGCGGCGGCTATAATTGCCATCAATTGGACCAGCAAACGACGACAACATTGAGACAAAGCACTACCGCATCAACGAAGCGTCTGCTCGGTGTCGAACTGTTGCAAGGAGGCGCAGCTTCTATCACCGGGGGCAGGCATCAACGCGCCTCGGTATCAATCCTCGTATCGTCTCTCGCTTTACTGTAATTGTGCATTACCCACTTGGGCATTGAGGCGTTGCCATAATTAATCTAGCGAATCTACCACCACTGGCAGCCAAATGATCCTCTTACAGGTAGAAAACAAGAGCGTACGTATTTACGGATGCTTTGCGACGACCGGCCTTTACTAATATCTACTCCCGTACTCCCGAACCCGAGTCCGAGTCTACGGCTGAGCGGAGTAACTCAGGTGCCAAGCGACTTGCTTTTGAGGGAATAGGCAAGCCCTGTCACGCCGTCTGCATTTTTTTGAGCATTCCCCTCTCAAGCATGCACTCGATCTCATCTGTTCGAATGGATTGACATCAGACGCTGTGCCGCACAATAAGATGAGATGCACCTGACCCTATCTGCCCTACACCACCAGATCCGAGTCTCATTAGTGGATCTGGGTGAACTGGCGCACGAGCAATGCTAACTAAGCTGGCTAACCCTTCAATAGCCATATGAAAACACAAGATCGATTCTGTTCTTCTCGAACTCGACATCTCTGAGTGGGGGTTACGGCATCATTCAAGATGCGTTCAGAACAAAGTTGAATCTGGCTTTGAAGAAGCGCTGATTAGGGGCTAGCACGTCACCTGGTTCGGCTTATTCTCTAGATTCGTTCACAAGAGCGCATCTTCAATTGGGTCCTCCTTCTCCTCCAAGGCTCCAACAGATCGATTCTCTCCAGAACGCATCTTGCTTATTCTGTTGTATTTCCATGTCTCGCAGGTTGCTTAAAGTGCAACGACTGAATGATGCGCAACTGGGATACTATCGGCACACTGTCTCTGTGGCACTCGAATTCTAGGTTCTTAGAGTACTCAATTTCGAGGACACCGAAAATAACTGTAAATCAAGAAGGATTGGAGGACATGTCTCCAGCAACTGGCTTTATATGCATGTATTTTCGTAGTGCTTAGGCCTGAATAATTCGGTCGATCCGTGCCTCTGCGGCGTCCTCAGATTCCATTCGCTGACAAAATCTAACTTCGGACCCCAGCCCCTTTCGAGCATGGAACAACAAGCAAAGAAATAACGATAAGGGAGGATCATTAAAATTAAATGATCGTCCTGCCCCTCTTCTCTCTTCACGCATGCATTCCAGATCCACCTTCATGCCGGATCTCCATCTATCCCCCTCAACCCCTCCTTACCTGACAAATCCGATTGTCCATTCCAATCTCATCTCGAAACTCCTCTTCCACCCTCAACAAGAGCAACAGATACGAAAGAAAATCTACGAGAATCTAAGGTGCGTCTTCTGATGACGTTATTTTCTTTGAGGAATCATTTGGCTCTCCTATTACCTTTTTCATCTTTTGATCATTTGCCTTTTATCACTCTTCGATTTCCTTTCTCTAAGCCTTTGTTTACGAAATCACCTCCATTCCTTCCACCCTCTTCCCCTTTTGAAGACCTAGCTCAAGATTGCAAGGAGACTCCAGATCTTAAGTCATCGTATCTCGCACTAATCAAGCTCATACCCGTGCAGACTAGTCTGTTTATCCTTTCATATCTATCCGTATCACCCGCTCTATCGGTAGTTCACGACTGACCAAGATGAACAGCCAGGGATCTGAAGGGATGCCTGAGATCGATTCGAAACCACCCTGGATCCCAGCACGACGAGTGCGCAGAGATGCGTTCTCTACGTTGAATCTTGCCTGGCTCAATTACGATTGACTAGCGCCTCCCAACTCCCCTCCCCCAGAACGGCGTCTTTGCCAAAAAGTCGCGTCCTGCATACCAATAATCATTCGAGATGAGATTTCCTTTATTCTCCTCATCTACTGTGCTCTCTTCTCTGCGAGTTAAGTACCGTGCATGTGACGTCCGAAGATCTGCGTGAAGATACGTCTGGTCCACGGCTTGTCTTTCTTTCGAGTCTCGACCAAACAAGGGAAGCCTTTCGTGCCTACCTGCGTCCGTGCTCTGCACGCATGCTTTTGTGACCGTCTTTGCCAAGCAGACGTCGTTGTGCGTTGTGCAATGTTGCCTGCGACCCGAGATGTCCGGAGCTCAAGCATCCGGTATAAGTCGATGTATCGATATATTTAGTGTCTTAGATCATACTAACTTCATGTCATCCGTTTACATGCCCGATTTACTTTGGTTTTGTAGCAATTTACATACTTTTCGTTGAAATCGTGGTGAAGTTGCTCATGAAACCCTGCGAAAGATAGACAAATTCGAGTTCCCAAACCAGTGACACTTATCATGTTCTAATCTAATATTTGTGCATATAAGCACCTACGAAACTATGTCTAAAACATTACTATTAATATTTGTAACCATCACATAAAGATAGGTTTCGTCTCCTATTCTAATCAGATCTCTTGTACCATTTTCTACTTTTATCAAGTATTTTCAGAGTCGAAAAAAAATCAGCAATCACTAATGTTAATCATATTTGACATACTTTTCTTTTACTAATACTATCATACTATGTGCGTGCTTATTCTTGGCCGAGACAACCGAAATGGCCGTCTACACGTATAAAAAAGCAAACGGAACAGAGCAGGCAATCCACCACGAGTTGATCCAGCGCTATACAAGCATCTTCCTGCATTACTATCTATTAGTGGCGGCGCACTCGTCCTACCTACGCCTAAACTCACGCGCAATAAAAGTTTAATGCCACATTAAACGTTATGTTATGTTATTGATAATAATTTAATTTAATTTTTCTCTTCGTCTGGTCCGTCGGGCTGTATTATAATTAAGTATAATGTCTAATTCAGTGCACCTATACATATTCATGTGTGTATCTGCGTTTGTATATTTTGTATAATCTCAGCCTTTTCGTCAAAACCAACTATGTACTGAATTCCACTCTGTTTTGTCTTTTCTTTGAGATGTTAGCAGTTAACTCTGAACGTGTCCAACACGAGGCAAACGCGAGTTCACTAATTATTAAACTCAAGAATGTAGAATGTACACTCTACTTGTTTCGCGCGATAAAGAAAGTGGCTCCGTTTGGTATGAAACTACGCTACTGATTTATATTAGCTCAAAAAAAAGAATCGGCTCGTTCCGTTCCGTACATCCGCCTTTCAGTTCCGATGCCTCCCACAAGTTTAGCCTTTTCGCGGATTTACATTTTGTTTGAATTTAATAGAAGTACGTCGTGGTATATCTACATACACAAGTTTACATTCATTACACGGAGTTCTTTGTTTTTATAAATTCCGGTCGAAGGTGTGGAAAAAGAGGAGGTTGTTAGTTAGAAAGAGAGTGAAATAGTTCCAGTAAACTATAGTTCTACAGGCGGGATAGAGGATAGAGAGACACATGAATCGAAGCATGTGGAAGGGTGAAAAATTGCGAAGTTGCGAGAGAAGAGAGAATTTCGGGAAAGAAACAAAAACAAGAAAAATTGAAGAGAAAATTGAAATCGAATAAAGATTACGAAAAAAACGGAACAAGAAAAGAAAAAGAAAGAACTTTTTGGATCGGATAAGTTAAAGGACCCCTGAGGGAAATGAACGAAGAGGTTCACAGTTTCGAAGTGAAATTGAAACGTAAGTCCATCATATGCGAGATGCAGCCCGGTTCAGTGACCAATAACGGTGGGAGAAGCTAAGGGCTGAACTCGTCAAGAGAGGTAGTGTACCTGTCGAAGGATGAAGGAGCGAGAGGACGAAAATGCGCGATCGCCCGGCGACGACGTCGAGTCGGTATAAAGGAACGTGTGCAGGTCCAGCAGCGGACACGGATAGACGTGTGGTTGATTAAACAAGAGCAGCAGCGCGGTGACGAAGTGCGAACAAAATCTTCCGGCGCCGAAAATTAAAACGAAGAAAAAAGCCGCATCGCGGAACCGAAGAATGCAGGCGTTATGCGTATAGGAGGCGGAGTCAATTACGTCGGGTGAGGGACGGAGACATGGAGAGACGGAGAGGACAACCATCGGATCATGATCGATGCTTACGCACGGGCGAGAACGTTGCTGCTCTGGGTGAATTTCGCGTGCGTGAACGGCCTCGTGGAGGTTCGTCTTCAATGCTCATGTCCATCATACGCACATCATCGCAGCTCGTTTTACTCGAGAGCGCAGAAAGGGGTTCGTCATCAACGAGCGTCTCAAGCGAACCATCCGTGTCCGATAACGAGGCGTCTGAATCGTCGTCATCAAAGTCTGAGTACGCATCCTCATCTTCTTCATCCGAACTCGACTCGTCCTCTTCGAAGTCGCTCCCATACCCAAGCTCATCACCATCGTCTCCACAAACAATTGGCGGGACACCCGGACCCATTCGCTGCGAATACCACCGCCCAAGGAAGGCCTTTACGCGCGAGCGCATACCAAGATATTCCACATTTCTTACAACATCCGCCCATTGTACGGTGCCTGCATCAAGTGCGCTTTCAAGCACCTCAAACGTACCAAAGTACATGAAGTGTACGAGGTGTGGGAAAGACGACGGGTCCGGAAGCGGAAGATATACGATGGGATGTGATGGCACTGACGGCATGATGTGCGGTCGCCTGTGCGGAGGGAGGGCGACACGTGGGAGAGCGGGCGGCGTATTGGGTGAGTCGGGACACGTGGGTGCCATGGACTCTGATAGCGGTCTCCCGCTGAAGAGGTCTCGGAAAAGGGAAGACTGTGCTAGCAAATAGTCGAGGTGTAGCTGAAAGGGAACGATACACGTAAGTAAACCATAATAGGCTAGAAATGGGGTGCAAGGCGAAAGTACCTTGCTGGTCATTCGTGTTGGCCGCGTCATGGGCGGTACTGGCTCTGTCGCTAGTCGACCCGAGCCGGAAGGGCCAAATATGTTATTAGAAGAACAATCTGTAGAATTACGCGCGAAGTGGCGCTGAGGGACGATGGGCACGACTACAGGCGCGTTGACGCGCATAGATGAGCCAACCGCTCTCACAATACGAAGTCCAGAGAGTATACTCACTGATTGTGCAGTCCGCGGTTTGCGGCTTGTCCCAGTATGTTACTGCGAGATTATGGAGTTGTTCGAGAATATACGGGAGCGGGACGCCCACGAGAGCAGGAGGCGGGAAGGGGCGAGTGAAGGCGGAGGTAGATGGACGTTGGCCGGCCTGGGCACACTGGACGGAGGAGTTGTCTGCCACCATTGTGTAATGCAATGGGATGTGAGGAGAGAGAGGTGGCGGAAAGACGAAGAAAGAGGGCAAGAGATGGAGAGAGATGGATAATAAGTATTGTACGGAAAGACAAGAAAGAGGGAGATCGAGACGGTAGGATGCACCCGTGGATGCGGTGCGGGTGTAGATGAAATATGTAATCTCAGTCCTCGCCAGATCTCTCAAATTAGTCCAGGGTCTGCCAGGGTCTGTGACGCGTGATGCTGTATTTATTTTATTCTCGGGTAATATCTGTCCACCAACACGGCTGTCCCCCACGTGCGCACTTCCATTCCCTCCCAGATCTTATTGTCCTTGTCTCTCCCCAATCTCGCCCCCCGCAACTCCTCAATTGTCACTCGTCCGTATGCCCTCAACAAGGCAACACCGCCCGTCTCCACAGGAGCATCTTCAGCGGCAACTCCGGCTCGCCAGGCACACTCAGATCCGGCACAATATCCAATCTCAGTCTTCTCCATCAACCCATCTCTCACTACCCAATCCGCTCCAAAGAACATTCGATATAAGGAAAACGTTGCCATTTGTGCTTCTACATCGTATACTAGTACACCTACCCTTACCTCCGCATTACCTAGACGCGCATTAGCTAAGACTGAATTAACAAACAACATCAACAAAAAGCATCATGTGCAAAGCAGTACTTGCATCGGAAAAACAGAAAAACAGAAAAACAGAAAAACAGAAAAAAGGGTAGAAAAGAAAAGACAGAGAAAAATCTGAGTAAAGAATGAAAGAAGACTGAGATGTGATGGACCGAAATGAAGAAGAACGAATGTGGACCGTCAGTATACACCTTGGTTGCGACGAAACGAAATTGCGAAAAATAAGGAACGGTGGATATATCTATACGTGGGTTGCTGGGACGATGATCTCGTTGCCGTTGCTCTCCAATGCAAGCGCGTCGACACCTGCACCAGCGGGAATAGAAACCGTCAATGATACGTGATAGGAGAACACAGTCAGCGTTACTTGGCTATCACAAATCCATCAAGGGATTCGGAAGTGTGCCCACCCAACGAGCGCTACAAAGCAACGGCCTATTTGGGATGGCCTCAACGGTCTTCTCCACGACGCTTCGAATTCCAGATGGGAAAGTGTAGGTGTGTGCCGCACGCATAGCTCCCGATTAGGACTAGGCAGAGACACCACCCGGGCGATGGCAAAGCATTGGCAAAGCAAGAAAATAAGGAGAACACGGCAAGACGATCCTGAGCGCGCGAATTCGGACGTAACGCTGCTAGGGCGTCCAGACTTTGATAGTCTGATCGACGCTTCCCGTAGCGACCACATTCACTCGCTTTTCGTCTTCTCCCCTGCTATCTGGAGCACCGTCCGTGCCGTTTGGCCTCACTCCGCCAGTCGTCGCTCGTCCCCACGCCATGCTCTGCACAAAATGCCCATGAGCTTCGACCGTTTTGATACACCGCCCGGTCGCAAGCTCCCACACTCGGATCGTCTTGTCATCGGAGCACGAAAGCAGGAACTTCCCTGTCGGGTGGAATACAAGCGCGCGTACCCAATTATCATGACCCGGCTGTGCGCAGGCCCTTCAGTACATGTAATAAAAAGCGGAACAAAAACAGGTCGGAAACTAACAAGGTTACGAATAAGCTGTCCAGTTGACGTATCCCACAATTTGATAAATTTATCACGCCCGCCTGTTGCGGCGTACAATCCTGGTAGTTTTGACCGGTCAGCAGTCAGACCGCCTAATTCTCGTATTGGTGGATATGCATTTGTAGGTGCAAAAACAATTGTCTCTATGACGTTTTCGTGTCCTCGCAACTCGATTTTGGTTTCTCCAGATTGATAATCCCATATACGCCCAGTCTACAATAGAGAACAGTTATTAGCATAGACGCACAAAAGCAAAACCGATACACCAACGTGATCGTTTGAACAGCTTGCAAGTAACCGGCCGTCATCCGAAGGGGCAACACACCGAACCCATTCGCCGTGTCCGGATAATAACCGTACTTGATGCCTGCATATCAATTATAAAGACCTGATGGAGAAAAAATGTTGGTGGTTCGACCACGTACCCTAGAGCGACGTTCCACACTCGTATTGTTCGATCCCTCCCGGCACTGACAATGAAATCATCTCCTGGCATAAATCGAACAGATGAAATGCTATGATCGTGACCAGGCATGGTCTTTATATTTTTCCAGTCGTTTTGAGTGTCCCAGATCTTGATGAATAAATCAGCAGAACAAGATGCTACAGAGTTCATGTTGAATTATCACCTCAACCGAGCCGCATACAAATTAGATGTAACAAAGGATGTACGTACCAAGGAGGTTGCCTTTCGAGTCAAAATCTACGTCGTTTACGGCTCGTGTATGGCCCTTGAGAGTGCGCTCATATTCTCCCGTCTCCCAATCCCAGATTTTGATGGTTGCGTCATTGCTTGCGGAAGCAAGTAGAGAGTACGCGGGATGAAACGTGACTTTGGTGATCTCGCCCCTGTGGCCAGTCAAAACGCGACCTGCTGGTGCTCGTGGTACCCAGTCGGTCTGCGACGCGGCGCGTTTGGCGGGAGACATCGATACCTCCTCTTGCAGCGCGGCATTGCGGTTCTCTAGGTCCATAATCTGTTCCACAAACGCGTATAACGTGATCGATTGAAGAACGCGTGCAACATTGAATGGTTGATATCAACATAATCCATACGCGTTTAGCACACATAATTGACGTGCATAGAGAACACACCTTCTTCTGCAATCGAATGACACTAGTCCACTTCTTCTCGAGTAGGAGGGCATATTTGGATTTGGGATCAGGGGTATAGTCAACATTTGCTTCGCTCTTAAGCGCACTGTAGGCTTCGGTGAAATTCTGGGAATGGAGGTATTCGAGGATGGACTTGTGTCTGCAACAGCAAAAAGCGCGTGATGAGAAAGCCGACGGATCGATTAAATACATGTGGATGCTTACAGTTCATCCTTCTGTCTTTCAGAGAGGATGGACATGACGAACGATCCACTTTGTTTGACCGCGTCTCCGAAGCAGACGCGGACGGCGGCTAATTACGAATACCCTTGAATGTATTAGAGCAGTCAGACCAAACTGCGCGACACCTTCCACGTTGAGGTACGAGGAGGAGGAGATGGACCTACTGAACGTTAAGAACGAGTTCGGAGTCGGTTGTTGCGTTACGGACGCGTGTAAGTGTGAGAGTCACATGCCTTATCTGGTGTTTGTATGCATTGTGGGTTGGTTAACCATATCTTAATTCCCGCCTGTCCATCACAATTCTGAGAATTTCGATTACGAATTTCCTGACCTCGCGATGGTTCATCGAAGCGACGAGGGGATGGAATAGGAAGTTCCGCTGAATTGTCGGGAATGAATAGCTTGCTGGAAGCGCGAGGCGACGGGAGGGATGAAAGGTTAATGCTTATTAGAAATATTGCTTGCTTTTGTTTACGTGCGTGCATAGGAGCACATGTCGTAATGATGTGACTCTAGTTTTTTGGCGTTTCTCCCGTCTCGGCTCGCCCTCTTCCGTCTCATTCCTTGCCGTGCCATCTTAAACGACTCACCCATCCTGTTCATCGCCCATAACCCGTCGTCGCGAGCCCATCTCACTTTGCTCATAGCGACAATTTCCAGGTCCGACTTTAGATCCCGTGAGCAAGAGTCCGACACTGTGCCGGCACAGACTCGGTGACACCGCTTGACAACAGCCTTCATCTCCGTGCCTCCCTTCTCTTGCTTTCTCGTCCTCCTTACCTCTTGCCCTATCCTTGCCCTAGTTGACTAGTCTACGACATCTCACTGCAATCGCTTTCATCCATACTTTGTCCCTTCAAGTCAATTGACTGACAATCTCAAGCATTTTGAGAAAAGGCATTGGCTTTGATCTACGACATAACTTGCACACGATGTCCAATCGCCCAGTTTCTCCACCACCCATTCCGCCCAGCTCTCCGCCCGCAGCCGGCGTCCGACGTGTTCACACTATATCAGCCGCATCCCGTGCTGCCCGAGCCGGCTCAAGGCTCCTGCCGTCCGAAGAGGTCCAGCAACACCAGGTCTGGAACGACGATGAAGTCGTTGACCAAGACTGGGTCGGCGGCATAGGTGCCATAGGCGAGAAAAACGCCGGTCTGCATCGTCAGAGCTCCTTGCCAACGCGGTACAATAGGGGTATGCATAATTAACGGAGGTCTTAGTTTTTAGAATCTGACTAAAAATTGGCAACCCGCAGCATTTCCGCGCAGTAATCAAAACCGTCAAGGTGGTACTCTGACGCCCAGAACAATGAACAGCCTGGCCGCAATCGCTGCCGAGCAGGGCCATGAAGGCGAGGAAGAAGAGTGGGAGAACGACGTGCGTCAATGGAACGGTGACGAGGTAGTTGCATCATATTATTATTAACTCCGTAATTATCAATGATATCTGACTAAATGCCTTCGTACATTCATTCTAGCGTCTTGATGCACACGATATGTCGCATTATGCTCACGTCGTCGAAAACCAGTCTGGTTCTTCACAGGGACATTCACCGTTGTCGCCTTCTTTCCCTCCGCACACTGTCTCACCTCCCCCTGCTGAAGTCAATGTAAGGCGCAACCAATCTCTGACGTACGGTGCGGCTGGCGGAGCACCCCGTCGCATGGCGGTGAACTTGCGCCGCTCGGGTACGCTTCAAGCCACTATGGAACGATCTCATGCTGCTTCCTCTCAGTCGCCGCCTAGTCCAGTTGATAATGAAGAAGATTTTCAAGAGGAAGAGCGTCACAACGATGATGATTACCACTATGCCCTTCTTCAACAACAAGTACAGCAGCAGCAACAACAACAACAGAACCAGAACCAAAACGTCTACGGTCAATCGTCGGGCAATTACACGCCGACTTCATCAGTGGGCCGTAACTCACCGTGGAGCGTGAATAATAACGCCAATGAATGGAAATATGGTAATAATAATAATGGTTCGAGTGCAATCGATGACGTGCAGCGCGCGCTTTCGGCGCTCGAGATTTCCGGTGGCAATCTTGCTCAGCAGCAGAACCAGAACTTCGCGAACGGTGGTTCCGGCCAGGGTGGTCTTCCTCCCCGTTTGAACCAACAACAACATGTTGGTCAGATTGGTCAAGGGTCTGGTTTGCGCCGTACCGATAATGCTACTGGAAATGGGAACGGTACCGGTAATGGACTTGGTATAAGCATAGGTCAACGCGGAGGACCGGACAAATTGCAGCTAGTCACAGACATTGACAGCGGCAGTATTAAGAGCGGACCAAGCAGTGCCGGAACGAACGTCCCAAGTGTTGGACACGGAAACGGCTTTGGTCAGCAGACGCAGCGTAGCTCGAACGACCCGTGGGAGCAGAAAGAACGTGTTCTTGCTTCGCGCACATCTAACCCGAACTTGCAATACGCTGCCCGCGGTAATTACGATGCATCAGGTCTGCCACCGAATCCACCTGTTCCTGCACAGTATCTTGGTCAACAGGACCCACGGCGCCTTGGACTCGCTTCTCCAGTCGGCGGGCAGAATGCGCAAGTTCAGGCTCAGGGCGGACTTAATGTCGGCGGGCCGCAGCACAACCCAGGATTTATTACTGCTCCTCTTGACGTTCCGTCGCTCATCGCAGCGAAAGGCTACAATCCTCCTACCTTCGATTGCAAGCCAGCTTTCGTACGTTTAATTGGCTGAGTGACGTTATGTTTGATTGATTAACATTCATCACAGGCCCGGTTTTTCGTCATCAAGTCTTATACAGAGGATGACGTCCATAAATCTCTGAAGTATGAGATTTGGAGCTCCACGGATCCTGGTAACAAGCGCCTGGATAAGGCATTCAAAGAAACAGCCGGTCGCGGACCCATCTATCTCTTTTTCAGTGTCAATGCTAGCGGTCACTTCTGCGGCATGGCAGAGATGATGACGCCTGTAAGTTCTGTCTTAATCTCGGTATTGGCATTATCATCTAATCAGAGGTGCTGTTTCTTTTAGGTCGATTACACTCGCAGTAGTACAGTCTGGGCGTCTGACAAGTGGAAAGGCGTGTTCAAGGTCCGCTGGATCTTTGTCCGCGACATTCCGAATGCGAACTTGCGTCACATTAAGCTCAAGTAAGTAAAGGCTCAAACCATGTCCTCCCTTCTATTGTCTTTCTTCTGTCTCGTGTCTGCGATATCGACGGAGGTTGACAAATTTGTAACTTGCCATACAAAACAGTAACACGCAAGAGCGCAAACCGGTGACGAACAGTCGCGACACGCAAGAGCTCCTGCCCGATGCAGGGCAAGAAATGCTCCGTATTTTCTTCACTCATCCAGCGAGAACATCGCTCCTGCAGGACTTTGCATTTTATGAGGTACGTAATAAATGACTCATGTGTCTTGATTGTATTTAACTCATCTTCTCATGCAGCTGCAATCCATGCAGAAGATGCAACAACAAACCGCACAAGCACAAGTACAGTCTCCGGGTTCCCCGCCCTCGCAATCTCAATCTCCACAGCCACAGCTATCCCAGCAACATCCATTTGCGATGCCTAATCCGTACTCACAACATCTCGGGATGCCCGGCCAGATGCTACCCCTGCAGATGAATTCGCAATATGCAGCTGTTCAGAGCAATATCATGCGTAACCCGAGTCCTGTACCCGTCAATGCCGGAGGCCAGGGCTATGTTGGTAACTTTTGATAATGAACAATTGTTAGGGTTTAGAGCGGCTGCGGTACTCATTTGTGGTGCGACGCACGTTCGCGTCACTTTCACACCCCGTTATGGAACCAAATATTCGCTTGAAGCTACTAGGAAATCGAAGAATCGTTTTTGGGGTGGAGGTGGAAGTTCGGATGGGGCGTTTCATGATCAAACTCATTTTTAACCAAGTGGTCTTCCGTTTTTTCTCACAGTTTTTTGCTAAATCTGTACGATGCCACAAAGTCCCTGCTCCCAGTCCTCGCGCTCTCTGCTGAATGACTGACCGTCTTCTTTATCTATTCTTTTCGAACGTCTGACCCACCCTTGATTTCGTTTTCTTTTTTAACACATCGTCTCATCATCTTAATTAACTTTTCCTATTCCTCTTTTTTATGCAACACCAAGAACATCGAACGACACCAACAGAAGAACCCATCTTGTATCGCTCCACCATCTTCTTTTTACATCCGCATGCGCAAGGACCCTCCTTGGATTTGTCATGTCCTCACCTGTCGTCGTACTTGATTCTGAACGGACGTGAACTATCGCTTGTTCTGAATCGACCCCGAGCATTTCCTGTATATGTATTGACACATCCTTCCACGAATTTTGCTTACACAGTCGGTTTCTGATAGCTTTGACGATGCTTTAGTCACCCTTTTTTCACTTTCAATAGCGTAGTCTTTTTGCCTGATCCTTTAAATTTCCTTCTTGATTTGAATCGATTTTTAGTTGACCGCTTCGTAGTATTTCTACCAACTGTACTTAGTATCTCTTACAGCTTACTGGTTACGCTTCCTCATGAATTTTCCTCGTTTTTCTTCTCTTGCCATACTTCTGTCGCGAAACGATTGGAGGAGTTGTATGCATGTAATGTGGTGGTTCCCCGTATAGTATTTAAGTATGATAGACTGCTTGTTGAACATTGAATTGAACCGCGAAATATACAGTGTTTTCTTACTGAGCTGGAACAGTGGAAGACTCTATCTAGTACATGACCAAATGGATAAGCACGGCCACGACAGTTGAAGTTGAAGTTGAACGTGATTTCTATGACTTGACCAATAAAGGAAGGGAACAATATTTTTAGACCTAGACGATTTCCGAATATTTCTTCTTTCCTTGCTACTTTGCACAAACCGCAGCGACGAGCCACTGCGCGCCGCATAAAAGTTATCCTCCACTCCTATTACTCCTATCCATATGCTGCGCTCGGCGGTCAAAATGAAACCTATCTCGCATTGTGTTTCTCGCCCTCCATTATATGTGCACTTCTGCTGTTCTTTCGGTTTCGGTAGAAGATGTCTAAGCCTAGAATTCCATCTACCGGGGATGGATATGCGAAATGGAAAGAACAGAGTGTGACGGACGTGCATATCCAACCATTTGCTTATGTCTGTCTCCCCCTTCTCGCCTGCCTGTGTAGCTTATTTACTGTATGTCTGATTTGTATGACTACCGTTAGACTTTCAAGGGCGTGGAGCTGGAAGACGTATATGATGAAGAAGACCAGGATTCAGGAAAGATCAGAGAGGTCCAGAAGTGAGTGCCTCGTAATTCTTATTGTTACGTTAGGTTCCTAACTGTATGATATTATTCACATGTGCATATACTCAACTCAGATTCATATATGACATCCAAAAGAACGAGGTGCACGTCACGTATTCAGGAGCAATCCAAAGCTGCATAGTCGACGTTTTTGTCGACGCATTTCGTAATTCAATCAAAGAAATCCAGGCTATTGAAGGCGAAGACGATTCGGATCCTACATACTGTTGCTACACCAACACTGTGTCCAGCTTGTTACAGGGTAGCACAGATGAGAAGGAAAGGTACCGTCTCGTCGGAGACTTACTCATCATAAATAATAACTCTGGCCCAACCTTTGCTGTGGAGACGTGTGTCCAACAATCCTTAGCTGCAATCAAGGATAAAGTGAAGAAACTTTTCTTGTTGCCGTCCATCATTGGCATTCTACTCGTTCAAGTGATCGAGGATAACGGATACAAGAAGCCTGCTGCTCATCCAAAAGAAGATGACGTGTTCCTTGGAAACTCTTGGGCTTGGTGTAACTACCTGGAAGATATCACTACAGGACTTGATTTATATGACTGTTCAAAACCTGTTGTGTTCGATGGACATACGTGGTTTGAATCGTTGACTTGTATATTTGAAATTTATGAACGTGACTTGGTATGACCTCAATTTCTGATTGTCCGGCTAATTGGAGTAACTGACGTGCTTGTCACTTAGAGTGCCAAATGTGTACCTACAACACATTATGTAGGTTAAGCAGACGTAGCCCCAGACTGCCGATTCACAACTAATCACTGTGCTTACAGGAATTTACAGTGCCTAGCACAGACACGACTCTCGAAATCACATCAACTCTCGAATCCTTCCAAGAACGTCTCTCAGACCTATGGCTCGAAGCATTGGACGTAGACTCACCTGAGGAAGTCGAACCACTTTCGCTCGACTTGAATCGCCTCCTAACACAAATAGCCAAAAACAGACTTCATGTAGCATATGAACGCTATCGGCACTGGTACACATCCGGCTCCAGCTCAAAGCATACACGTCAAACAGCTGCAGCTTCTTCCCTGGGAAAGAGGCGAAGAGACGACACACGCGAGCGACTCGGAGATTCAAGAGACGATAGTTCCGTTGCTTATTGGGAGAAGGACATTTATCCATAGTGGTTAGGTACTTCTCTACCTAATTGTGGAAACCCATTACTGGTCTCGAGAAGCACATCTATATTATGCACAATTGATGGCCGTTGATGACATAGAGATACTGTTCCACTGTACCACATAAATCCCTCTCCCCACAACCGCGGCTCAGTAGATAGAAGCTATGTTTAGTCTCTCTAGTTCGCTTACGCATGTTCCATGACCTGATGTACACGTTTCCAAGCTTACGATCGCTTCGGAAGAAGTATGTTCTATGCTATTGTAAAGTACCAGTATTGTTAACAGACTTGTAATAAACGCAAAGAACAAAACAGTCTGATTCAATTGTCTAGATCACACCGCAAGCTATGGTATACATTCGGCGAAGTGGGCCCAAAGGATCGACTTGATTGTAATTCGTTAGATACAGAACTGCATGCCTTTCCCTCCCGATTTGATAAGACATTTAGGAGTCCGAGCTTCCGCCTCAATGGCCTTCTATCACAAAGAAGAGTGCCTCAACTGGAAGCCTTGGAAGTCGGCACGAGTTGGGTCTTCGACACCTCGAACGTAAACATACTTTGTCACTTCGCCACCTAACTATACTCGAACAACTTTGCTCGTATAACGTACGCAAGCCAAATTTTGTCTGGGCAAGTAGACATTGATGAAAAGGGGCCGTGGGAACAACCAATAGACTCCGAAAAGGAAGTCGGTGTTACCACATACGGTAAAGATCGGCCACTAAATCCGGAAGGCCTTCCGCAGGTCGAATCCGTCTCTCGCCCAAATTGTTGGCATCAGCTATAAGACCGCAGTAAAAGCGGCGAGCGTGTCTTCGACACAGAATTAGGCGCATTATTGCTCATGAGAAAAGCACTGAAAAGGTCCAGAAATGCAAAACTGCGCGAGGCATTGCCTTATGGAATTGAATTCCGTTCATGATGCACAGGTGCTTTCATCTTGAAGCGAAGACGAAGTGCCACCGACACTGGCCATGTACAGATCTGTCCCCTATCTAAGGCATTGGCGTCAGTGTCTCGTTCCAAGAGTATGGCGTCAGGGACGGGGAGTTCACAAGATAACTGTGTCATCGCTGGCACATTGCTAGACCGCGAACATTATCAGGATGCCCCAGACACCCTGGCCGATTTCACAAACGTAAAGCAGTGTCACGTCAGTATACGAGGCGAGTATTCGTACGGAGTATCTGCATCCAGTAGTCGGATGTATTTTATCCGGACGGCTTCGTGATCACAAGCCGGGTGCGTTCCGTCCTTATTGTTCTCGCCCATAGTGGATTGTGTTCTCGTAGAACCATCAGGCAAAAGACACGCGATCTCGTGTTCGTGTTCACGCAAACACTTAACCTCCTGTATCTCCTGTCCCTGCGAACAGTGATCTCCGTTTAGACGAAGCATTGGTTGAGCGTCCGTTGTTCGCAGGATGACACTTGGGAGAAAAAACCGCGTGTGTGCAGTTATAAGAACTCTGACTGGCGCTTGACGTTCTGAGATCTCGCCGCACTGGTCGGAAATCTGATTAAGCGCGTCGATGACATATGGCGGGAATAACCAAGGACGGATGTAAAGCAGAAATCGATTGTCGTAAAGAATTTCCAAAGAACGACCTTGTGAGAGTGCGGTATAAATTGACTTCGTAATATCAAGTTCCAGAGACTTCGCCGCAGAGTCACCGTAGCGCCGAATCGGAGACTGGCGAGAAGCTAACCACCCCAGTTCCTTGAAAATTGACTTCCCTTTTCCAGTAAATTTCATCTTTGCATCATGAGTAATATAAACCGGAGTCCACACGACACCACCACCTGCGACGAACTTCCTATCGGGTATAACAGACGGACAGTCCTTATTTGAGCGCTTGGTCGAGCATTCTCTAGTCCCAATTAAGGTGTCTGATATTCGTTGTAAGCTGTCCGTCCGACGGCCGGCTTCGGCTCGTATAGAACCCCAGGGAAAGGGGGATACGAACCGTAGAACACGCCGAATAATCTCGAATCGGACCGATCTGTCTGTCACGCGCGAGAATGTATCTTTCGAGAGAAGGATAGTGGATGGTGGAGAAGAGCGCAAACACTTCTCCAACTGAATGGATGCTAGATTCGCGAGCACAGATTGAGCACATCGCTTCATCCCAGGACGAGCAGAGAATACCTTCGTGGTTAAGTCTGTCGACGAAGTCAGATACCGATTCAATGGCAGACCTCAATTGTGCGAGCGAAGTGGGGCCATCTTCTTGGTGAGTGACTTGCACTTGCTGAGCCCTATCATCGGAGGTTGCCACTCCTGCAGCTATATCCAGCAGCACCTTTGTTCTCTCGGCGAGGCTACCCTGTAATGCAAGCAAGGCATCGGCGAGATGAATTCATTAAGTTGAATGTGTGCTGACCGGAGATCCGAGCTCACGTCGAACCTGATTTCGAAGCGCGACATCAGGCTGAAAGTTCGTCTTATCGACGACGTACTCCAACCCAGCTGATTGGCAAGTAGCTATAAGCCTCTCCTGCGGATCCGCACGTATTGAGCTCTATGAGTTAGCTGGCTTGGGTTTAATCACAGTTCGGACTTACTTTCGGGAAACCCAGTAACGGTCGAATAATCCAGCGGCTCATTCCGTCTTGTCCAGCCCACCCCAGGTTCTCAGGGCCGGTACCAAATCCCATACCCCACAGACGTCGTGGACGCATACCCGCAAGCCCGACCTCAGTACTTCCCCGTGCAATGCGGAGAAGTGCGGTCTCAACCTGGTCGTCCGCATGGTGGCCGAATGCGATCGTGGAGATTGCCTCATTTCTCATAGCCGAGAGAAGCTGATGATATCTTGCTTCGCGAGCAATATTCTCGAAAGGAGCCCCAGAAGAGGGAATCGACGGGAAGGGAGCAACACCCCACGGAATCTTGTATACTAGATGCTTGACTTTCAGGGAGGCAGCAATGCTGGCACATTTCTCAGACATTTGACTTGAGGCGGCTTGTAGTCTATGGTCTATTGTCACTGCAACAGCCTCAGTTTGTTTATGATCCCCGAAGACGTTATTATCAGTCAGATGCTTGAGGTGATATAAGAGACACGTTGAATCTGGTCCTCCAGAAAAGGCAACAGCTTGTATTCGATGTGAGCAATCTTCCATTCGTTATTGCAACTTACATGAACACTGACCTATATTTTCACCTTGCGATTGAGTAGGCATACATTGCTGAAGGTGCCTTTTGAATTCGTCATGGGAAATAGGCTTTGCCACCTCGCAGACGCATTGCGAAGCATGAAATCTACGTGTTATCTCGAGTGAACAATACAAAGTAGCCGAGCTTTTGTATCTCCCGGAGCATCGCAGGAGTTGTAGCATGTTATTCCATTCTTTTACAACGAGATGTTCTGCGCCAGCGGGAGAGTTTCAGACAACAGATTAAGTCGAGAAAGATGAAAATTGCAGCTAAGGTTGAAACGCGCGACGCGACAATAAACAATACACGTGTTGTGATCGACGTTGATCACGTGCGCATAATCAATTAGGAGCATGCCTCATGCCTAGGTTAGGACGCTATTTCCTGACGGGCCTGACCACCATCACCCGCAGTAGTCGACTGTTGAGTCCTCTGCGGTTCAATTTTCTAACGCAATTAAATGGCAGCTCCAGAAGAGTACTCGATTGCTCAAGCTCCAATCTCAGCTCATGCTTTCAATGGGGATCGTCGTGGTGAGTCCAGTCGTTGCGCAGCATTCGGGAATGAGGGCGACGCAGACTGATGCGCGTTTGCAGAACTCTGCCTCAGCTTGAACTCTAACGAGGCACAAATTTTGCAGAAGCAGGGTCATGAATGGAAGACCGTCGAGACTCTTTCTGAGGTTTGTTACTTTCGAGATGCGAAGATCTGGATGGATAATGTTCATGATCATCCTCTTTAAAACAGCATGATAAAGTGGTCACATCGATTGACTGGGCTCCCAACTCTAACCGTATCGTAACTGCATCGCAAGACAGAAATGCATATGTGTGGACCCAAATCCCCGATCCTCAGACGGGACATCTGATTTGGAAGCCGACGCTTGTGCTCCTGCGTATCAACCGTGCTGCAACTTACGTTCGGTGGAGCCCCTATGAAGATAAGTTCGCCGTCGCAAGCGGTGCTCGGTAAGATACTCGACATTCCACCTGTCCTTCTTAAGGTCTCATGGTTCTGGTACATAGAGCTATTGCTGTCTGTTCTTTCGATCCAGAAAGTGACTGGTGGGTCTCTAAGCAACTGAAGAAGCCAATTAGATCGACCGTGCTATCCGTCGATTGGCACCCGAACAATGTTCTGCTTGCAGCCGGGAGTGCGGACGCTAAAGCACGTGTCTTTTCGGCATATATCAAGGACGTGGACAAGAGGCCTCAACCATCTGTTTGGGGCGAGAAACTGCCGTTCAACACACTATGTGGTGAATACGGCAGCCCGAATGGAGGCTGGGTACACAGCGTTGGATTCTCGCCGTCTGGAGACATACTGGCTTTCGCAAGTATGTCTTTTGAGAATTCTAAAAAATTCAATCTCCTTTCTGATGCAAATCAATTTAGGCCACGATTCCTCTATCACCATCGTCTATCCCGGAGGACCAGCAGCTTTCACCATTAAGCAGTCAACTCTCCCTTACGTTTCTCTTTGCTGGACTTCCGAAGACGCACTTGTTGCTGCTGGCCACGACTGTCAGCCAGTCCTTTTCCAAGGTAACGAAGGAGGTTGGCGGGCCGTTGGCAGTCTCGACGACACTACTGCACCTAAGTCATCAGGCGTAGGCCGTGCGTCACCTGTTGGGCGTCTCAACAGCGCGGCATTTAATACTTTCCGTAATGCGGACATGCGAGGACAGTCAGCGTCTCCAGGCCTCCCAGGCGGTGGTGGGAGCGGAGACACTGAATTGCAGACAGTCCACCAAAATACGATTTTGAGTGTCCGTCCGTATGATGGTGCGCCTGGTCAAGTGACGCGTGTCAGCACGAGCGGTGTGGATGGAAAGCTGGTTATATGGCATGTTGCAGCTGCTGGAGGTCTTGCAGGCAGAATGGAGGCGCTGCGCATGTGAGAACTGTGCATTCATGTATAAAATACAGTAGTGCATTTAGTTCATTACTACATGTGGTGGTACAATTCCGAACAAAGATTCAAATACAAAATAGAATGATCATTGCTGGATCGTGGTATCGGCGTTGGTCTCAAAGGAAAGCGAGGGTTCTGACACGGGCTGTTCGTTGATGACACCCCATACTGATGCTTTAAACTACAAATACAAGACATTAAAAAAGCAGACCCGATATCGGTAACATTGTCTATTCTCACCAAAGTCAGCACTAAACCCATCTTAGTCTCCAACACCCGTAGCTGGTTAAGCAATCGCTGGTCCGGTTCCTCACTCAATTGCCGTGTCTTCGACACAAGCTACAGAAAAGCATTGCAACAACAACATCATCAATGTCATTGTTATTGTCATTGTTATTGTTAACAAGATGAACTCAAAATAGAGCAACTTACGATCTTTACGTGTTGCGAAAGCTTGGCATATTCCCAACATACTTCTGCTTCAAGTTGTGAGAGAGATGGGTGTCCTTCGTAGGGATTGGCCTCGAATATATCATTGGCTGGTTCGGTGCTGGCCATCGCGACTTTATGGCTCAGAAATAAGATGGCTAACGCGTGCGCTCATAGTTGGTCACGTTCTAATAAACCACGTGACAAATTTCAGTTTATTTTTGGAGGCATAATTACTCACTCATTTCTCACCTCTTTTCAACTGAGTTTTGCTGGTGCCAGTGCTGAGAACCGCGAACACGGTTACAGTTACTACAGTTATAACATCCATAACATCCGCAGGATTCAATACTTACAGGACTGGACTTGAGATTGAGACTCCGAACCCAGCGAAGTCCGAAGATTCCGAAAATCGGTTTCCCGCATACATCCAGGTTATCGCGTCAAGGCTCAACCATGTCTGAAAGCACGTTCAACGCATTCCCGGGCCTCCAAACCGCGTATACGGAATGTCCAACCGGGGCGCAAGTGTTCTCATTCTACAAGGGACCCCCTGAGGGTGTAAATTCCAATAAGCTGCCTGTGCTTGTCCTACTTCATGGATACCCGCAAAATAGTCTTATGTATAAACACTTTGTCGATGAAATTCCGGATATATGGAGTGTGCTTGTTCCGGACCTTCCTGGGTATGTCTGTTCTTCTTCTCTTCATCTTATCATTTGAAGTTCATATACAATATTAAACACTGCTGTTCTTCGCGACGCAGATACAGGAACAGTACAAAACCAATCTCACCCGATTCTCGCGCACATTCCAAACGCGAATGGGCGAAAGATATCATACACGTTGTCGATGCACTGTTCGGCGTGAACACACCTATCATAGCCATAGGTCATGATCGCGGTGCACGTCTTGCGTATCGTCTAGCACTCGATTACGGTGTCGAGCGTGTAAAGGGTGCCGTACTCATGGATATCGTGCCGACGATAAACGTCTGGGACGCAATGCGTTTGGAAAATAATCAACATTTCGAGACGAAGAGGTCTCATCATTGGGTACGCGTTACTTCATCGTTTACTATATGCGCAATCTCTCTTTCTTTCGGGAGATTCTAATAGTACTACTGACTTGACATGATTATATATGCACATAGATATTCCTCTCCGCACCACGTCCCCTCCCAGAAACGATGATCGCATCCAACAGACAATTCTACTTCGAATACGCCATCACAGGCTGGGCCGGCTCAGGAATGAACAAAGACCCGAAGAGCGAATGGATCCGTGATTCTATTGAGCCGTATCTTGACCCCGAACAACAAGGATATGATAGAATTGCGGCCGCTTGTGAAGACGTACGTTGTCAATTCCTTCTCTTCCTCGGACTCATCGTATATTAACACTAATTCTAACACTGACTCTTACCCGGGATACTGATATGGTATGTGTGTGCATTATTCGAATAGTACCGTGCAGGCGCAACGCACGACATATCAGATGACAAGACCAGCTCTCTCGACCCGCTCACCCGATCCTCAACAAACACTCCACCAGTCTTCCAATGTCCACTTCTCACCCTTTATTCGTACTACCTCGGACGTCGCTTCGATGTAGGCGGAATCTGGAGTGCTCTCGGTCAACCAGGTAAAGTAACAGCCCACCAAATCGGCGACGACACAACTGGCCATTTCATCGTGCAGGAACGTCAAGAAGAGACTGGTACTCGTCTTCGCGAATGGCTCGACACGCTCAGTTTCTGAACTTTCGCGTTCTTGTGGGGTGAAATGGAATAAATTAGTCTATTGATTATGTTGTTGGATGTCAAAAGAAAGCGAAGAGAAGAACTATTGGCGATTGTACACTACGAAAGAATTTACATGTAGCATTTAAAGAAATGGAAGATAGAGGAACCAGGATAAACATGCGCTGTGCATTTCTACCAAGAAGCGTAACGTCATCCATGAAAGAAAAAAGTGAGTACCAAACCAATGTCCAATAATAATGTGTCTATGTGAGGGGTATTGCAAGATAGATTAATAAAAAAGATTCCGTTCGGACATGGTGACGTGTCTGTGATTAGATGATGCAGTAGCCACCGTCGACGCGGACCTCGGTGCCTGTGACGAATTTGGAGGCATCGCTCGCGAGGAAGATAACAGCGCCCTTCAAGTCTTCAGGGTCTCCCATCTGGAGTAAGAAAAATGAAAATCAGCATGTGCACGTCATAAGTCCAGGCATGAAACACGTACTCTGCCCATGGGTGTCAGCGCTTCCCAGGTGCGCTGCGGAGAAGCATTAGTATCATACTCTAAATCAGGTATATCGGGGATCATGATTTCGTACCTTCAAATCCTGATCATGTTCGAGGATAGTTCTTGTCAGCTTTGTGAGCATATATCCGGGGCTAATTGCAAAAGAATCAGTATAGGAGAGCATGGTGCCGAGCAAATGACAAGTCACCTGAGGGTGTTAACGCGGACGTTCTTCTTCGCCCATTCGACGGCCAAGCTGGAAGCCATATGTCTTACCGCTATGTCGTGTGTGAGCACAAGAAACATGAGGAGTCGTAAGACGGGTCGATGACGTACCAGCTTTCGATGCATTATACGGCGTTTGAGGTTGAGGAACATTAACAACCTACGCGGCATTAGATCTTGTCAGTCTCACGCGCTCCGAAAACATCAGATGAACAAAACGTGCAAGCTCACCTGAGCACTCATACTGGCAACCAATACAATGGAACCTCCTCCATCTGGGATCATGCGACGTGCTGCTTCGCGTGCAGTAAAAAAGGCGCCATGTACATTGATATCATATAACCGCTTGATACGATCAAAGGGGTAACTAAAATAGAGATACACATGAGCCATTTCAAGGCAACATGAAATCGAAATGACGACATACTCGAAGGCGGAGTAATTCTCGACGATACCTTTGAAAATACGCATGTCAGACTCCGTCGAGCCAAGGGAGGTAAGAAAAACAATCTGATACGCACCAGCTGATGCCACTACCGAATCGATGCGCCCAAACTCATCGGTTGCGACCTTGAACGCCTTTTGCACTGATACTTCTGATGATACGTCGCACCCAACGCCAATAATGTTGAGCGAGCCTTTCTCTGCTATACCATTCCCCTCTGGGAAGATAAGAATGAGAAGACGCGTAAAAGAACCGCCCGCTGAGAAAAGAACGGACCGAATTCGGCTTTGAGCTCTTCCGCGGCGCGTTGTGCCTCTTCTTCTTTCAGGTCGACGATTGCGAGGGAGTTGCACCCGCTATAAAATGGAAAGAGACGCGTCAGAACGTATGAAAAATTAGGGAATAGGGGAGGCGAAGTGGACTGCACGTACGATTCTACGAAGGCACGGCAAAACTCGTTGCCCAGTCCTCTTGCAGCACCAGTGACAAGAGCAACCTGTAGCAGACAACGATCAGCCCGATTGCAAGCGGTTCATCGAGTGAAAAAAAAAGAGTAACCTTGTTTTCCATTGAAAATGTTGGGAGAGTCTGCGGGCGGATCTTTGCTGCAGTGCTAGCTAACCTGGCGCGGCCCACATCGACGCGAATGAGAGCCCTTGAGGATGATAGGGTAGCGAGTCTGCGCGCACTGGGGGCGACAATTACGGAGGAGAGGTTGCGAGCGGAAAACATGGTGGGAGGGGAGACGACAGCGGAGGATACATCGGCGGTGATTTATATTTGCAGGTGTGTAGACGAGACTACTCGAGTGAGTAGTGCGGGGGTTGGTTACTTGGGTTGCTGGAAATTTAATTGCTTAATTTAATTACTCGTTCAGGAAACTCTTCGCGAAGATTTCCGCTGCATAAGGCATCTCGCTCCCACACTTTCCCCACATTCTCGTTCCGGTCCTCCTACAGCCGAGTTCCCACCGCACGCTAGGACGGATCTTGCACGGACCCAGGCCATCACAGAGCAATTCAGAACGTGGTCTTTCCCTTTGTTCCAATAGTCCAGACTTTGCAACCGTTCACTTATCGCAGCTTCTCCAATCTCACCCTGCTTCCCTTCTTGATGGTCGCTGGTTCGAGAATGCAAAATAGACGCGGTTGATGATTAGCCCACCCTGGACGGCGCTGGCTAGAAAGTCTCCGTTGCGTGTTCGAAAAATGTTAATTGTACTCCGAGGTTTGGGCCGCTTTGACAGGGCCTAAATTTGCGGTGGACACGGACTTCGGCACTCCGAACTACCATGACTAACTGACTAACAATGATTCCGCGTGTGACCGAGGCTCCAAACAAATTTGCTTCGTCTAAGCTCAATAATCTGGCATTCATAACCATCGAGTTCTCTTATGCATGTTAATTATAGAGATTAAAGAGAGCCCCAGACAGACAAGCAGAGAAAAGAAAGCATAGGTAGGCAATATACAACGGAGAGACGCTATAAAAAGCGGGTATCAATCAGTACTTGAACACGCTATGGTAAAGGAAATTCCAGGATGCAAGGAGCGGGATGGGAGAGGCAGGAAATTCCGGGAAAGTTAAGGACAGTGTGGAAAGACGGCTATTCACAGATAAAACAAACAATCCGCGAAGCCTTATAATAGAATACGAAGAAGATATGAAACGGAGGTGCATGATGGATATGAACGAGTGTGAACGTATGTTTACGCTCTGTCGAAGCCCCGCTGACCCAGAGGTAAAAAGTATAATAAAAAGGAAAGACGGACACGTGGACAAATAGACCAGAACATAGAATAAAAAGGAAATAACGGAATGAAACCAGATAGAAAACGAAGATGGACAGCAGGCAGGGATGCGCTCGGAGCAGAGGAATAGGATTATAAGCATACAAACTTCGACTTGCGCTTCTGAAGTTCCTCTACGCGCATGTCAAGTTGTTGTCGGACCCGTTCTTTCGCTCTCCTCTCCTCATCAAGGCGGCTCTCTAGTGACTGCTTCTCTTCTATCACAGATCGTCGGACAGCGGCAAGCTCGCGCCGTGCTTCATCAAGCTCACGGCGCATGGCATCTAATCGGGTATTGAGTGTATCTCGTTCCCTCGCAAGCTCGGTGGCCTGCATTCGAGCTTTGCGTACTGAAGCAGGAAGTGTTGTCAGACACTAAATTGAACAGCAATGTAGAAAAACTTACAGTTCTTCTCCGAATCACCAAGAGAGGTCTCTAACGTTGACACGAGGTCCATATGAGCTTGCAAATCACTCTCACAATGCGACAGCTGCTTGTTCAGGGTCTTAATCATGACCTCCTGCTCCTCGATGTGCTTCGCTTGCTCCTCAAGCTGAGTCGAGATCTTCGGATCTGTCGCAGTTGCGGCAACTGAGGTGCCACTCGTCGAGGTTGCAGGGGATTCCGGATTGGATTCGCGGGAGGAAGCCGAACTACGTAGTGTATTTGATTGCGAGGATACACTGTTCGCAACATCCATAGGTACACTTGACGGCAAAGGAGGGACGGATTTCGGTGCAGGCGGCGGCGGGACGGAGGGTGGAGGAGTGAGTGGCGGAAGTTTCGACATACCAGCGCGACGGTCGGGGCCAGGTCGAGAAGGTAAACCGGCAGGAACATCGTGCTTGCTATGCTCCTTCGTCTTTTGCAGCTCGGCTCGAGTCTCATTCAACAGGGTGCGCTGTCGTTCGAGTTCTTCAGCCACTCGTTCGCGTTGAGCTACAGTCTGCGACAACTTCTTGTTCTCCGTCTCTGACAACGCAAGCGCCTTTCGAAGATCCTCGAGCTCGGATTCATATCGCAAGCGCTCGATCTGCATTGCCTCCGAGCCTTCACGCAGAGACGCAATAACCTTGTCCTTTTCTGCAAGTGCATCTGCATGCATTCGCCTCGTCTCTTCCTGTGCAATAACGTAATCATCTGCAGCAGCCTTATATGAAGCCACTTCTTCCAGCAGCAGTTCATGGTCCTTGCGCAGTGTCTCGCGTTCCTGCGAGAAGTTTGCTTCGGCATCGGCCAAAGTTTTCGACAAGCGATCCCGCTCTTGCGCGAGAAGCGCCTCACTCTGCGAACGTGCGTTTTCCAAGTCCTGGCGGTGCTGGTCCAGGGCGGCCACATTGGCATTCTCAAACTCAGAGACAATCTGTTGGTGCTCGGCTTTCATTTTCAGAATCTCCTCTGTCTTCTCTTTGAGTAAAGCGTCAATGGCTGCTTGGTGGGTTGCTTCTGACTCTTTCAAAGCAAGCTCGATCTGGCTGCGGGAGGATTCCAGGTTCCGTGAGGCTTCTAATTCATCTCGAAGTTTGCTAAAGGCTTCTTCGTGCGACCTCTCCAGTTCTGAAAGTACTTCAGCATGCTGCTCCTGGAGCTTTCTACGTGACTCTTCATGAGCAGCATCAGCTTGTTGCGACGATGTCTGAAATTCCTCCTTGAGTTTGGACAAACTTTCCTCATGAGACCGCTGAACGTCCGTAAGCAAATTCGAATGCTGCTGCTGAAGTTCCCGTAAAGCTGCCTCTTTCTCCGCAGAAAGGGTTTGCTTCGCTTCATCGTGTTGCTCGAGTGTTGTTGCTAATGTCTTCTGCAGCGCTTCAATCTCTAGGTTCTTTGATTCTTCAAGCTCCGCGAGTCGAGCTGCTTGCTTTGACTTCAGTCGTTCGACGGACGCCGAGTGATCAAGCTGTTTCTTCTCGAGAATAGTGGCATGCTCCTCCTTCAGCTTCCGCAAGTCCTCCGCAAAGGCAACCTCCTTCTTGTCGATTGCAGAATCGTGTTCATCCTGCAGCTGCTTCAGCAGTTCCACCTGCTGCGACTGGGATTCAGTGAGAGACCCTTCTCTTGCGAGTTCTGCCATCTTAACCGCTCCAGCATGCTCTTCCTTGAGACGGTCAATAGCAGCTTGCATCTCTGCGTCCTTCCTCGAGAGAGCGTCGGCATGATCCACACGAAGCTTGCTCAAGGCCTGATAATACTCTTCCTCAGTACGGTGGAGCGTATCTTCCTTCTCCTTCACCAACGCCTCGTGCTCCGAAACGAGTTTCGTAATTTCCGCCTTGTGCTCTTCCTGTGCCTGTGCGAGCGTCCTATCGACGTCTTCTTTTAGCTTCCGGAGCTCCTCCTCGTGTTCTGACTTCAATTTTCCGAATGCCTCATGTTCGTGATGAGACTTTGTCAAAGCATCGGAAGCGTCGGCGAGCTGTTTCTGAAGATCAATCAATTTGTCATCTTGCTCCGCATTCAAACTTTCTTTGACACGTTCAAGCAAGGCGTCTACTTCAGCCTGCTTGTCGCACAACGCCTGCTCATGGTGCGCCTTTAACTGCTTAAGACTCTCCTCGTGCTGTTCTTCAAGGAGCGTACGTTCCTCAAGAAGACTAGCCTCGCGCTTCCGGAGTGCGTCAAGATCGGCCATGACATCCTGGTGTTCAGTCCGAAGCGAATCTAGCTCTGTTGACATGTTCATGGTCTTCTGGTCGTCAGCAATACGTCTATGCATGTATAAATGAGAAACATACCTGGTCACGCGAAAGTTTCGTAAGGTCGTCATATTGCCTACGAATCTGAGCGAGTTGATCATTAAGTTCCTCAACTTCCTCATGGTGTTGAGCTTCCTTCTGAGCCATCGACCTTCAAAAACATCAATTGTTGGCAAGGACAACTCAGGGAAGATTTTACTTACAACATGAGTTCATTTAGCCTATCGAGAGGCTCATTGTCTGCCGCAAGACCAGGTGGCGGGTTCCTAATTTCCATGCTCTTCCGAATCGCATTGATTTGATTCATTATCTGCGGCGATAGATCCGAACCACGCGATTCACGATGACCGTTGCTTAAGAATTCGCTACGGCGGCTTGACTGCTTCTCCTTATCTTTTAGAGTAGATTCAAGGCTTGTGATTTCGGCTTCGCGCTCCTTTAGGACTTCCTGGAGACGCATTATTTCCTTCTCAAGACTCGGTACAGATCGTTCGTGACCTGGTCCGATAGGCAAGGAGATTGACAGGTTGGGCCGCAAACCACCAGGAGAGTGCCGGTTAGCATGTCCAAGTGGAGGGGTGACGCCGCTGATACCAACTCCGTTGATTTCAGGTGATGAAAGCATGCGCGAACGCGCCGAGTAAAGCTCCTGCGAAAGCGATTGCGATTGCGACAGCGACCTCGAGCGCAGCGACTCCGTCGAGGCCGCCTGCCGGAAAAAAAGTTGACGACCAGTTGTGTTGAGATGACCTTCACTCGGTTCTCGAGAACGTATCCCTGGCCGGCGTCGTGTTGTACTGATAGGCGTCTCGGGCTGTCGGTCCAGCTCGTCTGAGCCCGATGGGCTACCAAGCTTAATTTCATTGATCTGTGCCGCTAAATCCGATATCTCTTTCAATGCATCACGATACTTGGATGTTACCGAAGACAGGTCGGCAAGAGTGGCTGCGTGAGTCTCACGCAGATTCTTCAGCTGATGCTGAAGAGATTCGTCATCATCGCCGGAAGGTTCATCGTCAATGCTTGTTGATTCAGGATGCACGATTTTTATAGCTTTCGCAGCTTGAGCCATGTCCAGTTCGAGACTGCGGCGAGCGTGCTGCACCTCAGAATTGATTTGGCCGAGACGCGCCCTCTGGTTGTTGGTTTCCAGGCGCTTCGACTGCCATTCCTCCATCTTTGCCTCGAGTTCCCGCACACGCTTCTCACGATCTTCAAGGTCGCTTCGCCATGACTCACCGTCGTTAAGGATACCGTCAAGACGGGCCTGCAGAATTTCGACCTCCCTTCGCTTAGAGTCGCTCTCACTTTCGAGCTTTTCCACCTGAGAGCGAAGGGTCAAGATGGACTCGTCACAGCGTGCCAAACGACCCTCAAGTTCTGCGATATAATGAGCAGATTGTCCCTCGCTCTCCTTGAACCTGGCTATCTCGCGCTTGAGGTCAGTCACAGATTCACTGGATGACACTGTTGTATCCTCCTGCAGCTTGATCTTTTCCTCAAGATCACGGATGTACGCTTCGGTGGACGCCTCGCGTTCGGCAAGTTTGCTCACCCGACTTTTCAGCTCTTCGACGTACATCTCCGTCGCAGAGTGCCGCTCCGTGAGCTGCGCAAGTTCTTCCTCTTTCTCTTCCACTAAGTCGTTAGTATGCCTTAGGGCAGCACGGTTCAAGCTCAGTTCAGCTTCCATCGCGTTGATCGTCTTCTCGTATTCCTCGATGACCGGTCCGACGATCTCTTCATACTTTGCTGTGCCTGAGATGGTTCCAGAAGTAGAATTACGATGCCGCTCGCCGAGTTCGCGACGAAGCCGTGTGAGTTCTTCCGTCCGTTCAACGAACTTCGCCCGCAGATCCTCGTAATTAGACTGCAGCTCAACCATTTGGGTCAGCACCTTCTTGCTTGCACCCTCCGTTTCACCAGCGTCTCCACGTACGGAAACCGCGCTACCTTCCTTGAGACCCTTCATTTCCTTGCGAAGACGTGTGACCATATTCTGAAGCCATTCGAGATCGTCCCAACCCTCCTCCTTCTCAGTCACGACTGCTCTATTCTTAATATTACGTGCACGATTTGCATACTTGAGAGTGTTGATTGTTTCTCCTGCGTTCCACTCTGCAGGGCTAACACATGCAATCATGAGCGTGTGAGCATTCCCTCCCAAAGAGTCTTGGAGAAGTCGAGTGAGCTTCGAGTCACGATATGGGACGTGAGATGCGGTATGGGACTTGGCACGAGACGGATCCCCAAGAGCAGAGATGACGTTGCCTAAAGCAAGCAGTCCGCTGTTAATGGAGATACCTTCCTTCACACGCTCACCGGCGGCAGCGGTGCGTTTAAGCTATGAGACAGTTTATCAGCACACAATCAAGGGATAGGGAAATTAGCAGCACATACTCGCTCAGAACCAGCGAGGTCGACGAAATGGAACTTGGAAACAATAGTAATCCATTCGCCAGAGTCATCATCTACATTTTTTGCTCTTCCATCAGCAGAGTGCGAACCCATGGCACTCGACGGACGAAGAGTCCCACCACCTCGACCCATAGCAGAAGCAAAACTCGGAGTTGGCGGTCGTCCAAATGTTGGCGAAGAAACGCGCGTAGAGCCGGCGGTGTTGCTGTTGAACTGATGTGATGCAGGCCGAGCGAGGCGTGAAGGCGAACGAACGGTGCCAGAGGGCGTAGCAGAACGCGGAGGCAGACCAGACCCGGTATACTTGCGCTGGGTGAGGGTCAAAGAGAAGATTGCATGTGAGCGTGAGGACTGTGCATTCATATCCGTCTCGTTCGTCCTACGAATAGCAGTTCCCTGCCGAATGAGATTCATGACCTCGTTCGAATTCCGAACGGAAACTTCTCGTAACCCATCCCAAATGATATGTCCGTGCTTGTCTTCTCTGATTTGTACATCGCGCCGACCGCCATTCATGTCATCGTAGCTAAGGAGGTCAATCAATTCCTCGTTATAGAGCTCGATGAAGGAACCTTTGATGCTGTATGACCAAGCACCGGAGCGTTCTTCCTTTAACGCCGCTGCTCGCGAGAATATCTCGGAAATCGAGCGAGGAATAATGCCCATTCCGTTGGAAGGGTCAGCGGGATCGGCATCAAGATCAATACCAGTCATAGAGTACCTGTGGCAGATAATCGTTAGCATTGCGAAAAAAAATCCCGCATGCAAAAAGTCCGCGTACGTCTTCCCACTGGACGTTTGGCCATATGCAAGGATTGTACAGTTGTAACCCTCGAGGAATCGAGACAGAAGAGGAGCAGCTGTATCCCTAAAGAGGTCGAACTGCGAGGTTTCGGGACCGTGAACCTGATCGAACGCGAATGTTTGCTTCTTGCTTGGCGTGCTCGGGGCAGCAACTGGCCCAGCGCCGACGCCATTGACATTCTGTACACTTATTGGATCTACAGAAACGACTTGATTTGAATTTGCATGAATGACAGTGCGCTGAAAGCGCGTCGGAATGGTGGTTGTGTCCTGTTTAGTGGTCGGCCGTATTCGCAGGGCTGTGGCGAGGGCGTACACTGCTATGAGAAATTGTTCGACTGTAAGAAAAAGGGTGCTACTGACCGACTTGGACCGACGTTGTCGCCGCCGCACTGGAGGACGGGGCCATGGAAGGAGTGGAGGGAGCGTTGGACGCGGTGAACGCGGTGCACGGCGGATGCTGTCGAGAAAGTCGTTAGGGCTCCAGACAGTAAAGCTCTTGCTGTGTATGGGAATGCTTTGTCAGCATAGTCACACCTTGCTCCTTTCATCGCTTCTTTCTGATTTCTTCTTCCCCTTTTTACTTCGTCCCGCTGTGCCCTGCAAATTGGTCATCCTCCGCCTCGGAATTTCACTCCCTAAATCCCTTCGCTGTTTGAGTGTCCGGATGTTCATGTTCTTGAAGTTTTCTTCATTGCTTCGAATGATAACAGTTATAAATTCATCACAGTCGCGTCGCGTCACTCCATTTGGCACGCGATAAAGTTACTGGAGCTTTATCACGTTGCGGGATGCTCCTATACAAAGTATTTCTCCTTCTTGCTTTCGAATATCTTTGATCACGATTTGTACTAGTCTGTTTGATAATTACTACTCTGAACTCTGTCTACACCAGTCACGTCACTGACCCCTGGTCGTTGTTCAAGATCGGATCTGATTTGAACACTGAGCGTCTTCTACTTTCTCCTCTCGTCGCTGTACAACATGCCTCCAGTCTCTGACCAACCTCACACGAATACGACCTCTCCAGCTGACTGGAAATATGTATCGGAAGGCGGCGCAACTATAGTCTTCTCCTACCGCGGGCCGCTCCATCCTGTCTTTTCTGGCACCGTTCTCAGGCTGCGCAAGACGAGTCGAAATCTCAATGCCGATGGAGAATCACACCGCGAAACCGAATCGGGCCAATTAGAAGGGGAAGGCGAGGAGCCCGATGACCATTCCATTTTGTTCCAGCGCAGTGTGACGTCCCAGTTGATCGAACCAAATGATCTTCCCCGCTTGGAGAGTGTGCGAGTCGAGCGTTCTTGGCTCGAAGCGCTGAAGGCTGCTACGGAGAAATCTCGTCCTCCTGGACGACAATCAAAAGATGAACTTGATGTGCGTCGTTGTAAAGCCGTACTCGCTACCGATCTCGTACGTGGAGATGGCTGGGCAGTGGAAATTAAGGTATGCGAGCACTTTTAATCATTGACCGCTTCCTTTGATCTTTCATATTCTTAATGACTCCCCTGACCATATATCTATATCAAGCCGAAGTGGGGCTTCCTTCCGAACCTCAAGTATCTTTCGCCGGAAACCCGTGTTGTCAAGTCAACGCACTGTCGTTTCTGCTTGCATTCCCGGTACAAAGCCAAGAAGGGCGAGAGCGCTTCCCACGGCTATTGTCCCCTTGATCTGTATTCCAATAATAGCGAACGAGTGTCGCACGCCCTACGATGTCTATGGAAAGCTTGGACAAGAAGCAATGGGACTGTAAATAACCTCAAAGTATTCGCGCGTGGAGAACTAGTTCATCCGGCTGAATGTGTAAGTTGCCTCCAACTTCTTTCGACAAACTCTCTTTTTTTCTGATGCCGAAAAAAAAGTCCGAGAAACTTCAGCCTGTTTTATCAGGGCCGTCGAATACAGTCGGCGAAGCTGCCCTCATGGAGAGGTTCGTTGGTGCCATGCTACCGCTCCTTACAGGCACCCCCGTCCTGCAACGCATCGCGCAATTACAGCGGGCGTTGGATGCACTTGATATTGAAGGGCTCTTTGCCTTGTATGTAGCCTACGCCAAGCTTCGCTTTCCCAAATCTCCCGAATCTGCGAAGCCGCTTGAAGATCTATTTCCGGATCCTACACTGGACGATTGGGAGAGGTTTGTTGCGACGTTCCAGACTCAACAGCCCCCAACAGATCTTGATCCTGCGTTGTTGCACTATCATGCAATGGGATATTTATTATCTGCGACGTTCAAGGATTGCTCCATCATGCTTCATCTCGGACAAGGTCCGGACGTACCAGATAACATCACTGTCATTGATCTTGACCCGAAGAGCATGAAACGTTTGAAACGATGGGCCGAACTTGACCATGACATAGCTGTGTCTTTCGTGGAAAGTGGATTGCAGCCTTGCCATGACGAACACATTACTGTTCGGGCCGGTTCCTGACGGACGTCTATTTCTACATTATCGGGTGACTTCACATGTCCGCAAGTTTCCTCCTTGTAAATGCCGGAGAGATAGTTCACGTTGATTGGCAGAATCACGTCAAATAAAAACTCATCAACGCTGCATCTGAAATTTTAGTGATGGCGTTGTTTTGTATCTGTATATTCACTGAGTATGATCCAATGTATGAAACCGAGGCGATCATCTTGTGATTTTCTAATATTTGGTTTTGCACCTAGAAAACTACTGTATATTAATATTTCACATTCTCATCAAGTATGGAATCAGTGGGAAGTTCAAGTCTGTCCTTATAAGGATAAATCACGGCACGTGCGCCTAATACAATCACTAGACCTGCTTACGGACTCTGGAGCCGGCCGAGCGCACGGAGCAACTCTCCGTTCTCTTCTACTAGTACTACAATGACCTCTGTATTTTGTAACGCTTTGAAAAGGACTTGCCTGTCACGTCGTTTGGCTCTGCAACCATCTCGCAGATATGCTTCGCAATACAATCGCCATGTTGCTGGTCTCTCCGGTGAACAAGCTGAAGTACGGTCTACACGATTCAAAGTGTTCACCTACACGGAACTAACTTGTGATGTCGTCTTGCATAGTTCCGGGATGCAGTGACGCGATTTGTAGAGACCGAAGTTGTACATCGCGCCGACGAGATTGACAAGACAAATACTTTCCCGATTGTAAGATGCCACTCGCTCGTTACTCTTGCTGCTTATTTCGTTTGGCTGACGTGATATCACCGTTCATCAGGATTTATGGCCTAAACTTGGATCTATGGGCCTGCTTGGAGTTACCGTTTCTCCTGAATACGGTGGTCTTGGTTTGGGATACTTTCACCATACCCTTGCTATGGAGGTCAGCACATTGACTCGCCTCTTTGTACTAAATAACTTACGTGTTCATCTTGGTAAAATCGTTTATTTGGATGTATCTTTAGGAAATCTCACGAGCATCAGGATCCGTTGGCTTGTCATACGCAGCGCATTCCAACCTATGTGGTTAGTGTTTGCCATTACCTCTCCTGCCATTGTGACGTCATACTGAGTTTGTTCGAAGTCAATCAGATTCACAGGCACGGTACCGAAAAACAGAAGAAGAAATACTTACCCGACATTGTAAGTGGAGAGAAGCTCGGTGCTCTTGCTATGAGTGAGCCAGGCTCGGGAAGCGACGTTGTCAGCATGAAGACACGCGCCACAAAGGTTGACGGAGGATATATTCTCAACGGAAACAAATTTTGGATCACAAACGGACCAAGAGCCTCAACTCTGGTCGTTTATGCCAAGACTGATCCAGAGAAAGCCTCGAAAGGAATTACAACTTTCATCATAGAAAAGGGCTTTAAAGGCTTTTCAACACACCAGAAACTGGACAAGTTTGGAATGCGAGGTAGCGATACATGCGAGCTAGTATTCGAAGATTGCTTCGTACCAGAAGGCAGGGTTGATTTCAGCAACCCATATTTTGAGTAACCTCTGATTCCCCTTCTACTGCAGAAAATGTGCTGGGAATTGTCAACAGAGGCGCGGCGGTATTAATGTCCGGTCTCGACCTTGAGCGACTTGTGCTCAGCGGTGGACCACTTGGACTTATGCAAGCCGCATTTGACTACGCCGGTAGGTCCACCAACGCTTAACTTAAATGCGCTTTCTGAGTTACTTCAGTGGAATATGTCCATACACGACAGCAATTTGGCCAGCCAGTTGGCACGTTCCAGCTTATGCAAGGTATATTTGCTCGACAGTTCAAGAAGGGAAGGTTTACTGACGGTATAATTGCTGTTGTCAGGTAAAATAGCGGACATGTACACGAAACTTGAAGCAAGTCGTGCATATGTGTATGCAGTAGCCAGAGCATGCGATGAGGGACATATCTCGAGACGAGTGAGCATCTGCAAATCACGCCTCACAACATTCAGAAACTGAAGGTTCCTGTTTCAGGACTGCGCGGGAGCTATCCTTTACTCTACGGAGAAGGCGATCGAGGTTGCTCTCGAGGGAATGCAATGTCTTGGTGGCAACGGATACATCAACGGTCAGTGCGGAAATATAACGTCAGTGTTTGATATTCTCCTTGCTCACGGCGAACATCGGGACAACTAGAGTTCCCAATGGGTCGTTTTCTGCGAGACGCCCGATTATACGCTGTTGGCGCGGGTACGCAAGAAATTAGGCGTATGCTCATTGGTCGAGAGTTCAATGAGATTTTCCGCTCGTGAGCGTGCGTGACCTGTCCGATATCGGTATGACGAAAGACAAGTATAGGATTACAACAGTTGAGAAGTATGTCAAACGAATCATCCACTGCTCCTCGACCTCGATTATTTTGCCATGCATGGATTTCTTGGTTACTGGACTTGCCTATGCTGTGATTAGAAGCGAAGTATGTTTCAGTTGTTTCATGGAAGCCCACATAAGACAATAGTGCATGTTTGTCTGTACAATAGTTCAAAATAGTATTTGTGAATCTTTACTCGCTGCTACAACGTTTAGGCTTTCTCTCGTGCTTTGTCTAGCCTTTTAGGAGGCCATCACTGCCACCTTGAGAGATCTGTCAATCGCAGAACGGACATATCGGGTTCCAAAAATGGTAGGATGGACAAACAAAGATCATCCAAACAAACTCGATCCGAGACTCGAAATGGAGTCTTAAGATCAGCGTTACTTTCCTTGGACCTGTTTTCTTTGGGCCTTGATACTGCGGACTTTTTTTGACTCAGTACCGGTACTCTAGACCAGAACGATCAGAGTACAGGGCAATTGGTGCTACAGGAGCGAATTTCGAAACAGGTTCAGGACGTGACTGCACGAGGTTTCTCAGTACACCGAATTAACCCGACTTCATTGAACAATAATGGGGGCCACTCATGCTTCTTTTCCTTCTTAGCATTCTTTGTCAAACGGGTTCAGATCCATTCTTCCGCCTTCAGATCTGGAGTGCCTACACAGGGTTTGTCATTCATTCGGCATGATTCGCTTCCTTCAGCGGCATCTGAATTCCAGACTGGCTTATTGAGACGATGGTTTAAATCTGAGCAGTTCAACCTTCTAGTAATTCACGACAGGGACAAACTCCCACATCATCATCCCCCTAACTCACAAGCACACTCAAATCTCCTATACCCTCGACTAATCACGACCAACATCAATCTCTTCTGCACCTTTGCTAACTACCCTTAGTGGTCGCTCCTGCTACACTCTTACCAGTCGCAGAACTTTGCTTGGTTGGATACCCTACAGACGATATGCTTGCTCAAAGCCCACCTCAATCCGCTTTCGTCCAGGATTCTAGCTTAGGCAAAAGATTCAAATTGGGCATGGACATGTCGCCATCCAAGTTTGTCACCCACGCGGCTCGCCCACTGTTAAACGACTTTCAGTCCCTTGACACTCAAAACTTTAGGGGGCAGGTACAGCAGTCTGGTAGTATGCTGCCAACGTCATATAGTGACCCCCGTCTCCTCCTTCAGCCATCTGCACTTTTCGGGTTTTCTGGAACTTCCATGGGGGTTCAGAATTTATTCCCTTCGGCATCAACCCCGTCCATCCCGAGTCTTGTATCTACATCTGCCATCAGCTCGCACACTCTTCCACACCCACTATCCGTTGACACGGGGTTATCCGACATTACGATCACTACGAAGGACACTTTGTCGTCTGGTTATTCATCACCAGCATCTGGCAGTCGCCCTCAAACCGCATCCGATTCTCGTCGCACGAACGGAATCATTGGCGGTTCACCAAGGAGTACACCGGTTGATACCAGCGTATTCTGCCGTACTTCAGATCAGGTGGCTCGTCAGCGTACTGCTCAAGCATGTGAGAAGTGTCGCGATCGAAAGACCAAGGTACGGGCGATCGTTGTCTTACAATTAAACTTCGACAAACTAATTATCATGGTACCTTACTCCCAGTGCTCTGGAACGCGACCAACGTGCAAGCGCTGTGCAGACCGTGGTCTGAAGTGCGTTTGGGCGCCGGACACGCGCTTGAAAGGGCCATCCAATAAACCGAACCAGACCAAGCTAGAGTCAGGAGATAATACCGGCGGACCTCTCCCCGCTTTACCCGTTCCCCTGTCTGAACCCAGCTCGTGCGAGCAATCTCCTCAATTCAGAGCTGATGATACCGTACAATCTGCACCAGCTACTCAGACAACGTTCCAGTCCACCTCGTTACCAGAGAAATTGTTTGCGTTGGGGGAACAGAAGCAGTACAATTCAGGTGGAGGACCAAGGTTATTCCGTACCACTGGCGCTGTCAGGGGCATGAACGCACATCACGTCATGGGTGAACCGATCAAGCCAATTAGCACGGACGACGATTGCTGGTTCTCTATCGGGAATGCAGCATACGAACCGCCAAGTATGGATCGTGACCAAACTATCAATCCCTTCAACAGGCGGAACTCCGTATCGGTTGGCCATCTTGCGCTCGCACGTAACTCACATGGTGAACCCAAACCATTACCACATGCTCGTTCATTGGAATCGTTCGAGACCTTCAACTTGAACAATGCATCGCCTGCCCTGTATTATACAGGACAGTTCAGTCATGCTCCATCGTACGTTGTTACGCAGCTAGCCTTTGAGAGTAAATATTAAAGTTATCAATACAGCTCTCCTTCGTCAGCCGACTTCGAGTCATCCGTGCCGTCGTCGGCTACATCCGACAGTCACCCCTCAATAATGCTACCCGCAGTTGCAAAACCACAGGCGGACGAGCACTTGCTTGCTCAGTCCCTCCCCTCATTCGATACGAGCGCACAGCTCAACGAGGAGATGATGAACATGCTCAGCTCACCTATTATTTCCGATGGATACCTCCATAACGATGGACTTGACTTCCTTGATGGGTTTTCCTCGTTGACGTATTCCATCAACGATAGCACAGGAACCATCGTAAACCAGACTACTCCTCTCGCGCAGCCCAATCCTGAGGCAGCACAAAATACGAACGAGTTGTTCTCTCAGTTTTTTAACGCAGATGCGTTCAACGAGATGCAGTCTTAGTGTATTCTCAGTAAAAAGAGAGTCATTCCAATCTCTATTTGGCTATGAAATTGTTATTCTTATTTATTTTCTCTACTACCCCCCACTGCCTCATTTTAGATCAGAATTTCTAACGGACACAGTTTCTACTTTCCCTTTTCAAAAAAATGATTGTACGGTTGTACCTTAATTACACCTCATTCCGCACCGCATATTTTTTTGTATGACCTAAATCAACGAAATTTGATACCAGTTTTTCTCGTTCTTTTTGTCTAATGAAACAGCTATTTTCACCTCTTTAAATATGATAGGTTTAGATTAGACTGTTTGTCTTCACGATAAATATTCCACCGAACCACAGTATTGCAGTGCACCGTCGGTTAAATTATTCGCCAACCAAAGAAAGGAAGCAATGCCTGTCTCAGACGTGCATGACGCGTCGAAACGCCACGCACGTGATGTGCGGAGTTATTGAGATCCAAATATTCGATCGCCGCCTGTCAAATCGAGGTTATCGAGTAGCTTAATTATTTATAATTTAGTATGGAAGAGTTGGTAGGTCTCAGATTTGTTTTTGTATTTTAGTCAATCATATGTAAGTATTAGTTTACATGTTTATGGTAATTTTAAGCTGTGTGATTGGTTTTGATATTTGACTAGGAAATGATAAATAAAGTAATATCTAATTGTACTGTTCAAGCCTACAGTACCCAGAGTAGAGAGGCATTGAATTAAGCCCAGTAAGAAGAGCATTGCGCATATTGTCCTGGAATTCACCCAGAAAAGAATTTACAGTATGTTACTTTGTTGCTATTCACTCAGTAAATGATAATATCCATTGCAGAAACAATTAGGCTACTTCAGCACTCCAGCACTGGATAACGCTCAGCACGTCCCACTTGCAGATCCACCAGCAACAGGAAGAGACACCCGACTCGGACCGAGCCTTCACAGCTTTTCTGCCGCCACGCCATATGCTTCAATCACCCCCCACCCCCTCTCTCGACTCTACTGTCTTCTACCTACGACGCCAATCCTTATTTTGAGAAGAGTTCCGAACGTCGGTGATGGTCTTAGTATCCTGTGCTTCCTGTCAGATTAATATTAGACTTTGTGGCACTGTGGGATCGCGGTACTACGTCGATGTTGAGAGATATAATTGGATCAGATAAAGGGAGGCATGGGGGAGGTCAACGTGCTTGTGCATATGTCACGGTCAGGAACCGATGACGTTTCGTACAGAACAGCATGTAATATTTCTTAGGGTAAAGGTACTTCATCTTCCAAAACACTTATTTGAATAACCTCAATAGCATCAGCATATTATCGGGTAAAAGGTACAATGAATAAAAGTATCTGTTGAAAATTCAGACTGTATCCAACCTAGACTACAACAACAAAAACCTCTTCCCCTGCCATAAGTACATATTCTGACATCTCAAATTATCAACTCGATGACAATACAGGTAGGTATATGCGCATCGACAAAAGTCCATCCTATCGTCTACAACAAGGTCTCGCCTGAACAAAAAAATGTAAGTTCAGATTCTCCTTTAAGCATATCGAAAGAAGTAGGAGTAAATGGACATACCAAGCGCGGACCGAACAAGTGAGCAACCAACAGCAACAGTAGCCTTCGCGGATTCGACGTCTGCGAGGGAAGGGTTGACTTCCATGATATCGAAGGCGACGAGGAGACCCGTTTCGTGAACGGCTTCGCAGATGTAGTGGCCTTCACGGAAGGTAAGGCCTCCACGGACCTGTGTATAAATCATAGTCGGAATAGTCAGGTTCGAGCAAGGTGATGCAAGGGACACAGAAACGTGAACAGCGAACTTACCGGCGTACCCGTCGACGGCGCAACACTCGGATCCAGCGCATCCACATCAAAGGACAAATGGATGGGACGCTTACGATCCGGGTTCACGTGGTCAAGCGCCTTCTCAACGACGGCACCAATCCCGTACTTGTCGACCTCGTGCATTGAGAAAGCTTTGATACCGTTTTCACGGAGTATACGCTTCTCGCCGGCGTCGACGTCGCGTAGGCCGATGTATACGATCCTGTCCGGCGTGAGGCGCGGTTCTATCCAGGAGTATTCTGCTACTGCGGGCTTGTTGAGCCCGAGGAGGAAGGAGACGGGCATGCCGTGGATGTTGCCTGTTTGAGATGCGTGAGCTAGAAAACAAACCCTGTTTGAAGGAACTGACGTACCTGATTCAGTTGTGTCGACCGTATTGATATCTGCGTGTGCATCAACCCAGATTACGCACGCGTCGGGATATTTGCTGTTTGGATATAGAAAGATAAGATATAAGATAACGCATGCATCGTTAGCGTGATCAACGCAGAACTTCTTTAATGCGACGTACTTCAGTGTCCCAGAAATTGTGCCCATAGCCTACAATGTGTAATTATTGTCAGCATCTTCATGCATATATCGTATAACGGGATGATGAAAGTGAGATAAACTTACCAAAGAATGATCCCCGCCAATCGTTACAGGCAGCTCCCCCCGGCCTGCATGCGTACCAACGACATCTGCAACCGCCTTCGAGACTCTCGAGACAAGCCGCGGATTCTTCAAGATCCCAATTGGAGGATCCTGCTGAGCGTTAACCTCCTCGAATTGGTGATGCCCGTCAAACTTGACCGTCCAACCGAGTGACTTGAGTTGCTCGATTAACCCGGCATTGACAAGGTGGATGGGGCCTTGGTCGACACCTAGTTTTGCCTGGAGAAATGGAAAGACAATGAGTAGATTGCAACAAAAGAAGAGAGTACCACAGCATACCTGGCCACCTCTGGGGACGGAGTAGTGTTAGCTAGTTCAGACCAAGTGGAATTTAAACGGGCTCACCTGAACGGGCATCCAACGATCTGTATTTGCGAATAAGGAGTCAGCAAAAGAGATACTGAATACAGGAATAGAGGAGACACACAGCAGCAGTCTTAGGGTTTGGCAAGAATTTATGCTCGCTGGCCATGTTGTAGTCTTACTTCAAATTGACACTGTCACGTCGCTCGTCGTCGTTCAAAGAAGAGAAAGGCAGGCCGTTCACCGGATTAAGTACGTTCCAAGACGACGGTACAGGACACGATCGATGAGATTCAGAAAAGGTTCACGAGAGCACACTGCCATTTGAGCGATTGCCGTTAAGTGACATAGCTCCGGAGCTTGCAACGCAAACATAAGCAACTGGCCTGCCACCTGTGCATTCACAATGTGATCGGCTTTTCGGATCCTACATTGGTTCGTAGCCTTCTGTTCTTGTCCGGCTGGTGGTGCCAACAGTTGATCCCTTGAAAATTGTCCGGTTCCGACGGGCGAGGGAAGCTGGTGGAAAATATGTGAGGCAAGGATGCGGCGAGCGGGTGAGAAATGAGTCAGCGGTGGGGAGATGTAGGTAAGCTTGGCCGCACTGAATGAGACGTTCACGAGCCCCGTCTCTCCGACTCTCGGATTCTCATGCGTACTTAATACCATACTCTAAGTCTAGCACTTCTCCAGCTGCCTTCTTTCCTTCGCGATCCCCTTCCGTTAATTAACTACCTATGTCTCCCTCGAGAATGGTCCCGAACGGTATCGCACAGGTAAATGGCGTCTCGGTGAAGAAAGCAGTATCGGTCAACGACCCGACATATCCGACGCTGCATGATGTGCCACCTCGGACTGAATTCGCATTCGACTCGATGCAGGATGCACTCACTGCGTTCAAGCGGGGCGAGTTCCTAGTGGTCATGGATGATGAAACTAGAGAGAATGAGGGAGATCTGATTATAGCAGCGGAACACTGCTCGACGGAGAAACTAGCATGGATGATCAAACACACCAGGTGCGCATGTGCGTAAAATCGCTGGCTTACAGTACTGATTGAATCTAGTGGGTATATTTGCATAGCACTACCTGGTGAACGGTTGGACGAATTGGACATTCCTATGATGGTTTCTAACAACCAGGACCGAAATAAGACTGCATACACTGTTACTTGCGACTACAGGCATGGTGTGTGGCACTCCTTCTTAAACTCTCTCGTCCTTCAAATCGATGCTATCTATGTCATTAGGTACAACGACAGGCATCTCTGCGCACGATCGCTCCCTCACCATACGCATGCTCATCTCTCCATCAGCAACGTCGTCTGACTTCTCTCGACCAGGGCACATGGTACCCTTACGTGCACGACCAGGCGGCACGCTGACGCGGCAAGGACACACCGAAGCAAGCATAGACTTATGTCGGTTGACCGGAAATTTTCCAGGGGGAGTGCTATGCGAGATTGTGAACGACGACGTTGTCGGTTCAATGGCACGGCGCGACGACTGTCGGCGGTTTGCGGACCGCTGGGGTCTGCGAATGATTAGCGTGGAGATGCTCGCTGCATGGCGGAGAGCGCACGAGAGCTAGCAGTGCTGGAGAGTGATTATATGCGTTCACAGCCTCATGGATATCCTCGACTCCATGCGTCATTTACTTTTTCACAGGGCGAAAATAACTTTCGTCTCATCCTGCATATAGACGTTTTGTTAATTTTTTCCGCGTACCTTTGGTTTCGCGGATAATGCATAAATGGCAAATCGAGCGCATAGATGGACGTATAGCTGATTTGTCGTTGCGCGGAACTAAAAAAGAACTGTCGACCTATGATGACATCCAAATCCAGATCAAGAATCATCATCGCCAGCACATATAAGTAAACAAAATCATATAGTATATATTCAAAACGCCTCGCTGCACATCTCATCTGCAACCCTGCACCCAACAACATCCCTGCACCCTCTCTTCTTGCGTATATCTCTGTTTAGCTTGTAGAGAGCAGCAGAAAACAAAAAATGATCAGTAACCCGCCTTCGCAGCCGCCATCGCGTCCGCGCACTCCCCTCGAACATTTTAGAGACGTTGTGAGTGTCCATAAAGTTGTCTATTTCTGACGTCGAAGAGGAAGCGATGGTCGATCGCGATGTATGTGGACGAGAGCCTTGGCTGCGTCTCGAAGTGCTTGGCGAGGGATCGGCAGGAGAACAATGCTCTCTAACTGATTATCATGTTTATTGCTAACAGGTTCACGAGGCGATACGCCAGTTGAAGCATGAGAAGGAATCAGAGGCACATAGAGTAAGAAATACTCCGTGTCTTTCAAGTCTTAGATCTCTAACGACCTTGCAACGTATAGATATACCGTGCTGCTCCTGGCCACAAGGCGCAAGGTATACTTCCGCAGACGGTAAATCCTGACGAGGTACACCATTTAATTGTCTTCTCCAATAAAAACGATGTCTAATTACTGCATGACGTTAGGAAACAGTCCCTGGTATCGAGCACCCAGGCTCCACGGGTGTTATTTACTGTTCTGACCGCGCGATTGCAAATGGATTTAGCTACGCGTGAGCCCGATGTCTCCGAACTTGTGTGTTCCTTTTCCTTACGGACTCATGTAGTTCGAGCCATGAGTGGGCGAACCTCGGCCAGGGCGCCCCGGAAGTCGGTGATATCCCTGGTGCAGCTCCTCGCCCGACGCACCTAGATATTCCTTTCGACGTACGTGAATCCCCTCGAGGCTTCAACGATTGACCCGCTTATATTGTGCAAATTTGTTTAACCAGAGTCTGGAATATGCCCCTACGACAGGTGTCAAGGGTAAGTTCTATCTTTATCTCTTTATTCGTAAAAATGTGTCAGAGCTGATTATACATTGCATGCGCTTCATTCCGCAGCCCTCCGAGAAGCCGTTGCCAACTTGTATAATGAGAATTATCGTCAAGGAAAAGCAAGCAAGTATACGTTCGAGAACGTGTGCATTGTTCCCGGTGGACGTGCCGGACTCTCGCGTCTTGCTGCAGTCATTTCGAATGTCTACTGTGTGCGTAGGCTTTTTCCCTTGCATCTGTCATCTATATTTGGTCTGACCCGTGTAATCTTCATGGATCTTTAAATAGGCATATCAGATCCCGGATTATACTGCGTACGATCAGGTTCTCGGTGCATTCAAGCGCCTTGTCCCGATTCCTACCATGTAAATAATGTTTCCTTGCTTTTAATATTTGCTTGGCTTGCTCATTTCATGACACAGTTTGGACCCTGACGTTAGTCTCATGCCGTTTCACTTGGATATCTCTGCGATGAATTAACACTGATAAAACCAACGTACCCAGGACCATTATCGACTCAACATAAAACAGACGAAGGTTCGTGTCATACATGCATAAAGCCTTCCATTTTTATTTATGTAGACTTTGTTCTCGGTATCTAGAGGGACATTCGGTCTCAGGGCCTTTCTGTCATTCTCGCTTCCAACCCGCGCAATCCGACTGGACAGGTTATCAAGTAAGTTTATCCTCTCAATTCAAAATTTTAATTTTATTAAATTATTTCAGGGGAAATGAGTTGAAGGAGCTAGTCTCGCTCAGTCGGGAGTCAACGACACTTATTCTTGATGAAGTAAGTGAAGGTCGCTACCTTCGGTTCTTTGTGATATTAATTTGCTCCCGAAGTTCTATTCTTGGTACATTTACCCTGAAGAAGGAGAGGAATTCGGCCACTCGGTCTCCTCTGCGGTGTACATCGAAGGTACGTGATTTCTTGCTTCTCTCCTGATGAGTAAGTTAATTAAAGTGGCATGTATGTGCAGACGTGAATGAGGTGAGCAATTTAATTCGTGAAACATACTACAGGAATAGAGCTCATAGGCCAATAGGACTCTGTCGTGATTGTTAACGGCTTGACGAAGGTAAGGAAAGTCTTATACTTGCGGATCGGCTTGGCACTGACAAACGGATCAAAAGAACTGGCGTCTTCCAGGTTGGCGTGTATGCTGGGTACTCGGCCCTAAGAACCTTATCACCGCGCTCTCGCAATCAGGTTAGTCGGATCGTTTAGATTGATGGATTTTCTTTGGATATGCTGACTCTGTGAATGAAGGCTCGTTCCTGGATGGTGGTGCCAATCATCCGTAAGCTATTACGCAAGAACATAACTAGTACAACAGTACAATGTCTTACGGGTCTTCTTTTCGTTCAGTCTGCAGATTGCAGCCATTCCGCTGCTCGACCCACAACATGTCCGGCAAGAGAAGGTCGGTTAGATATCTCTGGATGTTGATTGTCGGGTTTTTCGCTGACTAGCGCTCCTCGCCCCCGAAAAGATTGCGCTCCAGAAGCATTTCAAGATGAAGCGCGACCACGTATTGAAGCGGCTTCAGAGGCTTGGACTGAAAGTACAAGTTCCTCCAACAAGCACGTTCTACATCTGGCTTAGCCTCGAGCAACTGCCAACCCCATTGAACAACGGTCTTGTTCGTAGCATTTTCTCTTGCGCTCTTTCGATGTTTTTACTCATTGATACTGATATTTCTTTCTGGACGTTCAACAGACGTTCTTCGAGGAATTGCTCAAAGAAAAGACGATCGTTATCCCTGGTATCTTCTTCGACATCAACCCATCGCATCGCCGAAACCTCTTCAACTCGCCATGCCACCAATTCGTTCGCATTTCGTTTGGACCACCGCTTGAAGACCTTGACAAAGGTGCGTTCTGTTTTTCTTTCAACACCTACTATCTTAATATCTGGGTATCTTATCGATTCTGCTTCTGTTACTTTACCTTAATAACAGGTATCGACGCTATCGACCGAGTCCTGAGGAAGGCTAAGCGGGAGGGTATGAAGTCGTTCGGTCACAGCTACAAGAAGAGCATCGAAGGCGAGGAAACGCTCCAAGTAGGCGCCCCAAATGTTTAGATTTAGTGTTCTGAGATCTGTCCCATTGCCAAGTGCTTAGACAGAGATAGAAGTTATACATCATATACGGCCGTTTCGTTCGATCCATAAACCATGTATTAACTATAATCACGACTTGAGATATCTGTTGGTAGATACCGTTTGATCGGAATACATTGTCCTCTCTCCTCTCTCAATCCCGATTGATTTAATTGATCTTCCCTCGTACATGATTTACATGGTGTGAGCTCAAGTGACGAAGAATAATAACGGCTCGTGAAAGCCAGATAATTGAATTTTGCGAGCTATAGCTACAAACGTACAAATTACACAGAATAATTTGTTCGGGGATATTGTACGCGTATAAATCGCAAAGAGAGAGCGTGCACAGAACAATACAAAAGGTAAAGGCGGTATGCATGGGCTCAAAGGATATCTAACGGACACGTGTCGTTGCTGAAGAGCCTGGCATTCGGTTACCTAGACCTTGAGAGAAACGCGCACCACGACCACCTCGAGTACCTCCTTGAATAAGTGCACGTTAGTTAAAATTGAGTTTGAATATTGAAGATAATAAATAAGAAACCTACCCCTTGTAGCACCCCGCGTACGTTCCCCACGTCCCTTCCTCTCTCCAGTCTGTTCACCACGCTTCTCACCTTTAAGCCCTTCCGCACGATCACTCCAAGCTGCAGTACCCTGCTTCGCGTCGAGCGTCTTCTCGTTCTGCTCTATAAGTGCTGAAGCGCGTTCTGCGAGCGTCAACGCGACCTGCTGCACACGCGACAACTCGACTTGGTGGAAGACAACGACGCCTGCACTTTGGTCGAGTGAAGCGGCGAGTTCTTCGGTCCAGATCATCTTGGAGACGATGGATGTTACTTGTTTGAGTGTGAGTGAGAAGGTGCGAGCGAGTAGGGAGAGGGAGAGCGTGCTGTAGTGTGGAGCGTAGGTGAAGAGGTAGGTGCGTAAGGCCTCTTCTTGGATGCGTCTTTATATAAGAAAAGACACTATTAGTAACGGGACAGATTGAATGAAAAAATGAACACGAGATTTACTTTGATAACATCTCCTTTACTGATGCAGACTCGGGCATTAGACTCCAAATCTTGATGCTCTGGATGAGGTCACGGCATTTCTCCCAATCACCTCCTTGAAGCGCCTTGCTCGCTTGCATAATATGATCCCGAGTGCTTTCCGGAGGACCCGTGAAAACTTGTCGGTCAGCAAAATCGAGTAGACGGCGGAACGGTTTTGAAACGATTCTGCGTCGCTGTTCCTCGTTGTCAATGCTTGCTAACATGGGTATCTCGACAAGCATGCTAGACACGAGGAACGCTGCTTCCAGGAGTTCCGTGTTGACGTGCATGTGGAATGGAAGCTGTCTCTGACGTTCGGCTCTTTCCTGTTCAGGAGATAGTGTCTGGTAGCGTTGGTGCACGCCTTGCGCAAGTAGCTCCTTTACTCGCTGAGTGTTGAAGATATCCTGCAAGGTGGCCTGTGCCTCACGGACAAGACCAATACGGAATGCAGCGAGACCAATTTGAACGACAGCCCGGTTGTATAGAATTTGCGTCAGAACGTCAGCACCATGCACTGTCTCCTGCAGATGTGACATAAGAAGCATGTCGCGCGCTCGATGAAAGTCGTTATGCAGAGCATGGTGGTAGATATGACAAAGCATGGCTCGCATCTTCAAAATCCCGCTTTCTGACTTGTAAAGGTGTACGCAAAGCGCTTGAATGAGGCCCTTGCTTGAGCCAGAGGACGACAGAGACACGGAGGGAGGGCATGCGGAAGATGCGACAGAGGATTCAAGAGCTTGGACGACGGCATCCGGCTGTGTTTATTGTCAGAACTTTGCACATTCCAGAGTAACTAGTGACGTACCTTCGAGTAAATATGTTCTAGTCGACGTAAGATAACTCGAGAAAGAGGGTCGTCTTGCTTCGTTTTTTCATAATAGCCTTGGGACAAGCAAATAGTCTGGTACAGGCCTTTCTCGTCTCTTAACCTCTCCACATATTCTGTGCCGTGAGGATCAATGTTCTGGAGACTCTTGGTGAATTCGTCATCCAGGCGATCTATGAAACTGATGATGCTTCCACGAATCCGGACAACTTTATCGGCCTCCTGGTCTGGAGTACGCTCCGCAAGTTCGTCGTACTCGGGAGTCACTTCCTCGACAGAATATTGCGGCTCAGCAGCAAGGATATTGACTAACGCGTCAACTTCCCGCTGTGCGGCTAACCAGAGTTCAACAGGCATATGTGTCGCGATGGATGAGTTATAATCAAAGCGTGACGAAACAAGAGCAAGTAGCACCCGAATTCGCTGATACACTGTAACAGCAACCTCGAGTAGTTTCTCGAGAATTTTGATTTGCTCTGCCCTATCCGTGTTCTTCACAATATTATTAGAAAGTCGTTTCTAATAGTACTAATGCAAATCTTACCTTCTTCCCTCTGGCCTCTTGAATAAGCTGGAGATTTTGAAAGATGCTTTCTGACGTGTATTGTATTGCCTTTCCACCCTTGCCTACAGTCGTGAAATCGTCATCCGCACCGGATTCTGCCTCCGCACCCGCTTTCGGTTTCTTGGTCTTTGCAGGGGCTGCAGGGGCTGGAACAGGTGCAGCATATTCGCGCTCGAATGCTTCAGGATCCTATACGAGATAACGCATATATTAATAAAGTACAATCACTTGGTAATGAACGATTCACCTCTTGCAATAATTTAACCTCCTTCTCATATTCCTTGATTGTCTTTCGGACCTTCTGCTTCATGGTGTTGAGCGCCCGTGCGTTGGTAGCATTCATTTTCTTCTTCGTCTCCTTCTCTTTCGCCAAAGCGGTGTTCAAAGATTGATCCAAGTTGACCAACGTGCGGATGTAGAAGCTAGGCACTCGTTCTGCAAGATTAGTCTGACGCTCTACTAACCGGCCAAGCTTGTCGAATTCTTGTGGTTAAACATTGCATTAGCGCCACGAATGCTAGACAGGCCGATCGACCAATATCGAGCTCACCATTCGATATTGTTACCCAATCATTAATTTTGAGACGATTTTCGATAGTCTTGCCAACACCTTCCATCTCCTCCAAACGCTTTTCGCTTGCGCTCTTCACGATACGCTTCTCACCCTCGTCGCTCTCGTCACTTGCATCGCCGCCAACAAGGAATCGACTTTTCTTCTTTGGCTTCTCTTCTTCCGATTCATCCTCGTCGCTCTCCTCCTCAGATTCAGATTCCGAGCTAGACGAGCTCGAACCTGCGCCCTTGAGGAATCGCGACATGCCCATGGGCTTTGACGGGGCGGCGGGTTTTGGCGGCGCTTCCTCGTCGCCGCTGGACATGAGTTCTTCCTCCGACTCTTCGGTGTCGGAGTCCGAGTCGCCAGCAGCTCTAAAGAATCGAGACATTATGTTACTGTTATCTGTTGAATAGGTGTGCAGATATGAAGCAGCGAGACTGAAAGTCGTGTAGGTCGGGGTAAACGGCGTCACAAGAGGCTGCCTGAATTTTTGTGTGATGCTTGACAGGGTTACGTATTCGAACTCCGACATCCTTTTTCGGTGCTTTGCGCCGATCACTAATTTCGGTCTCTAAGCGCAGTCTTGGACACTTCCAGCAGCACTTCAAGTTCATGTAAAACTAGTTATTCTAGTATGAAGAAAAAGGTGGGAATCGTGTAACTCTATGAATACTTAAGCTTAGCACTAAACACGATGGTAGGTGCTGTTAATGGGAGCGTCGGGGAGCGGCAAGACGTCTATGCGTTCTGTCATCTTGTACGACCAATCCATTCATCGAATTCTCGTTCACAATTAGAACCTGATCTCCAGCTCTAACAACCAGGCATCCCTCACTTCGCGATTAGGAGCAACTATTGACGTAGAGCAAAATCATGTACGATTCCTAGGAGACCTAATCCTCAATCTATGGGATTGCGGTGGACAAGATTCTTTCATGGAGTCATACACAACTACGCAGCGAAGCACGATATTCCAACATGTCGGAGTGCTTATATACGTATTTGACGTCGAGTCTCGCGATATGGGGAAAGATCTTTCGTATTATTGTGGTTGTATTGATGCATTGAGGAAGTATAGCCCCGATGCGGCTGTGTTCTTGCTGGTCCATAAGATGGATCTCGTGCGCTCGGCGAGGAAATCGATATTGGAGAGGAAGACGAGAGAGTTGCGGGATGCGAGTCAAGACGTGGGGGTTACGGTCTTTGGGACGAGCATATATGATGAGAGTCTATATAAGGTGAGGCGTTGTCAATACCAATGAACTCAGTATACTTATTCATCAATGTAGGCTTGGTCACGCATCGTACACACCCTCATCCCGAATGCTGCAATCCTAAGCAAACATCTAACGACGTTCGCCGAAGCATGTAGCGCAACGGAAGTCATCCTCTTTGAACGCACAACCTTCCTCGTTATCGCAACTTCCAAACGTTTAGATCCACCTCTGACACAGGACCAAACAACGAACGGTACGGCGCCATCTGACGAAACAGCTGCAGATGGCGCAGATAATACAGCCGCTGCAGACATCGATCCACATCAACTACAACCAACTCGATACGAACGGACTTCTGAGCTCATCAAAGCATTCAAACATGCGTGCATGCGTACACGCGAGGAGTTCCGGTGTTTAGATATGGAGCTTCCGGAGTACACTGCTGTACTGGATGAACTGACGAAGAACACGTATATTATGGTCATCGTGCATGATCCCACGATAGGTATGTCATCTGTTTGTTGCCTTTACTCCCGTTGACAAAGCGCATGTATGACTTACACGCTGTATGATTAAGAAACCGCTGCGATTAAGATTAACATCCAACTTGCACGGCAAAAGTTCGAGGAGCTGCAAGCGGATTCAATAAACTGATGTGCCAAGTTGACGGGATATGCAATTGTACTTTGTAACCTGCTATGGTAATGCACTTGTCTTGGTTCTATCATGCAGTCGGAGCCGCCCTTTTCTCCAGATGGCTTGCATAGTCGGAAGTTGATGGTGAGACCAGGACAGAGGCGTGGACTATCAACCACACCCTGATCCATGCATTTCACGGAGTCAGATATAGCAAAATGCAGAGATCTCTTAGTGTATATAAATATGATTAGTTGATATTAACAGTCCTCAATCGCACTTCATGCTCAGATGAATAAACCTCTGTATGATATTAATCCAATAGACCTCTTCTCAGTCAAACACAAACAAACCAAGAAAGACTACAACGAATATATCCCCCAGCTTTGTTACCCGACTTGTATTCCAGTAATCCAACCAAGAAGACGTCACGGAATTCGTGAAATATACATGCTTGCAAACTGTGGCAAGACCCGAAGCGGCAGTACGTATGATGATACAAAGAACGCATTTTTAGTAAATTTTGAGTTAAAACGAAAGGATATTCAAAAAGAGGGTAAAGAGAAAACCACGTAAAATCAAGAAATCGATCGGAAAAGGTTTTGTATATATGTATGTATGTATACGGTGGCGTTAAGAAATTAGTTCGTTACGCCTTTTCTGATGCTGCTGCTCCAGCCAACATCGGATGTAAGATCTGCTCATGTAGAGCCTTCCCAGCAGGTACCATCGGGAAAACATGTTCGTTCGTCTCAACAAGGCATTCCATGAGCACCGGTCGAGAATTATCATACTCAAGGAACTCTTTCATCTTCTGCGGGAGTTCCTGAGCGTTATGCACGCGAATGGCTTTAACGCCCATCGACTCGGCGAGTTTTACGAAATCAGGGTTCGTCATTCTCGTGTGAGAGTACCGAGCGTCGTAGAAGAGGTCTTGCCATTGGAGAACCATCCCTTGGAATTCGTTATTGAGGATGATGACTTTGATACCGATGTTGTATTGTGAAGCGGTTTGGAGCTCCATTGCTGTCATGCTGAAGGAGGCGTCGCCGTCGATGTCGACGACGATTTTTTCGGGAGCTGCGACTTTGGCACCGATACCCGCAGGAAGACCGAAACCCATGGTCTGAAAACAGAAGCAACTTAGAATTGGAAAATCTTTTCAAAGTGTTCTCAACTTACGCCCAGACCACCGGAGGACACCAAGGATCTTGGTGTCCTCCACCGGAAGAACTGTGCAGCCCACATCTGGTGCTGACCAACACCAGTAGAAACCACCACCTTATCTTTCTTGTCCCTTGTCTGTTTATCGAGCTCTTCAATGACCTCCTGGGGCTTCGCACAATCACCCTGCTTGCTCTTAACGTATGTAAATGGATACTTTTTCTTCCACGCCGCGATCTGTGCAAACCAGTCCGTACGCGGGTTCGAAGATCTTATGAGAGGTACGAGAGCGGCGAGGTTGGAGATGACGTCGCCGAGAATGGGTACAGTCGCTTCAACGACCTTGTTGATGTTCTTCGGTTGAATCTCGAAGTGGATGATACCTCCTCGGCCTTGGAGAGCAGCTTCACGTGCAGTGGGCGCAAATGCTGTGAAACATGGTAATGAGTAAATCTGAAACGCATATACACAAAAAGAAATTTTCAAGTCACGTACAGTCAATCGTCCCCGTTACACGATCGTCAAAGCGAGCACCGAGAGCGATGATGACATCGGCACTCTGCATAGCAATGTTGGCATATGGGCTTCCATGCATACCGAGCATATGCAAACTGCGTTGTTCATCCGTCTCGTCGAAACACCCGAGACCGAGCAAGGTCGTAGTTACAGGTATATGACCTTCCCTAGACAACTGAGCGAGCAATTTGGGACCGAGAGGGGAAGAGAGAACGCCATGACCAGCGTAGATCACCGGGGTTTTTGCCTTGTTGATGAGGTCAGCGGCTTGCTGGATCAGAGGCATATCGATCGGAGGTTGCATAGATTGAAGCGGATTCGAGGGAAGACCAAGAGGAGAGCCAGGTGTGGTGACCTTGTAAGGGAGAGGAGTACGCAGGATGCTGGCTGTTACGTCCTTCGGCAAATCAACAAGAACGGGCCCAGGTCGTCCAGATGTCGCAATAACAAATGCCTCATTTATACGTCGAGGAAGCTCAGCGATATCCTTTACCATGACGTTCCATTTGGTGCAACTCCGCGAGATTCCAACGATATCTGCCTCTTGGAAGGCATCCGAACCGATAGCAGATGTAGCTACCTGTCCGCAGAACACGATCATCGGTACACCATCGCTCAATGCATCCTGCATCGGCGTCACGACATTGGTCGCGCCTGGGCCTGAAGTAACAAGAACGACACCAGGTTTGCCGGATACACGAGCGTAGCCCTCTGCCATATGTCCACCTCCTTGCTCATGTCGTGGCAGGACAAAAGTGAAATATTTTGAGTTGTAGATAGCATCGAAGACGGGAAGGATAGCACCGCCTGGGTAACCGAAAATATGCTTGACGCCATGCCTAAGCATCATCTCATGGAAAATCTGACCGCCAGACATGCCGACGAAGGATGAATCAAGGACTTCATGGGCGGTTTGCCTTACAAGCGGAGTTGGCTCGCGGACGTTATTCCTTGTGGGACGCTGTTGGAACTGTGGTGCAGGAGCGGGCCGTCTAGAGGGCCAGATGTAATCAGCATAGACAGTACTCTCGATAGCTGTAATACATACACGCTTGGTGCGGGCGTCGTCGCCTGCGATGATGAACGACGAGCATTGATGCGGGCTTTTGCTTCGAAGATGGAGCCTGGTACAGTCGACTTGCTACGTAAAAACTGTATGGGCTGTTTTTTTGGTGCCGAGGTAGGCACGCGGATGTTCCGCGCAACGTTGATAGGCATCGTCGTCGAGGTGCGGCGGCGAGCGTAAAGAGGGAGACAGAGGGAAGGAAAGAGAAGAAGAGCAGACGAGTTGAAGGCGGGAGCTAAGTGCTACTAGCAGTTTTACATACAGCACAAGGGTGAGTCAATATGCAAATCGGCTTTATTCGGACCGAAATGGCAATAAATACAGTCGTCGATCCTCCACCCCGCTCTCACACGAGCAGTTATTTGACTTTGTACGCTGTTATCCAGACCAAAATATTTCACTTATTCCGCCACATACGACGCCGCCGTAATATTCGTAATCGTGTACACACGTTGGATATCTCTGCTTTTGTATTCATTTTGAAATAACCCCTAACTAAAGGACTACTAAAGATTCCGACTCCACTGTCAACTTCCAATCCTTAGGTACTGAGAAACGTCGAGATTGAATGCGCCAGAATGCTTCAATGAAAATATTCAGTTTAAATAACGATGAACAGGTTGAATTTACATACTTGTGTACTGTAAATAGTGGGTGGAGGGTGTTCAACCAGCTAATCGAGACAAGGGCTATTATTACCGGCTTTTGCAATAGATCTGAAACGACTTACAAGTAACTCGATACTGGTGCACAAGGCGGGATTTGAGTCGTCAATTGTGGCGTTCCGTTCTGGTAGGCATCGCAGAAACCGGTGACATTCACGAATCCAAATGTATCTGCATTATCCAAAAGCGTGTTGAAAATCGGGACGGTGTCGAAGACATTTGCATTTGCGTCTGTGTGGTTCGCATTGAATGCCTGCACGTTCTCGGCGAGTTGGGCATTGTAGTCTGCTAAAGCGCTTGTAATCAGTGTGATTGAAGGTTCTCCTTGTTCGATGATCAAAGGTGCGCGATTCGTGGGTGGGACGGTCAAGAATAGGAAATTGCGAGCGCCATACTGATAGAGGTCCTCAATCTAGGCAATACTTAGATTATCATATTAAAAGCGGCTCCATGCGGATTCTCACCTGCTTGAAGAGCCGTGCCATCAAGACTTGGTGAAACCCAGACTGTGTAACGTTTGTCTAACCGAGATGCCAGAAAGTTGATCGCACATTAAATCTGCTTTTTTGACACTCACCCAAGCAAAGGAGTTCCCCTTTAAGTCATTATCAGACTAAGTAACAGCGGATTAAAAGTTAAGTGAGAACGTACAACGTCGTTAATTCCGATCCAAATTGCAAACAGGGAGTTATTGCCACTCCATTGAGCACCCTCGGGTTTAGGAGCCAAAAACTGGTCGAATTGTGCAACTTGATCGACGATGGACCTGGAGAAGTGAGTAAGGAATGAATAAATTATGATTTATGCAGTTGTTATGCATACAAGACTGTCGGTTCAAATGGAGTGACCAGGGCGGCGTCGATAGTTGCACCTCCCGAAGCCAAGTTGAAGACCTTTGTATTCGTGATATTGTACGTTCCTCCTTGAAGACGATGAGTTTCGTACTTCGGCCGATTTCATATTCAGCGTACCCAAAAACTGCACCCAGTTCTGACCATTCGACGATGTCTGTCGGAGAAAACATGAACTCGAAACCGAGGACAAGGTTTTCCGAAAGACTTACAAAGCCTGGTACGGGAGAATTTACACCGGCAGAAATGTTAAAGCCATCGGTGGTGTAAGAGTCGCCAAACGTGAATAGAAATTCAGTTGAGTTCCAAGCAAGTTTTGCGTCGGAGAAGGCGCCTACAAGCAGAAGCACGATAGACTGTAGGATGACACCAGCCACTGCCTTCATCTTAAGCTGATGCAGGTTCAGACGGGCGTATTCAACATTCCACTTTTTTTATACGCGCATGAAGGTGCCAGCCGATATTATTAGTGCGAGGCTATAGCGAATAAGAGATGCCCAAGCATGTGCACTCTCCGACGAAACCCCGTTGCAGCATCTTCTCAACATGCATCAGGGCCTCGTGGTCACAAAGGACCCGCATTCAAATGGAATTCCCGGTTTGTGAGAGAAAGAACGGACTGGTCAGAGCGCACTTCGTAAATATGAAGGCCAAGAATCCTTGTGAGAAGCAGAGTCACAGCACATAGTCACCGAATCGTACATGGGAATAATTGAATTTGAGTTTACACAGAGAATTGGGCGTATTAACTGCAACCGTTGGCGTACAAGTTCAAGAAAGACCACCATAGATAGTCCTGCTATTAGAGTTTTTCTGTTACGTAAGTGTATCAATGACGGTTCGCGTCTCGCGACGCGCCATGGTCAGCATCCTTTCCAGTCCAGTAAGCTTCGTAAACGTCGGAGGCATGATTTCGGTTCGCTGTTCAGTGCATGCTTCAAGAGATTCTGCTAACCTTGCTCTAGGCGTTCTTCATATTCAACCAGAAAGGGGAGGTGCGTGATCAGCGCGATTCAGCGGGTATCTAATCGCTGAAGCGTGGTTACTGACGCATACGTTACTGCTACTAGGTGCTCATTTCCCGGTTATACAGAGCGGATCTCAAGTGCGATATTTGCCGTTCATGATTCTCAAGCATCCTGATCTGACGAGTGTTCTGTAGGCGCTCGATTGCTGATGTCTTCCGGATACAAGTCGTATCTAACAGCGATGTTCGTTCACCTATTATCACCCTCGGCTCGACGAGTTTCTTCCATGTGCGGACAAACAATCTGTATATCATGGCTGTAACAAAGTCTGTCGTTTCTTCCTGTTATTGGATTACAACTAAACTTCGTGCAGAAATAATGCAAACACAGCCCTGGTTTTCGAGTTCTGCTACCGTTTCATATCCATCGCGAAGGCATACTTTGGTAAGGTGGACGAGGAATCTGTGAAGAGCAACTTCGTTTTGATATATGAACTCATCGATGGTGTGCACTGATTCTCATCTCTCATGCTTAAGCGATCAACTCATGCAGATTATAGAGATCATTGACTTCGGCTACCCTCAGAATAGTGAGACCGATACTTTGAAGGCTTACATTACTACAGAGAGTATCCGCACATCTCCTGCCGCGTTGGTAAGAACACTTACACTTTCAAGCTGCCTTTCAGTGACTAAACTGGTCTGCACATGAAGGAGGAGACCGCGAAGATAACATCTCAAGCAACAGGAGCCATTAGCTGGCGACGACCGGATGTCAAATACAAGAAGAACGAAGCATTTGTAGATGTTGTCGAGACCGTTAACCTTATTATGAGTGCAAAGGGTATGTTGTCTCTCTGCTTGAGCATCTTGTCAGATTGTCCACTGATTTCTTGAAGGCACCGTGTTACGTGCCGACGTTGACGGTCATATCCTAATGCGAGCTTATCTGTCGGGAACCCCTGAATGTAAATTCGGGTTAAATGATAAACTTGTCCTGGATGCGGCTGAGCGCGGGATGAGCGATGCAGTGGAGCTTGATGACTGCCAATTCCACCAATGTGTTCGGCTGAATGAGTTCGACTCGGACCGAACTATTAGCTTTGTTCCTCCGGACGGGGAATTCGAGCTAATGAAGTACGCCGCATCCTCTATGCTGCAAAATTCTGTCTGATTTCTTTCAAAGATATCGATCCACCTCGAACGTGAATCTTCCAATCAAGGTCATTACGGCGGTAACAGAAATTGGGACGACCCAGGTTTCGTACATTGTAACCCTACGGACAACCTTTAATCCGAAGCTCTCCGCGACGAGCGTTGTTTTACGAATCCCCACTCCTTTGAACACGACCAGTGTTGACTGCAAGGTGCAGAATGGAAAGGCAAAATACGTACCCGCCGAAAATGTTATCGTTTGGAAGTGCGTCGTTATGTTAGTGGACGGATTTGATTGAGACGCTGATTTCGTTTCAGGATACCGCGGATACAAGGTGGCCAGGAGTGTACATTATCTGGGACTGCACAGCTGACGGCGATGACACACCGACAAGCATGGGCTCGGCCGCCTATCGACGTGGACTTCCAGGTGTTGATGTTCACGGCGTCTGGTCTGCTCGTGCGTTTCTTGAAGGTGTTTGAGAAGGGCAATTACCATAGCATCAAGTGGGTGCGTTATCTCACGAAGGCGAGTGGAGGATATCAGATTCGGGTGAGTACCCTTGCCCTTCCCTATCTTATCTACGGTGCTCAGGGCTCCATCACCTCCATCACAGTTCTAAGGGGGACAATGTACTTATACATCTTATCTTATTCGTTTTTGCGGAATTGCTTTAATGTTAATTACGAGTTTCTTGTGCTATGTATTTTGCTTACAATGATACGAACAGTCGTGTGCGAGAGAAGTTACAAGAATACTATTGATTACATAACATGACTTAGTCTCGGTCAATCGGGACGCGCTTCTCTTAGGCCTTAACGTCGAGGTGCCTGTTCAAGCCTGTTATATCTCTCCTTTCCTTCCTACTCTCCTTCCAGCTCGTCGCAGCGTCAGAATTCGCTGTAGCTATGTTCTGGAAGTATGTCGCTGCTTTCCCCATTGATATGCATGTGCGCTCATCAGGCCGCCCCACAGATTCGGCTTCCATGACACTTCCACCATAGACGCGCTACTTGACAAGGATGAGGTATCTTTGGGAGCTATACTGGACGAGGACAATATTTTGCAAGAATGCAAGGCCCAGAATACGCGTCTCATCGACTACTTCCAAAGGGTAGACGTCCTCCAGCAACTGTTTGGTTACGTCTCTGGGAATATAGAAGCGGATGGGGAGGGCAAATTCAAGTTCGTCCCATGCAGTCATTTTGGTCCCAGTGCCATTGCTGAATACACATTTTATCTCACAAATACAGATACCCTTATATTGCAACAGAAGTGCTGTGTAGCGAACTGTGGACCATTGTCGAGACGTGCTTGAATAACCAGGACCGGCTGTTGGCCCCCTTCTGGGATGCCGTGCTGGACCGGGACATTGCCGACTTGAAGGAGAAGAACATCATGGCTTCTCACTTCGCCAAAATCAATGCCACATTTCTAATGAAGAAACCACATGAGGTAACGTTGGGTATATTGCCTTAGACGTCCTCATAGCAGACCGTATTCTGCAGATGCTCGCTTTTATCCAAGCGCTACCCAACATTGTAGAACGCATTCTACGGCACATAGAGACACCCGCGGTTGTCGATTTATTAGTGCGAATCATCCAGTTGGATGAGTATGCACCGGGGACGGGTGTGCTAGAAGTATGTGGTTATCCTCAGTTTACCCCTGGCTGAGTTCTTGACCGGTCGGCATGCAGTGGCTTTCAAAAGAACGCTTAATACCGCGACTAGTGGAGCTCATGTCTCCATTCCACCCTGCTTCTACGCATGCCATCGTGGCAGAACTGGTAAAAGGGATAATATCCATGTCGGCACCTTCTCCAGGAGCGGGCATTACAGACGGACTTCAGAACGGACCGGCGTCAAACCTTTTCGCCCGACAACTTGCTCGAAAAGAAAACATAGAAAGGCTGGTCGGTTTCATGCTTGATGATTTCTCATTCGAGATGGAACTGTTAGAGGCAAAGAAAGAGCTAACTAATGGATCGAGCCCTGAGCACGCAGAAGTACCTTCAGATATCGTCACGTCACCACCATCTTCTCCGCCAATTCCAAATCTTGATACCGCCACTTCATCAGGCACGCAGGCAATTTCAATCATTATCGAACTCATCCGGAAAAATAACTCTGATTATTTTGAGCCGTACCTCTTTCACACTATCCGAAATCGACTTATTCAAATTCAACAGCAAATGCACGTCCAGAGTGACGAGGGGCGCGAATCCCTTGAGCAAGCATTTAATGATATGGTCGATAGAATGGGAGTCGTCCACCTCGGTCCTTTACTGGAGATCATGTGCGACCGCTTAGAGAGGTTCCAGCAACTACTGCATAAGCCTCGTTCCTCGGTGCGTTGTGGCGCCACTACTTTATCTTAGTTATTGCTCACTCCATATTAGGGCGAGACCATTCCGACGACTATCGGACCACTAGCGCCATTAACATTTGAACGATTCCGGATATGTGAGCTTTACGCGGAGTTATTACATTGCTCCAACATGTCTCTTCTTAATCGACCACCCGAATTCGACGCCTTATATGACGATGAAGGTCGTCTCAAAGGCGGCTTATCCGCAATGGAGGATTTGGCTCGTGTCATTGCGATTGGCTCGGGTGCAGAAGACCAGAGTGGGATGGATGGCGACGGAGACGAAATGGAGCCAGCACAGGAACTTCCCATTCATTCTACCGATTTGTCTAGCTTGGAATACTCTGATGAGGATGAGGACATGAGTGCAGGAGACGACAGCAGCAGTGCTGGTGAAGAACGAATGGACGAAATTGACATGAACGAGGACAATCGCAATTCCTCACCTCCACCTGTCTCTCCTCGCGACGCCGACACGCCAATAGATCGCTCTCCTTTAGCAGTGGCTTCCTCTCCTTTGGCAGTGACATCCTCTCCACTAGCGGTCAGTATGCCCGCTCCCAATGAACTTTCGCCTCTGGGACAGGCAATTCCTCGAAGTCAAACCCGATCACCCTCAGTGACGGGATCTGATCGTTCATCTATCATTTCTCGCCCTGCTTCAACAGGATCAAGACGTATGAAGCGCTCTGGAATGATGGGCAACTCGGGATATCTTCCTGTTGGTGACAAACTAAAGCAACGTTTCTCGGAAACGAGAGTGCTTTCCACACTTCTGGTATGGAGCCTTCAAAAGTCAACCGTAAATCCTATTGCTCATCTCCATATAGGACTTATTCTTCTCATTTCCTTGGAATAACTTCTTACATAGCGTCGTGTATGACGTTCTGCATCAGATCCTAACTGGACGAGTGGATCAAGGGTTGAATAGGGAACTGACAATCGCTTTATTCCGGGATGCCCGCCTTTTAAATCGTATCATCGAAGCTCAAACGGAGAATGATGCTGATAGGTGCGTAGTATTAACGGTGAATTGGAACTGTCATTAACTCGACGCACCATTCAAAGCTCAAAACCTGGACATGTTCGATTAGGATACATGGGTCACTTGACCTTAATCTCCGAGGACGTTATTGGGGCTCTCGAACACTATCCACCCAATCTCAGGCTTCTGCTCGCTCAATATGCTCCACAACCGGATTGGGATGAATACGTGAGTGGTCGGTACCACGAGACGAAGGTGAGGGATACGAGTCTATTGGGTGGTGGTAAACCTGTGGTCATGTCCAATGCATCTCGGGGGGCGACAAAGTGGAAGGTAGACGAAGCAGAGATAGGTCTTACTCCACCACCCCCTGGAGCGAATGGTACAGAAACGACCAATCTGGGCGAGCCATTGTCGGAAATGAAGGGTGAATTCAGGAGAACGAGCCGACTTACTCGCGAGTCAAGTGCAGATTTTGGAATTACGCCTGTTTCACATGATGAGGAAGATGATAATGGTCCCCCACAGGTAGATTGGTTATCACCGTCGTATCTTATGCAATGGACTAACAGAGAATTGGTTTAGTTCGCGAGCTATCTTGCACAGGCTATGTCTACACATATAACTTCCTCCGATGACGATGGTTCTGATGAGGAAGATGAGCAGGGAGGCTGGCTGGCGCAGAAGTTCGATATTGCTGACCCTCCTGTATCTGCTCGGAGTCATTCATCGGACCGGAGGCCACTGGATCCAGGCGGTTTTGAAGTACGCATTGTCTTTGCGCCGCTTTCTTATTCTGGAACTGACGCGAATGAAGGATGCATTTACTCCAAGTGCGGCTGCTCCATCGACCTCCTCTACTGTCAATGCGTTTGAAGATAACTTTGCTTTCGATGTGAGCACTTCTCAGGTTTTCAAGACTCTCTGCCGTACTAAACTTTTACCAGGACGATCATTTTGGTCCCTTCACAGACGCTGCTGCTTCCTCAGGAAGTGATCCGTTCTCTAACTCATTCACAAGCGCTTCGGAGGATGCAGACGAAGCGTCGTTCGAAAACTTTGGTGATTTCGGCGAGTTTCAAACGGGTGATGGCGAAATGACTCCAACTGGTGGGAGTTGGTCATTCGCCAGCGACGCAAGCATTAGCTCTGGTGGTTCAGACGACGTTGAAGTTGTCGATGTTGCGAGTTCACCTCAAGACCATCGGACAGATGCACAAAAGTAAAACGACTGTTTCTTTGCATGATTGTGTTCACATTCTGTAGACTTTGTAGATTACATTCTCGTCATCCAGCGCTGTCTGTATTCCATGCATATCTTAATCATTTTTGCTCTCTCTCTTTCTTTCCTTTCTTTCCTGTGCCGGGTTAGCTCTTGAATAGGGTTTGTAAGATGCTATCGATAGCAACGGTTGCAGCGTCAGCCGTCTTGGAAGTCGAACCGGCCGCCGCCGCTGCGGGCTTTGCTAGTCACTCGGGTTGGAAGTTGTAGCCGCCTTCTCGCTGCACGGCAGTGAAGACTATACTACTGAGTGTTTGGCCTGATTCGGTGCTGAGTTCGGCGGTTATTTCATCTCCGGGACTGACTGGTCCGACGCCGGAAGGAGTTCCTGTCAGGATTAAATCACCTTCCTAGAATAATGATTGTTAAGTGAATGCTCATGACACATGGTAGAGAGGTACCTCGAGAGTCATAATTGAGGATACATGTTCAATTAGCTTGGAAATGGGGAAGATCATGTCTGCAGTTGTTCCATTCTGCTTGAATGCCCCATTGACCTACGTGTGCGTAAGTACCACTTTAGAGATTATTGCTGGGGACTTCATAAGCTATGTGAATTGTACCTTTAGCCAGATGTTCAGTTTACTTGGGTCAGAAACAGAAGAACGGTCGATGAACGACCTATAGACAAGTTAATAATTGCTCGAATCTTATCATGCACTTGCTTACCCGATTGGAGTAAATGTATCGAAGCCCTTGTGCGCTGACCAAGGTAGTCCTTTTTTCTTAACAAGTTCTTGCATGTTACGAGCGGTCATATCAATGGCAAGAGCTAGATTCGCGAGCACAAGAAAAATCAGAGCATGTTATGCACCACATGAACAAATCGCGCACCGTACCCGGCGATGTACGAGTCTGCTTGCGCTGCGGTAATATCTCGTCCGGTCTTACCAATCACTACTCCGAGCTCGACTGTATCCAGAAAGTATCAAACTTTAGGTCACTGAAATACATGGGAATAAATCAGAGAGGAGGTACCTTCATGATGAGCAAGGACACCACGAGGAATCTCAATCTTCCCTCCAGAGGGCAGATAACTCGAAGTGGGCTTGAGGAAGAAGAACGGTTCTTTCGGAATGGTATTATTGAGTTCCTTGACGTGCTCGACATAATTCCGTCCAATCGCGACTATCTGTAGGAAATAAAAATGCAAATAAAATAGAGTGAAGAAAATACGCTAGAGTACGATGTATACCTTCTTCCCAGAACGAATAAAGGAGGCAGCAGACATTATGGGGGGGATAAGAGAGAATGCTGCGGCGGAATTACTATTTATTCTCTGCGTTTCCAAGTGCTCACCCGTTGACTTCACACGGAATGACGGGACGCGGTTTCGGCGAATCACGTGGCATAGCGGAACGCGATCTGACCAGTGACTTGCCGAGCCCGTTCTTGAGTCTTCTGCACTCATAAAGATACTTTCAAGTCGACACCCAAGACGGATGGACTGGTGAGCTAAGATTTTCTACTTTATATTAATTTGCTAACAAACTTGAAGTCTTGACTTTGGGAATCTTCAGTCGCTCATTTATACAGACCTTGCGCGAAATGTTAGCGAATGCAATGACGAAGAGGCTACCCAGCCAGTTGTTGACCTAATCAAGTCCAATGTCGACATTCAGTCTCAAAAGGATCCGGGACAAAATGCTAATGGAGATGCAAAAGAACGGGTGTTCATGGTAAGTATCACGACTTCACTTTACACTGAACTGGCTTTCTTACCACAGTTCCAGCCTGCGTCAAGGGTCTCTTGCCATATCGGTTTCGCGCAGCTTGCTACAAGTTTGCCCGATACGCAAGTCGATTGCACATTCCCTGTCCTCCTCGAGATACTTCGTGATATTCCGGTTATGAATTTCGACTCGACGTTAATTTGGGATAGTGCGTGAAGTGGTTTCATTCGTTAACTCTAAATCGCTAACGCGTAGCTTAATTACTTAGAGTGGGCTTTACCTGACCAGCTTGTTGCGACAACAGTATCTGCTCTTCTTCGGTTAGCCTCGTCACATCCGGATTACCGGACTGCTGCAACGTCATCTATTCTGGATTTTTCCTCCAAGATAATCGAGCAACTAAGAACAGAGCACCGTATGTTTCAAATAATAAATAACTTAGAAAGGTCTTTAATTACGTTTGCTAGCTAATGTTATATTGACGCAATACGCACCCTCATTCCATGGATTTTATCGAGCCATAGTTTCCACCCCATTCACGTGGTCCGTGGACGAATGGACTCGACTTACGGAGAATATCATGGCACTCTTATTACCCGAAGTTGTCGAGCATTTGAACGACTTGTTACCACAGTCACTTCAATCGACGGAATCAGACCCCGAAGAAGCTCACTTTGTCCATATCTTCCTGCTGCGCTACATCGCCCAGGATAGGCCATTAACTGGCTACTTCATCGTTTGCTGTGTTATGGAGATCATTTGGACCGTGCTTGCACAAACGCTCTCTCCCCCGTCCAGTGAGGTAGCAACGGATCATGAGGCAGAGATTCCCACGGAAGAGGAAGCGGAGGCAGCAAACCAAGTATGGGTTCGCTTGATACGTGATGCTGTTGAAGAGCAGGACAGTCTGCTGGATTCATCGCAGGAAACACTGAAGAAAGTGTCGGGATACGCAACACGATGTTTCTCGGACTTGTTGTTGCAGATCGAAGATATGGAAACTGAACCTTCTCTGGATACGTATGCATGGGAGACTATGTCAGAGTCACTAGTGAGTATTAAGTTGTGTCTACTATGATGGCCCAAAGTCTAAGGTTACATAGAAATTGGCATCGGTTTGCTCCGTTGCCTTGCAAGAGCCGGATGATGACCTGCTTTCTCGGTTACGGCATCTGCTTAGCGAGGAGTCGCCGATTTCTGATCATATGGTACAAGAAGCGGCGTTGAAGTCAACGACCGTCCTTGTTCAGAAGTAAGGACAGTTTTTAGCTTCTATATTTAGTCAATATTGATGAACCTCGTAAGCTTCCCTACCCTTGCGTCGGTCATGTCTGCACATCTTCGTCGGTTTGTAACTTCGCCTCTACCAATGTTCGAATACGAGTTTGCTGCCGAAACGCGGGCCCCGTTACCGCTAGCGGCTGCTGCAAAATGCCTGTCGTTATGCATTAAGCTCGCACCCGGCGATGACTTCGTAATGTCGAATATGTATTCATTGCTGAATTATATTTCCGCAACGAGCAAGGAAGCCCATGATGGTTCTTGGAGCTCGCAAGTACTGTCTTCTTCGTCTGCAAACTCGGAGGAACATACCGTCCAGTCACTAAAGTCCGGCCTTCAAGCATTCAATGAAGATCAGCAGCGCCTCATCGGGATCAGCACAATATCGGTAGTGACGAGCTTAGCACTAGAATTTAAGATTGACGAGGTCGGTCAATTGTCCACTTCCTGTGTTTATGATATACAGAACAAAACTCATCTAGCTATAGGTAACTCGCTTGACTGTGTCGATGCTGTTGCAGAGGCTTCGCTCAGCAGAACCGACAGTCGAAGCTGCAATTGTCTATAATCTTGTTGACCTTGCGATCATTTCACCACAAAGCACATTTATGGACATTATCAGAGCATTCTCAGTCATAAATCGCTCTGCAAACCGTGACGACCCACGTTTCTCAAACAACACTGTGCGTTTATATCAGCTGTGAACGTGATTCGTGGACTTAATCCCATTTTCGGTAGGTCGTCGCTGCACAGACAAGACTTGCACAAGAGCTTCGGCGTCGACCCGAGTTCCGAGAGATTTATCTCACAGAGCTATTGACCCTGTTTATTGACAAAGGCGTGGCGATCCAAAACGCTTCGGTTTCAAACCACCACTTGAAAGTGAGCAGAATCTTGTCGGCCCTATCCACTTGTGCTCATTTTCGCTGCCATTAAAGGTTGATGACATGGTTGACCAATTAGGGTCATTACTATTGCCCATCGATGCCCTCTTAACGCAACCTGACTTTGACCCATCTCACAACGCACCTATCGAAGCTATAGCGCTGTTCCGAAACCTGTGGTTCTTGAGTGTATTATTCCGCTTCACTAATCCCCAAGAACGAACACAGCCCACTTCCGATTGGCAGGTTGCTGCTTTGACAAGGATTGCAGCCAAAACACCTTCCATTGTCCTGGAAGAAGTGCCTGATTTTGTTACGAGCAACTTGGAATATAATACGGTCATTCGACAGGAATACGCGCAAACAGTAAGTGCATTATTTTAAGAGACTAAGGCCGACTTTTTTTGTGGAGGGTTAACGCTACTAACAGGCAACACATGATCACCGGACATTACTATTGAAGCTGCTTCCGCAACGGCATAGCGAAATTCGCTATTTATTGCCGAGTCAAGTCATCTTCCTGTTGGCGATGTATGATCTTGAGGCGATGCGTTCCTCGTTCGGCCTACCATCTTCTTTGCCTGTGTATTTCGTCAACGAAAGTGTGAACAACCACGAAACCTTATCATCCTGTATGGATTCGGTAGTAGACAAGGTGGGTCCGCTTTGCACTGTAAGTGGACCTAGTGTTAAACGTAGAGTACAGGTTCTCCAAATAGCGATTAGCGAGCTCAGCAAACAGGTTGTCGAACATAGCCTACCAGACGCAATGTCAAGCGAGCTTCAGAAACTGCTGGTATGGTCCTGCCATCGTGTACAACGTGTACGAGACGTTGCGACAAAGTATCTCAATCGCCTCATCACATCATTCCCGTCCTTGATGTGCGACAAGCCGCTGGTCTTTGCAATCCTAGAGATCTTGACTATCCTGCGGCGAGCCTGTGAGGGAGAGTACGCGGATGAGGTATGAGCATATTTTGTTTGGTTTTCTTGATTCTAATTCAACGTAGTACGACCCGGCATTTAATTTCCACTCTGAGCAATGTGGGGTTGACATCGAGATGTCGGACTCGTACAAGTCTCGCAATGAAATTTTATCTGTCTTACACAATCATGCGACCAATTGGTTAGGTCTTGCCTTGGCTAGAGCTCCACTCGAATTGCAGACAACGCTGCAGGTATATAACTTTTAACGGGCGTTGCTTGTGTCTCATGACGTTTCTCAGGAATACTTGGTGGCAAGCCGTAGTCCATCAATGCAGCCTGCTGAACTTGGCGCATCTGTTGCACTTCAGTTTGCAAGTGCTGTCGGGCCCTCTGAACGGAAGCTTGGTGAGAAAGATCGAGATCAACTCTTGGTCTTGTATGATCGTATAACTCACCTTACAATCACTAGTGCCCGTTTCGGGGAACTTGTCATGGCGGCCCGATCGCTCAAGATTGGTCACCACGCAGATTGCGTGCAAAGAGAGATACTTAGGAGAGACGAGTGGTGGCGTATTGCAACAGCCCCACAGTGAGCATATTTTCCTCGATACGGACTCTACCGCTTAGAGTGTATCTTGACTCATTTCTAGCTGAGACACCTGAATCTGGTCAAGCGGACCCGAAGGCAAAGATATCAAAAGTTCTAAAAGCAGTCCAAGCTAAAACTAGCTCAATGACTGTACCCGAAATGAAAGAACTTCTCTTCCAATGCGCAGCTTGCTTGATTCGTAGGAAGGTATGTAGTTTCTCCTAGAACGTCGAATATGTTTGATTTTGACCACCGTATTCAAGATCGATCACGAACTGCTTCATTACCTCGTTGCATTGCCATTTGCTGTCTTCAGCCCATTGGTGATTACGGCAAGCATTGAAGTCTGGACATGGGTCATTGGGGAACGCCCTGAGCTCGAGGTTCCTCTAATAACGGAGATTAGCATTGCGTGGAACATTACAATCAAGAAGACATCTGGCCTGTTCTGTGACTCTATGAAGTATTCTTTTTTTCTTCGAAATCTATATCCCGGACTAATATATCTTCATTAACCATAGCTATTCTGATCCTTTTACCCATGAAGTAGAATACAGCCCGACGGACAAATCGATCATCGACCTTGCGAGTACAGCCGCACGCAAACTCTTATCTCCGCACATTTTAATACTTCAGATGCTCCTTAGTCGATTTCAGGCGGCTCGATATCATAAGCCTGGGCTGATGCTGCTTATTCTCCGCCTTGTGCTCCGAACTTGTGACGAGCATAGGAGCATGAGGTGATATTGAAATCATCAGCTTCGCGTTCCATTTGTTAATATTTCTATTTTATAGCACTCATCCACTGGCTCGTGAAGCTCGTTTCTCTTTTTTATTATTCGGATTTGAGGCATTGAAAAGCTCGAAAATGGACGTGTTTTGTGAAAACAGGCTTCGTGAAGCTCTTTATCGAACGGCATTCTCCTGGTTTGCTGTACGCCCTCAGTGCGTATCTAATCTTTAGCAGTGGATTACCTGTTAATCTGTCCGCTAGGTGGTCTTACGGTGCGAATCGAGTTCAAGTGGAGGCCGACATTAAGATCCTCTCAGACTTCTTGAATATACTACAAACCGACTCCATCCGAGGCTCACACATTATTTCAAGCTCATCTTTCGCAACCAAAGTTGGTCCAGCAGGTATGTCCTTTTGTTGTCGCCAAGGTCAATTTGTCTTATAAGTACGAAGATATGGAGATGAAAAGCGCAAATCGCCTACTCCGACTTCTCGTAGAGAACGAGATTTTCCGGCTCACCGTGTGGAATAACCCGATGAACGACGTAAAACGCCTCATTGAACCATACAGCTCCATGGAGCGTGCCATGGTTGCAGTACGTCCATCGAGTTCTCTTCTGATGTATAACTGACGTCCTCGCAAGGATGCATGGGCGGACGAAGTACGCACTGCTTGGAAAATCGAGCCTGGTCTCGTTGCACACCTACCGGAACGGTTTAAGAACACCACCGTCGAAAGCGAATGTGGCAGATGGATACGAGCGCACACGCGAGAAGTCTTAGACTATCCTGAGGCTTTGGGTCACGTTGTCGGTGAAAGGCTCGATCATGGAATGCAACGTGATATGAAGGTTAAGATAGTCAGCTCTCTTTCTGTACATGACTAACGTGTCCTATGCAGTATGTTTTACTCTGGACGCCAGTAACTCCTATAGTCGCTGTCACGTATTTCGAGCCACGCTATTCAAATGACCCAGTGCTCTTACAATACGCGCATCGTGTACTGGAGCAGCATCCCGTCGAGTTGACATTCTTCTTCGTACCTCAAATCGTGCAAGCACTCCGGCATGACTCTTTGGGTTTGTATTGTAATAGAAATGGCGTCATTATGGAGGGACTGACTTCAAAATAGGCTATGTCAAGAGATTCATTTTCGAGACGGCGAAGATATCCCAACTTTTCTGTCATCAGATCATATGGAATATGAAGGCTAACTGTTACAGGGATGACGCAGCAGAAAAGGTACGTTGAGCGGCTTATTTGCTTGGAGTGCACTAGTATTAATGTACTGTACAGGAGGATTCACTGAAGCCAGAACTGGATAAAATGACTGATCTTGTGGTCAGCTCCCTCTCAGGCGATGCACGAGACTTCTATAATAGAGAATTTGGGTTCTTCAGTGAGGTCACCTCCATCTCTGGGAAACTGAAGCCTTACATCAAGAGGAGTAAGCCAGAGAAGAAGGTTTGCCTGTTCCGTGTTAGTCCATTAGCTGCAGTGTCTTAATGTCTTTTAGGCGAAGATTGATGAAGAAATGGCGAAGATCAAGGTCCAAGTCGGGGTTTACCTACCCAGCAACCCCGACGGTGTGGTCGTCGATATTGACAGAAAGTCAGGGCGCCCGTTACAGAGTCATGCAAAGGTACGCGTTTTTGTGAAGGCCTTGCAACTAATATTAACAACTGTCGCTAGGCTCCATTTATGGCTTCATTCAAAGTACGCAAAGAGCGTGTTGTGGTCAGCCAAACCTCCGACAACGTACTAGAAGATGAGGAGGCGGGAAAAGAGTCTGTTGAGGAGCAAGATATTTGGCAGGCTGCTATCTTCAAAGTTGGTGATGACTGTCGACAAGACGTGCTTGCTCTTCAAGTTATCGCTATGTTCAAGAATATCTTCACAAGCGTCGGATTGAACCTGTACCTGTATCCTTACCGTGTCACGGCAACTGGACCCGGGGTAAGATGGTCGTGCGTTACCTACTTCGTTTCTAACGCATGGTATAGTGTGGCGTGATTGATGTGGTCCCCAATGCAACGTCGAGAGATGAAATGGGTCGAGCCAAAATCAACGACTTGCTCGGTTTCTTCACGGCAAAATACGGAGGAGAGGATATGATCTCATTCCAGCGAGCCCGTCTGAATTTCATTCAGTCCATGGCTGCATATTCCGTCGCTTGCTACATACTGCAGATAAAGGATCGACACAATGGTAACATCATGATTGATGGGGAGGGGCATATCGTTCACATTGGTACGTTCCATCTAAAACAAATTTATTCGACACTCGTGTTGACTGTTTCTTTTCAAGATTTCGGCTTCCTGTTCGATATAGATAAGTATATACAATTCCTATACCGCGCCATATGCTGATAGTCTCTATGCTTTGATTACGTCCTGGAGTAAGCTTGCTTTCCGCATCTCTTCAACTTCTTATTGAGCGTGATTTCAGGGTATAAAGTTCGAGCCGAACTCGTTCAAGCTAAATCACGAGATGGTCGTTCTCATGGGTGGACGCTATTCAAGAGGATATGCATTATTCCAACAGCTCACAGTCAAGGCGTTCCTTGCTATCCGGCCTCATGCAGAACAGATTATTAGCACGGTCGAGCTCATGCTAGGCACCGAATTACCGTCATTCAAAGGCGAACCAACAATTAGGCGCTTACGAGACAGGTTTGCCTTGGGTCTGAATGAGAGACAAGCGGCAGACTTCATGATTGGCGTAATCAAGAACGCTCATGAAAATATGAGGAGTGTTGCTTATGATGAGTTCCAGAGGGTAGGTATTTTTTGCTCGTATCTGGCTGGTCTGGTTTATTAACATCGTTCGTCATTCAAGCTGCAAAATGGGATACCGTACAAGTAATCAGCAAGGCCAGTATTGACTCTTAATCTTTTCTTATTGATCAATGGGTATAATTTGCATGTGAGATAATTTCCACTTTTATTTTATCAAGTCGATTTACTAAATTTCATGACTGCATGCATTGAATACCTTGAAATATGTAACTACTCTGGCTTAGACAATAAAGGAGTATTAATTTTTTGAAATATGAGTACGCATGAGATTTGTGCTCTTTTGAGCCTTTGTGAGCATGCAATGTGCCATCAAGCAGTGTCAAATGATGCAGCAGAGATCAGAACGATGTTGGTAGTCATTTTGAAGCGTTTTGTTACATACTTATACGTCTGTATGTCGCATAGAGGTTATCATGAAAAGTATATTGAATGCTCTAGCAACCTACGTGTTATACATATTTGAGCTGTATCGGGATAGTATAGAGTGCTTCAAGCCATCACGCTGCAGCAGTCGATCCTAGTAGTGTTCCAATGCGAGTATCGAATTTATCACTTCGTATTGGCATCTCTGGGGTATGGAAGGGGTTCTTCATTCCCATATCCGCGTACGCTTCATACACTTTCTGGAGCAACGATTCCGCGTTCGCGTCGTGTAAGGAAGTCAAAAGTACGAATTTGGTGCCTAAAGATGTTCACTCAATAACAGTATTTGAAACAACGTATATTTCACGAACCTGTCGCACTGAGCAGTATGGTCATTTTGAACGTCTCCGCCTCAATTACTTGGGCTCCAGAGCTCGGTCCCGTAGGCGAGAGTCGACTTGTTATGGCGTGGACACCATGAAGAGTACCTGCCAGCACGAGATACTCATTTGCAGATAATTGATCGAGTCCGTCTTGGAACGAAAGAGGGCGTTAGAAGCTTCATTATTTATAATATAGATTGACGCATCTAACCAGCAATGTTACGCTGGTAGACCAGACCACCTGCTTTGTTGATGACCTACTTCATGAGCTTCAGCCAGCCTTATTCTATCAAATAAGCTGGAGAGAATATCTTACCCAGAGCCCGAAGACGACCATGACGGTTTCCGAAAGGAGTGGAACGCGACGTGTCGGGCCGATCTTGGCGGGTCACACGTAGCGATCGTGCTGGCCTTAGAGGATTCGGAGCGAAATTCCTTGAACTTAGACTATGCATGCCTCACCACCCTCCTTTCGTCCAGCAAGGTTGGCGCGGAGCTCACGAACACCGACACTAGGACCGGTTTGTCTTCTAGTTCTCTGCTGGGTCCGATTTTCGCTATGTGCGCAATGGCTCGGCGAACGTGCACTTCCAGAGTTGTCTCCTGGTCAAATAGCACAGCTCGCTTCAACGCCCGACCCGTCGAAGAACCTTGACCCGGATGACAAGTCGTCTCATTTGTCTCAAATACTCATTCCTCGACCGCGTGAGTTCCATGTATTCTCACTGACCTAGCTACAAATTCAAAAATGACGTGGATTTACAGCGGACACGGAGAATAATACGCAAGTGAAGAATTACATCGTGTCTGTCATGAAAGGATTGGATTGGGACGTTGAAGAGGATTCATTCATATCAGAAACTCCTTATGGTCCGAAAAGGTTTACGAATGTCATTGCTACGAAGGATCCTGGGGCACCTCGGAGAGTTATCCTGTCTGCACACTTTGACAGTAAATTCTTTTCAACGTATCCTTTAAACCAGGTTTGTGATATCTATTCTAATAACATATGTTGCTGACAAGATTTACACAGTTTGTTGGAGCTACCGATTCCGCGATGCCTTGTGCATTGATGCTAGATCTTGCAGAGGCGATAGATCCGTTATTAAATCGTAGAAGGGATCAATTGGAGGAAGGGTTAATAGACGATGAAGATGTAGCCGAGACTACTCTTCAGCTCGTTTTCTTTGATGGAGAGGAGGCCTTCAAAGATTGGACACATACAGACTCTGTTTACGGTGCTCGGTACGAACATCAACGTCTAGTACGCGGTGGTCCTAATAGGGTCCTTTATTTGTCTAGGCATCTGGCGGAGAAGTGGGCTACGACATATATTCCTCCTAATGCAAAGCGACGTTTACGAACGACGACGACGGAGCTTGCATCAATCGAGGTCCTTATTTTACTCGACTTGCTTGGTGCGAAAGACCCACTCGTTCAAGCATACTTTCTCGACACCGCTTGGCTCTTCGACGCGCTCGTCTCAGCAGAGAAGAGATTATCTGAACATGGTGAATTCGGTATGGATGCGGAACTGAAAGGTTACCGAAGCTTTTTCTTGCCGCGTAAAAGGATGCAGAATTATGGGTTTATCGAGGACGACCATATTCCGTTCATGCAGCGCGGAGTAAGCGTATTACATATCATTTCAAGTCCGTTCCCTCGTGTCTGGCACACGTTGAAGGTCTGTCCGGTTTCTTTCCTGACATTGCGAGTGACTTGATTAATGTGAATGTTGGACTTGTAGGACGACGCATCAGCATTAGACTTGGACACGATGGCTCGATGGAACATGATCATGCGAGTCTTCATGTCCGAGTATCTTGGACTACAACCAGACGAAAAGAAGGAAGTAGTGAAAAGAGATAACGGGGACCTCGTAAGTCATTTCTCGACCTGCTGGAAGGAGTTTGGTGAATTTACTGATGAGTATGGTGTCCCAGTAGCATCTAGAACGAAAACATCATTCCATTGAATTGTAATATCATAATTCATATTTGTCTCTTGGATGGACTCCTCAATCAATCTTGTTTTGCAATTGCTTTCTGACTTTTTCTGTTTTGGTCAATCACTGTACTACATTTGGGAATTTGATGTCTTCTAGATTCTGTCAAAGTCAAAAGGTGACGCGCTTTGAGACTCCGACTGAATGCGTCAATCTCCCTCTCTCGCTCGCGCCTCTCTGAGTCCCTTCACAGCCCCATCTTCTTAGTTGACTGTGTGGCTAGTCATCCCTGAAGTGACCATGTCGACGCGTACTAAACAAACACGCGCAGCTGCCCCAGTTCGTTTCGCAGCAGACGAAATTGAAGATTTTGATATGGGTCTGAGTGCCACTCAAGAAGATGGCGACGATAAGTGAGTTCGATTGCGTTGACTTTTCGTGCCGTGGTTCAGATCGTTGAAGCCTGCCGTACATGACGACGCAGTGTCATGGACATGATAAGTATTATGCAGGAGTTTCAGAGTGAGTTCCTTCTTGCACAATAAACTACGAAGGTCTTGCTCCTTACTCGAACATTTATGGTCCATCGGCCATTTGCTAATTGATGAACACGAATTTAGAGAAGAAGAATGCCAAAGCGTCGACTCGCAATGCTGCGTTTCAGAGTAAGAAGACCGCACTCATTGCCGGAGCTCGTAAAGAAGCGGAAACGATGGTCCGTGAAGGGCGCGCATACATGTGCGTTTAAGTCTCTCCAAGTCTTATCCTTTCACAAGCGATGTTACTTCCGTCGTTGTCCGACATCCATCTCTGGAATTGGCTACGAGGTGAATCATGTCTAACAAGAAAATCGCGTATATATACAGAGAACAAAGCAAGACGCGCATTGAAGAAATGCGTTCGCAAGAGCCTTCAGTCGACGAGATGATGAAGGACGCGATGCGCCTGTGGTCCGCGCATGAAGTGAGTCGTTGAACCTGCAATGGCGATATTCAAGTTAAAGCATTGAGTATACAGGAAGCGTTTCAGTCAATTCTATCAGTCTACCCAGAACTTATTGACGATCTTTCGCCTCAGCGTGCTCAGGACGTTAATGCTGCTAGCGAGATGTGTGAGTGATAACTCTGTTTCTTATTATTTTAATTTCCGAGTCTAAGGAATATCTTATGATATGCAGTGGAAACACATCCTCTTGCACGCGAGACATCCCGAAAGCGGTTGATGAGAAACGCACGGAAGAATATGGAGGCCGGAATAGAAAACCAAAAGGTTAATCTTTTAAATGTTCAATGCTAACCGACTCTCAGTTGCTAACGTGCTTTCTATTGCGTTAATCAGGTTGCAACGGACGCGAGTGCGCTAATCAAGCATTACAAGGCTCTGTTGCTGATCTAGGACAACATACATCTTCTTTCCGAGATGTCATCTCCGGCGGCTCGATTAGTTTCTGCACTTTGTCCTACTGATTTTAGCTGGACATTAGTATGCTCGGGAAGGACTCAGCTATTCTGATAAAGGAAAAGGATCGGCGGCGATGAATTGTTCCTAGAGTAGTGCATAGAGTTTACTCTAATGCTTAATTTCTGCAAAGAAACGAGTAATTGATGACAGCGTGACGTCATCGCCAAGGCGGAAGCATCCACCGCAGCTGCCTGCTGCTATAGCACGGGGTTGATCGAGAAATGAAAGAGGCGTGTGGGGAATTGCACAGGAAAGTGATGGATGGTCAGCGCCCGCGATGGACGCTCAGGCTAACTGCTCAGAGCCTTAGACAAATTGACAGCGCAGTGATGCCGAGAGAGACGAGCCGGTAATCCGCGCAATGACGCTCATTCGCTGACTCAAACACATGACTGACCCGATCTTACTGGGTCCAGCGACCGTCTCGCAAAAATAGTTTGCTCTATCAACTGCGGTTCCAGTCTCCAGGAGGAATTTGAGAGATGCAGGGAATCAGCTGCTAGATATAGAGAAGTTATGTGGGATTCGGATGTCAGCCCTTACCGGGAACGCCGACGGGCTTCTTCGTCTATTGCTCGATTTGTGCAGTGAGATCGTCTCTTCTTTGGACGCAAGCAGTACTGGTAGTAGTCTTCCTTGGCCACACAGTAACTACGAGGCGTGTTCGTTGGGTCACTCGCGAATAGATACCTGAGAAATGATGTCTAAGTCTGAGTAAAAAAATGCGAAACGCGGAGAATGATTGGGGAGTCATAAGCCATTTCTGCTTAGTCGTGTAGGATTGGGTCTCAGCCGGCGTGACGGAACGCACTGGCTTCGGACTCCAGGCGCTGTGGGTAGATCATACGTCCGTTGATTCCTTGCTCCCTTCCCCTCTCTCTTTCTCTCCCGCTTTCATCATCGTCGCATCGGTCGACTCCTATCCTCTCCGTCCCAACGCCGCGCCTCCATGGTCGCAAAGGCTCGCCCTCGCAGGCGTAATGGTGGTGCTCACCGCCTCGTCGCGTGGTATGACAAGCTCGCGGCGTTCAACGTCGAGTCTCTCTTCGCCAAATCAAAGCAGGTTGGGCCACCGCGTACGGTGTTCATAAATGAGGACCTGCCACAGGATTACTTTGACCAGAAGGGCCGTATCAAGAAGGAGCATGTGTACAAAACGAATCAGGTTGTTACCTCCAAATACACTATCGTCACTTTCCTTCCGCGCAACCTGCTTGAGCAGTTCAGACGGATAGCAAATATGTGCGTGTCGTTGACTGTTGTGGTATATTATGAACAAATGACTAATGATAACGTATTCTATGTAGATTCTTCGCCTTCATTGCAATTCTACAGTTCTTCCATCAATTCAGCACAATTTCTCCAGGACTTGTCATCCTTCCACTGCTCATCGTACTCGCCATCACTGGTGTGAAGGATGGGTACGAGGATGTCAAGCGGCATCAATCGGACCGGCAAGTCAACCAGTCGCATATACGTGTTCTCAGCGGAGGCGCGTGGAACAACCCCAATGTCACGCAGGCAAAGAGTAGGACGTTCTCTCAGGTCATACAGAAGCTGGGGTTGGATAAGAAGAGCAAAAGGAAGAAGGCGGGGCAACAAGGTGCGCCGCCGGAAGTGGAATTAGTTGAGCGTGGGGGCGTTCCTGGGGTTGATCACGCTGCACCCGCCAACGAAGATCCAGAATTACATGATATTGAATTTGACCATGATCATGAACCACGCTCGCCTACCCTGGCCTCGCGGCCCTCGTACGATATACGCTCACCATCGCAAGAGCTACATCGACGATCCATACATGCTCCGCACTTCGGTCGGAAACGGGATACGTCCGCGCCGCACTGGCGGCGCACGGCGTGGGAGAACGTTCGGGTGGGAGACTTCGTAAAGATTGTGAACGAGGAAGCGTTCCCCGCGGATATTCTTATCTGCGCGACTTCCGAGGACGAGAATGTGTGCTTCGTCGAGACGAAGAACCTGGATGGCGAGACGAATCTCAAGTCGCGGAATGCTGTTCCTGCACTCACGCAACTCCGTACGGCGGATGCTTGTGTTGACCCGTCACTAGCTCGTTTCCGGATTGAACTTGATCGACCGGAACCGAATATGTATAAACTAAATGGTGCTGTGGAGAAGGATGGGCAGAAGCAGCCTATTGACTTGCAGACTGTGTTGCTTCGAGGAACGGTATTGAAGAACACGAAATGGGTGATCGGCGTGGTGATGTTTACAGGAGAGGACACGAAGATCGTTTTGAACGCCGGTGGCACACCAAGTAAACGAAGTCGAGTGGAAAGGCAGATGAATCCTCAGGTGTACGTTGGCCTGCATTGATTATCTGACTCGTCTGACGAAATTTCCATTATTTTAGTTTCTTCAATCTCCTTTTGCTCGCTGGAATGGCGGTTGCTTGTGGTATTGTTGACCATATCCTAGAAGCTCGATATTTCGGTACAGGAGCTCCTTGGCTGGTTGGGGATAACCACAGCGACGACAATCCAAACATTAATGGTCTCATAACCGCTATATTTGCGCTCATTACGTTCGTTCTCATCATGTTACGGTTTCTATCCAAGACTAATCTATCTTTTCTTTCTATTCAGGTTCCAAAATATCGTTCCAATCTCGCTATACATCTCAATAGAAGCCGTCAGGACTGTGCAAGCGGCGTTCATCTATTTCGACAAAGACATATGGTATTCCAAGACAGATCAACCCACGCTAGCGCGCTCGTGGAATTTGTCTGATGATCTTGGTCAAATAGAGTATGTCTTCTCGGATAAGACGGGCACGCTTACGCAGAACGTTATGGTCTTCCGGAATTGCTCGATTGGTGGGAGGGTGTACAGAGGCGAAGGGGTATCTGAAACATCTGAAGGTTTTGCAGATGCGAAGAACGACCAAGTCGTCGATATACGTCTCTCTGCGACCGCTTCAGCTGATGAGTCATCCAGACCTGGCTCGAGCAATCAACTTCCTGCGGAAAAGAGGAGTGTCGACAAGAGCCCTACCCGGGTTCCAATAGACCCTATTGAGGCACCTGGTGTTGAACTTTCAACTGGTGTGGCGAACCATTTTCATAACAACGAACTCGCGCAGGACCTTGCAGATGCGATTCACGCAGATGAAAACTCGGAGAACGCCGGCCATGCGCGGACGCTGAATGGGTTTTTCTCTGTGCTTGCCCTGTGCCATACCGTGATCGCTTCGGTGGAGCCGGAGACTGGAAGGATTAGTTACCGCGCGCAGAGTCCGGATGAGGCGGCGCTCGTGCAGGCTGCTGCTGATGCCGGGTTCGTGTTCCGTGGACGCGACAAGGAGATCTTACGTTTGCAGACTCCGTTCTCGGAGGAACTGGAATTGTACGAGCTGTTGAACGTCCTGGACTTTACGAGCGCCCGGAAACGGATGAGTGTGATTGTGAGGAAGTTAAACGAGGATAATCGGTTGTTCTTGCTCACCAAGGGCGCGGATAATGTTATCTTTGAGCGGTTGAAACCTGGGATAAATGACGAGTTGAAGGAGATTACAGGTCATCACTTGGATGAATTTGCAAGTGAAGGCCTGCGCACGCTAACCTTGGCGTACAAGGTCATTTCTGGTAAGACGCTTCACTATGATATTGTGTTTCATTCAGATGCTTATTCTGTTATCTTTCTATAAGATGAGTATTATGAAGAATGGGCCGAAAAATACCAAGAAGCTACTGTCGCACTTGATAATCGTGAAGACAAGGTTGCAGAAATCTGCGAAGAGATCGAGACGGACTTGCGACTACTTGGTGCAACTGCTATTGAAGACAGGTTACAAGATGGCGTACCTGAAACTATTGCGGACCTCAAGTTAGCTGGGATCAAGGTCTGGGTTCTGACAGGCGACAAGCTCGAAACGGCTATTGCAATTGGGTATAGCACGAACCTCATCGCGCCAGAGTCCAACCTCATCGTTATTCGTGGAGATGTAGAAGATGGGTTGAGCATCTTTGATCAGATGTACAACGCAGCAGAAGAGTTCTTCCCCGAGGCGCATATTATTGAAGAAGAGGCGCTGGATATTAATGAGAAACATGGTTTCGAGGTTAAAGGGGGAGAAATGAATGGATTTGGAATGCCGTTACGAAGAGTAAATACAGGTGTTTCGTCGATTGTGGGGACGAATAATGGGGATCGACCTGGAGGGTTTATCTTGGTTATTGAAGGGTCGGCTCTTACACACGTCAGTATATTTTATTTGTGCTCATGCTTAACGATCACTTACCCCTATCTCTTTTGCATACCAGGCATTCGCGGACGATGATAGCAAACGGCTCCTTCTCCGACTATCCATCCAATGCGAAGCTGTTATTTGCTGTCGTGTGTCCCCGCTGCAAAAAGCGCTAGTCGTAAAGATGATTAAAGAGGGGATTGGTGCGATGACTCTGGCGATTGGCGACGGCGCCAACGACGTTAGCATGATTCAGGCGGCGGATGTTGGTGTTGGTATCTCTGGTGAAGAGGGTCTTCAAGCTGTCAATTCATCGGATTATGCTATTGCACAGGTGCGTGTCTCGTTATTTCGGCACAACATAGAGAGTTACTGATTGACGATATTATGCAGTTCCGATTCTTGAAGCGATTACTACTCGTCCACGGACACTGGTCCTACGCACGGAACGGTAACATGTGAGAGCAAACATTGTCCTTTTGCTATGTAGTATTCGATACTGACTTTGGCGCTAGGATTGTCAATTTCTTCTATAAGAATATCATTTGTATTGGCTGTCTATGGTGGTTTATGATTTACTGTGGTTGGAGTTCACAATACGTCTTCGAGTATACGTACCTCCTATTCTGGAACGTGTTCTGGTCGCTGTGTCCCGTGATCGCCATCGGGCTCTTTGATCGTATAGCAGGTAAGTCACGTTGGCGTGTGGTATTGTTTGATTCCAGGTTGCTTAACACTCTATGTAGATGATGATATATTAATGGAGATTCCTGAACTCTATCGATATGGACGCGAGGGATATTGGTTTGGGCACAAGACATTCTTGATTTATATGTTTGACGCTGTGCTCCAGGTAAGTTATTGTTAATCAATCTGACAATGATCTGTTGGTAATCTTATATTCTCGTTTGTAGTCGGCCATTATTTTCTTCCTTATAACCTACTCGTACTTCATGCCGACTGCAAGACCTGATGGATTCGATGTAGCGCAATACGAGTTTGCAACGGTATGTTATCACAGGCTTTATTGACTTAACGGAATAGAGCTGACGTTGAGGTTACTTCGCAGACGATGGTGCTCTCGGCGGTCATGGTTGCGAATATGTATAATGGATTGAACACAGCTGCGTGGACTGGCTGGGTGTTCTTTGCTTTGTTCATCGGTATCGTCCTCGTATGGGCGTATACTGTAAGTTCTTCGCTCGACAAGAGTTATATGTCCGCGTACTGACTTCATTTCAGGCCATCTATTCCATCATCTCTCCTGGCTGGTTCTACGTACCCGTCTAGTATGACATTTCCTCTATTCGCAATAAATGACTCTGCTGACGCCTGTCTCCTCTTTCAGTGGTAACGACCATTATCTCTTCCACTCAGCCATCTTCTGGCTCTCTATACCGCTCGTTTTCTTCCTTTCCCTCGTCCCTCGGTACCTCGCCAGAGCCTACCGATTCAACATCAACCCAACAGAGATCGACAAATTGCGTTGGGTGCGCAAGCTCGATCCAAGTCGAAAGACACGCGAACAACTTCTCGGCGAACCACCAAAGGCAAAGAAATCAAAGTTACAGGGTCTCGCTGCCTTGGCTGGTTCACGACCTTCTCTCGTGGACCGGAGGGGGAGTCGTACGGACATGGCTACGGGTCTTCGGGGTGTACATCGTGGGTTTGACTTTGCACAGGAGGAAGGAGGGGTTGCGATTCAGAGGATACAGACTAACCTTTCGGAGAGGAGGTTACAGCAATTGGATGAACGGAAGAAGCAGGGGAAGGATAGGAAGAACTCGAGGTCGAGGTTACGATTGTTCTCGCTTAGTCGGGGGTCGAGGAGAGGGAAACGATCGGGACTCTCGGGTGAGGTGTCGGAGTCGTCTCATCATCAGCAAAGACCGCCCTCGTCTGAGTCATAACCTTTAATCGTCCTGCTTTCTCAGTTGCACTCCCCACGTTTTTAAACATGCAATCGTAAACATATATATGCACTCCCGCTTTGATTTTCGCCTTTCGATTTTCGATTTCTTTCCTTTCTGTCACGACCTCCTCACGTCCTTGATTATTATATATTCCGCTAGTCCTGTTGTTTTTCCTAGTAGTACTCATTATCATCCCCGCAGCTAGCCCCTCACGTTTAGCTTAATGACCTGCCCCTCCCCCTTCCCCTCGTCCCCTCCCCTCTGCCATCCCCTTCCTCTCTCTCAATCAATCAAACTCCGAACAAAACAAAATTCGTATTCGTTCTTCACGCCCGTCACTCGCTTCATTTAGAATGTGTATTGTCTCAGTGTATCATGCTAGTGGATGTTTTTTATTCCGCCCGTCATTCTTTTCTGTGATCTCTCGCATCCGTTGATCCCCATCTATCACGTCGTACACCCTGCATCTTACACTCCTCCACCACACCACCATCTGCGTTTGGACTCATTCTCTCTCTCACCCTCTCGCGTATTTATGTAGATGTCATATTCTCTCTCTCTCTAGCTCTCCATAGTTTCCATACATATGTCTCAGGCTTGCGAAAATTAATAAACACGGATTTCGGAAAGAAGAAATTGATTGCTGGGCCTATACATGCAGTATATATGACTTTGGCTACTGCTAAAGCAAACCTCTAACTCTAACAAGCGTACCGTTGTACTAATACTACTGTATGTAAGGACCAAATTAAAAACGAGACTTTTATAGCTCAGCCAGATTGACTGACAGAGCAATTGTTGGACGGATGGGGGGAACACCATTACCAGAGGCGATATGTACAAGACCGATACTGTTACTGTTACTGTTACCAAGGGCAGAAGAGATTGGTCTCTGACTTGGGGAACTCGGAGGTCATACGCATCGACCATGGTAAGCAGACAACAAACAACGATGAGTTGTCGTATAGACCATGCCAGAACCTCAGACGGACGGACAGACAGACAGACAGACAGGCGGGTCTCTGCAAACCCACACAGCATAGGGCTTACCACCGACCATGGAGATGGACTCGGGAGTGACTTAGGACTGGCTCGCAGCTCATCGTCATCTCATCAATATATGCAGACGAGTGACAGAGTATGTCTTTGTAGAGGCGAGCAAGTACTCCTTGCACTAGAAAACGGTAACACCAGACTGAGTGCCTGTGTATTGCGACTTCATATCGTCAAGGTCTGCCGAGTCGTCCTGGCTCTTATAGTCAAACTGCGAGAGACTGCCCATGTCCGAAGCGCCTGCCATGGATGATAGCGATCCGCGTCGACGGAGACGGTCTGATTGGGAATATGCGATGCTGCTTGCGCGCTCTGATGGCGCTGCGCCTCCCACGACGCTCGCGGAGTCATTGACGCTATTTCCGACGTCCTGCGAGATAATAGAGCTTGCATAGCCACCATACACGCTGCGCTTCTGGCCGTTCGCAGTGCGCTGCAAGCTCTGTCCGAAAGGTCCGTTTGTAGCAGCAAACATAGGCAAGCCCGAAGAGTAAGTTGCCTGCGAGCGCAAAGATTGAACGTCGGATGGAATATATCCCAAAGGATCATGACTCCGATAGAAGCTCGCGTCGAACCTGCTAGGTGTACCGGAACGACCGCTTGAACCACTGAGGAGATCCCTAGCGTTGACCTCGTGACGGCGGTATTGGTCAAGAGACTTGTTGAGCGCACGCCTCGGTTTGCTGAATTGAATCATGCTAGGCTGCAGATGATTCAGCGGTCCTTCAACTAGACAATTCTTCTCTTTATAATGTGTCAGGAGATAGTGCCAAAGAGGATGCTATAGTTTTAATTTTGAGATGTGAGTTTCAAGAATAATCAGAATCAGAGATGTGAGATGCTCACCTTGCTCAAGACCTTCGGATTGCCAAGGATGACTATACCGTACTTCGCACGGGTAAGAGCAACGTTCAGACGTCTGGGGTCATTCAAGAATCCAATTCCCTGATGCTCGTTGCTCCTGACACAGCTCAAAATAATATAGTCCTTCTCACGTCCCTGGAATGCATCGACGCTAGCAACTTCGACCTCCTTGTACAGATCCTTCTTCAAGGAACCATTGAATTGCATGTAGTTCACGATGTAAGAACGCTGACCCTCGTAAGGCGTGACGATACCAATCTGAGCCGGTACAACACCGGATTTAAAGAACTTCGTGACAATCTTCTCGACGTTGGAGGCCTCCGTCCTAAGAGACAAACAATTAGATATGCGCAAATGAAGTCACGGATTACATACCTATTAAGGAATGAAGTGCCACTGGATGAGATTTCTTCCTGTCCAAGATTCTGGTAGAAGAACATAGGAGTGTCAGGAACAGGCCAGGGGAAATCGACGTTCCTCCTCAGACGCTCTGGAGCAGTCACACCATTCTGAAGGGTTCCTTCGTAGAACATATTTGAAGGGAACTCCGAAAGGCACGGGTGCATGCGATATTGGACCTGCAAGCGAATTGGACGGTTCCCGAGCACGACAAGACGCTCGAACAGGGACTGAGTGAGGCCAGCACGAGCAGCTTTCTTGTTCATAATTACTGGTCCGAGTTGCTACAACACTGGCGTCAGGAGCTATGAGGTAATCTTAATAGTCAGTCCGTCTCACCTGGTGATCACCGACGAGCACGACCTGTTTGCATCCAAGGACGAGAGGAATCATGCACTCTAAACCATGGTCAGACACTGGAATTAGTCATTTCGCTCTTGTACATACCTGGCTCAGCAGCTTGAGTAGCCTCATCGATCAATACCGTCTTGAACTTCAATTTGCTCAGTCTCGGGTCACCACATCCTACACAGGTCGCGCAAATCACGTCTGCCGCGCTCAGAATCTCCTTCTCGCACTGTCTAATGAGTGTCTTGTACTTTCTCTCGTCATTGGAGCTTAGTTCTCCTTGCTCATTCTTCAGTAGGATAAGCTTCTGCAGCTCAATGTTTGTCGTGTTGTTCGCCACTTGACGATGAAGTGTGAGGAAGGCGACCGAGGAATCAAGCGCTTCGCGGGACTTTGCCGTCAGCCGGACGACTTTCAGTCCCGTTGAGTGGATCTTCTCGGTGAGTTGATCAACCGCAACGTTTGAGGGAGCGCAGACGAGAACCTGGCCGGGATTCATCTTAGCAAGGTGGTAGACAATTGAAGCGGATGTAACAGTCTTTCCAGTACCAGGTGGACCCTGTAATGAGGATTAGCTCAGTTTAGTCATCTTCCAATGATTTGTAACAATTTCAATAGGCATACCTGAATGAGACTAAGAGGTTTTTGCAGAACGCTCTTTACTGCGTACATCTGGGAGTGGTTCAACTCCGGGAGGCCCGGAGCGGAGAACCTCTTTGGCATTAGAGTCCTCAGAACTTGCGGTTCAAGCTCATGGCCGAGGAGTTTGTGGTACTGGAAGAGTTGGTTAGTTGACAAGCCTTGGTAGATATGAAGTCAATCTTACAATATACCCGCTGACACTCTTCTCATCTACAGCAAAGGTTTTCATAGCAAGCTGCATACGATCGAAACTAGTTGACTTCCATACGAAATCGACGATGAAGTTGTGGGTGAGCTCGGTTGGTACACCCTCGCTTTTACGCAATTCGAGACCGACTTCGTCAGAAACATCTACATCGAGTTAGTTCCGCTGGCACTCATAGAAAGACCAAAATTCACTTACTGTTTGGAATCTTGAGTACGTGTCCAACACCTTCCCAAGGCTTATGCAACTCGCCCTGGTACCGCAGACGTAGTTCATCGCCAACCGCAAGTCTAACTTCTCCACTCTCCAACTTTGGCAAGTTGAACCACGCGATGCGCTTGTGATTGAGACCCATGTCCCAACGAACAGAAACGTCTGTCTGTGTCTGGCTCTCCTTCAGGCGTTTGTCATAATCCGCTTCTATCTTTACTAATGGGCCAAATATATTCTGATACTGGTAAGCATCTTCGTAGCGTACGAGGATCGGCTGTGGTTCGTCATCCACACCCGGCTTGTCCAAATCTTCGAGTGTCGCATTTGCATTCTCCCGCCACAAGTCTTCAAGACGGTTAATTTGTGCGAAAGAAATTTGGCGTGACCGTAGTTGTTCCGCTTCACTAGGAGGTTTTACAAGCCAAGAAAGGAACGAACGATCGTCAATTAGAGGTGCCCATAATGCAGCATTCCAGGAGATATCTTTGGATATCGCAGCGCAGGGTTGACTAGAATAAGTTCAATGACATGCGCCTATAAATAGAATAGAGTGCTTTGAGCGCTTACCGACACAGGAGTACGACAACTGTGTCGCTCTTCGCAGGGATAAAACCAAGCATAAAAACATTTCTGCTGCCACAATTGTAGCATTCTGGTACTGTTTCGCCAAGCGGGGATTCGGCATGTAAGATGACTTCCTTGTGTTTAGCGCGCACGAGATGATTAACAATATGCGAAGCCGAAGTGTTGCCACGCGAGTTACAAAACCACTTGCTGCAGATGATGCACTTCACAACAGAAGAAGGTGAATGAATACCACAGTAGCTGTTCTGTGTTAGTTTCAATGTTCAATCAGTTTCAATGTAAATATGCATACCTGCATGCATGGGGCGGCAACTCCACGGCACTTTCATCCTTTAAGTCGTCCAGTACACCATCCAGCTCTTCATCCACGGCATTAGCCCTCACTACCGCATGTCCATCTGCATTCACCCTGCCGGTGTTATTTCCCACATCTCTACTATCGCCCGAAATGGAGAGGCTTGAAAGTGATTCAAGATCGGCCGGAGTTCGGTTTGATGTGAAGCCAGAAACAATGGATGAGGTATCATCAACGATAGGCAGCCCACCGTACGTTGAACCCGATTCGTATTGGAAATTTTCAAAAGAGTCCATGATGAGAGTAAGAATCAAAGGAGGATCGCGTTTCGACTACGCAAACCATGATTGAAAGCACCATGACTTAGGCCACTGCATTACGTAATATAATGACTCCATTCACTTTTTGTTATCATTACGGACTTATATTACTACTACAGGAGCTTATCACTATTCCTGTATTCCTGCTACTACCTGTTTCTCGACTAAATAAATTAACCAACTGGATTTTGACTTGTAGAAGCAAACGAAATTCCTCATGCAGCCATAGGTTTTGATCAAGAACAATTACGCTCTCAACGTGTGGGCCGGGGAGGCATTGCAAGGCATGGAGTACCTTTCTGCACCTTTCCCCGATGTAGGAAGACAGCTGTCAGGCAGAAAAAGTGTCATAAAGGTAGACATAGCTGAGAACACTGCCAAGGTCAGGACGGCCAGTGGAATCTAACCAGGCGGTATTGTAATTAATATCCAGTAGTATTTGGAAGTTGCATAATGGGTCAGGGTGCAGTGAATTTTCCGAATTAGCAAACGAAAAATATCTGCACGGCGTGATATTACACCATCACTTATTAAAGAACAGACTGATAACACTGAATGATCAGTAAACAATTGATGTCCTAGAAAACGATGCCAGATTAGCCTGACAGTTAATAAATTCCGGACGGAAAGGATAAACGAGTAAAATCAGCTGGCTGTTCTTAGTTTTTGTTGTTAATTTTCCTCAAACACCATTGGTGTCGGAAAAGGTGGAAAGGTTTCTCATCAAGTAGGAGGACGGATTGACTATGAACGGTTGACTCACTACCAAAAAAATTAGGATACAACTTGTCCATTTGTTCGTATTGAAGCCTCGAGTGAACGACTACCTGCAAGATGAAACAGTCAGAACATGGAACCGTTGGTAAAGGTGTTTGAATGACACGGAAAAAGGAAAGGAATCAGAGGTGCAAAAGGTTTGGCTAAGATGCTCTGCCGATCGTCAAAGTCGATGGACTACGACTGGGGCGGCAAACGAAATCATCACGAAGATAGAATATGAAAGAGGCATGTCATTAGAACCTACTTTTTTCGACCTGTCGTGCACATTAGTTGGTTCAGAGGTAAAACAGAGTGAGGAAGGTAAAGACGAGTTTTTCATATGTGATCAGCACGTGGAGCGCCAAGAGTAGCAGTCGGATCCCACGGCCGGATTAGCGTTACCTTTGATTAACGCGGTTGATCGCTGTTGCCACATGGGTGTGCACGGTCTTACAACATTCCTCAGAGAATACAGGTCGACTTTGTCGAAGACCATCCATTTCTCTCCTCAGTATGCTGAGTATACGCCCCTAGTAGTCGATGGATGGTCGTACGTTATATCGACGTTGTCCTGCTAATCTAGACTGACCATATATGCGTCGTGTACAATCTGCGTATGTCTTGCTTCTTTAGCTTCATCTACAAATTATTTGAGGACTCTGGCCTGCCATGGGTATATGGTGGTGAATATGATGTGTTCTCTGAACTCATCGTCAAGGTCGTCAAAGCCTGGTTGGCTGTTCGGCTTCGCCCAATTTTTGTCTTTGACGGTGAGTACAACTGCTCATACCTCCCGAGCTGAGACTTCCTTTCTGACTGACGTACGTTTCCAGGATCCTTACCACCAGTCAAGTTCGCAACAGCCGTGTCTCGAAAAATCGAGTCCTTTATTAAACCATCCGAATTATTCTTCCGGACCTCCGCTGCTTCGCGAAACAAGCGCTGGTTCTTGAACGAATCGTACATTATTCCTCCTCTGGTGCACACTGTAACTGTTCATACTCTGTTCTCCATGCAAGATGAACTGGCTGGAGGTCATCTTTCTGACGATGAGGAAGAAAGACTGATCGAGCTCCACTTTGCCGATGAGGAAGCCGATTCTTACGCAGTAGATTTAGCGGGACGTGTTGGAGGTTATGTAACCGGCAGAGACTCCGATTTCGTCGTTTATAACAGCGAGGGTTACCTTGGATATATTCCATTGGAGGAAATGGTTTGGCTCATTTCTGAAGAAGAAAATGCACAGGACGTCTCCGACGAATTAGATGACGGATTCCAATCTGTGAAGAGGAAGAAAAGGTCTGCACCGAAACAAACGTCTACGTTTGGAATGATTCCTCCAGATGCGGAAATATACTCTTTATCAGTATCGCTATTTACTCCCTCCGCCCTTGCACAGCTCCTCAAACTGCCTGTGTCTCTGCTTCCTCTTCTTGGGGCTATTGTCGGGAATGATTACACATTACCAGCATCCGATCGGCCGGTGTATGCGTTTAACCCAAAGAGCTTCCAGAATCTCTTATTTGAACGGCGCTTGAATCTCCCTCGGCGTATCTTGCACGCGAGCTCCGTGCTCAATTCTTGTCTACATGGACACTCCAGCAAGCGAAGACAGAAGAAACCCCAAAGTGTTATGGAGCTTATTCAAATGACAATCGGAGCTCTCCTTACTGGTAGTGGTGCACCCGCTGTTTTAATCGGAAGTGGACAGCAAGAGGCAATCGTTGAAGCTGTTGCTGAAGGCACTTTACCCTATGCAATTCCCTTGCGACCCGCAGACGATGTGTTCCTATCTGAAACAGTATGTGCGCTTCATGAGCCTTTCGAATGCCAGCTTGTAGCACAGATGGATAGAACGGGAATAGAAGGCTTGTCAAAGCATGCAGAGGCTGTGTCTGCACTGTACTTGCGCGCCTATCGCCTTGGCCAGTTTTCACCTCTTTTGATGGATATACTTTCTACGAGGACAAGTTGGCCTAGAATTTTCTTGGAAAACCCGGACATGGAGGCTGTTTCACGCAGCGTATCTCGTCATGTACGAGAATTTGGTTATGCATTATTAGAAGCAGGAGTCATAATCCCTGCTCCACCGGTAACGGAGAACGAGGCTGAGAAGCCTGAGGATGAAGCCGATTCGGGAATGGAAGAAGATCCAGACGAGATGATTGATGTCGTGGAACAGTGCGAAGAGGAGTATGAGTACGAGGATGAGATTTCAGCAGATGTTGGAAAGCTTCGTGGAAAATTGAGGGAACTTCAATTTGACGAGGATGACCCGGATAACGTCGAACATTCGATAGACGAGAGGAGCTCCATGGCAGAAGACAGTTCCGTAAAGGGCTCGACTGCAGCGAGTTCATCTGTTCGCAGTCCTGCTCCCTTGTACCGTCCCGCCTACGTTAGGAAAGCCATTAGTGCCCAACGCAAAGTTGTGACGGAGTACGTACGTCGTGGTGCGCGCGTTGTGACTGAAGAAATCGAAGTTCGGCCTCTTCGTCAGTTCAACATTTTAGAGGAGGACGAGACGACGACGATTCCGGTTCAACTGCGTTCCGAAGACGATCGCCTCAATGTCCTCTTTAGGTTCTTACAGATTGACCCTCAAGAAATATCTGCTCTACCTGAAGAAGAGTGGATGCCAATCATGGCTCTTCGTTTGGTCGTACGAAGAATGCATGATCGCGCGGCGGAAAATATCACCTCAAAAGAAAGACAACTAGAAAAATGGACGCGTAGGGAGGCCCGTACATTTCTTGCATCTATCTCTCAGACAGCTTCTTCGCGGACGTCTTCCCTTGAACCACCCGCTGAGATTTCCGAACGTGCGATTCAACTTACGGCGCAGATATCCACAGCGTTAGAAGCTCTCGAACATCTCATACAGATTCTACTTCTTGCAGATGCGATACCGGGATGTGTTCATCGTTTCTCGGGACTTCGGTTCCATAGTCTCCTTGCGTTGGATACGGACGTTGACGTTGCGGATGATATTTGGCGCGTCTTCACGAATGGTCTTAATGCTTGTTTCGAAGAAGAGCGGAAAGGTAAGAAAGCGAAGCGGAAGGCACAAAAGGAGGATTCGAATGGGAACGGGAAAGCGAAAGTTACTTCACTTCCTAGTGGTAGAGCTAAAACGGCTGGTAGGAGTGGGATGTATAGTATCTTAGCGGGCATGTCGGCTTGATTTATTATTGTTATACACAGTTCTGGTCTTACGCGACTTTCGCGTTTTTATTGCTGTAGTAACGTCTTTTGTGTATCTTTGCTGTCGTCATAAGATAGTTTTTGCTAGGTTTGTATTATGTGTTACAGAATGGGTCGTGTGTATGAGGGAGTTTATTAGGGTGATGTGGAGAGTAGTGCTCTGGCGACTTTTTTCCAGTCCTACCAACACTGAATTAGTATGTGAACCTATCCAGGTCGCCAGACCAGGACAGCAAGCGAGAAAGAATGACGTCGATTTACTCACCTTGTGGTTGACAGTCGTTAAGTCCGGCACAGATGCGATGTGTACCATGTACCGTGCTAACTTCTCGAGCTCGCGGTCTTCCAAGGCACGAGGAGTGTGTGCATCTTTGAAAGCGCTGATCTTGAGGCCTTCGCCTGGGTTCAGAGCGAAGTTCCGACCCTAGATAGAACAAGGAGTTTTTTAAGTTCTAATCGTTAGTTTCAGTCTAGTATGTTGATCGTGTAGGAGCGGACGAACGAGATCGTCAACGTGAATTGTGTTTGACGCGTTACTGTTATAAATGTTGACGTCAGACCTCGTAAATGTGATTGAGAAGAGATAGGCTAAGCTAACTATTGAGGGAAGAGGTTCCAGATGATCTTGAGAGGTTTTACATGGTGAGGGAATTGCTGTCCGTTGCGTACTGAGAAGACCTTGAACATCGACGTCTTGTCGAGAACTATAGGATGTGATAAAGTGGCATGAACTTCAGTCAGTCCGTTCGCACGACTTTTCTTCGTGAAGCAAAGAAATTCACCGAAGTTTATCTGTAGTGTTCAGTTATCGTACGAAGTGAAGCAGGATGATAATAATTCTTGAAAAAAAGTGATTTATTGACCTTGTAGTTGTTCCTGTCCGATCCAATCATTCCAAGTTCGTGAAGTTTCGCTTCTAGCCACATCCAGCTAGTCTGCGACCTGTTACATAAAACACGGTTAATCAAACGAGAATAGAATATTGTACAAAGAAAATAAAGTCCTACCATATACAAATATCATAATGAGGATATACTGCCTCAAGGAATTCGTGCAACTTTGGTCTTGCACATTCTATTGGTGGCAATGATCCTTCAATCAGGGGTTTAGTATCCAAAATGGCTAAATGACACTTCATTTTCAACACAGTCATAAAGGTGGATACACATGTACGCCCTTACTATAGTCGATATCCAAAACAAGTAGCTTCTTCCCTTCTCGTAAAGGGTGCATCAAGGTTAGGTTGTCGCGCAGCATACGTGTGGCTTCTTTGATCTTTCGTTGGTTTCGCCTATCGGCAATGTATGCCCGTGACGCTTGCGGGTTTTCCGAGAAGTCGACATCAAGATCGTTGAATACGTCCGGAAGCTCTTCTAGTTCTGTGAGAATATGTTTCGTGAGTGGGTGAACCGCAGGTGTAGAGGGGGCGGTGTGGAGAGAGTCTCACGCGAAGGGTCTTTCAACTCGTCCCCCATCGGAGTCCCGACCAGTGAAAACTTCTTGCCAGAGCTGAGCTTCAAATTTGCTCTGAAAACACGGAGTGAATGAATAAATTGCGGTCGCATCGCAGAAATTGTGATTGATCACGTACATAGTTTCTTCCTCAGGTGGGAGTTTACCTTTCACGAGGCCGAGAATTTTCTGTCGGTCTGGTGGGACGTTCGTCATGCTGAATAGCAGTGACTTGAGATCATACACCCTGTGGAACAAAGCGCGATCAATACAACCCTGTACTCCCTATAGATTCGCCCTAACGCGCAGCACTACAAAGAATTAATCAGGCTTACCTGTCTGTATCCGCAATGTTGAGATCAAATGACTTCCCAGACCAGGTAAATTTGAGTTTAATCCAAACTTCTGGGGCGCTAGATTCATCCGATGCTACCTTTGATTCATCTACATGAATACTGACGAATTGATGATGCGAAACTGGGAAAGAAGATACCTGGACATCCTCCACGCTTCCTTCTGCCGCAACTGTAGCATCGTTATTGGCGTCTTGATCATCCGGAGTGGCCACTGCATTCGAGATGGCAATTTGGTTATTCTTGGTGCAGGACATGACATAAAGCACCAAACATACTAGCAAGAAGACTGCACAGTTGATGGATCAAACCCAGATAGCAGATTTAGTCGTATATACAAGATGTAGCTGGAATATGGGTCTGCACGTTACACGTTACTGCGAGTGCGCCTAGGATGACAATAAGAGGAGGGAGAGTTGGGAATGTGATCTGCAGAGATTGACGCGCGCTTCAATGATGGTGCATTACGTACGCGTTATTTGGCTCTATTTACTGACGCGTTTCGCATGGCGTTGCTGAACACGTTCTGTCTTTCAACCTCGTGTCTTTGCTACATACTCTATACATACTACATACAGATGACGCTTCGACCGTTGAGAGGCGATAAAAGCGAATTCGTTAGCTTCATTACTGCGATTTGTCCGTACTATTCAACTTCCAATATCGAACTGCGCAGCCCCTCCTACAATAAGTCTAATAGTCGATTGTGTCGACGCTTTGTCATTGTAGTTAATAAAGCAACATCCATCGGATATATAAAAATTCCTTACTCAAATTAGAATGAGAAGATGGGTTTCTTGAGGAAGGAGCAATCAGCTGATTTACAGTGGAGTCGTACATCCAGCCGTAGCTTTCCATTGCCCTGCGGATACCATCTTCGGGAAGGTTTAGATAGGTCATCGCTAAGGGCAGAGGCAGCGATGTGTAAGCCTTCAGAAGGAGCTCCGCTGTTTTTCGACGGAAAGCAGCTATGCAGAGAAGCGTTAGTGAAATTGAACTTGGTAAGACAGTTCTTTACGCACTGATATGTCTTTCTACAAGAAGCTTGACGACAGTAGCTAGTAGGCTATCAAATAAGTCGCCTTGCACTAGTAGCACGAGGTCGTTTGCATTTTTGTATACAAGATGATACGTTCTATTCTGCGTTGCAGCAAGCAACTTGAGAAGGGCCTTGGAGAGAGGGTGGGAAGCAAGGTTCTCTGGTAATCGCCTCAAGGCGAATAGAGCAGGAGGTCTAGGGTCCTTTTAGTACATTTTGAAAACCTAGAAAATGATCAAGGAGTATGGTACCCACAGCTCGTCTGTGATTATGTACGAAAGCACCAATGGACCGACAACTAATAATCTAGTTTCATCTTGGCGAGACGCAGCGTCGGCCTGGCAAAGAATCCCGTTTATTTTGTTCAATCCAGATAAAAACAAATACCTTACACTCAATTCAGTTGCCTCCGCTAGACTTATGAGCTCCGGAAGGAGGTTTTGTATCGCGAAATTGGAAATTGCTGGAAATACGTCCTGAAATACGGCGGAGGCGTGACCATGTCTAAGCGTCGTAGGTGGATTCGCTGAAGAAGGGCTCTGACTTGCTAACAGTTGCTGGATGTCATTCTCTGTTAGAGGAGGCGTCAGTGGAGCGTTGTGCCCGGTCATGAAGAGCAATGGCGGTGTCAAGGTGGGCGTTGGACGTAAGAACAGCAAGCGTGCGGAAACTCAGCGCGTTGTATGCACGCGTCAATTACATAACACTAGACAGATCTGCCCATGTTGATCTAAATCACTACAACACTAACTCGTTCATTGACTACCTCTTGGCTCGCTCGGAAATGGACAACCTCGATGACGAGATCGAGTCTATTCTGTACATCTGCAGGGAAGTTTCTGTCTACAAGATCCCCCCTCTGAAGGCGAATGAAGGCCACCGAGCTCAGGATTGGGGAGACCTAGCTGCTCCTCTGTGGAAAGGTAGATTGCGGATCGTAGAGAAAGGGAAAATTGTCACCCTACGATTTGAGGATCCAACTACCGGTACGATTTCGTAAATTCAATACCTCACGCAATTTGATTCACGCAATTTCAGGCGAACGTGAGTCGTTGAAGATGGTACTAGACGATCAATTTGATCATGCTATATAGTGTTCGCAAAGACACCTTATGATCCGCAGAAACCAGCAGTGGAAGCAGTCCTAGACTCGTCGAGATATTTCGTGGTGCGTCTGGAGGATGAGGGGAAGAAGGCGTATATCGGCATGGGTTTTGCAGAGAGGACAGACAGTTTCGATTTCAGTGAGTCCACTGCATACATTAGACCGAACCTCCTGTCTCATCGCTCTCGTTTTCTAGACGTCTCCTTACAGGATTATACTAAGTCAAATACATCTTTTTGTTTCCTCCGGCCTTATCATTACTTACATTGTTCCAGGCGATTTTTCGCGAGTCTTAACCCGCCGTCTCCGACAACAGAGGCCGAGGCCCCAAAGTCGACGGCACCGAAGAAGGATTACACATTAAAAGAGGGCCAGACCTTTTCTATTTCGATTCCCGGCAGGAATAAATCTGGAGGAAGTGCAAACAATAATCTTCTCGGCTCATCTTCTACATCAACAAGTTCTGGTGGATCCATTCCTCTCTTACCTCCGCCGCCGAGTTCAAGCAGTAAACGACGATGAATCATGTCATTTATCAGGTATACATGTATTTACTTTGCGGGAAGATTTAAGTTATGTTGTGCACAGCATTTTACTGCTACCATGAGCTAAGTAATTGCTCAATCGATTAATTCTGCAAATAACTCCGGGGCTGGATCGAATAAAGCCTAATAATGCTTTGGACGTCTTTTAGCCGCTTTCTCGGAGTCCAGCTACCTTCTATATTGCGATGGCTTTGTGCGATTATTCGTTGATCGGCATTTGCTTGGCTTCAATATCCGCAGAACCAAAACTCAGCTTCCTTGATGTGCTGTCGTACCAAACATCCGAACTCCGCAACTCCGCTCGGCCGGAACATTGCTCTACATCTCAATGTACAGTCCCTGTAGCGGCGGGTTCGATACTCGGCGCATTGTTTTGGGATAAAGCTTTGTCTCTGTGTGAGTAGTATTACACTTCTAGTCTTTGTATACTCACTTGAATATTTTACGCCTTGTTCAGGATGCTGGCCGGAAATAACACGCCGTTATTAGAAGAGTTTGCCCAGAAGGTTCCCCGCTTAAAATACCTTGTCTAAATATGCCGGAACTTGTTATCAAGTTACAAAATTGGCAACATCAATTCAACGCACTGACAGTATTCTAGACTTGACAGAATGAATTTGTCGCTGAGGCATGCGTAATAGGAACCATATTCGATTCTTTTCAAGCACAAGTTCACCATGTCGGATAAAATCGAGACCACCTGATCAAATTGACAGCAAACAACCGTATTTCCGTCTAGGTCAATGCTTGTCCGGACCCGACTTGAAAACGACCGACGTTTGCCCGCCGGATCAAGTCTAGACAAGTTAAGAATTTGCCTTCTCTTCTGTGTTTTCGTGGAACCGAAGCGGTCACATGCCCAGGCCAAGCCGTCAAAATCATGATTCTTGTACAGGACGACGTTAACTGTGCCTGAGTTGTTGTACGAATGAGCTGCAGCGACGTCTTAGCTAGCGCGCTATCCTAGCCACACTTGTGTCGATACTCACCGACGACTTTCCGTTTTCGTTGCGTGGCTTTAGCCCGGAATTTCGGCTTCAATCCCAATGATATGACCCGGAAACAGGGGAAACAGGTATCATAGCGCTGGTATAAAGGTAGGGCAAATGAGACAGCGGGCTCCCAGCACTACACGGCGCCTTTGGTAACAATGTTCAAATTTGCTGCTCTCGCATCTCTCGTCGCTCTTGTCCCTTTCGTTAGGGGACAAGCCCAGGAATGGGGTCAATGTACGCACTTCTTTGTTCAACCCGGCATGTATGTTCTTATTACCATTATCAGGTGGCGGCATTGGCTGGAGTATGTCATTATTATACCCGTGTTGCATGATTTCAGTTTGGTTGACGGACTTGTAGCTGGCCCTACAACTTGTGTGGCGGGCACGACTTGCACTGAACAGAACGCCTATTACTCTCAATGCTTGTTCGTTCCTTTACTACAAGGTGATAGTTGATCTTCATCCTAATGATGTGCGCATTTCAGGCCTGGTTCCGCGGCACCTTCTTCCAGTGCTCCGGCATCAACTGTTGCTCCTACATCGTCCCAATCCTCACCTAGTGGCACAGCGACTAGCTCCGCACCCGCCGGCTCTTCAACTCCCATTGCCGGTAATCCTTTCGAGGGTTGCTCGGTGCGTTAGGTCCGAATCTTCAGGCGGGATTGTTCTAATGTAACTTTTCCCTTTCAGATGTACCTTAGCCCGTACTACGCAAATGAAGTTTCGCAAGCCGTGGAGCAGATTACTGACTCGACGCTCAAGTCCAAGGCTGCGTCTGTAGCAAACATCCCAACCTTCATCTGGCTTGACTCTGTGTCCAAGGTTCCAAGCCTTGACACGTACATGGCAGATGCTGCAACTCAGAGCGGCTGCACTATCATGCCGATTGGTGAGACTTATTTCACTACCGAACAACTCTTATTGAATACTAATATTTGTTGAAAAGTTATCTACGATCTTCCCAACCGCGACTGTCACGCGAAGGCCTCCAATGGCGAGTTCACGATTGCTAACAACGGTGTTGCGAACTACGAGAACTACATTGACCAGATTGTGGCGATCATTAAGAGTCAGTCAACTTTTTTAAAATCCACATTGCATGCCCTGACAAATCATTCTGCACCTCCCAGAGTATCCGTCCGTTAAGGTCGTTGCCGTCATTGAACCAGACTCACTCGCGAACCTTGTCACGAACTTGTCTGACCCGAACTGCGCCAACGCAAAGGATGCATATCTGGAATGCAGTAGGTTGGCTCCGTGTTGTAGAAAGACCAGCATGTAACGCGTTTATTCCTATCCAGCCAACTACGCTCTGCAGCAGCTCTCTGCAGTTGGTGTCATTTCGTACCTTGATGCTGGTCACGCAGGATGGCTTGGCTGGCCCGCAAACCTGAGCCCTGCTGCTCAATTGTTTGCTCAAATTTACCAGACTGCCGGAAAGCCTGCAAATCTCCGCGGTCTCGCCACCAGTACGTTGAACATTGCACTGCACAGCATCTGCTCAAATCTGATGTTTGACCAATTATCCAGACGTCGCAAACTACAACGCTCTTAGCGCTGTCACGCCCGATCCGTGCACTCAGGGTGACCCTAACTACGATGAGATCCACTACATCAATGTACGTTCCGAAGCGTCACACCGCAGTCGCCTGCGGATCTGATCAATTCCTGTACAGGCACTTGCACCGATGCTGCAATCAGCTGGATTCCCGGCTCACTTCATCGTCGACCAGGGACGTTCTGGCCAGCAGAACCTGCGCCAACAGTGGGGTGACTGGTGCAACATCAAGGGTGCCGGTTTCGGTACTCGTCCGACCACAAACACAGGCTCGTCTTTGATTGACTCCATTGTCTGGGGTATGCTAGTTTCTCGATTGTTTCTAAATTAATCGGGATTGACACTGCTCTGTGTTTACAGTCAAACCTGGAGGTGAATGCGATGGGACCAGCAACAGCTCTGCCCCGCGATATGACTCGACTTGCTCTTTGGTAATTTGCCGTGCTTCTGCATGCTGTTTCACTACGCTCATTGATATTCACAGCCCGATGCAACTGTTCCGGCACCAGAGGCGGGAACATGGTTCCAGGCCTACTTTGAAACGCTCGTCTCGCAGGCCAACCCGCCTCTGTAAAATGCCTTGGATGATCGGAAAAGACGGATCGCTTTCTATGGTGTCATCTCTGGGTGTATGATTATTACTGTTTTGGGCTATTTAGTTTTTTATGCAATAGAATGCTTTTCTCAACTTGATTCATTTGTGAGATACAACGTCAAAGGAGAGAAGTTTGCCGTGCCAGCGAATGAATTCAATGAAACTTTGAAAGTGGGTCCTCGGAGTAATTGTAAATTAGTCATATCTGTCGTGGAGCCTATCAGAATGAATCGGTCGGCACGTGACACTGGAGAGAATTGCGCCGATGCTGACGAACTTGAAGCGGCAGCGGCTGCTTTCTTCAATCCTCTCTCTCTCTCTCTGTTCGTGACCTCAACGTCTGCGACGATGCTCTCGAACGTTTCAAGAACTTCTGTCCGCCGCTCGGTCCGACGCATCGCATGCTGTGCTGCTCGCAGGTCTCTTGTCACGCCTTCAAGTGCCGACCGTGCGAGCGTAGTCGACTTGCCATCTACTTTTCAAGACGATGGCCATTTTACGCCTCGATCAGGTATGCTGTGCGTTTTCATGTCCATTTGCAATGCTCAAATGGCTTGCTTTGTCCTTAGATATGTTTGGCTTCAAAATTGAAGTTCCCAAACGCGAGGGTTCGTTAAAAGATAAAACACGGCCAATCTACCTTGATATGCAGGTTCGGCTCGTTGCTGCGTTATGGGCGGAGTTGTTCTTACCTGCTGACATTGATGATTGTAGGCAACGACACCAGTGGACCCCCGAGTCCTTGATGCCATGCTTCCGTTCCTTACAGATCAGTTTGGAAATCCTCACAGTCGTACCCACGCATACGGCTGGGAGGCCGAAAAAGCCGTGGACGAGGCACGCCAGGTAGGTATAAGTGGGATTGGTCAGTTTAATGCCCATACTCATTCAATTGTTTAGAATGTAGCAGACCTCATCGGCGCCGAGGCAAAAGATGTTGTTTTCACCTCGGGTGCAACTGAAACAAATAATATGGCAATAAAGGGCATCGCCCATTTCTATCAGGATAAGAAAAAGCACATCATTACCACTCAAACTGTTCGTCGGTACCATCGTATATCTAGTTGATTGTTTCACTGATCAATCCATCCAGGAGCACAAGTGTGTCTTGGACTCGTGTCGAAAATTACAGGAGGAGGGTTTCGATGTTACCTATCTTCCTGTGCGGTCGAATGGTGTCATATCCCTGGAAGAGCTGGAGGAGGCTATCCGCCCTGATACTTCCTTGGTCTCGGTCATGACTGTTAACAATGAAACTGGTGTCATCCAACCAATCAAAGAGATTGGTGCCATATGTCGCAAGCACCGCGGAGTATATCTCCACACAGATGCGGCCCAGGCGGTTGGGAAGATTCCAATTGACGTCAATGATATGAACATTGATCTTTTGAGCATCTCGGGGCACAAGCTCTACGGACCGAAGGGTGTCGGTGCGGCGTATGTGCGGCGACGACCAAGAGTTCGTCTTGAGCCAATAATTAATGGTGGGGGTCAAGAACGCGGACTTAGGAGTGGAACACTTCCCACTGCCTTAGTCGTTGGAATTGGCGAGGCGGCCAAGATTGCCAGTCAAGAAATGGCGGTAAGTTAATCATCTCATTCTTCAGCGCGTCCACGACGAAATACTGCGCGCAAATTAAGCACGAGTGGGGTGGCCTGCTGTTTCCCAAGTCGGATCCAAATGCTGGCTTGTCGGAACTGCATTCATGGTCAGCCTCACGACGAATACTGTGCAGGGGTACTGAGACATTGCTGGAGTTGCGCGATCTATTATTAAGCTAGATACTGACATTTTCATTGCTTTTCCAGAGAGACCACGCCAGGATTTCCAAGCTCTCCAAGCGATTAATAGATGGAATTAATGCGCGAGTTTCACATGTTGTACGAAACGGAGATCTCAGTGGCTACGCGGGTTGTGTAAATTTGAGCTTTGCATACGTGGAGGGTGAAAGTCTTTTAATGGCTCTGAAGGTTAGTGGCTTAACTATGATCCCATCCTGGTCTAACTGTTTGCTCACTATTCCGTATAGGATGTGGCGCTGTCATCCGGAAGTGCTTGCACGTCGGCTTCTCTCGAGCCGTCATATGTGCTCCGTGCATTAGGTATTTTTTTCCTGGGCTGGTGGTCTGCATGAGCAAGATATTGATGAAACGTCTCAGGTGCGGCTGAGGACATGGCACACTCCTCTTTGCGATTTGGAATTGGCCGATTTACTACAGAGGCGGAGATTGACTACGTCGTTGAAAGAATAGCAGCAATTGTCCAGAGACTGCGTGATATGAGGTCAGTCCACAGCTGCTCTTTTACATCCGTTCGCTCAACCTTTTACTGACATGTCTATCCTTTTCTATAGCCCGCTATGGGAAATGGTTCAAGAAGGAATTGATATCAACTCGATTGACTGGTCACAACATTAGGCTTGGCGATTCCTTTCTCTTCTGTTCAACCAGGATGTGGTACATTTTCTGATTTAATTTACTCTTCTTCGCAACTTAAACCTGTACAACTATATGTCTCACCTTCGATTCTCGCCCACGTAATTCTCGTATGCTATGGTGTTGCTGTATTAGACGAAGTTGTGTGATCACAAAATGAGTTGTACACATACACAATTATTTGTGCATGTTGTGTTTGGCTTTGTATTGGATAGAAGCACGAGCGACATTAAAACTCCGACGGTACTTTTATCTGCCATCAGACTGACGACTGCGCCCACTTGCTCTCTCTAACAACCACCACCATGGCCCGTCGTCTCTATCTCGGAAGTGCGCCTTACTCTGTCCATGTACTGATGAGACATGTATTGACTGCCTATATTCTGTAGAGCTCCCCCCTGACACGCGTACTGACGAGGTGACGAAGTACTTTGATGGCTTCGGTCCACTCGTTGATGTTCGTGTCATGACTGGTGAGTATACGTGTCGGCAACTATTTTATTTGCAAGCCGCCTGACACTCCCGTTGATAAAGGATTTGGTTTTGTTGAGTTTGAAAGCAGCAGAGTAAGTTAGCATTGCAAAAAAAAGACTTTTCCCCCGGGCTGAATTTTTTTTTTCACCAACTAGGACGCAGAAGACGCTTTGCGTGACATCAGGGGAAAACCTTTCCTTGGTTCTAAGTAAGAGCAATGATCCTATTCAACCGATTGGTCTTCATTACTCATGTGCGCGTGTCTACAGTATCGTCGTTGAGTTCGCAAAAGAAAATAGGGGTCGTAGGAACGACTACGAGGACCGCAGTTTTGCGCCCCGTCGGCGCCCTGCGGGCATTAGGATCTCCGTCGATAATATCTCCAAGGACACAAGCTGGCAGGTGTGCAGTTTCACCGTTTTCAAACGGGAGAGCAATTTTTCACGCTTCTTTTTCGTTTTCAGGACCTGAAAGACTTCGGTCGCGAGGCAGGTAGTGTCTCATTTGCAGATATTGATCGTGAAGTTCCAGGTCGCGGGTCAGTTATTCTTATCGTCGTCTTTTGTTGGGGTATTGATCTGTTTGTCCAGGATCTTGGAATATGCTTCTCGTGATGATGCGGAGCAAGCTGTCAAAGAACTAGATGGCAAAGAGCTGCGTGGTCAGCCAGTGCACGTCACCATGGACGAAGATGTTTGTAACTCCCACTGTATTTGGCCGAACTGCTTCTAATTGATTTTACAGCGCGGTGGTCCTGATAATTTCCGTCGTGATGACGGATACCGCGGTGATCGCTACAGGGATAGAGGCGACCGCTATGATCGGAACGATCGCTTCAGCGCCAGGCCACCACGTCGTGGACGTTCCGGTTCACCGCCTCCGCGCCGTGACGAAGGGGCCCGTTCCCCGCCACCACGTAGGGACTACGATGACCGAAAGAACGGTCGGGATGAGCCGTACGAGAGGCGTAGGGATGACAGAAGGCGTGATGACCGTGAGAGCCGGTTTGAAGACCGGCCGAGCAGGTCCAATGGTGATGGATGGTCTCGTTAAGGCACAGGCCGAAATGGAAAGGCTTTGGCGACGAGTGGTCATCTTTTAAGGCGACTGAGAAAAAGGATTACCTATATGAATTGTCCTAGGCTTCGTGATTTCCTTGTGTTCCAGTTTCTCCGACGAGGTTCCGTATTTGTGGCCCCGATACACGGATATATTTTGAGGGCGTTTTACTATTCGAATGTGGACTTTCAAACTTTTGATCCAGGAGGCACCGTGTTGGCCCTTTTTGTCCAAAATTCCATATTCGTTAGGTTAGGCTCATACGTCCAGAGGCCATAAGGCTTGGAATTTACGGTAAGGTCCGTCCGTTTGCACGCGCGAAGCAAGCAAGCGACGACGGGCGGCTAAACTTGCGGTAGATGCAACTGCTTGTACATCCATTACGGAAGGCCCTAAGGCTGGGAACAATCAGGTCCTCGATAAGCAAAGGATGACAGTTCCTTTGCGTCGGAATCCGAGCCCTTGCACGACTTCTTCACAGACACTAAGGTACATTTTCAGGTAGCTCAAAGTCACGTGATGACGTGATCGTATCCAAAAATGCGGTGCGGTGAATTGTTCAGTGACCTGGGCGGTGCACTTGTCGGTCTTCCAAGTAATTTTACGTGAGGTGAGTAACCGTTTACCCCCAATTCTTTAGAGAGCTAGTGTAATAGTTTGGAGCAGGTATGTATTTGTATAGTTCTTAATACAGTCAATACAGTTTGATTTGCCTTTTAAACTACTTACTCGCGTGTCGCCCTCATCGTAATGCTTTCTCCTGATCGGATCGCTGTGTAAAAACGACTAAGTGAGAACCGTCTTCGATGCCCCACCACGCGAGATCTCGAGATTCCTGCTCTATATCCAGCTTCGTCAACCAGTCGTCTTCCATGACTAACCACAGGGTGAAGTCGGACGCTTGGTGTGTGCGATCAAGGGGGAGTCTAAGACCCTTGAGGAGCTTAGGCTTAAGAAGTCGAATCGACATCGTCGGAAGGACACGCAGCGTCAATGGCGGTGGAAGCTGTGTTAGAAGCTTCCTGGCTGAACGTGCTGCCGCCGCCGCCGCTCCTGCTTGCGTGTCTTCGGGTTGCTCGGCCTCAAGGGAATCACAGAGATGAACATGAATACCTGTGAACGGACGGACGTACCGGCGTTCAAGAATGAGCGGTCAGGGAGGACAAGTAGGTTAGTGGGGACCCGCGGAGTACGCACTGATGAGGCGGCCTGCTAGGGTATCGCGGCCTCGTGCTGCGGTGCCTTTCTGTTCTTCAGGTGCACCATGCTCTGGGTACAATATACGAATGTGGGTATTAGTTTTTAGTGTGTTCTCGTTTTCGAGATGCATGAGATGGAGAATTGAATTTTTTCTTGTACGTCGCGCGCGTCGGACGGACGCCGCGGCGATGGTGATGTGGATATGGGCGCGTCAGGCAATTAGTTAGTTAGTCACTCACTTGCACATAATTCTCTCCACCGAGGGAATTCACGCTCTCGTTCCTCCATAGACTTTTGGCTGTTTCGGGATATTTGGGAGAGGTAATATATCTCGCTGTCTGTTCTCTCTTTGATGGAAATCTGTAAGTAATACATATACGAGCATGTGCATGTATGTAAAAGTATATTGGATTAATAGAGTCGTGCAAATTAGAGTTCAGTTCGATAGAGTTAACGTACAGCTGTACCATTAAGGGACTCTAGAGATGGCAGTCTAACAATCGCTTGTTGTCGAAAATCAATCGACCCTGTATTAGAAACTACTTCAGCACAGGTGTCCGGAACAGACAAACGGCGAAAGTGAACACCAAGGAATAAAGTTTTCACGAAAGACTGACCTGAGAAGAGTGGGTTACCGCTCATATTCAGGGTTTTCAAGTTTGGTAGCCAAACATTGAGCGCATCAAGATTACGCCACTCTGAAAGTAGATTGTCTTGTAGTCCGATGTGTTCGATATTAGGAAGTACCACAGTCTGTTCTGGTGGTGCTTGGGGGATTTGTTGAAGTTGATTTGAAGTTAGAATTAACCGATCTAACCTGGAGAGTCGGAGCCGTGCGTCAGCATAGCATCAGCATAACACGCGCTTGTAGATATAAATAAAATCCCGAACTTTGTAGATGCAGAGATCGATATCATAATGTCACTCCAATCTTGGAGTTTGTTCGCGTCAAGGTTGAGAAGTTCAAGCTTCGTCGCAGATAGATGGTGGTCAGTGGCACTGCCGTTCAGACGGTCGATATCATTGTATCCTAATTCGAGTACGCGCAAGTTTGGCATAATGGGGATGAGACGGATCACTTCACTCCAGGTGATCATTGTCTCATTGAGGCGGAGTTCTTCAAGAGCCAAGAATGCTGAACGCAAATTACTCGCGTCAGATAACTCTGAAAAGCGATTGCGGCTGAAACAGGAGAGAAGAGAGTGCAAATGTTCATAGCCGAAAGATATATGTGGGTGAATACAGAGCTGCGCACTTGAGGCTCAACACTTGAAGAGATGATAACTCGGCGGCTATCAGTGCAACAGTTTCCCAAGAGGACAACAGGCTGTTCGAGAGATCAAGGCTCCGTACATCTGCAAATGACGCGACGTCAGACTGGGAGACGAAGCATGATTGAAGAAAGCTTCGTTTGCTCGCTCACTGGGGCATGTCTTTCTGATATCGCCGGATGGATCTGCGAACGCAACGTCCTCGGTATCGAGACTGATTTCGCGAAGTCTCTCGAGTCGCGCCAGTTTGCCGCGTACCTTGTCCAAGCCGATGGCCTCCACCTCTATGGCACCGTTGCTTGATCCAAGAATGACAGTTTCTTTCTGTCCTGTAGTGTGGGGAAGTTCGACATATTTTGATATTAGCGCACGTAGGAACGTCTGTCCATACGATATTGACGGTGAGGGTCTAATGAAAGACCCTGAACCCGGCTTTCTGGGGACCGAGGCAATGAGAAGATCATTCTGAGAATATCGTTACAGGTACTACCTGCAGACAAAGTACTGTTTTCCATCTTTGCTTCCACTATGTTTTCCTCGATCTGGATTATCCCATTCAATCCCGAGCCATGTACCCTGAGTACTTAGTACTTCGCCAATATATTTTATTGTTCCCTTGTTCCCTTGGAGAGATATACGGCGCCCAAGCCTTGGAGTATCATAATCATTGTTGTCGTTGAGCATGAAGTTGTAATAAACAAGATGGTAGTGGTCAATAGCCGAAGACCGAGGCGCGTCGGAACGACGGAGACGCTTCTGCTGCCGTGACGTTCACACCCGCTTTCGACGTATGCCTGCAAGACAAGTAACTTATTAATTGTCCATCCCATCAGCAGCAACCACGCCCATGCTGTCTAACTCTATCCGGAGAATGTCACGGCCATCGACCCTGGCTCGTGCTCGTCTTGTTGCTCAGCACATATCCATGTCCAGAACAATGTCGTCAACGACTAATTCTGAGGAGGTACGGCATTGCAACTCAGCTCGCATCTGCAACATGCATCTCTTATCTCGCATCCTGCATCTCTTGCTTGTTAGCCTCCGGTGCTGTTTGAATCCGATGGTTGCGTGAGGCGATACATTCTGAATCGTCCGAAGAAACACAATGCTCTCGACGGAGCTATGATCAATGTTTTACGTCTGAAAATCAAGGTGCGTATCATTCTGTCCATTTTTTCTTTCATTCATAACATTGCATACTGTAAGTTTAGGAATGGGAACAATCAGATCTTTGTGGAATTGTCGTTGGAACTGGGAAGGGTGCATCCTTCTGCGCAGGTGGTGATGTTGTCTGTGAGTTTCGATCTTTTGCAACTTTTACATTGCAATCAACACGCTTTCGCGCAGCTGTAATAAAAATGGCAGAGAACGAGGAAACCCGTGCAAAGGCTCCGGATTACTTTAGGAATGAGTAGGTTCTAGCCAGTGTTCATTCTTTCGCCGCATTTTGATCCGCGACCAGATTTAACCTCGATTATGCATTGGCGAATATCAAAAAGCCGTACATTTGCGTCTTGGAGGGCAACACTAGTTCGTTCTTCAATTTGACAAATGTAATGAAAATGGAAGCTGATTTCTCTTTTCTTGCTTCTATCTTGCTTTATCAAAAGTGGGAGGCGGCGTTGGATTATCCGTGCATGCACCATTCAGGATTGCGACTGAAACAACAGTTTTCGCAATGCCAGAGACGAAGATCGGCTATATTCCCGATGTGGGAGCTAGCCACTTCTTACCGCTTCTCGATGGCGAGTTAGGAACGTATCTTGGCTTAACTGGCGAAACTATTCGAGGAAGAGCCGTCTTGTGAGGCATTCTCACGAACGTCAGAAAATGCCCGAGTGTTAACCCATTCGTCTAATAGTGAACTTGGACTTGCTACACATTTTGTTCCCTCTCGGCGAGTCCCGCAGTTGCTAGCCCTGCTGGGTACAATGAACAGCCCTACACTCTCAATGATTAATAAAGCCATTGAAGAACATTACGGAGAACCGCTGGCCGAAGAAGCAAGGAACCTGTTGGTAGGCGAAGTACGAGAAGCGCTTGATACTGCATTTGGTCATGATACCGTCGAAGAAATTGTTTCTGCCCTGGAGAAATTTGGGAAATCTGATTCAGTGGAGGTTGCCACATGGGCGAAAAAGTCACTAGAAGCACTTCATCTGCGCAGTCCAACTAGTCTCAAGGTTGCTCTGCAAGCTGTCCGACGGGGCAAGAGCCTTACTCTCGGGAATGCCCTCATAATGGAGATGGGAATGGCCACTGCCTTCCTTGTGAGACATCTGCTTCCATCATATATTAAATCATTATCAATCTGATTGACATTCCAACAGACTGGCGCCAGCCCAGACTTCTTTACCGGAGTAAACAAGGTCCTAGTCGAAAAGGTCCGCAATGAAAGACCTCCTTGGAATCCAGACAGCTTGTCCGGGGTCACCGACGATATAGTCAAGAGATTCTTTGATGACTCCCAATATGTTAGATCGGCGCCGGCGCTTGATATTTCGAAACAGGACGAAACAATGGAAGGGAAAAGGGATCCAATGGCTTTCGCCCTTCCAACTGAGAAGGAAATCAGACAACTTGTGCGCGGCGAACATCTGCAAAGCGGCGCATTCGCGCTCACGCTTGAAGAGCTTGTCGAAAAGTTCCGTAACATGAAGAGGAACAAACACGGAGTCGACGAGAAGGTATTGGAGGTTGCGGCACGCAAATGCGAAATTATTCAGGACCCAGAAAACCAGCGCTGTTTACGCTGGAAGTGATTTACTGGATCCAAACATTTGAATAAAATTCGTGCTTGTTTGGCTTTCGTGTCTATGCCTGCTCTGCCATGGAAATTTCAAATTATGCGCTTATCACCTGTGCATCGGTTAAAGGGCATGTTGTGTGGATTGTCGACGATGCCTCGATATCACATTTATGTTGTATGTATCCCTGAACAGCGTACGAGGTAGTAGCTCGTGTGGACGACGCCTCCATCGTTTCAGTCGCGCCATCAGTCGTAGTCTCCGTAAGCAGTGCGCCGCACTGTTCGCAGCAGCGTCCGCTCGCTGTCTCGACGGAGATTGAAGACGTGAAGCCAGGGTCATCGAAGGCCATAACGTCTATCCTCGGCTATCCTTAGAGCTTGAGAATAGGCTTGAGAATGTTGTGTAAATCCGTTTTCGAGCATTGACTGTCACGTGTGAGAAGAATCAGAAGATCGCGCGACGCCCCCAAGAAAAAGGTGTTACTCAAATAAACAACAAGGATAAGACTAGTTTCACCTCCAGGGTCACTGCTCTGCAATTTGACGCAAAATGCTTAATTGTAAAACGAAGCAAAGCAACACAGTATCGCTACCTTCAAACATTGCCATCGGGATGCTGAATCGGAGTCAGACGGAGTCCCACCTGGATCCGGTGCCGTGGGAAAATGGGGAAGGCTTCCAGAGACAATCATTAAACTATTTTTCCTCATAATGAAGCCTCACAAAGGTAGACACGGTCGCCCCATCCATGGCCAAGGATCAGATGCCATCAAGGTTGTTCAGAGCGATTCCAATCTAAGCGTTTTGAGACGCTATCGGACCAGTGGCAGGACCTTCGTCGTCGGAAGTGATGTAGTTGCGCACCAAGGCAAAATACCCATCAGAAAGTCCATAATTTTAGAACACTACAGGTCGTTTTCTCATGCAACTTCATCCAATATGCAAAGTGCCCTTTTTCCATCCCCTGGGACAACCATCTAGCAGATTTTCTTGGAATACCGAATACAGATGAGAGACCTGAGATAAGCACGCATTCCGAAGGGCTGTGTGAACACGAATGTTACTATCATAGCGGCGAAAACCCTGTCAAGTGTAGACTACCGCGAATGATTACCGCCAGATTGGGTGATTCGTCGGCGTGACGTGATCAAACGAACTTTAAGAAGGCGAAGAAGAATTCTTTGTAGGCTATTCTGAATCGAAGTAAGAATCTTAAAGTAATGGTCCGAAAAAGGAAATTGGTTTGGAGGGCTTGCATATTTGTCTAGTCCTCACTGCTCAGCGCTGCGGCTTGCCAAACAGCTCACGCAGTGTGCGTGGCTGGTGTGCTGAGATCCGACAAATAGTTGGTCGTAGGTATCCTGGACAACGACGAAACGAAGACAGTCACTTCTTGCTTGCTGTTCATAGTGGAAACACAACTGAAGCGCGGATCTCTGACGAGGCCGTCCATTTGCAAAATTGCATCTGTGTTCCTAAAACGCATGGCCTGAGGGTCCAGCTACCGTAATCGAGGTGGCGGCGAAAAGACGCGCAACTGGGCGGGTCGGCCTATACAGATCAACCGAATCTGATCGAGGCTATGCTCGGAGGACGAAACCCTGTATCACAAATTCCAGCTCTCCCGTGTCCGTGTCCTCCGTAAATACTGAGAAAACAACAACGCTGCCCATATTGCCTACTCTAGTAATACAAAGATTGATGGGGTCCAGCGTATATTCGTATGTACGGTCTCCTTTCCGCCCCTGCTCACATCACGGCAGTAGACAGGCCGAAACGCGAGCAGACCGGACACATTTGGGTGAGCAATACATCGGGAATAGTTTCTGGGTTCGTCGAAGACAGTAAAACGGAGTTCAAAAGTAGGCGAGCGATTAAGCAGACGTACTGATGTACCTTGAGCCAGATATTCGTATCCATACTTATTCATGGGTCGGAGTCATTCGTGTAATAACTACCTTGCTTGGAAAAATGGACGAAGTATCAGTCGAGTCAGGAGCTTCATCTCCAGTGGTGGCAGAGTGATGTTACTCATATCACTTATGCTATGCAGTTTCGGCCTCGATAACTTCTAACAGCCTCAAGGTAGAAACCAAACATAGGCAATTTCCCGTCATGAATTTATTAAGAGAGGTGTATAAAGAGCTCGAAGATCATCGCAGTTCCCATTCCTCATTCAATTGCTTATCCTTCCCCCTCGACTCACCAGACGCATCCAAAATGGACTACCTCCACAATGTCCTGCCACCGTCTGAGCTGCTCCGTCTAGGCGCGTCAACACTGAGCGACCTGCTCGCCAGGTTACGTGCCCTGGGCGTTCAGCAGCCCAAACCGAACTCCGACTTCGATATCTCTCGGGAAATGGGATTTATTCCCGCTTATCCGCTACAACGTCTACCTCTTGCGTTCGAATTCTGGGAGCGTGCTCTTTCCCAGGCGCCTGACGTCCTCAGTCTTGGAGACGACATCTCCGAAGAGGCAGTTGCAAAGCGCGAAGGTAGCGAACTATGGCGCCAACGGATCAGAGAGGTCAGTTCATTTTTGCGATCGACCATTGCCTTAACCGCATACTAACAAGATAACCTGCCGATGATCAGGGACCGTTGATTTCCACACACACGATTGAAAATGATAGACGCGCACTACAGCGTGCTCACCTCGTCCTTACGTTCCTAACACACTTCTATGTGCACTCCATTCCTCCGTCGGGGCCTTCCATGCCAATCGTCGTCCCAAGGACTCTCGCTGTTCCTCTTGTAACCGTATCGAGAATCCTCGGAATAGCGCCAGTCTTGACGTACGCGGACACAGTGCTATGGAATGCGTATCCGATAAATTCTGAATTGCCCATGACTCTCGACAATCTCCGCTTTGAACACTTCTTCTCAGGGACAGAGGATGAAGCTGAATTTTATCGGGCGTCCGCTGGCGTAGAGCTGCGTGGAGTCGAACTCCTCAACATAATCGAGGAGATCAATAGCCTGCGTAACGTCACTGATGAAGCCGCTGTCTGGAAAATTGCCCGTGATTTGCAGCGCGTCGCTAGCCTCATCGAGGAGCTCGGCGACATTCTGCAAAGCGTTCGGGCTGGATGCGACCCACACGTCTTCTACTGGTCTATACGTCCATGGTTCTGTGGTGCTGATGCAAACGGACCAGCTTCCGCTGGATGGATTTACGAGGGAGTCGACGACTCGGATAAGCTCGACCTCAGCGGACCGTCTGGCGGACAAAGCACGATGATGCATACGTTGGATGTATGGCTTGACATTGACCATAAGCTGGCGAAGAAAAGGTATCCCGCACCGTCAGAGGAAAACAAGAAGGCAGATCATAGCTTTATGAACAGGATGTGAGTCGAGCAGATTTTAACACTTGCGCAGCTGTTCTGACAAGTCGATGCAACAGGCGCCGCTACATGCCCGGTGCCCACCGCGAGTATCTCGAATATTTGGAGAGCTCGCCTCAACCCATACGTGAGCTTGCTCGTCAGACGCCAAAGCTCCGCGAACCGTACAATGCCGCGGTTACGGCATTGAAGAAATTCAGAGGTACGCCATCCCAACTTGACACTACGAGCGTCTCGTCTAACTCTAAACTTGTCTTTGATTTTCTTAGACAACCATATACGAACAGCTTGCTTGTATGTTGTGACGATGTCCAAGTCGCAAAGATATCAGTGCCCGGTGATGGCGGCCATAGCAAGGGAGCAGGCAGATGCAGCCCGCGGTGGCCCAGCTCGAGGGACGGGTGGAACCGAGCTTACGGCTTTATTGAAAGCTGGTCGCGACGCAACACGACGGGCAGCATTGGAATAAAGCATTGGAATAAGTCCTATTTCGTCCCCAAATAAACCTATATTATAAATTGGAGTTATTATTATTATCATTCGCAATTATTCAAGCACTTCGTAATTCTCCCACATTTGGTACATGTTTTCTAGACACTTTCTTCATCCTGTTTGTTCGAGATATTTGTAGCACATGTAAATACATCGCATATTCGCATATCACAAGAGCAGGAATATACCGATTATTTCCCTTGTACTTTGAATAGACGGCGTCCCGCGCTGGTGTTCGATGCTTCGCTGTAAAGTATACGAAAATTCGGGCTTATGCCGCGATTGATGCCAATGATGGTGGTGATGGATTTGGAAAGCTCGTCCAAATAATATCCTGCTCCGTGACGACGCGTGGTGTCACGTCACAGGAACACAGCTCTTTCACGAACCATCACGACCAGCCAGCATGCAATCAAACCAGATCTCAAAGGCGGACGCTCTCAAGAGATGGGAGGAGTACGTCGACAAGTGAGTGTAAAATATGTGCCTGAATATGTGCTATCAAGCTGATTTACATCATATCTGTGTGGCTAGAATACACTATTCAGAGCGCTATTGCGACGATAAATTTGAATATCGCCATGTTATTCTACCGAAACCACTCCTCAAGCTCATCCCCAAGCAGTTCTTCAACCCCGATGATTCGGGAACTCTACGGTTGCTATCCGAGAAAGAGTGGCGGGGTATAGGCATCACGCAGAGTCTCGGATGGGTTCACTACGAAGTACACAGTAAGCCCGTCTCCTTTGCTATGTGGAGCCTTGATCGTTGCTCACCAGTGCTGTTTAGCACCTGAACCGCACGTTCTTCTGTTCCGCCGTGAACTTAACTACAAACCGCCACAGAGTGAGTTTATCAGTTAAATGAATATTGAATATAGTTAGCTTATCATTCATTCCCATTCTTCTCCATAGTGGGTGCAGATGGTAAACCAATACAGCAGCGCAAATAAAGCTCCTACACGGGAATAATCCAGTGCAACTTTACTCTATGTTTCCGCCTGATCTGGGAGTTACCCTATTCTCCCATCGCTCTGCACTACACGACGTCCTTGCTGTCTCTTGCTGTGTCAACTCATCGCCACCATCGTCCTATACACCATCCCTCATACCAGTTTCCTTCCTGCATCCTTTCCGTTCATTACTTTTTGACTTGCGTTACAGGAATTCTTTTTGTTGTGTTAACAATATTAACGGCGCCTTTCTGGTACCGACTTTCTGAATCAACTCTTCGGTTGTTCCTTAATCCATAGACCTATATCTCATAACGGCACAAATCGAACAAGGAAAAAATGGAGTCATGACCATGAGTTCGAAACGATGGAATTATTCTGGCTCCGATCTCGTCCGTTGGAACTGGAGTCATCGCCTGTGACCGATAAATAGAGGTAATCAACTCGCCGTTGTTCTCACGTCGTTTCAACGCTATGATGTTCGAGGGTATTAGTATCGTTTATGTACCACGTAATACAAGTAGAAGTGGAGTTTCTCCCGAGAGAGTCGGTGACTCGGTGAGTTACAAAAGCATCGCCTCCGGAAGCCGGATTTTAGTTAGATTAACGGTTTACCTCCGACCGACTCATTAAAAAACCCGACGTTCAAGAAAGTGTCCTGAAGGTTCCTTCCGGATTGTTCGCAACAGAGACGCGCTGAAAGAAATTCAGCGCCGACGCTGGGCGTCTATATGATGGTATGGTGTTGTTTGTGATGATCTCTCCCTAAATAGATAAAACACCGTGAGCGTTGAATAGCAATAAACATTGATGGGGGGTGACATGTTTCGTCATGCATTGACAAAGCTATGGGGGTCACCATCACCGCCATCACACAGGTAAATCACTCGAAGAGAAGTACTTGTTCTTTCGAAATGCTGATGTGTAATAATGATATAATGATAACGATGATGGTGCTGTTTATGCAATGTAACTTCATCTTACCCTGTGCAAGGAGCAGTTGTCAGGGATGAGGTAAGAGGTTCGTTTCAGTTCAGAGTCGAGCAAGGTGAAACAAAGGAGATAACTCTCCGTGGCGGGTCTGAGGTCTCCACGTGGGTGTGGGCGATGCTAAAACGTTTTATATAAATTAAGTCGTGTGCCTGTCGACAATGTACAGCAAAAAAGGATTAATATCGTAGGGCAATATCCATTATCAACATGTGCAGCGCATAATGCAATGCTTCTTGAGCGATAATACAAAGCAAGGGTTAAAATATGGGAATAAGGACAAACGGGTGTACACGGATTGTAATGTGCGCGTATGTTCCTAACACCGAGTCGGGTCTTTGCGCATCGTGCACAGCAACGTTCGAGCAGCCACCGGATGTCGTTGAGCGGCCCGCTGGGCTTGACAATACCGATCAAGGCTTAGCGGACCAGAGTCACCGCTCAGAATCTTGACGACTGCACTTCATGCTCCTCGCCCACTGGTTTCGCGGGCTCAGAAAGCACGAGTTTGTTCCGGAATGCTGCTCCATCCGAGATGGATACAACGTCTGGGCTGAGCTCAACCGGGCCCTGTCCAGTTGCGGGATGTTTCCGAACAAGTTCGTCAAATTCCGCTAGAAGGTCTTCCGCTTTGACGTTCGGCTGCTCGCGAAGCGTGCTTTCCCAGTATGCTTTTACTTTTGCTGCGGGCGGTTCATCTCCCGTTACCGAATTATACTCTTCTTGGTCAACAAAGACATTTGCCTTGCGCAAAGTGGCAAGGAACTCCTCTGCAGCTTGTTGGCTAAACTTGATCGCAGGAGGCTTCTGAGGCCGCATATGTATAGACAATTTCGACCGGTTTGGCGAGGCAGGATCAACGAACTCCTTGTACATGGAAATAACTTCGTCTTTCGTCACATTCGCAATAAGCTCGGCATCACGTTCACGACGCATGAAGTCGAGATATCCGGACTCAATTTGATTCCAAAAACGAGCTGTCTCTTCTGGCAGGTTCTTCAGCTTCTCCGTCCATTGCTGCACGAGACTTCTCTTGTGCTCTTGAAATTGCGCATCATCCATCGTTTCGAGAACTTCGCGCATGTGCTCTAGGAATGCTTCAATGCGCGTCTCCACGTATTTAGGATCCTTCTCCGACTGGACGACTATTCGCAACCCGAGCAATTCTATGTACTGCCAAGCAGAGCAAAAGACAATGTATCCAAGCTGTTCCTTTGTGCGCAAAATGTTGAATGCAGGTTCCGAGAAGATCTGCACCATTAACCTGAATGTTGTTCGAAGCCGAGCATCTGAGATACTGCCGACGTGGCAGTAATAAGAGTTACTGGAGTTCACTTCGCCGGGATTCGGAACAGGAAGCTCCCAGACATAGTTACAAGCTGCATTACGGTAAATTAGTAGCTATTTTCGGTATTCAGATCGTAGTGCGCACGTTTAGGCAAGAGACGCGAGCGCTCGCAAGGAACGTTCTCTTCGGGAACGTGTTCAGAACTGAGAATGTCCTTCGCCATCGATGCGATGCGGGTGGCGTTCTGAACGTAGCGTGAGTATCTACTAGACAAAGCCGATCAATGAAAGTAATATACCTCCTTCCGAAGATTTCCATTAACTAAAACTAGGTATTTGAATTGTGATAGGAGTTTCTGGACGTGTTCCTGGAGTTCCCCAACGGTGATCCCTGTCTTCAAACGTCAGTCTTTGTAGTCTATTTCTAGATACCGCGGAAGCGACTCGCCTTCTATCTCTGCGAGCTTCTCTGTATAGGTAAATTGATAAGCCGAAAGGAGATATCTCCCATAATACTCAGACAGGTTCCAACTCTGTCCGAGGAAGAAGTTCTCCCACTCCCGCTTGGCCTAGAATGCAACACCTAACTCAGAATTCGTAATTGCCAGAATGAAAGAAGGACCCCTTTACTTTTTCCTTCATGACGGCCAATCGGTCTTCTCTGATCTCTAGGCTCTTGGCCTTTTCGAGGACGTGCTGAGCAAGAACATGCAGTTTATCATTATAACCACTGAGATTAATATATAGTCCGAGAATGGTTGATCCGAAAGTGTAGTCAAGGCCAGCGAGGCTTGCATCGTATGAGAATTCCGTAAGGGAATCTTTCACAAGATCTGCATAAAGGCGGGTCATAACGGATGCACGTGCAGAGGCGTTGGCAAACGGTCTAGAGAAATACAATAAATTTAGAAGAAGGTTCTTGTCGTGATAAGGAGACTGAACGCACGTTCGCGCTTCTATCATTACATGCGCTCGAGGGACCCAGAACTGATCATCTTTCTTGTGCCAGACATCCATAAGAGGAGTATAAAGGACGAGGGAAGGTCGCTTAAGTGGGTTAGGAACATCGAATTTGTCAATATCAACGTCGCTCGGAATGAACTCGTTCGGTCCGGGCAGATAAATTTCAGGGATGTCATTCGGGGCGCGAGCCTAAAGAGTGAACGTAACTACTCTTTAGATACTGTATCACAGAACCTTGAGTTTTGTAACTCACTGCAGAAGTAATTTCGTCGTCTAATCTATCGACAGTGTACTCCGTTCCGTACCAGGGCTCTGCGGTCCAAGGTCCTTGGTTGCCTATCGTACTGTGATCCTTCGCCATAACCACAACACGACCGTTCTCGACAGTCAGCTCAGAAAGTGTATCTCGTACAAGCTGTTCATCCCAGTCCCACGTCAGTTTTGGTCCACTAAGTATGAGAGAACGTGGAAGAGGTAGCTTCATGCTGCCGGAAATCCGTGATGCATAATTCTCTGGGCGTGCCTGCTTTTCTTCGAAGCGGAAATGCAAAGCAGCGAGTGCTTGGATCTCACTCTGTGACCATGCAGGCAGCTCAGAGTCTCTTAGGAGATTAATGTATTTATAGCACGCTTTGAGAGCTTCGCGGTAGTTCTCTGTAATGCAGGAGAATTGTTACAAGACTGCAGTGAGCGTGTTACCACAAAAGAACTCACGAAAACCATCCTTCGTCAGATGAACGGTTATCTTGAACATCTCAAATCCACGTCCTAGACGCTGCGGTCCTGCTTCCAGCGCGGTAATCCAGCCTTTATTCTTAAGATATGAATGTAGAGATCCAGGGCCCTCATGTCCGACATAATGCGATAGATAATTGCCTGGTTTCACATCCCAGAAAGGAGCTTGATAAGGCAGAGGGAACGACAATTCAAATGCGTAGAAGTCCATGATCGTCTTGACGTGGATAATAGACTATTAGATGGATAATCGCATCAGCTTCGTGGAACGCAAACAGCACGCTTGAAAGTACATACACCACGCTCGTCTTTCCCGAACGGGTGTTCCAAAATGAGAGGGGCGGGGTCTTGTCCACGATTTTTAATTGGCGCGAACATCACCGCAGCCATATGAGCAAGCTCATCAAGAGATTCTTAAAAACCACTGAGTCAGAAGGAAATAGAGAATATCAAGAATAGCACCAACCCTTCCCAATGACCGTCAGACTCATCCGACTTGCGCAGTATTCTTTGCTCCACCATTCGATCAGACGACGCCTTGTCTCCCTTCCGACGCTGCCTCCATCAGCATCGTTCTCACTGTTTGTTGAATTTACTGAAGGTGCTGGAGAAGCCATACGACTAGGTATCGGTGAAGGTACCGCGCTGACACTTCCGTTCCCATTTACTAGATCACTTATCGAGGGTTTATCCGCAGGTAAATTACCAGAACGCGGTTTGAGCGTCCGTGCAGCTTCGGTAAGCGTGGCTTTGTTTCCTGTACCAAATTTCTTCCACGGGTGACCGGGTCGGGTAAGGTGCTTGTTCAACTGGAATATTCGCCACATATCACTCTGAAGGTTCTTCTTGTTCTCCGAATCGACTGCGTTGAGCTCGCGAAGCGTGCAAGACGGCGAAAACAGGGGAGAATGAAAGAAGCCAGAGAAACGCTCCAACGCTCCTTCAAAAGCATTTGACGCGACCGAGAAGAAGTAATTGGTGTTGGTGGCGCCGGTGAAGGCATTGGCATAGCCACTGTTCTTCGTGAGGTACTAGAGAATACATGATTGAGTATGTGATGACCACAGTTCCAAGAAACGTCATATTACTTCGTAGTACTCGTTCTCCTTCGGAAACTGCTCAGTTCCCTGAAATGACAAAAGCAGTAAGGGTCTGTTTGACGTAAACCTGAGTCGGACGCACCATGAACAAGAGATGCTCACAGAAGTGAGCTAGACCGGGAATATCATCCTTCAAATGAGATGTGTATTAGCAAGATGATTACCGAAATATATGTTATGGCTTGACATGAGAGTCGGCGAATCTGGCAGCGACATCTCAAATGAGACACTTACGGGATCGCTAAGATGCCCGACAGCAACATCCAGACTTGCAGCAGCCTTATCCGTCTTTGCATCGTGCACCAACACAGCCTGGAGTCCATTTTCAAGGCGCACAACACGGTAGTCACGGTCGTCTGCTGGACTCTTTTGGATCGGCACGCTATAAACGTGATAAGCAGGCGTGCTGCCTTGTGCAGGTACACTCGTCCAGTTCTTCTCGTCTTCCTCTAAAGAGACATTTGCGTTTGCGTTGAATTGCATGTCCTGCATCGTGGACGTCGACATGGCGTGCGAAGGGAAATGTTTTGAATGTTCAACAAGAGACATATAAGTACGCCTGACGCCTAAAGGAAGGACGTAATGACCGGGAAGCCTTAGCGAACGTATGCTATAAAAGGTCGGTCGGGGACATGAGCGCAGAAGGACAAGAAGGCGCATAAGCCCGTAGAGACTGGCGGTGGCGAATTCCAGCAAAGCAGAGGCATAACCGAAGACACGCGAGATGAGCCAATTGTTTCGCGTCATTACGTATTCATGACGGATCAGTAGTCAAAGTCGATTAGTATATATATCACTGAGAATGAGTACTGCTACAGTTACAAGCATGCCATATCGTCTCGATCAAAGGACAGCAACAGTCAAACACCTATTTATACCCCGCATACTCACAACTCAATACCCCCCTAGAGGCCCATCTTCTTCAGCCGGTCACGGAGTAATCCCGCTTCCAGCTTGTAATCTAAGGGCATGATCTTCTGGATCCCAAACCGCACCCGCGATTGCTCCTGATATGTCAAGATTCATTAGCTGTCGAATGTGATTGGACAAGTACGGTGAACACTGACGTTATACGTGTCTTGCTTTGCACGGCAGTTGAAGTTATATGTATTGCACGTCGCCCTCGCAATTGCCGCAGTATATGCACTTTCGTCTCGCTCCTTCAACTCATGGAGCTCGCTCGCCGTCTTGCCGAACACGACAAGACCAACGTCATTGAAGCCATTCAACCACACTTGCCCTGTGTGGTCCGCCACCGACATCGACATCATAAACCGATACTCGGGCTCCGTATATGCACGGTCGCATTTCTCACACCGCCATCCCTCGCTCCCTTCAATAACTTTTTTGTTACACGTCGGGCATGCCGGATAGAATAGATTGTCCGCTTTGATGTGCAGAATCGTTCCCCTGCACGAAAAATTCTCACCGCCGTCAGGTACGTTTTCCTGCAAAGCCCTGACTTCTAAGAGAGTTTTCATCGCCTCCCTCCTGATGTCACCGAATCCACCTGCAGAGGAGCTTCCACCAGAGTGAGACTTGAATGCTGGGGGCGAGTTCAGTGAATCAAACCATCCACGGAGAACGTGCGCTTCATTAATATCAGGATTGACGGACATGTGGGTAGCATTTGACATGGATAGTGAACGCCCTGCAAAAAGCCTGTTCAACGCGGGTTATAATAAAATGGCAAGGTTGCATGTATACCTCCAAAATCACCAACCCTAGCGCCCTTGAATGCAAGGACAGCGTGCTCCTCAGCAGTATAGCTTTCTGCCTGCTTCCCCCAGAGTGTCATACGGACCGCGAACTCCGACAGGTCAATAAGAGTCAGTTCTCGCTTTTTGATCGTCCTCCCAGTTGCCTTTGCAACTATCTCTGTTACATCAGACACATCTTTCACAATGCCGATTACATCTAAAAATGTATATAAGTACGTATAGTATATATTAAAGGGATCGGCTTACCGCAAGTCGTATCCTTTTCTTGATTCCCAAGTTCAGACAACTTAACAAAGTGGTACGTGATTTGTGGAGCAGCTGCTTGATCCGCACACTGTATCTGGAATCAGAACGGCCCACATGATGATGTTCATTATAATTACCTCAGAAATTTCCGTTTCTGTGCCAAGCATAAGCTCATATTCATTCTGTACGTTCGAGAACTTTTTCTTGGCAAGGTTTACACGGGCCTTGGAAACATAGTAGACCTTCCCCTCCTCGAGCTTATCGTAGAACTGATCCACCTGGTGATTGAAGCCGGTTGCCCGAATTTCGCCCGAGTCGTCCATGAGAGTCACAGTAAATATCTTGCCCTCACCCTTTGGAGTAGAATAATGCCGAACGTCGGATTTGACCGTAACACGAGCACGAATTGTCCATTTGTTTTGATATGGACTTAGCCCTTCAATAGGAAAAACCACAGGGCCATTTGCTCGCTGCTGCTGCTGCTGCTGCTGCGGAGGTTTCTGAGACTGAACGGACTTTTGCTGTTGGGCAACAGGGGTGTTAACTGCAGTCGTGGGCGTTGCTTGTGCTTCTGTACTTGATGATGCGTTCTGTCCAGGGACTTCGAGTGATCCGGGATCACCAATTTTTTCACCTGGGTTACCTACAGGCGTGAGCGCTAATAGGATAAGGAGCCTAAATGATACAACTAAAATGTTAGACGATATTTTACCATCGGAGCTCTTCACCGCACCACGCACTTTTTGTTTTGCACATTGTTACATGTGAGTTTTTCGACTTTCACGACCGAGTACTTCGCGATTTCGCCCTCGTCGACCATACCAGTAAGCTGTGTCGCAAGCATGGCTTGCGTGTAATGGACACCATCCGACACTACAAGTCTGAAACGGTCAGGCGCAGCGCCCTCACGCGCCGCACCAATCTTCTTTAGCGAAAGGAGCTGAAGAACATGGCCAGTCTCCCAGAGCTCATTGTCGCCTGGTGCGACAGAGAGAAGCCTTTCTATTGAGCCGGTTGTAAGCTGGATGTCGGACATGATCGCGGAGATAGTCGTGACTTAGGAGAAGGAGGGCGTCGACTTGCAAGTGTAATATACACGACGCGCGGTGTGATGAGTGACACAGTAACGCGTTTATCACGTAATACACATGCGAGTCGAAAAAGAATCAAAAAGAAATATAATTTGCTCTTCGCTGGTCGTCTTTCATGAGCACTCACGGCGACAAGCCGCCCCCGCTTCCATCTCGTCCAGCTGAACTGAGCGGCACAGAAGCGGCTCTACGATTCACTGGTCTCCCGTCATGGCTCAGGAAACGTCCCAAACTTCCATCTCGTAACTGGCTTATTTTCATCGGTGTCACTTCTTCACTTTTTGGGCTCTACGTCTACGACCGCAAAAAATGTAGGGACATCCGGGAAGAGTACATCCGACGAGTCTCGCACATCTCCCAACAACCGATGGGGAGCATGGAGCTCCCGCGCAAGGTGATAGTGTACGGTTGCAAATGGCCAGGTGACGAGGACTATAATGCGAGTTTAAAGTACTTCCGGAAGTATGTCAAGGTGCGGTTACTCAACACGTTTTGTAGATGCAGTTTCTAATATTTATAACCATGTTAAGCCCATACTGGTTGCTGCAGCCATAGACTACGATGTGGAGAATGGTCGACGTCACGGAGACCTTGCCAGGCAAATATCGGAAAAAATAAAATCAAAACGTCGAATAGACGAAGGCATGGAAGCTCCAAAACCCCAACATCCTGCCGCCATCAGCATGTCAAAGGAGGAAGCTGCACTGCGAGAGCTGGCAGGCGGCTCAATCATTATCGGCCGAATGACCTTCAAGGAGTACATGGAAGGATTGAAACGAGGATGGACTGAATCACCTGAACGGATCGATCGAGAAGACAAACTTGCCCATGAACTATCAGCAGACGGATATTTCGATGAGCCTGAGGTCGTAGACCCTTCAGCTGGTCTTACTGGTGAACCGATCCCAACGAAGTCGCGTCTCATCCCAACCTCGAATGCTGCCGCTCAGGCCTTTTCACCGTACAAATTACCTTCGTCTACACCTACGCAATCGTCCGCTTCGTCAACTTCGATTTCAAAACCTATCCCACCACCGGACATGATTCCCCCTCAACCTCCTCTCCTACTCGTACCATTCACCAATCGTATTGGCTTCAAACAAATACCACTTATGATGGTTGACTTCTTCAACCAACGTGCCAAAGTTGCTGCTGGCGCCGAAGCCGCTCACAAACTCGTTGTGGGCCAGACACGACCCATATCTGCCCCGCCTCCCACTCCAGAGGCCGCACCACTTTTCTCGCCAGACGAGCGAAGACCCGAAACCGATCTTGATTTCGACCGCTTCGGCGAATCGTACTACAGAGGCTCGCTTTCTTCCTACCTACAAGACATTGCAAAAGCTCGTGACGAGTACCACAAGGCACTCCCTGACCGTTTGGCGACGGCTCGAGCGCTTGCAAGAGGCGAAAGAGAGCCGACGAAAGACGAGCTAAGCCATCCACCACCGACCGAGGTTGAGCTTCGAGAGGAGCGATTGAGGAAAGAGATGCGATGGAGGGATAATGAAGAAGGGTGGGAAATAGTTCGTCCAGAGAAAGATGTTACTTGGGACGAACGATTTAGAAATGCATTGACCACATTCACGGACCCTCCTCCAGAAGCCACTAGTGATCATTCTAGCTAACATACACTGTCTTGCTTTAATTTTATGTAATCGCAATACCAGACATCCCATCTTCAACCAGTCTGTCCGACTATCCGCACCGAACCGCTATTTAGCAACCAGTCTTCCATCTCAGCCCATTCATCCGGTCCGTAATCATACTCATCAGCTCTCGTCTCCTTACACTCTCCATTCGTATGGTCCTCCCGTTTTGATGCGCTCTCCATAGGTGTCTCGTTCATGCTAGTGTTTTCGACAGTGCTGTCGGTTGTGCCAATAGTCTGCTCGTTAGTAGTCGGACGAACGAAGTCGAAGAAAGAGTCATCCAGACTAAAGAAGACCTCGTTCACATAATTGTCATAGCTAGAGTCAGCCGGCTCAAGTACTTGATGGGAGGGTGGGCAAGACGCAGAAGAGAGCTCAGAATTATGAAGGAAAAGCGGTTCATTGTCAGATTTGGGCGAGTGTAGATTAGAGGGCCTGGCTTTTTTGAGACTTGGTTCTTCATGCGCTGGGGAAAGGACAGTACTAGAAGCATCATCAGGTGGAGACTTTCGTTTGTTCTGTCCAAGATTGACCATAGCTTCGTCATCGAGAAAAGTAGAGGCGGTCGAGAAAGTTGTGTCAGTCGTAGTAAAAGGAGAATTTGTCGTATCGACTGCCAGCATTATGGCGTCGAGCTCAGAATTGGAGAAACTGTCATCCGAGGAAGGGACCTTGTTCATTGCCCTCGAGTGAGTAGATACCAGCAATTCTTGGGTGCCAGGCATGTCGTCTGCACTTTCTTCTGCCTTGTCAGATTCCTTGAGTACCGCGAATTCTACGTTGAAGTTTGGCTTTGCTATCGCTTTGGGCTTGCGAGCGAGTGTGCCGCTATCAATTTTGAGACGCTGTCCTTCACCTATCTGGAGAGACTTGTTGACACCTGTGCGTCTGTGAAGAGCTTCCAGTTCTTTCAGCCTGTTGTCCTCCTTCTCCGGTTTCTTTACTTGCTTCGAACCACTATTTTTTACTGCCGAGACTTTCGATGTACCTGCCTCTGATACTCGTGGAAGGGAGGATGAATAATTAGCCAAGCATGTAGCCGACGTGCATACCTTTCGTCTCATTCAAGACTTTCTTGGGGACAGGGGGCGGCTTAGCCATTCCTTCCCGACAGCTGGATGCGAATATCTGCTGTAGGTACGGGCATGTAAAGAAATAACAGTGCACGCACCATATGTGCCGACAGGCGCTCTTATCCTTGCAAGTATGGTTGCACCTGAAAAAGAGATAGTGCATTAATCGACTAATTCACTGTTTCTTACGCACGACGAACGCGTAATTCCCATTCGATAGAGTTTTTGGTTCAAGAGGTCTTCTGCTTTGCGCTGCTGTATGTAATATCAGTCTTCGAGATTCCTACTGTGGTGAGAATGAACTTTAACATACTTGATGGGCGACTTGCATCTGTGCCTCTCGCACTTTCTCCATCACTATTCATCTTGTCCCAAAAATCAGGATCCTGTTCACACTCTTCCAAGAACATTTCGGTGGAGGTCTTTGGATGGGTGTCCAAAATCGGATACTCCTTCACTGGAACTGAAGGCTTGTATGTCTGGCTAACAGAGAGCCCCGCGAAACTTTCCTGTGTTACATCGCGTCCGTCAATGAAAGCTTTAAGACTGAATCGTGGATCTGCCTACTCACAGAGCTAACAAGTACGCAAACGCTTTGACTCGGCTTTGTCAACTGCGCGGTGACGGTGAAGGACCGAGAGTCCTTGAGAGCCTTCGTTCTGTCGTTGCGGAAGGATAAGAGCAATGAATAGGGTTAGGAGCTTAGGGTACACACGAAATACGCCTAAAATCGACAAGGTCCAGATCCGACGTTGTAGTCAATATAGTGGTCATGCCTAGGAAGCGTGATTTCTGTCTTGACTTCGTCCTTCCGGACAGTGCTTGGACTAGATGGCATTCAATATTAAGCTCAACGGATACCGGCTTCCTCCCCGAGTAAGAGGTAACTCCATTTTTTGCGACAGCGATGGACACGGCATATTGCGGCATGTCGTGTACGAACTGCAGGACTTCGAGCCCATAAGGTGGACGACGGTTCAAGAGCTTATGCACATCAGGTCTCTAATCTTCTCCAATATAAGTAGCATGTACTACTTACCAATTCGATTCGAGACGACTCTTGCTTCCTCAAGGCTTGCAGCGAAGTGATGCCGCTCTCGGCGAGGACCTTGTTGACATGCGTCTAATGGTTGCCAATCTGAAAAACGTAGAAACGAACCTTGAGGCTATAGTCGGTAAATTAGATGAATGAAGAAGTGAACAGGTATAAAACGAACGCACGATTTCTCGCCAATAGACTCGATCTGCTTGAGAACCACGGGCCTATCCTCCCAAGCTTTGGCAGTCAAGCATCGTACTCTGGAAAATTTTCATCAGCTTGTCTTCCTCTAATATTGACTATTAAATCAGCTCTGACAACTCTAGCCCGTGTTTGACTTGAGCGCCGTTCTTCTTGATAATCCCGACTTCAACTACAACTATTCGTAAGTGCGTCAGACAAGAGTCTACCAAACATCAGTCAAGGAATTGCTGACCTCGTCCTATGCGTGCGGCATGGCGGAAGACCGACAGCGCATCAAGGACAGGTTGGCTATCCGAAGTTTTGTACTCTGGTGCACTGAGAGAAATGCCGCCTAACACAGCCTGCACATATGTTTATCCAAAACAGCGACCAAATGTGACAAGAAATCACCCACTTGTATGAGAATGAAGGATTTATCGGATGCCTTTTCGACTTTCTTTATCTTGTATCGGATGTCGGAATGGTCCCGCATTTTATTGTAAACCTAGTTTCGGTTTGATTCTTCGTCGCAAAGCACAAAGGACAGAAGATACCTGCTTGTCGCCTCCTCGGAGACGCACATCACCAAGTCTATCGTTAGAGTATCAGTTCCATAGAAGCACTGGAATAAGCTGGCTCTTTTTTGTACTGACTCATCGGCACAGCTGATAACTTCGAGCTATATCATAGACGCTCAAGCAGAGTGTCTCCATGACAAACAAGCAAGCTTACGATTTCTCGAACGCTCGGGCGATCCGACAGCTTGAGAATATTTTGCATCTGAAAAAAAAAAATGAGAACCCGCACTTCGAACTAGCGAATATCACCTGCTCACCGTAACCTGACGTATGTAATACTAGTGAAAAATACGATGTTAAGCTCGTTCCGTCCAAGGATACGTATAGACCAACCTTGCTCATAATGTCTCCGTACTCCGTCACCCTCAACTCAGCATTTATTCCACCACCACCTGTAGAGATGAGCTCGTTCGTCTCTAATTTTTTCACTGCTTGCACAACCATATCGTCCAGTTTCTCCTCCCACGTCTGGCTGGCGGTTTTGCCGATATGATAATGCCCGGGGTTCTTTTGAACGCGCTGCCGCAGGAATGAACCTCGAAGCCAGTCTTTCGCACTCTGAACATTGTTGATAGCACCAATACCAATCTCAGAGTTGACATGTTCGAGCAAGTTCTCATGAAGCGAGCTCTCAAGGATTGTTCTGCCCTGCGCAAGATTTCGGTACTTGTTCTCAAGTTCCTGCTCACAAAGTATGATTGCCACCCCTTCCTTGTCTGTCACGAATATGAATTTCACGTTTTTGCAAAGAAGCAAGGCACTCACCGAATTGGGGACGACCCTGCGCAAAATGAACGTTCAGTGGAACAACAGGAGAAAGGTGTGATAACATACCGCCCGCCCGATCATCTGAACGACATCCAGATCAGAATACTCCCGCCACCCATTGGTCACATAAAGCTTTACGCCTTTGATAACCACGGTGTGCGCCGCTGGATGCTTTCGTCAGGAGAGGTCGCCGAGAATAAAGGGAAACAACACATACGGAGGTTAATGCCAACTGCAAGAGTCTAATTGACGCCATTAATTAAGATAAGCAAGCCGAAAGAGGCTGCTATCTCATACCGAAGTAGCACAAACCACCCTCAGCGATCCGTCGAGATAGAGTTCCTCAGTCGCTCGTCTATCATCGAGACTAAGTCCAGCATGGTGTACGCCCACTCCCGACTTTGCGAGCTCTATATCAAACATCTCAGCCTCATGTAGCAGAATGAGAAGAGTTATGCTCACTCTCGAGTCTCTTGTCGTGAAACGGTCTATTCAATCTATGTCGAGATTAAGAATTGCGGTTACTTTGTCAGTGAGCAAGTCACTCACTGCTTCGGAGGATTCCATGGAGTATCTTCCCGTTTGGCGACCGCTTCGTCGTATTCTTTGAGAAGCTGTTCTGCCGTCGACATGACACCTAAAGAGCATGAGTAGGCATCGTTTCAACTCAATTTCCAAGCATACCTTTCCTAGTACTACAGAAGATTAAGATTGGCTTTCCGCATGCATGCTTCCCGATGACGGAATAAAGCTTGTAGTCAAGAGTCCGCGCGAACTGGAAGTCGTTCTGGTTCTTTCGAGGATATCCGTACACGTGACGTGTGATCCTACATGGACGGTATTCTTCTCCGAACTGCAGTATGAGAATTCCATGAATATCAATTCTATTATTAACCGATTGCAGATGCCAACCTCAAAGACCGTAGCCGGCGCATTGAGATCAATGGACGGGTTCCCTATCCAGTTCGCAACATCCTGTATGTTTGGCACAGTCGCGGAAACAAGAATGAAACGGATATTGTGGCATCGTGCCTTCATGCGTGATATTACCACTTCGAGAGTACTACCTCGTGATTCATTTAGGACGTGAACCTGGTAGTGCGTTAGTTGATGTCGAGCATTGAATAGGTCCTATTGACGCACTTCGTCTACCAGGAACAGTTTGACTGCAGAAAGAAAATCGCCATGATCGTGCCTACACCACTTTAACACACGTTACGATATAGGAAAAGCGTTAAGCATACCAGCCCCGAGTAAGACTGTCCCACTTCTCGCTCTACAGAGCTTCTTAGCAGAAAATCCCGTCAAAGTCATCAAGCTCGCCATACCGTTGTAATTCTGAATTACTAAGTAAATGCTGCATATAAGGAACCAGAGAACTACTTACATTATCTTTGCATTTCTCGCCATCGACCATGCACTTTTGCCCATTTGAAGCGTATCTCCGGTCATTTCGCAACCTATGGGGTTCTAAAGCATCAAACCTACGAGCAGCACAGTTCCCTTACATTTGATGCCGAGAGGTTCGAATTTTGCAGTCCAGTCTCTCGTGCGTTCAGAACACAGAGCCTGGTGACACTATAAAAAGTAGCGGTGGAGTGATGCTCACTTCGACTCACCTTTGTTGGTGCTACGTATATACACTTAGTGTTGGCTTGATGACCAGACGTTATCAGTAAATTGATTAAGCCCAGTTCGAAGAGCACAGTCTTGCCGCCTCCCGTAGGGGCTAGAATAGATCAATACATTAGTTTGAGAGTCACCCCTAATGGAGACTACATACCGCTTACAACCTGCGATCAGACGTTTTATATAATTCACTTCAAGAAGGGCGAGAACAAGCTCACTAGATTTTCGTGACTTTCCATTATCTTCGCGACCGGTCAGTACGTCAAGCACAAACGCTAATTTACTCCGTACCGTTTGATAGCATTTAGACTGCACGGCGTTAAAGACTCCAAACTTGAATATGCACCTGTACATGTCAGCTTAGGAAGGATATGCTCAGCTACTTTGCATGTTGCGGATGCCCTGGTGACTCACGAAGCTCGGAAACAGGCCGCAAACGCAGGCCATGTGCGTTCCTCGGGTCATTGCCACGACTCCTGGTCTGGGACTGAGAGGACCGAGCCGACATCTGCCAAGGATTGATGAAGTCTGTTGTAGCCCGTTGCAATGCAGTTTTATCATTGGGTTGCATATAAGCGTCTTAATAAAGCGCCACGCCCATGAGTTTTAAATTATACGATATCCAGAGCGACCTACATTGCGGACTATCATGCTCGATGCATGATTGTACATATTCTGGTTGCGACATAGCCGCCTGATTGCTAGACGAGGTCACCCGGCTGGAAGTAGAATTGTAGATCCTGCGCAAAGGGTGAGGAGATGGACTTGATGGACCATGTCCGAACTGATCTGAAGAATCGAATTGTTCAATGTCATCTTCGAGGTACGTCCCATAGGCGTTCTGCCGTCCACTCATTGGTTCTCTCGAATGGAATGATCGTGTATGAGGCAAAGTGTCTTCCGTTCTGTATCAGTTTCAGGGCCAAAGGAACGAACTCAAGAAGCAGTCTACCGATGTGATCTTCAACGTGAGGATTCCGACCGTAGTATTGTAAATCCATCTCGGGCATGTAGGCATCTCCATACGCGGTCGGTTCCGCACCAAATCCAGAGCCGAAATCACCGAGAGCATCGGAAGCGCTGAAGTCGCCGCCAAGCTCAGCACAAAGCTCGTCGAGGTCAATTTCCTCACTCATTCTAGCGAAGTGAACAAAGCGGCCAGCAGCCTGACCCCAGTTACTAGCTGACACTGATGGTGGGACAAGTGGAAATGGAAAGAAAGACGCGTCGTCAGATTAAATATTGTTTATCATGTGACCGTTATGATTACGCAAATCTAACAAGGATCTTTTGATTCTTTGGGACCAGAACTCACGCAGAGTGCCGCCACTGCACACCATGCAACGAAATCCGCTGAACGGGAGGCCTGAACCCGAGGTTATCGTCAATGTGAGCCTTGACTGCAGCAATGAAACATATTTCTGGTGCTCAGCTTTGGCATGTGCAGTTTGTAGATGGACTATCGTTTAACAAGGGAAAGATGGAGGCCGCCATCTTTGGCGGTGATCTCTTCCCCAGCAAGCCCCCCACGAAGGCACAGAAAGATACATTTATTGCCAAAAAGGAGGACGTCGACCTCATAGTAAGCTTACATATTCCATTTACAATGTGACTAGCCATTCATCTGCCCGGGTAGGTTCGTGAACTCGAGATACCTAGAGTGCAGGCCGAACGTGCATTTGGGGAAAGTAAGGGAGACCTCGAGAGGGCGTTGATTAACCTCATAACACCTAGTGCTAAGACAACTAAATAGTAATCGAGTGTATATAATATATGTCAAGGCAGTTATTCTCCCTCCTTCGCCCCATTTCCGCCTTTCTGCTTTTGCTTGTTATCAACTATGGAACGAAGTGACTTTATCAGGTCCTCTGATTGCTTCGGCCTCGCGGGTGTCTCTGAAATTGGCAGTCTGCGCCTGCGACCCGTCATAGTGAAGTTACTTAGGGGCCTCGTGTAAACGGGGCCACTCGTCCGCCTGGAAGGATCTTGCTGACCTTCCTTATGTGCAATGTATTCCACGGTACCTGGCTTGTACGGATTCGGTCTCGACTTTTCCGCTCCAGCCCAGCTTCCTACATTCATTCTCAACCACGACTCGTCCATTCGCTGGGGGTGTTCGCCAACCACTTCGGGTGGAGAGACTAAGTCTAGCGACATCGGCTTGTAGTTTTGCTTGCCCGCTTCCAAGTCCTGCCGGGGTTCTTCCTCAGTACCGAAATCCGTCATTACGGCCCTTTCATTGTCTTTTCTGACGCTGACCTGCTCCTCAGTAGTCCAACCGGCGAAAGACACAACCACTGAGATACTATCCGTCCCCTGCTGTTTGCCATAGTGAAGCCTGCGCCCTGGTAGCGGCTCTCCCATCACAGCGTCCTGCAACTCGTTGGAATAGGCATACTTCAAGCCAGCAGTCGCGTGAGGCATCGGTCTGATGATAGTCGAATTTTCGGATTTACACAAAGCAGTGAATTTGTCGCTGAGGAACCAAATATGTTGCCGACTTCCGCGCTTTGCCAACACATGCAGCGGAAGGTTCTTTGCATTTGTTAGAGTACCGTCGAAGTCTGTCTGCCGCTTCTTCTTCTCCGATACAACAAACTCCTCGAATTCGGGTAGTAAGCGTCGGACTTTGCGTAAGTAGCGTTCGAGCCTTCTCGGCTTCATAGCGCCGGGATCGGGAACGGGAGTGAGATCCTCCAGGTCCTTCTCGACTTTCGAAGGAGGTAATTCGAAATGGTCAGAGTCTCTCAGCAAGTATCGGTCTCTGTGATAGGTGTTTATGTTAACACGTGGAGCCCATGTACTACCCTCGGCGGCGATCTTGGGCATATTGGGTAGTTCTTCAATTTTCCGCAGTGCCGTAACGTCAGTATACACACTTGTCCATTCCGTCTGCTGATATAGCGTGTCCATCTTGTGGATCAGAAGCTTGCCATCGCGTCGACGAACAGCAAGGGGTCGTTTGACACCCCAGTCGCCTCGAGCTGCACTTCCATCATACGTAGCATAGACTTGGCCTATCTTTGGATCATAAGAGGCAAACTTTGATCGGCGAAGGAGGACAGAGAATGAGGACGGCGGGACTTTGGCGACCTTAGCCACCGCAGTCGAGGACATGTACAATCGCAAGTAGTGAGAGCTAGTGAAACTGAAAAGTGAACGCGAAACTGACAGTGACAGTGCTGGGTGAATCCAAATTGTAAAAACGTCGATCAGTGTCGATCTCTGACCAAACTTGGTGGCGACTCAGTTCCTTGAAATTTCACTGTCAGTGTCACTTCAACCTTTCAAGTTACGCCCGTCCTGCGCCCATAGATCATACATTATGGTGCAATATAATCGCAATGAAGGACCCTCGCAAGCAGAGCAGCTGCTTCGAGTCACTTCTGCCATTGCTGCAGAGCTCATCAAGGCTCACGACAATAATCAATCAGTTTCATTGAACGAGATTCGTGCACGTCTTAGCAAGAAGTATGGGTTGACAGGTGTACCGAGGTTAGTTGCTATTTTTCTTCGCAGTCAGCAGTATTCCTACAGAAAGCTTCAGATTAGTCGATATCATCAGTGCTGTCCCCGATGATTACAAGAAAGCACTTCTTCCAAAACTCAAGGCACGACCAGTCCGAACAGCTAGTGGTGTATGTATGCTCCACCACAATATTCTGTATGGCCTACTCACTCAGTCAACTAGATTGCCGTGGTTGCTGTCATGTGCAAGCCACACCGTTGTCCTCACATCGCTATGACCGGAAATATTTGCGTGTATGCTCTCCATCTCTTCTACTTACTGCCCATCCACATGACTTACTCATATTTTCAGTTATTGTCCGGGTGGCCCAGACTCTGACTTCGATTACAGTACGCAGAGCTATACAGGTTATGAACCAACTAGTATGCGCGCGATCAGAGCGCGTTACGACCCCTACGAGCAGACTAGAGGACGGGTGGAACAATTGAAGAGTTTAGGTCATAGTGTCGATAAGGTAAGCTTGTGTGGCATCCGTGAGGCTTCATGGCTCTGACGTGATGGCATTCAGGTTGAATTTATCATCATGGGTGGTACTTTTATGAGCATGCCGGAGGACTACCGAGCGAAATTCATCGCGCAGCTGCATAATGCATTGTCGGGGTTCACCGGCACGGATGTCGATGAAGCAGTGAGGTAAGAGATATAAACTGGTCTACTGTTGCTTGCCGATACTCAACTTTCTGTCAGGTACTCCGAGCAGAGTAAATCAAAAGCAATCGGCATCACAATCGAGACACGACCTGATTACTGTCTACGACCACACTTAAGGCAAGTTCTCCGCCATTTACCGATTCGTCTTTTAAAAATTCTCGCGATTATGTAGCCAAATGCTTCGATACGGTTGCACACGTCTTGAAATCGGAGTACAATCCGTCTACGAGGACGTAGCCCGAGATACGAACCGAGGCCACACCGTCCGCGCTGTCTCGGAATCATTCCATCTTGCAAAAGATGCCGGGTTCAAAGTCGTCGCACACATGATGCCCGACCTTCCAAATGTCGGCATCGAGCGTGACCTAGAGCAATTCAAAGAATATTTCGAGAACCCGGCGTTCCGAAGTGACGGGCTCAAGATCTACCCAACGCTCGTTATTCGTGGGACAGGCTTGTATGAACTTTGGCGAACAGGAAGATATAAGAATTATACACCGAACGTGCTTGTAGATGTCGTTGCGAGGATTTTGGCACTCGTTCCACCATGGACGAGAGTATATCGAGTTCAAAGGTAATTCCGCATATAGTCATCAATTCGACAATACCTGATCGGCGTATTGACAGGGATATTCCTTTACCTCTTGTTACGAGTGGCTGCGAAAATTCTGGTAATCTACGCGAACTAGCTCTTAATCGCATGAAAGATTTCGGTGCAGAGTGTCGTGATGTTCGCTTCCGTGAAGTTGGCGTAAGTCACCTTCACCATCCACAAATGTTTACTCTTGCAGCTCACAGAAAGAAAAAACTATTAGATACACGAAATTCATCATAAGGTTCGACCAGAATCCGTCGAGCTCCTTCGACGCGACTACACAGCCAACGGAGGCTGGGAAACATTCCTCTCATACGAAGACCCGGAACGGGACATCCTCGTCGGTCTCCTACGTCTTCGCAAATGCTCCGACGAAGGGACTTTCCGTCCCGAACTCGTAAGGAGAGAAGGTGCAGAAGGAGGAAGTAGTATCGTTCGCGAGCTACACGTATACGGAACAGCAGTTCCTGTACACGGACGTGATCCATCAAAATTCCAGCACCAGGGCTTCGGAACACTGTTGATGGAGGAGGCGGAGCGTATTGCTAGGGAAGAACACGGTAGTGTGAAGCTTGCGGTCATTTCAGGTGTTGGGACAAGAGATTATTATCGGAAGCTTGGATATGAGTTGGATGGACCGTATATGAGCAAATCGTTGTCATGATTCTATAATGGTTGTATTAATGTCCGTGCATATATACTCTAACCACCTGTGATAACCGATTTCTAGCCGCAATAACACAGAATCATTGTCCATATGCCATCATTATCCCACATTCAGACAGATACCCACATGGAAGAAAGGGTACTTTCTATGAATACTTCTTAAACGCCCTCCTTCTTGGTAGGAGTCTTGTCTTCCGCCTGCTTCTTGTCTCTTCTCCAGAAGCACCATGCATTAAGAATGTCCTGGAGAAATCTTATGTTACAATCTTTGCAATTTCATTAAGCAATGAACATTGCCTACCTTCTCCGTTGCAAAGACGAGGAACACAACAATTGGGACTATAACAAGACTTGAGTCAAGAAAACTTTTGGATGATATGCCAAACTCACTTGCAGCCTGCACGAAGTCAATGACACCATCGAACACGTTGTTACGCGAAATGCCAATAAGTAATTTTTCGTCCGTATGGTTGATCATTTGTAAGTTTAAGCTGACGAAAGGCACACGTTTGAGCAAGCTTGAATGCTTTACCACTAGCAGGACTGCAAAATACCTAAGTGACACAATGCGGTACATGCTAAACAGGATCACCCGCAACAAGGAAGTATACCAATGCCCAATCCTTTGTTCCAAGAACTTGCGTTTCTTGTAGATATCTATTACAATAGACACTAGGAAGAAGAAAGAAAATGTGTAAATTTGTTAGGTTTAGAGAGTGGAACTGAGATATTTTCATACCTTCCAACCCAAGTGTAACGATCGATACTAAGCCTGTGAAGATGAGTACTGCTCGCATGCTGACAAAAAACATAGAGTGATCAACTTGATTGAAGCTACAATGACAAAAGCTACTTGGCTTCACTTCTTCAAACCAGGAGCCAATGAATGCGAAAAATCTGCATTCTCTAATATGAAACAGTAGAAAACGGAAGGAACGGAGAGGTTCGACCCAGGAATTGGCTGGCCAGTACTATTGTTAAATGCAACCCTGTTTCCAATCTTTCAAGTGTCGCATATTGAAGCCTATCTAGAAACCTCGATATTTCTATTACTCACCACAAATGAGTACACTGTGAACGCAATGAAAACTGCAAACGGGGACCCAATAAACTGCAAGCCGAAAGTCGTACATTGATTATCTCTGGGACAGTCAACTCGGGGCGGTCAGACTACTACCACTCACTGCACATGTATATAACAGCTCTTTGTGGTGTTTCGCCAGGAGTCCATTTTTCTCGGGTTCCGGTCTGGCACACGACCGAAGTAGCAGCCACAACTGATCCAACATACATTAGTCCATTTGATATCGACGACTAGAGTAACAGCACTTACATGCATCACAATAGCCAAAGTCGTACAGGCCGTCCTGCAATTATACTGAGCAAATGTAAGTCAGTATAGTTGTGCAAATGTGAACTTGCCAAGTTTGCACACCGTTGATCAGTGCAGCCTGAATGAGACAGGGGTCATAGGGGGGGTTCAAAGAAAGTAAGTGGTCTGTGCTTCACCCTCTGTATATGCTAAGAGAACCTTCAGACGATGGGATAGAGAAATGAAGGGATGTGCACACAGGAAAGAGTACACTATAGAAGAGATGATCCACGATACGCAGAAATTCACAAAGATTGCGTTGCGCGATACTTTCCGAGAGAGGAGAATCATTAAGGCCAGGATAGGGAGAAGAATGTGACCTCCGGCAATCTGAAGTCCGAGATAAATGTTCTCGTCTACCCGCTGAACTGCTCATAATTCGTCAGGTATGTCAAGTCGAGAAAGGCAAGCAACATACCATGCTGGAAGTGACTTACTAGCCCTAGCGATGGCCCATCACTGTCAGAGGAAGACATGGTGTATAGAGTGTATTACCTGCAGCAAGAATATGGTTGAACGAATGACGTGTTAAAGGAATGAAAATCGATGCTAGCTCAGCACCAGTGTTAGGGAAATCGAACGAGGGGAACCAAGGGGTGAAGCTGGAGCGTCAGATAGTCAGTGGTATGCATGCGCCAGTACTTATAATGCGTTCTGTGAAGGATCATGATCGTGATTCGGATACCAACAATGGTGCTGATAACAACTGGCTATTACAGCCGGAATATACATCATCAATGGCCATGAAATGGATCAGATGTGTCTCTAGGAAGAGGATCAGAACTGAAATCGATGAACGAGTTACAAACTAGTCACCATTAGCAATTGAACAAACAAGGATATCACTCTCAATGGACACCAACAATGGTATGTGTTGGCCAACAGGTAAGGGCTTCACAGCTAGGTCTGGCCCTCCGACGTCATCATTGCAAGAAGCAGATGAACATGCTCCCGTCACAAGTTCTTACAGTTGCAAGTTGTCTAGGAGGCAGAGGTGTACGCATCGAAGCAAAGAAGCACTTTTGAGTGGCGCAAGATGATTGACTTGTAATGAAGTCGTTATTCGAGGAGTGTGTAGGAATGTATCCCCGGTTTACATCTTTGACCTTAGCGTACAGAGGGCATAAAAAAAGTAGCCTTGCGTGGAAGCCCTGTATGTGAGGATGGAGGTGGGGTGGGGTGGATGAGGACTGTAAGAAGGAAGGGTAGCATTAGACATTTAATGTCAGAAATTGATAAGAAATGAATGATAGTAAACGCACCTTGACGGTATGACTTGTCTGCGCGTGATACCTCATTAATGCTCATGCTAGTATGCCAAAGTACGTGGCGTTAATTAGTTTAATTGGTATCAACGTAAGTCTAGTCCAGTCCGCTGAGTCCAGCCCATATTCCCAAATAAAAATAATATCATTGTAAAGTTCAATCTCCGAGGATGATCGTATGAAAATTAGGAAACACAAGCTCGTCCTCAACCGTCTTCCGAATGACATCCTGTATGAACCTCTCCACTCGCGTAACGTTCTTCAACACATGTTTATCCGCCTGTCCAATCTCGCTCTCAATGAAAATCGACGGTAGTAAGCGTTGTCCGATGGGTAAAGGCTTCGTTGCTGGGTCTGCTCCATCACGCGACGCAGATGAACCTGCACCCATTGCGAGTCCGTATGGATCCAAGTCGTCTAAGAGACAGAAGTGCACTCGTCGAGGTGAAGAGGCGCCTTCGTATGCGAGGACGACTTCACCCGTGAGCTCTAGACCAGTGACAGCGAGTTTAATAGGCAGGGAAAGGAAGAGAGGAGCGGGGTAGTTAATCAGCAAAGAAGTCGTTATAGATATTCTTAAGTCCGAGTGATGCAGAACGCGTAGATGGATTTGGATATTCGGGTGTGTACCTTCGTTTGTATCCGGGACTGGTGTTGGAGCAGGATTAGAGGAAAGTGAAGAAGACACAGCTGATTGATTTTGCGTCAATTCCGCCTGGTCTGATGATGAACGAGCAAGAGGGGCCGGAGACAGCCTCTCGCCAAACGACGCATTCGGCGTAAATGCATTCGGTGAAGGAGTGGTAGCTGTGCTGTACATCGACGCGGACAATCCCATCCCCATCCCACGTGCATGCAGACCCAGTCCAGGCCTCAAATCCGCAAGGTCAGGAACACTCGCTGCGCGTCCATAGCGCATGTGCGGTGTTAATGGGTGATACGCTGGTGAATCATACGCCGCAGCTAATTCCACATCCCGTCGGGGAACCCATTCGTACTCGTCCTCCTCTAGCTCTACATCACCAATATCCTTTCCTCCTTTACCAGCCTTCTTCTTCGCTTCTCCCCGACTATCGGTATCTTCATCATCCTCCAGGAAATCCCGATATATATCTCGCAGGTCTACAACTTCGATGTCTGGACACACGGCGCCAAAGTCTAGGCCTGTGACCTCAACAGGCCCAATGAATGATGGACGAGGCGCATCGGCAAGGTGCTTATTGAGAATGTCTACGAGCTTCTGAGCGAGTGCGCCATCAAGCTCGTCCCAGGCAAGATCGAGTGACATGAGGAAGAAGTGCTTGAAGCGGAACTAAGGCGACAGAGACGCGTCGTGTCGATCACTGGCGATCATTACATAAGTCTCTAAAAATATTCAAATTCGCTAACTCCAACGGAACAGCAAACAAAAAAGTTGTCATTGATATGAGATTGAATACATTGCTATCGATGGTACCGTCCTGAGTCATTACCTCTACCATGGAAGATAAGAGGGATGTAAGGTTTCCACGTCCAATGAGCAGTACGATATTTTAAAAGCAAGGAATGATAAAAAAAGGGATCATGAAAAAAGGAAAGAAAAAACTGAAGAGAAACGACAAAAAGAAAAAGTGGCAGGAATATTTAAGTGAAATTCGTCGGATACTTAAAAAGTAATAAAGAATTCATGAAGAACAAGGCACCACAGAAGCATGGAAAATCTTTAAAGACAATTTTGAACAGGTGCCTTGTTGCGAGAATATCGAAAGGTACGACGAGAAGGAATAGAAAAGGAAGTCCGGTAAAAAGTGAGGAGCATGCGGGCCTGATGCAAGAAGAAACAGCATTGCAAGAGTTAAGCGAGTGGCCGATTATGCGAAGCGAAAGCTGTCTAAGAGAATAAAATATTCCTTGCACCCAGACAGAAGGCGGGGGTATAGGAAAAACATGTCAGAGTCGTAACAATCTTGATTACTCAGGGAGGGAGGGGAAATAGTAGAAAAAAAGAAATCAAAATGGAAATTTGATTACAAGAAAGATTAGGGGTGCAGTGAGAATATGTTACCACGCTACAACCTACGCTGGCCAAATGAAGCTGGATGTAACGTCGCAGGTTCGGTAGCATGTGCAGAAGCATTTTCCGGTCCGGGAGATCGCGAGATGTACGGAGATGAATTCACACTGAACTGCGAATGCGAAGATGTGCGTGACGCGCTCGTTAGCAGAGCGAACTCCTCTTCCCTTTCGCGTGCCAGACGCTCCTTCTCTCCTACTGCACTCAAGCCCAGAAGGCTTGAAAGAGACTGAGAACTACCCGTAAGCGAACTTAGGCCGGAACCTAAACCAGAGCCAGAATGTCGCATGGTGGGCTTCTCGCCGAGGATGGGATCGTTCCGTCCTAATGGCGACATGATGACATGGCCCGAATCCTTTTCGCTCCCAAGTGTGACCATGACGCCTGCCGTATTCGCTCCGACTTCGCGCGGTGAAGGCTGGTTGTACATCCAAGTAGCGGCGAGTACGATTGACGCGCCAAATAAGAAAGCCGACGTGATGTGGTAGTCAAAAAGCGCTACGCTCGCAAGGAAGGAAAGAATAATAGAAAGACTAGTTGCAAAGCCTTTCATGATATTGTCCGAGTACTTGATGACCACCGCCGTAATTAGTCCTCCAGATACTTGGATTGCGACTGTCGCCCACGCCCACGCCCCAAAATTCTTGAACATGTCCACGAAGAAACCGTGCGAAGGACCACTCCCATTAGGTGCGGAAGAAAATACGATGGGAAGTAGTGCAGGGACTAAAGAAAAGAGTGAAAGCTGCACATTGCGCACCCAGAGATCAGCCTTAGAATTTTTTAGAACCATTTCAAAATAAACGCCTGCAAGTCCAGAGGTAAAGCATGCAGCAATGACGGCGAGAAAACCTTTGAGAGGGAACATAACGTGTATGTGTTTCGGAGCCGCGGCAGCCGCACTTCCAACGGCTTCTTCAACCTTCGTTGGCCGATTTCCCGCAGCGGTCTGGATCTGCACGATACCGACACCGACGGCCAGTAGCAGAAGGGCCATCCATTTTGTCTTGTTCAAGCGTTTTCCGAGGAGTGCCACGGAAAAGGCGGCCGTGGTCATGATCTTCATTTGGTATGCAACTTGGAAGCTTGCGACAGGAAGATTACTGATCGCAACGAATTGCAAGGAGTTTTGAATGACATAGAGAATTGCGGGAATAGAAAGCTTCCAACAGTCGGGTGCAAAAATTTCGCTGCTTAGTCGGTTCAACCGCATCCAACACGAAGAACGTTCGAGGCCCCTTGCGGGTCTCCGAGAAGTGAAACCTATTGACGGAGCACTTGGTGTACGCGTATACGCGACAAGAAAAGAGATGGCGCCCTTGAGCAGTTCGTTCAATAAAACGGCTGCAGCAGGAGAATACGACTTTGACGCAGGCATAGACACCCTCGAATAGTGCATGACTATCGATAGTGCCGCGTTTTGAATTGCAAGGGTGAATAGTCTAGGTCAAATGGTCAGACGGTGGTGCCTTGCTGCGGACACGCGTCGGACAACCACTCACGACACGTATTTCAGTGGCACACCACAAATCATGGCTTCGTTGGTGGCATCTTGCCTGTCGTAGGTCCCTCCGCTTGTTGATGGCAAAAGCGACTCTTTGCTTGGGGAGAAGCGAGGTGCAAAGGAGCCAAGACTGACTCGTGAAGACGAGCGCGGCAAACGCGAGGTGGTCGAGTCCATGTCTGGTGGAAGGGAAGAGAGAGGTGAAGAGCGCTTTTGCATTGAGAGCAAAAGGCTGCGGAGAAAGGGAGAAAAGGCAAAGATGTTGGAGTGGGACTTGACGAGTTGGCCTACTCGTCGGCTATCCGAGCAACAGTGCTTCTCGAAAATAGGGCTGGTCTCAGGCTGACGTGATTGGTTCGCCGTGCAAAATTAGCCTTATTTGGAAGTGCGATGACGTGCGTGCGGACCCTTTAAATGTTTCTGGGGTCAAGGAATGACGGTCCGCGTAGGCGGTTTGAGAAAGGAACGACAGGATAACACACAAACGGAGGAAATCTCGCTGCTAGAAGACGGGCTTGGCAAGCATCTGTTCCAGGGACCACGATGTGCAGCAGCACCACTTCGCCGCGTCTCCACGTGAGATTACGATATACGTCTCACTTCAAATTACAGTACTGTACATCTGCCTGCTACTTAAGGATAAAATCTGGTCTACGTGACTTCTCTGGAATGCAGATCCTAGCTTATTACTATTAGGGTCAGATCAGGTCATCAGGAACCTTGAGGCAAATTTAAGTCAGCATCAGCGTTCGTAAAATGTTCGCAACCAAGGAGACGAGGGAGTGGAGCACAAGAATGATAAAAATAAGCATGCCTCAGACTCGCCTTTATCGCATCATTCGCACCCAGCCGTGCATGCGCCATGTCCACAGGTGCAGACGCCTCAACAAGAGAGAACTCCCGAAAGAGCGCGGGTGCGTACTTTTACCAGGGTTATCTTCATAGGCATCGCGCTCGCGACAGCACCAGCCACTCCACAGCCCGTTGAAAAGAATAACTGGGATTGTACTCACCTAAGCATCAAAAGTCTCCTCAAGGAGTAATGTCGGTACTCGACAGGTGGTCCTGCTTCATCGCCCCTCGACCATAGGGAGAAGCATTCAGCGAGAACTGTTTTAATGAGTCCTCAAGTTCATTCTTCGACGCTTGTCTGGACCGTCTTCGCCACAAAAGTATGCTGCATGGGCAACGAGGCAAGACAGTAATTTGGACGCCGTGGTGTAAGAGAGAAGATGGAGTCGCGTCTCGTGTTGTGTTAGAATTTTCAAGCTCCGCTTAAAGTCGCGTCCACACGTGATGCGCCTTCTGCAGAAACAGAGAGGTCGCTTCGCGCGTCTCTCTGTCGACTATAGACTTCTTGATTATTGACCGTCACCGTTCTCAGTCCAACTCTTCCGCAGTGCGCTTATGGCGCCAACGACGTCTCGTAATGGCGCGTTCTCCCCGACCCGCTCGTCTGCCGCATCTTACACTGGGATCGGCCAGTCAAGGCTCAACATTGTCTCGCGGCTCGCGATTGAAGGCAAGGTGAAGCAGAATGCCGAGGGTGCCTCAATAAAGCTCTATTTGAAGGTGTGTCGCTGATTTAAATGCGAACCGTAATCTGTTGGTTCATTATTGTGCAGATTACCGTACCAATCGACTCTGTCAACTCGGGTCAAATAATTCCTATTTTCGCTGGTATGTTCGGTTCTCTCGTAAATGCTGTACTGCCTAATTTTTGCTTAATTTGCTTTCAGAGGAAAACATCAAGATTCGTGATTACTCAGTACATCCTCTGGACTCCGATTCTGTCCCGTATAACTTCTCTTCGACCAGCCACCCTCTCCTTCACAATGCTGCTCGTGCATTGAATCTTCCTGCCCGGTCATCGAAGTCGTATCTCTCGCTCTTCGATACTACCCCGCAAAACACCCCAGGCCGTAACGGCTCTATCAATGGCTCAGCCGTGCCGACTCTTGAGGAACGCTTTACAGGCTACTTCCTTATTAGCGGATATAATGTATGCTATGTCTTGCCCAAGGAGTTTCCTGCGAAATACAAAATTAGAGGTGGAACAGATAGCGAGAGTGACGTGCTTTCGGCAAGAGGAATGCAGAGGACATCATCGTATCGCTCCGGAAGCTCTGGAAGACGACATTCTATTGGAGAGCGTAATACGATGCAATTCATGGCAGGCATGTCATTATCTGTCCCATTTTCTTCCAAGGTACGATTATCTCTTTTCTCTCTATCTTAAGCATTTCATTAACAGGCTATTACAGCCGCCAAAAGCACCTTATATGGTATGAGTAAAATGCTTTATGATCTTTCTTGCTAGATTGATATATTCACAGCTATCAATCCCGATCCCAAGATGCCTCTCAAATAACATTAAAGTTCGGCTGCCCTCACCATCCTCGATCTCAACTTCCTTTGCATCATTAGAATCGGACGAAGATTCAACTGGTTGGGATGTAGCTACGGAGCCACACGTTACGCGGGTATCACCTTTGAAACACAGCAGTCGAACAAGTGCATACACAGAGTTTGCAGACGACGAATCGTCCGAAGCATCATTAACGGGATCTGCATTGGAGAATTGCATGATTCAGGGCACGTTTACGAGTGCAGATACAATTCGTATCCGCTGGGCAACTCCACTACGTGCTCAAGATTACCCTGATGGTCGACGGCGCGTCGGTGTGGACGAAGTCGCGGGCAACATGACCTGCACTGTTCTAGAAACAAGAGCAGATGGCGTCAAAATGCGACTTGATTACCAGGGCACGTGCTCAGGTGTATGGTTTCCAGGTGTTGCAACGATGCTTGGAATGGACGTCGGGCTAGACACTCAGGGCGGTCGATTGACATGGCCGCCGGACTCAGATGGTCAATGGACGATCGATGGTGATCCGGCACTAACAGGATTTACTGTCGGGATGCCACAAACCACGCTATCACCGCAGCCGACGCTTGAATTACCTCCACCAGATATTTCAGGACAGCTTGATGGAACAATCCCTAATGGACCGGTGCGAAACCCCCTGGATACGTCTACGTCTCTTCTTCGGGCGCCACTCCCAAATCGTCGCGCATCAGTTGAATACTCATTTGAGGAGTCACTAAATGGAGCTTCGGTCCCATCTCTCGCGAGTTCGGCGATACGTTCTTCTGATCCAGAAAGTGGATCTGAGAACATTGCCCGACCACCTGCAACGCCCATCACAGTTCATATTAATATGAACGAACTCGCACCCGCAAAGAACAAACTCACCCTCAACATCTCTGGGACGGTACTTATTGCTCCTGGCCCTGGCATGCATAATATCGATGACAGTGGGCAGACAACGTTACCGCTGCCGTTATTCCGTGTATTCGCTGCAACAAAGGAGAATGTGATTACGACGATTCGTAATCAATGTGATAGCGCGAGTGTCGAGCTGATTAACTCGGGTTCGGCTTCCAGCGGTCATAATCACAGTCCACGAGCGAATCAGAGTTTAACGTTATCTGGCAGTCGTGCGAAGAAGACAGTTGTACCAAGTGGATCTCAAGCTAAGTGCGCTAGTCCTGAGGGTAGCGAGATTCTTGTCAAGCCAAATATGTCGAGATCACCTATGACAATGCGAGAACTGTCCCCTCAGACACCAGGACGGAGTGCAATGCGGGCAGCCTCGCAACCAAGTTCACCGGAACCAGTCAGTGCGGTTCTGCGTTCGCAAGGCAGCCGCTTGACAGGTTTCCGTGATGGTCCTTTGGTCATTCCTTGGGCGAATTGCGATATAGTTCCTCTTGTTTCCTTATCATCGGCGCCCGTCCTATCTCGAAGTACTTCGTCGAAGCAAGGGCAAAGTTGGTCGTATGCCGTAACTTTGTCGTTACCGACGCCTGTGGACGGACCATCTGAATGGCTCGAGTTTGGGCTTGCGATGCCAGGCAACTTGAATGCGTCCGAGCTACCACCTGCGGTAGAGGTGCGATGTACAAGTGTCAATGGTGTTCCGGTTCGCTTCGAGACATTCACAAATCCCCGTACTTCATCCATCGACCTTATAGCCTCAACGTCTTCTGCGGGAGCTGGATCTACAGAGACAATCGATGCTATTGACGCAAATGTTGGCAAGCGGAAGTGGTTGAGCTGGGTTCGTGTGCATATTGCTCTTGCAGGTGCTCTGGAGGTGGTTTATATCGTTAAAGGCCAAACGGGTCACGCACTTTCTGATAAGAAAGGAAAGCAGAAGGCAGCTTCGGCGGAAGGACTGGGTGGGGACGAAGTCAACGTGTTCGTTCCTGTCTTCTCGATTCCTGTGAGCAGATTTGAAATCAGCTTGCGTCGATCTTCCGGTCAGTCATGTCCTTAATGGAAATGTACAACCAGTAATGCTGACTAACCATGCCTTTCAATTCTACAGATATTACCATACCGAAAGCCGACCTATCAGGTATTGATGGTTCTGATCACACTCTCCACCGCAAGATCTATTCCTTCGACGTCGCACCATTCACACAACCGCATGCCGACCTGATTATGCCACATCCTATTCTCACGGACAGAAACAAGCCCTCTCGGACAGTACGAAGCGCCAAGCGTGCCTTGTTCCTCTTTGCTACAATACTACCTTACATCCTTTCATTGGTAATGCTCTCTCATACCATCAGCACGCGGAGCGAAGTGCGAGAGCTACGTGCACTCGTTCCTGACACCTTTACGACAACCGGGCGAGAAACAGAGAGCTGGGGACGGAAGCCTGTAACGGTGACCAGAACAGTTGTGCAGGCTGCAAGTAGTAAGCCAACAACGGCTTCAGAACGAGGGTGGTTCGGTGAATACACGATGTCCTATTCCTCACCAACGCAAAGGCCCAAGGCGTCATCGCCTCCTCAACCTTCTCCCATTACCGATGACGACGACGAAGTTTTTATTGAAGACATCTCGGACGCTCCTGAAGCCGCTTCTCGAGGTAACAGAGACGAACGAGGTGATGAGAGTACTTCTCTCATGCCAATTCTCTACCTTCCACTCTCCTGGCCAGCGCAGATCCACTTCCAGCAGGCGAAAGCCCAGGTGCTTAGTGGATGGGGACGGATCTGGCACGTCGTTGAGATTATTCTGCATTGGCCGTTACCCGTTGATGATGTATAAGCTATTTTTTCACGTCTTCTCCATGTTTGGGCTTTAGTCACTAATCTACGTGTTTTGCATGACCTGTCTTGTTTGTTCCTTTCTCGGCTTGCTATATCGTGCATGCTATGTATTATTTTGTGATTTCTTTTTGCTTTTGTCGTGCTGTGGTACGCTATTAGATGAATTGTATTGTATATTGAACGCCCGTATAAGTTGTCCATAGTAATCTAATTATGCACATAGGTCATGTTTTGGATATTTGGAATTTTAATATGCTTTTAATGATTGGATTTTACAGACAATGTATATTATTAATCTTAGGGCGTCGAAATTAATTTGGTCAATGAATTTCATTCCTTTTTTGTCAAATAAAATCACGCAAAAAGAGTATTTTTGGAACACATTATGTAATATGATACTAGTTATTCTGCCACTTAACTCATACTTAAGCAACTTCCCTTGACTCAAAGACCAAACCTTGAGCTGACTCCACTATTGATGCTAGTACGACTACCCAGACTAACACTATACACGGGTCCCACCTGCTCTCTGTGCGTCACAGCGAAAGCCGCACTAGCTCAAGTTCGGAAGACACGTCCATTCGAGTTGCAATACGTGAATATCCAGGATCCGGGACAAGAACGCTGGAGGAAGAAGTATGTGTATTGGATTCCGGCGTTGCATGTGGAGGGAAGGGAGGTACTCAAGGGACGATGGGGGGAGAGCGAGGTGGTGAAAGCTTTGGAGGAGTGGGAAAAAGAGAAACCACTGAAGGAAGAAGAGAACAGCTAGGGTGTGCTTCTTCGTCTGGTCCAAATGGTTGGATGTTCTGGCCTGATGCTCAAGGAATGGGAGCGGATGAGGTTGAATGGAAGCCTTTAATAGCGCACTATGAGCATGTTTATGAACGCGTTGGCAATTTCGACAGTGGACTTGGTGATGTTTCTGAAGAAGTATCAGACAAATCCTTCGGAATATCGTACGTGCATTCTCCTCAGGCGAATTCTCGGCAAGTCTCAATTGTTTCCTTACTTAGACGATGCTTCAACTGCGGAGATCCTGAACATACCGTCCGCTCATGCCCTGAACCCCTCAATCACGCACTCATCTCACTATCTCGTGCCCTCTTCCAATTCCTTCATCAATCCAGCGGTGATGAACCAGAACGTTTTCATGTTGCGGAAGATTGGAAATTACAGAGATTGCGCTGGCTAGAAGATTTCGAGCCAGGCGTTGTTCGTAACGAAGCTCTAAAGGAGGCACTGGGTCTATCTGAAGGAGTCGAAGTTCCTTGGCTATACAATATGCTCGAGTGGGGTTACCCCCCTGGATGGGTTAGCGAAGAGGATCCACGAGAACTTATGTTCAAGCGCATTATCTTCGGAGGAAATATTGAATCTGTCGACGACGAACTGGGAGAATTCTCGATTTTCGGCGAGGATGGTGACGAGGAAGTATTGAATCTACGTCCTGTTTCTGTCACTCAGGACCCAGATGCTGGGCCTGTAATCCGTGCAACAAACTCCAATGACAGTATAACCCCCTCAACTCTACCCATTAAGGAGAACAGCTCACCTTCGTCAAAGTCGAGTCCCGCTACTCGTCGCTGGGCAACGTATCAGACATCCTTATTCTCGTCAGATCTACTACCAGTCTACAATAGGCGACCTCTCCCACCTCTCGATGACGACATTCCTGGAGCCGCTGCTGCTCGTCCAAGAAGTGAGGACAAGCAAGGTTGCAACTTAGAATCCGGTGACGTACCAATTGAACACCCTTGGCGTCATCCAGATGCGTTCAGTGCGTTCGGACCCGTAGGATGGACAAAGGCGTACGAAAAGATGCTTGCTCGTCGTGCGCAAGTTGAACAGGACGCACCGAAGATGTCCTGTCATGTATACAACGAGAATAGAACCTCAAAGACAGAAGTGTCCAGTGCTCACCGGCCTGTTACCACTTTGTCATCTCCTGAAGGTAGTGGCCAAAATACAGAGGACGACATGGACCTCTCGGATTAGTTTTCACAGAGTAACATCAATCCTCCTTCATATCCTATATTTGATTTTGTTTCTTTATTGTTGTTTATAATTATGTTGTTCTATTTTCTGTCATTTCGGTTCCTCACCATCTCCTCCCGTCCACAGACCACCTGCATATAGAATCCTAGAGTAGAACAAAGACTAAGCACTAACAAAGTTTAACAAAGTACCGTGTGTAAAAAAAGTGTCTAATCTCAATCTAATCTGAGTAGACACCTCTCATCAACTTTATAACCAAGATACTGATCTCTTGGTCAGACACGCTAGTATTTGAGCACCTTGTAGTGCATGCACATTTTATTAACCAAGGGAATTTTACTTGTAGAATGATAAACCATTATCAAACCAAGGTAAGTAAAACATGTACAAAGGAACGAACCACCACGAGTTACTACTACTAGTTGATACCTAGTATCCCACTAGAAAACTAAGCAAAAAAAACCCTAAAATAGCAAAAGCAAAAGAATGCAAATATCAATAGCAGGTAGCATACTAATCAAAGATGAAGGAGCGAAGAGGGAAGGAGAGAAACTTTTTTTTAAGACGAGACAAAGAGAAAGACGCGTATGAAAAGTTTCTCTGGTCTGGAGTCTGTCTGTTCAGATCACTAGTAAGGAACGAAAATCATTTTATCAACGAAAAAGGAAAGGAAAGGAGCGGAACGAAACATCATGATGACAGAGCACAGAGCCCAAGTCCATACAAGAAAAGCAAAAAGAAATGAAGGAGAGAACGTCCTGGATGAAAGTCCAAGTTGATGCAGGTTGATAATGTACATTGTGAATGCAAATGTGAATGGGAGGTCCATACTTATGTGAAGGTCGAACAGGACCGAAACTACCAGTGTCCAGTTACGTGTGCGTGTAACTTTGAGTCCAGTTAAGTACGAGTCCATTCATTAGAGATGGGACGTTAAAGTAACGGAGAGACGTTCAGACTTCAAACCAAGGTTAAGTCACTTTAAACCAAGCTGTGTAAGTCCATGAGTCCATGACGAAAGTGATGGTGGTATGAATCGTAACAGAGAGGGCGACTCGTCTATCGTCGGTCTCGTCCACATTGATAAATCATATTATCAACCTTCTCCGGCTATTATTAATCCTGATACGCAGGTGGCTGATCAGGCGGCGTAACCCTCCCCGCATCCTTATGCACAACAACCTCACTCTCTCTCCTCCTCTGATCTCTCAACGTAACCGGACTCTTCCCACTCCCACTCGCATTCGTCGTTTGCTGAGGAGGAAGTGGAGGAGATGGGGCACGAGAAGGCTGCGAATAAACAGAAGCACTCGAAGTCGTATCACTCCTCTGTAACCCCTGACGTTGCCGATCTGCAAGATACGCTAACGCAGCAGGAGGGATTCCACTTGGGCTCTTCACATCTCTACTGGCTGTAGCTGAAGAAGGTCCGGCAACAGCAGATAGACTACTTCTGCTAGCGTTGGCATTTCTGTTTCTGGGGTCATCAGGAGTAGGAGTAGCGGGAGAAGATATCGGGTCGAATTGGTTCGCTATGAAGAGTGGACCTCGAGGAGCGGCCATACTCGTTGGGCTGTCCCCACCACCACTCATACCACCATTGCCACTTCCACTTGCTCCGCCCAAGACGGCTTCACCAAATACAGGTCCAGTAGGTATCGACACACCTAATGGTCCAGGACTCGTACTCCTCATAACATTCATCGAAGGGCCAAACGAAGGTGTCGGTGAATGTCCACCTCCCGAATTATTTTCCGAGACAGAGCTTCCCGGTCTCGAACTCGCTGCGTTATTATTATTTCCACTACTAGCCATGAGCGGAGTTAAGCTTGACGCGCGCGTATGAGTGGTCTGACCAGTTGATGGCCTGCTACCTGGTGTACCAGGTGAAAGAGGAATTGTTCCGATACCAGCGTTGAGTGATTGCGGAGCTGCGTTCCTCGAGCCGACGAGTCCATAAATGTAAGGCTTGGGTTCGGTGTTGGTGTCTTTCGGGGCGATGGGTTCGTCCTCTAGATCAAGCATCCTTCCACGTGAAGGGGCAAGAGGTTTTCCACCCCCGTACTCTTCGTAATCTTTTTCGAAGATATCGTCGAAATTATTGCGCCGTCGTCTGAAAATTCCAAAAATAAAATATTCATGTAATTAGAAAATCGGATATAAATAGATTTTTTCGAGTGAAAACGACGTACCGGAAGAACCACACCACCCCGACAATTGCAAGAAGACCCAGGAATCCACCAACAGAGCCACCAATAATCGCGCCCAAAGCAGTACCCGAGTTGCTATCCCCATTACCGCCAGCTTGAGTTGTAGGAGCTGGTACAGACGTGTTTACAACAGAACTCGTCGGCGGTAGGACGCTCGTCAAAGTGACAAACACTTGAGTTACCTGTCCATCGGCCAGTGTCGACTGTGAAGAGGACGTTATCGTCGTAGTCGGGGTCGCGACTATAGTTGTCGATGTATCGGTGAACGAAGTGGTGGAGGATGTTGTATCGGTGCATGGTGCAAAGAGCGTATTTGTTGGTACGAGGGAAGTGATAGAGTCGGTGACTGTAGCTACAGGTACTTGTGTCGTACTCGTTCCACCTACGCTCAATCAAAATGCATTTTTGAGAACTTAGTTCACGGAACACCGACAGAGTACAACGCACCTCCAATAACCGTAGTCGTCGTAATCACCGTCGACGAAATACAACTTGGATCACCGGGTACGGATAAAGCACTCACATCGCCCGTCTGCAAACACGAAGTAGTGACGACAGTACTCGTCGTACCGGGGATAGTCGTGACCGACTCGGTAAAGGAAGTGGACACAGAGGTAGTGACCACAGTAGAGAACTGGGTCGAAGTTGGCGTCGACACGCAGGACATGGTAGTGGATTGATGACTAGCAGCGGTGCCAAGAACTAGACAAGAGTTTGTAGAGTGACTAGGGAATAGGGCGCGACGCGGGCGCAGCAGGTGCGGAAAAAGAAAACAAGACTCAGAAAGTCAAGACGCGCCGGGTTGTGGAATGTGTTGCTGCCTTGACGGCGCGATTAGATAGGGCGCAGTCAGAGGACGAGCGGGGCCCTGGTATGCTGCGGGATGAGGACTGTGTAGTAAGAGAGCAAGGAGTAGAGACGGAGAGAGGACAGAATTCAGAGCTCTCGGCGAGGCTGTCCAGAGCGTGTATAACTGTTTGCATTATTCCTCCTTTAGTATCATACCGCCGATCACTCAATCCGTTCTCCCGGTAACTCCCGGATCTTCCCTGATCTTCCAGCGCCTTCCTGCAATACACTTGTCGTACACTCGTACCTATTCTCAATGGCTCCAAAACAAAATATCTCCGCAAACTCCACATACCACAAGCCTGCGCAGCAAAGCCACTCGTCCTCAACAACGAGGACACTTCTTCCTCGTTAACCCACTCCAAACTTGTTTCAATGTTGCTCTCGCATTTGCGGCAAGTTCTCACCGTGTCGGGAATCACCTCCCGCCTCGCGGCTTGTTAGCCAGATCGTGAGATGACATCACGAGTTGCTATGCACTGCCCATCGGTCCTTCCTTCCGCCTGCATGTTCATTAAATAGCTTTGCTATCGCGGTCCTCTCGGCATCCCGAATGCATACAGTGGAAGATAAAGCGTCAGTCATAACGCTTGAGGCTTGTTAGCGGGGTGAGACAGTATAATTTTTTTAATTAACACAATAATTATGCAAGGCTCATGCAACTAATGCATTTAACTCCGGCTCACCTTGACAATATGAGAACGACCACAATACAAACGCAGTCAGTATCGATGAAGGAAAAGACCTCATCTGATTCTCCAGTATTCGCCGCTCAAAATACCGCCCGCTAGCAATTATGAGCATTTACATTCACATTCACATTCACATCTTCTTTAGTTTCACTCGTGTTGATTGTGTTCTAGACTTTCAGGTCTACTTCCGATCAAGGAACAAGTCTACATTACATGTAACTGAACTGTACCAGGCCAGGGCCACACATGTAACTTAAGTAGCTTTGCCATTTCAGCCCTCTCTTCAGTTTGCTTAATAATTGTGCAATATTAATGGTCATGATAATACATTGGATTCCTTCTCAACAAGACGTTATACATCGCATTCAACTGCGACAAACAGGATGGATGAAAGAAAAAAGATCTCATCTATTCCATACTATGCGCCCAAGTACCGCCCGCTAGCATTAAGAATATTATATTTATATTTACTGTAAATCTATTTACTTATTCCTACTCGTGTTCATTGTGTTCTAGACTTTAAGTTCAAGGAACAATCTGCATTACTATTTGAACTATAAGTGTACACTGTAACCTGTAATGGACATGTAGTGCGTGTCAACGTGCCATTACATTTAACAGGAAATGGAATATTAACGCAATGAGGCATATTTCATAATAATCCGATGTAAGCTTATCTCAATTCCATGTCAGGACAAAGTAAACTTTGTTTTTAAGCGCTCAGTAGATAGGCACCCAAATATCCAAACACAACTCAGGGGAAAACAAAACTTTATTTGTAGCGTTATTAGCTTTATTATATTACTATCACTAGCTACTTAACAACCGACCAATATCCGTCCATATCCATCATCCATGTACTATGTACTAACGAACAAGCTAACTTTCTAACTAACTAAGAAAATATTCGACGTACGAATTGGCCCCAAAGGAGAGAAAAGAAGAGAAGAGAAACGAAAACGAAACAAAAAGAGGAAGAATATACGCAGAACGAACAAACGAATGACAACAGAAGGTGAAGGACTTGAAGGAGGAATGACAGAGAGAGCAGGTATCAGAATCGTTAGAGAGTGAGAACGGAAGATCCGCTTCCTAGCCTTGAAGAAAGTGTGCCATGGCGTAGGGTGACGAATCGCCAGCGCGTTCGTCGAAGCCATGCCAGTAAAAGGACAAGAAAGGTAGCAAAGAGGGGAGAGAGGAGAACGTATAAAGCAATTATAATGATAAAAAGCGAATGTCGGGTTGTCGTAATCATAAACGCGAGACTTTTCTTGAAAGCAATAGCAGAATTTTAAAAAGAAGTGAGAGCACAAATCTATGCTTCCGACTCTCCTTCAGCCGCCTTGACGAGATGTACTTCGACAGTAGCTCGGTACTCTTCATCTACGCGCGCGTTTGCATGGTCTTCTTCCTCTTCTTCGCATACGGGGAACGTATCATATGCAAGCACGAACTGCTCAAGTCCATGCCCATCGTCAGACCCCTCGACAATGGTCTTCGTCATGGGATCCTCGTCCCTCTTTCTCCGCCATGGTCCATCAATGCTATCGTCTTCTGACTCTTCGTCCGAGTCCCGACCGGACGAAGGAGATGAAGAACCAGCAGATGCTGATCGTAGACGGCCTGGCCAGGTGAAAGTCTTTTTTGGTGTGGGACGTTTTCGTGGTGACGATTTCGTATTCGCATCTTCTTTGAGTTTCGTATGCGATACGCGCCTCCAGATGACTTTCGTCGCGTCTCCCAATAGCTTTCCCAGTACCGCGAACGCATGCTCGTCTTCCTCCTCGCCGGGCTGATGTTGCGTCTGTACGTTACAACTGTCTGACTCGGCTACCAATCGTTGACCTCCAGGAATCGTGTTGCATTCCTCGACATAATAATTAAATCGATCCTGGGCCATCATCATCCGTCGCTGACGGAGCATCTGACCACGTGCTGCAAGACCGATAGGACGCGAGCTCTTCCGCTGCCGAGGTCCTATCTCCGGCAAGGGGGCAAAAGTAACGCAAGGAGCGATACATGTCGAAGATAACGTCGTAGCACGCGTACGTGTCGATGAAGCTGTCGACGATGTAGTGGAGTCTACGTCAAACCCAGATGAACTCGAGCCTGAACTTAGTCTGGTTCGTGATGAACTTCCGTTCACGCCTAAGCAATGAGACTCGCTCTCGGATGAGGGTGATGACTCTGATTCGGTTTGCGGCTCTTGTGCGTGTTCGTCGCAGGCTGGGGTGACCTCGACGACTGGGTCCGTACAGATGAGGATACCATTGGGATATGGTCGACTTGACGGTCCAGCGGAAGTGCTTCGTGTCCGTGTGTTAACAGGTGACAGCACCTGCTGCTCTTGTGCAGTTGGTGCATCCTTTGTTAGGTTTTCTTTGACCTCGGCCGAGGTCGGGAAGGGAGTTGAGTCCGGAGACGACACTGCTGGTGATTGCGTTTGGTCATCGACGATCAACGATGGAGTGTTTGTTACTGGCATCACATCAACTGCGACTGCTGCCATCGTAAATAAGCTCTGAGAAGGAAGACTATCAAAAATTGCACGCCCGGATCGACGTCTCTTCTTCGGAGGCCGATGGATTGTTGGGGTGTTCTATTCTCGAGAGAAACGAGAGGATCGTACGTAGAAAGACGTTATCGAGCTGCTCTGCAGACAATGATGGTGGTGTTGGTGAGAGAAGGGGATGGCAAAAGGCCTCAAGAAGAGAGCGAACGAGGGTCGGTGGTAGGCAAGCGGCGTGCAAATGACTGATGGAGAGGTCGGCAACCAAATAGACACCACGGTCGCTTAACCAGCGGGTGCCTTAAAATAAATGCAGGAGTGAATAGCGTCCACGAGGATACATGGGAACGATACTCACAGACGTCGCGAGCGCTTGGACGACGAACAACTCTTGCTAGCAGCCAGCCAACGTTCGGTGGGACGTGCGTTGGAATGCTAGGAAGAGAGTCTGGGGCTAGAAAAGTGGAAATGAAATGAAAATAAGAGCGCTCGGCTGCCGGGAGACGGTAGCCGACGCTTCGAAAGAAGGCACTAGTTCGCATGATCACATGATGTCGATCATTCCGAGTCTGACCGAGTGTCATCACTGTCATGCACTTTCTGCACTGCACTGACTGACAATGAGTGCACTCAGGGCTTTCCGGGCTGCTGACCTCTTCAAGTTCAATAACATGTTAGTCTGCGCTCTAACAAGTATGGAATACTAGTTGAACAATATTCTAGCAACCTAGATGTATGGACAGAAACATATGGCATTAGTTTTTACTTGTCCTATCTCACTCGATGGCCAGACCTCTGCTGTGTGCAGGAGGCTCCCAATGGCCGTCTCATGGGCTACGGTGAGTCTCCACCCTATTACTCCTTTACGGACATTAACTTTCCTTTGTATCCCCAGTAATTGGGAAAGCGGAGGGCCAGGGACTCGAATGGCACGGTCACGTCACAGCACTCACCGTCGCCCCAGAATACCGCCACCTCTCCCTCGGTCGCAAACTCATGAACCTCCTCGAACTCGTCTCAGACGAAGCATACCGTGGCTTCTTCGTCGACCTATACGTTCGCTGTAACAACGCGGTTGCCATCGGCATGTACGAGAAGCTCGGATATAGTGTGTATCGCCGTGTCCGGGAGTATTATGGGTCTGCTGGACCTGGGAAGAGAGACGAGGAGGATGCTTTTGGTGCGTTGATCTATTAATGTGTTGGTTGGGAAGTATTAAATATAGACGGGTGGGTCTTTTTTAGATATGCGAAAACCACTTTCTCGAGATCCGTCGAGACGATCTGTTCGACCGAATGGGAAGGACCTAATTGTCAGCGCACACGATGTATCTTGACCATAGAAATTTCTCCAAATACATTACTTTTACACGAACTTAGTAATACAATTGGGAAGGGTATGCAAGCAAGACAACTAGCAGCAAGGCAAGAGGGAACGCATCAAATCGACAACGGAGGAGGTTCCTCTGGAACACTAGGCAGGTTGGCCAAAACCTTGTCATAGAAAACCGACAACGTCGCTTTATCAGAACAAAACTCAATCATCTGCAATCTAAGCTCTTCAGCTGCATCAGCAGGTTGTATCCCTCGACTCTTCATACTCGCACCCATCCGTCCAGGTCCCATAAGTCGGTTAATAAGGAACAAAAATCCCTCTGCCCCACCGAGCACTTGTACGAAGGCAACACCAGTACGATGTACGAACTGTGAATGTGTGAAAGCGCCCCTTCGATATGAATAGAACACATCGACGTTGTGCGGGTATAAGTCCGTCGCTTCGATGTCGAGAATGAAGTGGAAGTGTCTTAGCAGGGCATACTCGAAGTAATATTGAGCAGGCGTAGAGCATTCTGTTCCTGGTCCACGAAGACGTTTCTCTATGTCGGGTACGACCGGTGGTGGAAGTGCAAGACGTAGGGGGAAGCAGCTTTGGAATGCGTTACGCTCCCGGATATCAGAGATCTGGGTGACGTACGCCTCTACGAGCTTGAGCCCGTAGCGTTCGATCTTTGCACTCCATGCACGCAATTGCTCTTCGATTAAACGTGCAGTTGTCCCAAGCCAGTGAAGTTCGAAGTGAAAGACGTTTGCAGGGTTGTGAATAAGGTCGTAGTGTAAGATCAGACTTTCCGCCTGGTCGCTTTTCTGCAAGTTCGACAGATTCAGTACGAACATAAAATCGACGAGGGTAGTAGGACGACAAGTTCACGCACTTTACTGGGATCAATATCCACTACCATTGTCTGGCTGAGCACAAGTCGCTTGCGATTCTTCTTGCTTGTGAGCCCACCCTTCGGTCCACCCGGATAATAACCTATAGGTCGTCCATCTCTCTCTTCACCCGATACATGTCGTGCTACCGAACGGAAGCTCCAGCCCCTTGCTGATTTCGGTGTCCGGGGGATGGCATATTCACTCCTGAGCCGATAGAAATAGTGTCTAGCATGGATACAGAGAATCAATCTCGAGCTGTATGTGTCATAGTAAGATCTCTCTCTTACCCATCCAGGAATCCATGCTTTCCTCGACAATGCTCAAACAAACCTTGCTCGAGTAACTTCATCCCCCATTCCTGTGCCTGTTCTCTCGTAGATACATCCCTAAACTCCCTACATAACCAACTAACGAAATCATAACCCGTAAATGAATCCTCGTATAGTGAGTTATGCCACCTGTGGTCCTTGATGGAGAGACCACGATCCTCACGCATAAGTTTCGCGATGGACGCAAGGCTCATCTCAGCGATCTCACGTTCACTTTTCATTTTCTTTTGTAACGGCCCTGAAGCCATTATGTCCTCGAGCTGTGACACAAGATGCTCATCATCGATGCTTGCAGTTGGGCTGAGATAGGTGGGCAGGAAGCGTAAGGGAGGGTAAACGGCGTTCTTGTCGCGTTCTGCAGGGAGGATCCAGCGTAACTTCGACCACAGCTCTGCGAGTTTGTCCGAGCCGAGTAGCCGAGTCTCCTCGTCATTGAGCTTCTCACCAGATGCCCCAAGTGTTGGCTGAGGGGCCTCAAGTGTCGGGATGACGATGAAGCGTGTCCGCCAATAACGCAGGGACTCGCTGAACTGATGTTCATAGCCCGCAATCAGCATGTCGAGTCGGTTCCAACCGTAGCTCTCCAACCCATGAGCCCCAAATGTTGTCGAGAGCTCCGTGTAGCCGACACCATCCTTAGGCCACACCAAGCACTTGTAGTCGAAGGAACGCGACAATGGCATACGTCGCACGTATCTACGTACTTGGATCGCCTCACCATTGTATGAGATGCGATGGATCTCGTTGCTCATACTGAGAAAGACAGGATCTATGCCTTCCTGGAAAATCTGAGACGCCCCCGCTGGCTTTGGCGTACGATCATCATCGAGGGAAAAATATCTCATATCATGCTCCCGTTTCTTGCTCTCTTTGTCGGAGACTTTGGGGCGGACAATGAATTGGAATCCTTGCACAAGACGAAGGGCAGCCATTCCTCTCATTACGACAAGCGCATATGCCCTCCGGGCCTCATCTACAGACTCCCTCCCTATTGTTGGTCTCTTCACCAGGAACGACTTCATTTCCGGGGGATCAATAACGAAGTCATACGAAAAGACATCGTATGAAGTCTCCAACTCCGATTTGGAAGGGAAATATTCGGTGGTCAATGGAAGACAACCCGGTGTGACCATTGACCCCCACTTAATTTGGTGCTTGTACAGAGGTTGAGGGAACATGTGCTGCCAGCGGGAAGCAAGGGACGTCTGAGCATATGGCATCGCGGCGGTGACGCGTAAAGGGTTTGTCCTAACATTAGGTGAAGACGTGGTTAAGGGCATATTCAGCGAAGAAATCGTTGACCGACGCTGAATGTAGATTGTATCGTCCCTTGATCTTGGCGAAGCACGCATCGGGGGAACGAAAGTGTTGCTCCGAGAGGAGGTGGATAAATCTTCCTCAGATTGCTGACTGAGCACAGGACGTCTCGTGGGTGTGTTGCGAATGGCCATTGGTCGAGGCGTACGGGCTTGAGGCAGAGAGACTGCCGTAGACGTCGAAGGGCGCCCCGGTTGCACACGCTCTCGTGAGAGCGATGGACCAGAAACTGGAGTAACCTGCGACATGTCTGTATTCGTATCATTACTAGACTGTGTTTGACGAGACGTCAAGTTCCGCAATGGGTTAAACAGCCAAGACGACGTAAGCTTCGCGCCAAATGATTCCCTTATTGTGGCACCCTTCACGTTATCTTCTGTTTGAGAGGATTCCTCGGATTTACTAGTCCGGATGGAAGATGACGGCGAGCTGCTTAGTACTGTTGTTGTCGCCATTGCATCCTTCTCATCGCCTTCAGGGGGGAGCTCCAGGAATATCCTGCGCGGGCTCTCTTCTATTGGAGTTATTCTTGGGTTTATAGTTGAGGTACGCTGAAGAACATAGGAAGGACGTTTATCGTATGGATGCGACCGATATGAGGATGAATCCATAATGACCGTAGCCCCTGAAGATGGAGCAGAGTCTTTTCCCAGATGCACCGGAAGGTTCTTCCGCAGTGCAAGTCGCTCTAGGTCAAATCTTTCAGCCTCAAGTTTGAATGCCTCATGGTATTCTTCGGCATTTGCATCCGCCGGAGGCTGCGCAGGGGCCAGGCAGTCGGGAAGGAAGGGTACTTGGATGCTCGCAAGGACATCATGCTCGAGAAGTCCGAGCATTTCGATCTGATGCATTCTTGCGCGGGCCACGAACCTATTCAGATTCCCATGAACAGATGACCCCAAATAAAAACAAGTGGACTGAATAGATACCTGTCCTGCCGGAAGGGCTGGTCCATCTGCTGGTCCCAGAAAGACATCGTGACCCAGAAGGGCTCCCACCAGAAGGTTGACTTCTCGCGCCCGGCGGCTTCAGCCGTTTCGTCATCGCCTCCCCAAAGCGGATCACTGCTCCTCCACCCACTTCTAGACATCTCTGGGCGGGGTTCCGGCTCATACCCTTTAAATGAGAAGATTGGTGTTTGATGTAATGGATGCTTGGTGAGAGAAACTATGTCCAAACCAACTCCTTGTTCTAGTAATCGACTCGTGGTCATGCGGAGCAGTCTTTTTGATACTTTGAAATAACCTGTTCCAGGAGTGATCAAGATAATAGCGGCGCCGGTAAGTGAAAGAGAGCGGTCAACGTAGTGCGTTTCCATGGGGTTAAGAGCAAGGTTCAGCGCCTCAAGGATCGGACCCTCGTGAGCGAAAGATATACGTCCAACTAGCTTTACTTCCGACGGATTAACTACATCTGAACCATATCGAGCGCCAAGGGATGCTCGGTGGTAGTGGTGCGTTAGAAGGATATCGCGCTGGAATGCCACAAATGACTCCTTCAGACTGACAAGCGTTGGTTTCCACTCCTGCAAAATCTCTAGATCTGTGATGACTTTGAAGAAGTCCTTGTACCATCTGCCCTCGTCATCCTGCCGAAGAGGCCCAGCCGCATAGTCAATCTCAGAGTCAAGATAGTAAACTCTCGAGATCAACACTATTGTCACAATGTGATTGGTGTCTGCTTCACACCACCGACGAAATAGCTCAGGCAAGAAACAATGTACAATTTTCTCCGTGTAACGTTCTCCATCTCCGGCAAACTCCCAGAGTTCACGACAGACCTGAATGAATATGGTGACTTTTGCTGACAACGATCGATAGATGCATTTGGTCGTTGAAGTGATTAGTCCGGTTGAGACCTATGAGATACGATCGCGTTAATAATCACCGAATATAATAGAATAATTGTATTACGCGCCTTTCTGCCATTGATATAAACGTTTTGAATCTTCCCTGTAGGTGATCCGACAAAGTAGATCTCTTGGCCTCGGTGTACGCATCGGTCTTGTAGCTGTTTTCCAAGTCTCCACATATCAGAGCGGCCCAAGTATTGGTCTTGGAATATTATCTCAATATATTCCGCATGCATCTTTGAGCTATCGACCTAGCGTATCTTCAGTGATACTAAGCGATTTGGAAAGTCGAAGGAATACCTTGGTCAGTCTAACAGTGGCATGATTCCTCATTCCGAAGGCATCCGCAATAGCCTTCGACACAGAAATCTATATCGATTCGTTTCAGCATTCCCGAAGCTTCCAGCTTAAATAAACGCTAACTTGTGGGGTATTCAAAGAACGTGTTTCTTCCGTAGGTCGCTTGACCATGAAGAGAAACCCGTCCTTTTCCCAATCACTACGATGACCATCATCATCCTCGTTCACTGTAGTTACTTTAACGTAATCTCCCTCCCCAATACCAGGCCAGAATTCCGGATTGAAGATAACATCCGCGGATGATGCCTTTGTATCGAGTACCCAGAGGGAGAGTTCCGTAGAACTTCCGATAGCGAGAGGTTCTAGGACTGGTGAGCGTAGCAAGGACTGAACAGTGTTGGACCGCTTTCGGCGATATGGAGAAGCATTCTGAGATTCTGAGCGCGAAGTTGACATAGAATTGCTAGTCAACGTGTTATTTACTCCATGAGGTGAGATTAAAGATGTATGATCATACAGACAGAGAGTAAGAGTGTCAGTTTCTGTTGTCCTCACAGATAGACACTCGCGGTACGGAGTGTCGATCATCGATCATTTCAAATGTCAGTAGCCATATTTGGCAATAACACCAATTAAAAATATCAATGCGGATTCACGTCCTGTTACTCCTGTACGACTTGCACACACGAATGTCAATGAAATAAGCGGTGATTAATTGAATTAAGTAGGGATTAGTTCTCAGTAGTCACGTCTAGATGAATAACTATTCAAATGTTCGGAGCCGCTTGAAGCACAAACACCAAAGTCTACAGCATTCCTCCAACCACTTTCACAAGCGCTTTGGTACCCGGTCGAACTTTCCTCTCCTCTCCTCGCCAAGGAACTGCATGCCGCCTGAGCCCGTTGACTTCCTCACGAAGCTGCTCCCTCAAATTCCTCGTATCCTCCCCATCAGAAGACGGAACAACCATAACGAAAGCAAGTTCAATGTCAAGATTCGCAGAGCGGGAGTTCAGATTCGTAGATCCGAAAAGTGTAAGGACCGGTGGTTCCAGTTCCGCTGTCGCGTTAGACGTTGATATTGGGGATACCCAGAGGCCCTTGGCGTGGTATGTCCAGTTGTTCTTCTCCCATTCGTGTAGTTGTATTCCGTGTCCATCTTTCCATGCTCTACCAGCACGCAAGACGCCGCGCCAGAAGCGTTGCTCTAGGAACGTATAACCTTCTGGTATTCTTCCGGATACGCCAGAGGATCCGAAGAAACCGTTTGCCTAAATATTGGTTAATCAATAATTGAACAAGGTATGAAGGTTGAATTCGCACCAAAGGACTTGCACATAATAGACGGCAATCAGCGTGCGACTGCTGCAAAAGCTTTTGATAAGGCTCGGCTAGACTGAAGTATCCGCTCGTAAAGTCAATCAAGGGTTTAGTGCCAGTCGATGCAGAGTGTTGATCGAGATGCTTGAAAAGTAAATCAATGCATTCCTCTTCTTCGCGAATGCCAAACTGTCCGGCCTGGATGATCGGGAAAAGCAGGACAATTTCGTCGTTGTTCTGGCTTTCTTCGAGTTTCGTGAGTGATCCTCGCAGCTCATGATCCTGAAAAGTCTGGAGAGCCTTCCCGGCTTCATCTTCTATGTGCTCCGGATGGAGAGAATTTGATGGCCAGGACATGGCATAGGGTGATCCTGATTCTAACTGGTAGGAAAAGGGTGTCATCGTTTTAAGGAAGGAATAACAATAATTTGAGAGCAGAGGTGATTTAAAATGCAGGTAACGATCTTGACGGTTCGTGAAATAAGAGTCATTCAGATTTGCACTAGAAGGGCGAGGTCATGTTGAGTGTTAGCACTTATTCCAGAATCACTACATACCCAGATATTAACACTTCATCGTCGGCACCATACACCTTTGCGTGCCATGTTCCCCAACCTTCATCAAAACGTCTAGGTACAAGTTTGGCCATAAGCCCTTTCAGTTTTGGGCTCTTGAAGAAATGAGCATGGACTCTATCTGGGTACTCTTTGATAAGAGGAGTCAAAAGAGAGGCAGTCGAAGCAGGCCCAGGGCGAGTTGAGCGGTTATAGTCGAGATGAAGATGGACGTGGAGACCCGGATTAGCGCGTAGTGATTCTTCTAGGGCAGTGATCTAGCTAGATTATTTTTCAGGCTGAAGTGGAAGTGCTTTTCGAAGTGACATACGAGGTAGTCCTCTGCGGAACCGATGTATAATGACGAAATAAATATTCTTTTGCGAGCTCGGCGAATCATGTCCTTGACAAAATGAGAAAATTTAGACGACTTAATGATAATGAATGCTCAGTAACTTACAAGGAGCGAATCGAGGAAATCTTTTGGCTGCGATAAGATACAAATATCGCGAGGCTGAAGAGCAAAACATGGCTGCGTTTGTCCTAATTCGAGCGCAAAGTCGCGAATAGACGGATGCAAATGTTGGATTGCGGGGAGCTTCCCTAGAACCTTAGACGACAACGCACGCTGCGTTGGCCGAGGTGGCAATGACCTTTTTGCAGCAGTCCAGCATGCTCGCATAATAACAAAGAATTACTTTCCGAGCCGTGCTCGCTGTTGAGGTCCCAAAAAGTGTTGTGCACACGAGCTGAGGTGTATTCGGCGTTGTCCGACTGAGTCGCACTGGACGGTCATTGATCGTCATAGGCCGTGACACAAGCGTGTTGCCAACAGCCACCCTGGCGAGCTCGTCGACTCCCATCGGCGAATTCGTCCTCAGACGGCGATGGACGCCAAAGACTACCTCCAGTACAACCTGACTATCCGCCTCGGTTCCCTGCTTGCTTTGCCATCCAAGTTTCTCCACCGTCTCCGGCGAATTGATGACCTTCTGAATCACGATCTCGATGTTCAGTCAGCGGCACTCAGCATTCCGATGCCCGTAACAACTTCATTTCACAGTGGGGTTTCAGACGTGGCGCGCCCTCCCCCTTCTCGTTCAAGTCTCTCCTACGAAATTACGACAATGCCGGGTCCGTTCGCATTCATGACCTCGGGCTATGCGCTTGGTCTCATTGCTCTGGTGCGCTGTTATATTCACATGTGTCATCTCGACTGGGCGACTGAATAGGATTGTAGGCATTGCTGTTAAATCGCATCCAGCATATTGTTGTGCCACCGCGACGTTCGCTAGCTTACAGGATTGTGCGCAGCCGTCGATCGGTGTTTCACGCTCTATTCTATTCATTCTTTCCCGTGGATCTGTCTTCAACTGCATACCGCTTCACTTTGCGCATTCCGTCATTATACTTATTATACAAGTCCCTTGCACTGCTTTTCGTAATACTCCTTCAAGTTTCCAACCTCTTTCCGTCTGCAAAAATCAGCTGGTTGCAGCGTCTCGGTGGGTGGGCTGAGCGGAAAGAGATGGAGGATGTATGCTGGTCTATATTCGGAACCGTCTGCACGGCACTCGTGGTCGGTGCCCTTACACGGGGACTGGAAGGATTCAACTCCTCGAATACCCAACCGTTCAATATAGTGAGAGTTCCAAATTAAGTTTACCCCAATATTCGTTATTAATTCACCGGATATGCAGTTTGGCTATGCAATGCTGCTGCATATTTATTCAATGCCAGTGACACATGCAAATAGAAGTACTCCGACTAGGCCAGATATCAATGTTCTCCTCACACTGCTGTTTCCTCTGCTACAGGTGTGTCCTTCTGAATAACGAATCAGAAGACGTACTTACAAAGGACTGTAGCTAGCATTGGTACATTCCCTCGGCATAAGGAAGAAGTGGGCAAAATATCGTCTAGTGCCTACCACTATTTGCTCGCTTGCGACAATCATTCATTTCAATGCCGTTCTTTTCACCAAACCGGCATCCTATCCAATGCTCAATTACTTGCCGTGCCTTCTTGAGACCTTGCTTCTTCTCATTACGCTTCTTACAATTACCTTGAATGCTCTCACGCAGCTACTCCTGGAAGGAGAGATCACCCGCCCTCTCTTTGGCCATGCACAGACCTTGGCTCCAAAATGGGACGAAGATTTTGCGATTGCCCTATTACGGCTTGGTACCGCCAGTTTGGAGGCCACAAATGTTGCGGGCTTGGGAAACGAAGTTGGACCTATTACTATCGGTGACTCTCAATTGGTGGATGCACAAGTGAAGAAGGACCGATTGGACAGTGAAGGCACGATCCATTTGAATAGCGCAGGAGTTGTTTCCATAACCCGTGTGCCTGTTGCGAAGGGCGGGAGCCACAATAAAGGTGGATTTGGGAACGAAATAAAAAACGTAAAGGTGAAGAACTCCGAGGATGACTGGCTCATTGACCACTTATGGTTGCGAGAGCTCACGCGATTTGGCTTGAGCCTCTTCTCTGTCGTTCGCGGGTTGTTCAGGTTCTTCCTTTGGCTTATCTGGTATAAATGGAAGGGTATTGGTTTAAGGCGACCGACCGTGGATGCAGACGCACGATTATCTGGTGACACATCTGTCAGCAATTTTGTTCATGCCGACTTCCGTCAAAGAGACACATCCGATGATGTTTACAGCCGCTTCCTCAGGGGAGAAGATGTCAGCGACGATGAAGAGGAGTACAGTCCGACGCGGGATCATGCACTGTTAGGCAGTTCTCCGGACGATGCTGGGCAGAATTCCGAAGAGGGGGAAGAAGAACCAGATACAGAGAACGACGATTCAGACGATGGTAACGGTCTAGAGACTGCGCGTCTGTACAGCGACCTCCTCACTAACTCCGCGACATCTTCATCTATCTCTCCCGGTCCCGTACTCATTGCTCACATGACGTCGGATTATGCTTCGCCATTAACGCGTCGCCGTTACAATGAGCTCGTCGCTCTTCCTCATAACCAGCTCACTTCTGACACCGCAATAGAGCAGGGTAAAGACGAGTTTGGAGATTTCATCCGTGACAGGCGTGTGCGTGCGAGTACTGTGGGCACTGGGACGAGTTCGGTGGGAGATCTCTCGCAGGACGGGCGGATGAATTGCGTGATCTGCACATCAGAGCCGCGGGAGATCATTTGCTGGCCTTGCAGATGCCTTGCGTTGTGCAATGACTGTCGAGAGAATCTGGCTTCTCGCGTCTCGGCATCGAAACACATGTGTCCTTGCTGTCGTCGAAAGTAAGTGATATGGAGCCTGTTCTGTATTTGTTTACTCATCTGATCTACATCTGAACAGTGTCGAGGGATATTCAAGGATCTACATTCCGTGATGACCGAAGTCACCACTGGCGGTCTGTCAGGTAGAAAATACACCTTCCACCCAATAAATCTGTATAAGTAAATTATCTATCGCACTCTGTCTTGTATTGCATTCTGGAAGAGGAGCATGTAACTACTTAGGAATAGCTGTCGTTGATTTGAGAAAAGAAAAAGCATATTTGTGTAAAGGGAAAAAACGGACCGACATGCTTAGTCATTAACGCGCTTTTGACGCGTCGATCAGTCGAGTCCGAGTCTCGTATTGACCACGCGGACGTGCTCACCTCTCTCCTCAGCCACAGCTCACACAGCAAGGTTTACTCATTGGCAGCTATCCACACCTTTCAACATTTATTCTAAGGATCTTCCTCAAATTTAGCTTAACTACAGACTATGGAGCTTGACGACGAATCGGACCTCACCTCACTCGAGGGCGAGGGCAACCGGAATGACGACGCCAGTGACTTAAGCAGCCTCAGTGCTGATTCCGACTTTGAGCACTTTGCAAAAGACGGTGACGATGAAGAAGATAAACGTTCCTCATCAAGAAATGGCACGCAAAAGGGCGAATCTCTTCAATTATCACCATCGAGAATTGGATCTGGAATATCGCGACCTGCGCCAGCTGCAGGATTGAAAACATACGGTGGCAGAAAATCGCGTAAGAGAGCGAGCTTGAAGCAGGCTAAAAAACCAAAGGCTCCACCACCACCCGAACAAGACCTTGACAGTGACTCGTCATTGACTTCGTTGGCTTCTTCTCCGCGGAAGAGGCGAGCCTCCGCGTCTGCCCTACCATCCACAAGTTCTCCAACAAAACGTGCTAAACGGAAAAGTACTACTGCAAACACGAATGGGAACGGCGTGTCAAAAAAATCTGTCTCAAAAGCTAGGATATTTACAAACGGTGATAGCGAATTGCCGAACCTCCCTTCAACCCCAACAAAACGAAAGCGGAAGGAAGCAGGCGTTGAGGCGCAAAGCAAAGCGCCGGATTCTTCTGTTTCCGTCGCTAGAAGAAGACGTAGCTTTCCATCTCCGAAAGGAAAGGCCTGGTCATTGGAGAATCTTGGGTCTTTGGTATGGGTGCGAATAAATCGCAAGAACGATATTATTGAAGATCCTGGTGGAGAATTCTTTTGGTGGCCAGCGATGGCAAGTATTTTATGGTCTAAGGAAAGGTTATAACTCATAAAATATCTAGGTCGAGCGCAATCCCGCAGAAGAGAAGTCTCTTCAAGTGCACATTTTCTCTCCACCTGCAGAGTCTTCGTCGCCGGTCCTGTCACATATCAATAATCCCTCTCCCTCGAACGTCATCTCGTACAATAGTCGATCGCTTACCGCTGATACGTTCTGGTCACTTCCGTCGTCCTCCTCTCGAGCTAGGCCTGTCAATTTTGAAAAAATAAAGTCCCGATGGGAGTTAGCTTGCAAAGAGATTTTGAAGGAAGACATTCGGGTCAATGATGGCTTTCCCACGTCTGTAGCCGCCATCCTCTCACAATCTCTGAGCGATAGTGACGAAAGCAGGGACGATTCTGCCTCCAGACGTGGTAGGGGACGTAAGGGCCGAGAGTCGAGTCCGAAACCGCCAGAAATTAGTCCCTGGTCACCACCACCTCCTGATCCAAATGTCACGATTCCAGGGGAACACGTCTTATCCGCAACTAAGGCTAAGGGCTGCTCTGGAAAGTACTATCCGGCTAAGATTATTGCTTACGTGGCACCGTCTGATCCCACTGTCCGTCCGAAATATACGGTTCATTTTATGGATAATATACAAGAAGACGTGACCCGGGATAAGTTCTACATTTACGAGCAGGAAGAGTTTGGGACGTGTAAGGTATGCACTTTCGCTCAAGACTGCAAGACAATGCTTCATATACATTTAGTTAGGAGAATTTATGTCCGTTGAGTCATTACATGAGGGGGATGCCGAAGACGGCCTTGGCGAAGATATTTTCACGGAGACTAATAATGACTTAGTCATTCCCGAATTTCCATTACTCCCAGCCCCTCCTCCTGAGAAGTTCTGTGAACTCTCGATGGTCCAGCAAATATCACATATAATGCCAATCCTTAAGGAGATCACCAATAACAATTACAAACCCGCGGAGAAACGTGTGACGGCATTTCTCAACGGCGGCCGTGAGCGAGTGGAAATGTCAAGGGAGGCGCCGCAAAGGGGGACTCTCACCCGTGTAGAGCTGAATCAGCTTGCCCGCATCATCAAAAGTTGGGCTCAACGGATCGGACAGTCAAACGATGCGACGCGGGATGTCAATGGCTCGCGTGTGGTCGATACTCACGATCATCCGGACCTAAGGCCCAAATCCCCTTCGAAAGAGGATGAGTCACTGCAAGAACCCTCGTCTTCTCCTGAAGATCTGTTGGACAAGCAGGTTAGTGTTGTACTTGGTGGAGATAATGAGCATGTGTCAACCCCTGAGGTTGTCTGCATCTCATCTATCTTGGTAAATCGTCGGTCCTGATGTGACAGTTGACTGACCTTTCTCCTTGCAGGTGTTGCGCGAAGTTCAAGACGAGGGACAGGTTCCATCGCTGCCCCCATCATCATTACCTCCATCATCGACAGCCGTAAGTGTCTACCTCTCAGTTCACAATAGAGCTATTCTTATCTTATCCAGAATGTTCAGGACGATTCGCCCAGTAATACGCCTAAAGTAGTCGGCAAGGACGATCTTAATGGAACTGCACACGAGTCCGCCGACAAGGTCGAACCATTTTCAGATGATCTTCGACAAGAGGATGGCGTTGAGGCGGTTGCGAATCAGCAGGTCTGTGATGAAATTACTGACTGATCAAATGAAGAACAATTTCTCAAAGGTGCAAAAATTCATTTGACAGGTGTTTGTTGCGCCCACATCTACGAAGTCGAACCCGACCAACCCGTCGTTTGAGGATCTACTGGGTCACGAAAAGATTCATGTGGGTGGTCGCGTTTCTTCAGATCTCGCTTAAAACTGTTCGTTACTTATTGACCAACCCCTATCCTGTTAGTTCTGCACAGACGTGCTTTTGAAAGAAGCAATAATCCAATTACTCTTGTGGCGAGTAGGGAAGCGACAAGTCCCGGAACCACTATCAGACGCCGAGGAAATACTTCTCCATGAGATTGGATCGAATCTAGCCAGCGAATTTGACATTGCACATACCGTAAGGGCTCTTCGGATGAGAAAGGAAAAATCACTACAGGCCAAGAAAATGTCTTCGTCATCAAAACAGGGAATTTCAATAGGAGGAACACGAACACGACCTAGGAAGGTTTGATATACCATACGTATATAATGTAAAACATGCATATGCATATGTATACTGCTGCGGAAATTTTGGCTTTCTTTTATATTTCGGCGTTCTCTGTATTCTAATGTCAACATTACCAATTACCTCGATCGATCAATATGCATGTGCGGACTGCGTAAATACAAAAACACCCTATGCACAGCTTCTTATTGACATTGAAAGATTCTAATTCAGTGGAGAGACTTTAGAATTGAAGTTTCTCCAATGATTGTCCTTTACGCCCGTTATTGCACATTCGTTCCCACTCGGCCATGTGCCTTCCTTAAGTCCCGAATACTGAATACTACATACGGTAGCGTTGTTCATTCATTGCGCCCCTCATCGCGAGTTCTTGGCAAATAAGCGTTTCCGATTCGTAATGAGTCGTCGAAGTACATCGTGGCTGAAACGAGGTTGTGGGGCTCTCACGCATGACCCGTTGCTAGAATGGGGCTTGTACGTACGTTCTATAAGCACTTCTGAATACGTTTTGATAGGTATCAAACAATTGTTGGTATGCTCAGACAAAGTATAAGAAGAGAAGAAAGGAGTTATATCTTTGTTGAAAACTAATCCGTTGTAATGTCCACAAGACAAATAAAGATCCTATCGTATCGAAATACATAACCTAAGATAATAATTTAAAGGCGAAAAATCGGTACCGCACATATATGGGCGCTATCAAGAAAGAAGGTCAATAGGCCCGTGTCCATGGGAGAACTACAAATTATTCGTATATATGCAAATGATTAATCTCCGTCGTGAAATGCCTTGGTTGGTGTTTGGTGGCCACTGCTACCAGAACGCGATACAGGTTGACGAGTAACTAACATCGTGAGGTTCATCTGAGAATTGTTACGCGAACGAGGTAACGAGTATAGCGATGGGCTCGGATAACCGTTGAGCTGGGATGATGATGATAGATCGAGACGATGCGCAGGTGGGGTAGCCGCCCGCGGGGAAAACAATGCTCCAACTGGCGATCCAGCACGATGTCCCGTTCCTGCGGAACCGTTCTGATATCGTAGAGAAGGGGATGAGAAAGATCGGGTCGGGGAAGCACGGGAAGCTAGTGGGTACATGTGGCGCCCAGCAGGCAAAGATGAAGAGGGTGGGTTTGTGGGAGGACGATGGATAGACGCCAGCACTCTGGACAAGGCTGAGCGCATGTGCGCCCAAAGTCGAGAAGCAGAAGCTGATGGGGGAAGGCTGGTAAATAAAGAACCTGCGGAAGAGAAACGTCCCATTTTTGAATTATGTGCAGCACCTCCCTCTAAATCATCGTATACTGTAACGTCCTTGCCTGTGATTCTCTTGAGATAGACTCGCAGGAAATGCACGATTTGATGACGCAAGCGAAACGCAATGGTCGACAAAATTACGAAACAAACCAAGTAAAATAGTAAAAGAAATTGCGAAATTTCTAGGTCGTATCGTCCACTGGGTATTGGAAGTACGATAGGACTCGCGTCCCGATCGGAATCAGCGGAACCGTGTGTGTTTTGTCTCCCAATATCGACAACGGGTTCAGGAAGAGGCGGCGTATCCTTTGACAACGGAGGAACTTCCCGACTAGCCTCGAGGACCATTTTCCCGAGCGTCCAGCTGATAGACGTATCACCAATAGAATCAAGCGACTGCATGGTTGGCTTTCCCAAACCTTTCTGCTCTACCTTCTCTTTAACATCACTTGAATCTTCTTGTGAATTTCCTCCAGGATCAACGATACGGGGCAGACCAATGCCGTCATGTAAAACGTTAACGATCCATGCAGACTTGAAGCATTGCATCTGCAACCTTGACAATTCGACTTCTTCTCCCCATTCATCCACCCCAACAACTCGTCCTTCTTCTTCCACCTCTCCATCTCCGCCCAAGGCGTCATTTGCCTTTGAAGTCGCGTGCTGCCTCAAAATATCGTCCCAATCTCGAGAACAAAACTCTGATGCAGCCTTCTCGTACTCTTCGAAATTGTAGGCGCCACCAAGGCCGAACACGTGTTCAGTTGAATACCAATATTCGGATACGCCAATAAAGTGGGAAACAGAGAAATCGATTTGAGGCACGTGGACACCATTGAAAAGGCATGGGACGTCAGGACAGGGTGCATTTTTGTTCAGCAGAGGAGCGACTTGTTCTAAGCATTGCTCAAAAGCGCCGGTGCCAACAAGCGTATGCGCTTTCCGACTATGCGCATCCTCATGACCAGGATATGCAGAATCTTCCGATAAATAGAGATCCTTCGGTAGACATGGGTCAGGTACGGGACCATGGCCCTCCGCATGCTGCGAAGTTTCATATTCTGTGATAGTTTTCCCGACGTATCGCTCCCGAGCCTGATTTGTCCCATAGCCTAGCCAAGTAGTAACAAAAACTCGATGATGAATATCTTCTCCTCCAATAAGTCGTAAATGGACATCAATTAGATTCTTGGTCTTTGTGCGTTCCTCTTCGCTGGGTTCAAATGCAATTTGAGTAGATGCGCCTCCCATGTCTAAGAAACCGTAAGTCGTCTTATCATCGTCATTACCCGTAAATTGATCCATTAGATAATTGACTGCAACCCAGCCGAAAAGGCCTTCCTCTTCGCCGGAAATAATGCGAACGCTCGACCCGCAATGACCCGCAGCAGATTCATTGTCAACTCGAAAGTGAGAATGAAATCGGATAAAGTCGCAGGCAGCATCCAGAATTGCTTCCTGTTGTGACGTAGGCAGGAGACGCATGCCCGCGGTGGCCAAAAGGAAAATAGGGGTTTCGTGATGCAGCGAAGGGGGAATGTGCTCTCGAGCATGGTCGAGCAGGGGGGCAAGATAGACTGCGACACCATCGGGGTTTTCGCCAAAAGATGAAATGCCTACAGAACGGTGCAAGATGAAAGAAGGGTGAATTGTCGTGCAGCTGAAGTCCGCGGAGAAGACTGACCTGGCTCTACTTTACGGACCCAGTCATCTGCATTTTCTGTTCCCTTCCCGACGTCTGGCAGAGCATAATACGCTTTTGGGCCTTGCTCGTGTCGGACGAGGCGAGGATCTCGCCAGCTGTAGATCTGAAGCCTGGAGCCAGATGAACCCGCATCAATAACGATTCCAAAGCGCCGACCATTGAGCCAGGCATCGACTGTACTCGGTGGTGGCATCGAACGGCATAGGGAGAAAGATTGCGCGTTGGAAGCACGAGTGCACACGACGTGTCACACAAATTCGAATTATTTCACAGCATTATGTAATCTATTTGAAGCGTCGCGACAGACGGCATCACTACTCCTGCTCCTGAAGCTGAAGTCTCTTCCATGTTCACGCACGTCAAGCCACCGCTGCTGGCGGCTGGAGACCCGTCCCTCTTAACAACAAAACTGCCCGCCGTTTTTTCAGAAGCACGGAAAACATGTCTTCTGCCGAATATCTCCGCAAGTCTATGGAGGTCTCTACTACTGACTCGAAGGCCCAGGAAGAATTGTGCTGGCACTGGACAATTCCGGCTTTGGTAGATCATCACGGTGTTGAGCTGATGTCCCACCTCGGTCCACCCTATTTATCCTGTTCTATTTGCTATTTGCATCCAGCCATGGACCAGCTCCCTGTCCATGATGCGTCTTATTTCCTAGTCGTACCTTTTCTCTCAGGCTTCGGTGTGTGACAAACCAAGACCCTATCTTCTCCAGGTTCATCTCCGTGCTCGCTTCCTTGACGTACTCACCACTTCGAGTTGAAGTCCGCCTCGTTCACAGCAACCTTCGCATCGAAATCCTATCCCACTCCTAAATAAATCTCGCTTCAAGAGGCTGTGTGGTGCGGTCACAATGGAATCCCGTTGACCTTGGCAAACTTACTGTCAATTCATGGGCTCCAAATCATAACTCAGCAAGTCAGAATAACGGGCTCGACAAGCGGCTTTGCGTACTACTCTCGTGCCTGCGGATCTACAAAGGAAGCTAACCAAAAGTAAGAATTTGTAGTGCGTGTCTGAATTATCTTCGGGGTTTCCTAGCGTGGTGACAAGCCTCTTGTCCTTGCTTCTTTTCGTCCCGATCCAAAGTTAATCTTGGACGTCAACAAAATCACCGAAATATACATGTGTCGCCTGTAATTCTGTCCTCACAACGACCATCGGCCTCGCGTTATACACGAGGATGAGACCCGATACTCTTTGCTTCTCCAGGGTCCATCAAATAAATAAGATCGTCTATGACGCCAGTTTTTGGGGACGAAGCGATCATTCCTGAAATAAGCCTTTTGCTCTGTCCGGTGGTGCTGATCACAATTGATCTGTGTTTACGCGCTCTGCACTGAGCTGTGCACATAGTGATGCAGTTGCACTCGCCAGCAATTGTATTTCCAAATTCATACCTTCATAGTACACATAGGTCTTCCTCAGAACAACGGCTTCGAACGGACAGAATGTGGCGTAGCAACTTTTATCCACCCCTTCGATTGTGCCTTTCATGCATGCAAATAAGTTTAATTTGTCAGATCAGACTCGTTACAAAACACGCGCCGCTCACACGTTCCCCATTCTTATGCGATATCCAGGGTTATTTACCAGAAAGAAGTTTCGAAAACAGCATCCTCTGACTTCCATGTGCATGGACCATTTCATCTCATTTGAAGAAGAGGGCAGTGGAAGTAATTTAAAGCGTTTATCAATCATTCATCCGACCTTATTTTCTGAGGTTGACTGGCGTAAATAATCCCGCAAAATTAAGGTCCCGTGACATTGATAGATGCTTCTCCCGCATCTGACAACAAATGCACCACAAATACACCGACTAGCAGTTTCTGTGCCTTGAATTGAGAAGCAGCGACAATGCAGAAGAACTCGTTACAAACTCGAAAAATTAAATAATACCGGAAAGCATGCCGCAATCACGTAAAGCAAAGAAGCAGTGGGGAGCATGCATTACAACAGTTCGTCAGCCCGATTGGAAAGATGCTTGAAAATACACATATACAATGCAAAAAAGAAACACGCGTGCTGGCATCATGGAAAACGAGAGGCGAGTCACGAGTCCTGCTTCCCCCCTTCTCCTGGACGCCCTTCAAATGCAGCGTTGAAGTTACTTTCTGATAACGGTGTCATGCGATGACCCGTCACGGGACTGTTTGTCCCAGAGTGCTGCGGTGAACCCAGCCTCGGAGTAATGAGGCCGCTTCCTCCAGCACCATAAACGAAACCACCGCTAAGACCCTCTAAAGTATTTGAGAAGCCTGTCGATAGGGGGGAGGAGCGAATTCAATTAAACTTTCCACTTCTATTCACACCCGACAGAAACCTTACCTGGTACAAGCACGCTGTCCCAAAATCCGGTACTTAATATACTGTCCATCGAGAGCATTCCCGACGCATCATCCTGAGAATTGCTCGGCGCCATAGTTGGAGGGAAAGTCGACATGTCAGCGACAGGCCCCATTTCACTATTCGACTGGAATACACCCGGTGTCGTAGCACCCTCGTAGATGGAACCAAGGAAGCCCAGATTGGCATCGGTGCCATTTTGAGTGCCCTCTCCTGACGCATTGCCATCATGACCATCTTCACTGGACTGTTCCGGTCTTTGATAGTTCAGATCGGAATCTTGCGTCGGGGGTTGTGCGGAAACGAGCGCTTTTAAGAATGTGCTGTATAGAGCAGGAGTATGGAGAGGACCAGCCGCAATCCGTTCCAAAATATCAGCAATTTCCTGGATGAGTGACAATGTCTTCTTTTCATCGACGAGGAAACGTCGGAAAGCTGGCCGAGTAAACTGAGGGAGGTAAAAAAAATTAGGCAATTGTAATTCAAAGCATGAATTAAGCGCCCAACCTTCAACAGACTAAGGACAGCATAGGAGCATTGTACGAAATGGGAGTCCGGAGAATACCGTAAGAATCCTTGGGGGCCAAGCTCATCACGCACAACAGTCACACAGGCGACGGCGGATGAGTGGCAACGCGCGAAGAAATGTCCAATGTCAACAGGGGAGCGTTCGAGGGCATTCTGCAAGCCAAAAGAGTTGATGATAAGCATGCTGTAATTGTAATAGAATTTTCCGATGGATGCCCAATAAATTTGATATGGAGAAGCGGGATCCGCTACATGTACGGTTATTATGTGTACACAATAGCGCAGTAAATCACTTACTGGGATCAACAAGTTTAGTAACCCATTCCTCTAGCCAGCTTTGCAACTGTGCCTCAATTGTGTTTGTCACCAAGTAAAAATCACAATGTGTCACAAGCCCCGACACGGACGTCGTGCTGGAATACAGAAGATCAAGGCTCCGGGACAAAATGCGTTGTAGTTCCTATAGATGCAGCCGTCAATATTGACTCAATTGTAAACAAGAAGGTGATTTACAGTATACGCGGCAATACCCCCATCACCCTTCACTGCGATGGGCTTGGTCCAGAAAAGTCCAGTGTTCTGTATGATGTGACTGACACGTTGTGAGAAAGTGGACGATTTAATATAACTAACGCCACGACGTACTCTTCTTTGATTGAATGGGGCTTCCCCATCTGGGCACTCATACTTCGATCGAGGATGTAACAAACTAACCAAGTCCTTTCTCGGTTGTGCACTTCTTTGTCTCGTGCCCGTCCCTCGGCCGTATCCTGGCCTAAAGTGGCCGTCTTGCGATGTAAGTTCAGGTCCACTGCCATTCTAAATCCGCCGATAGCCAGCTGGCTCGTCACAACTTCTCCATGGACGTAAGCAATTTAACGCACCGGATAGCCATGCCTAGGAGCAACCAGGTCTTATCTTGTTCGAACCGCTCAACGGGATCACAGCCCCACAATGACAGCAGGAGATATGCCTGAACTATTTCGACAGATTTGAAACCTTTCTCGGGTACGTTGAATGCCAGTTTTCGAGATAGGTTTGAAAGCTTCGGATGCAGTTCGGGACGTGCGTCGTAGAATTTGGAAGAAATCGCGCAAACTAGTGGAAATAGGGGTAGTTGATAGATAGATTGGGTGGATCAGCGAACAATCGTAGATGAAGTATAAATAAAAAGTTCAAGCAAACTTACTTGTCGTGAGCAAAAAGGGTGATCTGGAGCAAACCAACGAAGGGGTGTGGAAAGCAGGATCCAAGAGTCCGCTGTGGATCTGCACAGAAGTGACGGAAATCAGTCACGACGACCTATTTGAAAATTGCAAATACTGACATTCATTTTCTCAAAGAAGCTAAATACAAGTCAGCATGATTGATCCGACCGCCATAAAATCACGAGCTTACATCTTAAACAATGCAACGACCTCGTCTGTCGATACGAAGCTAAGCATCTCGGGTTGGATTTGTCGCTCAATATATAACCGCCGCAATGGAAGTATCGTCATAGGACCTGATGAAATTAAAGCACTATCCGACAACGCATATTTAATGAGCATACCTGGTTTAAAATAAATGTCACTAGCTACGCCAACATTTCGGCCCTTGTTCGCTGGCGAGCCATCCGACTTGGTGTGATTTTGAGAATTATATTGCGCTCGGCGATTTGCTAGACTGGCCTCGGCCAGGAGGCCGAGTGGATTCAACTCATTGTCGGGGAGGGAGTGCAACCTTGGTGAGCCCGGGTGATGATGAAGGGAATGCACGGTCTGGGCAGGAGGCGGCGAGGGGGTCTCGAGCAGAGCATGCGTCTTGTTAGCTTGATTAGACGGCGAAGGCGAGCGAGATACCATGCCGGATGCAATAGAAGAAAGCCCCGGATTACCAATAGATCGAAGGACGGTATCAAGCGTCTTCTCCATCTTTCGCAGTGACCGAGTAAGTTGTTCGTGTTTCCTGACATTGTTACTGTAATTCAGCGGCGACATTAGAGACAATCAATGTATGCCATGATGACAGATACTTACTTGGAAGAGCGCTTTCCACGGTTTGACTCTTCGAAAATGCATTGATGATTCCCAGCTTCACAACGTTTACAGGGAGGTCCGTGTTCTGCGCCGACGCACTTCATCTTGAGTCTTCGACAGACTGTACAGGCTCTATACGAAGGAAAATAAGAGTTAGGTATAAGAGATGTGAGTGTGTGAATGCCCAACCTTGACCCACGCGTCGCCTTCACTTTTCCTTCCGCAAGTTCTGCAGTGGGGCTCGCTAGATCATCTTCTTCCCGGTCGTCCAACTTGGACTTCTTCCTGCTCCCCATTACATTCTCGTTCGCAGCTGACGATGGCCTTTTGCCATTGACAGTTGCGAACGGATCGGCAGGGGGAGTTCCAGAATACTCGGAACCGCCTTGTGAGGAAGAGGACTGGGGTGAAAGGGATGGAATAGTCATCTGAGGATGCATGGGAGGTTGTTGAGGTGGAAGAGGGGGATTTGAGAGTGGATGTTGCTGCGGGTGTTGCTGTCCCTGTCCATACTGGTTATAGGATGGGTAATAGAGCTGAAGCTGCGGGTCCACAGGGACCTGTGCTTGAGGGGACTGCATGTGCTGGTGGATGGTCTGTTCAAGTTCATGAGGGGACATCTGCGATTGGTAGGGAGATGGAGACATCAGGTAATGCTGGGGGATGTAGTACTGGCTGAGGTGCAATGGCGGCGACGACATTGCGAGGAACAGTGAGCTGGTAAGGTTCAGCTGTAGAAAAGAAACTACGGACCAGGGCGGGGAGGCCGAACACGACGTCGGAGCGTCAGCTAAATACGAAGACAGGTGTCGCGTGTAGGCTATGGGAAACAAACAGATGAAGTGGACCAAGGCAGGCTCGATTTAGACCCGAGTGTTCGGCGAGTCAAAGAAGTAAGGTTGGGTGTTGTGCTGCACACAGACGTATCAGGGCTTCCACGCTTCAACTATCCACGAATCGGCAGGCCTCACGGATAATCTGGCCCAGAAATCGAGATCTTTAATTGACAAAGGCGATAATGAATAGGCAGCAGCTAATAGTTGGTGACAATCAGCTCACCAGGACGCTCAGGCTCCGTGCAGTGCACAATCAAGCTCACTCGGAAGAGCTGCATTTCATGCGCGTTACCAAGATTATCGTGTGACGTCGGATTAGATCATTTTGGTCTCGGAGCCCGTGGGCTCCGTGGATGGGCTAATGGCCCGAATGCCTGACGCTTGGATGGCTGACCAGTTTCCATTATGGGTCACAGGTACCACCTCAATGTTGCGACGCCGCTCTTTCTTCTTCTTTTCAGAATTATCCCAAGGGTTGTTTTTTGCCGTCTTCCTCGTCTTCCTAGACTCCTGCTCTTCTCCACCAAATATGCGCTGCTTCTTATTTCCGGTGCCCTTCCACCGGGTCACATCATGCAAATATTCCGCTCTACCGGTTCTCCTCCAGTTATTTCATCTCTAAATTACAGTCAATTCGCAGTCTTCTCTACTACGACAACGTAAAGTGGTCGCTTGTGCTACAATGCATCATACTGACAGAGCTCCTTATGCGAGCCTGATGGCTCCCGCCAACCTTTACACCTCCCGGACACGTTCTGCCGTTGCCTTGCCTACTATGACATATCCCCGTCTGTGGCTGCCTGGACATCCGTCCTGCGCCGTGGATGGGAGTTCATGTGAGAAACCTTCTCCATCTCCATATGCTTATTGGAGTCATTGAGACTGTACACACAACTCGTCGCAGTATTTTGTTGCAATGGAATCCGGCCATGACGTGGGGATATATCACGGCTTCTATGGGGCTGTGAACTGAGGTCGCTAAGCTCAAGAACACGGAGAACCTTCAGGCTGTGCATACCTTTTCGTGCCATATTATTCCCTTTTGAAGGATCTTCACATCGTGGAAAACAGGGGAGGAAAATATATCCGCATCAAACAAGAAGCTCGCTGCGGAACTCTTTTCGGACATCCGTTACATGAGGCTCCCGCCTCCTATTGAGTTGTGAGTGGGAAAGGCCGTCGTCTCATTATATTCTTGCTAACTGAATGGTCCGTTTTCGTTGTGACCGATATGCAAAGAAGCACAATTGAACATTCCGACATCCTTCTAGTTTATCAAAACCCATCGGTGTTCACTCGTAACAGACTGAAAGCTGGCTAGTATCGTTCTATAATAAGCCAGCCTATGCGTTGCCGTGCGTTCAACCGCAAGAGCGGCAAATAATGAGGCTTCTGCACCCCAGCTTGACTTCAAATTCAGCCGTGCGCTGTCACCCATGATCATGGACTGGGCATTTAGTAGGGTTCGTATCATGATCAGCAGGGAAGCATCCCGTAATTCTTAATTCTATTGCCCAGCTTTCTCGTTTTCTTAGTACAGTTATGGGCCAAGACCAAGCCTTTTTGGTGTGCCTCATCGTTCTCGCAATCGGAAATTCAATCCGACTCGAAGGTCACGAATTATTTCTTAACAGAAGAATTCGATAAGGACGGGCCATGGGTAAGCTCTCTTAGGTCTACGGCAGGTCTATTTATAGACCATTGAGTTTAAACGCGGAGTTGCCTCTTTCGTGCGTCGAATCATATGAACCGTTTACGTCCCCGCCTCACGCCTTTCTAAGCATTGTGGCGCGAACTTGCAGGACAATGTAAGCCTATTATTATCCTCCGGACTCCGTAACTTGATCATGTGGATAACAGATAAGCTGTCTGTCATTCCTCCGATTCGGGGAAGCCATCTTGTAATGCCTTTGTTCGTTCTGCAAGTGTGCGTGAGTGTATGCTGCGGAGCCCTTCCCAATTATACACTCGTACGTTGAAATGATGTCTTTCGTTGGAACTTTGTGAGTAATACGATGAGGATTTGTGATGATATCTCAAGAAAACCCGCAGGCAAATGCGGAAGGAAGACTGGTAGTCACGCATTTCCCTGTCTCGCTATTCGGTACACTAAGTCCGGCTACGTTGCAAGAAGTCCCAGCTGGGAGGAGACATATTAAACTGCCCAGGATCCACCCCTAGAAAATATATTGTTCACGCCGGCGCGGGACGCCGCCATAATCCAGGCGATGCTATGAGAGCGCTCTACAGCGCATCAGTCTCTCCTCTTTCCTTCTTTACATTTCTATGTGACACTCGGTTTATCCTCCTATTGAGTTATGCGGAATTCAAGGCGTGAGTATACGCGTCAATATAGTCATGCCTTTCGGAAACCGTCACGGAGACCGGAGATTTGTTTGTTTGTTCCTTCTTCCTCCCCCTTTGTCGTTCAGTAATATTGGCTTGGCAGTCGCATCTGACTTTAACAATTTGCATCTCGATAGGAAGGGTACACAGAGACGAACAACAACTCCGCGGTCGATACAGGTCCCTCTCAGCGCTGGTTACATTCAACGGAAACTCGCTGCACGAAGCAGCTGAATTATAGCCGGACTACGCCCCCACAATCGTTTGGCTCTGTGCTGCTAAGCGACGTCTACGCGACCAAGAAGTCAATACACTCTCTGTTCCTATCGGCTCTGAAACCCTGTTAGCCCTGTCGTACTGAATCTTCTTGTCTCCCGGTATGGTGCGCCTTGAAGTCTCACTCAAGCACTATGACTACTTCCTGGATTCAATCTGATGCGAATGATCGCAAGACTCGTCATTTGTCTCAATTATTACGAGCCAAGCTACTTCCATTTCCTGCCCAATGCCCTTCAGCACCGTATCATCGTGGTTTTCCAAGTGTGAGCTCAGGTCAGTTGCATAACATAATAAATGATTACTAATTGAAAGACATGTTCAACTCATTACGTCCCTGTTTCTTGAGCGCGGAAGCAAATCTCAGGCACACGTTACACTTACGAGTAATCATCAAGATGTAGTGCACCACACACGAGCATGACAAGTCTTTCTCTTTCTAGTCTGGCACAAGGTGGCGCCCTGAGTTGATTATCACGGGCATCGCGGCTATCCATGCCTGCATGCAGAGTGGTTCGGCTTCGCAACTTGCACTAGGTGCGATCATGTGGACAAGACTTCTCTTGGCTTCTAGTCAAATTCGCATGCGCTCTTTTCCACTGAATCACTACTCTATCTCAACTAGATTGGTATACAAACGGATCTGACACCGCTATGGTTTAATGATCAGTAAAGTTTACTATGTGTATATCTCTTATTTACTTTTCGGTGCTCAGACAACACAACTTAAATCAATCATGCCCTTGAAATGCCAGGCCTTCTGATACACTAGTACAACATCTTTTAACTTCTAGTCCTGGTAAGGAACAAGGGTCTCTCAATCCTAAGGGTGGTTATGACACTTCTACTAATTTTCTGATGCAACGCTTGGAACAATGTATCATGTTGATACCCTGCTACTGGTAAATGTGAGAAAATCGCTTTTCGACCTTACCATGATCGAAAGACAATGGAACAAACCCTAAAGGAACACAAAGTCTGGTGCGCTCGTAAAGTGACTTGACTTCAATACTGTAACGATTTGTAATGAATGGGATCGATGACAAGAAGCTATGACATGCATATGGAAGCAATGCATCCTCCGAGGACTAACTATACAATGGAACGCACAAACATCCACATATGACCACTAAGACTGAGGGTCCCGCTTTCGTTTTTTTATTTTCACATTGTACAATTGGTCATTCTTCCTAACTCCGACTATGTCGTGATTCCGAAAGCAACGGAAAGCAATGGAACAGAAAGCGCTCAGGATCGAATGTTCAATGTACATCGACACTTCCAGAAAATCAGAGCATGGAACAGAGTCGCTGAGAAAGGATGTGGCCTGTAAAACATGGCGACACGATAAAACGCGGACCGGTACCGTTGAGATGTCCCGACTTCTTCTCACACTAAATCCATTTGGGCAGAGGTACTATCCAAGCTTCACACCGATACTTGCACTGGAATATGGCTCCAAGGGAGCAATGGAAACGAAGACTGGTATCAGAATACAGTCGAAGTAAATCCCAGATAAATAAGCGCGCCAGGAGCTGAATATGGGCACGAACTCACTTACCACGAACTGTCGGAGCCGGCAGCCGCCGCGGCTCACTAGTTACCGTTGTTGCAAGTCAGCGGTTCCCGACTGTCGGTCCCCAAGAACTGTAGCCCGGCAGCTTTAGATTATCCAGGTCTGATTTGCTACTAACCGGCTAAAACCAATACTGCTCCCTCTGATTACTGCAAATCCAGCCTCACTTTCTTGTGGATCGAAGCCTAAATAAGCTACCGCACTCCCGGTGCTATACAACGTCGTCCCCGACAAAGCGGAACCGTGCAATTAGACATGTATGGCACATCGACGTTCGCCGTCGAGGTTTAAGTCCTGCAGACTGTACGAGCACCATACACCCTGTCTATCCGGCATCGGATAGCCCTGTATTGTGCGACAGTTGCGAGTTCTCAGTTGGAATTCTATTCAGAGCAAGGCTGACAAATTGAAGACTGAATATCGCCTGTGACTCCAACGGCAAGTTCAAAAAATTGTCCACGAAGGTGTCGAGAGAATTCACTGTCCCGGCGAGCCAAGCCAATGCAAGCTGCGCATGTGAGCAACCAATGCGTTCCCGCGGACCGCCGCCTTCTGAATGTCGTCAGATCACAAGTTACGCTGGAGGAGAGACGGAACTCCTGAAGTTTGTCTAAACACATTCTAAGCACAATTTAGTTAGTAGGAGTTTAATCCTTCGTTACAGGAACCGTGTCAGCAAGCTTTCTTGAAGGACTTGAATGGCACTCAATTGATTGGATGGTCACGATGAAGTCACCGGCCTATGTTAGCACCGTGTGCTATTCAATTTGCACTAGGCTTCCGAGCTTGCAAAAGCGGAACCAGACATTTATAGCTATACAGTGGTAACGCGGATCAAACTTGTATTGTGGACCCTACCACCCTTACATCATCTAAGCACTAGCGGCACAGGAAAAACTTGAAAGCGCAACGAACGAATGGTGCACCGGGAGGAACAAATACAGTTTCCCGCGTCAGGGCCAGAAGTTAAAGAGAATAAAGAGGAGCACACGGTACAGGATCGGAAATGAATCGCCAAGAACTCGAAAGAGAGATGGACAAAGCGGTACCCTGCCCACGGGAAAATCAGATCGTAGTTGCAAGGGTGCAATCGGTAAAAAGATGCAATCCCGTAGGTATACAGTTAAAGGAAGTCCTCGGCGCGGGCGCGCTTCTTTCCCCGTGTCTCGTCCTGACTCGTCGAAGCTTGCTGCGGTGAAAAGAAGTACTTCGGATCGTAGGCGCGATTCTCTTCCTATGTTATTACGTCGAACTTTGTCAGCAATGGCGCAAGTGCGCAGGAAAAAATTGCCAAGGCTCACAGGAGAGTAATTTGCATCAGTATATTTTAAGATCTGCCCTTTCTTCAGCTCTGGATTTTCCTGCTTCAAAGCCGGATTAGGAATAGAAGGTTTCTGCGGAGTTGCAGATAAGTCCGGTAATTGTCTCGAGGAAAATGGTGGAGTTGTGAATCTGGGAGCGGGAGGTGGTTGAGGCGGACCTCCTGGAAGTTTCGTGGGTGTCACCGGCGCTGCAGCACCTGGAGGTGGAGAGAACGCGGGCGGCGTTTGACCTACAGGTGGAGGCGCAGCTCCAGTAGCGAAAGGTGGTGCTCCAGGCATTCCTGGAGGAGGCATGCCAGGAGGGAATGGTAGACCGCCAGGCGGTACCATCCCAGGAGGGGGGAAACCCGGAGGCATCTGAAACCCAGGCGGAGGGGGCCTGGAAGAGTTGAAGATGTCAAAAACAACTAGATCGGAATCAGATGGTAAGAAAGCTTACCCAGGAGGGAAGCCAGCTGCACCAGGGAAAGGCGGGAAGGCTGGTTGACCGGGCATTGGGGGCGGCACTCCGCCCGGCAAAACAGGTGGCATACCCGGCGGTGCACTGCCTGGTGGAGGCGATATTTGCGAAGGAGGAGCAGCATACGTTTGAGGAGCCGCATTAACCACGGGACCCGATGATGAATCTGGTGCAACAGGCGGTGGATTATCCACCGCACCCATGAGTGCCTTGTGTGCTTCCAACTGAATTCGAAGCTCCTCCTGTGTGTACACGCGGTTCTCAATCTTTGGGCGCTTAGCCTGAGGTTGCGTTATAGTCCCAGGGTTAAGACCGAGCTCTATCTCCTTCCGACGTTTGTAGTCTGCGACGTCTGGTGCTGGGATACCTTCCATTCCGAAAATCTCAACTTCGTATCCGTCACGGCCGGGAAGTGCATTCTCGATATGCGGAAGGCTGGGGAGAAAGTCAGGAGTGATTCCAAACCGAATCAAATACATGATACGTACTTTTCAGGTTCAAGTTTATGCACTTGTTGAATGTGAACAGCGAGACCTCCTGCTGTATTGAGACGACGGGGACACATTTTGCATTTGAAATGCTTCGCTTTTTGATGCTGCATGAGTACTATATTCAAAGAACCAAGCCCGACGTGTGTCAGTATCAAGCCCATGGAGAGTACAGAGGATAACCAAGGACCTTTCTCATCTTCGAATTCTCGTTCACAGTACCAGCACCATGGCCGGATGATCTGAGAAGACGTCAGCGGATACACGACACATACGACAGGCAGCATGCCATACCACTTTGCTCTTCCTCTTCTTGCCCATTTTTACAACTACTATGTGGACGAATCGTCGTAGTCAGCGCACTAAGCAGAGCACGATTGACTGCGAGCGAAGTGTGAAGGAAAGGAAGGCGTGTCACACGTTCCTTTTCCTTTTCTAGGACGATCGACGAATGCTTACTAACCTGCTATCTTGTTTGTAGTGAATATTGTAGTTGTCCCTAAATAACCACGTTGGCGCAGTCGTGAGTAATTTTATACGTTGAAAAATCTGTCTGTATTTCTCAAATGTCGATAGTATGCCTTGTCAGAGATTCCCGGTTCAGTAAGAGATTTCTTTGTTCAGACTGTGTCTGCATGGTCGCTGACAAAGACAGAGTTTTAAACTCCGCCCGCCAGGCTCGACGCGTCGCTGAGAGAGCGAGTGTGGTCTCCTCTAACGTTTTGCTCTGACCATGAGCCCGAGTCAACGACCGTCGCTCATACTTGCCCCGTCGGTCTCCACCACAAAGTGAGTACGATTTGTCCAGTTTCACAGGTTGTGAGCTTGATCGCTGTTTTTAGGGTGGTGACAACGACGACAACAACGACCACATACGCACCCATTCCTCTTCCGTCTCTCCCCCCACCCTCTTCCCCGAAGGATCCAAAGCTCTATCCGCTACTCAATGCCTCATTACCTCCATCTCTACGCCGATTTCCCATAACTTTCCCTGGGGGCGCACGTGCCACATTTCGTGATGGTGATGATGGCGACGACGACATGCATGATGAAGACGAGGTGATGAGTGGGAGAGGGTGGCGTCTGGTCAGACAGGATGATAACGACGAGGAAGACAAGGTCTTCGGCCTTCACGAAGCTGTTGAGCGTTTCGGGAAAAAGAGAACACACAGCAATGACATTGTCATGCAGGGAGTGGAGGAACAGACTAACAGCCCTCCTCCGCGAAAGAAGCCAAGGGGAACGCATCCGGGCACTCTCCATATCAACGCGTCAACAGCTGCTGCACCCCCTTCTCCCCTTCCCTCACCAACAGGCTCGCCACCTCCACAGAGCATTTGGCCATCAGCACCCCCAAGTGGTGCTTCGTCCCCCCAACCACAAGCACCAATACAACCGGACATAGCTTTGACAACCTTGATGACGCTCCCGAACCTCCTCAGCCATTTTACCGCTCTACCACCGGCTCTGCAATCTCACGTTCTCCTCACGTTTCTTCGTCACTCACCGTTACCCGTCCTCCGGACGCTCCAATCGGTGCTTACACCCACACTGGCTCGCGACTTCCTCACCCTATTACCTCGCGAGCTGGTTTCACATATCCTGAGCTTCTTGCCGTTCTCGACACTTGCACGTGCATCACGAGTTTCAAAAGCGTGGAGGGCGATCATCGACTCGGATCCAGTGCTTTGGCAGGATCTCATGAGATCAACAAAGATATGGTTTGGCGGCGAAAGCGAACATCTCTTTTCAAAGCATATCATATCTCTTAGACGCAAGGCTGGCTTACCCGCTCCTGGTGCATTACCCTTGCCGCACCCATACAAGATATTATTCAAATCCCGCCACCTCACTCGCACTTCCTGGCTCAACAACAACAATCCAAAGCGTATAACATTCCCTGCTCATGGATCCCATGTCGTTACGTGTTTAATCTTTTCCCACGGAAGGATAATTTCGGCTTCAGATGATAACTCGATACATGTTTATTCACCAACAACTGGGCAATTAATTCGTTCTCTGGAAGGACACCAAGGCGGTGTATGGGCTCTCGCCGCCACCAAAGACACACTTGTGTCTGGATCAACCGATCGCACAGTTCGAATCTGGGACTTGAAGACGGGGAACTGTACCCATGTCTTTGGTGGCCACACAAGCACTGTTCGGTGCTTATCCATCGTCAAACCTGAGATGGTTGAATGGACCGATGATGACGGTATTACACATCACGGACGATGGCCAAAGCGACCTTTGATTGTCACTGGTAGTCGTGACCATTCTTTACGCGTATGGGACCTTCCCAGACCTGGAGAGAAGGAATACCGATGCTATGGAGCAGATGATACTGAAGGAGACCCTTCAGAGGCATGTCCACTGGCAGCACACAGATATGCATGTTCTAATGTCCCATTTGCATTACAGGAAGATGTCGAAGAGAATCCATATCATAAAGTCCAGCTCGAAGGGCACAGTCATGCAGTGCGAGCTTTAGCTGCACGAGGTCGCACATTAGTGTCAGGTAGTTATGACTGCACTGTTCGTGTATGGGACATCATTACGGGTCAATCGAGATGGGTTCTGGTAGGCCACACACAGAAAGGTTAGTGGCTTCACTTTCCGCCATGAAGTACTTTTATTGATATGAGTAACAGTATACTCTGTTGTCTTGGATCCGATACGCGACCAAGCTTGCTCGGGATCCATGGACGGCACTGTGCGCGTATGGAACTTAACTACAGGACAATGCATACACACGCTTGTTGGACATACTTCATTGGTTGGCTTGCTTGGACTCTCACCTTCGTATCTGGTCTCTGCAGCTGCCGACTCAAGTCTGCGAGTCTGGGATGCCAACACTGGAGAACTCAGGCACTGTCTTCAGGCGCACACTGGCGCAATCACCTGTTTCCAGCACGATGAGTTCAAAGTGCTCAGCGGATCAGATGGAACGTTGAAGATGTGGGACATCAGGGACGGATCATTCGTCCGTGATCTCTTGACTGGCATAAACGGTGTGTGGCAGGTTGTCTTTGAGGGGCGCTGGTGTGTCGCAGCTAGTAATCGTACCGATGCTACTGTCCTCGATGTTTGGGATTTCGGTCGTGATGACGACGATGATGACTGGATTGGGGAACCTGGTGGTGGACTGTACGATGACAGTTCGGATGACGAGGACGACGATGAAGATCACGAACAGGCTGACGCGGATGCCATGGACCAGGATCTGGAGGTCCTTCCGTCAGAGCCAGAGATGGGTGATGACGAACTGGATGGAGGCGAAAACGAACAGAATTTGTCTCACGAACCCACCTGGGACTATGAGACGCCTATTAACAGAAGGAAAGCTGGTCAAGCATCGTCAGGTAGACCCATGTGGGCTGACAACCTGGGGGAAGGCTCCAGTATGACTTCCATCCCAGAGGCCATGGACGCTGACTCCTCGCAGGACACCTCCGTCAAGATTCCAAGTCGTATCCTTCCCGCCAGCGACGAGACACCAACGCGACCTCGTATACGCAATGTTCGAAAGCGGTGAACGCACAGACAGCTTATGGTGGAATACCGTATGCTAGCAGTCTCTTTTCATAGCCATCACACACCTCTCTGCTCCCGACTAGCGCCTCTGATCTATTTGTGCATCCTGTTGTCGTTATTTGCTCTCACGGACTCATAACATATCCCACTGTTTCCTTTACCGCTCTTCGCTTTGTTGTGTAATGTCAGCAGTTTTGGGCCCGAGTTTATTCATATGTAGTTATTTCATGCCGTAGCAATTCATCCAACTAGTGGACTAGATATCAAGCCATCAAGAAACAGAACATATATTTTTCGTAGATCGACTGTTAGTCATGAAAATCGATAATACTTTAACCGTCAATCACAATCAACTAGTGCATACTACTAGACTCCGGAAAAACTCTTTATCGTAGCTCTGACAACCACCAGCAAGGCAATGCAGTGCTCCTCCACCAACACTCTAATTTCCATAGGGAGCTGTTGAAAATTCTGTCAGTATTACAAATAGTGGAACGATTCCAGGGCCATTGCATCCTGTCAACACTGAAATAATCGAAGAATTAGCTCACTTTGACTATACCAGACGTGTTGCTTTTCAGGAGAGCAGCTTAGTGAATCGTAGAGGTGATGGAGACATTGTACAAACAAAAGCAATTTTGCAGATCAGGACAACGTTAAAGTACTAGGTAGTTGCAAAGTGTTTGAGAATCTACACGAGAGAGTAGAACAAGCTAATAGATACAGTGGTATTACTATCCCAATGTTTGCCCTAAGTGAAATTCTTTATTCTTTGAAAGAAATTTATGTCCAGGCAAAGCTAGATAATTCTAAAGGGACTCTAACTCATATTTAAATGTGGTTAAAGAGTGTTAAGAAAGGGGAAAGAGGTTATGTGAGAGGCTTAGAGGGATCACACAAAGAGGGGGGATAGTGGACTCGGCTCGCTCTCTCGCGGCTTGCTTCATCGTCTGTTGATTAGTTAGTCTATATATACTATGTAGGTATGTCTCAGATGTAGAATGTATGATGGAAGGTATTCCATCATTGTTCGTCATTGCTTGTAATGTAGTTTATATCATCTGAGACATGCTCTTGTGTAATCTTGTCTTAACACTCCCCTTCAAACTCTTACTAGGTCTAGTAGACTTGTAAGATGTTTGCTTACAGTATGTATAGATAGTTTAATCATTATAACTGTATTGTACAATTGTTCGTTTGTGTAATGCATTTATAACTTGATGTAGTTAATAATAATATTATATGCATTGTAGTAATGCATTGTCCGTTCTGTGTAGTGTCTGTTCTGAGTGTCATCCACTTTGTGTTAAGTTTGTCCAATGTTATATTGTTTAAGTATATTTAATTCGTTTGTTTGTTCGTAATATACTGTTCAATAACAGCATCATTATCACAATAGATTGTTTGTAAATGTTATTAAATAATTTGTAAATGCTTTAGAGACCTGCAGAATCTTGTTAGCATGTATAGGTATGTATATGCACATATTTAAATCATAAATGCAATTGCTTGTTTTGTTTTATTGTTTGTTATTCAGTCATTTCGTTTGTTATTAAGTTTGTTTGAGTACTCTAGTAATTTCCTTTTACTTTGCTGTGGAAACTAATGAATCACACTAGTAAAATGTATATTTGATGTTGCAATAATATCCTTTCTTTCATCATTGCTGTCTGTGGTTGCCTACATTT